TACTCCATAGTACTCCGCACACAACGATTATAATCATAATTCAGATTATTTAAGGCTGGAATCTAGATAGATAGTCCAGTCCAGTCTAGTCTAGTCCACTACGGATATATGGACATAATCTCGGCATGTCCGAGATCGCCGTTTCAATTTTTACCGATCGAAAATAGAAAGGAAACATAAAATTATATAACAATACTTTTATGTAGTATTATTTGTAGTAATATCTCCATAAAGGGGATATGGGTAGTACTAATTTGCGCGAAACAGAATTGAATTAAAGGGCCCTGGGCCCGAGAAAATCGAATATAGCACTAAGACCGGAGAGACTGCCCGAATGGAGCTATGGCCAGCGGTTGTCGATGATCCACCGGGGCGATCAGCCGAAACAGGAAGGAGGCTAGGTATACAGTGACAGGTTTGGTTCCGCGTCAGTCGAACACGTCAGGAATAATTAGCATTACTCATTTCCACGTGAGATGAAAGTGGGGGGGGGGGGGGGGGGGGGGGAGGGAAGAAAAAAAGAAGGGGGAAGGGGGATCATCTCGGCAATCGAATTGATGGGATTGCCATGTCTGAATCTTGAATTGGTTAGGCACGGTACATGTACGGAGAAGAATTCGAATTCGGGTTCGGATCAAGCTGGCTTAGACCCTAGGATACTCCTGATGTGTTTCAATGAGGAAGATGATTTTCCTTTACTTCGCTTCCAGTGCGGCTAGGTTCAAAGGGGCATTCAGGATCCGGGGCTAGTACTTCCTCTTTAATCAATCAGAATGAAAGGGATATTAGTGCCAGGGTCAATGTGAATGTTAATGCTAGTATTAAATATACATTATGAAGCAGACCTGGGACAGGGTATGTACGGAGTCGAGTCGAAGTACAAGTGCGGGAAGATCCTGATTCTGGTTTTAATCTGAATCAAAACGGGTCTGGGCCAATCAGCCCTGGAACGGACTTAACGCAGCCGAGTCAATGCTACGTTTTCCACCTTCCCAAGAGGGTTCGTGGTCAGTCCAGGGCCCTAGGCGGAGTCCTGTAGATCCTTCGTGAGATATACACAGTATGATTTACTGTATATGAAGTGTTCATTACTGCGATTACGTTCATGGATAAATATTTTCATTACTAACTGATCTGATCTGATCTATCTTGTGAGTGAATCATCTCTGCATAGATCAGATCCTTAGAAAGTGGTTGTACCCTGCAGGTGCCATGTGTTCGTCAGCCTCCGCGTGGCTGGACAAGGCAAACCTCGCTATTAGAATCCTGACGGTGATGATTATTGAGTGGAAAGCGAAAGCCCCCACTTACATGTGATGGTTTTGGTTTCTTTGCCTAGAAACCAAACCAAAATAATAAAATAAAGTAATAAATGCGATATTATTACTAATAAGGGGTCAAAAAAAGAAAAAAAAAGAAAAAAGGGGGTGAGACACTTCTCGCGTGGCCATGGGGCCATGCATGGGCGCCCCGGATGATCCCCGATCGATCAACGCGCGGACCCGGGATTCTGGCTGAAAGCGTCTTAGTGCGTGTCTTCCCACTCATCGTGTTACATACATGGATCAACCGAGCGAGGAAGAAGCAAAGAAAGGGAAAAAAGGGAGCCAGGAAGGCAAAAAAGAAAGAAATCACCATCTCAAAGCATAACCATGGCTTGAAGCCATAACCATGTGGCATTTGCGATCTGCAGAAATACGTAAATGGGAAAAGTCTAGACGAGGCAAGGGCCTTTTGGATCGACCAGTCTCCAGTTGAATTCATGGTTCAGATTCGGGACCAAGGAACACAGCTTCTTTGGCGAGTATGCTCCATAGTGCCCGAGCTCGTCTTTACAGTCTACTTTCCACATTCAAGTTTCTTTCCAGAATACTCCATAATGAACAAGACAAGACACCAGGTACTGTCCACGGATTGAATGTATCCATGGCACCCAAGACGTCCAAGACGTCGGGACCGGGCCACTCCTCTACCGTAAATTAAGTTTCGCGTGACTTTGAAGCTTCACAAGAGAGGAATGTCTTGTCGACAAAGTTCCGCAGTGCGTCCCAAAAGAAAAAGCAAACCAAGCCAAGATGCCGATAGAAGCCCCATTTTGCATCCTGAGGAAATGAAATGAGTAAATATGTGTATCCGTACCGCGAAAAAAGGTTCCCCGACCCAGTGACATTCCCGTCATTACCAGGTCCCCGGAGCTGAATTTGAGTTATGTGGAAATGAAGAGCATCATTCAGAGTCGTAAAGACCCAGCCCCTCTTCTTCTAGGCATTTCCAGTTCCAGAATCAGAGCATGAGCCGCAGGGTCACCAATCAAAGGTGGTGGAATACTAAAACCGGTAATGAGGGAAACTAGTCGATCCCGAGTACAAGTGCCGGTCGCATACGGTGAATGGGGTGGGGTGGGGACAAAGGGAGATTGTGGTCTTTTCTTTTCTTTTTCTTTTCTTTTTTCTCGAAAGGCCGATCAGGAGGATCGCCCCCAGGCGTGGATCATAACGCTCGAGCCTTTCCACGCGATGTGATGTGCCTTTGCTGTTACAGTGCTGGTGGATCCGTGGTGGTGATTGGTTTCATAATGCATCGGAGGAAGCCGAATTAGGTTATATTGTGATTTTGATTTCAGCCTGCCTGCTGCGAAGATGTGAATACATAGTCCGTGAGGAAGATTGTTATGCGAGTTGTTATGCGTCTCGTCGTCACCAGCCACAAGAACCTGATTCTGGTATCCTGTGCACACTACTGCAGCGATCACCATGACCATGAGCACGGAGAATAGGAAAGAGGCGCTCGGGAATCCTTTGCATTAACCCTCAATCTTTAATTACTATGATGACTCTGAATCTGACTCCTTAAAAATAAGAAACAAGGAATAAGGCTACGATTACATCCATCCGATCCTCCATAGAACCGAGGGGCCAAGAATAAGAACATCAGAAAGAAGAAGGCCAAGGAGGAGACCAGAACATCAAACTCAACAATAAAGTTACCATAATGTAAAACCAGTAGTCCTCTGTAGATCAGGATCAAGGATTGTTTCATTCATTTTCCCCTAAACCCAAAGCGACCCCATCTCGCTCCCACCCCCCCTCAAATAGTAAAACGGCCACGCACGGAGCAGGCGATCCTGGTAAAGGGCTAAAAAGGAAAGTGGAGAACCTCGCTTCCACGAGGTCGGGACATGGGAATCCCCTAACGGCCAATGCCCGGGCTGGTCGTCTGTGCAGAAACGGTGCACGGTCCCTTTGACTGCGACCCGACCGTGTGTAATGTAGGCAAACGGCCCCGGCTGTTCCAGAACGCCGATCAGAATCAGAATCAGATCGTTTCCATAACCCGTTCTGGTTCTGGTGTGGCTGGGCGTGGGAGTGTTTGTGACTAAGGGGTGATTCGGATCCGTGGTTCGGGTGAATGTCACTCCGTATACCCAGTACACACAGTACACACAGTACTCTGGACTAGCGGAGGCCTCCGGACGGGTAATCGGGATCTTCAGGAGACCCTACGATCGACATGGATTTTGGCACCTTCTTAAATGGTGTAAGGTATGTTAGTGCGAGCTATATATAAGGTTTATATGGTGAACAATAGGTATCAGAGATCACTATGAGCAGATTAGTTGATACTCAAATTTAAAAATATTATAATCAATAGTAGGTAGCAATACTAAATATGCACGGTGACCATGACCACTAGCAGTTTATGATCAACCCTGTATATGTCTGCAGCTGCACTACACAGTATGTAAATGTAAATTTAAATCCAGAGCCTTCCTACGCAGTAAAAGTGAAAAGTCCAAAACCAGTCCTCTCATAATTAACTCTGATCACTCGTACTCCTAAAGTCTGCTCTGCTTTAGAGTTTTTGTAAGCGAGGCGGCGTCCCAAGCGCTTAGAGCCGCCACCCCCGTCATCTGCGATGCATACAGTATTTGCCTGTATCTGGCTTGTCATGGCCCCGGCCCCAACGGAGGTTTGTACCGAACAGGCTTAGCGTAATGCGGGTCCTACTATGACCTTCCCTTTTGGCTTGTTTCTTCCACGCGAGAACTTGAATCCTTGATGGAATCCGGGGCGGCCCCTATACGTAGATACTACATTCTTTACTTATGAGCTATGAGCTACAAGGTAGAACCTGCATTTATTACATACTAGTAGCTTACAATATTGACATGACTTCAGAGTAAAGAGTAAAGAATAAAGAATAAAGGCCAAGTCCTAAGAATTCATGAATACGACAATACGAATCTTCAATCCGGCTATGATCGCCCGCGACGAGATCCAGGTGCGATCAGCCGTTTATGGGGCTCACGGTCGTATGTGACAGGTAAAGCCCAGGATCTGCACTAGTAGCCGAGGCGAGTTCTCTCTTCGCATTTAATTTTGTGATTTCAGAAAAAATAAAATATTATTTATTATTTATTCCTTATTAATCCCAACGGGCACTTTCCGGCCTCCCATATCGGGACTAGTGTTCGCTCAGTGATTCTAGCGTGGCTTCCCGAGGCTAAAACTGGTGCATCGTCCGTCGTTTATTGGGGAGAAAAGTGGGACTGATGGCAGATTCGTGGATGCGAATGGGCTTTGGAGGGATTTTCATTCATTTAATTATTTTTAATTATTTTTGTCCCGCTATAGTTCTTTTTGTTCGCATGCATCGTCATGTCTTCCCCACTTGAAGGGTTAATCTCCGAAGGAATTGTTATTTTATTTCTACATAAATAATCCCAAAATATTCGAGAAAATATATTCTATTAATTAAATTAAGCTTTGGAACGGACTGTCTCACCTTTTTGTGCGAGATTCAATCAGGAAATCCACCTTTTATTTTATTATTTTATTATTTTACTTATTTCCCCCCCCCCCCTCGGTATCGTAGATCATCCACGCGAGTCCCGACTATAAACCCTCGTGTCCCCCATACTTTGCCCTGGGCCAACCTCTTCAACCCATACCCCAACTTGAAACAATCCAAGCTACCTTGTTTCGGTACAGACCTTCATCATGGATCTGGCCAATCTCCTCTCCGCTCCTAAGCCATTTACCGAGTCCTATCATAAGCGCTCCGTACAAGCGCCTCCCTCGCCGCCAGTCGAGGATCAGGTCAAATGCTCACTGCCTTCCATTTCTTCTTTGCTGGAAGGTGCCGATGGAGCCCAGCACTCAGCTAGTATGTTCAATCCATACTATATATTATAGTATATCAGATCACCAACTAACACATACCAGAGCGTCAACGTCTCTCCCCACCATCCCGGGAGCGTGATGTCCGCTACGACACAATCCACCTCCCACCAACTCCTCCACTCCGCCCAGGTTCAGGATCAGGCCACAGCGTCCGCTCCCCATCAGAGCTAAGCACCAAGACCTCCGAGCATCTGCACCGCTCCTCAATCTCCAGCACCGGCAGCTCAGCTCAACAAGGTGCTCAAGGCCCCTACGCCTCGCCCGCTCCAAGTGTCTCATCCTACTCTTCCCCCATCGACAACCATACACCAATGTACTACCCCCGACCACCAACAACATCTACATTCGCACCCTCAACCCCCGCCACAGCACCCCTCCCAACAACAAGGCAACCAGCGCCCCAGGTCCAGATTCCCCAGGTGCAACACCAACATCACCACCACCAACCCGCTCAACCATCTCCTTCAATCATCTCCCCCGTCACCCCAGCCTGGCAACATCACCACTACTTCCCGCCTTCATCGGGGACTCCTTTCCAGCCAACACATGATCGCTACATCTGTCGCACATGCCATAAGGCGTTTTCTCGTCCTTCTTCTCTGCGTATTCACTCCCACTCGCATACAGGCGAGAAGCCATTCCGTTGCACAGTGCCTGGATGCGGGAAAGCGTTCTCCGTACGCAGCAATATGAAGCGTCATGAGCGTGGTTGTCACTCTGCTCGTGTCGGTAGTGCAGTTACAGTTGCACCACCTGCGCCCACAGCATTGGTTTCATAAATCAATCAGAAACAAGAACAAAACAAAGCATGAAAAGCAAAGACTCGACCATTCTCCTTATTTCTTACGGATGAGTTGGCAAGTCCAGGGGCGATTGCTCCATTTCTCATTTCTTATTATTTTTTAAATTTCTTTTTTTTTATTCCCTATGTCATTTATACTTGGGTTTGTCTTTTGGCGTTGGATGGGTGGGATGGATTGGATTGACATGCTGTCTGGTGCTTCTCGCCGTGATACCCTGCATTATTTGGAACGTTTCTTTGGTTCTGGTTCTGGTTGGACATGAATCAAGGTTAGAAGAAGGATGGATTTCATTCAAATTACGAGTCAATGTACTATTTCTCACGATCACTATTTGCTATTATTTCACGTAAACGTATGCAATTGTAAATGTAAATGTAGACCAGTATACCTGCAAGTGACCTAACATGCTACACTTACACTATTTGTGCCAAATACAAATACATATTATCCAGTACAAACTGTGCATTATCATATCCACAAAGTCCAGTCCAGCTCAACAAGGCTAAGCAGTTGATTCTTCCCGGGTCCCCAACTGTCACTGACCGGCATCATACTTCCCTCCCGAGTTCCCTGTCCCTCCCTTCCGCTTATAGATAAAGATCCGCGACAAACAGTTCAATTTCAACCACGACTAGTCCTCGCTAAGCGATAAATGTGATTCATGTGATGTATACTATCTCAATAATGGGTGTTCTATTTTATTCTATTCTAATCAGATGTTTTACTTTATTAATCCTTGTAATATTATGCAAATGCATGGATGCGAATACGTATACGGAAGTACAACCTGGGATTTGTTTGGATTCGAGAAGACAGAATGCGATCGGGAATTACGACTAACTAGCTACATACTACCTAGACCACTACAGACAGACAACGGGGCCCCGGATCCGAACCCGATCTCATCTCGCTTACAAGTACTCCGTACGGCTGTCGATCATTATAATGATCCAGATTCATTTGATCCTATAATAGAATCCTATCCAATCCTGTTCCCCATATCACATGTAAGTGTTCATTTTTGCTTTTGTTGTTCTTTTCTTTCGTTTTGAGGTGTCTGTCTGTCTGCGTGCGTTGTTCACCTGAGCATGTCAGCTCGGATATGCCGAACGAACGGAACGGTCTGGGCGCGTTGATCGTCGGCTCAGGGGTTCGGCCTTCTACAGTGGGTAGTAGGTTGTACATAAAGACTCATTTTTCAGTCTGGCTGCTTACTCATGCTTATGCTTGTTTCGCTTCCTTTATTTGGGCTATAGACAAATATAGTATTTGCTAGGTACTTGACTATGTAAACTTAAACTTAAAATCGATGCGATGCGACCGAATAATTCCGTCGATCCGAGTCTTTAATGGTTGGGTTGTGAGTTTTGGTATTGCAGGGATGATATTCATAGCTAGTACGGAGTAGCTTGTATAGTAATGGGTAGTTTGTACACTCAATAACATGCATAAGGCAACTTGAACTTGAAATTATCAAACTATGCAAGTTTTCAAAGACTCCAGTATTTCTATATCAAGTTGTTGAATACTCACTAGCATGTATGTGCCTTCTCGCACCCATATATATACTAGTAGTACGAACCGTAACTTAACATGCCCAGACACTGCAGCTTCGATAAAATTTACACGCTTTACAAAATATGGCTTGATCGATGGGGGAACTTCCGACCATACTGTTCGTGATTACTATGTAGTATTATATTAACAATAAACGGAGAATCATAGCGCAGAAAACGAAAAATATTCATTATAGCAAGGAAAACGACTAGATAAAGCTATTTAGGGCAATGCAAGAGTGGGTTGCCCAGGGTCTGGACTATATATGATCCAGTCACACAGGAACCACCTACAACATCTAGCCTCAGGCATACTGGCACCTGCATTGGCCAGTTCTTGAGGTTTTCTATCTTTTCCACTTCATTCTCCCTACTCGAGAAAAGCCTAAAGAAAGAGAACATCCATCCTCGAAAAGCTACTAGTTCTTCTTTGATATCTTGCATGAGTGTGAGCTTCGCACGACGAGCTTCTTCTTCAGATCTTCGTACCTAGTGTTCAAGAGGTGGCTATCCCGAGAATGGAATCATCCCTCGGCCACCTGCGCGGCAGAGTACTTATTTGGAGACATGTTGGAAGTCCTGGGACGACCCTGTGGAGTCCAATCAGGAGGAATAACCTTTGTTGGGTTATATAGTATGGAAAACACTGAAGTGTGCAGGTGGAAAAGTGGGTATATACTAATCATGGACTTTGGGAGGGGGTTGTGATTGTAAGGGTTGAAGAATGGCGAGTTGATGCAGAAGGGAAAGATTAGTCCTTTTATAGGCACTGAACCCATTAGGAAAATTAAATATTCCGTTCCAAGCTTCGTCGCCGTTTGCTGCCACAGATATCAGATCGAACGAGCGATAGATTTTCCCGAATTGTGCTTACCTAGTGCATACTAGTAGGTATCTTAGGGAATGAATTATTTGAATGCTACTAATTTAGAACCGATGTGCAATAACGGCCCGTGGACGTCTCGCAGAATCCATTTCTATAAATAATGACGATGATACTATTAGTAGATACATCTCTAAAATACTCAGTTCAAATATTGCTTTCATAGATCTCATCTAGGCTAGTCCCTCGGCATCCCTAATCAAAGAGATTTGGAGACTCTTTGTTGCCCGATTTCCACAGCCGCTTCACCAAAGACAGAAAAGAAGCCACAACCAATCTTTCATTGTTTCTATCATCAATAAACAGGGGCAGATAAGCCCCCAACATATCACAGAGACCACACTCATCGCTCTTTAAACAAAAGTTCCGAACAAAAACCCAAGACGGATCTTCATCCTCTCTACCTCCCTACCTACAAATCTCATCCTCATCCTCATCTAAAACCATTAACCTCACCCAAACTCAACCTAAGAGCGAAAATGGCACGTCTATCCGGCTATCTAAAAGGAAAGCCCAACCCCCGAAAACCCCGCAAACCAACCCAAAAAGCAACCCTAACAGAAAAAGCAACCTCCACCAAAACCTCAACTACAAAATTTGAACAAAAAATGCTCGAACGTATCGAAAAATGCCTATCGGATGCCTACCAATCCAACGCCTCAGAACAAGAATCCAAGACCGCCCTCCCAATGGCCCAACGTCTAATGGCCCAACACAACGTAACCCAAGCAGACGAAATAGCCAACGACACTGAAAAGAACAAAAGCCACTACGGCGGCCAAACTACCGTGATAATCACCAAGGTGAACGGGAGAGGCCAGGTATACAAAGAAGCCTTTGTACCAAAGCTAGCTCGGGCGATGTGCATATTCTTTGACTGTAAATGGTATGCAAGGGATAACATTGACAGTATTGAGTGGTGTTTTTATGGGATAGCTGAGAATACGGTAACTGCTGCGACGGCGTTTGAGAAAGAACACAATCGGATTCTGGAGTGGGCTTGTGAGTATATGGGTGGTACGGCTACGCATAGTTATCGACTTCGCGTTGCGGATGGGTTGGTTGCTATTGCGAGGCGCGAGAAGAATATGGAGCTTGAGTTTGCGAAGGGGAGGGAAATTGAATATGCATTCGCTGAAAATGAGGTGTTTGATGCCACAACTAGTGAGGTTGCGAGTAGAACAGTTCCTCTGGATCATCAGGATGTCTCTGATATCGATATCGATACCAACCAGCCACTGGCAGATCTCAGTACTGGAGAGAGGGACATTAAGGCCAAGGAGTCTTTCACAGATCATGGACGCTCATCCACGCATGATGATGATAATGACAGTGATACCGAAGAAGACGAAAGCGAGGACTTTGGTCTAGAAACAGATTTTAAGGCAAAAGACGTAGAAGCCATCCATCTCTGCGGCCACAACATCGACGAAACAATTGACAGACCTGTTAAAAGGGATACGCCAGAGACACTGGCACCAATCTCACCACCAAAGTCAGAATCACGAATAAATCTCGACCCAAATGCTGAAAATGCAGACAAAGCCATGGATAATCTCACTGACATCAAAAGGGAGAAGTCAGAGTCACCAATGTCATCAGCAGGACCAGAACCACAAATAAAGTCCGACCCAGATTTGAAAATCAGCAGAGAGCCTAAACTGCAATCTACCCACAACGGTGCACACAACTCCTTTGACAGTCTATTACAAGATAGGCAAGAGCCCCAGCGTCAAATACGGGCAGAAATAGCAATGCCACCGCCGTCACTACCACTACCAACAGCAGAAGGGGCGAGAGTAAACGCCGACGCCGTGACAGACACTGGAATCGAGGGAGAGTCCGAGCCCGAGCCCGAACTGCAGCTTGCATTGGCTCCTAGTAGTTCGCCTTGGGAGTCTGTGACGCAACTTATTCAGTTTCGGGCGACGGCGGAGCAGGTTGCGAAGGATTATTTGAGGGATATGCGAATCACGTTGAGGAAGAAGTCTGAAAGGAAGAGAATTACAGGACTACTAAGTAATCTGATGCTTGTAATCATGGTAGAGAGGATAGTTCGAAAATTGATACTCGACAATCTGGATGTATCGATTTTCTCTGAACAACATCCCGATGCTGTTGTAATTGGTTTTTTTCTTTCAATGGCTGTGTTATACTATCTTGTCTCGAATGATTTACTCGGATAAGTAAAAAAAGACAAAAGAAAACGAAGCTGTGGTATCGATCTATCTAGAGTTTATTTCTAATTCGTGTTCAAATTCGTGTATCCAAGTCTGACCTATCCATCCATATCCATGTCCAACCCAATCGCCAATGCAGTCTAGCCCATAAAACAAAAGGAACCAAAATCATGTAACTTATATTACAAAATGAACACCATAGATCCATCATTTCATCAACCATATCCTCCAAAATTGAAGAAATAAAGTAAGCAAATCCAGAAGATAGAAACACCTCACTCATCCAAAACCCCCCTCACCAAAGCAGCAAGACTAGCCTCATAACTTGCCGGATTATGATCACTCAACATACCCGACGTAAACTTCAACTCCCCAAACCAAGCCTCTACATCTCTAATAAACCTCATCTGCACACGAGTCGCCGGCCTCCCGAGTCTCGGATACCCATCACTTCCAAAAGAATGCACCGTAAAAGCTTCCCTCTGCAAGACGCGCATAGTATCAACTACAAAAACTTCACCAGGCGGCATAAGTTTCGGCGCACGCATTTCATCACGTAATAGTGCGAGAGTTCTCCACGCCCATGCGTCTTCACCGACGCCATCGCCTGCATTCACGACGAGAGGGGGCTGGTTCACGTAGAACTTGTGTACGATGCTTTGGCGGAGACTTGAGTGCAGGCGTTGGCGGATGTTGGACTTTGCGCCGGAGACGTCTGTTTTGAAGAGTGTTGATGCTGTGTGCATGTCGTGGAGGATACCGAGGGAGAGGCTTGGGACTACGTCTTGGCTGTTTACGACGGTTGTTATTAGGCCGCGGGTTGCGAGGCGGAGGAATGGGGACATTACGGCGGGCGGACCGTAGGCGTAGACGTGGATTGGGCGACCGGTAGGGAGATCGTAGTGTTTTGGTGTTGGGGTGGGGATGGGAATGCTGTCGGTGTTGTTGGCAGAGGGGAGGAGGCGGTGTTGAGTAGGTTGTTGATAGGATGCTGTGACGAAGGATGTGCCGGTGAGAATGGTGCTGGGTTCAGCTATCATGGTTGCTAGCAGGGCGGCGACACCACCGCCGAGCGAGTGGCCGCAGAGAACGACGCCGTAGTCTTGGAACTCTTCTAGAGCTGCGCGAAGGGTGATCATTACGCGGCCGCCGCCACCTTCGAGGAGACGCTTTGCAGATGCATGCATGCCTTTGTGTACCTTCCAGTTTTTACCTTGCCATTCGAGGTCGTCGTAGTCGCAGGTCATATCTGTGAGGATGTCTTCGAAGCCCCAAGTCCCACGGAGGGTGAGAACTACAGCCTTTGATTCGTGATCAATGGATAGATAGTGCACGAGCGGAAAGCCACTTTCTGTTTCACCAGCTGCATTAGATCCACCGGCTGGGTCCACGAAAGAGGAGAGAAGAATTGTCGATGCTGGAAGACCAGCATTATGCTCGAATGCGCTGTGCTCATGGCTGTCTGATGTTTGATGTGGGATATTCTTCGCATCTTTGTGTACTCCCATGACCTTCAAGGCACTTGAACCATATGAGGCAGACGAGAAGCGACAAAATCGGCGAACGTTCTGAACAAAATGTCTTTCTGGGAAGATACCAGGAACCATTCCATCGCGATTGAGGGCTCGGATAGTCTCCAAATCTTCATACGCGCTTTTGCGTGGGCGATGAGCTAGCAGGATAGACGTTTCGGAGTCCGCAGTTGCGACTGAGTACATACTTGGCGTGTATGAATGTGATCGGGTATGGAATGACGAGGAGCCCGGTCGGGTATCAGTCGCTGAAACTGGTCCATCAGTTTCAGACCTCGACACTGACAAGGAGCTGCTACTTCGAATATGAGCACGAGGGGTGGCCGGGGATCCTGGACGAAAGTCTGAACCACGGCGTGAGAATGTATCAGTGTGAGTGAGAAGGGACTCTTGACTTCTCTCGTGCGATACATAGTGACCTGTCCTAGAGTTTGTTCTGTCGTGTGCACCCCGAGGAGGCGGAGTAGGCTTGGCTTGAGAGCGTGGAGAATAGCTTTGAGGTGAATTCGGTAAAGGCGATCGCCGTAAACCTCGATTTGGGGCAGAGATGGATGGACTGTAATTGGATGCATGGCTAGATGGTCGAATATGAGTCGGCCGCGCAGAGGTTTCTCTAGCGGTTGTGCTTTTTACAGAGAGTGGTCCTCGTGGCGGCTTGATAGGGGCTCGACTTGATACTGCCTCGGATGGCGCTGGGACTTTGACAGTGGGTCGCCTAGGAGGTTGTCGCTTCGCACTGTCCGTCTTGTCTTGACCAGTGGGCCTGACACGTTGAGCAAATCTGGCCAAGGATCCTTTGCCAGCAGGGCCCTCTCGGTGATTAGATGTCGGACCTGGGGCCCGACTTTCATCCTTGATAGTGGCATCGCTGGATGAGTCCTGTGATTTGGCTCTAGGATGCTTTCCCAAAGATGGGCGTTCTGGTAATGGTGGTGGCTCAAGATCAGGTTCGGTAGAGCTATGCGGTCGTAGCTGCGTATTCTGTGACTTGTTGAGGGCCGTCCGAAACACTACTGTGTGCTTCGGTAGTTGATGATAAGCTGGCACACTCGGGCTAGCGTAATCATGATGGTGAAATCGTTCTTCAACCATTGTCGTCCCAGGAGGGGCTGTAATCTCAGCGACATCCTCATCAAAAATATCAACGGTAATTGTCGTCGCCGTCAAAACCTCAGATCTTATGGAGGCATGGCAGCCCTGCGGTAATTGACTCATAATGTAAGATCGGACATCCTCATCTGAGGCCTGCTGTCCATTCATTGGAAAAGACAGATGGGAATCTGCGAATGAATCCCCAGTGCTCGGACGTCGCTGAACAGCACTGAAGGGTTGATCATTACTACCAGGCATCACAAAGGAGGCGCCATCATGGTCCTCTGAGACATCTTCCCGCTCGTCACTCGGAAGCTGCAGCGCCTCTGTTCTAACCACATCGGCCCTGGCCCCATTATCAAGAATGACGGTATCCCAAATGATTTCATCTCCGCCATTTTCTCGCAGGCTTCTTTCGGTATTTCTCTTTCCCCAGCGCTGTAGCAGTGCAAAGCCCACCGAGCCAATGAGGAGATCCCCAACACCAATCTTCTCAGTGCTTCCGAGGGTATCCACGGATCTGAACTCGCGTCGAATAAGGGTGATGATCGCCGCAATCGCCCTCGAAGACTCAGTGGACCCCAAGATCGCATCCAAAGTTGACAAGAGAGCCTGAGAGAAATTCGTCACAGATGCCAGCGTCGTTGACGAGAAATGAAAGGTCGCTGCAGCGAAAAAAGACGCCGAGGTCACTGTTGTATGTAGCGTTGCTAACTAAACCCATCATTAACACTTACATTTTTCATTGTGGGGTAAGAAGGATTGTCCAGACTTACACTCTTCTCTAATAATGACTCTGCCTCCAGCCGACCATGTTCGTCCCCACTACGTATCGCGACATCGCGTCCAGCGCGCGTGAGAATCCCCTCAATAACAGCGCGACTCAGTTCAAGACCAGTTAAAGTGGTCGCTCGTGCGCCATCGAGCGCTACCCCACCGAAAAATGACCCGATGCGCAGGGATAATGAAGTGGATTGGGTCAGCAGAGATACTAGGGACGCAAATGGACGCGGCAGGAGCGTGGTGCCTGACGTTGCGGGGACATGGCTGGTTGGGGTTAATTGGTTCTGGGCCTTTTCAGGAACAGGGGCAGACATGGTGAGCCATGGGGTGTAGTGAGATAAGAAGTGTAATATATTAAATCTGGACGATAGATGCTAAATGTACTGTAAATGTGTGATGAGATGTAAGTTCTGATGTAAATGCAGGATTGCAGATCTTGTCAGTGCCTGATGATGCTTGACTGTGAGCGTGAACTGCATGTGATTCCCACTTTGTTGGGATGACGACATAGCTGAGTCTGGGCCTTGTTTATCTATACACTATGTATGAACTATGATAGGTACTATTTATGATGCTGTTTACTCCTATTACTGTCATTCTATAGCCTTGGAATCAGAATCAGTCCTCGGATATTACTTACATCTCAGTTCTTGTGATTTCACCTGCTTTAACCCCCCGCATCGGAGGAGCCCGTGACTATAGAACAGCCCGAATGTTGCGCGAAACTTGATTTCTTGAGAATATTAATGTCTTCTGTGACCGACATGTGAAGCCAGATTGTGATTCATACTCGCCAAAGTGTTCATCTTGATTTTGAACAGGATTTCTGTTGATTTGTTAGTGATTTGTCATCGGCCTCGGCTTAGTTAGTTAGTTAATTATGGATAGACAACTTCAGGCATAAACAAGGCATCAATATTACTGTATTAGGACTGAATAAGTATTTGTCTACAATAATCACCGGAATACCCCGTGTTAGTTAAGGACTCCTAATCAAACTTCTCAGGAATTGATGAGCCAAGGTTCGCAAGTTTTTGAAGTTGAATATGAACTTTACTCAGAAGTAAATGCAATGCTGATTAAGCATATCTAGGATGTGTGGGGTGATCCGGCAATAATAAGATACATCCATGAACAATATGAAAAACAGGCCCTGCTGTACTCTACTATATATACATTTATTCCTACCATTGCTATAAGACCCATCAATTATTGAAAATTGCTTTTTCTTGCATGTATCGTGTAACCCCCCATGGTCCAACCCATCTCTAATCCAATTACCCAATCGCCACCGATAGCATTCCGGACCCTGTCTTGGCAACCTTAACTCTGGATCGTGAAGATCCCAGTCCTGCAGAGATTTTAATTCCTCCATATCTCAGATTCCAATCGTCCAATTCGCTCTGTCAGAAAACTCCATGATGCAAATTGTCCATTTGTGTACAAATTGAAAACATTCTAGCGCGTCGACCAGCTATTAGCAAGGGATGGAGAAACCGAGCCCCTCGGACGTGGGGTTCCCCAGGCCAAATGACCCTGAGGCCCACCACGAGACAAACTCCATTTCGACCGATGAAGAAGAGAAGCTTGAACAAACTTTAATTCGGAAAATTGATTTACATATTCTTCCCGTTGTGGTGTTACTTTATTTATTTAGTTTTTTGGACCGAGGTTCGTTGCATGCATGACAGTTGCGCATTGGCGTGTTGTTGTCCTATGACTCAATGGGTGCAATTCTGACATCTCATAGTGAATATTGGTAATGCCCGGTTATATGGTCTGGAGGAGGACCTAGGTCTAGTCGGTGACCAATATCAGGTTGCCGTGTCAATTCTGTTCGTGACATACTGTGTATGTGTTGACAATCCCTTCATCCAACTGGACAGAACTAACGATTATTCAGTTCTTCGAAGTACCATCAAATCTGGTGATCAAGAAGCTAAAGCCATCGCGCTATATCGCCACAATCTCCGTACTATGGGGCATCATAGCAACACTCACAGGCATTACCCAAAACTATGCTGGCCTCCTCGCATGCCGAGTCCTCCTCGGCGTTGTTGAAGCAGGACTCTTCCCCGGCTTCCTAACCTACCTCACTATCTTCTATAGTAAGCGCGAAATTGCTCTAAGAACAGGATACCTCTTCAGCAGCGCCGCAATTGCAGGTGCCTTCGGCGGTCTTCTTGCCTACGGTATCGGATTTATGGACGGCATCTGTGGACTACGCGGATGGCGCTGGATCATGATTCTCGAAGGAATCCCAACCGTCTTAATCGGCATCGCAGCCTGGTTCTTCCTAGCCGATGATCCCGATACAGCATATTATCTCAATAAAACAGAACGCGCACTTGTCGGGCGTATCCGGAGTCGATACACAGGCCAAACTGAATCTGCGCAGAAATTCCACTGGGCGGATGTTAAAGAAGGTGCTCTGGACTGGAAAATTTACGCGTTTTGTATTGGGCAATTTGGTGTTGATACCATGTTATATGGGTACAGCACGTTTTTGCCCAGTATCATCGAGGGAATGGGAGATTGGTCTGTTCCACAAATTCAGGCTTTGACAGTTCCCTGCTATGGCGTTGGCGCTATCGCCTATCTTTCCGTAGCGTGGCTGAGTGACCGAACCCAGCAACGAGCCTTATACACCTGTATTTTCAGCACAATTTCCGTGGTCGGATATGGGATCTTAATTTCCGATAGCTCATCTGGTGTTCATTATTTCGGTGCCTTGCTAATTGCATTGGGCTTATACGTGGCTGTCGGACTTCCACTTGCCTGGCTACCATCCAATCTACCTCGATATGGCAAGCGAACTTTCGCAACAGGATTACAGCTCACTTTTGGAAATGTTAGCGGTGTTATGTCGCCATTTCTGTATAAGACATCTGAGGCACCGCGGTATATTCGAGGAAACGCTGTTACTTTGGCACTTGTGGGCTTTGCTGGTGTGCTTTATGGGGTTATGTGGATATGCCTTCGCATAATTAACAAGCGTCGTCAACAAGGTCGGGAAGATGATCGTATTGCTGCTTTGTCGGAGGATGAAATTCAGGAACTGGGCGATCGGAACCCTCGCTTTCTTTACAGTACTTAGCGAGTCGCCGATGAAGTGCATTTCGGTGGAGCTTTTTATGAATATTATGGTCTTGCGGAGATACCCGGATATTAGCATTAGCATTGGCATTTTGCGTGGTTATGCGGAATCTCTCATCAATGATAGTCTTTCAGGCTATACATCATCAGAAGGTAGCATGATACCCAACGGATTGATATTTTCTATTAAGCCATAACAAATAACTTATTAGCCTAATAACAAGACACTTTGAACTGAACTATGGTTGCATTACGCCCCTTGGCGATATCCATCGGCATCTAGTTCATCTCAGCCTTCGTGATCGTCGATTGTAATCTTACAAAGCCTGGAATCCAACACCCCCTACCAACACGGAGTAGATATCCAACCAAAGCCAATTCACATAATCAAACGAGGATAAGACACATCCAAGAAATGAAAGACTCATTCCAAATAAAACTACGCTAAAAGAACCGACCTCGATTTCCATAGGTTCCTCGCTCTCGGATTCACGGTTCCAAGATTTGAAGATTCCAATAGGCCTCGTTATCGTATTCCCATCAATGAGTCCTCGCTCTCGCTCCCGCTCTCGGTCTCGCTCTTTACCCCACACTTCTTTGACCTAATACCTGCACTTTGACAAGCATGTTCCTGTAGCTATGCAAAGCTTTGACTTCAATCACCTTGTTTTGGCTCAGATCGACCGTCAGCCAAGGTAATAGTTCGAAATGCACTGACCTAAAGCGGACGGACCCTGCATGAGTGGCTGATAAGTCTCCGCTCCCTTGTCGGAAGCAATCATATCCGAGCTTACCTACCATGAACCTTTCTAGATTTGGTTGTTTGGTCAATTAATGAGATCAAGGGGCGAGATGTATAAATACCTTCTCTTGCATTGCCATTTATGAGCTTTTCAGACCTCAGACTTTCAAGTTCACTTGCAATAATATTTTGTTCAATAAGTCCCAATTATCAAGATGAAGGTTACCAACATTGCTCTGGCTGGTGCTGCCATTGGTCTCTCCAATGCTAGCCCGGTTGCTAAGCGTGCTATTACCGATGGTATGTTCTTTTCGATGAGATTTGACTAAACAATTGCGGTCTTACTAACAATCATTTCAGCTGATATCCTCAACTACGCATTGACTCTTGAGCACCTTGAAGCCTCTTTCTACGAGGAGGGTCTCAAGAACTACACCAAGGAGGACTTCATGAATGCCGGCATGGATGATACCTTCTATACCAACCTCCAGGAGATCGCATCCGATGAGAAGACCCACGAGACTTTCCTGACCGGAGCTCTGAGTGGTAAGCATGCACATCCACAAGAACCAAAGTAAATAAAACTAATTCCTCTCAGCTGCCGGCGCATCCCCCGTCGCCCGCTGCAACTACACCTTCCCTGCAACCGACGTGAAGGGCTTCCTCGCCCTCGCCAGCGTATTGGAAGGTGTCGGAGTCAGCGCCTACCTCGGCGCCGCAGGCTCAATCATGAACGCCACCTACCTCGGCGCAGCAGCAAGCATTCTAACAGTCGAAGCCCGCCACAGCGCCTACCTGCGCGCCGCGCTCACCGAATCCCCCTTCCCCCAAGCCTTCGACAACCCCCTCGACTTCAACGAGGTATACACCGTTGCCTCGCCATTCATTGCCTCATGCCCATCCACCAACGGCGCTCTGCCCGTTAAGGCCTTCCCAAGCCTGACCATGACCTCTACCAGTGCTGTGATGAGTGGCTCAACTGTTCAGCTTATGGCTGGAAGCGGGTTCAACATGTCTAACACTGATGATATCTATGCTGCTTTCATTACTGTGACTGGACCTGTTTGGGCTACGCTGAAGTCTAATGGGAAGGGGATGTTCACTGTTACTGTTCCTAAGGGAGTTGCGGGACAGAGCTATGTTGTGCTCACTAAGGGAAATAAAATGGCGACTGATGACAACATTGTCGCGGGGCCTGCTATTGTTGAGGTAATTTAGAGCATTGTTCTCGTTTTTCTCGTTTCTTTCGGTTCTTTTCGGTTCTCTTTCTCGTTTCTCTTGTTGCCCTTGTTGCCTTTGCTCTGTTTCTTACTTAACTTCAACACATGTCTTCTTAAACAAATGATTTTTCTCAAAAACTGATTCGCTTTCGGGTAGGTTGGTTCGATGATGGGATCAGGCTTAGGTATGGGAGGTAGCATGACTACATCCTGGCCTATGTCCGCAACAATGATGCCTACTGGCTCTAGGACTGGATCGATGAGTGCTTCTGCGACCGCTTCACCAAGCCAGACACCGTTCAACGCTGCCTCGTCGAGCAAGGGAGACCTGTTTGGTGTTTTGGGTGCGGCTTTCATTGCCGTGGCTGCGCTTTTCTAGGTGCCTTGTGAGCCTGGGCTTGAGGTTGCAGGTAAAAGCTTACAGTTGGACCGATTTTGGTTGGAATGGTTGTTTGCTTCTTCTTTTCTAATAATACAATTAATATTAAATGAGGCTTGGTGATATGTGAGAACCTGAGGGGGACTGATGTATATACGATTTGAAATGGATACGCTCATTTATCTACATTTTCCAATGGTATTTTGAAAGCGGGCGAAGCAAGTAGGGCTGTTCACGATACGATATCGTTGGGATTTTGCACTAACTTTGCGATAATCGTATCGCCGAAAATATTGTGATATTCTACCGTTCGGCACAAATTTGACGATAATATTGCCACGATAATATCACTACATTGAAGCCTTACGATACGATAATCATATTGTCGCTAAGATACTAATATCGTTAGGCGATAGTATCGTCGGTAGGACAATATCGTGAGCACCTCTAGAAGCAAGTCGAGTAAAACGAATATATAGCAGATTAGTAGTCAATTTATGTTAACTCGTCACAAAGCTTCCGGTCCGCTCAGCCGCGCTGAAGTGTTGACAACACATGCATGCATGGATTTAGCGCCCAGTTCATAGCCCAGCACTGCCTCTCCAGTTCGAACTTCAACACGATCTCTTATCTGAGTTTTCCTCTAAATAGTTGAATCCTGACGCAAGTGCGTTCGGCCTTTAAGGCGACATAATGTCCGACCCTTTCTCAGTCGCCAGCGGCGCTGTTGGTGTGATCTCCCTCGGACTTCAGGTATGCGGGCAGATCGTCAGCTACGCCCAAGCCGTGCGGAGTCAAAACGAAGATATTTAGAATCTTGCGACCAAAGCCGAGCAACTACGCGCGCCTCTTAAGGATTTACGTGAATTAATCGAAGAAACCAGGGATTCCTCACCTGAAACCGCGAACGATTCGAAGGAAAAAACGAACATTCTCCAGTCTTATGTCGATAGGCTTAAAGAGGCAGTCGAGCGGGTCAAACCCGCTGCATCTCAGAGTATAAGGGGAAAGGCTCGAGCGGGCCTCAAAAAGGCTGTTTATCCATTTGAAAAAGATACTCTTTTCGAAATTGGAGCTTGCCTTGATGGGATGCAATTCACCATACAAACAACATTGATGATGTAAACACAGAACGTCCCCTCGAACACCATGTGCCATTTTTTGGTTATCTAACTAACTAACGTATGTAATAGGTTTATGACACGCAGAACGGTCAAACTTGTATCCAGACAAGAAATATTTGCTTCGAAACAAGACGTTATCGTTTCGCAACAAGACACAATAATCGCAGGGATTGTAAGAAAAGTGGCTCATAATGTCGTATGTCAACTAATTCGCGCAGGAAACATTGAAGCTTTCGATCGAGAGTTCCTCGCCACGAGCCATGCTTCAACAACCCCCAGCTCGAATAAAAGACTGGCGAGACAAACTAGATTATCCCGGCTGGATGGTGACTGTTCCACGCAAGGCCCAGAATCGACGGGCGAAGGAAATCACGAAGCAGTACAGCTATTACAGCCGCTGGCTGAATTTTCTGGCCACTGGGTCATTTTATCTATCACTAGGATCTGGTGTGGTTGCAATCGCACCGTATTTACATTTTCACGCTGTTCACGGGCCTGAATCATGGCTAGGGAAGCTTCTTGATCAGTATAGTGAGGCACTAATCTTCAAGCCAATGACTGAGGGGTTGGAAGAGGCCGAGTTCTCATCGCTTATTGATCAAATGATCAAGCAGCTACAAGAAGGCCTCTCGGTGGGGAAGGTTGCAGCTACTGATTCAGTGTCTCATATGTATTCCCGAGTTCTAGGTGGCAGTCACGGTCAATTTGGTAACTTTCCTTTGATACAGGTAATGATAACGTGAAAATATCTCCTGAAAGTAGTATAGTTCAATATGTACTAACAAGAAAGCATCTTACTATCTTTGATGCCACATTTTGAAATTTTCTTTTCTCATCGCCAATTCTTTCCCTATCTCATCAAGTTCATCAGATATATGTTACACTGCGGGGCGACTATCGACTGCAACAGCCAGAATTCGCCTATTCGGGTAATTTGTGAGTCATACATTTTGGACGATGAAGAGTGTAGAATTATTGCAAACATTATTGAGCATCAGCGTTACTATAATTGTCACTATTCACCAATCTGCGATACCGATAGCAGGTTCGAGGATTATATTACTTCTTGCAAGATTCTACTGAACGCTGGGTATCGTCTTTCATCTCACGACATAACGGAGGTCACGCCAAAGAGGCTGCAATGCTACTTTTTGCAAGAAATTGCGGCCAAACGAAGAAAGTTATTGGAGATGGCTAAAATCTTTATCCATCCAATGAAGTTGTCCGAGCTCAGAAATGAAGAAAGTGGACTTCCTGACTCGCGGGTGGTTGAAATCTACGAAGTTTTAAAAGCACAAGGAGTAGATGTCGGCCCTGCCCTGAATCCTAGCGGTGATATCATGAACAAATCTCCTTACGGCGGCCATTATTCGACAGTATACATGCTTCTCATACGTTCTGCTCAACTACTGGAAGAAGGGTATACGCTCGGATCCACAGATATAGACCTCCCCAGCATTTCAGATTGGCGGCCACTGGCAGTAACCCCACTATACTTCTGCTGCTCTACTTTTTGGGACGTGTCAGTCCTGGATATCATTCTATCCCTGATTTCAAAGGGAGCCGACTTATTCCAATTCCTTCCTCAATCAAAAACAACACCTCTTCATTTATTGAATGCAAGACTGGCTATGTCGCTTTTCTACGATGATCAACACTTATACAAAGGGCTCAGTCAGAGGATAGAAGACAAAGAAAGCCCCTTCTGGCGATCTCTGGGGAAGTATTTGTTTTCCCTATCTCACCGAGACTCTTGCTCGTGTGCATGCTCTACTGGGGGGTGTACTCCACTCTCAGTCTCTATTCGTCTTATAGCAAGAACTCGCACATTTTCATTCGAGCAATTCTCCCTCCAATCACTCAATTTCAAATGATTCTTGGGGTTTCTCGTTAACTACAATCAATCTCGAGATCAAGTGAGTCGGGAAATCATCAGAAGTCTTACTTTTGACGGCCTTGGTCTAAGGCATTCATGTTGTATTGGAATCGAGAGACATCTTACTTCCCTTCGCACTAGGAATGAATTTGAGATGCATGAGATTATGGATGAACAAAAGATTCTCATTGAACAACTGGAGCAACTTGTGTCTGAATTTGAAGCTCAGTTTGATGCCTTTCAACTCCCGTTAACGGAGTTCTTGCAGGATTTTTGGTATCATCGAATGATGAATTTCTACTCAGAGCGTAATCCTTTTGATAAAAAGTATTATGAAGAAACCAGACACCTGGGAATATCTTGGGAGGTTGACGACGGTCCAATACCCCTGGTTGTTCAACTCCTCGGTCCAGAGTTACAAGAGTTAGACACGACGGGTAAAGTGTAGTATGGAAATTGGTGTTATGTGTTCCTAGATTTTTCCAGCTACATGTTTATGTATTATTGTAGTATTTTTATTCATGATTCTTCATTTCTTTCGTACGTATTGTATGTATATCTTCCCTTCGCGATAATAAAATAAAATGCTGCATGTGGTGCATAGACTGATGACGTCATCCAACCCTCGGTTACTTTTTCCGCGCTTCAACTCCTCAATCCCAGCCACAATCGAGAACGTAGCCATTGGGTATCCCCAACGGGACTGGGAGACTGGGTATCTCACCCGGGCATTGAAGATGCCACCTCTGAGACCACACACCAAGTCCCGAAATGGGTGTGATCGCTGCCGCGAGAGGCGAGTCAAGTGCGACGAAAGTGGACCACCTTGCTCCAATTGTATCAACCGCCAGCTAGATTGTGCTTATCTCAAAGTTGCAGCTGCGCGTACTCGAGTCACTACCACGACAGCTCCCAAAAAGGGCGTCGCCCAGCCCAACGGTGTCAATGAGACTCGACCACTATCACTATCACTCCGTGTGGTGGGGTCACCGGCTCCTTCAATCTCACAGGAGATCGACAATCTGGAATTAATGCATAAATTTTCCACCGATACATACAAAAGTCTTTGTGTGAGCGATTCAGAAATATCCATATGGCAAATTACGATTCCTCGGCTGGCTCTTAAACATCATTATCTCATGGATGGTATTCTGGCCTTGGCTTCATTGCACATAGCCACAACTGCTGCGGAGCCGACCGAAGCACTTCGCTATCAGGATAGGGGACTTCAATATTATAATCGGAGCCTCACACCATTCCGACACGCAATAGACAATATAACACCGCAAAATTGTGATGCGGTATTCGCACATTCCATCATCATGATTGCGATCAGCATTGCCCAGCCCCGTTTGACGACCGCAAAAGAAGAAACATCAAGCATAACGGAAAATATAGTCGTCTTATTCGAATTGCTCCAGGGAGTGAAAAAGATTCTCCAGGCTGGTAGACCATGGATTAATCTTCAACTATTCACCCATGGTGAATTCTGGAAAAGCACAAATACCCAACTAGACCCCGACACAGACGCTGCCCTTGCAAATTTGAGCTCCCTAAATGACGAAGTTATGGTCGGCGTATATTCAAGCGGGCACCGAATCAACCAGGAGGTGTTATCTTTTCTACGCCATTGTTATACCAAATTTGCCCACTCGCCAGATCCCTCGCCAGTCATGGCATGGCTTGCAGCAGCTGAGAAAGATTTTGTAGACAGTCTACGATGTAGACAGCCATTTTCTCTTTTGATACTGATGTACTGGGGTGTGCTTCTTGGAAAGCTAGATGGGAAACGATGGTGGGCTCGTGGCTCAGGGCGAGCGTTGGTTTCGGAGTTGGTAGACGCTTTACGATCTGGCGATCCGAGATGGGAGGGCGTATTGACATGGGCTGAACAAAGATCGGCTCCTTCACCCTGATGAGATTATGGTTTGATAAGAAGGCTCAACGAAGCTTAGCATATCTGGGGATTTAACTTTCCTGCCTGAAATACACGAACACGTTTGCATCAATGAAAAGAATGAATGGTTCGGCGGTATTTATAGGGAATCCTACAGGTTTGCATAATGGAAGGGCCAAAGAAGACTATGAAGTTGTATTCTTGCAAGATTTTTGGAATCAGATGCTCCTTGAGAAAAGGGTATTGATGTAAAATAGTATGCAGTCTTCCGTTTGCGCAATTGCGCGGAGGGCTCTCCTTAGTAAGATTCTCTGGCTTGTACCAATAGTTGATCACGGTGTCGAAGACCAATTAAGACAGCTGTAACATGCGACATTGGTTCCACCTTCGCTCTCCAGGACTCTAGGGGCTCAGACGCAGAGATGTGGAGGTGGCAAACTCCTAGCTTGAGGAATTGCCACGACTGAACGGTTCACTGCTCTGTGGTTTTTGGATCACGGCGAGGAGAGAGAAAAGGGGGGTAAAATCGCGGTAGATATAGTTAGTCAAGTTTCCTAATGTCAGTTCATATGAATAACATATCTAAAAGTTAATGATATTCTATATCTCAATAGAATAGTATTGCCCACCTTATTGCCTTGATAGTACCAAAATAAAGGTATGTTGTAGATGATTTTCATATGGAACGGAGCCGAAGGATATTCGTATAATGAAAGGATAGAGGCAGAGACAACAGGGGAGAAAACCCAATGCTGTTAGAAAAAGAAGTTTTGCTTGGCTTAAAATAGATAACAGGGGTGTCCGAAGAAACAAATAACCCCTGTTTTAGCTACTGGGCCATCTCTCGAACAGAATATGCAAAATTTCGGTCCGTTTCTTTCAAAGAAAGCGCTCGGAGGTCAGCAGCAGAGCGGATGATGGATGAAAGAAGATGCAGTCGCTAGTAATAAGTAGTGCGGTCTTTGGCACTTCTGGTCAGATCTCAAAATTTCACGTCAAGCTCTCAAAGTGTCTTATAACATAGTCGGGAAGTTTCCATATGAATGCTGCCATTATGATGATCTCATCAATTCCAGTATCCAAATACCCAGCCGGCCTAAGTGAGACCGTTGGCAACATGGCAATCCAAGCAGGAGTGGTAATCGCATTCGGAAAATACGAGTATCTCACAGCCCCGAATGTCAAATACAGAAACACACTCGTCCCTGCCGTTTGCAAAATGCTCCAGAACTCATTCATCGTATACACCATCCATATAAGCTTATTAGCCCTAGCCAGCTGGTTTAAAGGACTTCAACATTTTCAATTTACATTCTCCGAAATGACAATCACACTACCTACCTCAGATCGACTATTGAAAGAAGTTATCAGCACAGCTTTAATTTACAAAGTGCTTTACTACACCGGACATCGTCTCATGCATAATCCCCGTTTCTACAAACGTTTTCATCAGTGTCATCATCGTTTCGTACAAAAACATTCCGAGCGAGTTTCATACGCGGTATTCTACGTTCACCCTATCGAGGCGATATTTACACATGCCCTTATATTTGTCGCAGCAATTCTTCAACATAGCCACATTATAAGTCTTTGGGTGACGGGGTTCCTTGCGACTTGGTCGAGGATGTATTTGTATACCGGAAGGAATATTGGGGGTATTATGTCGCATGAAAGACATTATGTTCATCCGAAATTCAATTTCGGGGCCATTGGACCATTAGATTGGATTTTTGGGACACTTTATGCTTCAAGTGGGCTGAGGAGGTTGTGTAAAGGGCGATACTAAAGGAGACTTATTGTGTTGGTGACATGGGGATGATGAGCGCGAGAAGATCCTAGGTCTTAACAACTTGAGATTGAACTTAAGGTTCAAGTTCTAAACCGACCGCAAAGGTAATTTAATCACGAAGAGGGGTTATCATTATCAAGATGGTGTATACGACATTTACTCAAATAGGGATAAAATTTTGAATTTATAAGCAATCCTGCCAGGAAGAACACCATACCTGTATAAGATTGGAACTAATTCTTTTTTGAATTTATAAGCAAATGGCTTATCGAGGACCAAGTATAAGAGTAGACGCGAGTGCGGATTGGAAGTTTAGCTTTCATCCACATTCTTCCTTTTGATATAACCTGAAATATCTCAAATTCGCTTTCATAATGTCAACCAATCCCGAGCTTGATAATGCCACCGTGCTAAAGTGGTTAGAAGGAGTAAGGCCATACCCCTAGAAAATCACAGAGCAACCAACTAATAGTAATAAACAGTTCCACCAAGCGAGTGCATCTCTTGACGCCGACAAATGGCTCGACGAATTCATGACCGACGATATCGAATTGCAATATTCAAACGAACCTGTGATCAAGGGCAGCGCTGTGAGGGAGATGTTCAAAAGTACCTTCGGTTTACTGGACATGATGATTCACGAAATCGAATACTTTGACTATGTTGCTCCTCGTATCTACCAAGCTGCAACAATCCGATACCTCGTTAAAGGCGACAATCCGAAGACCGATGAAATCACGATTCCTGGCTTTGCTGTGTTTTTTGTTAGAGAGGATGATGACGAGCGCGTGAAGTGTTATAGGGCGGAGACATTCTTGAATCCAACTCAAGTATTTCAGCGAATTGCTGAGAAGCAGGCCCTATAGAAGTCTAAAGTTGGTGTGCCTAGTTGAGATGTTTTTATTAGATTATTAGCCTAATCGGTGTCTTCAATTGTCTTGCGAGTCAAGATAGTACAGTGTTGTGGCAATTTGCGATATTTGGGTTGTATTTTCTTGGGAGGTTTCAAATGCATTACCGATCAATATTATACCAATATCAAAATGATACTTCACATGATTAAATATATTTTCAAGATATTAGGACATCAATTGAAGCTGTCAAAATGCTGGTGTTGATATAGATCGGGTGGAGATCATGTGACTCCGTATCCGGGCGAACCACTGTTTACAAAAAGTTTCCTTCTCTAAGCCGCTTGACTCGAGCTCTCCTGCCCATCCCAGCTGGGACTATTCAACTACAGATTCTACCATTTGTTTTATCTCATCATATACCCCCTCTCCATCATTCTCACGCGACCCAGTCGCCATGGAGTACCACGCTGTTCCAGTAGAGGAGCGCGCTAGAGACGAGCATGGCAACCTCCTACCCTGGGGATATGTCTACAAAGAGTAAGTCGAATGAAATTCCGACCAGAGCCCCAAGCAACAAGGCACAAACGAAAGCTAACGAAATAAATTAGTGAATCTCGCAACCCTCGACGACCACCCGAGGAATCAGGACCCTTCGGCAAGAGGAGGAACGCACGATTCGAGTCATCCAGATCTCGAACACGAACAGGCACACCAGCCAACAAGCGCGAGAACTCCAACGTAAACGAGTTCAGCAACCTATTCGCCAAACAGGTAGCCCAAGAAAAAGCCCAAGGTCTCCCTAAATCATCCTCATCCTCCAGCCTCGACAACCCCCGCAAGCAAACAGAAAAGGTCGCGACAGAGTGCTTTCTTTACGGATACAAAGCGAAAGACGGCGAATGGAAAGTCATAGACAAATACGAGCGGATCTCCCAAGGGATGATCTGTGAAGATTACCCGCGCAGTGATCCAAATTCATCGCAGTATGCCCAGATGCTAAGCGGTGGCGATGTTGTTATTCGCGCAAACCTATCTGCTGATGCGAATCGGAAGTCTAAGCATTATGATGGTGGTTTCCATTGGATTAAGGTTACTTTTGATTCAACTCAGGCTGCTGATCGGGCGTGCTTTTATTCTCCGCAGGAGATTGATGGACATCTTGTCTTCTGTGAACTTTATCATGGGCATGGGCCGGCGGAGGATGCTCCTATCTCGAGTGATTCGTCTTCTGCGCAGACGATGCAGAATCGCGCACCTCGCACATTGACATCTACACAATCTTCTTCTTTCCTCTCTAGTAAAGATCAGGATAGAATGACATTGCCGCGATCATTCGCTATGAAGAATCTCTCTACTGTTGCGGATGTCCCAGAGCAAGAGGAGGAGCAATCAATTGAATCCTCCGCAACTGCGACCGGGACACTTACATCCGGCACTGTCACAGGAACAGCCACAGCGACGGGAGCCTCACTCGGTTTCAACCCTTCCTCATCCCTTCAACAACGTGGTGCTCCCACGGAGCAAAAGCCTGAATCCGAATTCATGACGCACATCCCTACAGTTCGACGCACGAAGCTCCGTCCTCTCGCCGAGGCCCTTCCTCCCCAGCCTACGGTTACCGAGCGCGTGCTACGATCGATTCCTATTCTGAGCTGGTTCACCGGAGACATTGTTGGTGATGGACCACAGCTGCGCGAAGATGGAACATTCGATTCCGACAAGTCCAACGTTTACTGGAGATTCTGGTACTTGATTGATAGTGTGTTGAGAACGGATGTCTGCGGCTTAAAGGAGGAGTCTTGAGCTGGCTGTGAAAGATTCTGTCAGTCTGTCATTGGGCTTGGAATAATAGAAATCCAGTAGCGAGCATTATGAGGCGTCTGGGTTATTTCATTTCTTTTTCACGTTTTCATTAATGGTGTACGATAATTCTTGGGGCATTTGATGCGAAAATTATGAACCGTCCACAAGAGGACCTTTTCCTACACTCACTACACGCACACCTTTACTACGTAGAAATCCCGCTAAGCTAAGCATAGCAGACCAGTAACACCAGCACGAACCCCAACACCAATCATTTTGAGACCAGTTTACGAATCGATAAACTCGATCGCAGATCCGTCCAGAAAATCCGAAAAACAAGAACTTCCGTAGAGCACCAAACCACACCAACGCTTTTTGAAAGCAAGAAAAGGAATCTTGAACCGGATGAATACATTTCATTGATCAATATCAGACCATAGCTTTTGAAACGTGCTATGCTATTTATTCGACCTTGTTTTCGAAGTTCTCACCCTCCACCAGATCAGGGATATCATCCTCATCATCATCCTTCTTGTCGCCCTGCTGCTTCTGCATAGTCTGGTAGGTCTCGGCGAGCTTACGGAGAGAAGCGAGAGAGTCGGGACCAAGCTGGTTAAGGATACCGGGGACAAGCTCGGTGAGCTCCTTCTCCTCACCGTTACCGTAGAGAGCGAAGGTGTTGGAGGGGACGGAGGCGTGGACTGAAGAAAAAAATAAGAATTAGTCAATTGTTTCAAGAGACTAGGACGGACGGGACAGCGGTGGTTATTGCTGTAACGTGGGATGCAAAATCGCATTTTTAATCCGTCGGACGGACAAACGCTACGCTAGCTTGCTGTAGTTGCCGCTGCCGCTGCCATGGTCCCGGTAGATAGATGAGAGGCTTACCGCGGGGGTTGGAGAAGTGGATGACGTTTCCGTCCTCCTTGAACATGTTGACCTCCTCGATGCCCTGGATAGGCTGGACGTTCATCTTCTTCAGGGTAGCCTGAAGCTTCTTGTCATCGGCACCGGAGTTTCTGGTGACCTTCTTGACCTTGCGGCGGGGAGTACCCTTGCCACTATAGAGAATAACATGTCAGTCGGGGCGCTCAATTCTTGTATTTAAATTAAGAAAATTTCAACGTTGATGGTATGTGGGGGCAAGTTCGAGCATGGATTGGCGACGGTCGGAGAATTGGGTTGTTTCCAATGTGGTCGAAAATATCAATAATATCGCATTTTTGCGGGGGTTCAATTCGGGATAATCGTATATAGGAATTTTATCGTGTGATAAACGTATTGTTGAAGTTGACGGGGAATTGTGTCGCGCGAATCCATGCCGAAAGATCGTGGAGGGGTTGTGGTGGGAAGTTGAAATTGAAGATGTGAGATTATACGTACCCTGCACGTAAACAAAGTCAGTAAAGGGTCTTGAGGGGGATTTGAATGGAATTTTGAGACTTTCAATGTCATTACTGAAGATATCAAGCATGAGGAAAGGTAGCCAGAGCTCAAGCAGCGCACATATGATCATGCTCACGTCTTCTGAAGCTCCAACCCCAATACCCATATAGCTCCAGCAATGACAGCCTCAAAAGTCCAAATGTAAACGAAACGTACCAATGCGCACATTGGCCTGCATGCGAGCCAGCTTTTCGTGATCCATGATGATGGTGTGAGGGGGAGGTATGACTTCTAGGTTCAGCGGTCTGATTAGTCGGGCTGATCGGGACAGTCCAATAGCGGGGAAAAGAAGAAAAGGGCAAGACGATAATAACCTCACCAAAAAGGAGGGAATGGAAATAAAATAATGATAAAAGGGGGTAAATGTGAGGATCTTACCGGTTCAAGAGGGGGTTGTTGTTGGTGGAGTGTAGTCGAGACCAAGGGAAGATTAAAGATGATGATGCATCTGCGAGTTTTGTGTGGGGAGTGCACAATTACAAAAACGGAAGAATTCGCTAATGTCTCCACGGCGAGATTCGGCGCCATTCTACAAGACTACAAGATGGGGATATTTTATTATGGACAGTTTTATTTTATTGAGTTTATTGATGTGATACCTTCAGATGGGGATGAGGTGTTCGTGGTTGATGCTGGATATTGATTGTGGGCGAAACACACAGTCTCGGCTAAACCCTAAGGCTTCGTGATGCTTCATCTGCCGTACACTATATAAACACCATCCACGTACTAACTTGAAGGAATCGCCCAAATTTGCATTTTTTTTAATCATAATGGTGAACTACATAACCGCTCGCTTCTTATCCCACAAATTGAAATATTTTCGCCATCCATGCCTCTCTTCAAATCCAAGTAACCGCTTAATCTTCGCATTCGTCAACGGTGCTTCAAACTCTTCCATCTTCCGAGTAATGGGTATATCCGGGTATTCTTCTCGAAGAAACTGTTCGGTCGGTTTGAGATTCGTGATAGTATCATTAGTCGCATTGAATATCTGGAATCCCAACCCATCAGTCTTCAAACCCGCCTCACACATCCCACCCAGATCCCGCGAATCAACATACGCCCATCCATGCACCTTCCACTCCGCCGGCTCATGAACATAACTGTAGAAGATTTCCTCATTGTATTCCTCAGGCGCAATAACATGACCGATCCGCAAAACGTAGATATCAACACCAAAGCGAGCAGCAAAACCACGAGCCACGCGCTCATTGCATAATTTCGCAATAGCATAGGTATCAGTCGGACAAACATCGTGGTCTTCTTCAATTGGAAACGATTGATAATTAGTATCACCTTGAGCGAACGAGACCCCGTACACGGTAATACTGCTAGCGATGATGATCTTGCGAATGCCAAGCTTGCAAGCTGCCTCACAGATATTATACGTGCCTTGCGTGTTTGCTCTGAAGGTCTCGTTATCTGGGACGATCATGTTTCGAGCGTATCCGGCCATATGAACCACTGCGTCTGGTCGTGGTGGGAGTCCCTCGGGGAAGGGCTCGGTCAACGCCCATTGCCCGGATAAGGCATTGAAGACTTGTCCGCTGTCGGCAAGGTCGGTTTTCAGTGTATGCACGCTTGGATGTGCCATGGGGGCCAAGTCCAGGTTCAGGATTGTATGTCCGGCGTCGAGGAGCTCGGCGATGATGGATTGGCCGGCTTTACCGGAGCCCCCGGTCACAACGATGCGGCCCATAGCTGCGAGGGTGGGCCTGAACATCTGATGAAGCTGTCGAGGCGAGATTGAAAGTGAGAAAAGGAATCAGGAACTGGGTATAATTCGAGATTGAGGAATATCGAGGATCTTAGAAGCGCAAGAAGGTAAATCATGACTGCGACCTGGATCATCATGATGACATTTGCCTCCCAGAGGAAGAGAATATGTGATGGTTTGAGATGAACCAATCATGGTAATGAAGAAAATCAAAAGATAATATTATATTTGCAAAGAGATTGCAACGATAAAAGAACAATCCTCCGGGGTATAGTTATGAACAAGCATCTAGCTAATGTGCAACGCAATTGGATCTCGGAAGAACAGAGGACACAAAAGCCTAGCTTCGCTCAGCAATTTGCTCCTCGGTCCATTCCCAAATCCTCTGCGGCATATCAGGACTCTGTACAAACGTCGTACCCGTACTCCGGTACCCAACAGAGGTATAATAAGCCCCATTCACCAAATTCTCTCGATCTGTAGTAGCGGCCCATAAAGAATTGAAAGCGCCCGTAGAAATCTTCCTGAAAAAGAGAGCGACAACGGCACTCAGCGAGAACTTTACCTGCGCACCAAGAGCCTTGGCATGGTCATATAAATTGCTACTAACAGCACCGGGATGCACAGCGACCGATAGAATCTCTGGATACCGCCTGGCAAGCTCGATAGAAAAGAAGATATTCAATGCCTTAGAAGCACCATAGCGGTGCCAAGTGCTAGTCGCCAGTAACGAGGGCGTGGAGGTAACTTCCTCAAATGTAACTGGGCTAATTGCATGTGCGACAGAAGATAAACTCAAGATGCGTACGTCGGGCGTAAGACCCTTGACACGACCAGAAGCAACAGTCGCTTGCAAGGTAGGCAACAGCAACTTAGTGAGCAAGAAGTGACCAACATGGTTTGTGCCAAGCTGAACCTCAAAGCCATCCTCCGTCGTTGTAGCCGGGTTCCCCATTGTGCCCGCATTAAGAATCAGAACATCCAGTCGATCGCTCTGAGCCTGGAACTCCGCCGCCGCGGCGCGGATAGACTTGAAGGAGCATAGGTCCAGCGGCAGGAAGCGTATATCGACGGGGGAGGATAATTCAGCTTGAATTGACTCGATAGCAGTGAGGGCTTTGCTTCCAGTGCGCGCGGCGAGATAAATTCGAGCCGGTCGGTGTCTTGCGAGTTGACGGATGGTTTCTTTGCCTATTCCAGCATTTCCTGAGAAAAAGGGTGACTGTCAGCTCTGCTCTACTGTCGCCCATTTATTATGTAGAAGAAGTAGTTTATTGAATGACGTACCACCCGTAAGAAGAATCACCTTGCCTTCTAAGCTGGGAATGTCGCGATCGGGCCTGTAGCTTGATCCTAGCAGGCCGAACGTGGCTTCATTTAATGTCGGGCCGACGCTTGAGATGGACTCAAAGGGATGCCAGAGGCCGTAGGATAAGAAGCCGGTCGCGGCGAGGGTATCGCGGAACTCCATTTTCAGAGAAAATTGGAGTCGAAAGATGTATTCACGATGGATCTGCCATGGTCGCGGGGATGAGGGGGTGTTAGCTCCGCTCCACTTGAAGCAGTGCAGGGGCCGAGGAGGTTGAGGGTGGAAAGTTTGATGAGCGGGGAATTCATGTGGACGACATTCTTCACATCAGCCACAATTCTATGTTTGGGATATTTTAAGCCATTTTGGATTATCTCCAGGGCTTTTGTTATAAGCAGAGAATTATATATTTAATATCAAAAAATTCCCGCGTCTCGTCTATCATACTATGATCCATTGCCGTCCACGGGTCTATATAGGAAATATATAATTCGTACTAATAAACTCAGAACTTCAAGTTGAAGAGACACTATGTACTGTGTAGAGAGATTGAAGCATTAGATATAGAAATATACAAACCATGGATCCCTGGTCCTATCATGAGACCGTGATTTTCACAGCTACTGACCCTGTCGGCGGATATCTCAACACAGAGCGCAGTATTAGAAAAGGAAATCCTTCAAGTATGTAGGAATCTAGATAGGAAAATGTGTGCTATGGTTGAATTGGCCTTCATCCAAGAATCTTACACTCGTGTGAAGTAGGATGAAATGGAAGAAAAGTCTAAGCGATTCCTCATTGAGGCAAGTGATACCCAATAAAGTAACATCACGTCAAAGGCGCGGAGTCTAAGTCAGTCTGCAACCCTTCAGAATACTCTGTAATGTGTCGTCGTCTGCCTTGAACAAATCTCCCATATTCGCAATATCAGATGCCTTCATTTGCGCTCGAATTTTGGCGACATCGGAAAGGCCTTTGCTGCTAAGTTCAGCCTTAGTAATTGAACCAACCCTAAGAGCACTGCCAATCACATTGATCAAAGCAGACTTCGGGTCCTGCACTGTATCGTACAAGGCAAGTCCGGTGTTAGCAGCCTCACATGCCACAGCAATACTGCGTGCAAGTGTAGCCATACCGGCGGCAGCAGCAGCCTCTTCACCGACAAAAGGGACGACCTTGACCTTCAAGTTAGCTATGTTTTCTTATTCAGAGGCATTGTCAGTAAGGATGAGAGAGGACATTCAATTACAACAAGAACCACGCTAATAATCATCACGATGAAGTTCTTCCGCTTCTTTTCAATCTCCTGCTCCTCAGCGTCTTTCTCTTCCTGACCTAGCTTCTTGGCCTTTGCCATCGAGTCGATTGCTTGGATGATACTGGAAACGGCGGTGCTGTATACTTGAGAGGGATCCTGAAGGGAGCCACGAATCCATTGGCCCAACATCATATCGTAGACAGTCGATTGCATATCATTACGAAGGTTTTACGTGGATAACCCCACCAAGACCCTGGGGTCTCCGCTTCCCCTGCAGCTCGCTTTACAAGGATCCGCAGTCTTTCTACCGGAGGAGTTCCTCTGAGGATCTTTTATGGGCCTCCCTTTGTTGTCGAAAATAATGTCAAAGCATTGTATTACAGGTATCGTGATCTTCTGCCGGCCAAAGACAGGCAGAGGGGGTTTTCCCGATGATCACTATCGGCCGCGGTAGATAAGTCCAGCGTTATCGCAAAGTATTTGGAGCTTTCAATATAACTAGACTGCGTTTACTTATGAATGTCATCATGGCGTTTCTTGTTGAAGTTTCATATCAGCTATCAATTCTGTGTGGCCTTTCCGCATGGAAATGTCATATCCACAACTCATTAAAATACATATAAGTAGTAATCAAAGTTGTCGTCCATATAACCCTCCTTGCTCTGCAGTGGTATATAGGTCGTCAATTCATTATAATAATATAAGAAATCAAAATAGTCGTGCTTAAAAGCCCTGGCCGTCCTATCGGTGTTCGTAAGTTATGCGTATCATAGCATCATTAAACAAAAGAATACTCGGGGTCTCAAAGAACAAAGGGGATACTCCAAGAAAAGATGCGGACGTTCAGCCGGCTTACTCCGAACTGTTGACCAAACCCCCAGCAAATGCTCCAGTTCCCTCTAGTAAAGGGACTAAACTTTTCATTCGTGCAGGTTTTGTTAGAAAAAAATCCATGCCAGCCCCGATTGCGTCACGTTGCAAGTCAATCTGCGCAACGCCAGTCAATGCTATGATCCTAACAGGGTTAGTGATGCCAATCTTCTGCTCGAATCCACGAATTCGCCTAGCCGATTCGATGCCGTCCATCACTGGCATTGAAATATCTGCCAAGGGGTTAGCTGAAAAGTAGACAGACATAAGGATTAATGTGATATGAGACTGACCCATGAAAATCACGGCAATCGAGGGTGAATTTGCTTTGAAGAACTCGAGAGCTTCTAATCCATTGAATGCAATTGCGTATTTGCATCTCAATCTCTTCATAAACTCGACTAGGATCCTGACATTGATATCATTGTCATCTACGATGAGGACAGTGGTTGCTAAATCTTGTTGGGGTTCTGAGAGATCGTGGACCCCATCCAATTTCGGCGCAGTTGAATCTCCGCCAGAAAGAAGAATGGCAGCTGTTGATGTCTCGGGAGCTATATGAAGCTCCGGCTCGTCCGGTGGGCTTTCGGAGTCTTTACTCTCGGTGTCGTCAGGACTAAATTGGCCACTAGATTCTGGATCAGGCAGAGCTAGGGATGAGTCAGATTCCGATTCCCTGAGCTCCGTTGCTATTGGAGCATTGGGTATGTCTATCGGGTGTGCGTCTGTGACCACGGTTGTAGCGACACCCTGTTGTCGGCGCTTGGAACAGATTTCAAAGGTCTTTGCCAATTTCCGTGGTCCACATGGCTGACTGATGAATTCGACAATACCATCATTGCCTTGCTTTCGAAATTCAACAAACATTGAATGTGCGATCCTAGGAGACGGGCATATGACGATCACCGGCGACGGAACAAAGGACTCAATATCTAAATCGCCATTGGTCAAGGACTCAAAGGACGAGATGTAAAAGTCGCAATCGGATGAATCAGACTGAGATGGCGAAACTATATAGACGTTCATTTGGAAACACACTTTGCATAATTCCTGCAGCGAGGAGCGCAACGACGAGCTAGAATCTAGAGACCAGTGGCCAAAAAGTCCGACCTTTTTATCGCGAACGAGGTCTTTGGCGGATGCTAGTGACAAATCTGTCGAAATTTCTTGCGTAGTAAGAGGCTCTGCCGTGGAGATACTATCCGTGAGAATATGATCAAGATCAACGGATACTCTGACTTCGGTGCCAACACCTCGTTGAGAATCGATCTGAATGCTCCCTCCAAGGGAGAGTACTAATCGCTGCGTGATGTTGAGGCCCAGACCATTGCCTATGGTCATATCATCTTCTTGTGCAAAGGCGGTGAAAATTTCCTTTTGCAAAAATTCAGTGCCAATGCCGCATCCCGAATCTTTGACTGTCAATATGATCTTTGACCTATGGACATCACCATTCTGGATTGTGGTCACCGGATCCACATCAAGAGACACATGGACGAACCCATGCTGTGTAAACTTCAAGGCATTGCCGACAATATTCGTCAAAATGGCGTGCCATGCCCCAGATAGAGTCAGGAAGTTCCAATCTGAGATGCGAGCGGTATCAAGAATGATCTGGACGCCACCAGGGGTATCAAACCGACCTGCTCCGAAGAATGGGCCATCATTGGCGCCGTCAACCGGGAACTGCAGGCCATTGAAGAAAGAGTAGCCCGCAAAGACGGTTTCTACTGCATCCTCGATCAAAGCTGCCATTTGGACGTAGGCCTTCTCGTCGCCTTCTAAGCGCTGTGAATCCTGGCCAGCTTTGAGAAGTTTCTCTTTGCTAGGGCCACCAAGGTATTGAGCTGAAGCAGAGGTCGCTCGAAGGTTTTTGATACTTGCATATTCCAGAAGTTGATTGATAGACCCAAGGAGTGTGAATGCGCAGGAAGAGATCGTGTGTACAAATCCTCGCTGCAGGGTGTTCATAGCGCTCGTGTTGAGGAGATCTGCCATGCCGAAGATGCCATGAAGGGGAGAACGAAGTTCATGGCTAAGTCCCGCTAACAGGCTTGACTTGGATTGCTCCGAAAATACTGATCCCAAACGATGCACCTCCGCCATCATACTATAACCAAATGCAAATAGGAAGGACAGCTCGTCATTAGACGTGAAAACGCGGTGACGGACTTGAGTCCAGGCAATGCTGGCCGAGTACCATCTTCCTTTATGAGAATCCCAAAGCGGAGAAAAAATAATACTTCGAGACTCGGGTGCGAGTTGCAGGAGTGTCTCAGCATCCTGGCGTAGGATTGCTTTCCGTGTCCTTTTGTACTTTTTGCTTCGCTTGGAAGAACTGCTTTCGCCCTTTGGTTGCTCGATGTTGCCCTGGAAGGGTTTGAAGTTTCTATCGCTAGTTTCACTTGTAGAAATCGACCCGTCTTCAAAAAAATTGAAAATCTTTCCCTGCGGATAGCGGCGTAAGAGACCTGCGAGAAAAGGTTCTGATATAGCAATACGGTTATCGCCAGACAATTGATCATTGACGCTGGATGCGTACGTGGTTGAAAAGCCGAGTATTCTACAGGGCTTCGAGGTATCCTTCCCAGAGTCTTCGGCATTCGCGGTAGTGTGATGGGAGGCATTCACATCTGACGGCCCCCGAATTTGTCTTTCGTCACCAGAAGTCGAGGAATGACTATTTTGACCGCTACTTTCATGATCGGAATTTTCAGTAGATACGAAAGCGCCTCTAGAGCCGAAGTTGGCGTCGAGGAAAATAGCCCCCTCCACTTCGATGCTTTCTCGGACGATGTTCGCTCCACGCGAGAAAGCCTCCCCCAGCTGGGATTGAAGGTCGTTCTTTGAATCTAAGCATCCCGTGGGATTCATACTGCTTTCGCTGGTTGTCTCAGGGAGAGGTCTCAAAGGTAGATGGCGGTCTTTTGTGGTGCCTTTTGATCTACGCTTGCAAACTCTTTCTTCGTGTGAGCGAATAGAACTGCTCTTGCGACCAGACTTTCTCATGGATTCCGAAACGCCATCAGACACTTGCTTTTCTTGTTGTATCTTGTTGATACTTCCTTCGGGCTTGTCACCCTGTTCGTCCTTCATGTAGTCCGATTTGCCAGTAGCATCTAGCCATGAGTTGCGCAGACTACCTTTGCCCTCGAGGAAGCTTCCAATCCCAACAATCATACGCTCCGCACGGAGGTGCTGGGATCTCCCTCGCACCGCCACCAGATAATCCATCACTGTAATAGCCATGTCCGACAAGAACTTGTTGATTGTGGGGTCTAGCGAGCCGCGAGGTGCGTCGTCCAAAACCGTGTAAGCCCCGATCATCACACCTTTAGGGCTAATTATTGGAGTCGAGGCGAGGAAGCGAACACTGGGATAACTCGTCACATCTGGGTGGTTTTTGAATTCCTCATCCTGGGTGAGGTCGGGCACTACCCATACTGGTTCCTTCGTTTCAGGCGAGGGACTCCGGAGACCCATTGACGGTTTGATGAAACCGCGATTGTATGACATAGTGCAGTTTCCGATCCAGAGCTCATCACGAATGGTATGATCGGCGTCATCCTGCAGACTCAGGGTCCGAGTGGATTCGGCTAAGATATGCTGCTCATGTTGACCGAAAAGAGAGATCAGAGCACGTTGAGCATTCAGTCGTAAAGCACCTAGCTGCGCAAATGCAGTCAGTACGGAATCAGAAGGAGACCGTGGGGTGAAATCGGTTGACCGGGTATTGTCATCAAAATGTTGGAGAGGTTCGTTCAAGCAGGATGGCGGGAGGTACCTGATTTAAGGTACGGGTTTCGGTCAGCCAGTAGACCGGTGTGACACCGGAGTATGAATTGGAGGAAATCTGATATCATGTTGCGAACTGGGGTGCACGGTGAACATGCATTGCTCACTCGTAAAATTCCCGTTCCCTAGATGTGTCGAAGCTGACAGGGCGTTGATGTTCTAGCAAGGGGAGTGGGCGTGGCTGGAACATGCTTCGAAATGACAGACTAACAGTAGTCAATCAAACCTCTGACCCTTTCGTTTGCGTGGGTGTCCGTTCGTGTACGTTTGATAGGAATCCAGTTCATCCTAATGAGCTACACGTTCAAGAGCTTTGATTTATTGCTTTCCCCTCCAGGTCACGTGGGATTCCCCCAGGTGGGGTAAACACCCACAGATCTTTGATTCGCCAGATTTCACGTCCCTTGCTCTTCCAAGTTTTCAAGCTCTGCACAATGTGGATAATGTGGACAGTGTGGACCGGTTGACATCACTGTGCAGTAGGTCAAGCATCCGTGGACTTGTGATTTGCGGTTTTGCCGCAGGAAGGCGCCCGTATTTGCCACTGCCGATCACCATTACATATGTGGAGATTGTTGTGCCTAAGTATGGTGAGGGTTTGTCGATCCTAACCGGTGACTAACGTTATCTCTACGCGTGGCACAGATGAAAAGCGGGCTGTACAACCAACCGATTAATTGTTGTTTCCCTGTGAGATTCCCCCGCAGTTTACTAGCCCAAACACACTCCCCAATCTGTGACTTCAAGTTTGACGTGGAGGGGTTCGTACATTTCAGCATAGCAAGAAAATGCTACTAATACTATTTTTGGTGATAACTCCGTTCGTCAACTTTCAACGCATTGATGGGCAGTTCTCAACGTCCACGGCCCTGGCTTGAACTTCTACCTACAGAACTCCTATTTATAGTTACGGATTTCCTGTTCAATGCAGATTTGAAAAGCCTCTCACTTGTCTGCAGAAATCTGAGGGAAGCCTCTCTGCCACGCATCTTCCGCAAGGTCCGGTTCCAGTTCTCGCATTCCGGATTCAACGCACTACGAGGGCTGTTGCGTTCTGAGCTTTGCCATTATGTAGTGGTATTTACATATGTAATTCCTGAGTTACTAAATTCAGGTATGTAAGCAATCTGGCAATCTATACCTTCGGAAATGACTAATTTCTTTCAAGAAACACAGAACTTGATGTTTTTCAAAGAAAATGTATTGAAACCGGAGCATTATGAGGATATATACGACCACAACAGCAATGGTACTGATTTTAGTGAGACCAATGGCCCGTATATGCTTGTATATGATGCTTTCAAGTCCATATGCCAAGAGCAACATGCAATCGTGGAGAGTTGCGAGGATTTGACTTCCTTATTGAATGCTTTCAGGGGTCTACCTCGATTGAGCGAGCTATGCTTGGAATTCTGCGCAACGCTTGAAGAGACAGACTGGTTGGCATTTTATATGGACCGGACTATCGCAGAGAATACCTTTCGGCACCATCTTCAGGTAATATCAATTGCCTTGAAGACCGGGAGAGACTCTGGCATTTTCATAAACACAGTTCATTTATCCAATTTTGAACATTCCATCGTTCCCTCGCTACGGCAAGATTCAAATTCGCAGTTTTTAACAATGCATCTTCGTGAATTGCTAAAATGTGCTTCGAATCTTCGTCTGAGTGGATCTGGCTCGCCATTGAAACTGCTGGCCTGCATTGATTTGAATATTCAATATCTAGAACTCTGCCAGCTTACAGTCCCTCAAGCGGTCCTACATGAGTTTATGCAGAATAACTTGGGCTCAATCATTTCTGTGGGATATCATGAGGTAAGATTGATTGCTCCAAGTCCGATCCTTTCCTCCTTAGTCGAACCATCGCCAAAATTGTGCAACGGTTTACTTAAGCTGGATATACCCACAAAGTTTATGTCAGAATCAACTTCATGTCTTGTTTGCTTGAAAGAGGGATGGGCGCTGTCGAATGAATACATATGAGAACTTGAATGGAATATAAATCATAGATATGCGGGTGGATGAGAATGAGCACTGCGGTAAAGAGATTCGATGCGCAACCAAGTTAGTTACGAAAAAATACCAAATAAAAGTGAAATTCAAATTTAAATTCACATGTTAAAACGGAATACTAGTTGGCCTGCTGTACAATTGTAATGCCCAGAACTCTTTTTTCATCTATTTCCGCAATTCTGGCTAATACTGTATACATAGTAGGGGCTTTGCTGATCTGAATCGATAACTAAGTGCGACAGGGTATTCCGGCCAGCATGCACATGTTTTAGGTAATATTGGTGTCTTATTCAAAATGTTTAATTATTTATCTATGCTTTATTTCCGCCCGGCAACAATTCGGGTTTAACGTTAGGCGCGGTGCCGCCGGCCCTTGGCACGGTTAGTGTGGCATGAGAGAGTCCTCCGACTCATCCCCATATTCCACTCTTCCCTCGACGTGTCAATTGGCATGACTGACAAAGGTGACGATTATTGGCCAGTGCAACGCATCGCCCAGGCGTGTCTCCCATGTCGGTATGCCGATTGAGCGCGTCATTACCCCTCTCCTTCGCGATGGAACTGACCTTTGAAGACGCAAGAATCTGGTCAGTGAGATTCAAATGTTTCTCATTCTTTCCTCTTCTATTCATCATCTGCCCGTTTTGCTCTCGTTGTTATTATTCCGGCTGCTTCCTTCTATATTTACTTTTTCCTTTGAAGCGTGACACAAGCTTGACGTCTGACAATTAGCCAAGAATGTACATACGTCGTTGAACCCTCCGGCCATTATGCCGGACCTCGCAGGATCAGCCGTGATGACCCCGGCAGCTCACAGGACAATACAGGAACTGGAGAAACGCAGGTACAATATCGACCATGATACAATGCTGAGTAAGGCGCTGATTGACACGCATCGGCCCCACCATCTCTAGACCACCGAATTGATACGAAGGGTTGCGACCCTCGAGGCAAAGCTCGAGAATGTCGGATTATCTCTTCAACGGCGAGTCTCCTGACTCGTATCGAAGCTCTCTAGAACCGCCCGCAGTTGACGATTCCCGAGTTAGGATCGAGGGGTGCATGATGGCCCTTTTGGATGGCGACAATTCTCGCCGTATCGGCCTATCGACGCCCGCGGAGCAAGGCGATAACCGTCCCGGGAAATCCGATGCGACGACAGAAAGAGTCGTCAACTCCAACGTCCAGCTGTCGGGATCTCTCTTTGAGGATTCCGGAATGCCGGAAGACGTCTTCATGGCTGTCATCGATGCTTACTATCAATATTGTCATAACCAGCCCTACTCCTTCTTTCATGAGGAGAACTTTCGGCAACGCCTGCGAGCGCAAATGCTTGCAAAACATCTAGTCCTGACCGTCGTGGCGACGGCCGTCAGATTCTGTCCTGTCATATCACCCTGTATATATAGGTGATTAGATAAATGAATAATACTAACTGTTCTAAAGTATTGCATGTACTAGTATTCAACTATAAATTTACAGTCTTGGTCTTACTAATTAGTAGTCTTTATTCACTAAATACTATCTGTAATAATATAGTCTTAATCTTTAACCTACTACTAAGACTAAGGCCAAGGGTATATGTACCGCAGTCTAGTATAGTATATACTGTTATGAGCCCTTCGGGCTGAGGTGCGGGCGGTCTCGCGGGCCCCCTACCATTAATAAATAGTAACTGCATGTAGGTAACATTTTCCTTTCTCCATAGTTAATCCTATTTATTCAGACACACCACGTACACTACTAGTAGTTTAGACTGTCACGGGGCTAGCCCGTGGAAGCTTTACGTTAGATGTTGCATGTTGGAATTTGCCGAAGGTTGGCCGCCGCCAAGTTGCATGAAGTTGGGCTCTGTCGAGAATCGGCCACCGCCCGGAATTCCGTAGAAAAGGGAAAACGCTGTTAGAGCCTCTTGTAGCTTGGAGCCTTGTAGCTCTCCGAGCTACGTCCTGTCTATATACGCTATACTGTCTGACTGTAGTTAGTTCCTAAATTCAATGTTGTTCAACTGCCGTACCCTGACATTGACCACCTAACATATACTATATATAACATACAAGCTTCTCGGTTTAGCTAATATTGCGAGATTATAGAACGTTTCCTTCCTCCTTACTGCAAAACCTACGCACATTTCAAATAATTAGGATTTAGTAGAGTAGGCCGCAGCTAGTTAGCTGTAATATGCTTTGTATTGAGAATTGATTTTTGGAAGATCTTTGCCATCCATTCGCCCGGGTGGTCTAGTGGTATGATTCGCCTTTCGGACTGTAAGTCACACTGTGTCACATGGTGATTAGGCGAGGCCCCGGGTTCAAATCCCGGCTCGGGCCATCTTTTTTTTCCTCCTTTTTTTTTTAACTATTCTTATTTTTTTCTATTATATAACTCCTTGATTAGTCTATAAGAATCTATAATATATATCGTAGAAATAGATCTTCTCCACACAGCCCAGCATTGTCCGGTGTTCAAAAATACAGAGAATACCTACTAATCCGCCTTATAGTATGATTCATGCTTCGGTATGATGCATTGTCGAATCTCTGTAATACGAAAACATCCTTTCACATCTTTATTGGACTATGTCACACTGCGTCATGTGGTGGACTTGAGCCCCGGTTCGATCCCTGGCTCAGGCCATCTTTTCTTTTCCTCCTTTTTTTACTATTATCATCCTTTCTATTTTATAACTCCTTTATTGGCCTATAAGAATCTATAATATATCTAGTAGAAATAGAGCTTCTCCAAAGTCATAAGCCCCTTGCTGTCGTCTCAACAGAATCAACTCTTTTGTGCATAGAATCATAGGTACTTCATTCAGATCACACAGCGTCACATACTTGCCCGTTGGTACGATACTGATGATCTCTAACGCTTGCTTGGCTTCTTCATATAGCGCTTTGCGCAAGATCAACAATGTTTCAATTTTGGGCTAGCATCTGCCATAGGAAGTCACTTACAGGGACACTTAATGAAAGAAACATTAGGACTCTCCAAGCTATGTCGCTTGATAACACTATCTATCGCGGCGTTGTTCATGTCGCACAGGGCGAATGCGGTCTCGCCACCATCTCCACGAGGCGTATATCTTTTCACAAGGTTATAGAGCTGTAGATATATAGCTCAGAAATAGGTTTGATCTATACGACCCCTGTGTGGCGGCTTACTATGTGGTTTCCCATAGCGCCCAGATAAATAAACCCGATTGTGTTGGCTCTGTTTGTTGGGCTTTCTATTCTGGATATTTGTGAGAAGGTTCTTTAATTTAAAGAGCGAGAGATCGAGGGTTGTGAAGGATTGAAGGTCAGGATGCTTTGTAGGTGAAGAGCTTGAGAGTGTAGAGACCTTAACGTATTCCGCGTCAGCCGGATGATGTTGGAGGCTTGTATATTGAGAGCGAAATTAAGTCTCAAAAATATAAAAGAAGGATGAACTGAATTGTTTTCTTCCCGAAAAAAGATCAAGTTTATATACAACAACTTATCAGCTCTGGACATCCCAACAAAAGCTTATGTTCACCGGGTCTAGTCCTATCACGTTCAGAGCTAAGAACTGCACGATTTCCCCACAGTTTTTGTCAATCCACCTCGGATCCGGGCGACAGTACTTCGGACACAGACCGTCCCCACTACAGTACAGTATATATGGAGACAGTCCGGCCGCCCACACCTGGCCACCGGACCCCGCAGGAAGGGTGAGTATGAAGAACGCGGGGCATAACATGTTTTCTAGAAAGAGGGACTTACTGTGACCGGAATTGGCTTAGAGAAAGAATATGAAATAATATCAGAAGGTACGTCACGTGTCGTAGCACTGGATTCGATATCTACGGCATTGTGCAGCGGCTCATAATGGCCATCGCTCGCATGCCTGTTTGGGACCCACCACCTGCCAGTGTACATTAATTAAAATAATACTATGTGTGCATAGTCTCCTGCGCCTCACTGCCACAATATCAGGTATATCTTGCATTTCTATTACTACTATTCTCATCTATATAGTAATAGAGGGTTTTGTAGAGGGGTTTGCAGGAAATCTCGTAGTAAAGTAGTAGGAGAGGGGTAAAAAATGAAGTCAAGAAAAAAAAAAACGGGCAGAATAAACGGTAGAAGAATTAAGTCTTGACCTTATTCGATCGTGTTAGTGTAGGTCCCTCTAGCAATATTGTTAGGTCGTTTTAACAAGACTAGGTCTTAATCATTAATCTAAACAAAATTCTCACGGCCTTATCAGGTGCTAACTATGTCCAATACGCAACTCTTAAGCATGAAAATCTCGTTTCACGTTGGATAATTTCATGGTATAAATTGGGTCTGTCTATGAAAAAGAACGCCGACATCGTTATAGCCACGAGACCGCATCGCTTGCACGGTAGCAGTTTGGCTCCGGCGCCGTGATATGGTGTGGCGAGGCCTCGACGCTAGGCAGTTTTACTACCGGTTTTAGCAGCTCGAAATCGCCCCAATCACCTTGCAGTCTCGTCGTATACTGAGATTCCTTTGCAAAGAATGCGGGCATAACATCCTTCCACCCTTTGAGAGCCACGTCCAGCAGTTCGAGCACAAACAGGTCAGGACCCATCTCGTCCCATTTGAACTTTTCAGTGCACTGCTGGACGACAGCTGGAGCGTACAGTCCCACTTCAGGCTTCATGTGGAGAGAGGCCGCGGCCATCAGCGAGGCGAAGACGTGGTAAGATCCTCCCTGCTTTGTGTGGTCTCTGATGGCCATCATGGTACCGATAGCCCCGATCAATCCGGTCAGCATGTCCGGGACGGGCAGCGCGCGCAGGCAAGACACACGTGCCATCCGTGTGGCCGAGACTTCGCCCCGTCGTGTATGAGCATCCGGAATTTCAGATGGATACTTTCTCCTCTTCTGGTAAGCTCATTCCGCCACCAGCCATGGGAAAAATAGCACTTACCAACTTGAAATTTATTGATATGGGATTGGCTCCGATGTACCGTCCCCAGTTTAGTACTTAGTCAGTGGAACATCCAGCAAGCCCTGTCTACTAAGACAGCTAGGCATGATCCCACAGCCATAAAGTTATCGGCTCTGTTATAAGACTTTTTTTAGTGTTTAATAGCTATAGCAGGAAAAATGCTGCTGAACAATCAAGTTGGCATATGCTCATTGTAGAGAAACGTCTTAATGCGAGAAGACTCTGGACCACCTGGGCAGCAGACCTGCCACTTTATCTATTCAGACTATCTCCAAGACTGTATGGCGTCAAATTTCCATTTACAACCCCACCAATAATGCCAAGCGATTGCCAGTGGGATCATATCTCCGATAGGATCCCCGGGCCGCAGCCCAATCCAAATTATCTGCAGCAACGTACTAGACCTATTTGGCCCCCTGCATGCACATGCGAAACATTGGCGATCCACCAGCCATATAATTTCGTCTTTGCCCCCAAGCCCCCCAAAAACTACGAAATCCAATATTGAAATAAACCCGACTCGCTATTTGCTCCTACGAACCCCGTAAACTTCATATTATTTATCCGATCGTCATGAAGTTTCTCTGTTTACACGGGGCCAACACCAATGCCGAGGTACCTATAGTCACCCCAAAACTGAAAATCTTTCCATGAGTCTTAAGAGACATTATGAACTCAATCGCGTACAGATTCTCGAGATCCAAACCGGTGGCCTGAGACAGCAGCTTTCGAAAAAAGGACACACATTCACATTCATAAATGGGAAAGTCGTCGCACCAGTTTTAGGAGGTAAGAACCTGCAATCTTCAAGCTAAAGCGCCGCAAGAAAACATTCGTCACCCCCGCACCGTACCCCGCGCCGAGCCTCAAAATACCACAAAAATCCATAAAAGCACAAAACAAAAAGCGAATTTAACTGACATACCCCATAGAACTCGAAGGCGTAGTTGACGGCCCATTCTATAACCATTATGACGTTGACAACACCCCCGGTTCAGAAGTTACCCAAGCAATCGAATACACCCAACGCATAATAAGCGAACAGGGACCCTTTGACGCCGTTCTTGGCTTTTCGCAAGGCGCCGGTCTCGCCGCTACACTTATCATTGATCATGCAAAAACACACCCTGACGAACGGCCTTTGTTCCGAGCCGCGGTTTTTCTGTGCGGTGACTCGCCGTGGGAAAGCTCCGGGCTGCTGAAGGTCCCGGCCACATCTGATACGTACCCGATTAATATCCCTACTGCCAATGTGGTGGGTAAACAAGATCGTGTCCTTGAGAACAGCATGAAACTTTATAAGCTTTGTGAGCCTTCAAAGGCGACATTCTATGACCACGGTGGCAAGCATATGGTTCCCTTTGATGCGAAGAACCAGGAGGGTATTGTTAAGATTATTGATGAGACTATTGCAAAGGCTATGAGGGGTTAGATGAATGGAATCTGTGGGTTATCACATCGGTATGGTTTGGTCTTGGCATCATTCATGCAATTTGCGCCCCTCAATATTGGAAGTTGATATTTTACTGTTGAGCCTTGCATTGTTTTCCACTCATTTTGTCATGCGGTGCTGTTTAAATGGTATTCATGTGTTTTGCATCTATGAGACGAAAATGGGCGAATGATAAGCAATGTAACCTAGTCCTGCTTCTCTGGAATGGGCTGCGATTTTCGCGATCGGGACTTCAGCCATACCACCGCAGCCACCATGAGAATAAAACTATGCACAATTATGATCCCAACGTCGAAAATCTTGATTTGACCAAGTCATAAGCCTGCAGCAGTCTCAGCAGGAATGGTCTTCTCTAAGAACTTCTCCAGATCATCAATTTCATCAGGATCCGCCGAGTGTCCGAGGTCGCTGTGAAATTCATTAGCTCGTATACCCAATTTCAATTTAAACAATAACAGGATATGTCTAACTTACGGGTATGTGTTGAAAGAGACATTCTCAACGCCCAGGTCCTTAACAGCCTTCGACGACATCTCACCCATCTCATACTTGACAACGCCATCCTCCCGTCCGTGAGCCAAGAAGAAAGGAGTCTGCTTGTTCGGGAAGTGCTCGGGGATAAAGTTCTTAATGCGATCGCTCAAAAGGAGATAGCATGAGAGTCCAAAGACACCACCCAGCTTTTCCTTGCAGGTCAATCCGGAGAAGACAGACATAGCACCACCCTGTGAGAAACCACCCAGCACAATACGCGATGGCTTGATACCCTTCTCAACCTCTGCCTTGATAAGGCCATTGAAGTATTCGCGGGAACGGAGGATACCGGGTTCGTCTTGGGATCGGACGGATTCGTCGATATTAAGCTATATTATAGCGACGTCAGCGGGGTCGAGGTAAGTGAATGGTTCAGGGTACAGAATACAACTCACATCGCCGCCGAGCTTAGCAATATCATACCATCCAGGCATAGCCATGCCAAAGTTCTATTTTCCATCAGCATCAATTATACCTGATTTAGATTCGAGCGTGTTCGTACCACTGTGATCGGGATATCGGGCGCATTGGGGAAAATGAAAGCGACCTCGTCGAACTTGCCGCGGCGGCGCCAGTTCTGGGCAAGGGACGTCCTATCCAAGAATAGCGGTTAAGATTGCCTCATGTATTATCGCGAAAGGTTAGACATACCATCCTTGGCCGCTGAAGAGAAAGTATGTCAGTGTGAGATTTGAGATGGGGGTTGCGGGACGGTGTAGACATACCTGTCACCAAGGCCATGGGCCATGATAACCGTTGCGGTGTGCTTTTTCAGAGCTGGCACGACATAGGGGGCGCGAGCTGACATCTTGTCTGTGGATGAATCTGAACACTTTGCAGATCAGAAGGATTGCTGAGGAATACGCGCGAACAGGCACTTGACACTTTTCTGCCGCCGAGGTTAATTGGTGATACACCGCCTACGCAATCTATAAGAGCCTAGGCACGAAGATGAATTGAGTTACGATAGGACGGTTCTAGAGATCAATGGGAATTGATGAATATTGTGAAGTGTATTTTGAATTTATGCGATCAATGTTTTTGTCTGTAAAATTCCAAATATTTGAGATTTTACTTGGATCATGGATGTTACAGCTTATAAGTAAAACAAGATATAGTTCATGCTAGAATGCACGCTTGAATTGAACTTGATTATCGTTTGCTCGTGGTTGGGTCGTTTTGTCATAAAAAAGAATACAGTGTAGTTTACATTCGTATATCAGTCCAGGTTTTCGGGGTTGTTGAGATGTGGCAGAGTACGCAGCAACTGACTCAACTGTTTCAATGGCGTAGGCTTCGTCAAGAAATCATTCACCCCACTGACCCGCGCCTCTTCTTGTTTTTCAGAAGACAAAACAGCTGTCAGAATTATAATGTGTGCCGGGGTTAACTTATGCGCTTTTTCGAATTTTCGCATATTTCTGGTAGCAGTAAGCCCGTCCATATGGGGCATGGAGATGTCTGGATATCATTAGATTATTCCATGAAGTTTTCGTGGTGTAGATAGTATCGTACCCATGACAATAATGTCAAATCTTTGGTCTTTGAACTTCTCTGAAGCTTCGACTCCATTGGTCGCTGATTCATATTTAAATCCGCAATTCTTCACACATGTTTCGATGATCTGTTGGATTCATTAGTATTATTCAGAATTGTATTTAGTATTGGACTCACCTTCAAGTTGACAGCGTTGTCTTCAACTAATAGAACTCTTTTCTCGGAATTCTCTTCGGTTTTGTCAGACGTATCATTTCGCTGTTCACTGGATTGAGAGGAATCCGGGCTTCCTTGTTTCACATTCTTGACATCCTCCTCGATTCCTTGCGGGCGAAGACAATTTTCAAAGACTGTTGCCAAAGTCCTTGGGCTCACACTGGTCGTGAATTAGTGCCATGTAGCTTGAATAGGTAACATCTTGTTCAAACTTACGGCTGGGACAAGAAAATTGCACGGTCCCGATCATTCTCCTTCACTACCCTCCAACTACTTGCTTGCCCACTCAACACAATGAGTGGATATTTACCTCTCGACTCAACCGATCTTCGAACGTCGGACTGGGCTGAATCACGGGCCATTGTTCGATATTCATGTTCTGTCACAATCAAGAAATCCGGCCCATGTTCATGGTCAGGCTCATCAGAACTGATCACTTGAAGTCCAAACCAATCACTGACCATACGACCCAAGCTGAATCTGATGTTGTCAAATATTTCTGGCCGGATTCCAAGATCTCCACGCTGGAAGCTCTTCGTAAAGAATGAAACGCTTTTGCCACTCAATTCCGTCCTGAGCTGGTGATAATGGGTTGGCTGAACGAGAGTTGGTTGTGGCTCTGTCAATGGGAAGTACACATCAACTTCCGTACCACGGTCCACCTCACTCTTGAAATGAATTTGACCATTCAGAGACTTCACTATTTGGTGAACAAGATGAAGTCCAACACCGAGGCCTGGAGACTGTGTGTTTTCCTGAAGGAAAGGGATGTAAAGGTTGTGAAGCAGAAAGTCTTGAGACATGCCACGGCCGGAGTCACTTATAGTGAGACGTGCTGCGGGAACATTCTTTTGACCATTGACAGTCATTGTGTCTTTCCTCATGAAGAGTCGGATGTACCCTGTTCCTGTGTATTTGAGAGCATTTCCAAACAAGTTCATCACAACTCGTCGCCAAGCACCCGCATACACAGGGTAATGCCAATTGTCTTGCCATTCAATATCGACAATCGTCATCATTCGGCTTTCCTTCCCGCCATTAGATGATTTCAAACTAAATCGCTGCTGGTTCTGGTTGACGATATCGGTTGAGGTCCCTGATTCTCGACTTTGAAATTCAGCACCGGCCAGCAGGCCTTCAACTACTTCTTGTACCAACGAGCTTAGGTCTTCGTCTTGTTCAAGGCCCGGAACGCTAATTTTTGGCCGCTCCCGATTTGTCGTGGCTGATCCACCTGGCCCGCGACCTGGAGATGCCGTGAGAGTATTAATCCTGGCATAATCTAACAGATGATTCAATGTGTCTAGTAGAGTTCGTCCGCAACTATGGACAGTTTCTACCAAACCCTGTTGGGTATAGGAGTTCACTGTCTCCTGGAGCAGCTCCACGGTTCCAAGAACACCGTGCAACGGAGATCGCAACTCGTGGGAGATAGAGGATATAAAGTCACCCTTCGCCTTGTCGGCAGCTTCGACATCCATCCGTGATACATCAGCCATAACAGTATTACTGAAAGCCGCCATGTAAGTTAAATCTTTTGGCTCAGATAGAACTCGACCCGGGTCATTGGTCCACGCGAGACTCATGGTAAACCATCGACCGCGATGGAAGTCCCAAACAGGATAAATGGCAAGACAACGAGCATCGGGCAGGATCTTGTGGAAATGCTTGATCTCCATTGTTTCTTCCTGGTATCCTTTCTCCTTTGGAGAGCCAGGCTTAACCTCGTTTTCTTTGCCAACGTATGCTTGGCTGACATCATCTGCTAACCCTTCGTAACTCACTGCGATGCTTCCGTCCTTATCGATATGAAATATTTTACCGCGTGGGTATCGCTCAATGAGATGATTCACAAAACTTCCCGGTAGTGGCACATAATGGCTTTCAAGTTTGTTGTCATCTCTACCAGAAGCGGTGGATGTCGAGTAGCCTAGAACTAGACTTCTGGGCTCATTATCATCCCCTACAGAATCAGGCTGAAGCTCTGGAGGAATTTCTGAGCCTCTATGCCCGTTTTGGTTTTGATTTTGCTCATTATCAGCCCCTTTATGAACTGCCGAGTCGCTGCCAACACCCATCATCTGACGACGTGCATACACACTCGCATCGATGAACATGGCCCCCTCAATCTCCAATGCCTGGTTCATGAGACATGATGCTCTATTGAGAACTGATTGTACACTAGAGGGAGCAAGGGACTTTTGAAGTCGTTCAGTAGTACGCGTGAGGGCAGGTCTTTGCTCATTTTCTTCCTTTACAATATCGGACTCCTCGCCCTGGTTTTCACTCATCTTGAACTTCCGAACAGGTGATCTACTCCGACTTTGATCGACACTGGTGGGAACTGCTTGCTCGATTGAGGACGTGGAAGTTCTGCCCCTATTACTTTTAGTGGCATTTGTGCCGGCTTGATCGGAAATTTGAATCTCTTCAAGCTTCTTGTTAACATGATCAAGACCATCAGGCGGGTGATCTGATATATCGCGACTATCGATTCCTTCGCTGAGGTCGGATTTACCTCGCACAAAGAGTCCAAGGGCTCGAACCATCTTTTCTTCTCGGTTTTCTTCGCGCATAGCACGCTGGGAAAGTAGGTACTCCATAATTGTAACACTCAGCTCCTCCAAGAAGTGCATATCTTGCGTGGACATATTTTCTCGAGGTTTATCGTCCAGTATCGCAACACTGCCGATTATATAGTGTTCCGGTGATCGAATAGGGACTGAAATGTAGAATCGATGGTGCGGTGCACCGGTGACGAAAGAGGCAGATTTGAAACAGGAGTCTTGAGTCAAATCCGGAATCATGAAACGAGATTCTCCTTCCTTCGTGAATGCACGCATAGCTCGATCACACATTGGTATATTTTGTCGCGGGAATTGTTGCACACCACGCCATAGCGAGTCGGATCCCTCTCCACTTTTTGAACTGCGCAGGCCAAGAGTCGGGGTTGCTTCTGCCACAACATGTTGTGTTGTACGATCAAAGAGAGAAATAAGAGCGCATTTAGCATGTAGACGCAAACTTGCTAATTGCGCGAACGCTGTCAAGACATTATCGCGTGAGACATTAGGTCGTTCGCCGACGGATTGCTGCGCAAATTTTTCAGACTCTGAGAACCCCCAGTATGGGAGGTACCTGGGTGGGAAAGATGTTAGAAATGCTTTGATTTAAGGAAAGAACTCTGACATTGTACATACAGGTGCATTTCCCGTTCGCGGGCAGCGTCAATATTGTATGCATATTTGCGCGGGCCTTCTCGCCCTTTCCCTGTGGTACTGGGTGTCATGGATGATCAATGCTAATCGGTTTATTCAGACAGAAAATTGGAGTACGAAACAAGAAAAGTGGCCCGGTATTCATGTGTAGATTCATCTCGGTGTAGTCCCAGGTACCAGGTGGTAGGTTGGTTTAAAGCTGACAATAGAAAACTACGTCATAAAGCCAGCGCGTTCAATCCAGGATTTTGCATTCTAGGTGGGTCAGTGGGGATCCAGATCAAAATCATGGGGCTTTTGAAGAGCAACGGTTTGAAGTCATAGTTTCCTTCCCGGTTCTGAGATAGCCGCACACAAATTGATGTGACGTCAGTATGTACTGGCCCCTTACAGGGGATTATAATCGCTAGCAGGGAATAAATCCTCTTGGTCCTATATTAACCTTTATCATATTTGAAGATATAGTTCAAGAAAGTAGTTTTGAAGCTTAGTTCGTGATATCTCTGTGGCATTACTGTATTACAGGTATCATAGTTCTCCGCGGGTTTAAAATAGGCCAGCATGTGAGTTCTTTCACATGGCCGCTATGTCCCCGGACCCATTATCGCGACGATCCGTGGCTGCAGAGATGCAGGGGTTGGCCGCCAGGGAGGATGGCGAATATGGATCTATCTATATCACACTATGCAATATAACGTCGTATGCCTCAGATCATGTCCAGCTACTATGGGAAATGTTCGTTTTTCTGCTCAAGGTGGGACCGTCAACTTTTGAGAGACGAATATGTATGCCAGTATTGGATGAAACCCCACACAGCCCGACCAGCAATCATCAACATTTGAAATGTTTATCAATTGAAAACTCACTAAAACCCGCAATAATATACACGGACGACATATGTAATAAGTTTGAACTTCACGGTACGAAGACAATGTTCGCCACAAAATAGTCAAATACAAATCCCCGCCCAGCATAGTATACTCATCGTTGCTATGTTGATGTTGACGCTGCATTTCCAAGGCCTGGTATCACCGGCTGCGGCCACAGGCCAACGGTTCACGAGCACAGGGATAAATCCATTGTTCCTATCTGTGCTCCACATCAGAGTATATGATCCGCTGGATCTGGCCGGGCATAAAAACTTGCGTCCCTTCTTTTAAGCAACACATCAAAGCTATGGAGATAAAAAGCATCAACAAGTTTACCAGATGTATTTGTGGGTGCTGTGAAACCGACTGGGTTGGTGGGCGAAGAGGATTCAGTCAAATAGAGAACCATAGTGTTAGGGTCGGATGGACTAGATCCGAAATTGGCAGCAGTAGGGTTGATTGATAGTGTAGAGATGGTATGCTGCGTTGCATTTACATGCGCAACCCAGGTACTCCTACTATTATTTGAGGGAGTAACTTGAAAAGGACATTAGTAATTTGAGAAGAGACCCCAATTTCAGCGAATATCACTTCAAGGCTTACAGTACACATTCCTCCCAGCCGTTGCAGTGGAATTCGAAGCATAGCCGATTTTGGCCAAGCCTGAATGGAAGCAGTAATGTTAGCGGACTAGGGGAAATAGGGCTATGAATGTGCTTACCGTCTCCATAGAGCACGGGGAGTCCATTGATTTTACCTCCGTAGACGTACAAACTCCACGAGGTTCCATGATGTTGACGTTCTTCTAAAAGACCCGCATGGCAAACAACCGCTAGGGCCGAGACCAAAAACTCGATGAGGAGCATATTTCTCGTTTGTAAATTCAGTAAGATAGTATGGTCGGGAATGGATTAGTAGATTTCCTACTGCTTCATATTAACATCCATTTCTATATTCAGGGCCATAGGGCAGGTTATTATAGCACTAATTGGAGACCATTCTCGTGGGTACTCATGTATCTCACGTTCCACCGTGACGACGGCTGCCTCCCAAAACCGTGAAAAAATACATGTAACCCGATGAAAACTTCAGTTGAAAAGCTTAAGTTTTATCAATGAGTGCTTCGAAGGCGAAGTGCAGGGTTTTTCCTCGTTCGTGTATAATATTTTGATATTTCCATGTCTCTATCATGATAGACTAACATGCCATGAACTTCATACAAATAGATCCTTGTATAATGCTGACAGCCCTCAGCCTGCAGCTCTGGGTAACTTTCTAATGTCATCTTTTATTAAACTAATCCTTGGATTAGCATTCGTAGTTATGGTCAAATTATATTGCTGCGCACTGTCGTTTATTGTCACCCAGCTCGTTTCACAGAATTCACAAGACGCATGGAAGGCCATGGATCAGCTTCTCCGTTAGTAGATCAGAATGGGTTACCACAAGGTAGATCTTATCTCACAGAGCGAATTGCTTGTTTTTGTCTAATCTTATTATCGAGTAGAGCCGAATATGTGGATATTGTGAGATTGATGATCGAATTTATTAGGTCAGTGGTCGAGTGTTAAATGGGTTTTCAAGACCAAGTATCATTATGTTTCCAACTGAATTATGTAACTTCCAAAAATTATTTTCTTATACCCAAGGCTGATATAGTTAGTAAGATCCCTGAATTCGACATATTCAATAAACCACATAAAAAACTTCGTTCACCAGGATATCTGGCTTGGCACCGTATTCAAATTGTAATACTCGGACCTGTGAATTACCGTATCCAGCTAGTTTTGCCTTTTTCGGTTTAGCGCCCCAATACCGAGTTCTATAAGCTCCGCCCTCTGTTGCGCCGGCATAAAACCTCGACATGCCTGCCCTCTTGACCTCTTTTCCTTCTCTTGCTTTTCCTTCCACTCCTCTATCTTGCACTCATTGTCACCCCTCATCGTCACCACCTTTCGCTTCATCTCGCCCCCACCCACAGTTATGCATTGGCTTTTCGCCTGACGCACTGCCCCCCCTTCTTCATTTTACTAGAGATGCCGCTCGATCCGACGCCGAGCTTACAACACCTCTTATTTATAACAGAACCCTTAGGATGATTCAGGCTACAGTAGCATAATAGCCATTTTTCATCGATCTTCTTACTTCTCTCTTAGGTGAGTGCGCCCTGTTGAGAAGCTGTCTAGATCCTCTGTGCTCCTTGGTCGTCGCCGAAGGTCTTCCCTCGATACAAAGTTTCGGTTTATTCTAGAATGCGGATACCTTACTTCGATGAGGCTATGGGCCTTTGACTCAAATTTATTTCAACCTGCTTGTCACGACCATCTACGGTTCATTCCGAGTCCGGGCGAGCTCGAAAATCGACTGAGCTCATGTGGAACCGAGCTTGCCTTCATACTCTGACTGTGCGAGATATGCTTTTTGTTATACTCGGACCTTATGTAGATACATTCTGTAGATAGCTTGTTGTTAATTAAACCTCAGAGTCAACTTTTTCGAGGTTTCCCGTTGGCCCTGAAACTTCCAATGCTCTGCTTGGTAATGGCTTTAATCTTTCCTGATTCTGCCTTTGCGCATCGCCTTTTAGCGCTGTGTCGGCGACAAAGAAATTACCGATGGAGCAGAGGCACATAATAGGAACGAGTATGATGAAGACGACTCGAAATCCCTGCATTTTTGCGTCCAGGATCCGAGAGCGGTACTTCTCAGTGCTAGCATCACCACTGCTCCAGCTCCCTTCCAGCACCTCTGACAAAAGGTCTGAAGGAATTGCATCACGCAAGGACAATTTTATAGCTGCGTTTTGTACAGCGGTCGAAATGGCAACGCCAAATACAGACCCAAGAGACCGCAAAAGGTTTCTAGTGGATGTTGCAACAGCCCGATCCTGTGTTTTGGATAGAGCTTGCACAGCCACAAGACCTACGTATTATATGATTAACAAACTCAGGGTTGCCAGAACATGAAAACAAGGAGGCTTTACCGGGTTGATGAACGAAGCCGACTCCAGCACCTTCTATCGCAAGCACCACAACATAGATTGCGACGTGAGTGTGCCGGCTAAATAGGAGATGGAGACCTGTTCCTATTGTCCAAAGGAGAAACCCCGTTCGCAGTACAGGCGCATATCTAAGGAATCAGTTAGATCGGAATGGACTTAGAACCAATGTCTAATACCTAGAAAATTGACTCATCAAAGGCCCAGAGATGGCACCAGCAATGCTTTGCGATAACACGTATGGTAAAATTAGGGTAGCACTCTCCAGAGCAGAAAAACCGCGGATCTCCTGAAAATAAAGCGGCATAAAATATTGCGTTGCTTGCCAGACATAGTCATGCAGTGCACCAGAGACTAGCATGATGGTGAGAGATCGTTGTTTAAACAGGCGTAATGGCATAAGTGGAATCTTTGCAAGTAGACCCTCATTGAAGATAAATATGACAAGGGATACGCTCCCCAGTGTGAGAAGTGCAATAACCAAAGCACTGTGCCATGACCAGATACTTCCGCCGGAATTTATTGGAATCTGTGGAAGTTCAAGTTAATTGAGCTGTAAACTTATAGACAAAAACTGATCCTAAGACCATAGAACCATACCAACAACAGAACAATGCCCGTAACAGAGGCTAAAACTCCATACCAATCAATCTTCGACGCCTTTTCTCGCCAGCTACCAACCACTGGCTTCAAGGGCAACAGAAATACAAGCACTATTGCGCATACAAATGCAAGAATCGAGGGGACCCAAAATACCCACCTCCAGCGGTCTTCATTTCCTTGGACAAGACTACCAGTAATAAATGGACCCACCAGGGCACCCAATCCAATAGCAATACTCACCATGCCTTGGTACTTTCCGCGATCCTTCAGGCTCACCAAATCACTCACAATAATCGCAACCAGCGAGCTAATTCCCCCAGCACCAATCCCACTCACTGCACGTGTTATATATAGCCAAAGGGCATTCTGTGCCCAGCCAGAAAGAAGATCGCCAATAAAGATACATCCCACAGATACAAGAAGTACCGGCTTACGGCCGAGGATATCAGACATGCGGCCATATAGTGGTTGGAAGACGGTTTGTCCAAGGAGAAAGGCAGTTCCCGCCCAGGTAATTGTTGTTCCTGCTGAAAGGGCCTTTGAGATGGTTGGTAGAGCGGTTGTAGTTGAATTCATGTCAAGATAGGATATAAAATAGCAGGCACAGAGGCACAGGTAGGCTGCGATTAGGCGCGTGAATGACAGGCGTTGGGTCTGGTCATGGAGATGAGTTTGACTTGTGGAAAGCCCGGCCAGGGGGGCTTTGGGGGTTGTTCCTGTACTCATTGTCGAATTCGGTAGTGCAGCCGGAGGAGGAGTCTTCTTTTTTGGCTATATACTACGAGTAGCACCAACCTCTTATATGTACTTTGTTGTGCTCCTATATACGGTGAAGTAAAAAATGAAGGAAATGGCGTGGGCAAAAAGGCGTACCAGAAAGAATGTGTTGATCGAAGGATTGACTCACGAGCAGGGATTAGATTGCGTGACGCCCTAACCTCTGGCTTCGGTAACCCCGCTCAATTTCCCGAGTTGGCAATCTGCATCGGCTTATGCAGCAGCGGCACGGCACGATAGTGACGCGACTTTCTGGAAGGTGAGCACAAGACCTTGTTCCATATTGATCGCATTGAGGCATTGGCAAAAGGATGGGATGGAATGCAATGTGACGGACCTCCAAGCCTCGCATGATCTGGTGCGGGAAATGTTATGAGTCAAATAGTGTAAGATCATTCTTCTTTCGAATTTCAACCTCATTCTAGTTCTGAGTTGTCCATTCTGAAGGCAGGGCTGAAACGACTCAATATATTGATTTTTAAAATCTAAGAAAGAAAGAAAAAGAAAAAAAATTTCATATCAAAATATCAGCCAAATCATTCCATGTACAGCGCTGATCATCACGTTAAATTGTCTCGGAGTTATACATATCACCCTATGTGTTCAAAAGCACAGTAAACGTGGATATCATAGAGTCACATTGGAGCAGAAAGCATAATACGACGTAATTTATCCATCACCGTTACCAAATCTTTAGTTACAATTGTACCATATGAAATTGCACCCAATACCTCGTCGCTGGTGATTTCCTTTTCCGCGGGTACAGACGTGAATCAAATTTGGGAATGAGTATCAGGGATGTCTCGAGAACCTGGGAAAAAGTGGAAAAAAAGTATTGTTGACTATGAGTAGTTGATAATACCTAATGGCGTGAGTTTATCAGTAATGAAAGCCTTATCAATGGATTGTTCCCATTGGCACTATTGATGAAGCCCTTTCCAAAGCATTCATATTCACATGAAGATGAGGGACCTTAAAATGGAGGTGCCTAGACTATAGCTAGCTGAAGAGCGTTGATTTGTAACAGCGCTTTCACAGGAATGATTCGCTCATCTGCCTCACAACCGGACTTTTCGCCAAAAGCCAGTTCTCTAACCGCAGCCCCCATATTTTCAATAGCACGCTTTTGGGCAATGATCAAGTACTGTTTTTCTTCTTGGCTCTTCTCATTAGCCCAGTCATCCCTCTCAAGTAAAGTTTGTAGAAGGTAACTGTAATTCTGGGCTTTAAGAGAGGCTCTTGCATTTTCATCATTTGCAAAAAGCCCATGAATACTTGCCAACAAATGATCTGAAACATTCTGAACTGCTCTTATCTTAGCTCTCATCAAATGGTTGGCGTATATGATGACATTGGCTCCAGCATCGACCAAAGTAGCTCGCGGTGTGCTGGAATATGTAGTCGGCACCACTACCAGGGGAGTGGTCGGATCGCCTTTGCGGAACTGTTTCAAAAACTCCAGAACCTCAGAAGGACTGGGGCTTTTGCTGTGAATCATGATCGCGTCGGCCCCTGCCTCGGTATATATGGCAGCACGTGTTAATGCATCCTGAAGTGACAACTGTACAGATGCTTTCTCTTCCGTGGCGTCATCCTTAACAATACGGACATTGAAGGATTCTATTCTTGCAGTGACCAGCAAATCCCTACCGCGCGTGGCAGATTTGAATGCCTGAATCACTTTCGCGAATTCATGCGGATCCGCCTGATCTTGAGAGCCAGTTGCTTTGAGAAGAGAATTGACCTTTTTCCCAGGTGCTTCCAAAGTTTTGTCTTCAATGATGACCATTGAGACGCCGATGGTTGTCAGCACTGCAACTAACGCGGGAATGTCTGCAATATTACCACCGCTATCAGCGTCAAAGGCAGCACATAGAGAACGTCCTTTATTGTGTAGCTTGATATTTGCAGCCTCCAGGATGGCACGGTGGAGGGGCGAGATAATCTCCGTATCAGGGATACCAAGGTGAGTGGTTTGAGTGAGGCCGCTGATCCATACGCCTTGGAAGGCCTGGCCGGTTTCGCTTACAGTATCGCGAATCAACTCAGTAGAGAATCGGTCATGGCTTTCGAGCAGACGGACTACTTGGCCCTTCTGTTCGAGGAACTGCTTAATGGAGGTGTACATAATTGGAACTACTGAATAAATATCGAGATATTCAAGCCTGTTTCCTGCGGATTGTGCGGGGAAGACTCATGAGATTGTGTATACTTATAGACCCGAAAGTGGCGGCATCTTGCCATATCTGGAAACCCGAGAGCCCGCATGCAACCTCCAATGCATCCACGTCTTGGAGAAATATTGCGCACGTCAATTGCGGTTTGATTGCATGACTGCACAGGAGTACAGCTCTTTTGCATGATCAATATACTCTTTTGGCTAGTGCATACTCTGAAGGAAGGGGGGTCGACGGGTGAAGGAGCCCTCCAGTGGCTTGTATAGCAGCAAATATGTCAATCGAATGTAGAAATTGAGCACGCGACACGCGATTCATTTTTGTAAATGATGAAATTGGGCCAAATGACACGGTAATTTGCGTGAGACGTGCATACAGTTGCATCTTAGACCAAGTCTAGACCTCCTTCAATGGGCTTTGAGTAGCATATGAGCGCGTTCCGGGAACCTTTTCTATGAGAGATTTCTTTGCAATTCCGCCATAAGACCATAACTATGTTGTAATAAAAGCAGTTGGCTAAAACTTGCTCATGCGATGGATTACTAGCAGTTGGGGTATGGGCATATATGCTCTTTCAAAGGGCTGATGTGGAGGGAAGAATTATTTAAATCTCTTTGCACGCATGTCCGGATTTCCCATACACTAAATCAGCAATATCGACCCTAAACTTCAAATTTCTATCAATACAAATATTCTAACTCAATGACTACTACTGCCGGTTCTTCCCAATTCTCGAATCTTGAGGACATTTCTCTTGATCCGCATTATGCCCTCAAAGAGGCTTTTGCTGTTGATACCAATTCCGACAAGGTAATCCTTGGCTCGGGCATATACCGAGATGGAAACTCAAAACCATGGGTGCTGCCTTCAATCGAAGCAGTAAGTCTTCGGCTGCAGTTTCTATTGCGCTCTTACTAAAATAGGGAAGGCTGAGAATGTGGTTGATGAAAATAAGACCTCCGCTCGTTATGAGTACCTCCCCATCTCTGGATATGAGGCATTCATTAAGAAAGCTCGAGACTTGCTATTTGGCTCTGTTGGTCCTAGGGCAGATTATTTTGCATCCCTGCAAACAATATCGGGGACAGGAGCTAACTCTCTTGGGGCACGATTTTTATCCAACTCCTTAAAGCCATCGGCCGTGTGGTTATCCAACCCGAGCTGGGTAAACCACGCCAATATATGGGGTCTTGCAGGTGTCAATGTCAAATACTACCCCTACTGGGATGCTGAAAGACAGGCATTGGACTTCGAAAGTTTGGTCCAAAAGCTGGAGACAGAAGCCGTTCCAGGAGATGTGATCGTATTGCATACTTGTGCTCATAATCCGACTGGAGTTGACCCGACTAAAGAGCAATGGACAAGGATCGCAGACATCTGCGAAAACCTTGGTTTGTTTCCGTTCTTTGACAGTGCATAGTAGGTTTCTTCTTGCCAGTTCCAAATTCGAAGGAGTATTACTCATGGGATATCGACAGCCAAGGGTTTGCTAGCGGAGATCTTGACGAGGATGCTTGGGCATTACGGCATTTTGTGTCCCGGGGAACCTTAGAGCTAGCGGCAGCCCAGTCATTCTCAAAGAACATGGGCCTTTACGGCGAGCGTGTTGGTGCCTTGCACCTCCTGGCAAGATCCCCCGAAGCAGCTGCGAAGGCTAAGGGAAATCTTTCTCGCCTTCAGCGAGGGCAAATCTCACAGCCACCCAGACGAGGTGCACATCTGGCTACAGCTATTTTGGCTGATCAAGTTTTGTTCCAGAAATGGCTCAACGACCTGCACGAAATGAGCTCACGAATCAGAAGTATGCGGCAAGCGCTGTATGAAGAATTAGTTTCTTTGGGAACACCTGGAAAATGGGAACACATAGTATCACAGGTGTGTTTGATCAGCCAAGTTCTTTAGAAACCAGTTGCTTACGAGAAATTCCCAGATCGGAATGTTTTCTTATACCGGCCTGACCCCTCCACAGGTGGGAGCTATCCAATCAGAGAGTCATGTCTATATCCTGAAGTCTGGAAGAATATCGGTGGCTGGCAGTAAGCTTTCCTTTGAAGAAATACGAAACGAAATACGAAACGATGTACTGACTCTCAAAGTAGTTAATTTAGCAAACGTCAAGCATGTAGCAAGTGGGATAGATAAAGCAGTTAGAAAATACCCCGCATGAGGTCAACTCCGAGGCTGTGTCTGACAATCTTCTTGTCTTGGGACATGAGATACTCCGTCTCGTGATGTGTGCTCAATGGCATTCGAGATGAGATTGGCAATAACTTGTCGTAAACGACGCTTGTCGCCGAGAATCTGATTTGCGGGCCCAGTGCTCACTTTTAAATTTTAGGAAATATCTTTCCTTTTGGCCTCACCAGCTAGCAGGTCAAAGGCAGTGTTTAAAGTCGACTCCAGCTTGAATGGCTCATTCTTAATAAGTTGTTGTCCGTTCTCAGTGGCAAGGTCTAGAAGATCATTGACAATATAAGCAAGTGACTTGGAGGCCGCGTAGGAGCGAACCAAATTTTCGCGAGTTTTGTCATCTAAAGAGCCTTCCAAAGCAATTTCCAAGTAATTGACGACTGCGTTCAACGGTGTTCGAAATTCATGGGCTGAATTAGCCAGCAAAAGTCGTGTAGGCTGAGAGCTTTTCTTGAGAATGTCCTTCTGCCGCCAGAATTGAACGAACTTCCCGTATACCGACCCAAAAAAACTCCCGCTGCAGAGACGTCAGACTGAGACCACTCTTTTGACCGGCTCAAGGTATGCTGAGCGAAGCCGAAGTGTTGATCGCCTGTCCAACAGTGTGTTGTTTTAGTTTCAATACGATGTAATAGTACATGCCAATCAATCCTCTTTGGCAAAATCCTTCTGGATTCAAGCTATACCAAAGATATGTGGTGGAAATCCAGATAATCCAATGTAAGGCGTCCTCGAGTACGGAAAAACACCCACTCTCCCAACGCTACCATTACAAGAAAGCAACCGACCGAATTGCAGCGATGAGCCATTGGCTCTCTTAAAACATTACGTGAAAATGGATGTGATGCCTTTCCTGAGAGGCCTCTGGAACAACTCTATAACCTCCTCTATATATAGCCCAGTGATCCCCATTGGCTTTTACAGTTGGTATCTAAGCCGAACGTCGATGCAGGTGGATTGGGCGAATCCAGCATTGAAACAGATTTACGAGAACAAGAGATTGGGTACTACCTTTTAACCATACAATAACGAAATAGCTTCGTCAACGGTACCTACCAGCTTGATCAATCTCCCAAATAAAAATGAATGGGTTTATGTCAATATTCTCAGTGATCCGAATGAGGACATTGAGTCCCACCCGATCCATCTCCATGGCGATCACTTCTACATACTGGCACAGGGAGATGGCGAATTCAATGGAGTTGTTAATACTAAAAACCCTGCTCGAAGAGATACAGCTCTATTGCCATCCAAGGGATACTAAGTGATCGCGATCAAGGCAAACAACCCGGGTATATGGTTAATGCACTGCCATATTGGTTGGCATAATGCGAAAGGCTTTTCCATCCAGTTTTTGGAACGAAAAAGAGAGCTACAAAATCTGATTGATTTCAAGCCGTTGAATCAGACCTGTAACGAATGGAACGCCTACACTTCTGCAACCGGGCTTATGGAAGTCAATGACTCGGGGGTTTGAGACCTTAGTTTGAATCAGAGTATTGGTTGTGTCTTTCCAAGCACTCATGTGATGGATAATTTGAATTAGTTGGAACATTAGATAGGTGGGGGTTGACCTGGTTTCCTTTTGTCATTATTACTTATCGGGACTTTTTCCTTCGTGGCATGAGAGCCTTGGCATCAATATAAAGAAACTTTCCACATTCAAACAACGGGTATGCACGTTGATTATCGGCATTTGACTTGATCACAGATTGCAAATTCAGAGCCGCGCTGTCGTGCTTCCTTTTGTCCATTTTTCAACGTTGGAAATGCCCTTTCAGAAGGGGTTTTAAGTGTACATCCGGGCCGAGAAATTGTTTCCCCGGACACATTCAGCTAGGCGTGGGATCCCCATATTTTGGCAAAATCGAGCACCGATTCAATCGGATCTTTATCATTGACCGACTGTCACCGACATTAGCCGAGCACCATGTGACCAAGCCACCGATCGGTCCCCGTCCGTCCTTGCCCGTATAGCCTGATCCCCGCGAAAGCTGGCAAGTGGATACCGGGCCAACATAACGGAGAAACTCCGCGAGTTCAAAAATATGATTGGTGAGAAACGAATGGGCTTAAGAGTAGTAACTTTCCTCCGGAATGACGGGCCAATGAGATCCTCGGCACTAAAATCAAACCAGGAATGATGACCGCATTACTCAACACTCGGGCATCCGACAAAGCGGAGACGTGGGGGAACGCGGGGAAAGGAGAACCCCCACAAGTCGTGGTGTGAGCGTGGGGGGTAATAGAAATAAAACCCCGGATTCAGCGCGAACATCATCCAACACCACTATACTGGGCTGGAATAGAGGACTGGGTCTTCACACACAGCATAATGTCGAAACCTGATACTTTTCACGATGAAGATCCGCACTCTGCGAAGTACGATGAACCTGTTAATCCGCCACATGTGCCTTTGACGGAAAAGGAAAATAAACGAATTTGCTACAAGACCGACCGGACGATTTTGGTCGTTCTCATTTGGGTTTACTTTTTACAGATCCTTGACAAGTCTGTTCTTGGATACGGTGCGACATATGGATTGCAAACTGATACTGGGTTAACGGGCAATGAATATTCGCTGGTCGGATCCATTGCGCCAATTGCTCAATTATGTTGGCAACCATTCTCATCTTATCTGATTGTCAAGGTCCCGCATAAGATTCTTATGCCAATTCTATGTCTTGGATGGGGTATCGCTCAAGCGTGCATGGCTGCTTGTCATAGCTTTGGTGATCTGATGGCAGCTCGCTTCTTCTTGGGTCTGTTCGAAGCTGGATGCTTGCCTCTGTTTGGTATTATTACTAGCCAGTGGTATCTTCGTTCAGAACAACCAATTCGAATTGCTGCATGGTATAGCACCAATGGGCTGGCTACCATTGTTGCTGCCGGAGTATCATATGGTCTGGCACACATCAAGTCGGACGTTATGGAATCATGGCAAATGTAAGTTTTGACATGCTCGACACTCTAAATGCTCTACTAATAATCTTTCATCTAGCATTTTCCTCTTTGTCGGACTTATTACTATTGTTTCCGCTCCTTTTGTCTACTGGCGCCTAGACAGCGACGTAACTACAGCTCGATTCCTGAACGAAACCGAGAAGACGCAAGCAATGGAACGTCTCCGCGCCAATCAAACGGGAACAGGAAGCACAGAGTTTAAACTCAGCCACGTTTGGGAGGTTGCACTTGAACCCAAAACATACCTGTGGATTGCAATGGCAATGCTGCTCAATATCGGTGCCAGCGTGACGAACACATTCGGCCCCCTGATCATCGGCGGTTTGGGATACGACACATACCGTACCAGCTTGTTGACAATGCCATTCGGAGCACTGCAGTTCGTTGTCATTGTTATTGCCAGTTGGCTCGCACAAACAGCCCGCGTGAAGAGTGCAGTACTGGCCTCATTCATGCTACCAGTTATCGCTGGCTTATCCATTCTGTACGCCGTTGCACGAACATCGGCAAACCAAAGCTCCCTTCTTGCGGGCTACTACTTGCTCGCATTTTTGTTTGGTGGCAATCCACTGATCATCACTTGGATTGTTGGAAACACTGCTGGTAGTACTAAGAAATCTGTGGTCATGAGCTTGTACAATGCTGCATCTTCTGCTGGTAATATTGTGGGTCCTCTATTGTTCAATTCTAAGGACGCACCTGATTATCACCCGGGCTTGCAGGCTTGCCTGGGAATTTTCTCTGCATTGGCGGCCATAGTTCTTATACAGTGGGCCAATCTCTGGTTCCTAAATAAGCAACAGGCTAGTCGCCGTGTTCGCAACGGGAAGAGCGCTGTTATCATTGATCATTCGATGCAAACTCACTTTCGTGGAGTGGAGGATGGTGATGTGGAAGGTGTTACTCATGCAGGAGGACAAGCGACGGATGATATTACTGACAGAGAGAACGATGAATTTGTATATATTTATTAGCGTGTTACGAGTACTTATGAACGGATATGAGACCTCTCATTTTGACTTTTATCTACATTCTCTTCTAATTTATTCATAATTGTTGCGTATTCCTATTCCAATACTAGACGTTGGGCATTTGGGAGTCAAAATTAGCAGATAATGAATAATCTAGACCTAAGCTTCCGATGGACCCCTGCATAAAGTTTACCCAACTCGGAACATAGGGCATAGGGCTCCTTTGTTTATGTTTACAGAGCCTCATCGCAGCCTCCCCATGATCCAAACCAAACACATTCCACCCCTTAAACAATATATTACCTTCAAGTCCTCCCTGAGTGCCTATTATTATTCCTGAGCTGAATGAATCATGGACCAATATCTTTTAGACAACGTTGCCCGATACCAAACCTTACTTCAAAGATTCAGACCTCCCCCCCAGAACAGGACCGGTGAAGCCAAGACCTCAACGAGCTCAAGTATTGTCGTGAATACACGTATCCGCCCTCTTCTGGAAGATGAAGTTTCATCTGGGCAGGTCATCGCTGCTTTTCCCCGTGAAGATGGAAGTGGAGTAGTGGATCTCCATGAGCTACGGCGGGTAGTTAGGGGGCTCCCCACCATGAACGTTAGCATTCTATATTCCGGATGGGCGTACACATTTCAGTATCGGAAATGAAGTTACCATTCCAAAGGCTCAAAGGTTATGTCTCTTTCAAACTAAACCCATTGTTAAACAGTCTTCTGCTTTCAAGATTGGAAAAGTCTTCGGCGCTGATCAAACCACTGAAACGATATACAATGAGACTGTGCAACCGCTTCTTCCATATGTCTGGAAAGGCAACATCGGTACCCTTTTCGCCTATGGCCAGACAGGCTCCGGAAAGACCTTCACAGTCAGCGGACTTGAGCGACTAATCGCCAAGTCCCTATTTAGTGAATCCTTAGCTGAACGAAAGATCCATGTCTGCATTTTCGAGTTGGCAGGCAACTCAGCATTTGGTGAGTTCTACAAACTTCGTTACCTCTCATCTATGCTAACAAAGATTTGATTTAGATCTCTTGAATTCTCGCGCCCCATTCATGATCCTAGAAGACTCTTTCGGTAGCACCCAGCTCGTTGGGATTCAAGAGCGCCACGTCCAAAGCACAGCCGAGCTACTCAACGTAGTCGAAAACGCAAACACATTCCGACAAACTGCCTCAACAGAAAAGAACGACGGCTCATCCCGCTCGCATGCAGTGTGCCGAATCAGAATTGAGAATCCAGCTCCCGAAGCAGCTGGAGTGGAAGATGGAATCCTATACCTAATTGATCTGGCGGGCTCAGAAGCCGCCCGGGATATTTTCAATCATACCGCAGACCGGATGAAGGAAACTCGAGAAATCAACATAAGTCTTTCAATTTTGAAAGATTGTATTCGTGGTACGGCTGATCTCGATGCCGCAAATGCAGCTGGGAAACTCTCAAAGAAGCCTTACATACCATTTCGACAAAGCATGTTGACCAAAGTGCTTAAGCATCTTTTTGATCCGGACAGGTCTCGTGAATGTCGGACTTCGGTACTTGCTTGTGTTAACCCGAGCTTTTTGGATACGGGAGCGACTAAGAACACGCTTCGATATGCTGAGATGCTTCAGTTAGCGCAGCCTACGCAAAAGGCTGCTTCGTATAATCCTTCGGTGCCGACTACTTGGAGTAATAAGGATCTGCGAACATATATCAGAATAAAGGTGAGTTCAATCATGCAGCATCTCCTCCCAAATATGACGACTTTGAGTTTGGAATGTTCTGCGGTACTAATACAATTGTCTGTTAGTCTGGAAACCCGTCTATATCTCCTTTCGACCTTGCCCCGCATGAATCTGGCACCCAGCTGCTTCGGCTTCCCGAAGATGAGTTCGTAGAACGCTGTCTGAAGAGCGACGGAGTCACGAAAGAGCAGGCGGATATGTTCTACTCCAAGCTTTGGAAGCTGCATATTGATTCTCGGCGAGCAGCTCGGTAAAGAGACAACTTTGGAGTCTCCTTTTTCTAATGTGCATCTTTCAAATGTTCCGGATAGATAGTTGATGCCTCTTGCTTTTCGCGTGCTGATAATGCAGTGACCCACCCACATCTAAGCCTTTTAGACACATAAGGCACATTGAGTTCGTCAATAAGAAACTTCATATCCTAATATGAGCTCAAATACACAAGTACCGGATCAAAGGAAGAATGTACTCATCGCTAATTGGTGCATTCCAAGTAAACAAATTCCACCCGACCATACCCGATCGGGACGGCACATGACATCATCCAACGCTTGACACCAACAAGCTCAGCTAGACCTCACCTAACCTCTTGACTCAACTTTTAACCACAAATTACCTTCACTCCCACAACCACACATCTCTCCAAACACCGCCAAAATGTTTCGCTTCGTAAGACCACCAAATACCAACACACTTAACTCCCCAGACCCTTTAATTCAAATCCATCTAACCACTTTAACCATCAGAGCAAAACCCTCGACCCAGTAACCCTCTTCCACTCCCCAACCCTAGCAAGCAGCACCCGCACCCTGAACCTATTGAAACAAGCCTCCATCACCGCCTCCGAAACAGCAACAGAAGACCAAGCAAGCGACTACTCCTCGCACGCAAAGCAGCAGCGCGGCGACTTCGAGCTCGAAGTCACAACTGACCTGCCTACATCGGATCAGCTACGGAATATCCTGGATTATATTTCGCCTGTTTCTGGTGTTGGAGGACAGGGTGAGAAGGCTACTTATGGGGTTGCGGAGTTGGTGAAGGGGGCTAAGGATGCGGAGGATGCGATTAAGAGGTTTAAGGAGGATCAGACTTCTTTTGTGAGGCCTGTTGTAAGTTTATTCTTTGCTTGGAAGATTTATTGGGTTAGATTTTGTGCTAATTGGTGTTTTTAGACTGTTGATTGGGTTAACGGCCGGGCTGTTATTGGAGATCAGGAGTCTGAGATTTTGAAGATGGTTCGCAAGCTGCCTAACAACTAAGTTAGTTGATGCGCTGGACTTGTTTTCAGCTTGACGTGATTGATTGAAAGCTTCTGTTCATCTATGGACAATTGATTTTGATCTATCGGATGTATCATAGTGATTTGAATTGAATTACAATAGACGCATATTGATATCATGTACTACCCGACTCGAGATTTTACATGTTAAGGAAATAAATAGGCGATAATCACATCTCTTATTAGGACTCGAACACTGACACCTAATTAAACATGAAATGTATAAGAGACGAGGGCATTTGGCATAAAAAAAGATGACGAAGAATAAAGAAATGCGCCATTAAACTCATACTCATACCATACGCAGGCGTCTCTGAGTACCAAGTAATTCAAGTCCAGCTTGACTTATCGTGAACCCAGTATGACGAAGAAGAGAAGAGATACAGAACAAAACAAAAGAGATCAGAAGAAAAAGAAGTATCTTCTGTCCCAACAATCTCGAATCAGATCAAAACATTGTCCCGAAGCTGCCGTCTGTTGCGATCGGTTTGCGGGGGGAGTTGCGGCCTGAGCTGTCAACAGCTGGTTTGCGGTGACTATGGAGGAAGTAGTTAGTATATGAAGGCAAGACTGGACTGGAAAGGGAGACAGAAAACTGCGAGAGGAATGATACATACCGGAAGGTAAACCCAACAAATAGACCCTTGTTCATCTTATCATCGCGATCCGCCATATCCTCCAGCGCGCGCTGCTTATCATGAACCTCCTTATACTTGGCCATGTCCGCCTCATTGCTGAAATCATCAAAGTACCCAGCATCGGTCTCAGAATCCAACTCCGGCACAAATGGCGCACGCTGATCACGCAAATGGTCAAAGTCAACCTCAGCAAAGTAATCATGCGCATGAATCTCCTGAATATTCTTAAACCTCTGCTCCTTGCCCGCAACCAATCTAGTAATAAGATCCCAAGTCCGTCGCGAAAGGAAGTAGTTCGGGTCCTCATAAACAGGCTTACGCAGCACCTTCTGCCAACGCTTAAGGTTCTGCCATGTCTCATCAACGGTCGCACCAGCGAAAGGTGGGTATCCAGCTAATGCCTCGAAAAGCATACATCCCAGACTCCAGTAATCAACCGTGAAGTCGTATTCGTCACCCTTCAACACCTCTGGCGCCATATAATCGGGGGATCCAACGATGGACTTGGCGTAATTGACTTCTCGCTCACGGAGCGATTTGTAGCCTTGTCGTCGTTCGGCCATTGTGCGTTGTTCCATGGGCCGACCAAATGGAACGGGTGTATTGCCTACTTCTTCTAGTTTCACGCGCATAGATTCAATTTTACCCGGACTCAGCATACCAGCCGCGAGACCAAAGTCGGTAAGTTTAACATGACCAGTTGAATCGATGAGGAAGTTTTCCGGCTTCAGGTCACGATGGATGTAGCCCAGAATATGCAACGCGTCGATACAACTAAACATTTCTGCGATGTAAAATCGCGCGTGTCGATTGTGTAACACTCCGGTGTTATTCAGAAGTGTTCGGAAATCTCCACCAGGTACGTATTCCATAGCCAAATAGATCTGGTCGTCGTCTTGGAACGCATACAAGAGCTTGACGAGCCATTCGCTCTTGGCGGCGGTCAGAATGTCGCGCTCGGTGAGAATGTGTCGGATTTCGTCAAGTTTGAACAAAAGTCGCTTGCTCATTACTTTCAATGCGCAGACTTCGCGTGTATCTTTCTTTTGGGCTAGATAGACCTGTCCATATCCACCCTGGCCGACCTGCGTCAGGATTTGGAAATCATGTTGGCGGAGTCGTGTGCGACGCTTTCGAAGGTGTGCTCGTTCACGACCGAGATATTTCAGTAAAGCGGGCTCGTATGCTTCGGCAGGTGTAACAGGGGGTTCAGGGTATGCGGCTTTAAATTGTGAGTGTCGAGTTTGGCGATTGTGCACGTAGCTGAGGAGATCGAAGTAATGGTCAAGGAAGTCTAATAAAGCGAGACGAGACCAATTAGTAAACCATTATTGTAAATTGGGGGGTTGTTTCAGATAGTTATGAGACATACAAAGTTGAGTTACGTTGGTTAGACGCTTTACCCGGGGTTGTTGAAGTTTCTCCATTTCCTCCGGTGTCAGTCCGCGCATCTGTACGTGGCGCTTGGTTGTATCCGCATCGCGCTGTTGTTGATAAGGTTCATGACGCGATATTGCTGCCGCGGTCGGGTTGGGACCCAGATCCTTGGGTGCCCGCGTAGTTGGGGGAGTGTTTTCTTTGTTGGACTTGCGCGTCGGGCTGGTCGGGCGCTGATGAATCACGCTCTCATTAAAGTCCTCGACACTACTTTTATCGGCGGTAAACATGGGATGATTGAAATGGTTGTATGTAGATTTTGACGGTGAAGTCGGTGTGAGCTTCATGGCTGTATCGAAGACATTGGGTAAATCCAACGCGCCTGGTGGTGCCCGCGACTTGCTTGGGCTTCCCTGAGGGGTCTGTTGGGGACTGGTGAAGCCATTGGCGGATGGGGTTGAGGGGCGATCGAAGGATTCATTGCCGGATCTTGTGTGTAGAAGTGGAGGAGGATTAGGAAGGCGTAAACCGAAACGATCATCACCAATGTCGACAGCCATAGTGGTGGTGGTTGTTTTGGTAGGTTGGTTTATGGGGGGGATAAGAGGGATGGAAGTAGATGGGGGAGATAGAAGATAGAAGATAGAGGGGTTTGGGCAAGTTCCCCCCTTGATAACTTTGACCACGGCAAATTTCAAAAAAAGTCAAAGGTCGATCGTCGGACTCCACCGATCGAGGTTCTCAATCTTGATTTACACCTATGGTGGTTTTTTCATAAGAAATTAAGATGCTTTATCCACTTTTCTGTACGATCCGCAAGCTTTCATCTCTTCTCCCTGGCTACCTGTGATCTTCCCCCTTGTCAAGGTCCAAGTTGCCCCAGCAACTCCAACTTCCTCCCCCACGTCATACAGGCTGTGCAAAGCCCACTAGTTGTTGATACTGTCAACCTTGGAAGTATTTCCACTATTCTTTGAAATAGTTGGCTCAAGCGCTAGTTCTTGTCCCGAGCTGAAATCCTGGCTGACCATCCCAGCTGAACTTGATCCACTTCGAGGTGATCGGACTTATTCGCCCTGCCGCTTATTCGTCTTGGAGATCGCTTCCAGTAGCTCCAATTGTGGACTTCTCTCATATTCCTTCCCCATTTTTACCTCTGAAACGCTGGTGGCAGACGGAGCGTCCAGAGGAAGACTAGTTGGGGGCACATCTGGGATGTGGATACTATTATGTATGGAGTCAATCCATATATGAGCAGCCTCTTTGAATAATGCAATCAATAAACTCCTATATATTGATTGATAGTCTCGACCTCCCATCCATGGATCACTAACAAAAACCATTTGATAGTGGGACACGCTTCCCGCGCTTTGTTTACCATCACACTCCTCAACCCATCGGCAATCCCGCACAGTATGCACACACAATCCGGCGCAACACCGGCTTAATATTGCCAAATCGACAATTGACTTCCTCCCACATGATACAAATAGACTACGAGCTGAAAACACGAACCCGATCGTAGGGAGCGATACCCACTAAGCTCCACACATTCGGGTAAGCAGACTACCGCATTAGGAAAACCCAGTGGAGTCATCGGCGAGTTATCCATGGATCTGCTACTAGATACGGCACCGCCGACCAGGATAAAATGAAATGAAGGAACCAAGTTCTAGTCCGAGTTTGACTTTTATATCCACAAACAGATTTAATTGGTCATATTCAAGTCTATCACATCAATAGCGCTAAGAGACGTCACATGAGCTTCATGTCATTTATAGTTGTCCCTCCGGTCGCTGGCCCGTCTGTATGATGCGGTTAGCGCCAACTCTGCAGGTTCCACCCACAAGAAAAAGGGCATGCAGTTCAATCCAATTCAATTCAAACTCAATTTATTGAGAGACAAAATATAAATCACTTACGAAGAATGCAAGCCCGTAATCCGGGGTCGTGAATGTAATCGTAGCTCCCTTGGGGAAATAGAACACATCACCCGGAGTAGCAGTCACTTTCTGACCTGTCTCATCGGCGATTTCAAACTGGCCCTCCAGAATGATCTTCATTTCATCATAGCTATAGGTATACACGAGCGGTGTTCCCTTTTCTAACCGGTAGAATCCAGCAGAGACAGGTTTATCGGGATTTTCCTTCTGGCTACAATCAATTATTAGCACGGTTTGAACACCACGGCGCAATGGATCGGATCGGATCAGCACTATACCTTGTAAAGACATCACCTAGGAATGCGTTCTCATTCGCAATTAGAGGAGGCTTAAAGGTGGACTGGGCCTTGGCGTGGTAGGAAAATGGAACGGGCATGATGAATCAAGTATGTGTATAGGTGAACTTTGCCGAGATGATTGCGTTAACAATGCTCGGTTCTCAGGACTTGCTGTCCTTTTTATACAGCATCAGATATGAGTGTCACGGATCCATCTGTCAGAGCCATATGTGGGGTTCAATTCACAATCATTGTTATTCAGTAGGAAACTTGCTCCCATCGTGGACTCATACAGTGCATGCTTGGTGGTGGTCGGATCCAATACCTAGACTAGGCAGGTAGCCAGAGAGAAGATTGATAGTGGCAATTCACAAGGTTCATGGTGAGGGGTTCAAGCTCTATCCGAGTGAGGGGAAGCTCTGAAGATCGGAGATAGAGGGAATCGTCATATGGGGGTGATTAACTTCGACATTCAAATGCGGAGTTTGGTGCTCTATTGATGATAACCACCACATTATAAGCTTTCCCATATAGCTATTAAGATTCCTTCATTGAGATATTTTAGAACTATTCTTCGATGAATTTTGTTCTTTTGATTGCGTACAAAGAGATGAAATGACAGGAAAATACAATTTTGGCTGTGGATGTTTTTGCCTAATTAGGCTAGACCAGGAATTATACATCCATGGGCCAAATGACAGTGAATACAACTCCCACCTTAAGGGAAATTATTTACCAATTATGCTAAAGGAAACGCACAGCTTAGTGGGGATGTTGTTTCTTAGTGTAGCCATATAGAGATCCCCATAGTATCAGAGGGGAATGGGAGGCAATTGTCTGCATTTCAGACCCTATGCAAAGTTCAAAGCTCAAAGGCTTGATTCAAAGATTTGACAGTATCATTAGTCATATGCCATGGGCTGTTTCAGATTCAAATCATGGGAAGGGGTTTTCGAGGCACCAGACTTTGTGAGCGTTCATGGTAAGTATGGAGAATCCTATCCTGATGAAACTATGAGTGCTGATATCTATGTGACAACAGCGCTTGCGTCTTGAAGTATCATTTGGCATAGTGTCAGCCTTCCGAACTATAATGACAAACGGGAGACTTGTGGTTTCAAAAACCCTGTCATAGCCAATCGCATGAGTGCAGAAAACGACATGGCCAGCCCTTGTTATTATATAACCTCATCGAACATGATCTGGTATAAAGAATGTGTGCCTACAATCTGCTGCATTACCGTTGCAGTCCAAGAGTTAATTGGTTACGGAAGTGCGAAACAACTGTGTGAGGAGAGTCCTGGTGAATATAACTTTCATCCGCAAAACCCTCCCAAAGGCCCTGTTACAGGATGTTCAGTGAAAACATGGTATCTTCCTGGTCAGACATGGAGCGGTGTATTTGGAAGATATCGGACGAGGTGGAAGAATGTCGAGCCGAGTTGATGTCGATGTATCTAATGGACAACAAAGAGATTCTGTCAATTTTTGGTCACGACGATAAGACGGAAGCTACACCAGATGATTCTATGCCTATCCTATTCTCCTTAAAAACAAATACCATTATTTTATGCTGACATACTACAGTGCCTTATAATTTTTATCTGCAAATGGGAGCTCAAGAGTACAACCGACCAACCCCCACAGCCAAATGCAACACGCTTAGAATGATAAATACCCCTCCAACCCAAAGCACAGCCTAAAAAGTGTACCACTGTAGAGATTACTTCGGTCTCTCCACAGATCCTTGATTCTACTTGGTTGTCGCCTCATGTTATAAGGTTGAAGAATCAAAAGTTTAGGTCCGAAACAAGGGAAATCCTCTCGAGCCGAATAGCTGTCAGACTCCTGCAGTTTAGTAAGCTGATCAAGTGCAGAGTGAGGCAAGCCAGCGAAGGGACAACAATAGATCATTATTCAAGGCTCTATATGATAGAGTGCATAATGAATATAGAAATGGGGTAGTGCTAATGCGACCCCCCATCCTTCCCGATAGGGTAAGTTTGTCTTGTTTGCATACAATGCCAAAAGTTCTGCCACTTTTCTGCCACTTTTCTGCCGGACATGTAAATCCCCCGCTACCTTTCAAATGTTCTTCCTCTCCAGTTCATTTTACTCTCGCGCCATGACTTGACAAAAAGAAATTCAAAGCTTGAATCTGCTCAGCAATCATGTCCTTGGGATTGCTTCCAGTTGAATTGATCACAAGAATATGTAATAGTCTAGAAGTGCAAGATTGGCTCGCTTTCAGATTATCATGTCACGCATTTCACGAAAGATCACTCACAAATTTCGCTGAAACATATTGCAAAAGAATCCACTTCATGGTGATAAGCGAGAGCCTCTACGAATTAGAAGAACTTTCCAAGTCAGAAGTTTTCCGTCGGCACGTTCAAGAGCTGTGGATGATACCTTCCGTGTTCGAGGGGCTGGAAGCTACAAAGGGCATGTAGCCATCTAGCCATCTCATCAAAAAGTTGCCGACAAGTTAAGGGCGACGAATTGGAAACTCGGCATGCAATGCATGAATCCATGTTCACAGACCCTCAAACATTTTACAATCGGAGACTTAAGAAAGTGAGAATACTCAGCGAAGATTCTACCAGTTCACAACAAATCGACTATCAGGAAGGTATGGCGCCATTGGACCAACTAGGAGATGTCTTGCCGGCACTATCCCCAATATTTACGCCCGACTCGCCAGTATTTCCCAACATCAAGTTCGCCTGATTACACCATTCCAGCTTCGCCATAATTCCAGTCAACTTCCCCAGATTCGGAACCAGAATCACTACAAGGCGTATCTGTATCTCCACAGCATTCCTCCAAATCCGAATCATCAGAGTCAACGACGGCACAATACTTATCAAAAAAATACTGGACCACTTATGACCCATGGTCTCCTACGGAAATGATGGAATATGCAGCCGACACAGTCGACCCAACCCCATATAGGTCTATGCCCATTGAACCGAACATGACTTGTCTCGCTAGCTTCTTGGAACTCCTTCAGAAAGAGCTACCTCCCAACATACTACCGATTGACAATCACGTCTGTAATGGCAGAGAATATTTGATAAATTAAATAACAAAGTCTATTTCGACATGCACACTACAAGTGTTAATACCTTGTTTGATGATTGGATTTCTCGCTTAAACCCACAGGGGAAATTTCCATTTCCGCCAAGCAGAGTACAAGACAAAGGTTAGTATCGCTCTTACCCCATATAACCCTTGAATCATCTAATACAATTTAGAAATGAAAGAATGGTTCGATGGAATGCTGGGGAAAAATAGCGGATCATTGAAAGTATTTGACTATGACTATAAAAGGAAACCTTTGTGGGGATGTCTTTTTGGTTCTGATCGATGGGTCTAAATATCAGGCTCGCTTGATGATGGAGCTCCTTTCAATTGCTAGTAGCACATCATGATATGTACTAGCATAGTACACTTAACTTTCATGTAGAAAACACGGGATTTGAAATTATTCTTCTCTGATATCTCTCCATTAAAAGCCAATCAAAGTATATTCGGCTGAAAGCTCCCGAGGGGATTGTTCAGGTTGTTCGACACACACTTTTCAGCAACTGGAGCTCGCGCTTCTGATGGATTCGGACATGGAACTTTTAACTCTAAGAATCGCTGGGCTTGTAAGGTTAGCATTTAGTTCCTGTGTTAACTGAATATCATTCTTGCACGATCTTGCCTGCGGAACACTTTGAATCTTATTATCTTATCTCTTATATTAGCCACATTATTGAATCTGGACATTTCGTGTGTCCTTACACATGGGTCCCATATGCACAGGTCTAGTGTCAATACAGATGTCAGCTATAGTAGGGGAAAGGGCGGTGTCTCTATTAGGAGGGCGGGGAGCGGAAGGCGGTAGCAGGGAGCTTTACAAACAAGACAAACTTACCCTATTGGGAAGGAGGGGGGGGGGGGGGGTTGCATTAGCATCACCCTTTACATAGACACAACGGTTTGTCCCTCACGTCACAAAGCCTAGGGACTAAATTTGATGCAACCCGAACGAAACAGCTCGGAAGCCAAGGAAACGCGCCTGTTCCCATCCTCCATCAATACGGGGGTGGGGCTCGCGTCAAGATATTTGTTATGCCCATCCGAAACAGCCGAGCAGCAGCAGCTTGCATCTTTTGCCGTGAAAAGAAGGTAGTTGCACACCGTCAGCCGTATATTACGAATTAATTTCCCTCTGATAAATATCCTATATAGCTCAAGTGTGATGCTCAAAAGCCCACGTGTGGTCACTGCTTAGCCAAGGGCATCGATTGCCAACAAGGCTCTATCCGAGATAAGCCGAGGTAAAGGCTCCAGAGCTCTAGTGACGCGATGAAAATGAGTTGAACGCGCTTACAAACAAAACTAGGCCTACAAACCGTCGCATCGCTCAATTAGAGCGCGAAAATGCCCTGCTACGGCAGCAAGGTGGGCTGAGGCCCAGCAGCAGTTCTGCCATGGACGAGGATTTGTCCATGATATCAACAGATGCGTCCTTCGCTACCCTCAGTCCGAATCACGATCGAATAGACAATACAACGTCTGGCAATATTAACTCATCGCCGGTCGACACAGTGAATGGCTTGAGTAACGGCTCATCACATCCAGAAGCACCAGATAGCGACTTCCGTAGAAGCACTGCCTCATTATACCATGGTCCAACCAGTGCTGTCTACGACGGAACCACCAATTCAAAAAATAATGATGAAAATGCGGAATGGGCAAGCTCACCTGTTAATGAGGCGTGGACAAGAAGCCACCTGTTTGCTGAAACAGCGCGTCAAAGTACGACCTCGCCCTTCTTTTTTCAATTGAACATTCAGCTGATCAGTGCCAGGACAAATGGAACTCCTAAACATCACAGCTGGAAAGCTCGATTTCGATGGTCTCGACCCGGAGATTGGAATGCACCTCCTGTCAATTTACTGGTGTCGCCAACTCTATACAGCGCAAATCATCTACCGGCCAGTCTTCATGCGAGATATGGCGTGCAACGGGCCATACTTTTCCAAATTGCTCTTGAATGCCATCTTGTTCACTGTTTCAAAACATTGCTCACGGCCTGAACTTCGATCGGACCCAGATGACATTACTACTACCGGATGGCGTTTTCGTCAGCGATTTTCGGAGCTTCTGCGTGACAGCTTTGACAAGAGCGAAATTACCACTATCCAAGCCCTTCTGATTATGTCAAATTCTCTATTTTCAAGATGCGATGAGCGAAGTCTATCTTGGTTGTATGCAGGAAATGCATTTAATATGATGATTGATTTGGGGCTGCATGTTCTTCCTTCGCCAAACAAGATGTCTGCGGAGGATCTCGAGGTCCGCAAGAGGGTTCTGTGGGGCGCATACTGTGAGTCTGAATATACAAATATCTTTCGCGCTGATAATTTGAGCTTAACTGGATTTTATTTTAGCCATTGATAAGATCCAGTGTCTCTACCAGGGAAGGCCGCCACTTCTCCGCTACATGAACTTTAAGGCATCGCTTCACTTCCTGGACGACTATGACGAACTAGATCCATTCCAGGAAATAACTTACACCCCCGTGAAGCAACAATCAATGATACCATCGCTCAATGTGTCATTACTAACTAAGCTCTGTGAGTTGTCGATGATCATCGACCGAATCCTATGCGAGCTGTACTCCGAGTCTCGACAAATGAGCCAAAATCAAAGTCAAACAATATCTGACGAAATCAACTCCGAACTGGCTAATTGGCGACGAAATCTTCCACCACAGCTTGACTATATCTCCCATCCAGCCGAATCCGTTCCTCTCCCTCAAGCATTCTGTCTCCTGTGAGTATTCTTTGACTATTCTACAGTGCGCCTGCTAATAAATCTAAACAGAGCCCTTTTCAACGTTCTAATAATACTCTCCCAAAGACCGCTATTCACTAGCAGCTACAATCAAAATGATACCCCAGGCACGGCTCACGAATCCGTGAATACCTGTACAGCAGCCGCAAACCAGATCGTCCAAATCCTCCACGACTACTCGCAACGGTTCTCAATAGGCAGCGCACCATACATGCTCTCATACGCCACATATATCAGCGCAACAATCCATGCCCGAGTAGTTGCACAAAAAGGAAGAAATTCAAATTCTTTCCAGTCACTACTTCTATGTCGGAATGTCCTTAAAAAGCATCAACGTCTCTACGCTGCTGCTGGGAAAGCTCGAGCTAATCTCAACAAACTTATTACGAATCTCAACATTTCCATCACAGAGGAAGATGAACAGGTGTCGGGACCAGTGGAAAGCGGAACTAGAAGCCAGAACCAGATTCTTGTACAGGAAACAACTCCATCACTTGATGCAACCAATGTTACGCCGCAAGCTATGGAACTACAATCGCCGCAGTTGAACTGGGAGCTTTCGGATTTGGATATTGAGGCTATCGCTCAGGGTTTTCGTCTAGAAGGTGAATTGGATTACCTTATGCGCCCGTCAGGCTTGTAAACTTTGTTGTCATTTCCTAAACAGGTCAGTCCAGAAAGGTGTGGAATGTATTAGCAACTCTGAGCCATTTTATGGAGGGGTGATTCTAGCCAATCGGATCGTTTTAATCCGAGTTTTTGAGAGGTGAAAGTGGAACCCCATCAAGAACATCCATCGTTACGTAGCCAATGCCAGCTGTATGAATTTCGAACAGAAAGGAAAGGACTGCCAGCCAGTTTAAAATCTTGAACTGTAATGAGTTGATAAATAATCTTTCATTCCCAAAATATTTTGTTTCGTATCAACACAGTCGTCTGAGATGATCGCGTGGTTGTTCTTGACCTCCCAGTATGGTCCTATTTCCAGTCGTGCACGAGGGGGGATAATATGTGAGGTACCGCGTATCGGAGTAACCAAAGGTGATTTGTATGGTTCTGAAGAACACCTGCTGTGATGAAATGCTGCACAACGCATTTCTCAACCTACCTATAAGCTAGTTGGAATGTGACACTTAATCACCGAAGACCTTACTCGATATCCGATTCCCCTTCAACGATTTGCTAACGATTGCACTCGCTTGATATGTCGGGACCGACAAATTGACAACATGACGCTTGCTGGCTAAAAGGAACAACTTTTTCTGGATTGTCGATATGTCTATTTGTGGCATCAAGAATTGGCTGTACTAATTCCCAGAGGGGCGCGCTGGGGATGTCCATAATAGCGACGAGTGTACGGTCAAAGGATACCAAGGAAAATCGAATCCTGGTTAAAATCAAAGTACGGAGTTTGGAAGAAAAAATATGTACACAAGGCGGATTGTCCGACAACTCCCTTGTTATTTACGAAGTCATATATGATCTCAATCAAGCTTGAAAGCTATACCTTCACGCTAATAAAGACGAGGATGTCATCCAATCGGATTATCTGATCTAAAGCCAGATGCTACATCCTCTCCATATGTCCACTGTCTAGTGTACGCACTGGAGTCAGCTGGCCATGTTGTTTCGGTCATCGTGACAAGCCAGCAACGCTCATGGGTTGGCAAAGCACACTTCATTGACCGAGTCATCACTCCAACTTATTACACTCCGGGGCCAGTCTTCCAATATGCGGGGTCGATATCTGACGTCCCACCAACAAAAACAAATGAAAGCTGCGACAACAATCATTAGGTTCTCATTAACTCTACGCCAGCAAGCTGTGTGTAAATCGGACTGAGCCATTACTTCAAGGACCGGGGACCCGTCGATCTAGTTTTCTCAGGTCCGAATGTAGGTCAGAACCCCAGTGTTCTTTCTCTTTGTCAAGCGGAACCATTGGAGCTGCAATGGAAGGCGCTTTGTGTGGCAAGCGGGCCGTTGCCATATCTTTTGAAGATAAGAACAACCAGCATGACCCCGCTGCTGTTACAGAAGCCTCGAATCATGCCGTCAAGTTGATTCAGCATCTCCACGGATCATGTCCTGAGGACGTCGGCCTGTACACTGTTAATAAGGCATTAAAGATGTGTATTAGCCCACAATGCATTTTGTATACGATCATGTTCAAGAATCAATGGTCATCAGGTATCTCTTCGTTCCAGGAGGTTATCTCTGCCGAGTCGGGTCGCCCACAGAAACAATTTAGATGGGCACGAAAGCTCAATGATATCCTGGCGAGTTTACACAATGGCGGTCCGACCGATGATGGACTGGTTGTTGAAAGGGGATTTACTAGGTGAGTGGTACCGATTCTCTATATTCCGCCGGATCTTCTGCTAACGAATTCTTCTTAGCGTCACCCCTCTACAAGCAAATTTTATGCACACTTCTGGCTACGAGGGCGATATTAAGCTAGCACAGAGAATCATTGACATGGACTTCAATAAGATCATATTGCATAGACTATTGAAATCATTCATAATACTTCTGCCATGGATGATTTTGACGGAATCCTAACAGTTCTCTGATCTTCTTGTTCGCAAGAGGAGCCTCCCGTGCACCCATCGCACGAGTAAATGGTGTGTTAGGGAAGACCCTCCTCAAGAACTCGGTGGTAGAGGGCTCATAGTTCGTGATCTCATCATTCACAGCATTGAAGACTTGGAAGCCAAGGCCGGCCTTCTGAACGGCCAAATCACAAATTTGTCCCAAGTCTCTCGAATCAATATAAGACCAGCCATGTGCAGCCCAGCCGTCGGGTTTCTTTACATAAGAATCGAACATCTCCTCTTTATACTCTTCAGGTGAAACGATTCTCCCAATCCGAAGAACATAGATATCGGATCCGTATCTCCGCGCATACCCACGTGCCACACGCTCGCCGCACATTTTCGAAATAGCATACGTATCCGTTGGATTGACATCGATTTCTTCATCCACAGGGAAAGAGGGATACTCAACATCACCCTCTGCATAGGCAATTCCGTAAACCGAAACAGAGCTAGCAAGAACAATCTTCTTGATGCCTAGCCTAGAAGCAGCCTCAATGACGTTGTATTGGGAGGTCGCATTGCAGCGGAACGTCTCGGTATCAGGTACAAGCATGGGCCGCGCAAATGAGGCGAGATGAATCACTGCATCTGGGAGTAAACCTAGTGGCTCGCGGAATGGCTCTGTCAGATGAAAATGAGAACTAAACGCGCTATAAGCTTGCCCTGCGTCGGTCAAATCAACGCGCATTGTATGTACGCGGTCGCTAAGAGGAGCAGGCAAAGGCACCAAGTCGAGGTTGAGAATGTCATGGCCTTGATCGAGAAGATACTGAATGATATGTTGGCCGGCTTTACCCGAGCCTCCAGTGACAATGATGCGTTTTCCCATTTTTGGTTTGGTTTTGGTTGGGTTGAGAGAAGGATGGCGAGTCCAGAATATTCAGGAGGGTGAAATGGTTATATGGGATATTTTGGGATGCGACCCAATTATTTCGTCTTCAAATCAAATCCATCCCACTCAAGTCGGCAATTTGTATGACGTTTCGGATCCGCAGAACCCCATATAGCGGGGGTGGGGGAGTAAGAATAGTCGGGATATCACTTTCCGGACTCGACAACTGGGTGCCGTGATCCGTCGGGATCGGAATTTACCTCGGGATTGTACTTGTAGAAAATAGATAAGAAGATAACTATATTCCTCTTTCTTGCTTCTGAATCTTTTTTTGATAAATATTTGAAGTTGAGAAAATATGTTAAATATCTTGGGGAAGCTAACGGAACTGAATTTTGATCAAGCTGCAGCAGCTGAGACGAGGAAGCTTTGAGCCTACCTGTAGCCGCGCAGTGTATCATAATATTAACATTATTAGATGCGACTAGTACTATGGCCTTATGAAAATCCCCTTTTCCTGCTCTCTTCAGTAATGTCATGTACAACTAGTAGACGCCTTGTCGAAATGTATCTCTTCCCACTGTCTTGTATCCCTTCATTCCTTAAAGTTGATCGTTTAAAAGGCCCTCCTTCATTCACTTTCCAGCTGCCTTCTTCCCATTTTACTTGACCCGTTTTTTTCTTCTTGAAATCATAGTTGTAATTATTGCTTTATCAATGAGATCCTATGGCATTGTTACTGGCCGAGTAGGCCATACGAACGTATCAAATCGCGTAGGACCGAGTGAGTAGTCTCTTATAAAGTAGCATTTATCTTCCTTCTATCTAAAATCGAAGTTTTGGCTCGCATTTCCATTTACTCACTAGAACAAAGCGAAAATGCAGCTTAGAACTAACCAATGTGAAAAAATGGTCCGAAAGGTGGGATTCCGAGATGCCGGTGACATTTTCGACTTCAGAGTATCTAGAAGTAAGTATTGAGAGGTAAATATCATTTAAATAAGGCCTTACGCTTCTCAAGGCGAAGTAGTTCGACAGATGGGGATACTTATATGCACATTTAAGTCACTTTGTGCAGCGACCGATCTCGGAACAGGACTTTCCGGAATGACGCATCGGGCCCAGATACGTGGGGGTTGAAGATTCGGAGCCGACTTTTGACCCACCAATTTTGAAATCAAGAACCAAAGGTTGGTCACCCCATTTTGCGGGGCTCCCAATGGGATTTTCACAATCCGGAGAAATATCGATGATTCAACTGGGGTACATATAAGAAGAGACACGAGACCCCGAACAACTTCCCGCAGAAGACCCAAGAACTCACATCGAGCCACATCAAGTTCAATATGTCGTGCTCAACCAAAAAATCATGCGAGGGTTGCTCCTGCAGTGGCAAGACAGAAGCCGCCCCGGTTCAGATTGAGGACTGCGTGGAAGAACTCAAAGCCCTCCGCCGACGCAACCAAGAGCTCGAGACAAGACTCGGACTCGCAGCTGAGAATGGGACAGCGACTATCGTCCGTCAACCGGGCCGAACACTTCGCTCGTCGGCATGGTTCGACTGTCGGACTGATCCTGGTATGACAGCAATTTACATGGAGCGGTACTTCAATTATGGTATCACGCGAGAGGAGCTCATGTCTGGTAAACCGATGATTGGTATTGCGCAGACAGGTTCTGATATTGCACCTTGTAATCGCCACCATATTGAGCTGTCAAAGCGAGTCCGAGAGGGTATTCGGACGGCGGGTGGTATTGCTTTTGAATTCCCGACACATCCTATTCAGGAGACTTCACGACGACCTACTGCGACATTAGACCGTAATCTGGCATACCTTAGTATGGTTGAGGTGTTGACTGGTTATTTCCTGGATGGTGTTGTTCTCTTGACTGGGTGCGATAAGACCACTCCGGCTTGCTTGATGGCTGCTGCTACTGTGGTAAGTCTTTCTGCATGATACTACTATCAATAACTTGAATAAACATATGCTGATTCTGCGCAGAATATTCCTGCAATTTGTCTCAATGTCGGGCCTATGTTGAATGGTTACGACAAAGGCGCTTTAACAGGTGCTGGCTCTGTGCTATGGAAAGGCCGAGAGATGTACGCCACAGGCGAAATTGATGAGTCCCAATTCATGGATTACATTTCTACAGGGTAAGTCTCCCCTTTGCTCATAGGCATGAGTTCAAATTCTGTGGAACAGGCATTCTAAAATGGCAATGGGACTCCAATCTGACAATTCAATAGAACCCCTTCAGTTGGCCACTGCAACACAATGGGAACAGCCTCAACTATGAATGCCCTTGCAGAGGCCCTCGGCATGGCTCTGCCAGGATCTGCCGCCATCCCAGCTGCCTACAGACACAGAGGACAATGCGCCTACGAAACAGGAAAACAGATTGTCGAGATGGTCGAATCCGACCGCAAGCCCAGCGACCTGATGACCCGCGAAGCATTCGAAAATGCCATTGTCGCAAACGCTGCATTCGGCGGTAGTACTAATGCTCCTATTCATCTACTCGCAATTGCGCAGCACATGGGAGTCGAATTATCCATGGATGATTGGGACAACCTTGGGTCTCACATTCCTCTCCTCCTGAATATGATGCCATCAGGCGAGTACCTGGGTGAAGAGTATTTCCGCGCTGGAGGTCTACCGGCAATTATGGCGGAACTTCTGGATGCAGGAAAGATAAATGGCGATGCCTTAACGTGTAATGGAAAGACGATGTCTCAGAATGTTCGCGGGAAGCACTCGTGGGATAGAAGGGTAATCAAGCCTTATGATGAACCGCTCATGAAAGATGCGGGCTTCATTCACTTGAAAGGTACTCTATTTGATTCGGCAATTATGAAGATTTGTGCGATTTCACCTGCATTCCGAGAACGATATCTTTCCAATCCCGAAGATCCAATGGCCTTTGAGGGGTCAGTCATGGTTTTTGACGGACCTGAAGATTACCACGAGCGACTGGAGCATATCCCAGAAATTGACGATAAAACGATCTTGATCATGCGTGGTGTTGGTCCTTTGGGATACCCAGGCGCGGCGGAGGTGGTCAACATGCATCCACCAGGCAGACTTCTCAAGCAAGGCGTCGATGCATTATTCTGCATTGGAGATGGACGACAATCAGGAACATCTGGCAGTCCGTCTATTTTGAATGCTAGCCCCGAGGCTGCTGCCGGTGGAAACTTGGCTATTCTGAAGAATGGAGACAAGTTGCGTATTGATTTACCGAAGCGACGAGTGGATATCCTTATCAGCGATGAGGAGCTACAGGAGAGGAGGAAGGAAATGCTTTCGAAGGATTATCCGCTTGTACCAAGTGGTACTCCCTGGCAGGAAATTTTCCGCCAAGAAACAGATCAACTCTCCAACGGTATGGTGCTACGAAAAGCTGTGAAGTACCAGCGCCTGGCACAAACAAATGGTGTCCCAAGACATAACCATTAATAAATGTACATCAATAGAGTAATGCTACGTGAATATCCTATTTCTGTTACTTTTGCTTCTTGTGAATAATCTGAATGAAATAGCTTGTCTTCGATGGCTTAACCTTCAAAGACAGTCATGGTAGAGAGAAATCACTAATAATATCGAGCCATTTTCAAAGAAATGTAAGATCGTCTGCCTACACGCACTGGATGTGGAATTTCTGAGGCGTGCATCGCCAATGCATTTCAGGTGGGTGTATGTCATCTTTTCATTGGCGTATAGACAGATCTAAGCATGGCTTCTACACTATTGACAAGTTAGTTTCATATTCGGGATCTGGTATGAATGCCCATTGGAGTGTAGCTCGGACGATCTGCACATATCGTCTGTGGTCTACGACTGCTTCATATCGATGAATCATCTTTCGGACCGGTGCGCGCATTGAATATTCCCAAAGAGGTGACCAAAAGGCGCGAGGGCAACGTTGTTGTATGGCTTCCTCGTTCCAAGTTCGGGCAATGGGTAGTATAGATTACTTTCTTCGAAAGGTCGGCGCCTTGGATGGGCAGAAGTAGTGGGCATTAATATTGACGGGGCTTTTGGCGCTGTGGGCAATGGCGATATCAAGTATTGGGAGCTTGTATTGGGCAACTTGGTTGATAGTGAAGTCCTTTGCAGAGCTTAGTTGGTAATGGGCTGGAATGGGCTGGGTGAGGTTTGTAGCAATGCATGGCATGCGGCGCATTAATACCTAGAGCTGGTAGAATGGTAGTTAGATAGGACAGTCACCACGTTTGAGGTAGAAAAACAGTTTCTAGAAAGAATAAGAAAGCTATTATCACGATATTCGCTCCATAAAACGCCTCGAACGCCGCGCTAGACTACTCAACCGTAGTAGAGTGAGTCGAAGAACGCAATTTCAACATTGTTGTGCAAAATGGGACAAAAACCAATCTGTCGTTAGTCGTCAATCCAGCTTTGAGGATTTTGGATGTTCTCTTATGCTTAACCGTCAATGACATTAGAGCAGTAGGATGAACCCTCTCAGGGTGTTCCAAGAGTATGTCGCATATCCATCTTGAATGACCAAAAAATAATCATTCATGATTTGTTTATCCAAGAAAAACTATCAGTTGCGGGGATAGTTAGCCTGGTTTGTCATAGCTGGGAGCTGGCGTAGTCTTACCTTCCCATCCCCATTCTCCCATAACATTTACCCAGTGCAAACGACTTCTGATCGTTCTCCCAAACTCAATATGCTCCAATGGTGAAAGTGCAGAGCCTCTTCTTGAAGACCGGGGGTTCGGAATCACAGAGCCTGATACACTTTTCCTGGACCTCTCATGCTGATCGTTTGATCTCGTGCGGTTATGAAGCCTCCTTGAATTACCTTTAACCTCCGATGACCGGAAGCCAGAATTCAAATTTTTCTCACTATCGGCAGACATGGGTGCAGTTGATCCAGGAGGAGCAGGGTTTTGTCGCTCTTGCTGAGCCTTCAGCTTGTCTCGGCGGGCCCAAACTTCGCGTATAACATCAAGACAACGATCGACGCCACCAAGCATCAATCGCGATTGAACAACAGACCATCGATCCATTACCCATTTTCGATCATCATCGTCATCAACCTCAGCCCCAGCAGCCAACAAAGGGAACATTTGGATAATAGTTGTGCGAGATGTGGGTGGTACAGTTGCCAGGAGTATCAATACCCGCTTTGCCAACTCCTCCGCTGATTCAGATGGCATTTCCGGAATAGCTTGGTGAAGGTACAACAGTGTTGCCGAGCGATATGCATGTGCCACTTGAATACTATGCTGCACTTCGGACGTAGGATCCTCAGGCGGCTCGAACCAATGAGGTGGTTCCCATTGTTCAACAAGAGATTTTAGCTCCATTCCTTGCGACACGATGGAAACTGAATTAGAAGAGCATTTTCGCACTTTTTGGACTAGTCTTGCAACACGGCCAATGAGAGGAAACAGTGTTACACCGCAGCCCATTAATGGGTCAATCTCATGAACAGCATCACCTGGGAGTTCGAAGATTGCCGGGTCGAAGTCTTGAGGACTTGACTCATCCAGAGAAGTTAGTCGTGCAATGACATCCATGTATGTCCAGGTATTATAGAGAAATCGAATACGGTCCAACTCGTCATGCTGAAGGCCACCCTGAAGGCCTGAATTAAGTACTTGCAGCATCAATGCCTTTGCCCCACGTAGATGTTGAACACATGTGCGAGTATTTTGATCCCATGTATCGGCAAAAGCTAGAGCAAGGCTTGTCGCTAGCGCTGTATCGGCTCGCATGTTTTGTATTTGTTCTCGAAGACAAGTCATACTCTGCCGCATATGTTTGACACCATGGACTCGCAAGGATGGGTTCTCCTTTGAAGAGTGAAAAGCCGATAACGCAAATAACGCATGATATAGAGCGGGTGTATCCTTAGCGAGCGGCCAAATCAAAGTTCGCCATGGATTTTCGGTTCTTCCATCTTTGACGGACAAGATGCCACATGTCAACTTATCAAAGCGCATGGCTAACATCTCTTGGCTCTCCTCTGCCAATGACGGCTGACTGGGCAGACTTGAAAAATCAAACACATCATCATCTTGACCTGGAAGGAAAAAGCTCCAAGAATTTGATGCAGCGTTTGTCTCTCGAATTATTTCTTCAATCTCTTCGTTATCTTCTTCCATGAATTGAGAAAAGTTGAACTCTGTATCGGAGGGTCCCTGGTATGCTTGTGGGCTGTAGCCTACAGGGCCTGAAGCAATATCAATATTCGTATCAGGGCCTAGTTCGTCACTGAAGGGCACAGTGCCTGGAAATGGCTCAAGGAAAGCAAGGAAGTCAAGTGGGTCCGGCTCGAAAGAATGAGAGACGGCGATACCGGGGACTGTCTGTTCGTTTGATGAAGGCTGCTCAGGCACCGCCGTGAACTCATCAAAGGAATCATGATGGCTGTCTCCAGATGCATAGCTCTTGCTGCTTTCTGGTGAACTGTGCATATACGAGTCTTGGGGCGATAGATTTGCTGGAATCGACTGGACCGGTATGGGCGATCCTGATACTTCGGTGGTAGGGGGAGTAGGGACATGATTGTTTGGGAGAGAGAACGATGAACGGAGAGATTCATCAACTGGTAAACAAGACATACTATAAGAATCTGCGCAAACGTTCAAAGGATTGGACTGATATATTTACCTTTCTTCGGTTTGGGTGTAGGGCGACTAACAGCCAGAGTTGTTTCCTCAAAGGGTCGCCATTTGAAGTCCTTTTTGTACCCACCACAAGTCACCTTACGTCGTTCGCACTGATGACAAAAGGGCTTCGTCTCATCGCACTTCAACCGTTTCGCCTTGCAGGTAATACATCCTGGGCGCAACGGAGTAATCGGGTCAGCGTTCTGCGTAGGCAGTTAGGCGGCATGTGCCCATTCTCAAACCCTGTGGTTTCAATTTTATTTCATTTCATCATAGATAAAACCGTACCGTTACGACTCTTGGTTTGCTTTGGCTTTTGCTTTGTGGCCGTCTGCTTCGATTTCTTGGTGGGCGAAGTAGACTTTCCCCGCGTTGACGTCGGAGCCGGTTCGGTCGAGTCTAGAATCTTGGACGGAGATGGGATTTTGATTGTTTCCATACCAAGGCAGTCTTCAGAATTACAGGCCCTCTAGGCAAAAGATTCCAGTGAGCTGAGGAAGAGAAGAAGAAAGCGAAGAACAGATAAGAGAATAGATAGCAAGTGGGTATTTCAGAAAGATATAATGAAGATAGGACGGCGGAGACAGCGAATGACAAGGAAGTAGATACGAATCCGCGAGCGAGACCCGGAAATGGACGGTAGACGGTGATAAGGCCCATGCGGGGGTGCCGATCCTGGAGCCGTCTGAGGGGTTGGTTCAAGGCGAGGCGATTGTAATCTGAACCGAGCAATGTGTTGTTCAAGATGGCTTGCAAGATTTGTGGAAAGAATGTTGAATCCAGCAAGAAGTCTTGTGGGATATAGAAGAGAATGTAATACCCCAGATTAACATAAAAGAAGATCGCCCTGGTGATGTGTTCGATTGGAGACGGCGAGGCGGTCGTGCGGGGGATTCGAGAAGAAAGTCGAAAGTCAAATCAGGCCGAAATCCGACTGGCGTCATTATAGTTTGCAGGATTCTATGCAGCATGAGGGGAAGCATGAGAATCGCATGCAACTCATCTACTATCAAACAATATAGCAGGAACTATAGCACTGACTGTTACCTAGTATTCAGTGCATACGGGGGTGATACGGTATAGTATCATATATTACCGCCCGGTATTTACATTTTTAGTACTTTAGAATGGTAAGAAGTATTTTATACGAATCACAATACCTGTATGTTTGAAAAGAGTCAATCGATTTTTGTCTGCTGCAGCGTAGTACTAGTACAACTTGAAGATGACCAATTTTGTGGTATATATCTTTTTACAAGTTTTCTCGGACGAAGATAGTTCAGATTTTTATACTTAGTATGTAACTTCCGTCGTCATGGATGGACATACAGATCAAGCCGGATTTCCAGTCGCTCAATATCAATCGATTCATCTATACGTAGTAGGCTAAGGCATACTGAACAATGCCAGTCTGAGTATGCAATTACTCAAAACTAGTGATTGTATTAGACGGCTGGCATCCGTATTGAGAATGTCAAATGATACGATCATCTACTCCAGCCACTCCTTAACCCATTTCTGGACCCACTCCGGCTTGATAGAATCGACATCACCCAACTTCTTACTGGCCTGGGCAGTCTTTTGTGTGTCCAGTAAATCATCCGGCTGTGCCTGAGTCACCAGAGCCTCAAAGAATTCCAAAAGTTTAGCAGCTGGGTTCTTAGCAAGATGGAGCTCCAATTTCTTCTCATCAAGCCCTTTGCCTCCTCGGCCAGCAGATTCGATGTCCTTTCTCACACGAAGAACCCAGTTTCGCAATGGGATGGTCTCTAAGGGTCTCCCGGTGACCTTCTGAAGGGCATCTAAAATGGCGGGTTGGAGTGCCTCCCAAGACTTAGGGTGTAAATTCACTAAGTGGTAGACACTCAGCTCGGAGTTGTTCAGAAGGGACAGGTCAACCAAAATGTCAGAAAGAAGGTCGATAGGAACCCAATCGACGCGGCTGAGAGATACACCAAGATCACTAGGAACAGCGCCCAGCTGTACTGAGCTTAAAGCGACACTAGGGAACCACTCTGATTTATTCCACAGGCCAGGGGAGCGGATAGGGCCCGCTACCTGACCTACACGAGCGAAGGCAGCGCCACTGAGACCGCGTCGAGCGGCATATCCGAGAAGATGCTCAGCAATGTACTTGCTAGTGGCGTATCCATTTGGCGCTGGACTTTCAGTAGTGATCAGACTCTCAGGCGTGAGCCCGTGAGCAGTCCGATTGCCAAGAACCGAGCTGATAGAAGAGACGAAGAGGATTCTTGGGGATGAAGTGGCTTGAGCAGAAAAGTTGATAAGATTTACTACACCTTCTAGTTGGGGCTTGAATGAGGCTAAGGAGAGGTTGAAATTGACAGTCCAGGCATTGTGGATAACCAAGGTAGCCGTCTGCTGCAACTTCTGGAGCTGATCAGGCTGCAATCCTAGATTCACCTGGCTGATATCGGCTTTCCAGAAAACAACACGCCCTTCGTCCACTGGAGCCAGTCCATAAGAAGCTCCGCGTTCAAACTGGCGGTCGCGCGCATTCTCGTCTCGGTTCAGACAGTAGATGTGTTCAACTTCCGAGCTCTCCAGTAGACTATTGAGCAGATGTGTGCCCAGCTGGCCTGTGGATCCGGTTAAAATGACTATATGAGCTGTAGGGGAGATATTGGAGGTCTTCTGGACTTTGGGGATTTCAATTCGTGCACTAAGCTCTTGCAATAGCTCATCCCGTTCCTGAAGAAGCTTATGCTTGGCAGCTTTAGCAGACTCTTCACTGTTTATATAGAAGTTCTGCAGTGCATGGGTAAGACCAGCCAGCGTTGGATTCAGGTAAATCAAATTCGGAGAAAGTGTTGGAATTTTCAGACCATTTCTGAGGATACGGGTAGCAGTGATGGTCTGCAGAGAGTCAAGACCAAGGTTGAACCAATTTTCTTCGTCTGTTAGCTTCTCTGCGCTCCAGTTTGTGACAGCCAGGATAGAAGTCTTGATAAATTCGGCCACCTTTGTGGCGTCATCTACTCCCCCCGGGCCGGGCAATTGAGTAGCATCAAACTCAGATAGCTTATCCGCATCCTGATAGAGATTCTCAATTTCTTGCTTATAAAGTTTGAGCGTCATAGCACGTTGCACGGTGCCCTTTCCTGAACGAGGCATTGGCTTTTCAGGCGAGCTAAAAAGAATGTGGCTCTTGACAATTCGGGCATGGGCAGGGCATACACTATTCGCCTCCTCGATACTAGGCCAGAGCCAATCGATCATTGCGGCGCGGTCATTCACACTGAGAGACTCACCACCGATCTCAACAATAAGAGCAGCCTGGAAGCGCTGTGCACCGACCACCAGACAGCCGGTTACTCCTGGGTTCACAGCCACGATATGGTGCTCCATGGAAACAGGATTGGTTTTCTCTCCATTAAGGAAAACAATCACATCATCAAGACGAGCACATGGGCGCCAAAGGTCTGGTTTTGTAGGATGGCGGATCATGAGATCCTTGGTATGATACTCCTGGAGATCTGGGAAAAGAACAAAGGGGCATTGATGAGCTTCACTTGATGGACCACGCACCATCACTGCCTCATACTCATCCCCAGAGACGTGCTGCATCTCGATCCCAAGATCTGGATGGAAATTGAGGTAACGCCAATCTGTCTTGGGATCCCGGTCAGACGAGTGAATTACATTCAAAAGTCCTGTTTCCGATGCACCATATCCATTCATGAGAGGCATCTGAGCAGCCACTACATTACCCATCAGCTGGGGTACATCACCTCCAACATACATAATGTGATCTAGATGAGTGCTACAGTATTCGAGAGCTTTCGAGTCTTTTGCTATCTCGCCAATGATAGTGGGTGGAACAAGTGCGCAGTCAAATGGTGTCTTTTCCCTCGCAGACAACAGCGAGGCTAGACTGGGTAAGCCGCCCGAGGTGGGAACAATAATAGTGACATCTGCGGGCACATTAAGTAATAGCATGTAGGCTAATCCAGCAGCCTGGGAGAGGCATCGTCAGCACATCATTACAAATTCTCCTCATTAGAACTCAACGTACATGGAATGGAGGTAGAGTCATATATAATCTCTTTCCAAAGGATAATGACTCTTGTGATTCAGAGCCTTCAGGAGGCTGAAGAAATTGCATGTTCATGTTTTTCACGCCACTATCGTTCTTCCAGATAATGGGTTTGGGGATACCTGTTGACCCTGAGGTGTGAACGATCGCAAATTTCTCATGCAGCACTTCGGAAAGAGACTTTGAAAACTCAAAATGAGGGTACTCGGATGTTAGTAGTGTCTCCAGACTCGGAATATCTAGAGTGTTCACTGGATGGGCTTCCAAGATAGCTCCGATAAAGGGGGGTCGAGGCACAGGAGTCAACAGTGTGTTGCAGTCCAGAGTTTTTAGTAGAGACCGATGAGCCTCAGCACTATTCCGGGGGGAAGTCATAAACATCTATTGTAAATGATTAGCTTCTTTTGACGTTTTTAACCGTCTCTTCTTCTAAAGGGGAATTTCATACGCAGTAGCCGGATTTCAGAGCGCCTACAACCAAAGCAGGGTATCGTATGTCGTTTGGACCCACGTAGGCTAACACTTCGCCATTCCCGGGCCCCAATGACTCGACCAGAAATTTCGCGAGGCCATTGACCGCGTTGCCAAATGATTTGTAAGTTATTTTTCGATAACCCTCATCGTAGCTTGTAGGATTAATGGGGTATTCGGCGTAGATAGCATCGGGCTTGGTCTTGACATAATGGTCAATTAGAGTTGGAAAGGGCAAAGTTCGAGGATCCAAATCTCCGTCGAATGGAAGCTTCATGTTCGAAATGATAGTTCAAAAATAAAAAGTAAAATAAAAAAAGATTGTTGTTTGAATAAGGGGAAATGAGAGGAATGAAAGTATCGCTCTGAATTGGGGCATCCGATTTATAAAGACTCATAGGGGTGTGCAGGGGTGATCATAGGAGGGGTCATTTACGGGGGACATTATGGACATTACGAAGGCGGTAGCGAGACAAAGAGAGCAGGCCTTCGGAATCATAGCGCTGGCTTGATACACCTGTTGGGTTGGTAACTATACAGCATAAAATCATTCGTGTGCTCATGACGCTGAACAACAGGGATTCCAACATGATTGTCGCGTGGGGGCCAAATGCACGGCCCCAAATACAGCTCAGATCGATGGCGGATCACCAACGCACCTCCTAGCCCCCAATGTTGAAACTACCTGTGCATACATGCATGCATAGTATTTTTATGACGCAAACGGTTTGCGTATTAATGGTAATTCCAGGATTTTATCTTTTTTTTTACACAGGAAGCATCTTACACACGTGTCAATTATTCAAGTTGCCAGACCAACACTCAACCAACTTCCCTGCAAGGTCTACTTGAGGCAAGATGGATTATTGGAATTGTGTATTTATGCTCATGTGTTGTTGCGCCTACTACTACTACACAGTCAAGTTCGAGTCTTTTGAACTAGTAGTAGTAGTAGTAGTAGTAGTAGTAGTACTAGGTGATTCAATATTTATCAAGTTGACATAGTATACAGTTGACCGATAGGTAGATCGTAGTATTCGTGAATAAAATTTTAACTAGTACTAGGCGTACTACTAGTAGTAATAGTAGTGATATGTCATGATGCAGCCCAGAAACACCCGCTGGCACTTCAAGTTGCCAGCGGGACCCGGTCACGTTGGAGTGCAGTGGGCCACAGTCAGGTTCCAGCTGAAATATATTAAAAGCAGAGAATTGACAGCTTCAAGTTCCCTAGCGGACAGAGAAGCTACGATCTACTTGAATGGTAGTTGTTTGACTCAAATCAGATCGCCGATCGCCAACGGACACAAGGCCGAGATCATCTTCCTCATCCAGAGACGAATTATTTCCTCTCATTCCATGGAATCTTCCCCCAAATTTCAGCTCATCCGTTCCACGTGAGCAGGTTGCCTTTGAGCCAATCGTATCATCAGAAAAATCGCGGCTATCACCTTTCGATACCATGTGCATTTTACGCCCAATAAACTTCACAAGTGGGCGATAGAGAGGGAAACAGGCCGCAACTTGATAGGTGCCGCACTCCACGACATACCACATAATGAAGGAGGAAGCGTTCCATGTTCCGTCGACCTGCGCATTTGAGATGAAAAAGAAGTAAAACCGAAGGATAGATGCGATCAACCCAACACCGCCAAGTGCAAAGGTTGTTGCAATACCCAATTTCATGCGACGGGTGGTCTGAAGATGGTATACCATCGGCACGGGTAAGGCGAGGATTGCAATATCCGTAATGATGTTGGGAAGTCCACTCCAATGGAAATATGCGTTCACATTAAAGCAAGTTCCCTCCCCGGTCCAAAAATAACTCAAGGGCCGACAGGTGAGGAGCCCGGCGACAGTACAGGAAACCCAAGTACCAAGTATAACAGCCCCCGTGACGTAGGTCCCTATACGAAGTTTCTTGTCTGTAAATAAGCTTAGATATAAGTGAAGAACCGCAAGTTTGGCAGGGATAATTGCTTAAGCATAGAGTATGGGCATAATGATGATGTAGTGTCCCTAGATAACAATTTTATGTAGGGCCTCTTGCTTAAGATGCGCTTTATGAAGGCCGATGCCACTATTGTAGATGTTAGCTTGGTGAATTGTAGTCTCAGCTGTGGAGTTTACTAAATATGGAAAGCTTATAGTATATACCTAAGGAGGTACTATTAACGGCCATACAGAGACTGAAGCCCAGAATTATCAAAGTATTATCCAGTCCCCAGCGTAATCTACCAATTTGCTTAGAGGTTTGTCTCAAAGTAAGAGTGATCGTCTCTAAAACGATGTAGAGAATGACAACGCCGATAGCTTGAGATTGCTTGTTTTGCTAGAGGTACGCCTCCGAATACTTGGTGCTCACTGCCATAGTGAAAAGGAGCAATAGAGAACTTCTTTTAGCAAGCGTGGGAATACTCAGATGAGTACCACTGCGGCGTAGATGAACTAAATTAAGCACAGCGGGAACGGAATGATTAAGAGTGCTAAAATTAGTAGTTAGTTTTCACCACCATCCCAAAAATATGTATGATCTCATTTATATGGCTATTTTGTGGCTGAGTGAAACTGCGAACGAATCATCAGTCAGCTCTAGAGTTGGAATGGTCGGTTTGCAGCCATACTTTGGAGAATCCATGTAGGATTGTGTAGTTGTGTAGATATGATCTGTAGAGTCCACGTAGCCGAGTCGGCTACTAGTGCTAAATTCAGCCAGGCTTTGGTTGATAAGATGATCCACTCCTACCGATTAATTCTGGAAGACACAATAATTGATGAAGACGCTACCTTCAATACCTATCGGATAGACTTATTGTTGGCTGTCGAGCTATGTAACTGGATCTCAAAGGAGTTCATAGCAGACGTTGCTGTTTTGGAAATTATGGGGGGTGCAACATTTGCAATGGTAAGTATGTTGATAGCCAGTCGAAGCCAGCTGCCTCATCCATAATGGTGTTGGAAAAGATTACATGTACTATCATTTTAAATGATACCACCCTGGTCTCCCGGCCTCGGGAACCCACTGCTACTAGTGTCAATCCCCTAGACGTGCCACTATCCATAAATACTGCTTCGCGTAGCTAGCAATTAAAAATACACACAACTCTCTCAAGTTATAGTGAGATATAGGAATGACTCTTTTTAGGCGGCAAGTCAATAGCTCATACCAGTACCTGAACCAACATTAACTGGCATTAAGCTCTAGTCGCGATGGTAGTAGTTTGTTACACCATCCTTCATTTTAATTCTGAAGTGATTGGAGCGGCCTAACGTTCTGCATAAGCACATGAGTGGCGTCAATATGTCCATTGTAATCGTCGCGCCGACCCGCGGAGGGAGAAAATAAGGAAGAATCATCAGTACAGGCCAATCGGCCAGTATTGGTTAACGGGTATGTCGGATATTGCGGATGTGAATGTGAATGTGGACGTCGAGACTGGTCATATGGTCTATAGAAATTATAAACAGATGATTAGTCAAGCACCGGTTTTCGGAGGAGCCACACCGTGCACAACCCCAGAGCAAGCAGCGGCCCGAGGTTCAGCGGGGGCGGAGAACACCAGTAAATAGTTCAACGTAAATCACCTTCTTACTTCTCTCTTTCTCCTCCTCTCCCTCTTAATCTACCTCATCGGGTATTCTCCTCAATTCTCGAGCTCAGAATGTTCCGCTCCATACCCCGACGACTTCCTCGCCATCTCCCCCTCCGGTCTACACCATCCCGTCTCGCCCTGCGCTCGTTCACATGCGGCTATCCTCGGATGTCATCACCGCCCGTTCAACCCCCAGTGTCCACAACACTACCCTCAGACAAATACCAACTGCTTTCGACGGCGGAGAAGACAGGTGCAGCTGAAGATGCGCTATACGAACAACAAGTGCGCGACGTGCAGGAGTGGTGGAATTCTCCTCGGTACGAGGGCATCAAGCGACCGTACTCTGCCGAGGATGTTGTGAGCAAGCGCGGCTCGCTGCAGCAGACATATCCTAGCTCTTTGATGGCGCGCAAATTGTTCAATTTGTTGAACGAACGCGCGGAAATGGGGGAGCCGGTACACACCAGTGAGTTGAAGGCCTTGGGAGCTTCCAAGATGTTACGCGACGTGTGGAACCCCGGCCAGCTAATACGCGGGGTAAATAGTGGGTGCCATTGACCCTGTACAAATGACCCAGCAAGCGCCACATCAAGAGGTTCTGTATATCTCCGGCTGGGCATGCTCGTCCCTCCTTACTTCAACGAACGAGGTCTCCCCCGATTTCGGCGATTACCCTTACAACACCGTGCCGAATCAGGTCCAGCGACTTTTCAAGGCGCAATCGATGCACGACCGTAAACAATGGGATGTAAGGCGGAAATTGACATCAGAAGAGCGCAACACAACTCCATATGTGGATTATTTGCGACCGATCATTGCCGATGGTGATACCGGGTATGTTACCAATACCCAATCTAGAGGCCTCAGAAGCTAATGCGTTTGGGTCGGTTTATAGACATGGTGGTCTCTCAGCAGTTCTGAAGCTCGCCAAGTTATTTGCCGAAAATGGTGCCGCGGCTGTTCACTTTGAAGACCAGCTTCACGGAGGAAAGAAATGTGGACACTTGGCTGGCAAGGTTCTCGTACCGATGGGCGAACACATTAACCGGTTGGTGGCAACGCGATTCCAGTGGGATATGATGGGATGCGAAAACTTGGTCATCGCACGTACAGATTCAGAGAGCGGAAAGCTTCTCAGCAGTGCAATTGACGTTCGCGACCATGAATTCATTCTCGGAGTCACTGAAGAGGTGGAGCCATTGGCCGAGACTTTGCAGGCAATGGAGCGCGAGGGTGCCTCGCCAACTGAAATTGACGCTTACGAGCTTGACTGGGTCAAGAGACACAAGCTAGTTAGCTTGGATGAGGGTATTTTCTCAACTTTCTATGTCTTCCGCATATTCCCAGCTAACAATTCCTAGCCGTTGATGCCCACCTTCAAGCTGAGGGTGCCCCTCAAGCTTCCCGAGATGCATACAAGGCTCACGTCCAGGAAAACCCTAACCTCTCTTTCTCTCGTCGTCGTGCACTGGCAAATGACTACACCAAGACTCCAGTAGTCTGGTCATGTGATAGCCCACGCACACGTGAAGGATTCTATCACTACCGCGCAGGATTCCCAGCCGCCACAAAGCGTGCCAAGGAATTCGCACCATACGCCGACCTTCTCTGGGTTGAAACCGGTGACCCGAATGTTGAGAAGGCCGGCGAACTGGCCGGTGAAGTCCGCGCTGTGTACCCAGGCAAGAAGCTCGTGTACAACTTGAGTCCTTCGTTCAACTGGATGAGCCAAGGATTCGACGAAGCTTCACTAAAATCGTTCATCTGGGATCTTGCCAAGCACGGGTGAGTTTATCATCTTTCATCAGTCAATTTTCAGAATATATTTGCTAACAGCTACCCCAGATTTGTATTGCAATTAATCTCTCTAGCCGGTCTTCATTCTAACGCAACCATTACAACCGAATTGTCTCGAGCATTCAAGGACGATGGCATGCTTGCCTACGTGCGACTTATTCAAGCTCGTGAGAAGGAACTTGGTGTCGACGTTCTCACTCACCAGAAGTGGAGTGGTGCGCCTTACATCGATGGTATCCTGGGTGCGATCCAAAGTGGAAGCAGCAGTAGCAAGAGTATGGGCGAGGGCAACACAGAAAAAGGTCAGTAAAATAGCGTAATGATGAATTATCGACGCACACATACTAACTGAGAGTAGGCTTTTAATCGCAAGTAGTGATTATCTTGTATTAGCATGCAATTTTATTTTTAGTTCATACACTATGCCTTAATCGGAATCATACACCGATGAATGAGTTATTGAGCAGCTGTTAAGACATAAAGGCATCTTGAAGTGCATTCCACCTATAAATTTCAATGAATCACACAATCCCTGTAAGTAGACGCATGGTTATTCCACTGAATCAAAGGTTATTTACATGGACCTAGCAAACTCACATTTGATGAACTACTGGTAAGACTGGTGCTAGGTGGCAGCTATCTAAACCTCAAAGTCGAACTTGTCATGATAGATACTAATATCCCCACGATCTCCAACACCGTCTCATCCACACATACAGTACTCTAATACGTAACAGATATTTTGACAATAAATATTAAAAGAGGGCCAGGGTTTCTTTTTCCCACTAGATCGTGTACACCCTTTGTGTTCAAATAGTGGTGTAGGTGCCTCACACCTACACCTCCAGGAAATCGGCCAAACAGCAGATCAAGTATTTTTTTACAAAAACACCAAGAACAGTTCTCCAGCTTCAAAAACAAGCTTCTACACTCAAGGCATTACTTAAAGAACGTTCAAAAAGCCCTCCGACACCTTCAAAGATTGCACTCGATCAGATTATCAAAGGCTGCTATCTCTCAATGCATAACGCTGCACTTCTAGCAAAGGAAAATACTGATTTACGCACTGTAAATGAGAAGAAACGACAGAAGCGTACACGATCAAATTGATAAGTAATACACAAAGGAGGATTAACTGTTGAAGAGGCCTCACAGCTTATTGAGCAGCCAATTAAGCCAATTGAACGTGTTGAGCAACCTCCACCAGGGCCTATTGAACCACCTGTTTTACCACCTCCACCAACCAGACGGCGGCAGGCAAGGTGTAGCGGCTGTCAGAATATAGGTCATTCAATTATCTGGTGCCCCAGTAGATATATTTTCAAATATAATGGTTTTTTGGTATTTATATTCTAGTTCAAATATATGGTGATAGGCGATGTGGCCCACCCGGGCGGGAATTACGTTACCCCCAACAGTCTCACGATCATCGTCTTCCACTCCCGGTGGAAAACATATTACAGCACACGCATTTTGATACCTATTTCGAATGAAATCTCTCGTAGGATGAACGTCAAAGTTCACCTGGCCGCACATGAGCTAACCTGCGGAGGATCTACTTCGCCCCCAATCTCAACTTCTGTATTGAACTTAGCGCATGATCTGATGCATAATACCCCTACTCCTTGGTCTTTTCTCTCCGCGGTGGAGACAAGCCTCTGTTAGGATGTTGCTTTGGTTTTGAACGGGACACGGCACAGAAATCATGAGACTATGCCATGTACCTGTACAATGCACAACCGGCCGGTCCTTGCATAGCAACTTGAAACTTCTCCATTCCGTCTAAGCGAACTAAGTTTGTCGCTTCTAAGCGCATGATCTTATTAAAGGAACCATATCCACTGACTTTGCTGTTCTTACCCTCTCCATTGAGTTTGGAATACATTAACCTCCCCCGCAATGCTTGTTCGCCTTAGCCTTGCGGTCGCATTCCTGACAGCTTCCGCTCGAGGTTCAGGTTCAACATCCTCCTCCTGTCGCTGCTTTCCTGGAGATGACTGTTGGCCTTCTGAGAATATCTGGTCTCGATTTAATGAGTCAATTGACGGACAACTGGTAAAAACCATTCCACTGGGTGCCCCATGTCACTCCCCAAGTTACAATGTGACTGAATGTGCCATTTTGAAAGCAGGATGGGAGCTGCCAGAGGAACAGTGAGTATAGATCTCTTTTGATTTTCAAGTATGCTAAGTTGCTGATCAACTATGTAGCTATGAGTCCTCTTCATCTGCCATGGCTCCGTTCTTCGCCAATGGCACTTGTGACCCCTACCATCCAGTTTCCAAACCATGCGGTCTAGGAAACTATGTCCGCTATGCTGTAAATGTGAGCTCTGCTATTCACATCTCAAAGGCACTGCTCTTTGCGACAAAGCATAACATCCGTGTTGTTGTCCGCAATACTGGTCACGACTACAATGGCAAGTCAACCGGCGCTGGTGCTCTTGGAATTTGGACTCATAACCTCAAGAGTCTAGAAATTCACGAGTACAACTCCAAGCATTATAATGGATCCGCTATTACCATAGGGGCTGGCATACAAGGATTTGAAGCCTACGAAGCAGCGGATAAAGCGGGACTTCAAGTGGTCGGTGGTGAATGTCCAACCGTCGGTCTTGCCGGAGGATACAGCCAAGGTGGTGGTCATTCTGCGCTTGCTTCTCGCTATGGTTTGGCAGCCGATCAAGTCCTAAAATGGGAGGTGGTTGACGGAAGCGGGAATTTTATCACAGCGACCCGTGATAATGAATACTCCGATCTATTCTGGGCGCTTAGTGGTGGAGGTGGAGGTACTTACGGTGTTGTTTATTCTATGACTTCTAAAGCTCATCCAGGTACCCCTGTGTCCGGCTTGAAACTGTCTTTCACCAATGCCAATATCACACAGGACACCTTCTTTGAAGCTATTGCCATTTACCACACCAACCTTGTCGCTCTGGTCGATGCAGGTGCAATGAGCATTTGGTTCTACACCAACACCAGCTTTGCTATTTCCCCTTTAACAGGCCCAAATATTCCCGAAAATGAGTTGGTTTCATTATTGAATCCTTTTCTACGGGGCCTAAAGCGCCTGGGCATCAATTACACTTTATCATCCGATCAGTACGCTAGTTACTACGACGAGTTCACGGCGGAGCAGCGTACCATTGGTGTAGGCGAAGCCCAATATGGAGGCTGGCTCATTCCTCGATCTGTGATCAAGAACAACAACAAAGGCTTAGTGCAAGCATATCGGGAGATCGTTGAGGACGGCGGTACATTTATCGGCGTCGGCCTTAATGTTTCCTGCGAAGTAGCCGGTGATGTCTACAACTCCGTGTTGCCTGCATGGAGAGAGGCCATCATTGCCACTACTCTCACTACCCCGTGGGAATGGAATGATGATAAATTGATGCTGGCCTACCGGCGCAAAATGACTGATGTCTTTATGCCAAAGATAGAGGCCATTGCTCCTAACTCGGGGGCCTATATGAACGAGGTACGTCAATGTTGGTTTTCAATCCGATTATGCCTTTCACTTGTCTCTAATAATACGAACTTTTAGGCCGACTTCCGCCAACCGAACTTCAAAACGGCGTTTTATGGTCGCAACTACCCAGCTTTACGCCAAGCTAAAGCTAAATATGACCCGAACGACATCTTTTATGGAATTACCGCGGTTGGGTCCGATGAATGGGCCGAGCGAGAAGATGGCCGCCTGTGCCAAGTAGGCAAGTGGAACTCGAGTTGGGCGCAGTTCCGTCAGCAGTAAATCGACACCCCTGGCGGAGCATTCCTAGTGTATTCGGCTATAACATAGTCGCTTTTGGAGCCCTGTTTGGTGCCGTACGCCGATGAAAAGAGTTGCATGCGCGAGCCTTGCCGATCCTCGACAACCGAAACTTATTAGTCCTGGATACAACGACATTTTGTAGATGGAACAAAGTAAATAGGGTTGAATCTATAAGGTCCATTCCATTGTACTCATTCCTTTGTCATTTTCCATGTGCTTTCTGCGATGGGGGGGAACCTTTGTACTTAACCCACCATGGAGTGTGGATACCCGCCTTTTCCTTTCTACCCATAACAGATCGCCCCGCATTTTCATGTATGAAGTGCCTATTGTAGTGGGGATTTGCGCCCGTCTCTGATCATCGGTAATTCCTATTCTGTTAGCGTTCCCACCTTTTAACATGGTGAACAAAATCTTAAACATCTTTCTTGTGAAGATATCTACTATCTCTTTCCTCTCGGAGTCATATCATCAATTGGGGCCTACTAAGAGAACTACTCACCACTCGTACTGATATTTGCTCTCTCTGTACAGTCCGATGAGAATCAAGTTTTTTTCCTGGTGGATTAGATTTATATACTGTACAAGAGGCCTGAGCCTCTGATAGTGGGGCATCTAAATCCTTTGGGTCGGCACATGCTGAACATGATTTTGAATCTAAGAAGAAGTAAATGGTAGCTGGAACTAGCCAGAAAAAGGCGAATGGTACTAGTTATATCATCATTCCTACATACACCAGGAGCTACCATTGTATGATTGCATGTTAATGGAAATGTTCATGCCAATGTGTATCCGGGATAATCTCAAACTGAACTTCACATATTAGGCTCGATTTGCGCTAAATGATGATTTTTGGATTTTGAACAAACCCAAATACAAGTCATAAGTGGTGTGGTTTGTTTGGAAACACAAAAAGAACTTTTGAAATTAAAGGAATATTCGCCCTCTGTGGTCTGCATGAAAGGTTCGACGGAGATGATGTACCTTCATTAAAAGCTTTTGGGTTTGATCGCTAAGTAAATATGATCACCAGTTTCCTATTTTTGAAATAGCCCCCATTTGATCTACATCCAAAGTTGCAAGGGTATTCCCGTCCAAATAAGCTGGGCGGCCTTCGCATAACGATTTCCAACTGGTTTCCGTCTTGGATCTTCTTCTCTAATGCAGCGCTCTACAACATTACGGCATGAGTTGGGTTCATAATTTCCATGGAAATGATCCAAACAGCGAAATTCCTCGAGTAATTGCAATCAGCTTGGTTTTCTCCATATTATCCTTTCTTGCAGTTTGCCTGCGTTTTTTTGTACGACTGCGCACAAAACGATATCCCTGGTATGACGACTATGCAGCTCTTGTAGCTTCACTTTTGACACTAGCATATGCCAGTATTATGATGGCGCGTAAGTATAATTAATCAACCTAGGAAAGAGAGGATATGAAGCTAATAACTCCTAACAAGAAACTCGATGGGGTCAAGGGCTAAGTGCAGCCTATTTTCCTTTGCAGAACGTCATTCCTTTTAGCAAGGTACTAAAAGCAATCAGCTTATTCGCGAAATTGGGCTGATGAATTCTTTTTATTTACAGATACAATATGCTGGTGGTCCTGTCTACGTTCTCGATCTTCTGTTTTTCAAGGTGGCATTGCTCGCTTCGTATCTTCGAATCGGGGGCTTCGTCACTTCATATCGGAATATAATAATTGGCGTCATAATGATTGTCTCAATTACTCAAGTCATTTTAACATTCATCATGTCATTTACATGCTCACCAGTGGGTCTAAATGCTGGTCTGGATATGGGTTTCAAGGTTAACGCGCTCAGGTTGCCAAAATATGGGATACATCAGTTGATGGAACTTGTATAGACAGCGTCAAATTCTATTACGGTATATCTCGCCGAATTTTATTCCAGCAATTCGTGCCCCTTTATTCCAAGGCTAACTCTAAACACTGCAGGACTGGCAGGTATCAACATTGGATTCGATCTGGCTATAATCGCTCTTCCTCTACCGGTACTCTGGAAGCTACAGCTTCGAGTCCGCCAAAAGGTAAATTTCTTCAATAAACATGACGTTTTACAGAGCATCAAAATCTAACAGTTTTGCGTTATCTGCTACAGATTGTGCTGAGTTGCATGTTTTGTCTCGGGTTTTTCGTCACCGCAATTCAAATAATTCGAATTTTCAGCGTCAAAAACCTGAAAACCTATACCGACAGCAAAAACCTAATTCTATGGTCCATCGTCGAGGTTAGCCTAGGTGTGAGTCTTACCTAGCCGGTTTATATCCCCATATCGCACTTCAAACTAACTATTCAGGTCATCGTTTCCTGCATTCCACATTATGGTCCGCTCTTTAAAGCATTCGCTTACAATTTCGCTTCATACCGCAATCGTGGATCGGATCCGGATTATCACCTCGAAAGCACACGTCCAAATAATAAGAAAAGGACCTGGGACTCCTATGGAGTGGAGAGTAGCAGTCAAACCATCTTGGACACGGAATATCAGAATAATTCCACAACCATTGGGATAGGAGTGGATGATAACTCGTCGGGAATTAGTAGTATAAGTGCGGAACATACTACAGGGCCATCTCCTAGCTTTCATATTCACAGAACCACCGATTTTACGGTTGAGAGGAGTTAATAAAATGTGTTTCATATTTTTCTGTATGATATAATGTTGTTAACGGCCTTCTGAGATAATGTAAGTCCTGGACGTCGTGATGCGTTTAGAGAGAAGGATATGAAAAGGTCATGTGTAATAAAAGAGCCTTGGAGGATTCAACTAGAAATAATAGAAATTGAGTAATATTGATAGCCGTGGAATTCCACCAGTCCATTAACTTGAAATCAACAATACTAAACCCCTACTATCTGATTGTAGTATCCGACCACAAATTGTCACCATATGGCGCCGGGCGTAACACCAATAGGTAAACTCGAATCGTGCTAATAACTAATCACAAAGTTGAATTACAAGATTTCAATATTCGAAACAGCCAAAATAAAAGATAGAATACTCTAATACATCCCAATAATGTTCTTCGGGCGCTGAAGGTATAAAGAGTCAGCCGACGAATATTCTAGACTAACTTGAAGGTTATATCTATTCCTGCCTTAGAACTGAAATATATATTCAAAATTTCTCCAAAATTCACGATCGTACCGGGTATCGGGCGCTACAGCCCGTAAGTACGGGGGTATTGTGTACCCGAAATCAGCGTGTACATCCCAGAATGGGCATACAAGAACCCGGAAAGATACCGTACCTGAACCTGAATTTGAACTACCTACCTACCTAGTATGGCGACTGGTACTAAACTAATCCAAATATAGTTAAATAAAAAGATGATTATTGAATTCGAATATAGAAGCTTAAAGTGATTTCAGATTACTAAATATCCAAGTAGATAAAGTCTGAGGGACTTAGGTATGTCGGACTATAATTCATCTTAAGACTGTAAGGCTGCTTCAAGTTACATGTACTAAGTACCCGGCTCTTAGGCGCAGGCAGTATTATTAGTATAATACTATATAAAAACGTAGAATTGCTCCTATATCGAGCTAGAAATAAAACGGTATTGATATCTCTAATATTAGATTTAAACCTTGAAGCTAGAGCATTCCAGATTTACAAGTGTTTTATACATGCAGCTGAGTGGATACCGTATGTTAATCTGGGGAATACGCGGAGTCGCGAATACCGAACGGTTAGGGACAACTTACAAGTCTTAATGAGACAATCTAATACACGGGCAATAAATAACAGATTTGACATTCTAGTAATAAATCAATTAATTCGAATAGATAGAGAGATAGAGAAAGCGCAAGAAGGATATTGGTTCCAGGGAAAGGACTGAAACGTAAAAAAAAATAAGAAGCATCTGAGACGCGTGATCATACCATATTATATCATCGCGTCGTGATTGATATTGGATCCACATCTCATACCAAGTCGCAAATTGTTCGAGGATAAACCAAAATAAAGGAGCGCGGGATAAGATCGAGAGAATCATTTGATTGGAAATATAAAAATGGAAATGTTCCAGAGGGGTGATTCAGAATACAAATTCATTGGCTCAAAGAGGAAAGTTCGTAAGGCGCCACAGATACAAGGACATTGACTGGAGAAGAAGAGAACACCATTTTTCCAACCCAAATAAATAAAGAAGAAGAAAAAACTACGCTTAAAAAACGACAGAAGAGCGAGGGATCATTTTGGTTTAGTTGACGCGGAACGCATCGAAGATAACTATGTTGAGTATTAGCGTTTGACTTATGATGAATGGGAGGACAAAAAAAAAGGAATAGTTTGTGCATACCTTCGTGACCGCGGCGGCAACCGCTACCGATCCACATCAGAGAATTCAAGAAAGTAAAGCGTTCATCACCAGTCTCCATCGATAGGTTGAGACGGTACTTGTAGCTACTGGGGTTGATTCCATCGGCAGTAGTTTGGTCATTGACCTTTTCAAGGACGTCCTTGGCACCGGTGAGCCAGCCTTCAGCCTTGACCACAATGAAAGCAGGTGGATCCTCAACAGTCTGGAGAAGGTAGCTTGCGCTGAGTTTGGTAGTTTGATCTTTGGTAACGATTTGGGTATCTTGACCACCGGGCTAATTTAAATGTTAGATATGTACAGCGACCAAATAATGATTAAGATTAAATGAGGGAACTTACGAGAACAATACCCTTGCCCCATCGACCTGCCCATTGACCACCAATAAAAGAGACCCATTCTCGGTGGCCCCAAATGCTCTGACCGACAGGAACCTTGGGGTTCATCTTGATGCTCATGCGGAAATCAAGCTCAAGAGTGGGCGCAGGGATCTGAAGTGATCGCGCAACATCACCCTCAGGGAATGTGTGGAGGAGGTTGTTGGCAGGAATCGAATCCTTCATGACGCTAAGATAGGTGGGGCATTCAAGTAGATGCTGTCGTTGGCGACTAGTGTTCTTTGCGCGAACCTGTTGGCAGTAGATACATTGAACGGACAGACACTATTCCTTGATTAGTCTCGTCTTACATTTGTAGGGTGGGTCCACCTTCAAGCCCAATGTCGCATCAGGCTAAAAGCAGGTTTAAGAAAGAAGTACATACCTTGTCTTCTTCCTTAGCACGGAACTCAACAAAGGCAGCATGAACATCATCCAGCGGAGGCGCAGGCAAGCTGGAAGAACTTGGCTTAGCCTTTGGTTTGGGAGTAGGACGCGGTGGAGGAACGGACGAAGGCGCGGAACCCGGGGGAGCGCCGACAGCGGGTGGGCCTGGAGTTGTCATAGGTGGAGGACGACTCTGCAAGCTCGCTAATGGGGTACCGATCGGTGTTGCATGAGGATTGACACCATTTCCCATCAAAGTACCATTAGGTGTAGGTATGGAAGGACCGGTTGGGCCAGGTGCAGCTGTTGTTGGACCATTGGGGGTACCGGGGTATCCGTTGGTAGGACCGATGCCGTTGGAGGCCTGGGCGGGCTGGGAAGGTTGGGGCGCGTTAGGGTGACCGCGCAAGCCGGGACATTCGAGGAGATGTTGCTTCTGTCGCGAAGTATTCTTTGCGCGGATCTGTTGGCAGTAGATACATTGGACGGAGAGACACTATAGTAAACAAACCCAAAAAACGGAGGGTTTGGTACGTTAGTGACGGGCTCAGTTTATGGTGGGTTTGAAATATTACGAAATACACATTCACGCACCTTGTCATCTTCCTTGGCGCGGAACTCGACAAACGCCGCGTGCACCTCCTGGTCGACGGTACGACCCATGATGGGAATATCAGGAAGATACAGTACCCGTTACAATAAATCAAAAACCTAGAAGAACGCGCTCCAACGCGAGGGGTAGTTGAAAGGGATGGTTAGATGGGGTGAAAGACTGAGGGGAAGATTTGAGTAGGGGAAGGAAGACGGGAGGGAGGGAAGAAATGGAAAGACGAAGACAAGAAATACGGCTGAGGAAATAACACACGCGCGTAATTATGAGACTGGTTCGGAGTATTTCAGAACCCGTATTACGTTTAACAGACAGTCTGGCTAAAGATGATTATCTTTACATTATCTATTCTTTGATATATCTATATAAGTTTGTACTCTTAGTTTAGTCTTCTAGAATTCTTGTTTATAATCTTGTATACCCCCCAGGTACCACTGCACTTGAAATATCCCAACTATCTCTGTCCACAACCAAGCCTCATCAGCTAATCCGTAGAGTATACAGCCACACAGAAACACAAGGCTACTTAGTATGTAAACTAAATACTAACAAGGCAATAATATATCTATCTTCCTCAATATCTTAAATGTTCCATCTCACAACCTTTATCTAAAATATTATCATATACCCTCCACTGCCAAGCAGTTCGCTCCCAGCACTGCCGACCGAACGCGCTCGGTTAAGAACCGCCCTTCCCCCTTCTAAGCGCACAAAAAAAAAGGCCGATAAGAAGCAAAAAAGAAAAGAAGGAACACAGAAACAGACAAAATGGAATTTCCGATAGTAAATTCTCTATGAATCCCAGAATAAGTATCATCATCCTCCAGGGCTGTATTTTTACAAATCTATAGATCGGTTTAGGTATGCCAGTATTATAACTGAGCGTTTTTGACCCTGTTCCTGTATCCTGTACGCGATACTGTCAACGGTCTTGACCCCTTACGGGTTCCTGGTAAGATTATGGTATAACGCGTAAGTGTAAACAGCCAGAACCATATGCACGAGAGATCAATACGGATTTTGAAAGAAATCTTAAATACTTTAATTTTAGTTCAGTTCTTATCTGTATTTGATAAGAACTTGAATTTTGGGTCCTATCTCTTCCTACTTTATAGCTGTAGCGCGCACTGACCTATGCAAGACTCCAAACTTGGAACAGGATGACCTGAGGCACCAAATGGCCTTATTCAAGTGGCAGCCAATATCGTGATACTTCAAGTTCATGATATAAGTATAAGTCCCACTAATTTTATTATAACAAGATTTTTTCTTAATATATTTTTCAGATTCTTAGTTAATCGAATACATAATAATTCAAATTTTCTTCTTTATTTATCCGTTATGGCGTGCTATTTCTCAGTTCAGACAAATTAATGATTCGACTTATAATTACGAAAAATGACCAGATCTTCATACATTTCATAGATCAACGAAGACCATGACCCTTCCAACAACCAACTTCACAAACGTGAGTCAATTTCAACCCCCACATTTCCCCTATAAAACTCAGGTAAAATAGTCCCCAAAATAGCCATCTCCTCCGTAGCATGCTTCAAAGCCCCATTGCAAGTCCCTCCGGCACAAGACCCCGTCTAACCTCCACATCATCAACCCCCTCAACATCCCCCAACCAAAGACTCGAACGCATCATCACCCCTCCCTCCTCCTATTTAATGAGATGAATAACATGCCCAGTATAAAAAGCTTCTTTCTCTTCCTCCTTCTCCTCCTCCTCCTCCTCCTTCTCAGGCTCCCACCTCCCAATCCGTCCACAAATATAGCAACCTGGTACCCATTCACCCTCAACTTCTCCTCCCAATTCTCCCCAAAATAAACCCCCGGATCCAAAAAAGAAATCTTCAACTTCGCCAGATGACTGCCAATATACTCTTCAACAAGATGATGACCACCGATGTAATCGCTTTTATTTCCTCGGGGGCCGATCCCGTCTGAGAAAACGTGGTCACGCGGATGCCAGAGTTTATATTGTTCTGTGTTGTGTATCCAGCCGAACCACCAGGTTATCACTTTTGAGGTGCAGGATTTCATGTATGTTGATGCTGCTATGTGGTGCATGCGGTCTTTTGTAAGGGCTATGCCGGCTTCTAGCTTCTAGGGGGTTGTGAGGAGGAGGTGGGCAGATTTGAGGGGGAGGCCGTATTCGGCGGGGAGGATTATGGTTAGGTTTGGGTTTGACATTTTAATAATTGAGTTGGATGGATGAATAAAGTTTGGCTTTGAGGTAGAGTTGGGAAAACTGGGATTAAATGATTGTGGATGTGGAGGAATATATGGGCTTGATATACAGGTTGTACGAAGTGGGGAGCGTTGGAGGTGGAAATGTGGGGAAATGAGGATAAGAGGGGAAGTGGGAAAGGACAGGAGCTTGTAATATTTGAATCTGGACTAAGATTCGGACTTGTGATATGGTTATTGCAATGTATTGCCTATTTAGATGAACTGGCACTTAAGGGGAGTAAAATGTTGAGCATTGTATAGTAGATGGAGGTTCACTTTGATCGGGACAACATTGCATAGATGGCTTATAGATAGCATCGATACTTCGAGATAGGAGCAACTATCAATCAAATGAATATCGAAATTATTTATAGTCAATGAAATCAAACGAGACCATGAGTGGTTTTAGAGATATAGTTCAGGCCGTCAAAGGAAATGGCCAATATTACAGAATAGCAATATTAGACATCCATTAATATCGAGACAAAGGACTACATATTGGACAGGAAGTTCTTTAATATAGATGATTCTACTGAATCAGAGTAAACAATTTTAAATTATCAGGTCTACCTCACCTATCCGTTGCATATCTCGTAACTATAACTGGAAATAAAATAGACAGTCGCAGTCACAATCACAGTAAACGCAAAACTGCAGTCAATCATCGAAAGAATAAAGAATAAAAACACAAGCAAGAAAGGTGAAATGCAAACCGCCAAGCTCAAGAAAAAAATCAAAAAAAGAAAGCAAAATAATAAGAAAAGAAAATCAAAAATCAAACCATAATATCGAATCCTCCAGAAGCCCATCCATCCATCACTCACGCCCCCGAACCCTCAACCCACAATACCACTCACATTCTCATGAAAATCTCCCCATACCGATACCTATCCCCCAAAATATCAACTCTCGTATCTTTATACCTCTCCTGCCTAACCCTCAGAACCCCCTTAGTAGCAAGCGTAAGCACATTCATCAAACCCTGCGTAGCAACAACCCTCGAAGTAGACTCCGGCGCTAACAACTCCGAAAACCGCATCTCCATTTGCCCTTCCCTTTCGTTCGAACTCCCCATCTTCTCTTGGATAAATTCAAAGAAATTCAAACTCTCTTGATCTAGTTGCCCCGCTACACGCTGAATAGCCGATACCCTTCTTGAAAAAGCCTGGATACTCTCGCGATCAGTTGCAAGTTCACCCTCAAGATATCGTGTTGTTTCGAGGTCTTCGTTGAAGAAATCAACTCCAGCGCCGATCCCGTCATCGACTAGTAAAGATAGACTTCCCTGTCGCTCGGATGGATCAAGGTATCCCCGTCCAGCGAGGGGAGAAGCACTTGTTAGACGGCGTGAATGGGAGTGCCTTAGGAGGCTGGTTTCGCCGAATTTTGCAGAGAGGTCACCTAGACTACCTAGATGTGCGATGCGGGAACTTTGGGCTGATGCGATGATATTCCATGGCATTAGGATTGATTGTTCATCCAGCAGACTCGAAGGTGCATGTCGGCCTATTTCGATATCAAGGGAGTCCAGTCTTTTGGTTTGAGGTCCACCGTTCCCGTTTCGATGTACTTCAGTATCAGTTTCCACCTCCGTATCTGGGTCTTTGCTAGGTCTGCCCGGTTTCTTGGGTGTGGTGAGCTGTTCCGATTCTCGACATAGGGCATTGAAAAGCGATATACCGGAGAAGCATTTGAGCGGATGATCTTTTTTGTTCTGGCCTAGGCCTATGCCTACATAACCTATTCCTTGACCGTAGACGTAAAATGCGGCGTTTTTCTTACTAGTCGTTTGGATCTTGTTTTGCTGTTTTTGATTCGACGCGTAGGCCATGTTGGAGGTGTATTCGTTGTTCCATTGTGCGAGGTCTGAATTGCGGACTGTTGTAGTGTTGTCGGGATCAATATATTTGATGATTCGGATTCGGTGTCGGACTTGTCGCTGGATTACAGGTTCGATGAGCTCATGTTCAACGGATTGGTTTTGGTTTTGGTTTTGATTCAACGGCTCTTCCCCAGTTAGATCAATGATCTGTTGCTCATGGATACTTGTACCATCAAGCTTCGTCATCTCAGTATCCCCATTTCCAACGAAAGCCATATCCGCAGTGAGATCCATACTATCTTCATTGTGATCAAAGACAACGAATCCATCATCAACCTGCTGAGCAGTAAACTTCCGTCTCTTCCTTGGTGAAAGATGACTAGCGTCAAACTCGAAAATAGCCCCATTTTCATCGAACTCGAAATCAGGCTGAAGCAAAATCCCCTCTTCATTGCCCAAGACCCCTGAGGGTTCGATTCCGAAAAGACTGCGCTTTCGAGTAGACACCGTTTCCTCATTGACGATATCAAGTATATGTCCATCACTTAGAATATCGTCCGAGCCGAGATCCAGATGGATACTAAGTCGCGAGGTGCTTGAGTTGCTCATTGACGGGGACTTAGCCCAGAGATTTGCTTTCTGGCTCATGTTTTCACCGACGATTATATCGAGGAGGGAGAAGTCGATGTTGAGACCGGGAAGATTGGCTTCGGGCATGAAAGATGGATCATAGGGTATGAGGAGACTGCTTGGTCTGTGCGATTAAGTATTGGTATTAAAATGCAGGGCTCAAAGGAGGAAATGAGAGGGGGATACTTGGTTTTCCCGGCACTGGGATCTAGTCCTCCTCCTGGGAGCATCTTTAGCATCGAGAACATCTTGTCGTGCATTGCTTGCGCGTCGAGAAGTGTATATCCGCACTGTTGATGGTATACTCTAGAAACACCATATCTGAGTGGAAGATGAAGGAGATCAGTGATCGAAGTTGGAGATGTAGATAGTTGGAATATGCGGAAGAGAAATTCTAAACATACAGCAAGTTTCCTTGTAGTCGTAAGGCCATAGGTGCTTGGGGATTAACGATGACTCTGCATGCTTCGGGCACGTCGACGTCAAGTATGGCTTTTCTGTTAACTCTCCGCGTGATGGATCGGGATCCAAGAGTTGCAACGAGCCTGGCGTGGGTGAGCAAGAATGTTTTTTTGGAGGGAGTAGTGGAGATGCTTACCAGATGGTTGCGACGCCATGTTCAGGTGATGTGAGTACTTGTAGAGGAATGAGTTAGGCCTAACGCGTTCGATCGCGTGGTATCTCAGTTCTGTGGGTGGGAGTCTTACTCTCGTGACTGTAGAACATCTTGACGAGTGTGCTTATATGGAGGTAGGGGTGGTGGGTTGAATGAGTAGTGGATGGTGAGATAACGGGATGATTTGATTGCGTTGAGTAAGTGAATGAGTAAATAAATGGAAAGCTGGATGGTGTTTTGTGCCACTTGAGTGGAAGTGAGATGTCTCAAGTCTCAGTTGTGCGTACTTTGAGTACGAGGCATGAAAAGGGAGCGGCGCGGGTGGGGTGGGAAATTATGATGGGGTGGATGATGAAGACGAGAAATCAATAGAGTAGATTTGAGCAGGATGAAAGTTGAATTATTTTGAAATGCACAAGATGGGATAAATTGCAGAAACAAATCGGGATGAAGTTCATGCTGAGATGGAAGAGTAAGAGAAAGCCCTACATTACAGGTACAAGTCCAAACAGTAACACAGTAACGCCGCCGCCCAGGTTGGATCAAGACACTTCATCTTACAAAGGAATCTAGCTGTTCACTGCATATCAACAGATAGGTATAGAATCTAATTATGAACCAGTTACATTGCAAGGAAATTTACTTTTCTTGTGCCAGAAAATGAACCCAAAGCACATCTACCAAGATCATACCAAGGACGGCGATATATGACCCGAACATAATAACCCAGAACGAGAAAAAGAATGAGGGATAAGATAAGAGGGATAGAGAAGATGGGAGGAATATGAGAAAAAAAAAAGAATGGGGAACAATCAAGAATCCATGGAATCTAAATAAGACAAAATGGCGAGATGAGACAAGACACCAACATCAGGAGCGATGGCTCCGCGGAAAAAGAACAAATGTAGGCAAACAAAAAAGAAAAGCGAGCCCGTATGATATATAGATCAGGCTGCTGATCGATACCAAGGACATGTAAATAGATAGATTTATCCAGCAACGGGTTGACTGCAACTAGACCCAACAAGGCTCAGACACATGGATGATGCACGGAGACACGGGGCCATGACAACGACAACGACAATACAACCACCGCTTTATAAATTGGTTTCATACAGAGATGAGCGGGTAATGGTGTTCGCAATTAGGCGCTTAGTCCAGAGGAATACCCTCGTACTCGGAGTAACCCAGAGCCAAGTTCATGTTCTCTGTAGGAATTTGTTAGTGTGATGATCACTTTGGGAATGGGGATCGGAATGATCATTTCGTGGGAATACTTACGGAGACATTGAGTGGCAGCACCCTTGAGGAGGTTGTCAATGGTAGCACAGACAACCACGCGCTTGCCGCTGGAGTGAACAGCGAAGCCGCCAATGTCAACACCGTGACGGCCAGCAATATCTTTAACGAGAGGGGCCTCGCCAATGACCTTGACGAGGTTCTCACCGGCGTAGCGGTCCTGATAGATGTTTCGAATCTCACGAGAGGTCATCTCCTTAGCCAGGGGGATGCTGATAGAGTGGGAGATACCCTGGAACCAGACAGCGACGTGGGGAATGAACGCGACGCTGGTACCCAGCTGAGCGCTGATCTCACGCTCGTGGATGTGGTCAGTCAAGCTGTAGGGAATGAGGTTGTTGGTGAGGAAGTTGACGTCGTTCTTAGGGCTGGGCTTGGTTCCAGCACCGGAGTAGCCGGAGACACCGAAGGTGGTAGGCTGACCACCGAGGAAGGGGACGAGAGGAGCAATTCCAAGCTGAGCGGCGGTAGCGTAGCATCCAGGGTTGGCGATACGGGTAGCACGAGCAATCTTGGAGCGGTCGACGAGCTCGGGAAGACCGTAGGTCCACTTAGAGTCGAAGCGGTAGTCGGCACTCAAGTCAATGATAACGTTGCCCTTGTCGGCACCCTCATCGACGGCATCGACGAAGGGCTTGCAGACACCGTTAGGCAAGGCCATAACCCAGCAGTCAACGTCACCGTTGGCAGACATCTTGCGAACATCATCGGGGCTGAGGTTCTCGTAGATGATCTCACGCTTGTCGTAACCCTTGAGCTTCTGACCAGCGAGCTCACGCGATGAAACGTGACGAAGATCCATGTTGGGGTGGGCGTTGAGCAGACTGATCAGAGCCTGGCCTGTGTAGCCACGAGCACCAATCAGAGCGATCTTGGCGGGGGCTGAGTTGGAGGCGTTCTTCTCACCAAGAGGGGGGTTAGGGTTGGTGGAGTAAGAGCGGATACCCTTGACGGCAACGGCGGGGCGCACGGCACGGGTAGCACGCAGAACGTTAGAGGCGGAAGAGAAAGCACGCTTCTGCTCAGCAGAGGCACCGCTGGCGCCAAATCCCTTGGGCAGGGAAGCAGCTTGGTGAGCGCGGTGAAGACGGGACTCAAGGTTGATGTCGCCGAACATCTGGCGGCCGTTCTTGGTGAACTCCTGAACCAGCTGCTTAACCTCCTCACCCTCCTCGACACCATACCAGAACAGAACCTCGCCGTCACGGCTCAGGCTTCCATCGGCCTTGTCGAAGAACCAGGTCAGGTTCTCGTCGTCCTCCTTGACAGTCCAAGCCAGCTTGGTGAAGTCCTTCTTGACGCTGGAGAAAACGTTGTCGGCAACGTTAGTCAACCAGCCGGACTTAGTGATGGTGAAAGTAGCCATCTGAGCGATCAAAGAGTTCTGCTGGGGAGGCAGAACAACGGCAAGAGCCTCCATGGGGTCATCAAAGTAGGCCTTGAAGTCAACATCCTTCAGGCCGTCAACGTAACGGTCAACAACCGCACGGGCATCCAGGCCTTCACGGTCACGAACCAGAACATCCTTCAGAGCCTGCAGGTCCTCGAACTCAGGAAGAGCGGTCTTGACGTGGATCTTGTTACCGCGACGGATCAGGGTACCAGCACCAGAGTCAGTGAACAGCTCCTTCTGCAAATCACCAGGGTGGATGATAGCCACGCTGGAAGAACGAGGAAGGTCGCTGAGAAGGTCCTTCATCTCCTTGATCTTAAGACGAGTACCGTGGCGCACCCACCACTGATTCATGAGGTGCTCATACTCCTCATCCAGGTTAATGGCAGAGATCTTCTCGCCAGTGTCACCGTTGAATAGACCGCCCTTCTCAGCGAGGTAAACGATCTTCAGCGGCTGCAGAGCACGGGCCAATTCACCGGCAGCAACGTCCGCATTGACGTTCAGGACCTGTCCATCGGGAGTCTCGGCCATGGAAGTCAAAATAGGAAGACAGCCCGCAGCGATTGCAGACTCAATAGGCTTCTTGTCGACACCATTGATCTTACCCACCAAGTTATACTTAGGCTTGTCCAGGTAGTCGGCGGAGAAAACGCCCGCAGTCAAAGGACGGGCACGCACACCCATACGCTCCAGCTCCTCCACCAGCTTCATGTTCTCCTCAAGGAACAGCTTGCGAGCAAGCGCCAAAGTCTTACCATCAGTCACACGGATTCCATCCTCGAATTGGGGCTCCACACCGGCAGCCTCAAGCATACGGTTCAGTTGGGGACCAGCACCGTGGACGACGATCGGGTAGAGGCCGACATGGTTCAAGAAAGCGAGCGCGGAGGACAAAGTCTGCAGATGCTCGGTAATAATAGCACCACCGACCTTGATAACAGCGAACTGCTGGGACGAGACGGAGGTGAAGTGAGAAAGGTACTGCTGGACCTCACGCTTAGAGCCGATATTGCTCAGTAGCTGAACAACGGTGTTCCGGGTTGAGTGCAGGTGAGGGTCGGCCGCACGAGAGTATGCACGGTCCTGGCGCAGGGGAGTTGAGGCAGCACGGGCGACAACACCGCGAAGGGGAGAGACGGTGTGTGGTGCGGAGATGGATCGGAGGGGCTTGGTGGAAGCTCTCCGCACAGCGGAGCGAAGGCACATCATCTTGCTCACCAACATGCGGCAGCTGCAATTGAGGGGAGATTTGCCGGATAGCAGGGAGCAGTCCCCCTTTTATGGAATCAGAAAAAGCGAAGGTTTTTAAAGTGGTGTGTGTAGAGGTGGGTATGAAGTGGGAGGGAAGAGAGGAAAGATAAAAAAGGCTCGGGAAGTATGACTAACTGCCCAGACCAGCACAGAGAGAGGTTTTCCCTCCAACAGAGATAATCGGCCGGGCCTCGGAGCGATTAAAGGCGGTGGAGCCACAAAAACTACTTAGCGAGCGATTTACTTCAACTGTTGCTCACCAAAGAATTGGATACTGGTACTGGGTACTAGGTACTTAGTAATTAGTTCATTCTTGGTACTGATTGCATGAATTATTGGCATTTTTATATCTCATACTTGACCCCCGTCTCGTTTTTTAGACATATCCCTCTATAAGCGCGATATCCCTATACGAATCAGCATTCATGAATATCTAACACAGTAAAAAAGGTCCCCTCTTAAAAAAAGCAAATATTCATAGCCCTGTCTCGTCTGTGTGTCGCAAGTTCCTACTCCATATATCAAAAGACGCTAAAATCTCTAGGGGAGTCAGATTCTTCACCACGGCAGTGATCGTCATTGTCAAAAATTCCCAAGCGAAGTCTAGCTCCATAAGATAATAATCAATCAGACAGTAAAACCCACACTGGAACCTCAATTGCGCCGAGATCCCTTGAAACGTCATCCGTATTGGATCTAGTCCCAGTTATCTGATCCTCTCTATGATTCTTACTCGTTCCATCCCGCCACGCAACTATCCACTTCCTCCACCCGATTTGTCTTACTTGGTCTAATTTTCGCTTGATTCCGCCGTTTCTGAATACGAGGCCTGATAATCTGCTCGGAACCTTACCGTTTTCTGCATCAGATAAAAAATTATCTTCAGCAAGTGGGTCATGCCAATCAATCGGCATGTGGTGAGAACCGGGCACGACGAATCCGAATGGTCGGGGGACCCAGCGATGGGGACTACGGTAGTTAACCGACTCGGAAGAGCAGACGGAGATGGACGGAGGGTCCATTATTGGCCGATCTTAGTAGAAAGTAGAAAAAGAGAAGGGGAAAAAAGGCGTGAGAAGAGAGAGAGAAAAAAGAGAGGAATAACATCCAACACAGAATATTCCAAGTTGCATAATAGTAACATACTCAAACACAGCATCAGCGGTACAGTATCATTTACATCTTTCCCCTTTCCTGAACACGAACTTTATTCACCAAATTCCATGGGGCTAGAGGAGTACGCCCAGTCGATATGGACGGAAATTCAGCTCATTTCATTGCAAGCACAATAAGCACCCCGTAGGAAGGGGGAGAGTGAGAGTCAAGAAGCATATTGGTCATTCAGAACACGCCCAAAAACAAAAAACAAATTATAACATAACAGCAGGAGGTATTAGCAGAAGCAGGGGAAGAAAACGACGGAGCTCCATGGCATCGAAACCCCATTAAACAAAAGTCCAGATCCCATGTTCGCAAGAGAAAAACACAATTTCACGCATCACGTATGCGAAGCAATCGCACGCTCCCCACCACTTAATGTTTTGTTGCTAAAACGGCTATTTGAAAAAGGAAAAAGTTAGCTTTGAAATGTTCCGACGCCCAAATGACATGTAACAAATGATCCAGGGACAGAGCCCAGCAGAGCAACTCGCGGAAGCAGGAAGTGTATACTCACAGGGCACAATGATGACCACCAGCAGGATGATCACACAGATGACCAGACATACACGCATCTTCATATCCTTCCACCACATCTGCTTGCGCACGCGATTGGCGCCCCGGCGGAATCCCTGAGCTGATACAGCCAGGTTGTCGGTCTTATCCTGCAAAGAATCCAGGCGCTCACCACGTTGAGAAACCTTGTTGATGTTTTCGCGCATCACACCAACGGTATCATCGATTTGCTATTAGACGGAATGCATATTAGTTTGTGGCCACACGCGATTAAGGCCCAAGCCTTGTCTCCAGATCCTGCCTGCCTGCGAACAAGAACAAGGCGCGCACAATCCACCGTATTGATAAATATGCGACGACATGTAGTTACAGGTTGGAGGCGCGGTTCTTGTGAAAGGAAGGGTCACTAACTGCTTGTAGCTGAGCAGTGCGCTGGTTGCCATTCTGCTGGGAGGCGCCACCGGCGGTAGCTCCGGTCTGGTTGGCGGGGATATAGGGGTCGTAGGGGGCTTCGTTGGACATCGTGATGAGGAGAGCTGGTATCGAGAATGTTAGATGAAGTTCTATGGGCTGTTTGGGCACCAGGGCTGTCTCGGTAGAGTAGTCAGGGTCCCTTTGTTTGGACGGGGGTAAACGAACCCGAGTTGGCGGCTGAAGCGACTAGAAAGGGGGTAACGCAAGCGAGTTGTTCAAGGCTCAAGTGATCGCAAAGACCTCGTAGAGTTAAAGAGATAAAGGATGTGTGAAATGGGGTTTGAGATGAACTGGGGGACTGGCTGTGAAGCTGACAAGTTGGAGTTGCCGCTGATGGCGGGTTTGGAGTCACGTGAGTGTGGCGCTGTCTCAAAGCGCAGCGAATTCGTTTTATGCTAATTTTGGTTCAATTAATAATTTTAATTGTATTATTTGGTTTAATGGGAGCCTCAATTCCAGGCCACTAGAGACGACTATTTTATAGACTATATGGTTCTAGCCTGTTTGCCATTGAGGTTTGTAAAGGGGCAGATGCCTTGTGTACACTGGCAGTTTCAAGGTTGTCTGTCTATGGGGGAATACTAACTGCGAAATACTCGAAACACCCCTTTCAACGTTGAATTGCATTTGTCGCAGATCTTATTAGAACATGCTCTCGATCATTCCGCATATTTAGCGACATACATATACGACATGTTTAAATAATTCCGATCGGCCCCTATACCTGTGGGGTTCAAAAGGATTATGTGGCTGCCTACCATTATTTGTTGGCAGAACTATATGGAGTCCGGACACTACGGACACGTTGCTTGAGGAACGCGCTACGTATCGGACTACGCTAAACTTAGCAACACGCTCCGCTTCTATGTACTTCGGCTACTAACTGCCGCGCCCGTGGTATTTATGAACTTGAATGTCAACTACAACATCCTTAAATGGTTTTAGTAAATTAATTTTACCAATAATTTACTGCATAAAATATGAACAGTCAATGATACAAAAATAAATCATCCGCCAGTCCAGAAATGAAACGCTGCTGTTTCCGACTGGGGATATTAGGCTCAACTGTGTAGATATTGGAGGGAGCGGATTTCCCGATCGATCTTGAGAAATCATTAAACTTTCGGTTCTGAGATGCCGGATGTCAGGGAATATCGTATATGTGTGTCTCTGTACTATACGTTATCTATTGATCGCTGCACAAGAAGAGGCTCAAGTGCCATGTGAAATGTGCTCCTCGCCAGCATCCAGATCTGGGATTCACCATTAAAAGCACGCAATATAATAAGCTGTAGTCTTTAAAGACAATTTGTGAGTTAGTAGCAACCATACAGCCCTGGAGCCGCCGTTGGATTTTCTTCAACACAGGCATTGTCACAGAACCGGTGGCAAGGGTATATTTACCTCCACGTATAGCTCGGTCGCTGTCTCATAGCTCTTCGAATTATCAACGCTATTCTAGGATTTTGCATGACTCACAGGCATTAGCCTATCTATTGCTCCTGTTGGGGCAGTTATTGGGTCGTGGGCTTATGAAATTGCGAACGAATGACTGAGCCTCTACGTGTATGAGTTATTTTTATTCATTCCATGATATTGAGCCTTGCTCGAGATTAAATTTGTGCTTGACTCTTTATAGCGAACGAGATAGCAAATGCTAGAGCTCTAAATTAATGGCCTCCAGAACAGACACGTCGGATCCCAAACTCCGACCAATCGCTTCAGTTCTTTCGCTTGATTCTCTGTAAACAGCTCATCAGCCTTCGTATCAGGGGCAATATTGTTCAACAGAGTCCGGGGTAACTCTGAAGTCAAACTGCCCGATCTATACAAGGCTTTGATCTCCTTCGAAAACTCATTCGAGGCAGCCTCTGTGCTGTCTGTGGATGACCAGCTGAATATCAGGACATTGAAGCCTCTGTCACGGTTATCGAAGTAGCGGGCCTTTCCCTCTGGCGATTGGCTAATCTCCATATTCTTGTCTTTGCTATAGCTGCTCAGAACCAGGGTTGTACGCTTTGCATCCGCGTATTGCTCTGTGAAAACAAGCCACTTCTGAAATGCAGTTGTGATTGTCTCAGGTACAACTTTACTTAAAGCGGCAGACTGAATATCTTTCCGATCGCCCTTTACGTCAAAGTGCGCTAACGCATCGTTTAGTTTTGCCAGTTGGGTTGGCGCTGTTACGGCGACGATGGTCTTGGAGGTCACTGCTTTGTCGAACAAGATTGGAAAAGCAGACTCGGCATCGGTAGCTGGGCCGTAGTACGTAACAGTTAGAATAACCATGGGAGCACCTGGCTTGGGAGCAGTTGGTGGTGCTCTGGCGAATACGAGTGCAGCCGTGCTCTCTGGGGACAGGGGCTGCAATTTCTCAAAGACTGTGGCTGCGGTCTCGAGTGCTGGCGGTGGGAAGATGAGTCTGCGAACCCAGACGCCCTCTTCCGCAAGGTGCAGATTGCTGATAGGGAATATTTTCAAAGTCAAAGATGTGATGACACCAAAGCCATGCCCTGCCCCACAAATAGCATTGAACAAAGCGAGTTCGTCGCCCATGGAAGATGGGCTAACTTCCAAAGCTTTGCCTTCGCCTGTAACCAAGCGAACGGACAGGACCTGGTCAATCTGCATTCCGTGTATCCCCGCCAAGGTCGGCTATATAATACCGGTATTAGTTATTTGTTTTAAACTTTTGAGGCTTTACTCACGTTGCCTCCGCCCAGAATGCCACCGATAAAGCCCACTGCGTTACTATTGGTCCATGTTGTATAGAAGCCCTTCTCAGTGACGGCTTTGATCACCTGTCCCGTTAAAACGCCACCAGCTACTGTGATAGTATGAGCTGTGCTATTGACAGATACCTGGTTGAATTGCTTCATGTTCATATATAGAGTCTTGGAACCAATTGGTACAAACGAGCCATGGCCACCACCAGCGGGTAGTACTTGCAGTCCGGTACTTTGAGCATAATTTATGGCAGCTTTGATGTCTTCTTCTGATTCAGGGACAACGACAAGGGCAGGGTGTGCAATGATTCCCTTATCAGACCATCTTGAGACCGACTGAGATGGTGGGGTAGAGCGATCTGGGACAATCACTTCGCCTTTGATTTGAAGGGTTGTCATTTTGCACAGGAGGGGTTTTTTGCGCTTCAAAATAAGTAAGAATCAGCGATTCTGGGCGAAGGCTGCGGCTTTTGAAGGACTTGCTGTTGCTTACTGGAGCCTTAAATCAGCAAAATCTCCAATCTCCGTATCAATCTTGAAATTAGGAGGTTTTGGGGGCTAAAACCAAGGTTTTCGTCCTCTGAGGTATGTGAGGTAAGCATCTGCTTGGCCAATAGCCTTGCATGGAGTCAGTCCTGTCCCATCCCATTCCTCAGCCTACGTAAATAATGGATCAACAATTTCGTTCCTATTCACAATATGGTTTGTTGGTGGTGTGTCGAATGATCTTGAAGTTTTCAACCTCCTACCTGCGACATCACGTCCATGGATTGATTATAAGATTTCAAGGTGACTGGACAGGCGCAGAACCTTGGAAATAATGACAGCGCCCAGGTATATGCAATGGGAGCAGGAACTGGTTGAAGACAGTTCAACAAGGCCTCAGTGTCTTTGATGATATACTCTTTTCCCTGCCAGTGGGCACCGGCCTGGTTCAGATCATTAGTACGAAAGCCAAGATTTCAAGAGACTTTAGCGACAAAGCAAAATGATTCAGAAGGTTGATACTACCACTTGGATTTTTATCGGCTATTTTATCAGACTTCATGAGAGATCAGAGATTTGAATCCCATATTCGATATACTGTGAGTTCAACCTGCAGCGAAAGGAGCAAAGATAATGTCTTTAATGATCCTTTTTTTAGAAAGCTTATGCACAGCATGCTGTGAAATACAACCCTATTACGTTCTACAGCGGCTTTGTAAAGGAAAAGACTGCTCAATCGTGCCGGCCTGGTAATGATAATAAGAAGGCTGGGAAGGACTAGTATACAACTGTAAAATTTTCTATGACCTGAGAAGCAGAAAATCACATTCCACTATATTAAATCATAATATGAGATAGATGGAATTGTTAAAATCTCCCAGTCCGAGGTTGCCAAGCTTGTCAACTACAGCATGCCTCTTCTACTGTGCAGCTGATCCGGTTTCCTACGCAAATTATAATTGATGGGTATAGTCTACAAAGACAGCGTGAGGGCGCGTGACAGACGGCAATAATACTAGGAGAATGATACGAAGCCTCGGTTCACATTTATCTGAGGTCATTCGCGATGTATCTGTCTTGGATTAAGATCCACATACTGACCCTACTTGATGTTGAGTCATGCTCTAGTGCAAGACATTGTGGGTTGTTCTGTCGGTGTTTTTTCTTCCGGGGCGCCGTATCGCAGAATCGTTGAGGACGGGGAAGTCTCGGAATTCGGATCTCTCAGCAGTTCAGGTGGAACTGCTGATGGATGCGCGTGAGATCCAAGGGTATGAATAAATGTTACTGTTTTAGTGACTTGCTGTTTCGATCTAGGAGTGAGACATTAGATCATTTGCATCATTGTGGCTCGGTTGCCTAGAGTAGGAAGGCACGGATGTGGCGCAGTTGGTTGAGGCTGGTGGTTTAGAGTGGCGCAGCAATGTCTCAGGTTTGAGCGGATCATTGTGCTTCCGGCTTCCGGCTGCCGGCTTCCATTCAGATTCGAATCTACGGAGCAACTGCGGGCAAGTGTTCGCACTATTGAAGTCTTAATCTTTAGCTTTTTCTTTTTTGTTCTATTTTCTCTTCTTTGTGTGGTTCCCCACACTAGAGCCCTGTGACGTCGTTGGATTTCTCTTTGATGCTATTTCCAGTCCTTGGGGTTATTCAACACATACAGTAGGAAACAGTGTTCAGTATTCTGTGCGATGCTCAGATGAACAGAATAAGTTTGCTAGAACCGGGCAAAGGGGCCATTCCTCTGATCAACATGTACGTTCCTGCATCAGCAGAAAGGGGCCTGGTTGGGCATGAAAACCTGTCGGGTCCCTCAGAGAGTGGGGGCCTTGAATCCCGTATGTACACTTCGGCAACAGAGCCCTGGAGCCTTAGGGAACCGACATCGAATCGGAAGAGAGAATAGGCTTCGTACGTGATATGGGTCAAATTGGCGAATGGGCCAAGACGATGGAAACATGTCTATAACGGTAGCTGCAGCAGTGTGACAAACAAGGCATCCCCAGCGGCTAGAGTATTGTATCTGGGCCCAAGATTGTAATCTCACATAGCGCAATATCATGTATCATATCAGTAACTTGTAACAGTTACGGAGTAATTAACCCCTGATCGTCAGGTACAGGATTTCACTTCAAGGCGTCGGTATTACTCGCGCGCTTTGAGGATTTGTCGAAGAATGCTCAGGTGTACGGAGTACATAGAGATATGTCTGGGAACTCCACTTGCTAGAACCACGGTTATCCGATTCCCCTTGGACCGTTGACGTTGAAATTGGAATCCCAAATAATTCATGACAATGACGGCTTAATGTGGGTCGGGAGGTTTTATTAAAGTCACCTGTTATCCTCTTCAATCCCATTTCACTATCTCCCCGCGTCACGAGAATTCACATACAATTCAATGTATCTGTTACTTTTACTTCTACTCCGGTTAGTTTGGAAATCCTGGAATGTGTGATTCTTCGAAATGCTTCCAAGGGCACGTGCCTAGCTTTGCGGGGTGGCTCATGTGTTTTTCGGTTCAAACTGACGTTTTTTTACCAGCCCTTGAAGACACTCCTTGCATTCACGACAAACCAACGACACCACACATCCCTCCCCGAATAAACAACACTCCGCTGAGAAATCCAAAATACGTAAATAGGAAGGGAGAAGCGCTTTTCTTCCCCTGGCCAGAGTCATGGCATACTCTCAGCGGCCAGTTCAGAGGCCCCCGCCTCTGAGGCAGTACAATAATTCTCCGGCCCCTGGTGGATATGCGACCGATGCTATGTACGGTCAAGATCCCGGTTACGCTCCTCCAGATGCCGGCTATGCAGACCCAGGACATGATACTCCATCCTCATATGGATATCAGGGAGGTCCGCCCGGTCCTTCCGGTCCTCCACCGCCGCAGTCACAACCTCGCTCTATGCGCCCGCCAGGACCCTCGGGGTCAGGGCGCCCGCCCCCAGGATATGATGGTCGCCGTGGCTACCCTGGCGATAGACCACCACCACAAGGACGATCCAGGACTCGTAAGTGAATTGCGCATTCGTCTACTTTCACGTTCAAATCTGACAGAAATATCTGTAGCCGGAGGAGGTCGTCCACCGCCTCGACAAGGCGAAGGCTTCGATGGCCCATTCCCCGCTGTTCCTCCTGGACGAGACCCGCGAGACCCTCGGGGCCCTAGAGATCCTCGAGATCCTCGAGACCCTCGAAGCAGACGTGGTCCTCCCCCTGGCGGATTAGACAGAGACATGGCCGCGATGGATATCAATGGCCGACCACCTCGCGATGGACGAAGACCAGATATGCGGGGTCCTCCACCACGCGGACCGCCACCTGGTCGTGGCCGAGGAGGTTACCCTCCAGGCCCTCCGCGATCTGGAAGGCCGCCCATGGGTCCGAATGGTCCTATGATGGGACCTCCACGAAGCGCGACAATGCCATTGCGTGAACCTCCGCCCGGTGCAGGATACGGCGATTACCCGCCCATGAGTCCGATGGGTGATGTGCCTCCACGCCCCAGCACTGCCGGTAGCTCGCGACCACCACGCGGTCGACCTTACAATGATATCAATCCTTCCTTGATGGTTCCTCCTCCTGAACCTAGTGGCTTGATGGCTCCGCCTCCCGATCCTACCAATCGGGTCTCATACGCACCGAAGGACTTCCTAGACAGCTATTACGAGGGCACACATGAAGATGAGCCTGATATGCCCAACTTTGACGCTATGCCTCATTCGAACGGTCCATTAGATGAGATGGGATTGGACGTAAAGCCCAAGGCCCAAACACCAGTTTCTCCAGCTTCTCCTGGCAGCGGTCAGTATGCGCCCTATACCCCCGGTGGTGGACCTTCAACGCCGCATTCGCAGTCTCAGCCCAGCCTACGTGATGGTACTGCACCCAACCAATTCGAAAACGCCGGCTTCAATTTCGATATTGCTGGCGGTGATCACTCCCCAGCTGCATCTGGATACGGCCATTCGCCCAATGGAATAGATCAAGCTGGTGGCTATTTTCCCAATGGTGCCTCGCCCTATTCGCCTGGTTCATCTGGTACCCCTGGGCCACCGGGACCACCAGGGCCACCAGCTCAACAGGGATTCTCTTACGAGCAACAACAAACCCCAGATGCTCAGCAAAATGCCGATGCTTTGCCTTCTCACCCGACCCCGTTCCGACCGGGCCATGATGCGAAACCCGCTCCAGTCCGAAACTACAACAATACCCCTGCGCCTACCCAAGCACCAGTCGCACCTTTGCCACCGACACCAGATGGACAAGGTCCAATCACACAAGATGCACTTGCCAGGCTGCAACAAAAGGCACAGGCAAACCCATCCGACCCAGCAGCGCAACTTGCTCTGGCCAAGGGACTAGCTGAAGCTGCTACTGTCCTCGTTGCTGAAAACAATCGTCTTGACCCCAGGACAAAGGCAAAGGTGAAGGAGAAGTATATTATGGACGCTCTCAAGATTGTGAAGAAGCTATCTTCCTCTGGATTCGCAGATGCACAGTTCTATCTAGCCGACTGCTATGGAGAAGGCCTTCTTGGCTTAGAAGCCGATCCTAAGGAGGCATTCAATCTATACCATTCTGCTGCAAAGAACGGTCACGCTCAGTCTGCATACCGAGTGGCCGTCTGCTGCGAAATCGGTCAAGAAGAAGGCGGCGGTACTAAACGGGATCCCTTCAAGGCTGTCAATTGGTACAAACGTGCCGCAGCTTTAGGCGACACACCCGCAATGTATAAGATGGGTATGATCAGTTTGAAGGGATTACTCGGTCAAGCTCGCAGCCCTCGCGAGGGTGTATCATGGTTAAAACGCGCAGCCGAGCGTGCGGACGAAGAGAACCCCCATGCTCTCCACGAGCTTGCACTTATGTACGCCACCGCATCTGGTAACGACTCCATTGTACGCGATGAAGCATATGCCAGCCAACTCTTCCACCAGGCCGCCGAACTAGGATACAAGTTCTCACAGTTCCGCCTTGGTACTGCCTATGAATACGGATTGATGGGATGTCCAGCCGACAACCGCATGAGTATTATTTGGTATACTCGTGCTGCAGCTCAAGGCGAGCACCAGAGTGAGCTCGCGTTGAGTGGTTGGTACTTGACAGGATCAGATGGCGTTCTACAACAAAGTGATACGGAAGCTTATCTCTGGGCTCGGAAAGCAGCTACAGCCGGTCTGGCGAAGGCTGAGTATGCAATGGGATACTTTACTGAGGTTGGAATTGGTTCAGCCGCTAATATGGATGATGCCAAGCGTTGGTACTGGCGTGCAGCGGGTAAGCAGGAATCAATTCACTTCTTTCGTCTCATTAAACAGTGGCTAATATTATCTTTCACAGCCCAAGGATTCCCCAAGGCAAGAGAACGCCTCGAAGAACTCAAGAAGGGCGGAGGCAGAATGCAAAAAACCCGTCTCTCTCGTAACAATATGAACAAGCAACAAGGAGACGGAGATTGCGTCCTGATGTAAAGCCTTCTTTGCCTCCTTTTGGTCCCTTTCTTCCCTTTTCTTCCCTTCTCTTCTCTCCTCTTTTCTTCTCAAATTCCCTCTTTCTTACGACTTAAATTTCTTCTCTTCCTGTTGCTATTCTATTCCCAATCCTGTCAGCGAACTCCAACGATCGATTACAGAGTTCAGGTTCTACTCAACTCATGCACATCCTAATGACCCCTACCTTTTTGCACAATGACCTGCTTTTCTCGGTGATACCTGTCACTAATTCACACGATTTGATTTTGTCTGTACAATTCTTTGCTCTTATATTCTACAATACTTTCACCCGCTTGGGTCTTGGTTTCGTTCCGCTTCGCTTCGTTCTTGGATAAGGGGTTCTCTGGTTTTTTCTTGTTTTTACTCGGGACAGAGACACGATTGATTGGTATGAAAGGCAAATACCCTGAAGCTAGGCTTGGCTGGATTTGCATTTGCATTATTTTTCTTATAGAATGGGTTTTTGTGGTGAGGTGGATATATAATTGGCTGAATAGCTTTTGTGTTCAGCATGCCACAACGTGATTACGATTTCTAAATTTTATTTCTTTTCCAAGTCCTGGCGGTATTCAAGATTATCTTCAAGGCTCTACCAGCTTCAAGTTCAAGTTGAATGCGTCAAGTGCTGCCAGTGGTAGACGCTATATCCGTATCACCGAGCGGCCCCATTCCGCGCTGGCTGACACACATCGGCTCGGCTTATGCATCGGCTCTGAGTACTTCCAAGTTCCGACGCGATTTCTCATATAACACCGAATTGATTCTATTCCTGACCAATCATTACATATACATATGTACTCGGAAAGCAAAGTTCCTTCGAAGAACTTTCTTTAACCAATAGTCGATTTACCCTCCGCCTGGACTACTTGAATCTCCAGAACTGAATATATGTCTTCCGAACCCCACCAAGCCAACAACAAAGATCATACACCCGCAGTACCTGGATCGAATAGTCTTCCAAGCTCCAATCCTCGCAAATTGATTATCATATCTCTCCTCACGCTAGTCGTTGGGATATTTATCGCGGTATTTTGGAAGAGTGGATCCGCCGAGTTGTTCGCTTTTCGTCGTGTGAAACATCCGGTTGCTGGTGGTAGTGTTTCTCGGGTTCTTTCTTCGTCTACTGCTGGGAAAAATACAGCTGCGCCAACACAAAAGATATCCTCGGATATATCGTCGAAGATGGGACCGAAGACTCCTATTTACTTTCTGAGCCATGGTGGGGTAAGTCATTTCATTGAAGTGTCCTATGCTATACACACGTTCTAGATATTTTCAAGTTGTCGCATATCATTCATGATCTATCTATATGAACAAACGATGAAGCATCTTCATTCCGTTTGCATAATTTGAAATTCTTATGTTAACATATCCCTTCAGCCAAACGTTATGTACCAAGTCGATCACCCTGCCTATCGCAAACTAGGCGAAATCGGCCGTGAAATAACCACGAAGGTAAAGCCTCGCGCTGTGGTAGTTTTCTCTGCGCACTGGCAAGGAGGCAGGGATACGATTTACGTGAATACGGCGGAGATGACAGATTTGATTTACGAGTAAGTCATTCATCTCACCTACTTATGTGGTAGTTCAGTTGCGCAACATGGGTACATGGGAGTAAGCTAATGATATAATTAGCTTCTATGGATTCCCAGACCACTATTACAAAGAGAAATACCCGAATGTAGGAAGCAAGGAAGTCGCGCATAAAGTTCTGGACGCACTACATGATGCCGGAATCGAGGCACAAGGCGTAAAGCGCGGACTCGATCATGGTGTTTGGGCAAGCTTCAAGTGTGGTACGTACCATGATCATGATCATGATTCATATTGATCCAATGTACAACAGTTATTATAAGAAGAAACTAACATTCCCAGCCTTCGAGCCGGACGAAAACCCCCTAAATGTTCCCGTTGTCCAGGTCTCGCTCTTCGACACCGAAGATCCAGTCCAGCACTATCGTCTCGGAGAAGCGGTTTCGAGACTTCGCGACGAGAATATTCTTATCATCGTGTCCGGAATGGCGGTACATAACCTTCGCGATCTGCGGTATACATTTGGGAAGCCGCAGCCCCTTCCTTACGCTGTTAGTTTCGACGAGGCGCTTAAGGAGGCTGTTACTACTTCTCCTGCGGAGAGGGAGAAGGCTTTGAAGGATTTATTGAAGAGGCCTGATGCTAGACAGGCGCATCCGACTTTTGATCATTTGTTGCCTATTCATGTTGGGGCTGGTGCTGCGGGCGAGGATCTAGGGAAGAGGCTTTGGACATTGCCGGAGGGGAGTATGAGTTGGGCGCAGTATCGGTTTGGGGAGATTGGAGGTGCAAGTGCAAGTGCAAGTGGAACTGGGAATGCTAGTTCGTTGTAGATTAGATTCAGTATATTGAGATTGCGAATATGATGCTGATCTGGTAGTAAGCTTTGAGATTTGTAAGAATCAATCATTTAATTGTTCTGTGCTGGTTCATGGAATAAAATATTGTTTATCGGATTGAAGATATCGTGGAAAGAATGCGTGATTGGGTTCGATTTTCATCTATAGGTACACAGGATTGTAGAACGGGAAACGCGCAATTGCGGAGGAACATAAGGTAATGAGGATTTGATTGATGAGGAAGAGAAAGGAAAGCGGCGTTATGAGGTCTGTTTCACCAAGGTGGTGATGCGCTCTTCAATCTGTGCGTCGGAGAGACCTGTTTCACGTCAGCGATTGTTGTTCGGGAGTCGGATCAACCGGCGATTGATGGTGACAAGATAACTCACCAGAGAGCGCTTCTTGTGTCTCTTTTCCGAGATCTGTAACCCCAGATCTTGCGTTAGCGATATATTCAAGTCTTCGGATGTAACCATCATGAAATGAGGAGTGTCTCGTACCGTATCGGGCAAAAACCCGTGGAACGGTGCCGGAAGCCTCGCGCATGAGGATAGGAGTGTGAGGGTTGTGCTTTTTCATGGTAGGATAGGCGCGGTTAAGGAAGGTTCTGTTATTGTGACCGTTAGCCAATGCATCCGGGGAGACGAGACGGGACGGCGTGATGAGGTGAGGCCCAAGCCATTCGGGGACAGGGACATACCGTGTGGCAGCGCTTTGCTCAGAAGTCTGGCAGAAAAGGAAGCGGAGCTCCTTCAGGCCCTTGGTAAAGACGTATTTGCCCGACATGGCGGAATGGCGTGTAGTTATGATTAGGAGGGGGAGGTATCAGAGAGATCCAGCAAGAGAAAGAGAGCATTATTCACGAGCCCCGTGATTCGCTCAGACAGAGATGGCATCCGCTATACCAAATCCAGACTAGCGTATATGGATTACATAACCCCGGAAAAGGACCGCGAGCAACGACTAGTCATAATCCAGAAGGTATAACCTAGCTCTGTCAATTGGTATTTGGAGAAGGTTGAAGACTCTTATCTCAGTTTGAGTATCATATTTTTATACGCAATTTACAGGTTGTGGGTGTTATATATACTGTTGTGAATTGTTCCCGGCGGAAAACTTGCTACTCCCGATCACCGGCCGATCCCGCCCTTCTTCCCTCTTCACTCCCCCAGTCGCCATATCTCAAACGGTCACGATGTCGTCGCGCTTGGGTTTCCGATTCCTTAACAACACACGCTTTGCCTTCCGCAATGGCTCTGGTCCTTTCCGCCGGCAGGCCGGCCAGGGCTTCCGCTTCCAGAGCTCCGAGGCCGGAGCTGGAGAGCAGCAGAGCACCTTCCAGCGCATGTGGAACAGCCCTGTTGGTGTGAAGACTGTACACTTCTGGTATGTTGATATGCTTCGTTTCTGGTCAGAAGTGTTGGTTTGGTTGCATCTTGCTAACCTTGGCGTTTTTACAGGGCCCCTGTGATGAAGGTACGATTATGACTCCGTGAACGCCATTCCTATCCGAAGAAACGCACCCCCCCCATTATACCTAGATATGCGTGGATAACAGCGGAAATTGGAATCGACCATATAACAGCTGTGATTTGTGGTTTCATCGACGTCAATTGCTGACGTATAATATTCTTTCTACAGTGGGCTCTGGTCATCGCCGGTATCTCCGACTTCCAGCGTCCCGCCGAGAAGCTCTCCCTTACCCAGAACGCGGCCCTGATGGGTACCGGTGCCATCTGGACTCGCTGGTGCTTGATCATCAAGCCCCGTAACGTCCTGTATGCTTCCCTGCCCTAATTCCAACCCTTCCGGTCTCGAAATTGGAACAAAGCACGCTAACATAATTACAGCCTTGCCGCCGTCAACTTCTTCCTCGGATGCGTTGGTGTTGTTCAGGTCTCCCGTATCTATATGTACCGCAAGAGCCTCGAGGAGTCCCCCGTGGAGGCCGCTAAGGATCTCGAGAAGGAGGTTGTTGACTCTGCCAAGGGTGTTGTCACTGCTACCGAGGACGCCGTGAAGACTGCCGTTGAGAAGAAATAGACTGTGCTATACGATCCATGGGGCAGTTCGTTTGAGTTTGATGGGGATAGTGCGGGTGCAAAGAGAGAAGACAGACAGGATTGCATCTAGATTGGTTTCATAGAGGCCTTGGAGTTAATAGCGAGGCCAGCGCTCGGCTCGACTCTGCCTGGCATGTCCAGTGGGAGTTGATCGAGAAGTCTATTACCCTTTTGCGTTGTTACCTGTTTTATTCATGGAGACCCGCTGTACATATACACTATGGCAAAAAAAAAAATTTTGTTCTCATCTTATACTGATGTCAGTAGCCCAGAGCGTAGAATCTCAGCATTGAGTAGTAAATATTGTTGACGGTCTGATTGACTCAATCCCATGCCACATCTCAAACAATTCCAAGATATAACGATCGCAATAGTACCCGGTAATAATAAAAATGTCATTGGCTTGGCGACCAACTCTGCATGATTCTTAGCCTGATATGCACAGTCCCAACCTTCCGCCATTTCCCCGGGTTTTTCCCCCCAATCGGTGAAATCCACCGTCAACTTTCCTCCTATCGGATTCACGATATGAGCTCCCCTCGGTCAAAACAACATGAGACAAGCACTCCAATTTCCGAAATATTCACGAAAAACACGCCAATTCAACATATTCAGCATTTTCAACTCTTAGCTTCCCCACAAGCGACGATGCCGTTTCCCCGGACAATGACTGTGCACAACGCCATACCCCACATCCACCTCCATGGAATTGGTTAAGGCCGACATGAGTTTCGCCAGGGATAGTGAATTGATTTAATTATTTGGTAGATACGACCATATAAGAAGTAGCTCATTCGAACTTTGGAATTGCAGATCTGTACCCATACTTCCCTTCCCCACCTTACACTCACAATGAAGATCTCCAGTTCTTTCATCCAGGCCACAGGCCTTCTATTGTCTCTTGGTGCCGTGGCAGATGCTAGATCTGTCACCCCGGCGGCCAAGGGATACTCGCGAACTGAAGCATGCAAGCCACACCACCCATTCAAGCCTTTCCCACCCAGTCAACCGCGTACAAAGACATGTCACGTATCCAGCCATGGGGATGGACGTGACGATGCCAAGTATATTCTTTCGGCGCTGAAGGAGTGTAACAATGGTGGCAAGGTTGTGTTTGATGCTGAAAAGCATTACACAGTCGGAACAGCTTTGGACATGACCTTCCTTAAGAATGTGGATCTCGGTATGCAAAGTTCGAAGATACAGATTTTCTTCTCCTAACTGACATCATGAACAGACATCCAGGGCTATATCCAGTTCACCAATGACACTGATTACTGGCAGGCAAATGCTTTCAAGCAGGTCTACCAGAATGCCACCACCTTCTTCCAGCTGGGTGGAGAAGACGTCAATGTCTACGGTGGTGGTACGCTCGATGGCAATGGCCAGGTCTGGTATGATCTCTATGCTGAGAATGCTCTTATCTTGAGACCTGTTCTGTTCGGAGTTATTGGACTAAATGGTGGTACTATTGGTCCGTTGAATCTTCGCTACTCACCTCAGTGGTACAATTTCATTGCCAACTCCACGAATGTGCTGTACGATGGAATCGATATCGCGGGGTACAGTAAGGACTCTATTGTCGCTAAGAATACTGATGGATGGTATGTCCCTTTGACGAATGTATAGAGAATTATTTGGCTGACACTAACAGGGATATCTATCGTTCGTCCAACATTGTCATCCAGGACTCAGTTATCAACAATGGCGACGGTATGCCTTTGCACTTTCTCTTCGCGAGGATTCAACTGACTGTTAAATAGACTGTGTCTCCTTCAAGCCTAATGTCACCGACATTATTGTTCAGAATCTCCACTGCAACGGTTCCCACGGTATCTCCGTTGGATCATTGGGCCAATACGTGGGCGAAGTCGACATTGTCGAGAACGTTCTTGTCTACAATATCTCGATGTTCAATGCATCTGTAAGTAACCCGGATCGAATGTTGGAGCAACGATATTAATATGAACAAGGACGGTGCTCGTATCAAAGTTTGGCCTGGTGTTTCTTCTGCTTTGTCTGAAGATCTCCAAGGTGGTGGTGGCTCAGGCATGGTGAAGAACATCACCTATGACACCATGTATATTGACAACGTCGACTACGCCATCGAGGTCACCCAATGCTACGGACAAAGCAACCTGACTCTTTGCAATGAGTTCCCTGTAAGTCACCACCAGTCAAGATGTCTATGTTGTGCGCATTATCATGAACAAAACTAATTTTACTAATTTCTCTGTGACACAGAGCAATCTCACCATCTCCGATGTGACCTTCAAGAACATTCATGGCACAACTTCAGGCAAATACAATCCTGTCGTTGGAACCTTCGTTTGCTCCAGCCCAGACGTAAGTTCGACTCTATCTGTACTAAATTATGATTTATCTGACCCTGATAGGTTTGCTCCGATATCTACGTATCCGACATTGCTGTCACTAACCCAACAGGAGGTGATTATGACGCATTCACTTGCACGAATGTAAGTTTATCCTACGCGCTAAGAACAAAGCAAACAGTACTAACTTCTTTCTCTAGGTTGACGATACGCTTTTGGCAGTCAACTGCACTTCGAGCTAAAATTAATCTTGCAATTTATCTACATATGTACATAAAGTCCTCGTCGATGAATCTTAATTGATGAAAATGGAATTCTACATATTCTACGTTCATTCAAACTGAACATTAATGTCGTGATGCAATCGCATCTGCGGGAATGGGGTGTGGGGCATACACAATCCTTCTTAACTAAAGTAGGTATGTATGTAGAACGGTACAAAAAATACAAATAGAAGATAAGACCCCACGCTATATGTTGGGAGGAATGGCCCCCACTGCCCCAGTGGAAACTGTGTTTTTATTGGCTTCAGGGCTCAATTGAACATCGAGTGGTCCACCAAAGAGTGCTAGGATTAGAAGCCACCAAGCTGCCCGGGGATAAGCGGCGATAATGAAGGTTGGCCCCGAGTGGGGGTAGTTGAAGTCCAAATCCTTATTTATAAAGTCCGGGTTACAGATAAATTGGGTGGGGAACTCGCAGCCTTGTAGTTAGTAAAGGGCATGGAGTATAAAGTCTCAAGTTTCAGCCCTTATACTCTTGGAGCCTTGGAACTTGAAGTAAATAGTACCGTTGCCGACCTCGGGGAACTATACATTGTCTACCACATTCCAAACTTATTGTGATATCTACTACCATAACCAAGCCGGCCTTTGATAAAGACAAGAAATCCAACAATCCACCAAGATGGGCGATCTCCTAGATTACATCCGAGTGAACAATTACCCCCAAATTGCATCTTTCGTCCCAACAAGCCACAACGACACCTACCCATTCATCACTCCCACCGGATCAGAGCTCAAAGACAAATCCGTCCTCGTAACCGGTGCCTCAAAAGGCATTGGCCGAGCAACAGCCCTCCGCCTCGTCAAAGCAGGCTGCAATAAAATCGCCCTAGCAGCCCGCTCAAGTCTAGACAACGTGATATCAGACCTAAAATTAGAAGCCCAAACCGTCAATCTCGAAATCCCAACAATCCTCCCGATCCAGGTAGACATTACATCCGACGAATCCGTCAAAGCAGCCGCAGAAAAGGTCAGCCTGGCCTTCGGAAAACTCGACATCCTCATCAACAACGCAGGCTATTTACCTGAGTTTTCCCGAGTCGACGAAGCAGATCCCTTAGAATGGTGGAAAGGATTCGAAGTCAATGTGAAAGGAACATTTCTGTGCGCGCATTATTTTCTACCTTTATTGTTGAAGGCTGAGACGAAGATCGTTATCAATTTGACTTCTATTGGGGCGCATACGTTGACGCTGGGAGGGTCGTCGTACATGGTTTCGCGATTTGCTAACTGTCGATTTACGGAGTTTTTAACTCGTGATTATGAGGATAAGGGACTTATCGCTATTTCTGTTCATCCGGGTGGTGTGGTTACTGATATGAGGGATAATTTTCCTGAGAGGTTGCATGATACGTTGAAGGATACTCCTAATTTGCCGGCGGATACGATTGTGTGGTTGGTCAAGGAGCGGCGGGAGTGGTTGAATGGGAGGTATGTTTCTAGTCCTTGGGATATGCAGGAACTAGAAAGTAAAAAAGAGGAGATTGTTCAGAGGGATTTGTTCAAGTTCCGAATGACTGTTTAAGGGAAGTGACTTGATGATTCTCCTATCTATGGAAGAAGGTCAAGGATCGATCGAGTCAATATCTACGTCCATAGACTACGGTTAAGTTTGAAGTTATTTGCCTCTCATATTCTTCAATACCAGTTTTTTTGGTCTAAAGTTGAATAGAGGTCAAAATTAAGATGATACACTTTCGTATGATAGAAAATAAGCGAGAAATACGAGCGGAGCTATTTGCGCAATGGTTATGCGCCATGACCCATCAGGCCGCAAGCCACCGGAAAACCCCCAACTCCACGCTAATGTGGAGACCACGAGGGAAGATCTATAGAATACTTCATTATCGGTCTAGATGAGATCATGCGTTAAGGTAAAATCATGCGCGTAGAAATTATTGTGAAAAGAATTGGGGAAAGATCAGATCAATATTATATTTCTATTACTATTCGCGCCTAGTTGATACGAACAAAAGTAGCAAGAGCAGCAGCTCAAAGTACTGATTGTAAGACATTTCTTGTCATATATACGTAAAAGAAGCTGGGATCCCAGCTGAATAGCACGGCCCAAACACCCTGTCCAGTCACTGACATGGAACTAACTCCAAGGTCTAAATCCATGCACCCTTCTCCTTGGAACACCTGAAAAAAACCAAAACCAAAATTCAACGGAAACGCCAATCCTGGGAAATCGATCTTGAAGATATCTGTTGACTGGCATGGGGGCTTTGAGCGGGTCTATTCTTGCTCATCCTGGAGCAAGATCTTCAATTTCTCCAATTTATCCTCGCAGCCCACTTCCATCTTCATGAGAACGTCGATAGCATCCTTATTGGTGATTAATAGCTGGGAGACAAGCCAAATACTGTACCCATTCTTGTAGAACCCCATGGAAATCCATTCGTCATTTGTGACTTGACTGCGGAGCGCGAGCCAATGATCACGCCAGCGAAGCAGTGCTGTTCTGATATTGGAGAGGAATGAATCTTCGGGGATCGGACTATTGCTATCGGGAGAGCTATGCAATGATGAGATGACCGGGAGTTGACGTTTTGTGGTACCAATGAGCATGATTTGAGTATTGATAAAAGCAAACAGGACTGTATGGAAGGTCAGTATATATTAATCACCATGTCTTGAAAGTGAACCATACCGTGTATAAGCATGAACATGTCGAAAATAGTCAGATCTAGCGGGACATACTCGGGTGATTGCCCGAAGGATTCCTCTGAGGGAGGGAGGAAAAGATTCTGGAAGGCTTGGTATAAACTGATATGGCGGGATAAGCGGAAGTTTGGCTCTGAAAACGGATGCTTCGCTTGGAAGATCGATTGATCGCATGGAAAATCCAACTCCATTTCATAGATGCCGTATCGGTATGGGTAGTTTTGGTAGAAGTAAAATGCGCAGTCCAGTAAGGATATTATAGACATTGTGCTGTTTGAAAGTTAGGAAACATTCGACGTTTCTGATCTTAAATACTGACCGAATTCGAGACTCCACTTGAATCCATAGTGTTTCGCTGGTTTGTTCATGTGACATGTGTCGGCACTTAACAAGACCAAGACGTCGGGATATCTTTGACTATCAGTTAATTTATATGTATCTTTTTGATGAATGAGTAAACTTACCTTGACAACTTCACTGAAGCGGTTCTCCATCACACGCGATCGACTTGCAACATTTCCAGACCAGAATTGAACGAGAATTATGATGAATCCAGCCTGGAAGTTTTGAAACTTCATCCAATCATTCGCATCATCCTCAATATTTCGGGTGCCCAAAAACGTGCTCGCAATCTCGTTATCTGGAGAGTATATATCCGTGGAGAAGATAAAGAGTTCAACGAAGTCGACAACTCGCTTGGCCATATAAACTTCCCTGAGGTCATGGCTATACATAGCCCCCATGAAAACAACCGCAGCCAGAAGCGGTAAAGATACGAGCTCGGGGTCAAACGAGGGAATATGAATCATCGGACAACTTGGTTGCCAATTCTTGAAGTATAAGGAGATGAACTTCCTAATGCGTGAAGTAGTAAGCACCAAATTGAGATTCGTCGATATTTCTTCTTGAGCTTTAGAGTCTAAGGGCAAGGTCCATGCTCGAGCTAAAATGGCTTGGATCAAAGCCAAGGCGAATGGGCGTTCGGGTTCAGGGTCGAACACCTCTTGTTCAGGCGATATGCCGAGGCAGGAATCTTGTGTAGGTGGAATACCACTCGCATAAGGAATCTGGCCGGTGAATGTTTCTTCAAGGGGCTTCTGTTCGCCGAAAGGCGTATTGAAAAAGTCGATGAACGTGTTTGTGTTTTGGGAGAAAAATTGCATCGTATTCGGATCCGGGTCCACCATCGCGGTACTATACTCCGGCCGGCTATCCTCTACCGGGTAGGGAAGTGCTCCAGCTGTCGCGTCCTCCATTTCCCGTTGTTGATGATTGTGATGGTACATTAGACTTCGTGTGCGGTCGCCTCTTGGAGGGAGGCTCCAGTGTTCTGTGAACGTGTCTGTTCCACCGTTTAAAAGAAACTTGATTGATCCACGGTCGGATTGTTCAGGGTATTTTTCGCCCCTCGCCGAAGGCGAGCCTAGATAAAATGAGCCCCTTGAGCCAAAACTCGATGTATATCCGACATATCATACCTTCGTCAAGGCCAGGGAGCTGTCCATGGGAGAGTCGTTCGTTGTTGCAGGGAAGGTTTCGTTTTACGCAAGATCCACAGGGGCTCTGGCCGTCGCAGCGAAGCTTCATAGAGGTGCACTATATTTTGTAAATTGTAAATAAAAGTCCCCCAAGCTAATCGTGTATCACAGCGAGTGGCCTAGATAGCTTACCGATTGACATGCATGGCGACGGCGACCCCTCTGACCGGTTTCGGGGATCTGGCGGTCTCCCCGCTGGGCACAATCCCCATAGTGGTCTCGAAGATTGTCACTACGCAGCAGAAACTAGTCAGTCCAAATCGAAATCTGCATGATTCCGTGTGTCGAATCGATATAACAGGCGCACGTACCATCGAGCAAACGACTCGTTGCAAAAGACGCAGGAGTATGGTTTTTGACCGGAATCTGTTCACACATCATCAGCACGCTGCGGGCGTCCGCATGAATCCAACACATACGTCTCAGATGATGTCTTTTCAAATGATCAATGCGCGTGAAGCCCCGCTGACAGATCGTACAGCGAAAATGCTTCTCGGCGGGCTTCATGGTGGCCCATCGGGGAGGAGATCCGGGGGTGATAAGGGAAAGGATCGAGTCTGGGGAGGAAAGGGAAGGATGCAGGGGAGCACTTGAGGCGGTATTGGTATTGCGGGCGTTAGGGGGTTCAATACCTTTGGGTCACAGAGAAATGCGGGGCGACTACGCGGGTGGTGGGACTGCGCGCTGTATGGTATTGTAACAATGCATGATATCACGACTTGCAGGATTTAAAAGTGGCCGAAACTAGTTCCCGGTTTAAATCTAGGATTATTGAGGTTTATTACGATCGTGAAGAAGTCGGTTTTAAACTGGCCTGGACCCTGTTATTATCAATGGTGGAGCATATCGAGTTTCAAGGTTCATCTTCGTATACTGGGGGTAACCTCAGCTGTATCTGTTGCCTAGCATTCCGTATGTCTTCATACTACTACCCCCCTTTTTCTCTCTCTCCTAATTACGCATTCTGTACCACTAACGAAGTGGGGAAGTCAGCTTGAGCATCCTCGAGGTAATCCACGTTGACCGTATTATTTTCTCTTTTTCCGTCCAGCCATCCCCAAGCCAACCGAGTGGATTGTCATGAAGATACTCATAGTCGAAATCCTCCCAGCGAGGATTCGAAAGCACCTTCATAGCATGAAGGGATGAACCTAGTAAGATTAGCTTACAATCGCAAAATAGCCAAGACCCACAGTAGTACTCACCTGGCCAAAGAGCTGTGATTTGCCCCTCTTCCTTCCCACCTGTGTACCAACTGCGGCATTTACGGCTATGAACGGTCCCCTGAAAACACTCCTGACAATACGCTGAAAATCGTTGGACGGAATCTTGGCGTGCATTCATAGTGCGAATACTGTCAAATTGGATTTTCATAATACATTGTGTAAAGTATTCGGCTGTCTTTTCGAAGACTAGAGTGAGATTTCCTGCACCTAGCCCAGAGTTTGGTCCGAAGCAAATGAAATAGTTGGGAAACCGTCGGTAGCCACGGAGAGATATGTTTCAGGGCCTTCTTTCCACCGGTCGGAAAGAGGCAACCCATACCGGCCTTGAATTGGAAATCGGGGAGTGTAAGAAGTGTCAAAGCCCGTGGCACAGACTATCATGTCGACTGGTCTGTGCTGTCCATCGGCCGTGAGTATGCCCGTCTCGTCGACTTGGATAATTTCGGTTTTGATCAAGTCAACCTTCGGATCTGTAAGAGCCTCCAGATACCCTGGTCCTGGAGTTAGACGACGGCACATGGGTGGATAATCCGGAATAGGTTCGCTTAGTAGTTCCGGCTTTTTCGTCAAGCGACGCTTCATAAGCTCGGTGATGTGTGAAATGAGGCTCATTTGCGTAGGTGTGCCGATAATAGTGCCTGAGTGCGTGGATTGTACCTCGAATTCGATATCTGTTTCTTACGTTAGACTCGGAACACATACATGTAGTATAGTATACCGTATTGAGTCCCGAAGTCTGGGTAATAGATTTAGATTGTAGGGTCATCTTGGGCGAATCCTCTTACCTTTTCGGAAGGGTTGGTACTCATCATGATCATGTTTGAAGTTTTCAATTTCTTTTGCTGTGAACACATCTGATGGACTGTCAGTAATCGTATCGTGGACATTCTATGAAGTAAACCACTCACAGTTTCCAGCATCTATTCTCAGTTTCTCGAGTTGGCCACTTGCTTGTCTCTGGGGCGATCCAAGTAGCCGTACGCATGTAATGGTCAATATGTGCTACTTTGGGCAATGTGCTAGGAACGATTTGAATTCCACTTGTCCCATTTCCAATTACAGCAATGTGCTGACCCTACATACAAGTTTAGTCCAATCGAAATTTTAGAAGATCAAAATTGACATACCTCATAGTCATGATCATTATCCCATCCGGCACTATGCATCAACTTGCCCTTGAAATTTTCAAGACCATTAATATTGGGCCACTTCCAACTGTTCAAAGAGCCAACTGCCTGAATAATGAGGTCGCATTGATCTTGGTATGTGGAGCCACTTTCAAGATCATGGACCTGGAGAATGTTAGTTTGCTTCCTTGTTTGCGCCAGAAAGATTCTTCTCACATTCAGTAGCCACTTTGAGTTGTTGTCCCATTCTGCTTTCAATATCTCCTGGCTCAACTTGATATGCTTCATGCAGTCATACTTCTCGGCTACTCGTTTCCAGTACTGGTGAATTTTTGTGGCGGGGGCGTAGAAAGAGGACCATTCTTTATTGGGCTCGAAGCTGGCTTGGTCTGTGTGAGAGGGGATATCTTAAATACAAAGGGAAGTTATTAATTGGACATCCAATCCAACTAAAGAGTGAGGGAAGGAAATGAGTGCTATGAACACGTACCACACGCGCAACCAGGGTATCTATTCTGGAACCAAGTGCCCCCGATATCAGCGTTCTTCTCATATATGCATAATTCGAGGTTCGGAATCTTTTGAATGAATCGAGTGCAAGCTAATATCCAGAGATACCAGCTCCGACTATGACCACCCAAATAGGCCGGTAGCTATCGATCGAGCGGTTTTCTAACCTTGCAGGGCTCTCTGGATGTTCAAACATGGAAACGGGCTTGGGGCCATTCCAGGCGCGAGAAGAGCGTGCCATGTTTGCTCGATAGTGGTTGAAAAGAGGAAAAATGAATATCGAATTGAACCAGAGCTCAGGATTGAAGTCTGATTCAAGTGAGAGTTAATCTAGCAGTGACTCTTCACTACGCAAGGGTATTGTGCGCTGGCTAAACCCGGAACAGACGAACTCGATTCTCCCCGTTATTTAATTGGTTTATACGTGATGATTCCTTCGGTGACGCGGTCGCGGTCCACCAGCTCGAGCTTTAGGAATATTGTATTAGACGCCCGCATGTCAATTGGCCTTTCGACTGGATAATATCACTTGAACTTAAATTTTGATTGGGCCTCGCTACGAGGTGTCGAATTTTTAAGATTATCATCGAACCCGGGTTTTAAAAAAGGGGAAGAATTTGTTTGCTCGCAGCTGATTACCAAGTCTGTTTAATGTGCAGCAATTATCTCCCAGTGGTATAGCGCCTTCGGTGGGATTCCAGCCTGGCATAACGAGCCCGGGTGATGATGAATTTACTTCCTTGAGTTGTCTTAAGCTTCCAGTGCATTACGTGAGAATTCAGTTTCTTAGCTCTTAATATCCACCTTGATTTTGAAGTAGCTGCTACCCTATACTAGACTCTTGAATGTAGATTTCAAAATATCTTTAAAATATGCCCCTGCATAGCTGAGGTCGCACAAACAGCAAATTCACTTATTCACTTGCAGAGTTGGAGTGTTAGGAAGAATTTAATAGGAGCATTAAATTATCGATTACATTAAACATTAGGTACTTGTGGTTATTAAACAAGACAGGCCAGGCTCAGCATTTGTTGTTGATCTTGCACCAGGCCACAACCACGGCCACAATGATGGCAACAATCAAAACTAAGCCTTTGTTAGCTAATGAATCAAAAGGCCTATGTATTCCATAGCCATTGAATGATACTATACTTACCACAGACTAGCAGGATCCACCACTTATACTTCCTCGCATTCCGTGCACTGATAATCGCGCGATCCAAAAGCTTCGTCGATTTCTGGTAATTTTCCACAGTATTTTCCACATTCTTCACCGTATTCTCAAGAGGAACCTGATGCATCTCAACGAGCTCACCGACTTCTTCAAACAACTCATTGAGACTCTGCAGATCCTCCACGATCTTGCGAATAGCAGTGGATCGTTGAAGAACAGCATCTCGAGCCTCATTAGCTTTGGCACTTCGCATACCCTGAACCTGTAAATCTGTCAATTATATCCACCGATGTTGGTAAAGAAATTTAAAATACCTGAAAAGCCTGCTCGTCTCCGTAGAGGATATTCTGCACACCATTTTCGATATCCTCCTCCGAGGCTTCAGGATGAACAAGGCCATAGCGACGTCGCACCTGCGTCTCAAGCTGTGTCGCGAAGGCTCTTTGTACCCTACGATACTCTTCGATATGCCGTCTTATATTCTCACTCATGTATGTGAGTTGCTCATGTATCCGTGGGTTAGACATATCCGACACACTTTTTGCATCTGCAGCCAGAGAGCGTGCTCGACGGAAACATTCAGTGATCTCAGACTCTAAAGAGTCCACCTGGACACGGGATGTGTGGTCATCTCTCGACGTTGTTGAGTCAAACAGAGCCTGCTGGATAGGCTGGAGTTGTTCTTGCTTTCTTTTCACCTGGGATAGCTCCTGATCGATTTTTCGACGTTTGCTGAGAACTGTAGCCATACTGCTCCTGTCTTGGAGAGCTGAAAGTCAGAGTCATTAGTATAGTTCAACCCCGATCGATAGTATTTCCTTACCATAGCCTTCATGTCCAGACTCCAGATCTTGACTCATTGTGTAATGGGTGATTAAATATTAACCTAGTATTTTGTATTTGGTTTTGCGCTCGATTTCAAGAGATTTGTTGGATTCCTCAAGAGCATAAAGCACTCCTTGGAGATTAAATAGTATTGCCTGACAAATTGTTCTGCCTGGAAAAACCGTATACACGCTCGCCAACGGAGCCAAGGTTTGGGAAACAGGCACACTCTTTGACACTAAGCGGGGGCAAAAATCTAAGATCGGCAAGTAAACTCAGAAGATGAGGGGTTGATTGGTGCAGGGATTAAGACCCCAACAAGCCTGTTGCCTAAGTGTGAGGCCTCCCGGTATGTGGTCTTAAAATAACCTCCAGGGCCGGTCCTCAGTGGTCGCAGAGCCTCAACGTTGGGGAAATACTAGATTTCAATCTAATTCAGGCTAGGCATCTGGAATTAATTAATTTACTCATCTTTAATACACCATTAGATAAATCGCTGTCTTTCCTGTGATATTGCAATATTCAACCCCGAAAAAACGGACACATGGACCCCAATGTTTACCATTAATAGGGATTCCTCATTAGACACTATCTAATCTGAAGGTCTAGAGAGGAAGCTATGGGAACAATCATAGAGATATGATAATATTATTATTTAGGCTACGCGGAGAGAGATGATAGAGGATGTGTAGGTTACCTAGGCGGTGAGCCCCACTATCCGTCTAGAGAATGAAAGGGATATACAGATCACTATTTGTCAATCAATAGTTGCTTCAAATTGTAACAAAGATATTGATAACAACACTTGTGGCACTGGACGCTATTCCATGACGTAGTAGTGGGGCTTCGAGCACTCGCATAACAAAGCGTCCACTGAAGCCTGAGCGTCCCAACAAGGTTATAATCCCCGCATATAAGTCCGTCGCATATGAACGAAAAGGAAATATACTTTATTCTATATCCGAATCACGATCGTGGGGACAAAAAAGAGCAAATCAGCATTAATTCCCCTCCGCAAAGCCCCTTGTGAGGTTTAGAAAGGTATTTGGCAGGTAATGACTGTTGATTACTAGAATCTCACCAATCCGCACAGTCAAAATTCCAATGATCGACCAACATTCCTTACTGGCTAATAATGAGCTTTCGATCCACCCGACCCATACAACTTACCCGATCGCTCATTCACCGCGCATCCTATCCACTTCCAAGGTTATTTATTCTCTCCGCCATTCGACAATGTTTTTGTGTGGTACAACGTCGGATATAGCGTCGCCTTGTATTTCGGCTGGATCAATGGATCTTCACCCCTATAAATCATAGATATAAAGCTTCTTCCCGGCCATTAATACAAGCTATATTTATTTTGATAGCCTGCGCGAATATTTACTGGGTGCGAGGTGTCTGGAATTCAAGTTCGCGATGCCTGTCTTCACCGAATATGCGTCGGCCTCACGCGAGCTCCGTGTATTGCCTTCTTTCGCACCTCCACTACCACGTCTGACATCTACTGCGCCGGTCGATACCAAGACAGAGCGGTATGAGGTTGTCGTTGTCGGAGCTGGGCCAGCAGGCCTGATGCTTGATCTTCTGCTAGCACGATATGGACTAAGCGACGACTCACTCCTGTGCATTGACTCGAAGCCCACTGCACTTAAATCGGGTCAAGCAGATGGTCTACAGCCTCGCACACTTGAGACGTTGAAATCACTTGGTCTGGCAGACGAAATCCTGACGGAAGGTTGTCAGATGTGGCAGGTAAGTGATTTTCACGCGGTGGGTTTCGAACAAATGACAATTTCGTGCTAACAGTACCACAGGTCGCATTTTGGAATCCTTCAGATGACAAGAACAAGGTCATTGAGCGCACATCGCTCATTCCGGATGTCGCTGTTCCGGCACGGTATCCACACGAAGTCACCATTCATCAAGGTCGGATTGAACGAATCCTGGAAACAGACCTGCTACGATACTCAAAGCGAGGTGTCCAGCGAGACACGAAACTCATTGATGTAAAGATCGACGAAAGCGACGCGGAGTATCCCGTGCTCGCGGAAATCGAAACTGACGGCCAGCGACGATCAGTCCGCTCCAAGTACCTCGTTGGAGCAGATGGTGCGCACTCAATGGTCCGACGCTGCATGGGACTGAAACTAGAAGGCGAATCACTCGATCATATCTGGGGTGTCGTGGACTTGATTGTTGACACGGACTTTCCCGACATCAGAAAGCGATGCGCGATACATTCGCCTGCTGGCTCGGTGATGGTCATTCCGCGAGAACGGATCGCGACAGGCGACTACTTGACTCGATTGTATGTTCAGGTACCAGGTGATGTTGATCCGGATAGTGACCAGCAGCCGGAGAATGGGTCAAATGGGACAAATATACCACCCGTGGGAGATGCTCGGGCGCGACGAAGTGAGGTGACCGAGAAGGCAATTTTTGAGAATGCGGCAGCAGCGTTTAAGCCTTATTACATTCGACCTAAGACAGATGATGCGGTGGATTGGTGGGCTGCGTATCAAATTGGACAGCGAGTTGCCGATGAGTTTTCGGTGAAGGATTCCAAGGGTGTAAACCGGGTATTTATTGCTGGAGATGGTAAGTCTATTCAAGTACTATAAGCTATGCTAATGAGTCCACCGATTAACGTTTTATTTGTATAGCATGTCATACACACAGCCCGAAGGTATACAATCCAATAACGTATCCTGTATTCTTCAAATCTAATAATCAATGTTTCTCTCTAGGCTGGACAGGGAATGAATGTCTCAATGATGGACTCCTATAACCTAGCCTGGAAACTGGCATACGCCATCCACGGCCTAACCCCCGCATCTGCTGCTCAGCAAGTAGATCCCATCTTGGAAACATACAACACCGAACGTCACACTATCGCCCAACAACTGATCGATTTCGATCGCGCATTTTCATCAATGTTCTCCGGGAAGATCGGTGCATCTCAAGATGGCACGAGTGAATTGACCCACGATGAATTCCTCAAGGTATTCAGCCGCGGCAACGGATTCACCAGCGGCTGTGGAATCGAATATACCGAGAATATGACTGTGGTCCGTGACCTTGATAATGGGTCGAATCCAATCAACGGGACAAACTACCTATCAGGCATCTTACGCCCAGGAAGAAGATTGCTGAATGTGCGCCTTGTTCGACACGCCGATGGTTACCGGCGCGATTTACAAGATGGTAAAGCCAGCCTTATCCACTTCTCAATCGCTATTTTCACGGTTCTAATTTCTTTTAGACTTCATTTCGACTGGCCGCTTCCGTATTCTTTGTTTGACTTCCTCAGATCTGCTAAATCACCAGGGTACTTCTGCGCAGGCACTCGCTGCCCTTGGATCTATCATTCCTCAGTTCCCTGAGTCCGTTCTCGAGCAGGTGGTTATTCACCCGCGACTGCCTCGGGAATTCATGTGGAATGACATTCCAGGAGAGGTGAAGAAGTATTCTGAGATGTCATTTTATAGTGGATATGAGCTGGATGATGTATATGGTATTTATGGTGTTGATCCAAATCGTGGTGCAGTTGCTATTGTTCGACCTGATGGGTACATTGGTATAACTTCGGACCTGGGCGATGTCAAGCGCGTGGAGAAATATCTGAGGACTCTGATTCGAACAGTTTAGCGCGAACAATCCATGTCAATCAATTTTAGAAATAGACTTATGCGGAAATTGCTTGGTTTAATTCATTTTCACCTTGGATTAGGCAAGAGATATCAATGGAAATACATTAAATTTGACGGGAAGGTATGAGAAGAGGATTGTGACAATGCTGAGAACTTGAGAAAAGTCATTGGTGAATATCAATCTCTAATTATTTAGACGCCTGTTTGCCCTTAGCAGCCTCATCCGCCTCCAGCTTTATCTTCGCCACCTCTTCTGGAAATGGCTTCCGAGCCCACACACGTTTCCTAAATTCAGTAGCCGGTTAATATAAATCAATCATTAAATAGCATATATAGTAGTATGAGGATCTTTGACTCACGCTCTCATATAAAGATGGTGACGGGGATTCTGCAGTTGCTTCCGCAGCTGAGAAAGATAAACAAGCACCTCCTCCCTTTTCCACGGCTCAGGATCGCCGAATTTCGTTAGCAGATACATAGCCCAACCCTCACAACCAGTCATCCAATGCTGGTAATTGACCATACCAGCTTCCTTGAGCTGCTTATCCTTTGGCCAAGGTCCAACCGGCCACTTATATTTCTTCTCGTGAACATCCACGAATCCCGCTTTGCGAATTTTGTCCGTCATGATGTGCATGGCATTCAGTTCTCGGCCAGTCTTCTTCGCACATTCCATAATGTATGGGCCCCAGGTGTTTAGGATGTTGTCTTTTGATACACTGCCGTCGTCGCATTCAAGGGGGGGTTGGGCCTCGAGCTGTTCGATCCAGCCGCCTGGTTCCAAGTGGCTGGTGATTCTCTGGTTAGCAAGTGGTAAATATATGATTCATACAATGGACTATGGGATCTTACTCGTAGCATTGTTTATAGATTTTATCCCACTCCTCGTCGGTCCAGGAAGCTGTCATGACACGCATGTGAATAAGGTCGAAGGGGTCTTTCCAGGTCCATGGTTGTATAGCGTCGTCAACTTCCAACACACAGTTTGGCGGCATCCATGTGATGGGAGGTGGGAAGAGATCAACGCCGCGGACAGTCGCTGCAATGGATTAGTATTTCATGCCGGATAGATAGTAGTGTTGCTGAAAGGGGTAGTTACCATCCGGAAACATGTCGGCCACGTCACTATTCATGTTAGGGAATTTTTTGGTATCGGGGAAGGGGTTTCAACTACGTACATGGCCCAATTGCCTTTTCCAGTTCCCAGATCTAGGACATGCTTCGGATCTTCTAGGGGCGCCCGGAAGAGCGGGTTGTCCCTATCTGCTTCCATGATCATGGCGAGAAGATGTCTTCACCTGGTCAGTTAGGAGCTGCAGACTATACCGGTTCGAGGGAATGATAACGTACGCAGCTTCATAAGTTTCGAATTGTTGTTCATCGGCAGGAACTCTTTGGAAATAATGAGGAAGGTATTCGTTATCAAGGTAATATTAACATCACTTACGGGTATTCTTGACTCCGCAAATTTTGGTATCTTTTATCATCCTGCATTAAGTTCAATTCACATCATTGCGGGTAAACGAGACCTACCGACGGCCATTTTCCATAAGACCTCTATAGATGGAGGAACCTATTGAAGTCGTCTCGCTGTAATTGCGATGCTCAGCACGGGACCAAAAATGGCATACTAAAAGGAGGGAAAGAAAGAAGCATAAACAAAGAACAAAGAGAAAGCATAACATACGATTGCCAATCCTCGGGGTATGCATCATCCTCCGCCCGGTGCACATTCGGATCCTATGAAAACAGTCAATGCCGCTCCGCTAAATCCATATAACAACGATATACAAACCACAAGGATCTCCTGATCTGCCATTTTGCGAGCGTTGAATTGAAAAAAAGGAGGGGTGTCTATCGCTAAAAGACAATCTGTTTTTAAGCGGGGCGGCACGCCCCGTTGTTCCACCTATGTTAATTCACAGTGCGAGCTTTGGCTTTTCCTGGGCCAACGGGAACTCGGAGGACCGTAATGGATAACAGATGCTCCTGATTCAAGCAGGATTTTCTCTGATTGGGTTCAGAATTTGGAGGGCGCTCCGCAGTGGAGACTGGAAAAAAGGCCGCCAAACCGAAAGAGGGGAAGACCACTTAAGATCAAGTGGGATAGATTTCCGTGGCGCCACCACGAGCAAGTGCTGAGGTCTTTCCCGTTTAAAAACCTGGAAGTGGCATTAGTGGGGAGCAACGTTTTTGAGTCTAATGCGCACGATATTGACGCGTTGTGTATTAGTGGGGTTATGCTATCATGCTGGACGAATTATGAAAGACAGAGAGAGCGGAGGACGGAGTCGGATGTTTGTGAGTATGCCCAGTTACTGGTTTCGGGCAATCATATGCCAGATTTTATTTGTGGAACAAAATGGATTACTGGTGATGGGGCTTACTACTTGATTTTAATATCACCCTACTGTATGTACGCGGCCGCAGCCTTGGCCTTTTTAACCACTGCACTCTCGTGCATGTTTGACAGCTGCAAACAGAATATTTTAGATTCTTCACTTCTACGTATACCCACCTAATGCTGTTACAAGTAGTTCATGCATGTGGATTGCAGAAAGATACTGCGCCCCTGCAGCTTCCCATGTGTTGGGCCGAGTCCACTTGTTACACTTGCTATGTAATAGGGGAACTGGTCAATGCTCAGCTAGCCGGGCATCACACCATCAACGCCAGCGAAACTTGGAAAATGAGAACAAAGAAAAAACCAACATCTCCAGCCACTGGACCTCGAGCCAAGCAAAGATCCTAAGAAATGGCCCCCGGGCTCAAGATCAGCACAAGGGTAGTCTTAAGTGGATGTGGCGACGTTAGTTAATTCCCCTTACACGATTTGCTTTGTGTGCACCAAACAATCATCTAGCCATATCTGGAATAGCGTAGGAGCACTTTTATGCATTATTCCGAGATCTTCTGTTTCACTGTTGTCAAGCTTTACAGCAGAGCGTGGCTTCTCAACTAAATCATGAGACGTCGAGGGAAGAGTGCCCGCTTGGTCGCTCTCAATTAGCTGTTGCCTCTCATGTTTCAACTTGCCCATTCACCACTGGACATGATTGAAAGTGTCGACTTTCTGACGATATGCATCGATGAGCTGGTATATTGAGTGATATAGTGCCAAGTTAATTGCTTCGGTGAGAAATTCGGCCGCGTGTCACGTGAAATCGCGAGTGATGCCAAAACAGTAAGTGATGGGTCACTGACAGGCCAATCAGATGCTTCACAGTCTCGTGTCTATCGAAATAGCATCACCGTTCAGTACGCAAGGCTGAAGATAGAAGCTCATTTTGCCAGGTTGCCAAGAACAGTTGTTTAAAAGACTGATGAGAAGCTCCATTCAAAGATGAGGATTTCACTTCGTTCTTTCAGAGAGCGGACCGGTGCTCGCGTTGTATCAGCTCTCTTGCAGCGATTCGTACCTGTTGGATCTGATATACAAACTGCAAATCTGAAGCGACACATTCAGACAAGATGTCGAACAATGGAATATTTGGTTACCGCGAGGGTATTGCCGTTGCCCAGATTGTTGCGTTCTCACCGCCACTATTATGTGCTGTATATTTCAAGATACAGCATCAGATTGGGTGGTTCTGCATCGGTGTATTCACTCTTCTCAGATTGATTAGTGCAGCTTGCAAGCTAGCCCTCATAGACCATGACTCTCATGGGCTTTGGGCAGCAATCTTTGTTTGCGAGTCACTTGGTATGATCCTTATCATATTTCTCCTTTTGGAGATGCTCGAAAGAATGTATGTACCTTCAAGAATCTATACCTGAAGGCGTCAACACATATAACAAACTAACCTTGGAAATATCAACAAAAACAAAGTGATCATAGTTGTGGTGAAAAAATATTCTGGATCCCATCCATTATCACCTGGATCGATATCGCAATATCAATCGTCGGGTGGGTTGCCGTGATGCATGTCGAGCATCCCTTAGCACCTACACCATATAGCCAAGCGAGCATGACTTTATTGGCGGTGATTTATCTCTATATGGTTGGTGTGTTTGTCTTCTCCTGGCGCCGACGAGGAGAGTACTTGACAGAAGAGCTATGGGTACTGAAAGGTGTAGGAATCTGTGTTCCTTTGCTCGCAATTCGTTTGGCATATTCTTTGATTTTTATCATTACGAGCAATATGGATTTCAAAGCTATCAAGGGAAACCCAACTGCCTATTTGATTTGATCATGACGATGTTGCCCGAGGTACTTATTATCGCAGTATGTACCTATGCTATCGGATTTAAGATTTCTCCGATATGCAAAGATGGCAAGCAGAGAGCTCAGTTACTGAGAGATGAAGAGAGTCGATGACTGTGGCCTGTGTATTGATAATTTTTTATTTTTCCCTTTTATTTTCTGTTCTTTTCTTTAGCGGGCCCCAAGGTTGCATATGAGGCGTTCTGGGTTTCATAATTCCCTCATGGCTCATTTCTTACACTCGATCTTGAGGAAACTTCAAATTTTGAACTTCAAGTTGAAGTCTATATCCATTTCCACATTTATTCCTGATTTATAAACGCGTTCATGTTCCAAGTTGGGCATGAACCTTGGAAGCAGTTGTACATTATGGGCGGATGATCTTGCAATCTCATTGATGGTCCATAGACAATTGAGCTATTTTCAAGGATCGTTACTGCCTAGCTAATCAAAATAAAAGTTCCACTTATATGTACTCCATCCATGCACCATTACAGCGCGGCATCCTCCGCCTCCAACCGGACCCCGGAGGTGGGTCACCACTAACCACCGGTTGGCACCCGGAACGGCCCAGGGAAGTGGACTCGCCCATACACTGGACTGCAAAGAGAACGACAGCCGTTTCGTACTTAGGACTTGTGGGACAAATTGTCAGGTTTAGTCTCCTAATATCCCTGTCTAGCGCGACGCACAATGCCCCAGACAGTCTAGCCTCGGCCAGAAGATTTTGCAGGAAGTATTCTACTTAATATTCACAGACCAAATAGAAGACTTGCAAGACGCAAGAGAAAAAAAACAACGCATCACCCCGCCGGATCCCTCAGAGAAAACAGGGAAAGTTTTCCTCTAGGATTCATTATTGGCCCCCTTAGACATTAGAAGGAACGAGTGGTGGGTCGAGCGGGCACCCATAAAGCCACCGCCCGCTCTGACCCGGACTGAAATGTGCTTAGCAAATATCCTGGCAACACAAACTTGGCTGAAAATCACTACCCCAGTTACCCAACATCGTGGTTCTTTCTCCATTTCTGATATCCCCGCGTAGATCATAACCTCTTTATACCCGGGGAAATTGTTCGAGAATTTTCAAACCGACTAGAAGAACCTTGCGCGGACAAAAACAACAAGCCATGGATCCGGACGAGAAGCCGATCGTCGCAGTGTGTATCATCTTCTTTGATAAACTTTGCGTGGCTGGTTCTGATACCTTCTGCGCTTAACAGGACCCTGATCTATATCCGCCAAACGCTTCTTATAGTGTGGATGACTGGGAGTCGTAAGTTGAACCCATGCGCGAGCCTGTTCGCGGTGCCTGTTAATTTTCTTTGTCTTTGATAGGGAGACAACATCTATTGCGTCAGCGTTGTTTAGGGGCACCATAGAAAATGGCCGAAAGTGAATAGATCCACCATGACTTATCTACGACCAAAACTAACGTACAAAATCAGATATCAGACTTTGAAGGATGGAACTTCCTTGTAGGTTTTGGCTGAGGAGATGGAAAAAAGTATTTATTATTGACATCCTTTTGCAGTGTTCCTTCAGATGATCAGCAGTTTGAGACATATGAAGCTGGGTACGTCGCAAACTTCTCTATTTGCCCCGACCGGCATAATTTTGGTTAACAACGTCCGCGAAACATAGTCATGTTACTGCTTTGTTGATGGAATCGCACCGTGAAAATCCTCTTTTCAGGGCCCCGATCGGCCCCAATGCTCAGGTATGTTCGGACGTCCCATCTCTGAAAACTTCTAACATGGAATTCACTCCTTGCAGCACATTTTAGATATCGGAACAGGTAAAGGGTCATGGGCAATGTAAGTAGATTTTCTCCATCCATTTTTCTTGACCTTGAAGCTCACAGCCTGCCAGTGATGTCGCCGACATGTATCCTCATGGTAAGATGACCATACTTTGTCTAAACAATACATTCTAGAAGCTTGTTCTGACTGCCATAGCAACCGTTCGTGGTGTGGATCTCTACCCTCCGCCAGTAACCTGGGTGCCTCCCAACTGCATTCTGGAAGTGGACGATGTCCTGCAAGAATGGACATGGCATCAGCCCTTTGACTTGATCCACATGCGACTCTTGGATGGCGCTTTTACACACGAAGAAACCGACAAGTTATACAAACAAATCTACCAGTATGTGTCCTCTGAGGGGCTTGCGCAAGAAGAAATAGCTAATACTGTACAGTAACCTACGTCCAGGTGCCTGGGTTGAACAACTTGGATTAACACCGCACCTTAAATGCGACGATAAAAGTGTCCCCGATGACGCAGTTATTCTCACATGGGGCAACCAGACAAGTGCTGCTGCAGCTAAAATGGGACGTCCTCTTGATTTATACGATCGCATGGCTGGCCTGATGAAGGAGGCCGGCTTTGTAGATATCAAAGTGTACAATGACAAATGGCCGATCGGGCCATGGGCAAAGGATAAACAGCTCAAAGAGGCAGGAACTGTCAACGCCGCGCATCATGCTTCGGGATTCGAAGGATACGGCATGTTCCTTCTGACTAAATACGGAGACCCAGTTCCGTGGACAAAGGATGAAGTGCATGTATACGTGGCTGGACTGAGGAAGGATCTGACGAATCCTAAATTTCATCTTTACCATGGAGCGTGAGTATCTCGAGTAACCTTCTGTATGAAATATCCACAGTTGCTGACAATTTCTTAGGAGGCGCGTGTGGGCTCGTAAGCCTTATCCCGCGGAAGAAGCTGCTAGGAAGGCCCAGGCTGAACAAGACGAGGTAAAGATTAAGTTGGAACCAACTACCTAGTTAGTTGCGTGAGATTTCTGGATTGAATGACGTGTATAGTGGAAGTGGGCGGTTTCATTTTATTATCTGATACCTTCGAATGTTCACATGACAGTTAGTGGTTGTACATATTCACAAGTCAAAGCACATCAATGAGATACGATAAGTTATTATACCTTCCTAGTGCTACTAAGTGGGAATCAATTTTAGAGTTGCGATTTCGTTTTATTGTTCACTTGACGTCGGGAGGCCTCTCACTTGACCACGTCCTCAATAGGGAGGCGTAACGCGAGCCAATCAAATCTTGTCCGCTAGCCTTACCTGAGAAAACCTTGGGGGTGGACGCGGGGGGCATGGAGCTGTTCAGCATAAATCACCGGTATCTTTACATACTTCAAACAGCCATGGTTTACCTCAAGTCCGAATCGTATCGCCGCCCAATAGTGGAGAGGGGCAAGTCAACCTGGTCCATCCAGGAAGTATGACTAACCCCCCTAACCAGTGCGACCTCAAGTTGAGAATATGCCTTATAAAGACATCATACCTTGACCCTTGAGCTAAAGCCCAAATTCCTCTTTGCGTTTCAGTTGGGTTTGTTCTCTTCCCAAGTTGCTTAATTGTTCAAAGACGAACGCCACTCAAAATGGCCATCAATGTTCGGTCCAATCAAGGCCCCACGGTCCCTGCACAGTGGCTTCGACAGACCCCCAAAGATATACCCTTTGACGAAATGCGACAAAGACTCAGATCAGATGGTTACGTATACGTGAAGAATTTACTTCCCCGAGAAGAAGTTCAAAGTGTTCGAAAAGAGTACAATGCCACTACATCTGCGTAACAGACCAAAAAGAAAGTTAATCATCTAATTAAGGTACTTTACACTTTACGAACCGACCGGGATAATCAAACCAGGCAGTTTCCTCGAAGATGGTATATTCAATGACCAAAACGATCCGCTCGCCCACGGAGGTATCGGCGCAGGAGAACTCCCACCAACAGACCTCCAAGTCCAAACAATGATAAACGCACACACCCAACCAAAATACCTTCAACTACTCGAAAACCCAGAATTCAGAACCTTCGTCCAAGGTCTAATGGGCTGGCAAAAAGAAATTCTCCTAACACGCACAATGATCCGACACAATGCACCCGGCGCCCTAAGCACAGCCGTACACTACGACAAACTCTTTCTCCGAAAAGGAGAAGCTGAATTTCTAACCGCATGGGTGCCTATTGGTAATCGTCTACCAACTTTGTCACTGAAGAAAAAGCTGACAGGATATAGGTGACACGAAGACAACTGGCGGTGGCCTGATGTATCTTTCGGACTCCGTTTTGCTCGGCCGTGAGATCGAGTCAGATTTCAGCAAACGGGCTAAAGATTTGTCACACGAGGAGCGGCTTAGTGCTTTTAATGTTCATATGGAGAAATATGGGCAATTGTCGCAGGATGCGAGTGAGTTCGGAGATATGCATAAGGTCGACGGAAGCCGAAATTGGCTTGTTGCGGATTATGAGGCGGGGGATGTGGTTTTTCATGATCCGTATATTGTACATGCTAGTACGAGAAATGAAGGGGGTGATGGGAGGGTTCGAGTTAGTACGGATTTGAGATTTTACGAGGAGGGGAGTGATATGGATGATAGGTGGATGAAGTTGTGGACGCCGGGTGATGGGCTTTGAATATTGTAAGTTTCTTGATGGATATTGAGGTAAAGTAGATAATGGGTTTGTTTATTTTAATGTTTCAAACTCAGAAGCTGAAGTGAGTCAATCGATCTTTCCAGGTAGTGTCAATGTTCGTAACATAGGCTATCTAATGAAGTCTAGGAAATAAAGTCAAACTGTCTTGAGTGCAGCATAAGCCAAGTATGCTTACGCTGACGAATACTGTTTCACCTCGTATTATATTGAACCTACTAGCGACAACGCCAAGATAAGGCCGTGCAAGGTTTCTAGAATCTGGGAATATTCCTACTAGTCCTATCGGGTTTAATGGGTCAATATTTAAACATTCCAAGGTTTGAAGCCACGAGGCATGAACGTGCCAAACCTTGGAAGAATTTCCAGACTGTTTCAAGAATCTGGCAGCCATGTATACGGGGCGTACTTATGAAGGAGAATCGAGTTCTACATGCAGATATTTACATGTAGATGGGTTAAATAGCTTGTTTCAGAGTTAGAATAAGTGATGGCGGACTCTCGAAGATTGGCCATGACGGATATTCAATCTAAAGAATGACCGAGTTAGTAATGTTGATATTTTTGGTCTATAAGCAATTGTGCAGAAGATGACAAAGGTACCTATCAAAGGAACAGATTTTGTTCACCAAAGGAAAGTTTCTAATGCTAGCAAGGGTCCCCTGTTGCTTGCAGAAAACCGAGCCACTGCCAAAGAGAAGGACATGGAAGACAAAGAAAAGAATGATCACCCGTGTAATTCGAGCATTAGATCTTTTTTTACGTTTCGAGATTAATCATCTTTGATTTCTCTCAAAGTCATTTCTTCTCTTCCTCTCTAATTTGATCATCATTAGTACTCATAAGATCCATACCCACGAAGGTGAGGCCAAAATGTGGCTGCCAAGTCATTTACCAACATCATGTTTCAAGCTGTGCGTAATATTCACCATGGTCACAGGGTTTAGGGTCAAGAACGGAGTACAACAGCCTGAGAGTGATTCTATCACTACCGTTGTCGAAACCACAGTTACTGGGAATGTAGTTGACTCCAAATATACTGATTCATCATCATCGAGTATCCTAACGACACTATCAACTTATACAACCACCATGGCGATTTCAACAACTACTACGTCGTCCACTTCGTCGACCTCTTCAAGTACTAGCACATCGACCGGCGTCGCCACTCACACTATTCAAGTTGGACCGAAGACAAGCCCACACGCCTATGTGCCGCACAACATCACCGCGAACCCGGGAGATACGGTGATTTTTGAGTTTTATCCTACAAACCACTCTATTGCGAAAGCGGATTATGAGGCACCATGTGTCCCAGCGAGCAAAGATATCTTTTGGTCCGAACCATTTGCCACGTTTGATGAGGAAGATGGAGAGCTTGTTGGCTCGGTATGTTTGATACATCATCCACGCTCCCGTGGGAAGTGAACATATTCAGCTAATTTTCTTTCATCCAGCCTCCAACATGGTCCCTTCTGATTAACGATACCGAGGTATGATCCTCCCCGAGCCCTGCTGACGAAGTCGAGTATACTGATGTATTTGTGAGCAGCCAACGTTTTTCTACTGCACAGCAATTGATTCATGCACAGGTAATGGAATGGTGGGCGTCATAAATCCGGTATGCTCAAAGGTGATAATAGTCTAATGAAACGAGACGAGCTGATAGGGTCTCCAGAACTCGAGCATGACTTGGGAAACCCAATACAAAAAAGCCCTCATTTATCCCTATATGCTGCTTCCCGGGCAGTCCATGCCAGCTGAGGGATCAACCTCGAGCTCCGGGTCCAGCTCATCATCTAGCACTTCAAGCAGCAGCCACGGCCTCGGCACTGGAGCCATCGCAGGAATCGCAGTAGCATGCGCCGCATTCGTCATTATATTGATCGCATTAGTCTGGACTCTCGGTCGCAATCGTTTATACTCGAAGTGGATGTCTTCACAGGACGGTCGGACCGAACGTGCAGCTCGCTGGACCGTTTTCAATTCCCACCCGGAACCAGAACCCGAACCACAATCTCAGCCACAACACCAACCACCGGTCGCCCAGAAGAGTGAACTAGATAGCAATACGGGTTATAGGGAGCCACCATACGATTCGACCTATTATTCCGGTTCTGATCCCAGTCGTGACACGGCGTCAGAAGGAACAGGAACCAACACGTCTTCCATGTATGGGGCCTTCTCTCTACAGCGAGGATCTGGACAGTGGAACTGGGATACTCAACCTCGCAGTCAGCGCGGACCAAGTGAATTAGACGCTACGAGCGTTCTGCCTCTCAAATATCCGTACGAGAGACAATACCGGTGATCTAGCCATTATATTTATGGTTCCCGGTGAAAATTTGAAACAAATCTGGTTGAGATCGAGTGGGTCAATGTGGTTGCTGTGACTTTTTTTTCTCTTTTCTTTTGTTACACGCTGTTAAACCCTGATTTTTTTTTGTAATATCATATCATGTCAGCATAATTAAATTTCAAAGCGATAAATTTTCATCTAACCTATTTATTCAAACTTTCTTAAATGCACAACTTGATATTCCCAAGAGATCTATTTGTTGAGACCCTCGAAATGAATACGACCCTGACGTGCCGATCTATACCTATTTCGCCCCATTCCCCGCAGGGTTCAGCAAAACATAAAAGTGCCGATGTGTGGGGTCCACAAGTGTCCAATGCAAGATTCTTCCTTCTAACCAAATCAATATGTCCGGGCAAAGGCAGGAGACAAGGTCTAGATGGGGGTGTATGATCTGGTAAATAATAGCAAAGCGCCAGGTGTCGATATAAGCTAACACACTCTACAGTCGGAAGCGGAGAAAGAAATGCGACGAGACAAGGCCAGCCTGCAAACTTTGTACGGAGAGAGGAGTCCAATGCGTCTTTCCCGACTGGACAATAGTCAAATATTCCAGAACTCGAAGTCGAAATAGTCAGACAAAAGAATCTCAACCTTCACCAGCAGGACAGCCTGCTATACTTCCGGCTGAGCCGAAAAGCACCGAGACTAAATTCATCCACCACTTTAACACGATAGTCTCGGGTCTTATCACATTTACTTTCCCGCAACTTGACACCAATCCTTTTGTGTTGCATGTTTTGCCTCGGACGTCGAAATCTCCGCAGGTTCAGCGCGCGGTAGAAGCTGTTGCTGCGGCGCATCTTTATCACCTTGGTGCGGAATCGCGAGAACGCGCAACACAGTTGCACTCACATGCCCTCGGCTTATTAGCCGCGGAGCTTTCCTCCCCCCAGCTAGATGAGTCGTCACGCATAAACGTTTTGGCTGGTAGTTTACTTTTGATATATTATGAGGTATGAACATTTATGTCGCAGTGACGAATCGTTGATAAAGCAGTACTAATCATGCGAACACAGATTGTCCTGGGAAACTCAGCAGAAAATGCCTGGTGTCATCTCCAAGGGGCGAGAGTATTACTAGAATACAATCAGCAATCGCCGGAGCCTTCTTGTTTTCCCTTTTTCCGCAAAGTATTCCAATATTTCAATGTTATGCTCGCTCTTTCACTAGAGCGACGCCCCTTATTAATCGCCGGCCACGAGGGGCCCGAGTTCACCGATAAAATGGACACCGTGTTCGGATGCACGGGACGACTATGGCCACTGATGCACCGCCTTGCTGATATACTTGGACGCGCTCATCTGGGAGAAGATGTGCGACGCGAGTCACAGCAATTGATGGACAGTTTACAAGCTTGGTCTATCGAGTCCAGTCCTGATCCCGATGCATACCTCGAAGCAATGGTGCAGATTGCGCATGCATACAAATATTGTGGAATTTTGATGCTACGTGTAGCAATTCCACGGGATGATAATGAGATTAGGTATGGGTATGTGCGATCGCAAGACCAGGAGATCTATCGACTTGCTTTTGATAGCGTGTTGCGTGTTTGTGTTCTATCTACACCCATGGCTACCCTTACATGGCCGCTGTATGTGGTTGGCCGACTGGCTACATCTGCGAGTGATCGTACTCTTATACTTCATATCTTCTCCCAGTTTAAAGAGAAGCATCATATGATGGTTGTGGATGGAGCTAAGAATGCAGTACAAAGTCACTGGAATGAGGGACTATCTCAATGGTCTCATTCATGTAATCCAGCACCTGTGCTGCTAGGATGAATTGAATGTTCGGTTCATGGCTCGAGGCTATATCCACTTCCTCGTGCTACCTCTTCGCCTTTGACGGACCCAAATTCTGAAGACCCGGTGCCGGCTTACATGCCCCCGGCTGACCATTGCTACTATATGCTGGTCGCAATTGATTTTTTTGAGTCAACTGCAATGAAAGATCGTGCAACAATATGAAGATGCAACAATATGAAGACGGTGTGTCCTCCCCACACGCCTGGACAGTGAAAAACCGCTCGAGGGCGCTCATGCGTTCGGACCAATATAGAAACTTCTGAAATGATAGACATACATAACTTCTCACAATATCTAGCTTGTATTGGTTGACACTATAATGCTGCCCAAATCTCGACATTTTCTCATCCGGATAACCACAAGTTCAAAGCCACATGCATTTCATATGCAGTGACATGCAAGCCACTAATTTTGTGGTAGATTCTTGAAAACAAGTTCCATCGGCGCTGCAACCAAAGTAAAAGCATCACGTTTTCCTTTCCAAAAGGAATTCTCACTAAAGCTGTCGGCGAAAGAAACCTCGTACCGAGTTAAGATCTCCGCGACCACTCGGCGTACTTCCATTAATGCCAGCTGCTTTCCGACGCACGCATATGGACCTATATCTATGTTAATGCTGATCGCATACGTGAGTGGGGCTGACATACCTCCTCCAAACGGGATGAAGGCAGCGGAATCCTTGATGAGTTCTGGATGAGTAGTCCACCTCTCGGGTTTAAACTCGTTGGAATATTGGAAAACTCTTTCATCTAACTCACGGTTATCAAGTGGTCGAAACTTGAAAATTGAGATTCAGAAATTACCTCTGAAGAGTGTGTGCATGGGCGTTGCAACCAACACATCACCAGGGATGTATGTGTTGCCGATTTGAAGACCTTCCGGGGGAGTCATGCGTTGCATGCCAGATGGTACTACTGGATGTAAACGAATGGTCTCGTTTATTACAGCATTCAGTAGCTTTATCCCGCTCAACTGGTCCGCAAACAGATCAGGGTTTTCATTCAATTCTGCTCGAAGAATATCTTGTAGAGTTGAGTCTTTGGCGATGTGGAAGAAAACATTGCTTAAAGTCGCTGCTGTTGTGTCGCTGTTAATTTTTATTAGCTATGATGCCACTCATATGAGCTTTAAATGGAGACTCTACCTTCCAGCGACACTAATGAGATACGTGTCTCCATGAAGGTTGAGAAAATCCTGTTCAGTCTTGGAACCTTGTTCAAATGCCTTGATAAGCCAATGAAAGACGTCTGGACGATAAGGTGGGTTCTATAAACTTTGAGGTTAATAAATTGACAATTGATACAAATGTGAGGAACTGTTACTTGTCTTCGGTGTTGAACCTGGTCATCGAGCCAACCCCAAAATTTGAGATAGTCGGCATTGATCAGCGGGATGATTTTGAAAAATGGAAAAAGCCACATTAAATGGCTGAATAGGCCGATCATTTTCATATCGGCATGTAATTGAGTATAGAAATACTTGTCCTTTCCGTCTAAGATCATGTCAAATGATTTGCCGAAAGACAAATCGCCCATCACATCTATCGCATAATAGTTGAACCACCGAGTCATATCCATAGGTTTATTTAGGTGCTTCTGGATCTTTTGGATGAGTTGTGATGCATAATGAACAACTCTCGGCTCGTAATCTCGTAGTGCTACATAAACATGGTAGTTTTCTTAGTGAAAATAACGGCCATGATTTTTGAAAGGACTAACCGTTAGTACTAAAACCTTGATCCCAGACCTTCCGTCTTTTTGCATGGGATGCCTTATCTCTATCGGTCTGAAGTGAGAATCGAGGCTCAAGACAATTGTACCATGGACCTTTCGAAACATTCGCCTTGGAGCTGTAGATAAATGCGACCGCAGCCGGATCCGCAATGGATAGTTCGGTGGGACCTAGAAATTCCTATGCATAAACTGGTGCCCGAGAGTTGAAATCAAATACCATTGGAAAGACCCTGAAAGACCCTGAAAGACTTACCGATGCGGACGTAATCGCCGTATTTCTGATGAAGCTTTTCAGTCTCCTCATAAAGACGGAAATTTTTGGCAGACAGGAAAGTCACGTAAAAGTTGGACAATCGAGCGAAAATTGGACCTGGAAATCTGTTGAGCCGATGCAGAGCACCTCTATAGAGAAGCATGCTACTGTAAACACCCACGACATGAAATACAAGAATTTTCAGGGACCAGCCAGCGTTCAAATCGATCTCAAATTTCTGAAGTGTCTCTAGGCAATCCAATGTAAGGAGTGTAGCCAGAGTGATTGCATATTTTATAACGATCTCAGGGGCTTTAAGGTCCCATTCTCCATGACGATAGAGGAGAACGTGAAATGCGACGCCAGATAGTCCTGCGACAGCAGCTAATGAATCTGCGAATCGTGCCATGGTGGTTGCAGTTGTTCACTGTGAAAACTGCAGACGACATTTACCCCATAGAAGAAGGGGTATTGAGACAAATAGATGGCACATGTTTCTCTTTTCTCCTATTCGATGCCTTGCATTAGTGCTCTGCCGAGAAGCAGAGAAAGAGAATGATTGGGAAACGAGATGCGCCTAGCGGAATATCCATCAACGATTTGAATGTGCAAGGAAGCGATTGGCTCAGATGAGACCTTGCCGCCCTACATGTTTGATGATGTGGGGAAGCAACTTTCGCACATTCACTCCATCATCCGAGTCCAGAATGCTTTTTTATGATCGGGACTCCAGGAACCTTGATCTTTGTGAGGAATGTAGATTGCCTATTTTGTGGTGTCAAGCTAGATAACCTAAATCCGGCCTAGTTTGTATCACATAATAATACCTCACCTCTTGAGATATTCTCTATAGCATCCTAGTCAATCAATCAACTGTTCAATTATCCCAATCATTACTATTCTATCACGTAACCTTTGTCATGTCGCTCCATACCATGAGATTAATCATGCTCAGTAGTGCCTCCGAATCTCAGCTAGACATGAACGCGTGCTGTGAAAAAGTAATAATGGGATAATGTAGCGAGGATTGGACTGATGGTCTTAATTGGTGACGCTTGGAGCGCGGGGCGCCCGCGTGACGGTGCACATGTCAAATTCAGACATCAATAATTCGCTGATTTGAATATGCATTAGCCGTCCTAGTGGGAAAGTAAACGGGCTACCTCGAATTAGTTTCCTGAACCGCAATGGAAAGAGTAGAAGTCTTTTGTTGGTTTCATGGCATAAAAGGTACTAGAACTACCAGCCTGAGCTTGTTATTTTTGAAAACTCCCGACATGTTGATATTTTTTATTCACAACCATGATATGAAGTCTGGACTTAGATCGCGAAAGGGACTTTCATATTTCAGCTGGTACATATCAAGATTTCAAGGTTTTAGTGGCTCTGTATAAATCAATTTAAATATCGGTAATATTACACAAAGTCTCCGAAGCGTGATCGGAGGGTTAGCCGGTAGTGGAGTAGTATCGGGTGTGGTATGCCTGGCTCTTTTGGCTCTCATGGGCTGTGCCCACTATTCTACTGCTGATACTGTACGGAGAGTTTCGGGCTCATCTTGTACCACCTGTTCCATCGTATCATCTTCTTCTTGGTTCGGAGATGGCCCAACCCGCTGATAGTGGAGGTCTCCAGTCGGCACAGTTCCACCTAGGAACATTGTTCGGCTAGCCTGTCGGCGGTTTTATCCCTCCGGTTGCCGGTTTGTTAAGCATCAATCGGACCTAGAAACCGCGTTCGTCCATCGTGTTCTGCCAGGGACACAAAACGGTCGGATATTTGAGAGGCTTGCGGGGTATATACTAGAACATTGAGGTGAACTCATCAGGCAGAAGGCACCTGGAGACTTGTTTTTTAGACACTTGGCGGGCCGCAGCGGGGTTGGTACTAGATAGCGCGTCAAATCTTAAAACTTTTGGTCCCACTATTAACCGCGATACAAAGAATGAATCAGGCGTGCTTGGCTTCGTTTTTCCTATAAAGTAAAGCTTCACTAAGTCATTTTGGCCCCCAGGATAAGGGTTCGGTGGGGTTTCGTCAGCTGAAGCTAGCGTCATTCGAGTTGAGGCCCCGGGGCGGGGTCTCATGGGCCGAGAGGGGAATAAATACATAAATACACAAGAAACGCCCAAGTTGTGACCAGTTTTCATTTTTACGACCAAACTCTTATCTACGCGCAATATTAAAATGCCTGCTGTTAAAGCTATTGTGGCCGAGGTGCCAACCACCCCTCTAGTGAGGAATTGGTCCCTGCAAGAAGTGGATATCAGCTCCCCTGGCGATGACGAAGTCTTGGTCGAGCTGTATGCCACGGGCATCTGCTCGACCGACATTCTACTTGGCTCATTGCCAAAGGGTTCGATGAGCGTAGAATACCCGAAGATCGTGGGACACGAAGGTATTTTGATATACACCCGACTGGGCTGAAGTTGCAGAGCCGATCACACTTTTTTTTTTTGCGAAATGAATTAACAATATTAGGGGCTGGTATTGTACGGGAGATTGGTAAGAATGTGCGGTCTGTAGCTTTAGGCGACCCGGTTGTCCTATCCTTCAGCTCCTGCACATTGTGCGCGCAATGCGAGGATTCTCACCCTGCATACTGTGATGACTTTAGGCCTCGAAATTATCGCGGGAAACAAGAGTCGACGAAAATTATTTCCTCAGGCAAAAAAGTATGGACTGAGTTCTTCGGACAGTCGAGCTTTGCACAATTTAGTGTTGTCAACAAGACGAGTGTCGTGAATGTCAAGGATTTGATCCAGGACTTGAGCGAGCTGAAGCTCTTCGCTCCTCTTGGCTGTGGATTCCAAACCGGCATGGGTGCTATTCAAAATGTTGCACAAGCTGGTCCCAAAGACGTGGTCTTAATTTCAGGAATGGGCGCCGTTGGAATGGGCGCTCTGATGGTAAGTCGTTTCCACGAGAAAGTCGAGACATGCTAGTTAGAGAGAGATAACTGATTATCGGACAGACTGCTGTAATTGAGCAATGCAAAACGATTATTGCAGTTGATAGAGTGAAAAGTCGCCTTGATTCTGCAAAGAAATTTGGGGCCACACACACTATCAACACGAGCAATCCGAGTTTCATAAACTTGAACGAAGCTGTTCGTGCGTTAGTCCCTGGTGGTGCGTCGATTGCGATTGATGCGACCGGTGTCCCTGAGATTATCGAGCAAAGTATGGAGGCAACTCAGAAGCGTGGTAAAATCATCCTAATCGGAGTCCCGCCGCTCGACTATTTCATGAATATTCAAGGAGCCGCTCTTCTTAATGTAAGTTCCAATGGGGATGTCAGATATATCGAGAGTGGTCAAAAAGCTGACATTGGATTGCGCAAAATAGTCTGGACGCTCAGTTATAGGATGCCTTGTTGGTGACTGTGATTCCCAAGCTGTAAGCATCAGTCCTCCGGTATAACTTGTTCATCTTCAGCTCATCCTTTTATAGGCCATTCCTCAGATCATCAAGTGGTATCGGGAAGGAAAGTTTCCAATTGATCAATGCGTGCAGGCCTTCGGTGTTAGTTGACCGAAGATCAGTGTTCATATGTAAACGCTAATACGAGTCCCAGGCAATGGAGTATGAAAAGGCTTTAGTGAGCTTCAAGAAAGGAGAAGTGATCAAGCCTGTCCTAGTTTGGAAGGATTAACTATTTCCATTTGACCTGATGCATTGCTTGTGGGAATGTTTTTGGTGTCTGAAGCTTACGGTAGGTTTTGAGAACCTATGGAAAGCCAAGTCCCAGCATATTTTCATGGGAAACTAAGGAGGCGCGAAGCAGTGCAGGCAAATGGTAGGTGAAGTAATTTTGGGAATACATGCAGTGGAACTAAGACATGTCATTTAAATTCATTGACTCCAAGACCTCTATGGGTATTTTCTTTACAGCATGATATTGCTGCTAAGCAAGGCAATTACCCCGCCGAATATAACAAGTTCAGAGTAACATAATTCATTGGTACTGAGAACGGAGATCGTTAATGAGATAACTGCCAAGGTAGATTGTATCTCGAAGCTAGGCGCTAGAACCAATTTGAAACAAACATGAAATGTAAGCAGCAAACTTGAATACATCATATCCAATCACCACAATCCAGCTTTCAATTCCAATCAGCAACAGACATCATAAAATTTTCCTAACGCCAGCCACCTCAAGTGTGTCTGCTACTGCTGGAAGTAGAGCTCTGGGATCCGGGCGGGGAGCCACTGCCACCACCCATGCCAGAGTTCTCATTCTCAACACCACCCTCCTCAGTGTAGTAGGCAGCAGGAGTGATATCGGTATCCTCGGTAGCATCGATTCCAACCGTAATCCAGGCAAATATACCGTCCGAGACGTCATCACCGAGGAGGACGTACTCCATGAAGGGGTCAATGGTTGCAGCTTCCTCAGAAAGAATGCTGTCGTCGGAATTGGTGGTGACGTCCTGGGTGTTAGCCGAGTATGGTGAGACATTTTCAACGGTAGTAATCAAGTCCTGGTCGAAGAATAGCTGGCCAACATGGGAGGACTTGGCGGTGTAAAGACCATTCAGGGTATCGTTTGCTTGAACATTTGTTTCGTTGACAGAGTGGGTGAGAACTGTAACGTAAACCATGATTAGCCGTCGTGAAGGATAATACTGACCAGGTTGGCTTCGAGTGTAGCTGGATGTGATAAGCAATCATACCGTGAATATGAGTAGCACGACCGGTATAGTGACCGGGGAAGATAGACTCAAATTGAACAACTCCGTCGCTGTTGCTAGGCTGGATTCCACGAAGGAAGGTGTCGTCCAGGTTGGAAGCATCCGACGAGTCACCATTTCCGCTGGCTTGAACGCCTGAGTAAACGCCCTAAAAACGAAAATTCAGTAATATGCTATGTTAGATGGACAGAGCGAGTTACTGACAGTTGAATTGCAGTGCCAAATGTCCATGTAGACATTGGGCAATGGGTTGCAAGTATTGGTGTCAACAACCTGGATATCCATGTAGAGAGGCACGCCCTCCTGAGTCTCAACAACATTCTCACGGATCAATTCGCCAGTGACATCTTGACACAATTAGCTCCAGTGGGCATTTCGAGGAACAAGGTAGTATTTGGAGCTTACAGTAAGGGCCTTGAGTGACATCCGGACCCAAGATACAAGTCGCCTCAGAGCCGAAGAGTACACTTGCGTCGGTCGACGGATCGACATTGGTGAGGTTGGACCTGTGAGAGGTGCTCAATTCGGTGTCCAAATCGCGAGCCTTGAGAAAACGGGAAGCTGGCAGTCAATCAGTTTGAAAATCCCGGGTTATCAATTAGATTCGGATAAATTACTGTTCTTCAATCCGCGGCGGCTGCGGATGTGCTTCACCGCATGTTCACGGCGAACAACATTCTTGTCCTCAAGACCCCGAGCCTTGAGTTTCGAAGCGCACTGTGAAAGTCCTCTGTTATGAACAGCAGAGTTTTTCAGGAACGCGGCGCGCTCGGCTGCTTCAGCTTTGACATCATGGCCGGGATGAGCAGAGACAACGCTGGCTAAGCCGACCAAGCCAAGTGCAAGAGCGGAAGAAAGGTGCACCATTGTGATTTCAGTGGTAGGGAATTTTCAATGTGAGAAGGAAGATTTGCTGCTTGGTGATTGCAAGCAAACTGCGTCCTCCTACACTGCTCTTTATACCAATGTCTTCTTCATTTCTTGGCTATACGTACCTTATTGCATACGATGCCAAGAGCAGCTGACGAAGTTATGAAGCACACCCCGAGGTGCATATCCACACACGAATCAGATTGTTCCCTTTTCTCATCATTGAGGTACTGTATAAAAGTTCCAGGGCAAATGCTGGGTCCACAGTGGAGAATCCTTCGGACCCCAAATACCTAGATCGCGGAGCAAAACCAGGTTCTTGAACATCGGATACCACAGGATCAACTCCATGGAAATAAACATGAAGCCCGTTGCCAATGGAGAAAGGACAGAAGTCCCGTCGCAAATAAAATGTCTTTCAATTAAAGATTCATGGGTGTGCATTCGCCAGAAACGAGCCAAGACGGAGCGAAGGCTCAAAAGGAGGAAATTTTCCATGTATAAGAGGGTAAAGGCTCTCAATTTGCACTTTTTATGCACCATGCAGTCTTAAGATACAAAGGTACCCAATCATTCGACGCAAAGTGACATTGGCAGTGATCTGCAAAGCTGACGAGGTTGCCTTCGGCAGATACCCTGAATGTGGACCGGCCAAGACCACTAATCTCAATTTTACTAATGAATAGCTTGCGATACGTTGAAATGCCTACCTTATATGCGCCATCAACATATTAACCTTTATCGAAAGTGCCCCCGAGGCCCCTGTACCCCTACGTTCCCGCTCCGCTTAGTAACCTCCGTCCACTTGGAGGTTTTTGGGAAGACGTGGTGAGTGTACGTATCCCCTTCTTGGCTTTCTTGGCGAGGCTTATCGGATATTCGTCCGGCGTTGACCCTTAGCACATTGGAATCCAAATCACGAGCACGTCTTGAGCGGCTTTTGAAATAGTGTAGCTTCTGAACTGACGTGATCGTAATCTCTTACTCATACCGCTCAGCTCATGCATGTTCATAATTTGCAGTGTCCAGGGGTACATAAAGACGGATAGCTTGGCCCAGGGCTCCCCCGTTTGGCCACGGCAGTAATCCGGCAAAGAGTATGCCGATCAACACAAGCGCATTGAGGAGTTTCATTCATTAACTTTAATCTCCATATCGCCTACACTAGCAATACCAATTTTAGGAACAAAGTGAGAGAGAAAAAAGGCAAAAGAACCACATTAATTCAATCTAGAGCAATACCTATACATTCAAGTTGGGTGTAAGCTATGTACTAGTGCAACACTAAGAATCATTCGTGGAAACAACTTGAATGTAGTATATGTTCAGTTTTGCACTGGCCTGTTTGGGCAGGTGAGTTCCTTGAAAGCTTGGAGTGATGAGTACTAGCAAGAGACCATGCCAAAAAATGCAAGCCAGCATTGTAACAAATGAAATGCAGTAAGATCCACTCATACCCCTGTGTTTTAGTCTAGTAGGATTCTGCAACATTCATATGAAAGCCAAGAACCTCGCAGCACCTCTCGCTAACATTTGAACGTGGGAAATAAGTTGAGCTTAAATATGCAAGTGGTACAACTCAGACAAATAAGAACTTGGAACTCCGGTAGTTTCTCGGTCAGCTGTAGCATGCGGTTGGTATTTTTTGTTCATCTCATAGTTTTTGGTTGACAATTTGCATTTTACTGCGCGGTGGTCTGGTTTTTCAATGTCCCGTTAGAAAATGAACAACTTCGTTCGTATATTACCATCACTGCTATATCCCAAAGCAGTATGAAAAAACACGTAGATGGCTCTGAAATCCATGACTAGTATCATTACAGGGTATGAGAAACAGCATGTAGAAAGCACATGGTCCAATACTGGAATTGATTCATCATATTTGGGAACGTGTGATCTAAACAAACTTGATCCATCGGAAATAAATCTGCTTTCGACACACAAACAAATTGACCAATGAGGGGAATTCGGCTTTGTACATAAACTTTAGAGCACATTAAAGGAGATCTAGCACACAGAGTCTATACCCTTGCGAGAAAAACTCTACGTGTGAAATTTTTGGGGGGCCAAAAGTGCATAAATTATAGATGCAATTTAGAAAACGGAAAACTCACGTAAGAGTTCTGCAATAGTTTTCCTTCTGAATTAAATAAAAATCTTTGCAAGAGGGCACAGTACAATTTTGGAATACAGAAACTTGGAATTCTCTTTTAATGATTTAAAATGATACTGAACAACTTAAAGCGCATGAGACTCAAAGAAAAGTGGGAATGCTATAATATTATTAGCCCAAATGATGAGCGAAGATTAACTGAGCCTCTTCAAGTTCACGCTAAAGTGTACCACCTGAGAAGAGAACCCGTATGACTTAAAGCCTGGGAAAAAAAGCCCTGAAGGGGTACGTTTCAAGAAAATATTGGATTGCAACTTGAAGGTTCAATGTCCACATTTCATTCAAAGTAACAAGGATATCTATCAAAATTCATGTCTCAGTTGATCCCTCGTCAATAACCCTATTCAACTTGAAGTTGCTCCACTGCCAGGGCTAATTCTTCCCAATTTAGTTCAAATGTTACAATTTGAAGCCCTGGAACCTGGTTATGAGAGACCACACAGGAACAAACATCACATGAACATCAGATTGAAAATAAATCAGCGCTCCGTTCTCAAAGCCCCCTTCCACAACTTCCCACCACGGTACCTTATCTAACCGTCCACTGTTCTCATGTTTAGATTAATGTAAGCTCAATGGGTGCTAAAGTACCGTTTTGAATCGAGCCTGCATGGTGACGAGCCACAAGGCCATAGCCAAATTGATACCTGAATATTATATTAGCTAAGCCAATCATCGAACTTTAGGGCAAAAGCGAAAAAAAAAGAAATGCTTACTTGTCAAGGAAGGGCAAAAGCTCGTTGAGTCCAGGAGTGCTACGCCAATCGCGCATGAGGTCACAAGCAATAGCAAAAAGCCCCATAAGAGTGACTCCAGCGCGCTCCATGCGGCGATTGGCATCCTCAGCGAGTCGAATGTCAAATGTTCCACTAGCATCGGTGTTTGCATAGACTTCATATCCCTCATCAATAAGGGACAGAGCCAAGAATGTAGTACCTAAGGAAAGTTAGACGTGATTCGCGTGATAAAATCTTTGGTGATAAGAAGGCGATGTGGTAACTTACAAACTTCAGTTACGATGCCTCCAATAATCAGTTGCTTCTTTCCAGTCGCTCTAACTGCAGCACGGAAGTCGGCATTGTCCCAGGCGTTGACCTCACCCTGGCGGCGAATAAAGGTAGCATTAGGATGCATTTCGGTGATTTCCTTCAACAGAAGGCCATTGGGGCCGGAGTCAGACGAGGAAGTCAAAACAGTGGGCAGATTGAAAACATTTCCCAGGGCCGCATGAGCAAGCATGTTGTTGCGGAAATCATTGGTACCAAAGTCACGGACCAGCTGGGACAGACCAACTTCGTGGTCGATAACAAGAAGGGCCTATTGCGGTTAATATTCAATGGCTTCAGGAGAATTGAAGAAGGCAGCTTACAGCGTCATCCTTGTCAATTCTGTTCCATGCGTTTACAGGAGCACAAACAGCCAAGAGAAGGCCAGTACCCAAGATGGAAGAGATATACATGATGATTGATAGAAAGGCTTTTGAGGCTTCTGAAGATCTGGTATACCTTGAGGTTCTTTGGATCTGATGTGGAACTGAGGATTTTAAAACAACCGGGGTTCTCTACCTTTTATACACGACATTGACCGTATATCTTATTTTTCAAGACTATCTTCAATTATCTCATAATCTTGACAAAGGCCTTTCAAATATCCTTGGCGCTTACACTTTGCCCAAGAATCTCTTGGTATGTAGAAGCGAACGGCTCTAGACGATCAGCACTAAGCACGTGGCGTAGTTCGGGTGGTACAATGGCATTCAGACTTAGATTTCGACCTCAGTGGCGATTCAATTTGTAGAGCAGCTTTTCCGACAATGTCTCTATGTGCCATTGGAAAACACTGAAAGCTATAGGATACGGCGAGGTGCGCGTGGATGACTCAATAACTAAATAAATTGGTCAGCAGAATAATTCCGGTGTACGTGGAGATTTCTTGCATTTTAAACTATACCCTTGGAATGCGAGATACGATTCTCCGGGAAGATTATGAAAATATCGACCGCTACTTGCCTATGACAGCTTTGTGATCGGGTCAGGGTGAGTCGGGAATCTGTCAGCCGTAGTCATGCAGGGCTGGTTGAACTAGCTTATTTAGTGTCTTACAAAGTTGAGACTAAGGCTTGTGTCAGCATGCATGACAGGTCGAACCCTGAACTAAATGGTACTTTTGAATCAGTGGCACTCTACCTAAACCTCTCTAGCTCTTTTTGTTCATTTATAAAACTCATCATTGACTATTTTGGAAAATGAAGACTCAATGCCAAGAGGAGACATCTACCATGAGTGGAGCCCATTTGAATCCAATTAATAGCAACTCCCATATCAGATGCCGTTAATCTCGTATAGATTCCTCCATATTGTCTTATTTTTTGCCTCATCTGAGCATATTTTTGAAAGTAGTAGCCTGCCGCCTACCATTCCTAGGTTGGTTGTAATATAGCTGCATCTCAAACTGAAACCATTCTTGAGGTGTCGGTGAGAGAAGTGGGCTTGTCTTAATCAAATTATCTGGAAATTGGGAAATTCAGAAGCCTTTCTCCTCTACAGTGAATAGGGGGCCGCAGCAACCCTGGGATTGGCGATATAATGCACACATCTGCTGGAAAGAACGTCCCACGCGAATAGTAAGATTGCATGTTAAATAAGATTCGGTTAGTACACAAGTGGGAATCAGTAGAACTGAGGTTTCAGTTTTCCCTTAATGGGCGAATGCCCATTAATCGAGAGCCAAATAGCGCGTGCTGACTTGGGCAAAGAAAATTTTGCAAGCGACGCCAGCCTAGACTCGGATATTGTATATTTTCCCCACCCTCCACTAATGATGGTGAGGACCGCGGCGAATACACTTGGCACTAGGGTATTTCCATGGCGATAGTGACAAACTGGATATAGGATTGCGACGATATATTTTGCCCAACTCCAGTTAGTGAGATAGCTAACAAGTACATAAAGTACGAGGGCAGGGCCATCACAAGGAAGTAACCTTTGTGTGCGGTCTAACGACGGTCTGCCACATTATTAAGGCATCGAACGCGAAAGTTCGCTCGAAAGTTAGCTCAGTAGAGCTATGATATGTATATTGAGATATTCGTGGAGATCAAAAAGCTCGGCCTGTCAAGTCAACATTTTATTTTGGGTGGGGTTAATATGTGGGTACTTTGGGATTAAATGTGGTACATCAGCGGGCGGGTGTTGGTGAAAAGGAATATATGGAAATCCGCGAAAAGCGTCTGCAGAGCTTCAAGTCTCCAAGGAAAGAGAAAATAGGGGATACATGTAAATCTATGATTTGATGGTACGCCTCAAATACTAACGCTAGAGTGCAGGAGATTAAGTCCAGTCTGTGACTTTTACCCCACCGCTTGTCGTCAGCGATCACGTGCAGCGTCACCGCCCGAGCTATCGACAGCTTGCCAACATTCGAGATCCTGAACTTCTCCCCGGAGAGCGAATTCCTGTGTACTTCCGCAACCCTTGTTCTTTTTGGCCAGTCCAGACCTCGAGGCCACAAGTGCTTCCCGGAAGGCCGTACCGACCTTACTTTCACCCCAACCCATTTCCGTGCCACCGCGCCCTCCGAGCGTTTGAGTTGCCTGACATGGCCGACGTTCTCGACCCCCGAATGACTTCCATTAAGCCTCGCTTCAAGTATAATACAATTGGAGGAATCAACGGCCCCCTTGTGGTTCTGGACAATGTGAGACTCCACCAAGAAAGTGACAAACTACGAATCAGCTGCTGATCCCTTATCTCGTATTGCAATTAGGTCAAGTTCCCACGTTTCTGTATGTACATCTAGACTTCCGACTCGCTCGCCGATGATCGACACAACACCAACGACCTTTCCGGAAATGGCTTTTGCTGATATTCTGTAGCTGAGATTGTGAGCTTGACACTTCCCGATGGCACTGAGCGAAGTGGCCAGGTGTTGGAGGCTAGAGGTAAGCCAGATATATTTTCCCCCAATAGCGCCGGCAATTGAAACGAGTACTTACATTTTATTCGCTATAGGAAACCGAGCAGTTGTCCAGGTATGCGATAATATACACCTCCATTCGACTCCCTCATAAGCCGATATTAAACGACCCAATCAATTCTAGGTTTTCGAAGGTACCTCGGGCATTGATGTGAAGAAGGTAGGACCACTCGAAACCTCGCACTAGAAGTATACCCTTTGCTGATTCCGAATTAGACGAAAGTCGAGTTCTCTGGGCACAGCTTGAAGCTCGGTGTGTCCGAGGACATGCTTGGTCGAGTGTTCGACGGTTCCGGACGTGCTATTGATAAGGGACCCAAGGTGTTGGCTGAGGATTACTTGGATATCAACGGCCAGCCTATCAACCCTTACTCTCGAGTATGATCATTCAGATGTATACAGCAAAGGATTGGTCACTAATATCTTCTAGGTGTACCCCGAAGAAATGATCTCCACCGGTATCTCCGCTATCGACACCATGAACTCCATCGCCCGTGGACAGAAGATTCCCATTTTCTCCGCTGCCGGTCTTCCCCATAGTACGCCAATATCTATATGCGCCGTTCCCCTTCCAATTCTCTAACCATATCCCAGATGAAATCGCCGCTCAGATTGCTCGACAGGCTAGTTTGGTTAAGCCCAGCAAGGGTATTCACGATGACCACGAGGATAACTTCTCAATTTGTTTCGCCGCTATGGGTGTTAACATGGAGACTGCTCGATTCTTCACTCGTGACTTCGAAGAGAACGGCAGTATGGAGCGTGTCACTCTGTTCTTGAACTTAGCCAACGACCCCACTATTGAACGTATCATTACTCCTCGTCTCGCCCTGACTACCGCCGAATACTACGCTTATCAGCTCGAGAAGCACGTTCTGGTTATCATGACTGATATGTCAGCATACTGTGATGCCTTGCGCGAGGTTTCCGCTGCCCGTGAGGAAGTGCCTGGTCGCCGTGGATACCCCGGTTACATGTACACAGATTTGTCTACCCTCTACGAGAGAGCAGGACGTGTTCAGGGTCGTAACGGTTCTATTGTACGCCACTTTCCTTACACTCGAATGGCCTCGTCCGTCTACTAACCAACCGCATTAATGTCTCTAGACTCAAATCCCCATCTTAACTATGCCTAACGATGGTATGATCCTTTTTAGCTTTACGCTACCAGAATTTAGTGTATTAACAGCTCTTTCTAGATATTACCCACCCTATTCCCGATTTATCAGGTGAGTTGATCTCCGAAATTCAAACGTCGATTTGAAGATACATCATATCATTGATAATTTTTTGCTAATACAACATATTCAACAGGGTACATTACTGGCAAGTTCACTCCATTCCCACCTATTTTAGGACCATGGATTATTGCTCCATCCCTTTTATATTTAACAATTGGAACATCGCTAACATGAAAGCAGAGGGTCAAATTTTCATTGATCGACAGCTTTACAACAAGGGTGTTTACCCACCCATTAACGTGCTCCCATCGCTTTCCCGTCTCATGAAGTCTGCCATTGGTGAGGGTCGCACTCGCAAGGACCACTCCGATGTGTCCAACCAGCTGTACGCCAAGTACGCCATTGGTCGTGACGCGGGTATGTCATTTTACATCCCTCATATCTTGATGTCCTATACCCATATTAACAATCTCAATAGCTGCCATGAAGGCCGTCGTCGGTGAGGAGGCTTTGTCCTCTGAAGACAAGCTCTCCCTCGAGTTCCTCGACAAGTTTGAACGCACATTCATCTCCCAGTCCCCATACGAGTCCCGCACTATCTACGAGTCCCTCGATATCGCCTGGAACTTGCTCCGCGTCTACCCCAAGGAGCTTCTCAACCGTATCCCCAAGCGCGTTCTGGACGAATTCTACGCTCGCTCTGCTCGCAAGCTTCCTGCTAAGGATACTCGGGATAACTCTGCCGAGAATCAACAGAACGAAGACCTTATCGATGCTTGATTTAGCAAATCTGTGAAGTTTCGGGTAATTTAGTCGTTTGTACTGATTTGTTTGTTTGAGGCGCGGGGGTAGCTGATGCTAAACCGTACATACATATTCTCAGTGCCATTTGGGGAAAATATGGCACGCATGTTTTTCATGTCAAGTATCTCAATTTGATTCAATTTTGCAGCCACATTTAGATCTCATTCCTTCCGTGCATGAAAAGGAGGTATAATCCAGGGAAGTAGAGATGAAAGGATTCACTCCCAATTGTATCGCCATTACTGGCTGCCAATACGGCAACTTAGCGCATAATTTGCTTCATTTAAATTATGAATGCCATTTAATATCTGCGGTCACCAGAGGTCTTCATAAAGCAAGTTCTAGGCTTAAAACCTTTACCGAAGTGTTTGGATCAAGAGTGAATAAGTAAAAATTGAATTAAAATTTGCATCAATAAATTGATATACAGACGTGTCCCATTCATCATTCCGCTAACAAAAAACAAGCTTCACATATGAAGACATAAGATAATACCAGCCCAATAATCTAAGAAATGAACTTAAACCTCCTGGTGGCTAATAGCAGGGGCAAGGACAGCCTTTTCAACAGAAAGACCCATCTCACCAGCGAAGGTAGAGTGAGGCTTCCATCCAGCAGAAGTACGGGGAGTAGTCTCCTCCATCATCTTATCAACCTGCTCAAGAGTGAGACCCTTGGTCTCAGGGATGAGGAAGTAAGTGTAGATGAAGGCGCAGGTGCACAGTGCTCCCCAGATGAAGAAGACCTTAGGACCAAGGTTACCCTCATCAGTGTCGACCATGTAAGGAGTGATGACAGCGATGATCTAGAAGATAGAAAGTCAGCGAATGTTGATGAGGGAAGGAGACAGGAAGTTAGGAGGACATACGCAGTTCCAAAGCCAGTTAGAGGCGGTGGAGAGGGCAACACCGCGGGAACGGATGGGGAGAGGGAAAATCTCGCCGATAACGACCCAGGCACCGGGACCCCAGGTGCTAGCGAAGAAGAAGATGTAGATACAGATGAAAGCAATCATGGCGGCGACGGCCTTGTTATCATCGTAGTCGACGACACCGATGATGGCGACGATGAACTGGCAGATGACCATACCGAGGGCACCCCATAGGAGGAGGGGACGACGACCGACCTTCTCAATGGCGTAGAAGGAGATAGGGGTGGAGAGGACATTGACAATGGTGGTGATGATGCTGAGCAGGAAGGGGTTCTGGATAGTGTGGAGCTGAGTGAAGAAAGTGGTTCCGAAGTAGAAGACGAAGTTGACACCGGTCCACCTGTGAAATATTAGAATGGGATAGTGATAGATACGGGGATAAGAAGAACATACTGTTGCATCATCTGGAGGGAGGTACCAAGGATAGTACGGCGGAGGTTGCTGTTAGGCTCCCAGATGCTGCCACGGAAGCAGTTGAACCAGCTGCCGAAGTAGCCCTCCTGGGGAGTAGACTGGAGCTCGTAGAGGTGGTTGGCCTCGATCTCGTTCAACTCCAAGCTGATGTACTCAGAATCAGCGGGCTGTCCACGAACACGAGCAAGAGCCTGGCGAGCCTGCTCCTTTTGACCCTTGCGAACGAAGTAACGAGGAGACTCAGGCAGGAAGATAAGACCAGTTCCGAGGATCAGAGCCCAGAGCATCTGAAGGGCAACGGGGATACGGTAAGAGCCCGAGTCGGCGCGGTGCTCAGTGGCATAGTCGACACAAGTAGCCAGCATCAGACCGATGGTGATGCAGAACTGGTATCCGGAGACGATTGCACCACGAACTTTGCGAGGAGCAATCTCAGACATGTAAAGAATGATGACGGCTGACACGAAACCAACACCAAATCCAGCAATGAGACGACCCGCTACAAGAAGGCCAACAGCGGAAGAGGCAGTCTGGAGAGCAACACCAATGAGGAAAACGACACAGCCAGCGATGATGGTTGTGCGACGACCGAACCAATCGGCCAAGTCACCAGCCAAGATAGCACCGAAGAATGTACCAGCAGAAAGAATAGAGACGATCAGCGACTTCTTCCAAGAAGGAATGACGAAGTCTGCAGCGGCGACTGAGCCTTTCTCCTATTTTGGATATTAGCATGAATAGTAATTAGAGTAGGCATAATGTTATTGCTGTGAACTTACCAAGCCTTCGAAGGTCTCAATGAAGTAGTCCATACCAAGGACACCACCAATGTAACCGGAATCATAACCGAAGAAGATACCACCAAAGGCAGCAAAAGCACACATCAAGTAAGTCTTGAAGGTGACGGGGGCCTCCATGCGCGCAGCATCGACGCCCCCCATGGAGACAATAGCACCACCGGGCATTTGATTGAGACTGTTAAGACGAACTTCTGACAGAGGATGTATGATGGGATGGGTAGATAAATAAAAAGAAGTAGTAGAATGTAGTCGAGGCGAATGAGTTTAGTGAAGAGATGGATGTAAAAGAATATTGTGTTGTAGAACGATGGATAGAAAAAAGATATCACCGGGAAACATGAAGCTATTTATCCTTGGGAGAGAACTTAGATCCCCGCATACCAAAACCCCAGCTGGAGAGAAAAAAAATGTTAAACCCAATCTAGCTTAACCCCAGACCCAAAATTGATGAGCAAGCATAGTCACACGATCCAATGAATTAGCTCAACGCATCGAAGACCCTGGAATCGAGCGCCAAATCCAAACCGAGCCGAGGACTGAGCTGAAATTACACCCTCGCTAGATCCAATCGAGCTTAACGCGGGCAACAATTCCCCCAAACTCGGTCGCGCCATGTGGTCTAGGAACCCGGGGAAGAATTTTCCTTCTCGGCCTCAACCGAGGATATGCGAACAAAAGAGGACATTGGCACACCTTGCAGTAGGAAAATGTTACCTAGAACCTGCGCTAGCGAAAAAGTATACCGTGCGGCGTTCTCCGTAGAACTGGCTGGCCAAACAAATTCTCGGGTCCAAGCCGACCATGTGTCTCGGGCCCGGGAATGCTGTCTGAAATGGACGTGCGCTCCGCGAGGAACCGTTCGTTGATTGGTTACGGAGTAGAATTAACTGCGCCACATCCCGAAATACTTTTTTTTCTCTTTGCGTTGTGACCTCGCGCACCCCGGCGCTAGAGATCTCGGCATTCCGTGTCTGAAGAAAAGAAAGGTGCGATTCCGTTCTACAGAGAGCAAAGCCACACCGATGGTCATGTGAGTGGATCTGCTGACCTGAAGAAAGTCGTCTTTACTATGTTTTACTATATCCCACTCGATCGTGCCAAAAAATTATTCTTCTTTTTAAGTCCTGTAGCAGTATTTCCAAGATTTGTCTCATGTCGCTTAAAATTTCATTTAAGCGGGACGAAATTAAATTTGCAACCATGTGGAAGATTTGACACTTGGCTCTGACACTTGGCAAGGTTTTCCAAATCCCACTCTTAATGGAAAATATGGTACTGTAGAGCGGCAAACCTTGCGATGGTTGGTCCTGTGTGGTCCAAACCTGGAGACCCCGCCCCGTATAGACCCACCCCCAGAGACATGATTTCTCTGTCGTCTGTGCGAGAAGCGCACAGAAGCCGTGTCGGGCAGATGTCGGGGAACGGTCTGAAAAGAAAGCTAAAAAAGAAGGAGAAGGAGAAATCTTTGGAACGGGTTCTAATCACCCCATTTTAGACCCCATCTAGCCTTCTTTCAATATACCGCGAGGGTCGTTTACAACTCGAATTTGTGAATATAATAGTAGCAAGCTGTCGCCACCAAGGTGTTTTATGGGCGTTCTCGACGGCTTCAAGTTGAATACGAGGTAGTATCTAGCGTTCTTAATGTTTACTCATTTCTGCACATTGTGTTTTTCAAGTTCAAGGCCAGAGTCATGTAATAACCAAAAGTGGTTGTCTATTTCCATGAGTTACAATATGTCACCGAAATTGATGATGGTCGGAGTTACTGTCTCACCTCGTATGATAGCAGGGTCCATGTAGAGCCTTGGCACTTTAATTTCGGAATTAGAACGACTGTCAACTCAGACATGCGATACACCGATAGACATTTCGAGCCTAGGACGAGCCCAGCCCTACGGGGCTAGCAGTATCCTTATTTGGGATTCTAGAGACAGCCGGATATAACACTTCTTAAGCTTCAAGATTCCGGCATTGAAACCATAATATCTGGGGACTCCGTTCTTGCTCATCCATCTGCCAAATTCTGGAGTAGACGGGGGCCGACATGGCGAAGAGTTTACAAGCGGGGTTAGGTCTTGGCCCAGGACGCCAAGTGTTTGCTTCTGGACGCACGACCTGTGCAAAGGACTGCCATGAACGCCAGAAAGTTAATTTCTAGAAGTAGAAAAACTTAATAAGGGATAATTAAAGAGAGACTTTGGAGCCAGCTTTGATCGCCTCAGTTTATACCTGAGCCAAGCTGCTACTGATATAAAGGTTACGATGCGGCCTGTCAGGCATGTCTATTCAAAAACGCCCTGAATTCAGAAATTCCAAAGAAAGAGTAGTGACAGTGCATATCAGCAGACATACTTTTCATATCAGGTTCAAGTTGACGCCTACTACCTAGGAGTACTAAACAGGTGCATGCCCATAATCATGGTGGTAGACATACATCATGCTGCAGTTCAACTTGAAGTTTAACCTTAGGCAGGTCCAAGTTTTCTAGAACTTTAGAAGGGACCCTTGTTTGCTTTCTTTCCCAGCTTCTTTCTATTTTTATTTTTACCTTTTTTCCAAAAAATAACTTTATGAGAGCATTCCAAGGCTTTACAACTACTAGTGCTACTAGTAGTAGTACATGTATTCAACCGCTCGCGTGAATAACGCAATATATGTATCTGAATTTCCTCTGGAAACTCAAATTCAGTGGAGAGGCTCTACTAGTACAAATTTTCTTAGATATCTGTAGGTACCATCATCATGATCATGTTCAACTTGAACTTAGAGCATTGGCCACTCCATACCGAATGCAACAAGATTTAGCTATTGTGGCAGTGAGAAGATGCGTTCTTCAACTTGAATAATATCGCGCAGAAATCTGTGCGGTAGAATCAAGCATGGAAACACGTTTTCTGTAGAGACCGTTCGCCAGAATAATCACAACAGACACATATCCCATGTGCACACTACTGTACCTTTTGTTAATCATGCTACGCTGTGGAGAATACTACAAAGTGCGCATAGGCATAAAAATGCTCATGTTGAGAACTTCTAGCGGGATAACAGCAAAATGCCTCTTCATCAGACTTGCGCGCTAAAACATCATCTTGCTGCTGAACCAACTCCCGGTATATCTCCCAACAAAGGCCCAGCGGAAGCCCAGCTGCACCTAACATTTTCCGAGTATTGAATTCTGGCTGTTTGTAGTTTATTCGCCCGTTGAAACCTTAACGCTCGAAGATATCTTCCAGGCTTTCTAAGCATCCGGCCTTCAACCACAAAGGGCAATCTTGGTTCTTGAAATTAGCACCTTTCCGTAAATGATGAAGCTCATCCACATCGATGTCTTCTATCTCGCTATCCTCCTTCTCGTCATCTTTACTATCTCCATCATCATCATCGTCGTCATCAAAGCCATGAATATCATCTGGGAAGTCCAGTCCAAATCTTTGGTCAGACCCCGGCGAAGGTATTGGTAGGCCATAATTGACTCTTCAGTTTCATCGTCACTTATATCTGACTCCCCACCCGGCATTCCTGTATGTCTGCGCGGGCCTCGAAAAAGCCGTGCATCGTCCCAAATTATTTCTTTACCTGGTGGCGGAAAGTATCATGGTCGGCAATCGCGCGGAAGACTTCGATATTTAAGGGCTTGGGTGATAAGAACACTCGTGAGAAGTTGAGTTCCACTGCAATGGAGAATTGGTTAGATGCCAAGCGCACAGATTTGATATCCTGGTTCGCCAAACAAAATAAGATTTCACGCCACAGCTCCAATGGAATATCGGGCACGTTGTGGGCAACCGAAGTCATTCTCACGGTTGATCGCGTGAAACAGCGAGAATAACGAGATGGTAAAACTACCACCATGTACGCAAGCGAGCCTCCGAGATTTAAAACAAATTCTCAAAAGCGATCTGCAGTGAAGCTGATTGAGACCCATCTAAGAGCCCTTTTCAAGTGTAATTAGGTACGGGTAGCGTGTACTATCCATCCGCCCCTCACAACATGCCCCGCCCTCAGTAAATAACTTGAAAACCATACCGTATTATTAACAGCCCTCTGTTCAACATATCACTCAAGTGCTGCAATCGATGTTTTTACTTTTGTGCAAGACTCTACCACGGCATTCCAAGATTGAGAGGCGATACTCATAGATTGACTTCTCTTTCTCAGAAGAATATGTTGGTCAGCGCCTCGGATGCCAATCGTCTAACATCACGCTTGGCCCAGAAGAGAGAAGTCACCGATCATAAGGATCTGAGGGATTTTACCAGTTCCAGGGCTAAACCTATGCCCTTTCGGTCTATATAAAGATAATATTTTTGATATTCAGCATCAACTGAGCATGTACTATAGTACTACGATTATGGTGACAATTGAAAAAAAGAAAAGAAAAAAAAGGATTTGCCCAAGGTGTGAATCGAACACACGCTCTTCCCATGACGTATATCTGCTCATATAGAGTTGGTACGAGTGGGACGCCTGTTATTTTGTTAGTGGCTACGTCCTACTTGGGTAGGTCACGTGATTAAACTAACCTTACCACTTGGCCACACGGGCGAGCTTGTAACTTGGCGAATTTTCATGTGAGACTCATTTATACACTCCATACTTTGTTAATATGGAGAACCGTGTAGTTAGTACATGCCGAGTACTCCTTCGAACACCTTTGATTAACGTATGTGAGCTGATAACATCACAACAAACCTCTTTTCGTGAATTATCTATTTTCTGCTGTCCCTATTTTGTTTGGTTTGCCATACAGACACTCCAAAATGTTTATTATTTCATTTGCGTCGTATAGAGATGAGGTTGATTATATTTCTCTATCCAACGTATATAGTCCGGGAGCTTCAAGTTTTTCAAGTTCTTTGCTGGGTACTAGTACTACTACTAAGTATACCTCCCGAGGTCCCTGTAGCTGCCTCCTGAGAGTCTACTTAGTACTTATTCATTTCCTTTCCTTTACTTCAATCCAGCAATCAATGTTTTAAGTGTTAAGTGGGCTCGTATTAGCACTACCTCTAGTATATCTCCCAGGACAATCCTAGTGGAAGCCCAGCTGCACCTATTAGCATTCTAACGGTATACAGGATAGCACTACTTACATTACCATGTAGGAGACTATTTGAAGGTGTGGCGGACCCCACCCCCTATGTCAAGTTTCCTGTTAAGTGCTAATATCGGTGAGCTTTCGGACAAAGTATATGCAATAACCTCATTTATTATTTTGTATAATTTGTAGAAGAATCGAAAGAAACTTGTTTCATGTGGTCAGATAGACGGTTCGGTTCGGTGAAAAAGAGATAACTCCTAATAACAAGAAGAATACAAGATTTGAAATATCCCGACCTATCCACGGAAAATCCACAAAATATACTTCAGATCCCCGCGGATGCTCATTCCACCCCCAGAATCACAAGTGCCTCGGGTGCCCCACAACTCGAACGATCCGCGACCGCGACCGCGACCAACATGCCACATTTAAATCAAACCGGTCGCTTCCAACCTCAACAGATTCCAACCTTTGAAGAAAGAGTACAAAAAACTTGAAAGAACTGCTTTCAATAATAAAGAACCAGATTCATAATGTCCCAAGCAAGCGACATACTCCTAGCCACCACAATGGCCATCGCAGGCATCCTCTTCGATATCTGCGCAACACCTCCAAACCCATCACCACCCCGAAGAGACCGGGAGATAAAAGATCGCATAGCCATATTAGTTGGCACAAGTATTCCTGGCGCAATGATGCGCCACTCAGCTACCATTCCAATACTATATCATGCTCTTGTGACAGCCACACCAGCTCTTGCACCAGAGTACATGTCCCGAGTTTGTCCGAGGCAAGAAAATCGTAATACGATTCTATTCGAGTGGAACTTGCTGTCAGCTACAGCCTTTTTTCTTATTTTCCTCGGTTCTGCAATTCGGGTCACGGCATATGGGGGGCTTGGTCGGTCATTTACGTTTCATCTTGCACCACCGGATGATCTTGTCACGTCTGGGATTTATAGCTGGATTCAGCATCCTAGTTATACTGGGTTGTTGTTAGTTCTTGCTGGGGTACATTTATTATTTTTGCGCTGGGATGGAGCATCTGCGTGTTGGATTCCGGAGTCGATTTTAATTTTTTTCAATGGGATGGGTGTTTATGGGACAGGTGTGCTGGCCGTTGCTGGGGCGGTGGTTTTGAATGCTCGTGTAAGGGATGAAGAGGAGATGCTGAGAGTGAAGTTTGGGAAGAAGTGGGAGGAGTGGCATGCCAGGACTAGGAGAATCGTTCCTGGTGTTTTCTGAAATCCTTCATCTACATCAGGGTTCTTCAACGTTGTATATAGGTTCATTGTTTGCACAATTGTAAATATCAATACCGTGCAATGAACTTGAACGAGATTCAGTATCGGAAACCCCTCGTCTGTCGCTCCCGTTGAAAAGGGTCAGTCTCTCAAAGAGAATGTAAAACTCTAATTCTAGTTTGATTTAGCGTGTAGGATATGCTTTTGTGCTATGCAATATTACTGTACATAAAACCCTGATTTTCCACCACTACTTACTAGTAGACATGACCTCTAGATTGGCAGGCATGTGCACGTATGCCTTTCCAAGGTCAAGCCCAAAGTCCAATGCATTCCTAGGCTGAATGTTCCATGCGACCTAGCACGAGACATATTCGCTTAAAGCTAGATGATTATGCCTTACTTGTGCCTGGCTCTGCTTCCTCAGCAGCCCCATGACCCACTGGCACGCCTTCAACTCCTAGATCGATACGCGGGCCAGTGAAGTTCTTACGCCCATCAACAATCCACTGGAAGACGGAAATGATGATAATGACTGCAAATGCCACAATGCAGTAATCTGACTTGGTTATTAGCGAATATGACCTTGTGTTTTGCTAAGAAACTTACTCATGCTGCTACCGGTCACGGTGCTGGATGGCGGGAAGACAAATAGAACAGTCGTAAGTGCAATGTATGATAGGGAGATCTGTAAGAAGTAAGTATCCAGCTTAAATAGTCTCATGACAGTGGTTTCTGGTTGAAACTTACAATATCAGCAATCCAGCCAACAACACGAGGAAGCTTCCATTTCCTCTCTGGAAGCGCATTACGCCCTTGCAGGCAGTTGACAAGAATTGGAAGACCATACGACAGGTCAAGTGTCACAACAGCCGCAGAGATAATAGCATTAAAAGCACTGCTTAATTAGTGAATGTCCATTATAATGATATCCAAAAGCAAACATACCTTGATGAGCCGAGAAAAATACATCCGAAACAGATAACCACCACTACGGTTAAGATAAGCGCATTCAATGGCAATTGAAGAGTAGGGTGGACCTGAGCAAAGAACTTGGAGGCGGGAAGACCACCATCTCTATAAACCGTAGCATAAACATTAGTCCTGAAGTATTGGGTATTGAGACAAAATCAAAGAAACCTACCTTGCAAATGCGAAGATCATTCGACTACTCGTAGTCATCACACTGAGAATTGCGAGAATCAGACAGACGAGAGGCAGCCTGTGAACTTTATTAGCTTATGACCGTAAACAAAAAAAGCATCGAACATACATGAGAAGACAGATAGCGCCGGCTGTATTGCTTGTGGCGTCTATCAAGATTTGAAGCAGAGGTCCGGCAGCGGAGGTAGCGACAGTGTCCATGTTACCAGCCACAAATAACAGAACGATCAGGAAGATAGATCCAGTAAATGTACCAATGCCAACACAAGTGACCATGATTTTGGGACCCTCAACTGAAGCATTGGGGACCTCTGTTATCGTTAGATTTGCCATATGCATCTTGTATCTGAATTCATACCTTCAATCATATGCGCGACGGCATCCTAAAAAGCCTAATGTTAGCACAAGAAATACAATATTGCTGAATAGACTTACAAATGCAGTGACTCCGAGTCCTCCTTGCAGAAGCTGTAGAAATTCTTTGTCAAAACTGGTATTGGGTACATCGGTTCAGAAACGGTGCATACCCCAAGCAACCATGCAACACCATCAGGCCCTGTCTGGAATTAGCGGTTTTCACCTTTCACCAGAAATGATGAATACTCACATCCTGTCTGATTCACAAAATTGGCAAACACAAAGCTGTACGATTAGCGAATGAAATTGGGCCCTCTGTTTGTGCATGACTTACGATGCAGAATTGTAGTTGGGCGAAGCACAAGCTAGTACTGTGATTGAAACAATCACAAACCCACCAATTGACCATGTAACTTCACAATATTAGTAAGACAAGAATTGATCTGATTTCGGAGACAGACAACAACTCACAGGCCCCACGGTAGATAATTGGAAGAAGTTTATTTCCAAAGGCGTTAATAGCGAACGCACCCAGCGTTAGGCCAACATAGATAAGAAATTGTTGCCAACGGGTGGACTCATAAGTCTGATCTCATTGTCAGAATTTTCTTTGGGATTCTTTCTCGGGAGATCATACTGGATGCATAGCGGAAATACATCCGACAATAAGTTGACTCGAAAGAAGCGAGTTGGTTGCCACAAGAGCGACCCATCCTGCAACGTTGACCCATCCTGTGATCCAGGAGAGAATGGGGACCCATTTTGGCCAGGAAACTAATGTTGTCAGATCATTTTCCTAAAAATCGATTCGGTTATCAACGTACTAACTAAAAAGAAAATTCATTAGCATTGTCATATTATCAATAATAGTAGACTTCAACTTACCTGCAACCCAATGATACTGTCCACCAGCCCTGCATCATGTAAGACTTTGTCCCAAAATAAGATTCCTCCCTACTTACGTCGGATATGCGGACAGAAACTCTGCCAAGGAAGTAGCAATACACAAATTGCAAAACCCCGCAGTGACAAGACCTAGCAGTGGAGTGTTACTCATAATATCCACACGGTATGACTGGATCGGTCCACATACCCCAGATGATACTTGCGCTACCCCCAGATGTAATACTTATTGATAAACTGGCCGACAACGCAGTCCACGACTATAGATAATTCATTAGTTCAAGCAGCGAGGTTTTGTAGATATGGTATGAACAAACATTAAGCACAGCGAAAGCCAGTCCCAGCATAGCCCTTCGATGAGAATCAATATCACATTTTGCTTTTTTCGGCTCCACTCAGAATCCAAACTCACCACGTTGAATACTGTCGTTTCAACTCTGCCCTATGGCCCATCGCCGCCAACTGGGCATCATCATCCTGCACCGGGCCTTCAAGTTCTTTGTTCATATCGGGAATGTGAGTCATAAACCAAAATCCTCGGTCGCGAAAGAAAAAGATGAAAAGAGATTGATGAGAAAGAGAAGATACATCGGAACTTCGGAAGAGAAGCAATATACATAATAAGTAAATCCTCGAAGTCCGCGCAGCGCCACTAGTCACGAAGCTCTGTCAAGTCCATGCGGATCGCACATACAGGGTAAGGTTGCAGTTGACCATCATGCGGGGGAAGGATCGGTTATCAGAGAGCGCCCCAATCACGGCGCCCCAAAGAAACAAAGTGGATCCGGTGTGGACCTCAGTTTCACCAAACAAGAAAGGTCTTATCAGTGCCCCATACCGAGGGTAGATTCGTCCTTCAAACAGGGAGGTGGAAGCTCCCTCCGCAAAACTTTATCAATTATGTTCCTGAACGGGCCGGCTTGTCCTCCCTAATTCGTCGATCGCCGCATGGACTTACCTGATTTGCGTAAGTTGCATTAGGAGCATCGTGGCGCCTGCCCTAAAACTTATCTATTACAACATTGATGATGTCGATCTCAGGCATCATTGTGTGGATCTGGTATTACGATGCGGTGCTTTTGCCCCTTGGATGAGGTATATTGCTCGCTTGCAGTTGACAGTTATAAGTATTGGTGTCTTTCGCTTGCATGGCTTATTTTACATAACTTATTTCCGGACACTCCGGTCGCTGTCGCTGCACTTTCTTTTTTCGGAGCTCGTTTATGTCTTGCAGGATGTTTTCTAAACGGATGTTAACTACGGCACTTGCCGTGCAGGCATGTGCTGCGGCTGTTTTGAATGATCGAAGTGATGAGGCCCAATGTACAAAGACAACGGTCGCTATTCTGTAAGTAATCCTGCGAAGATGTATGAACGGTAGGATTCATTAACAATGTCTCAGTGGAGGTGGAATGGCTGGTGTTGCTGCCGCGGTAAGTCCTCTTCTTACTCTACTTGGCCATAATACTGATCTTCCTCTTAGCAAGCTCTCTCAAATTCTTCTATTCATGACTTCGTCATCATAGAGTACCAAGATCAACTTGGAGGACGAGTCCACCATACAACCTTTGGGAAGGACAAAAACGGCGACCCATACACCGTTGAGCTGGGAGCTAACTGGGTAAGCTGATTCATGAAACAGAATATACATTGCACAATAAGCTGATGTGGTATGAACTAGGTACAAGGATTGGGGTCACCCGGAGGTCCAGGTACGTACTGCACATTCGATTCAAGTATCCAGATATCTGTCTCAACTAACCCAACAATCAGAGAATCCTATTTGGACGTTTGCAAAGAAGTGGGACTTGAACAACACATACTCGAATTACAGCTCCATCCTGACTTACAATGAAACTGGGTATACGGATTACTCTGATGTTCTAGACGAATATGAGAACAAGTTTGATGCCACCTCAGAACTTGCCGGTACTGTTCTTCGAGAGAATTACCAGGACATGACAGTTCGGTCTGGTCTCTCCGTGACGGGCTGGAAGCCCAAGCGAGATGACATGACGGCTCAAGCTGTCGAGTGGTGGGAATGGGGTAAGTCACAGCAATATCCAAGCTCCCAACGAACCAAATATCCTAATAATTTTATAGATTGGGAAGATGCCTACTCTCCAGAACAGAGTTCGCTCGTCTTCGGCGTCGCTGGCGGTAACCTTACCTTCAACCAGTATAGCGACGAAAACAACTATGTCTGGGACCAGCGCGGCTTCAGCCGCATAATCACAGGCGAAGCATCTACCTTCTTAAAGAAGAACGACCCCCGTCTACACCTAAACTCCCGCATAACCAAAATAAAATACTCCGACGACGGCGTAACAATTTACAAAGACGACGGTAGCTGCGTCTCAGCTGCCTACGCAGTCTGCACATTCTCCCTAGGAGTCCTACAAAGCGACACCGTCTCATTCACCCCTGACCTCCCAGATTGGAAAAAGACTTCAATTGCCAAATTCAACATGGGAACATACACTAAGATCTTCCTCCAATTCAACGAGACATTCTGGCCCAAAGACACACAGTACTTCCTCTACGCCTCACCAACAACCCGAGGCTACTACCCTGTCTGGCAATCACTTTCCACGCCAGGATTCATACCCGACTCAAACATTATCTTCGTAACAGTCGTCAGTGACCAGGCCTATCGCGCAGAGAGACAGACAGACGAACAAACAAAAGAAGAAGTACTACAGGTTCTGCGCGAGATGTATCCCAACATTACCATTCCTGAACCAACAGCTTTCATGTATCCTCGCTGGAGCACGACACCATGGGCGTATGGAAGCTACTCAAACTGGCCTGCATCTACATCGTTAGAGATGCATGAGAACTTCCGCGCGAATGTTGACCGGCTCTGGTTCGCGGGTGAAGCTACAAGCGCACAGTATTTTGGTTTTCTGCACGGTGCCTGGTTCGAGGGTCGAAATGCTGGAGAACAAATCGCTGCTTTGTTAAAGGATGAGTGTGCTAATGTTACCGATACGAGTGATGCCTGTGGTAACCTTCGCCATTATGAAACGCTGTACGGATCATCACCTCTTGCAGATTATAGCGTGTTTGACGGATGGTCCGTTAGCAGCTTTTACTCGAGCAGTTGAGCAAAGCATGCAATGCTTTTCGGGTCCGCAGTACAGTGACGTACTGTAAATAATGAGAATGAGTGAGATCATCGGGATGGCACCGGGTCCACTTTCATTGTTGACTATCGGGTAAGCTCGGTACGTCGGTTCGGGATCCCGGCAAATGTACAAGTTGCTCGGATAGAAGGATACTAGAAATCTTTTTAAATTCCGATGATGTTATGAAGAGAATGTAGATGTAGTAAGAAGACACCTGTTGAATAGAGGGTGAAAGGTGGTAGTGAGAACAAAAGAAATGATTCCAATTCGTGCGCCGCTTGTAGTTTCGAGTATCCAGCCTGAAACTTCGTATGATCGATCCCTTAGGATAGATGAATGAATAAAAAAAAACCCAACACCAATTATAAATCGTAATGCCATGACAGCGACCAGCGATGCGATGCGATGCGACCGAAGAGAAGAGCAGTCCACAAGGTGGTGAGACATCATGCCCGACGATGATACTCATCAAGGGCCTGTTGCATATCAGTCAGGCTGTCCTTACTCCCATAAGCGTCCATAAGTTGTCTGTTCATCGCTAGTCGTTTCTCCTCCTCGCGCATCCTAATCTCATGTCGGTCCTTCGCTTCACTATAATAGTTGTATCCGGCGAATCCTGTAAAAACGAAAATTAGTACTCCGCAGGTATTAACAAAGCGACCGGGGAAAATAAGCCAAAGAGTTGAGGAAACATACCGAGACCTATCGCAGCGACAAGAGGGAGATACCTAAGAAGCGATCGTTAGTGATTTCTTCCGGTGTGGGAATAAGGGGTAGATCGTGTCACTTACAAGCGTCCATATCGAGGCTTTAAGGACATGCCACTTGGTTGTGGTTGAGTTCTGTAGGGCTTGTTTGCGCCTGGCACTGCGAAGTGGGACATCGTTTTGGAGATGTATAATGGATGGGAGATGAAGTGGAATAAGTGCAGTGATTTGTTGTGGGGGGGGGGGGAGGAATGGGTAATGAAGCGCGTGAGAGAAGAGAGTCTAGCGGAATTTAAAGATCGCCGGGTATGGAATGCGGGAATGCGGGGATTGCATGACGTGGAGAAGCGAGTACGACGTTAACATTAGCAAATCATGCCACGGAATAGTCGAAACTGGGTGAACCATGGAATAAATCATACAATTAGATTGCATGATTTGATCTTCGTTGATCTTACCATCTAATTTTTTTGTATGTCATTCCGTTGTTCTTTTGCGTTGATGAAGCCGGTTTGAACAGTCTGTTGTGTCTTGACTCCACATTTTGCACAGCCCCCTTGAAGCACAAGAGTTACATATACACGGAGACCGGAGCAGTAAATGTCTATATTCAATCTGATCATTCATTCGCCACTGCGGGCTTCACATAATATGTTGAGAATACCCGAAAAGAAAAAAGGAAACAAAGGAAACACATTAAAATCCATAAAAGTATGCTGCAAAAATCATAATAATGTCGTCAATCTCTCTCCCAGTCTACTGGCCGAGGTTCTTGGGTGCCGCGGGGGCAGGGCCTTCAGGGGTCACGTATGCCTGCATATTAATGTCAGCACTAGTGCACTTTCACTTTGATTTTCTGGATTTCTTTCATTCAAATAAGAACAACTTACCTTGCTGAGACCACCGTCAACGACGAAGTCGGTTCCGTTAACAAAGCTGCTCTCGTCGCTAGCCAGGAAGAGGACGGCCTGTGCCTGCTCAACGGCCTCTCCGAAACGGCCACTGGGGAAGTGTACTTCACGACGGAAGCGCTTGGCCTGGTCATCACCCAACCAGTCCTGGAGGAGTGGGGTGCTAATTGGACGAAATGTAAGTAATTGCCCCGACAAGGGTAATAATTGAGGCTGTGTGGGGAGACCTACTTGAGAGGACCAGGGCAGAGAGAGTTGAAGCGGAATCCCTCACGGGCGTGGACAACAGCAAGCTCACGAGTAAGAGCAAGAACAGCACCCTTGCTAGCAGTGTAAGCAAGCTGGGGGGTAGCAGCACCCATGAGAGCGACAAAGCTAGCAGTGTTGATAATGCTACCGACGGTCTTCTTGTTACGACGCAGACTGAGAACAGCATGCTTGCAGCCGAACCAAACACCCTTAACGTTGATACTCTGTGTCAGATCCCAGATCTTCTCCTGGGTGTCGACAGCGTCGGCATCGTCAGCATGCATGATGCCTGCATTGTTGAAGATCACGTCCACACCGCCCCAGCTATCCTGCGACTCGACCATAGCCTGCACATCGGCCTCCTTGGACACGTCACACTTGATGGTCTCAAGGCGGGGTGCGTTGGGCACAACCTCCTTCACCTTTGCGATGGCCTTTGCCAGTGCAGGCTCGGAGATGTCAGCAAGGAGGACATTGGCGCCCTCACGAGCGAAAAGGATGGTGGTTTCGAGACCAATGCCACTATGGAAAACACCGTTAGCTATACAGTTCATGTATACAGTAGATGGTAGAGGTAGAGGTTCTTACCCCGCGGCACCAGTGATAATAGCGTTCTTTCCTTGGAGACGACCCATTGTGATTGTGGTTGATTTGAGAAGTTGATGAGAGAGCTGTGCAAGCTTAAGATGTTAGAGACAAATTGAAGAAGAAGAGCTTAGCGATACCCCGGAATGGCGCGCTTCTGCTCCCCCTTTTATTCTCAAGAGTTTCCAAGGAACAGAACAACCCAGCGGCTACTCACATGATCAGATAGTTGAATAGTTTAAACTTCAGAGCTCCTTCACACACACAGACAGCTGTATACGCGGGGCATAGTGGAACAATCAAGGCGGTGTCGGCGGTCCGGGACCGCGGTGCGCGCTATCTCTTATCTCAGACCGCGAATCCCTAGCTCCAGATAAGCGTTGATCAGCGGGCCTATCCCCCCATGCGCCTCGAGGAGTGAGATTCCAAGGAAACGACGTGACTTCATATAAGTTCCAAGTTCCTGATTTGTAGCTTCCCAAAACCTTCCCCAGATTTTCTTTTCTTTTCCTTCCCCTCATTTTCATTTATCGGCACAATGTCAGACCCAGAAGTCACAGTACAGAACGTCGCAGAGATCCTGCAAGATGACCGCATGGTCAAGGTCGCCGGCTATGATGTCGACGGACAGCTGCGCGGCAAGCTGATGAAGAAATCCAAGTTCATCTCAATTGCCTCAGAGGGTTTTGGTTTCTGCTCAGTCATTTTTGGCTGGGATCAACATGATCAGACCTATTACAAGGAGTTAACGATCAGTAACAAGGAGAACGGTTATCGTGACCTTGTCGCTGTCCCTGATCTGAGCAGTTTCCGTCGTATACCCTGGGAAAACAATGTTCCTTTCTTCCTGGTTACGTTCCTTGATCCAGACACTCGTAAGCCGGTCTGCGCGTGTCCGCGCGGCTTGCTGCAGACGGTTGCCGCAAAGGCTGAAGCTGCGGGATACCGCGCCATGGCTGGAGGTAAGCGATATATCTTTGAGTTACTTTGCAGAATACAATAAGGTACTAATCATCTCATAGCTGAGTACGAATTCTACCAATTTCGCGCACCGGGAGATCATCCCACCCCCGAACGAGCCGCCTCTCATACTGCCGCATTCCTCCAATCAAATCAGCCAGATGCCCTTCCCTCCTTAACAGAGGGTATGTTTGGTTACTCTATCACCCGTCCTCTTCATAATCAAGATTATTACTATGGTATCTATGACGCCTGTGAACAATTCCGCTGTGATATTGAAGGATGGCACACGGAGAGTGGACCCGGTGTCTATGAAGCTGTAAGTACATGCGATGGGTGCTAGATACTGCCATGACTTGGACTAACAATGGGCAATACAGGCGTTACAATTTGGCGAAGCCAAAGAAATGGCCGATAAGGCCGGACTCTTCAAGTAAGATAATTATAACCCTCCCCCCCCCCCAAAAAAAACCAAAAAAAAACAGATACTAACTAAATACAGATACGTTGTCAAGGCCTACGGAATCAAACACGGCATCACACCCTGTTTCATGGCAAAGCCCCGACAAGGACTCCCAGGAAACAGCGGACACATGCATCTCTCCCTCGTAGGCTCCGACGGCAAAAATGCCTTCCTCCGCGACACCCCCGACCCATCCCCCCAATACCCCGACATCGCGCACCTCTCCGATCTAGGCCGGCACTTCCTAGCCGGTCTCCTCGTCGGACTCCCCGACATAATGCCCCTCTTCGCACCAACAATCAATTCCTACAAGCGTCTTGTCGAGAACTTCTGGGCCCCCGTAACCGTCTCATGGGGATTAGAGCATCGCGCCGCTTCAATCCGCATAATCACACCACCAACTGCTAGTCCGAAGGCAACACGGTTTGAAGTGCGTGTGCCCGGTGCTGATGCGAACCCGCACTTTGTGCTTGCGGCGATTTTGGCGCTCGGATGGCGGGGTGTGGAGAAGAAGCTTGAGATTCCTGTCCCGCCGCTATCTAAGGGTGAGGATATGGGTGGGGCGGGTGATAAGGGGGTGCGATTGGCTAAGAGTCTTAAGGAGGCTATTGTTACGTTTACAAGACCGGATAGTGTGGCGAGGGAGGTATTTGGGGATGATTTTGTCGATCATTTTGGTGGGACGAGGGAGCATGAGGTGCGGTTGTGGGAGGAGGCTGTTACTGATTGGTAAGTTTGCTGGGTTTACTTCGTTGTGATGGAGGTGATTTATTAACTTATTTATTATTTACAGGGAGGTGAAGCGGTACATTGAGACCGTTTAGAGATACCTACACTTGGTTGGATGATTTTCTTCAGCGTTTTATTTTCTTTCCCGTGACTATGATCTATGAGCGATGGATATTTTGGGTACATACGATGCCGGCGTCAATTCAATGGAATCCATCTATCTAATCTTCCGTGTTGAGGTTGTAGTCCAAGCCCACATTCTAGACTTGTGAGTTATTTTCGAAGAAACAGTTTCATTGGCTGTCTGAACATGTAGACCGCTCCAGAGCGAGGAAAGGCGTTGGTGTCGCCAAGATTATGCGTCATACCTCAATACCCCCGATGTGCATACATGGAAGTATTTCGAATAATTAGTAGCACAAACTGATTTCCCATCTTTTCAAAGCCCAATTCTTCAAAGATCCTCAATCTCTAAATAGCATTCCGTTCAGATCTATCCTGGTAAATAGTTTATTAATAGTATAGGTATGGATATACTGTATAAACACTGTTATCACATGGAGTCACATGTAGATCCTGAAGCATCACAAGCCGGAACATCTCGGCCACTTTCACTCCTCACGATTCGCCCCAAGGTGCATAACCGAATAATCAATGAATATCCAATCTACAGCAGATAATCCATGGCTCCTTGCTTATCCAGTCCAACCGCGGCTGATTGGTCTTCCAGGGTACGGAGCTTACAGGAAACACCTACAGCCACGATCGGGTGAGTTAGGGGCAAGAGGTCGAAACTTAAATTTTGAGTATTATCGGACGATCGGACTGGAGGATTCAACGTGGACATCATACCGCAAACTATCAAAACAAAGTAGAAAAAAAATATATAACTCCCCCCGTCTTCCGGACGAGAAGATTCTCAAATATCGGGCTATTCATCCGATTTCGCCAGTAATGGACTCGGTATGCGGCGCATCCCGAGAAGAAAGGGTTCTCGGTGGTTGCGACCGCCTTCACGTTATCTGAATGGAGTCCGGGGAAGAATGTCGGCCGAGTGGAGCTGGATCAGATGCAGGTTTCCCGACGGGAAAGTTGAGAGATGATTGGGTGGTAGTTAGTGATGGGGGTTTGGTGGGGACTTGACTGGGACATGGAGAGTATCTGATTGGAAGTAAGAGCACAGATCAAATCCTCAGGTAAGTTGACTGTGAGCTGCTGATAGCCGGTACCCGCCATTGGCCCGCACTCGGGAATGTGGGAGAGCAAACAGCCGCGGCTCATTGACTCTGACGTATTCTATCCTCCGCCTTCGGTCGAATGGGCGTTATATAACTTTTGAGAAACCACGGTCGCGATGAGAATTGTTTCTCATTCTTGTTTGTAACCAGTTCCAGTTTATCAAGAATTTCATGGGTTACGATCGGATTTAAAACTACATCTATCAGCACCTTTTTCTATCTATCCCTCATCAACTATATACTTACATTGATACCTCAAAATGACTTCCGTCGAGACTCAGCTCAAGGATGTTGCCATCCTCGGCAGCATCCCCAATGATGCCCGCAAGATCCTCACAAAAGACGCCTGCGCTTTCCTGGCCATCCTCCACCGCACCTTCAACCCTACTCGCAAGGCCCTCCTCCAACGCCGTATCGATCGCCAGGCCGAGATCGACAAGGGCCACCTGCCCGACTTCCTCCCCGAGACCAAGCACATCCGTGAGAACGACGCATGGAAGGGTGCCCCTCCTGCTCCCGGTCTCGTCGACCGCCGTGTCGAGATCACCGGTCCCACCGACCGCAAGATGGTGGTCAACGCCTTAAACTCCGATGTCTGGACCTACATGGCCGATTTCGAGGACTCCAGCGCCCCAACCTGGGATAATATGATCAACGGCCAAGTGAACCTCTACGACGCCATCCGTCGCCAGGTGGACTTCAAACAAGGTGGAAAGGACTACAAGCTCCGCACCGATCGTACCCTACCTACTCTTATCGCCCGTGCCCGTGGCTGGCACCTAGACGAAAAGCACTTCACCATCAACGGTGAAGCTATCTCCGGCTCCCTCTTCGACTTCGGACTCTACTTCTTCCACAACGCCAAGGAGCTCGTCGCCCGCGGCTTCGGTCCATACTTCTACCTGCCAAAGATGGAGTCTCACCTTGAGGCTCGTCTCTGGAATGACGTCTTCAACCTTGCCCAGGACTTCATCGGTATTCCCCGCGGTACTATCCGTGGAACAGTCCTTATCGAAACCATCACTGCCGCCTTTGAGATGGACGAGATCATTTACGAGCTTCGCGATCACAGCTCAGGCCTTAACTGCGGTCGCTGGGATTACATCTTCTCCTTCATCAAGAAGTTCCGTCAACACCCTAACTTCGTTCTCCCCGATCGCTCAGACGTAACAATGACAGTCCCCTTCATGGACTCATATGTCAAACTCCTAATTAAAACCTGTCACCGTCGCGGTGTCCACGCAATGGGCGGTATGGCCGCTCAAATCCCCGTAAAGAACGACCCCGCCGCAAACGACAAGGCAATGGAGAACGTCCGAGCCGATAAACTCCGTGAAGTTCGCGCCGGTCACGACGGAACCTGGGTTGCGCATCCCGCACTCGCCGCTATCGCCTCAGACGTCTTCAACAAATACATGCCCACACCAAACCAGCTCTTCATCCGTCGCGAAGAAGTCAACATCACAGCAAATGATCTCCTAAACACCAATGTCCCTGGAAAGATCACCGAAGAGGGTATCCGCAAGAACCTCAACATCGGTCTCAGCTACATGGAAGGCTGGCTCCGTGGTGTTGGCTGTGTCCCAATCAACTACCTCATGGAAGACGCTGCTACTGCTGAAGTCTCCCGTTCCCAACTCTGGCAATGGGTTAAGCACAATGTTGCCACTGCCGAGGGCAAGCGTGTTGATAAGGCTTACTCGCTTCGTTTATTGCAGGAGCAGGCTGATTCGCTTGCTGCTAAGGGTTCTAAGGGTAACAAGTACCAGCTTGCTGCACGGTACTTTGCTGGTCAGGTCACTGGTGAAGATTACGCTGATTTCCTGACAAGCTTGTTGTATAATGAGATTTCTTCTGCTGGCTCTGCTGCTAAGCTTTGAAGAGTCTTATCGTTTGATTGATGATCATGAATACCCTGACCATGTTTAATTTTTTTTTATTTGTTATTTCTTTGAAACTTAACTTATTTACCTGCTGGCATTATTTGGTGAAATGAATTTTTTCTATTTCCTTTGTTCATATTCATATGGATTAGCATCGTTGTACAAAAATCAACTATCATTGAATCTTGATCCTAATCTACATATCTGAATGTTGTAAAGAATTGCATTCGTTCTCATCTTCAACATCCATTAATAATTCCATTGAAGCACTTCATTCAAACGCCAGAGAGTTACATGAATTACAATAATATTTCTATACTACCAATAGAATTATAATATTAGCAGATAGTAGTGGACTTAAAGAAAAAGAATGTGTGTTTAATTGCATACACGGGAAAGATTAAAGTGTGTGCAACCTAATTCCGGACTTGCACACACAGGACGCTAGATCGCACACACGCACAATTGGGTGCCCAGAGAGATACTCTAGGAATGACGGTCGAGTTGTCCCATTTTTCCATTTATATCCACATCAACAACCAGATCACCTGGATATCGATGCGCGCGCATCTTTAAGCTTATAGTATAACGCCATAAATGTGACTGGCATCATCATATAAACCCCTTCCAATTCGAAAGACTCTCTTCCTATCTAGAAAGCTCTGCCATCCCCAAGAGCTTTAAGCCTGAGGTCGGCCATATTTGACTTTCAAGGGCAAACCCGGTCGCGCCGAAAAGTGGACGAACACTTTCAAGCATCCCGAGGTCCTTCTATCCCTGCATGGCCGTGGGAATTTTCCTTCTCCGCTTCTGATATCAGAAGGGGTGTATCGTAGTTCAAGTTGTAGGTATATATATAGCGCATGCCTTCAACTTGGAGTTCTCCAGCACCTCTGTCGAAGAGCAATTTTGTACTTCCTTCATGGCATCTCTGACCTTCTGGAGCAGCCACGCTGCATGTAACGGGGTTTGATCGAGTTGATCGTCCAGTTCAACTGAAACATCTGTCTTCATATATATATGATCTGGATTCAGAATCATGGCATTCATCATGAAAGTCCAACATCCTTTCAATCAATCCTGATCAAATTATACTGCCAGATGAACTCCGTGGCAATTGCCAATGGGCAACAAGAAACTCAAAACGTTTCAGTCCACCTCTCATTTCTTCTGGGACGGCCAGTGACTAGCAGAGTGTTGAGCTTAGCCAGACTCTTAGCAGATGAGATTACAGGGCTCGGCTTCGAGACAAGACCTGCTTGAGTCCGATGAGGCGGTAGATCCAGCTGAAGTCATGCGAACAACCGTTTATCCTGAGTTCTCTGGAAGAGGTACGGTATATGTGACAGCCTTACCAAGTCGAACTTTTCTCACTTGATCTAGCTGTTTTAGAATCCACAATCAATGTAGATTAGGTCCTGAAAGTTCCTAGCAACTGGGCAGCTAGCACCTGCAAATGCTTCGGCTCACCACTATAACTATAAGCTCTTATATAGCAGCCTCAGCAGCCAGATACTCTCCCACGAGATGTGTTGGCAACAGTTGTGTTGTCTTGCCAATCGTATCCATCGGAAACTATGGAAGATAGGCCTATATAGGTACCATGAGATGTTTCGCAGCTGAACTCCTTGAAGCCTATCAGGACAGATGTATGTATCTCCCTGAGACTATCCAAGTCTTCCGAGTCCAACATCGTACCTATTCGCGACAACCCATCCAAAAATGAATCACGAGATCAGAATGGCGAGATAGCTTGAAGATAGATAGCCAAGGTGCAAGGGAGGATAAAAAGAATGTTCATAGTGTACCGAGGTAAGTCCCAGGATATGGTCACTTTCGTTCACTTGCTTCAGAAAGACTCGAAAGCTCATTAACCCACACACCATGTAACATGCCCATGTCTAAACCAACGAAGAGACAGGTTTCCCACGACCTGGAAATTTCCCAAACCCAATTGAATAGGCCTTTTGTAGCAGATTAAAAAAGCTGCAGTCCTTTTCCGGTGAAGCATAAAATTCAGTTGCTTGGCATCGATCAACGCAGTATACACTGCGTCGTTAGGACACAGCGCCGGTAGGCATAAACACTATATATGACCGACTCGGAGTGGTCTAAATGTTGACTGTAAATCACCCGCAACTTCGGGGGTTATTAGCTCCTGAGGTCCGTGAAGAACTTGGTTCATTGCCAGATGCAAAGCTCACAGAATTTACAGGTATATATAATACCAAGCCATTGGACTGACAGAACTTGAAGCTTAGGGCAGTGCAATTTGATGTCTTTCAGCGTCCCAGATAGGCAGGCAGAAGATTTTGCATTGGCCTTTCTTCTGGCTCTCTGAAGCAATATGTTTGTCGATTTGCCTTGAATCTTCTCTATTTAAGAGAGCTCCCCAAATCTCTATATTATCGCGATAAGTGGCGATGCAAATATCAAGTTGACATTTCCAAGCGCCAAAGCGTTCAAGATATAACTTGATATAACCTCAGATTCCGATTCAGACTCCATCATGACAACCACCCGGGCAGCTCAATCTTTTTCTCATCGAATTATGATCCAGAATCAAATGACCCAAGCCAGTATCGTGCACTTGAAATGCTTCGACAAATTGCTCATCTCCTGTATCTATGCGTGCATGTATAGCAGGTTTAGCAGTTAACAGCCTGGATCTTTTTTGACCAGACGTGGACTCCGCCAAAAGTGGTGTGGCAGCCAATCGCATTTTTCGACCTCGGTAACCTTCAAATAGGCATGTATATCGACTAGATATTTGCTCTCCACCTTGGCTGACCATAATCTTGACATGGCCAACCTTAGAACCAAGTATAACAGTAGTCATAAGCTTGGAGATTTACTGGTCATGCAGCTGTTTCAAATAAGGGGAAATAATAGATGAGAATCGGTATCAATTCAAGTCCCGAGGTCTGGGTCTGTCTTGTCAATTACAACCCTGCTAGAAGAATTGTCGGTTCATTCTTTTCAAAGTAGCGCGAAAAACTGGATAACTGAACTTAAAAAACAAGTATGGTTGAGTGATTTTGATTAAAGAACACAAGAACCATCGTTCAGTCATCATGCTAAATATCTTTCGCGTATCTATGATGGCGACGCAGCATGGGTGTAAGTCTTCCGAGTCGATGTCCATCAGATCGCTCGCTGATCATAGTTGACCTCCGTACCGTTATATATGGATGTGATATAGATGTTCGATATATAGTAGTAGGTTCAAGGAAGCCCTCGGAATTGCAAGGATTGGGAGGTGTATCGTTGTAGAGAAGTGGGGTGGGAAAAATTGGCATTTGTTTGCTTATAAGTCACTTGGTAATCGGTTTGTGCCGGTAAACATTAGTATAGGCAAACTTATGACACCTAGGCAATCCTTTTTCTCAACCTAGCCTCCTCGCTAAATATATATGCTGTCACTAACTTGAGGTTTTGCATCCGTCTACTTGCAAACTTTACGTTCGGCGCTATGTCGGGATACGTACACGCTGTTAAAGGATGATTTGGCTGGTATGCCGAACATGACTGATTCAAAATTGTTGTCAAATAGAAGTAGCGATCCTTTTGTAGCACGGCTTTCCATAATTTCAATAATCGTGAAATACCCCACATGGTAGAGCCAACGTCGGTGGGGGCCTTCTGTAGTGTAGGAGCGGTTGCATCATCACCCGTCATCGCGACCGTCCCCAGACCCGCGTAGATGATCGACATGATATGATAATCCTAGACTATTAGGAGATTTTTCCTTTCCTTCAATTTCACTTCATCTAAGTATAAAGACATTGTAAAATCAACAGTACTATGGTTTTCGACATACTTTATCGAATCTACTATGGTTTCCTCAATCCGCCCACAGCAAAGAAAAGCAACGACGTCATCAGATTCGGCCTACTAGGTGCATCAAATATCGCGTAAGTAGAGACATCCTTCCAGAGAATTGAAGAAATCAAATAGCTCCAAGTGTCTTACCACCATAGCAAAGTCCCATCGCCCTGATCGCACCTGCAAAATGCCACCCAGAGACAATCGTAGCGGCCGTCGCAGCCCGAGACAAGTCCCGAGCGGAAGCATACGCAAAGAAGCACGGAATTCCAATCGTGCATTCAAATTACGAAGGTGATAATAATCAAAACTGAAGAGCATTCTCGTAAGATCTAGAGATAACTGGGCTGACAATAATTACATCATCAGATCTATTAAATGACCCAAGCATAGACGCGATCTACATCTCCCTCCCAAATGCCTACCACTACGAATGGGCAATGAAAGCCCTTCGTGCAAAAAAGCACGTTCTTCTCGAAAAGCCACCCTGTTCAAACGCGACGGAAGCGCAGTCTCTCTTCACATACGCAAAAAACAACAAGGATATTGTTCTCCTTGAAGCATTCCACACGCACTTTCACCCGGCTTGGCAAACTTTCATGTCATTAGTGCATGATTCTCCTAACGCAGGCCAAATTCGTTCTGCTAGTGCCGCACAATATTTACCTAAATATGGATTCGGCGCTAATGATATTCGCTGGCGCTTTGATCTCGCAGGCGGGTGTATGATGGATTTTGGAACGTATCCTATGAGTATATTGAGAAATGTTCTGAGAGAGGAGCCGCAATCGGAGCAGTTATCTGCCAGAGCGCGAATTGTGGAATTTTCTTCGATTATAAACAGGGAAGAAGTAGACGAGGCGATGCAGGTAAGATTTGAAACTAAGAGTGGAGCTATAGGCAATATTTTTGCGGATTTAAGGACGAGTTGTCAGTGGAAATTTCTCCCGCAGTTCTTGAGAGGGTATATTCCCAGTTTTGGTTTGCCAAAATGTGAAGTTGAATGCTTGGAAAGAGAAATTGAGTCTTCTGAGTACTCTGGGAGGGTAGAGAGCTGTATTGATTCCGGTACCTGTTTTATGAAGAGAAAGGTTACGTTTTGGAATTATCTTATGCCGAGTATCTACCATCGGATTGATGTTGAGGATGAGTATGTGGTTCGGGAAGGTGGTGAAATTTTGAAAAGTTGGAACGATGTTCAACATATGAATGCTTATACATGGGCAAAAGGAGATGGAGGTGAGACTGGGAGGGAAGAGGATTGGTGGACAAGTTACTCTTATCAGTTGGAGGAATTTGTGAATCGAATCAAGAGGAGAAAGGGATCGGGCGTTTGGGTCGATGGCGAGGAAAGCATGCAGCAGATGGAGGCTATTGATTTGGTCTACAAGAAGGCGGGTATGAGTGTAAGACCGTCAACTGGATTTCAGCTGTAAGTAGAAATATGGATCACTGTCCTAAGAGGCGAGGGTCGTGATGTTCGTCTCGTCGCGCTTAGTAGAGGAGTATGTATTATGCATAGGAAGCTCTCATATAATCTAGAAACTCTATTTTCAATGTGGAGCACTCGTCTGGATTCATAGACTATCCACGGCCATCAGATTCAAAATTTATGTCACAGTGACTTCTCCATTTGATTCTATATATAGTATCTGCGTCGCTAATCTCGATGGCTGAATTATTCAGTTGAGTCTACAGCCTTTAACATACAATCCGGTTATACAGCTGGACGGGTGTCTACTAGTAGGCTTCTAGATTGATTATTCGAAGTTAGGCCCCAATACAAAAGCAGGCTATGGAAAGAGATTTAAATAACCTATGGTTTCAACACAATATGCCCACCCCAACCACTCAGATTCCCAGCCGCCTCCAATGCCCCTTCGATCTCCTCAAGTCCGAACTCCTCCGTGCGAGTGATACCCGACTTCTGACCAAGAGGAAGTAATCCCGACTCAATCATCTGGATCATCTGCAACACATGTCGCCGATCATACATAAATCGCCCTTGGATCCGAATACTCTTGAACATGATGTCAAGATATGGAAAGTCGACATTTCCCAAATTTCCACCCATCAAAACACATCGGCCAAACGCACGCAACGACTTGATTCCAGATGCCAGAAGAGTCGATCCCTTAGCTGCTGGTGGGGAAAGGTCGAGGTAAACATCTGCTCCATCCGTCCTTCCAGCCGCGGCTCGAAACAACTCCGCATCAGCAGCCTCATCGCCGGTGACCTGGACAGTCTTTAGCCGATATGTGCAATGAATATTCTTAAGCTTGTCCAAAGCATCCATATTCCTCCCAGCGGCGATGACGGTTGCGCCCATTGCCAATGCAACGCTAACAGCGGCGCCGCCATAACGCCCCGTTGCTGGGGCCACGATGACCACCTCGCCAGATTTTACGTCGACCTCTGAAAGACCACCAAACGGAACGAGACATACAGGCATCAGACATAGGTCGCTGATGCTGTATCCCAGTTTTGTCAGAAGAAGATTCTCATCAAGTTGGTAAAGATTTTCTAATGGGAACCGCGTGTACTCGGCGTATGTTGCGTTGCGCCAAACTCCTTCCATCAATTTTTGTGCGGCGGGATATCCGCCCCCGTGAATACCATATAGAATAGATACGGCAGGGTTGTCTCGGGCGCGAATTGTAATGTCGCAGAATACCAATTGACCTGGTTTGAGAGCAACGGAGTCCGGCCCTACTTCGTGGATTCGCCCGATGGCAGTATTCCCCGGGGTCATAGGCAGGGAGAGGGGGTAAGGCCGCTTGTTGCTTATTACTTCTCCCATGTATGGGACGATATCAGCAGCCAATATGCGGACAATTGCGTCGCCTGTTGATGCAATGGGACGGTTGAGAGTTTCAAGGACAAGCGGCTTATCCCGGGAGTGAAGTACAAGGGCTCTGTGCGTCGACATTGTGGATGGGGTGTTGGTATTTGGTCAATTACTTTGTCTCCCGAGGCCTTTGGTTCGAATCTTATACATAGATCTTCATGTAATGCGTTCTGGAGATTTTGTACGTTGTGAGAATGTTATCTCCGTAAACAGGGTAAATCCGTAAACTCCGGCCCTGGGCTAGACCAAGGTTTAAACGACTAGTATATGCTAGTGAATAATAAGACTTACTAGTATTTTTGAAAAGTCCTGGAGATTGCCAGTAATCGAAAAGAGGGTGTCTAGTTTCGAGATCACCGGACTTAGGGAACTAACTAATATGGATAAACCCAACCCACAAACTCACCTAGAAATGATGGCAACTTGTTTTGGATGAAACCGTTACTACTACTACCGCCTGCCCAGGTGGATAGCATATAGGATCAGCTTAAAAATTACAGCAGGCCAGAGTAAGAGTCTTAAGTCTAAATACTATATCAATACTATAGCTGAACCTTGGAAAGACTGCTGTATATCTCATGTGAATACTTGAAATATTTGAACTCAGAATAAACAACTTGAACGTCCTGATAACTGGTGCTACTCGAGGTCAGGTACGGAGTCGCGCGAATTATTCAAAATTTTGTACCCCAAAGTTGAACTATTTTATCATTTTGAAGAGTCAAAATGCACAATATTGTCAATAGGGTCTAAATCAAAGAGTTTCACCTTCTCCCAATATAGCCGGCTTATCACTGTTGCTATTGCCTGTAAATGCTTCTGCGGTTTTCAGGAATTCCTGCTCTACACGAGCGAGCATTTCCGACTGGCTGTGCCCTGGACAAACCATATTCCCAGACACGACCGCCAAGATACTTTCTGCTTCCTCTCCCGTTGACGGTCCTTTGTTAGCTCTCCAAGCAACATGTGTGTCTGGCCTCACAAGCACAATATTTTGCTGCCATATTTTATGGACGTGATTTTCGCCTGTGAGTACAACATATTTCAATGGGAAGTACATTCTCTGTGCTACGTCCAGAAATATGTCGATACAATCATCCTCATCCTCTCTTGCGAAATGAACCAAGGTCCATTCCACTCCAAAGAGGTCGTAAATGCTGGTACTTCCATCTTCGAGGAACACATGTGGTGCTCTGGATCCCGGTCGAGTGCTTGGATGATACCTCTGTACTTCCCAGCGAACAGGAAGTGTACCATCAGGATAGATAAATGGCGAATGATCATACCTAAGATCAAGTTCAATCCCGCGGTCTAATGTTTCGGGTCCTGACTTAGTGACATAACTATTGACGAGCTTTAACACATTCTTCCAGTCGTCTTCAGATGAATTGCCTGTCAAGCTGTCCCAAAATTTGCTGTATATGTCTCCTAGGTTGACGTGCTCGAGAACGTGACGGTGGGACCGCTGAAGAGCCCGAATCATCATCGGGCGTCTCTCATCGCCGTACGCTTTGAGTAGTGCATCTCCTCCGTATCCTTTGATAACTGCAGCGAGTCGCCAACCAAGATCAATTGCATCGACAAGTCCGCTATTCATTCCGTAGCCGCCGTGGGGTGGGTTTCTATGTGCTGCGGTAGGAGGTCAGTCATGATTCCCCACTAAAGAAATCAAAATAGGAGGACGCAGTGTCAGCTGCCATACCTGAGTCTCCAGCCAGCAGTACGCGTCCACTTTCCGTGGAATAACTCTCTGCAATACTGAAGCTCGGCTGCCACTCGCTATGGATGAGAACTTCATCTATCTTGATGCGCCACTCTCCAAGGCACCCTCCAAGTGTTTTGTAGACAATTTCCTCTGGGTCAATAGGCCCAGTGGCCCCATCGGTGAGGGGAAGGTGTGCTGTGAAAGTCTGGTTTTCATCCTGATCAATGATAAACCCGGTGCCGACTGGAAATGCATGCCAGAACCGGCCAAAATGCAGCTCCTGAGCTAGCTCCGCGGATCTGAAATGAACCAGGTAGAAACGCACGGGACTTTTCATTACGAGTTATGAAATAAGTAATTGGTCAGGAGATGGGAGTACAATGGGTGAAAATGACTTTACATTTGACCTCCAAGCATTTTGATGCCGGCAGATTTCCGAACTCTGCTGCTACCACCATCACAACCGACCAGATGGCGTGCTCGGATTGTATACGTTGCACCAGTACAATCGAGAAAAGTAGCCAACACTCCATCGTCCGTTTCAACATGGCTCATGTAGGTCCATCCAAACTTAGTCGTCACATTGGCTTTGCCGCAAATAAGCTCTTTGAGCCAAGCCTCAAAAACGATCTGCGAGCACCGTTGACCTGGCTCAGCGGGTTGTGTCCCATCATTGTGCGTCCTTATATATTCACGTTGCTCATTAACCGATGTGATTTTCTTTAGTACGTCACTCGGTTAGCCTTGAGAGATCCAACATCTTGCGAGGTATATTCCTCATGACATACCCAGTCAGCAAGCAGACGTCCCTCGCCCGACAGACTTGTGACGAAAACCGAATTAAAATTTGCATCTGAGCTGACAGCCTCGGCCTGTGCCCTGTATTCATCTGCTAACCCTAGCACCCTGAGTATTTCCATGCTCCGACAGTTGGTCAGATCCATTTTTGGCCATTTTGTCGTTTCGAGGTTCCGCTCTGCGATGATGCAAGAGATGCCGAGGCGGTCGAGCTGGTATGCCAAAAGCATACCAACCGGGCCGGCGCCGATAATGAGAACATCGATGTCATACGGGATACGTTGACGCATGGTGATACTTGCGTTTGAATTGGGAAACGCAAGATTTTGGGAAGAAGATTGGGGTATCCCGAAGTCCGCTAGTACTTAGAACTAGAAGGCAGTCAATTCTGAAACTTGAAGCTTCAACTAGGAGGTTTGGCTGTGCTTTTGAAGAAATTCACCAAAATATAAATCATGGCGCAGGGCTGATGTTCAGTATGGCCTCGCGTGTATTTTTTAGCCTCAGCATGATTCTAGTTTATTTTCTTAGCATATCAGAGTTTCTGGTGGGGACTCTCATCTCACTCTTACCAGGCCAGCTGAAAATTTCTGGAGCATTTCCTGTAAGAGCCGAGGATCAGCCTGAGGCTGGTGAGCCTTGTGGTAAATCTAGAAGCGGAATTAACGGTCTGGGTGCGGCTGCGGATGCTGCTGCGGACGTGAATTTGTTCAGCCTGTAATATTAGAGTTTTGATTTCGGGCCCAGCCATGAATTGATTTTCCGACGATTTGAGTATCTTTTTTTGGAGGGTTCTCTAGATACTGCGCATGTGTTCCCACAGGATGACCGATGCTCTTTGTGTCTTTCATCTTTCATCATAAACTTTGAGGCTCTAACGTATAACTGCCTAATTTATAATTCGTTTAACACCCTTAGGAAGGATGCAATGATCCTGATTTCTTGAAGCCCAACAATGCCTTCCAGCGCAAACGTGATCTCTAAATCATCGTTGTCATTACCGTCAAGCAGTCAGTAGAATACGAAAAGACAATTGCTATATTCACCTGAACATGGAGATGGACAGACCCCACCGTGGCCCACGTTTGCGTTTGGACCGCCCAACCTGGGACGTGAGAATCCTTCGGTCAGATGCAACACGCTTCCAGGCGGGAGGGCTTATTTTACCTGTGCAACTATTCCCGAGCTCCATAGTTGCTGGCCAATAGGCTCATGATGCAGCGAAGGAGTTTTACGTTATCATTGGCCAGTTATAGTGGAGATCAGCAATAGCCCCTTGTTTGGTAAGCACTTCTCACTTGGAATCATGCTGTAACGAACCAACTACACTGAGATCTCATAGACTCCAGGCTCTTGAATTCATTAAAAATTTCTATGCTCACTCGGAATCACCGAAAGGATCGAGCTGAGAATTCACACCGTGGCCCACATCAGACCTGAAAAGCCATTATTTAACAGTGAGTCATTTACTAAGCATTTAGCTCGTCATAACTAAGTTAGCTTCTCGCTAGTCTTGACTCTTAATACACACTAGGCCCTCAGCTAAATATTACCCCGTATTAATCTCAGAGCTGTGCACAGAATACCTATGGCTCAGGAAAGTTGCTTTTTGCCGTTTCATATTCCGACGCTCACAGAGACGCTTAAAACTTCATCTAGCTAATTTTGCTAGTGGAAAGAATAAACGTCACCTATTCTTCTTATTATTCTGATTCCGTGTTTTGTAGGTGGACACCGGGCGGTGCCACTTACTGGTTTGGGTATTGATTACTTTGTAAGGTTTTGTCCACATTTCTCACCACAGTATCCATACAGCTGCCTGATCTCACTTTAGTAGTATTGGTTATTACTAGGTACTAGTATGTTGCTCCTGGCTGAATACCCAATCTTCCACCATCGATCACATGTATCGCGCCTGAGCAGAAAGCACCTGCCTCAGAGGCATAATAAATAACAGTGCCAGCGATCTCCTCATCTCGTCCCACCCGTCGCAGTGGCTGCATTGTCGCTGGCATAGATCCCTCTACAGTGAAATCTTTATCGCCCAACATGGCGACCATTAACTCCGAACGAAAGGCTGGTAAAATAGAGGAGTGATCAGCTTCGAAGCCTTTCTAGGCGAATTAAAGAGGGGTGAGGGTATCAGAATCGTACTTCCTGGGGCAATCGCGTTTACCCTGATCCTATACTGAACCAGATAACTTGCAAGGGCTTTTGTCAGATGGGTCACGGCCGCTTTGCTTGTAAGATACGCCATTCCAGCTTGTTGCCATGCACGATAAAAGGCCCCGATTGAGCTTGTCACCAATATTTGACTGGTTTGTCGAACATTTCCCACTTTGTTTCCTTTGTCGAGGAGTTCCAAGAATGCAATTGCTGTATATTGAACACCAATCACGTTTACAGTGTAGGCTTCCGCTAATTCCTCCATTGAGGGAGCCCAGAGGGCTTTCTGAACCTCCTCTATACTGGGAATCTCACCATCTTTCTTGGGAAGCAATTCGGGGTAATTCGGACCCAAAATACCGGAATTGGCAATGACGAGATTCACATAGCCTGTTTCCGCTTTAATATAAGCGGCAACAGCTTCCAAACTGGATTTTGATGTTACATCGCCCTGGAGTGGAATAATATTTCCATAAATACCCATAGCTGCGGCCTCCTGAAGCTTGTCTTTGCGCCGGCCGATAATGTAAACTTTGGCTCCATTTGCTTCCAGGCCCCGCGCCATAGCGAGACCAATGCCTGGAGAATTAATGGAGATTCGTTAGTTACATCAATACTCGGGCTTCACACTAGGTACAGGTGAAAGTTTACTTACCTGTACCGCCGCCTGTGATGACTGCAACCAATCCGCTGACATCAAAAAGGGTATTTCGAACAAAAGATGCCATGGTCAAAATGAGAAGCGAACTGGCGTGCACCAAATCAAAATATCTCGATAGTTTAAATCGTAAAGTAGTTCAGATGGTCAAGAAACCTGTGGAAATGATCATATTTATAAACATTGTTGCGGGATCGCCGGGTTTCGGACCTGGACGTTTACTCTTACAAACTTATGCATTGCATTGTGATGGAATATTCTGGTAACGGTAGCAGGAGGGCGGGGAATCCTAGGAGTTACTGAAGTGATAGAATAGCGTGGATTCAATTTACAAGGTTTCTATCCCCTTAGTTCGTCAGCCAAAACTATGGCGACGGATATAGACTGCACCCTTCGGAGTTAACAAATGAAAGGAAACCTGTGGGACTCCATCGTAGTATCTCCGATCCACTCGCTAGTGGTTATTAAGATCTTCAAAGTTACGAAGCGACTATGAAATTTGCTTATTATCACTACTTAAATCTAGCTGCAACTTTTTCCGAATATACTAACTATTTAAGGAACGCTTACAAATCGGCTGGGCCACGAGTTGTAATTCACCATTGATGGGCGAGCCCCACTCGTTGCTGTGGGACTCCTCACTTCCTGATCGATTCATTCCATCGTATTGCATTGGTGGTAATTTTCACCAAAACACGGAGATTGGATTTGTTCAGCTGGGGTTTTGATTGTCTTATTCTCTGCACGAGGATGTCTTCACCAAAGCGACGAGGGCCATATCGCGTCGGGCTTCCAATCAAGCGGGGTTGTGGGACATGCCGTGGTAGGGTGACGCGACGTCTTTTTTGTTGGCATTAACTCGGATTTTAACTTTATTCTACCCTAACCAGATCGAAAAATATCCTGTGATTTGAGTCGGCCAGGGTGTCAGAACTGCGCATCCGCGGGCCGAAGCTGCAAAGGATATGGCTTACGTTTAAGCTGGCCAGAGCATGGCTCTCGTAGAATGATTGAACACGTCATGAAAAATGATAATGGAAATTTTGGACATGGAGTTCAGTCCACTCATTTCATAAATACAATGATAAATGATTTTGAACTACTTTATGTGCAGGATCCAAAAATCACAGGTCAGTAAATTAATATTTTGGACCATAAAAGAATTAATGACTCGATTCACACAGCTACTGACTCAATTGGCCATTGAAACGTCTAAGAAAAGCTCCCGATTCGCAATATTTGCTTCACTCCAATATCAAAGTTAGAAAATGCACAACCAAGTCTACAGGATGGGCACCACCTAGTGACATTTTGTATGAGATATTCACAAGAAACCGCGGCAAAAGACTTGACCTAACTCAACCTTCTTAATCTAGTCATGTCAAATATTGTCGACTCATTTACCCAGGTCCGAGCTGATGGTGACAAAGTACGAAAGTTATTGTTCCAGCTATCATTTTCCGACGATTCGCCCGCATCAATGGCCGTCCTCAGAGCAATTTTGTCCTTGGCATCACTCCATCGCTATGGCCATGATGGGCAATCCCTCAAGCTAAAAGTGGCGGCTCTAAAGTCCCTTAGTACATCCTTGAATGGACAAATTACTACAACTGAGATTTACCAGCATGTCGCAGTGGGCGTTTTGTTCTGTGCATTCGAGGTGCGCCCCTCGCTTCGATTCTTTAAGCATTTTTTGCTAATAAAAGAAGACATTTTTGCCATCAAAAACTTCTTTCCAATGGCCACTTTATATCTCCGGTGCCAAGAGCATGCTCCATAGGATCTGTGATGGTGGACATCCCAAGCTAATGGAGGTTGACCACCTTGTTCTTCTCGTGCATTATCATGATATCATGGCAAGATTTACGCTGAGGCATTTCAAGACCCAGACTATGGAGACTGACTCAATATTCAAAGTCCCAGGGATGGCTTCTACCCTTGTCACCTCTGTAAAAATTGACCAGGTGAGGAACACAGGTTTTCTAACCGTTCATGTTGGACTGTGCTGATTGAGAGAGAAGGTCCTTGGGACCTTTGGGTGTTCATTAGAGATGATAAACTTGATTGCTAGGATATCCGAATTTCGCCATAAAATGGTCGATACCCCACAACAATCCGAGCAAGACGTTTTAAAATCAATTGAACATGACTTAAAAACAATCATACAGGACGCCACTAACCTTGCGGAATCAATGCCTGAAGATGACGTGGAATATATGCGCGGTGTTTCCCAGCTCTACCGACTAGCAGCGCTGATTTACTTTGAGCATACTCTGAAGAGATCACCTTGCAGTGAAAGAATAGAAAAGTGGTCCGATGCTGCCTTTGATCTAATGTTGAAACTAGAGATATGCGATCGACCATTTCCTCTGTTTTTCATTGCCTCTGAAGCGCATACAGACGAAAAACGAGGGATCATTTTATCTCTCCTAAAGAAAACACAAAGCCGATCGGGACAGCGGAGGTTTTATACCTTACAAGGAATGATTGAATCCATGTGGGTACAACAGGATCTGACTTCGGAGCTTGGGGTAATGGACTATGGTCAAGTAATTAATTGCGTCATATCTTCCAGCCAGCTTCTGCCATCACTCGCCTAGTTGTTCTTACCAAAAAGATATGACCACCGGGCCTATGTGGCACCTTAGCATCCATTTTCCCTCAAGTAAATACTTCGTCGATTTGTGGGCAACTTTGTCTGGTATAAGCACTCAGAGGTCCACTTTTGAACTGCACAATATCAACAGTATTCCAATTTGACTTTGCGGGACCAATAGAGCAGCGTTCGGTACGGCGGTAATACCATGGCGGAATTCTGGAAATATTGGCGTATCTGAGAGAAAAAAAGCAAATCCAATTTTGAGATCATTTCAAGGATCGTCGATATGTAAAATAAAATGACGATACGAAAGATTGTGTAAGTTTTTCCTCGTGGTTGCCGAGATATCAGCCCCTCGCGTTTTGTTGATTCTACTATGAGCGGAATTAATTGCCCCGTTGACCGCCGTGGTAAGCAAGGGGCCTGAAAATTTGGATACTTGTTGTTGATATTGACCCTCGCTTGTCTGTAGGTGCGTGCGGGGTGGGGACTTCCGTTAATCTTCGACCGTGTTCCAGTAATCATCCGTTTCGTTTTAAGCGGTATCGTCACGTTAAAAACACTGCTAACCCTTTCTAGTAACTCTTTCGACATGGACATGATGGAGAAATAATATAAGAACTCCGACAGGGTACAATAATTGTGATGCAAGTCAATTCATGTCTCATTGCTCTCCTCCTCTCAACCCACAAAACCGAATACGCTGATTCCATGGCCTCTTCAACAACAGTCATTTTTATCCCTGGCGCATGGCACAACCCTCTGTGTTTTGACACAGTCATTCAGGGACTAGAAGCCGATGGCTACAATACCGATGTCGTTCACCTACCTTCTGTTGACCCGGTTATACCCCATTCAGATTTCTCAGAAGATGTGTCGCAGATCAGGAAGCAGATCGAGCTTGCTGCTAATGCCGGGCAAAGGGTGATTGTCGTGGTACACTCATACGGTGGAGTTCCAGGCTGTGAAGCAATTCGTGGTCTAGATTGGGAAGCTCGCCAACTTAAGGGTCAACCGGGGGGTGTTGTTCACCTATTCTTCTGCTGTTCATTCATCGTTCCCGAGGGAAAATCACTGATCAGTTCTTTCGGTGGTAATGACCTTCCGTGGTTCGATGTCTCAGATGATCGTTTGATTGTGAACCCGGCTACCCCCAGAGAAACCTTCTATAACGACATGAACGAAGTGGACGCGAAAAGGGCGATCGATGAATTGAGACCACACAGTTATCAGACCTTTCATAGTAACATCACCTTTGCGGCTTGGAGGCATGTGCCTTCTACGTATCTCTATTGCGTCAAGGATGAGGCTATTCCGCTTTTTGTTCAAAAGATGATGGTGGAGGAGGTCGCAAAGGGAGTTGAAATTCACACCGATGTCGTGGATGCATCACACAGTCCGTTCTATACAGCTCCAAACCACGTGGTGGCTGCTATTAAAATGGCGGCGAGTTAGGGAACCTCAGGTTTGCTGAAAGATTATAACTATCAATTGCTAGTACAATTCAAATATCCCTTGGTATGTTTTTCATAGAATTCAACAACTATACCCCCTGGAAACTTTTGAGGCTAAATGAATTACCCCACGGTCTTCGGTCCAACTCAAATTTTTAAAACCTTGTAATGATATCATCCCATCATAAAAAGCCTTCATAAACAGTAAAAGGTGACTAGTCACAGGAAGGCCTCAACAGGACTAGGCGGGGCACCTGCAGGAGTGGCATTTCCCCCACTTTTTCAGCCAACCATAGCCCTAAATTCTCACATGTTCCCGTATCATAAGGGTCTTAGGACAGGATTTAGGATTATTATTACGGAGTAGAATGCTCCATTTGCTTTCAGAGGGGCGTATGAATGCCTCCTATTTGACACTCTATTTTTATCTGCCATTATTGTACTCCCTCTTATCTATTCCCAAAGAGTCCCAGGACCATATAGCCATTGATAAAATCATAATTCGAGATACAGTAAGACCGAGGATTTCTTTTATTTCCGTGACAAAAGCCGGGTGTATCCTGAATGCTTGTCATGTTACCCCTCTCTGTACGGTAACTTTAGTTGCTCAGCGCCAACAATTATATTAGCAAGTCTATCCCCTAGCCATAATTTAGCGCTTTCAACATAATCAACTTATCCTTACTTCAACCGTCCAGAAGCTATGTTGATTTCAATGCAAGAAATCACGGCTAGTGCCATCCAGGCCAGAGGTCGGATTCGCCACCATATCTATCAAACCCCCCTCATACCGGCCAGGCAAATCGGGCATGATAATGACGCAAGGGTCCTATTTAAAGCAGAGAACTTCCAATATACGGGATCATTCAAGGTCAGAGGCGCACTATCCAAGCTATCGTCACCCACAACACAAGGTCGACTGATCACAGCCTCCTCGGGTAATCATGGTATCGGTGCCGCTTTTGCCTCCAAGGTGCTCTCCAAGGAGCTTACTGTCGTACTGCCCGAGACAGTCCTACAAGCGAAATTGGAAAAGATCAAATCTTTCAATGTTGAGGTGATCCTTCATGGCACTGAAACCGGCCAGGCCGAGCAGCATGCGCAGCAGCTTGCTGCCTCGGGATCTTATACTTATATCTCGCCTTACAATGATCGTGAGATTATCGCTGGGCAAGCAAGTATTGGACTTGAAATCATTGAGCAGCTCGACGAGGTAGACAATGTCTTTATTTCCATAGGTGGGGGTGGCCTCCTCAGCGGCATCGGATCTATTCTGAAAACCCTTCGTCCACAGACCAAGATCTATGGGGTTTCCGCTAGCAATTCCAAGGCTTTGGCAGCGTCCATCGCTGCTGGTCATGTTGTTGAAACAGATCATTTGCCTACCCTAGCTGAGGCTGTGGCTGGTGGTATTGATGAAGACACGATCACACTTGCTCTAGCGAGTTCAGTCTTAGATCATATCATTGAGTGTGGTGAGGCAGAGATCCTGAGCTCTATTAAAGCTCTTGCTACTCAGGAGAACATAATCGCCGAGGGTTCTGCAGCGCTTGCCTTGGCCGGCTTCAATAAAGTTTCCAAGAAACTGAGTGGTCAAACAAGCGTCATCATTCTCTGCGGTGGGAATGTCGAGCATGATTTCATCACGAGGGTCGTATGTAGCGTATAGGAAAGTGCCAGCTACTACAGGCTGTGCCGTCTCATCCAAAAAAATGAATTAAGCTCAGCCTCGAGTTTAATTCAATCTCATTTAAACGCAACCTCCGCACCTTAAATATTTTTGCCTCTTTTTGACAGCCGAAATGATGAATAAATTGAGCGCTAGCCGTTAGAAAATCTATATCTACACCAAGACTACCGATCAAGTCTTGAGTTTTCTAACATTTTTAGTGTTTTCAAATTCCAAGTAAAGACCACTTGTAATCAATCGAAATCAGTATGTTTGATCGCCGTGCGTCTTGCTTTGATACCATACGAGATTCAAGCGGGATGGTCACCGTCAGCCGGGGAGCGCCTACTCAACTCCGGGGCCCGTGTCAATGTTGTCATTGCACATTCAGAGGCCTACTCGTAGTACTGTTACATATTATACTATATTAACATCGATTTCTACACCGCGGAGAATACTCACCCTCAAAAGCGTCCTTCGCTTGTGAATCATCATTTTCACGTTCCTCTGGTTTTTTTTTGGTTTTTCTCTTTTTGTAGCGACCATGGCCTTCCCCTTTCATCAAAACCCATTCACACCATTCCTCGGGCGCCGAAGTGCCGTTTACAGCACTTCTGGCATGATAGCTTGTTCTCAGCCTCTTGCCGCGAGAGCTGGTCAAACTATCCTGGAAAACGGTGGAAATGCAGCTGTTGGTGCTCCATGTCGCTGAAGCTGGTATATTCGCTAACTATTGAACATTAAAGGATGCCGCTATCGCAGTGGGTATGATGAATTGCCGCCCGGCCAAAGATTCCGTGTCAACTAACATAGTCTGTTTCAAGCCGCTGCACTGAATGTAACCGAGCCCGGATCAACTGGTATCGGTGGTGATATGTTTTGTCTCTTCTACGATGCTAAAACTAGGAAAGTGCATGGGCTCAACGGTTCTGGGCGTGCCCCAATGAGTCTTACGCTTGAGGCGGCTCGAAGACGGTTGGAAATCCAACAAAACCAACCCGGAAATATTTCACTCAACAGTGTTCTAGCGGTCACGACTCCAGGGGCGGCGAGTGGATGGGTGGATACTGTCGAGAGGTTTGGGAGCGGCAACCTCTCTCTCGAACGGATCCTGAAGCCTGCAATTTCCCTGGCCGAGGACGGGTTTCCCGTTTCCGAGGTATCTGCGCGTTTGGTATATTCTGCGGATGAGTCGTTTCCAAGATTCTGAATATATACTGACGGTATATAGTGGCAGGAAAATGAGAAATCTCTCAGAGAAGCATCTCCCAATTACCGTGAACTGCTAAAGGCCGAGTCTGAGTCTGCCCCATATGGAGCGGTTCGTGCCCCTGTAGCCGGCGAGGTAATGACAAACCCAGGCCTTGCGCAGACCTTTCGTAAGCTAGCTATCGAAGGGAAGAATGGCTTCTATAGCGGTGATGTCGCAGATGCGATTGTCGAAGCAGTAAAGAATCGTGATGGATTCCTTTCTCATGTTGACTTATCACATCATGCAGATATAGGAAGCACAGCAACTAGCCCAATCTGTGTTCGATTCAAAGACCAAGTAGACGTTTGGGAGCATCCGCCTAATGGTCAGGGACTCGTCGCTCTCATGGCACTTAAACTATTCGAGGAATTAGAACGTACCAAGAAGATCCAACCCTTATCCAGCCTTAGACACAACTCTGCCGACTATATACACGCCCTAATAGAAGCTTTCCGCATTTCCTTCGCAGATGGCTCCTGGTGGGTCGGAGATCCCACCCACTCTGATGTCCCAAACCTTTTATCAGATTCATACATCGCGGAGAGGGCGCGTCTCTTCAACACGAATACAGCTTCAAAGAATTTCTCCCATGGAAGCCCCGCCTTCAACTCATGCGACACCGTATACTTTGCTGTCGTCGATTGCGATGGGAATGCCGCGTCTGTCGTCAACAGTAACTACCACGGCTTCGGAACCGGAATCATCCCGCGTGGATGTGGCTTCACTCTGCAAAGCCGCGGAGCTAATTTCTCCCTGCTGCCCGGCCATCCGAATGCGCTTGCGCCGGGTAAGCGACCATACCACACCATTATCCCCGCAATGGCTACCAATCCAGTGGATGGATCATTGAATACCGTATTTGGCGTCATGGGTGGGTTTATGCAGCCACAGGGGCATGTGCAACTGCTGATGAATATGCTTGCCTTTGGGATGAATTCTCAGCAGGCGCTGGATGCCCCAAGAGTATGTATCGGGTCGATGGGACATCTTCATGCAGAAGGAGAAAAAGAAAGGACGGTCTATTTGGAAGAAGGTATGGACCCATCGGTTATAGAGGAATTACGCCAACGGGGGCATACAGTTGAGGTGCTTCATGGCTGGGATAGAGAAATTTTTGGAAGAGGGCAGATTATTCGGGTGTTGCAGGGCAACGCTTCCCGGACTGTCCTCGAAGCTGGGAGTGACTTTAGAGCTGATGGTATGGCTGTGCCAGTATAGTTAGATTTTCCCCAGCTCTCTCAGGCTATTGCTGCCCAGTAGATACTAGCACTGGTACTTTGTAGTATCAATACGATTCTTGAGTCAGTTTATTTCCGTCGCGTCCACACTGAATCACTGCTGTTGCTGTGACTGACTGCGGCGCCTCCGTTTATAGATTGGATCTTGATAATACAAGTGACTACATGAACAATCTTTTGTAACACCTCTTGTATATTGTTTGATTGATCATATATTTCCAACGTTTGCTCATCCTACATTTTGCTAATAATATCTATATATAAACGTTTAAAATTACATAAACTGTCCTGCTTTTAATTTCTAATTTTATTCAATTCTTTGGCCCCAAGTGTGGTGAAATGGTAACCAATCCTGAATAGTAAGGCAAACCTATTGCCCACAGCTCCTTTTGGACAAGTTGCTCAAACTTAAAATAATAAACGTAGTCACACATTACATTGAACTCGTTCACTGTTGGGATACACCTGCTCCTTTCAATGGATTTATATCGCGGCAATTAAAAAAAGACCTAGTACCTAGTGAGATGTGTGTATCTAGTATAGTTAATACATACACATTGACTGGATGCCTGAATCTGACCCACTCAACGGAAACGTCGACCAATTCCGTCCTGCATTTCGCCCCAATTTCTATCCCGTCTAATCCCTGTCAAAAATGCACACCTCTCTGAGGTGCGTTTTGCCCCAATTTATATCCCGTGTATTCCCTGTCAAAAATCTGCTAGTTGCTGGAACGCGTTTTGCACCAATTTATGAGGCCCTAGTCTACTCCATATCCGTGTACACTGACCAGATCCGACGACAGTAGCCTGCCAAATTGAGTTCACAAAAATATCCAAGTGCCAGTCTGCTCTTACTTTGACTGCTGTACCGAGAAAAATGGATGAGCTACGATAAGATAGTTACACTTTCCGAAGGGAAACGCAGGAACCTTCGTGAGGTCTTTGATGTGGTTTCACATGAAGAAATTCTTTCAGATGAATAAATGAATTTGAAGAAAAGTTTTAGTCGACTATACATACAAGACGTACTTAGTACGAGGAGGCAAAGAATTAAATAGCTCCTTGTCTTCAGGCGCAACAGTGACCTTGGCAGGGATGGAAGAAGTCCAGAATGAGTCAGTAAGGGGCTGAAAGGATGGGAATCGATGATCGGAACACGCCCCGAATGGGGATAGGGGCAGAATCGAAAGGACTATTATCTGGGTCTATCGTTCGTTGGCAAAACACGAGAGCGAAGAATCGGAGCACATCAGGAACCACCTCGGTCGCTACTCACCGGCTGTTAGGAGAAAATGGAGGTGACGCATAGTTATAAATACATTTTGCCCAGTGTCAGTTGACCCTTCGGGAAAGCTTTATACTACAAATACTTACAGTGAAATTTTTCTTACCCTGTTTGATATTTACTAACCAGAAAAGCCATTTGTGGTGGAATTATTTAGGGGGATGGTGTTCCAATTCACGAAAAGGTACTATCTATAACTAAATGTACACCCTCATAGGCCACCATAGACTCAAAAACAGATGCTCATGAGTCATGATATTTCTTGAATTATAACCGGTATGTCGTGTTGCCTCGTGAACCATGAATTGATCAAGGTCCATTCATGGTCCTGCTTAGAGAGTTTTATCTGGAAGAATGGAGATTTTAGTGAAACCCGTAGTTGACAAAGATAACATGATAAATATGGCAAAAAACTCACGTCAAATCGAGCGAATATGGTTGCAATAAATTTATAGGCTTCCAATTGGGAGAGATAACGTCCCACACATACTCGTGGACCAGCACCAAAAGTCATGTCGGTGCCTTTCATCTTAGAGAGTCGGGCTTGGTATTGTTCATTCGATTCATGTTCCGAAGGAAGCCAACGCTCCGGAATGAAAGAGTCGGTATTGTCACCAAAAACAGCGTTGTTGCGGTTAACCACCCAGGAGTTCATACCTACAATCGTACCTTCAGGCACAAATCGACCATCTGGAAGATAAAATCCTCCTTCAGGAACGACTCGCTCTAGCAACATAGGTAACCCCGGAGTAAGCCGCATCGCCTCGCGCATTACAGCATCCAGGTACTGAAGACCCTGGACATTTTTCCATTGCGCGGGTAGAGAGAGATGAGCAGATCTAAGCTCCTGACACAGTTTCTCGTGAACCTCAGGGTGCTTCAGGACATGATAAAGAGCAGAGCACATAGCACTTGCCGTAGTATCACTTCCTGCCACTACATTCGACATCGTATACATCACAATGGTGTTGTCGTCAACAATATCCGGATGCTTGCTCTTCAGATCGATGAAGTGGTCCAGATAATCAGTACAATGAGCGTCGGGAGATCCTTTAGCAAGGCGATCCTGGTACTGCTGAATGACAAAATTTGTAGCCCACTCAAAGCTTGGAGGCCCAAGACGAATAAAGGGGTTCTTGTCGAACAAACGATCCAATTTGGGGATTTGGGAGATCTAATTAATATGATTGAGCAAAGAAGGTCTTTCAATACTACAAGCTTATAGAAAGTCTTACCGATGCAAAGTAGTCCAAAGTTTTATTTGAAGTTTCCATCAATTTGTGTGTGTCGCACCCGGTTTCCAACATTCCCAGATCTTTGGAAAAAGTGACCTGACTCATTAAATCCCAAGCGAGGTAACTTATATAGTCAGCAATATCGCAGGCCTTGCCAGGCTTCATGAATCTCTCTTCCATTTTTTCGATAAATAGGTTAATTGTCACATCCATTGCGGGCTCGAAATCCTGACTTTTGGCTATACTGTATAGACCCTTAACAGGGCGGATGTAGGTCAAATGCCATTGCTCATCCTGATGCGAGAAGAGATTTTTAAGTCGAATTCCACCTGGAAGGAGAACATCGTTCACATTATACAGATCACTCTTGAGCCAGGGCTTTCTGGATGTATACACCTGATTGAGCATCTGTGGATCGGACAAACTCAAGACATTCGGTCCCATCCGGACCACAGAGCCTAGCTTGCGGTGAAGGTCGAGATGTGTGATATGACATCGGCCGCTGAATACATCTTGGAGACGCCATAGATTGGTGAAGCTAGCCGCGACCGGGCCTGGAAATGATTTCAAAGGAGAAAATACATAATTCCAGAGAAACCGAGAAAATAGCAGGATAATACAACAGAAAATGATGTTCACCAAAGTCCCCTGAACAGTGGACATAATCAGGTTTCTTTAAGCAGGTGTACCAGATTTGAAGATTGAAAATAAGCAGGGGTGTGCACTGTGTGAAATTGATTCTTTGACTGCTACTACATATAGCCAGGCCGAAGCTGCGGGGAACGAATGCTTTGCATATTATTTCTCCTTTCTTGTTGTTACACGTAGGGGCATAAAAGGCGTCGGCCGCTGTTGCATTACGCCCCATGCGACTAGACAGGGATTTAAACAAGTTATCGCAATACTTCGTGGCCCCAAAATCACGCCCCACAATCCTGCTGCAGTCCATTCGCATGATGAGTCATGAATGCACATCGATTGGTTCTGCCATCATAATAGTATCCACCCTACCTGCGGCGGCCGATAGCGATCATCGAACAAATCCCTTTTTGGCCGGCAAAAAATCACGATACCTGTAAATTTAATACAAAATTTGAATAACTTCAACTTAGGCCCCGGGGCCTCCAGGGCTGTAGGATACACCTAGGTACCATATGCAGTATCGCCATGTCCTATGCCCAGGTCAGGAGGTTGAGCTTCGATCCTGCTATTAGATATAACTCTTCTTCCTTTTTAAATGAACTTACTTGTACAATATAAGGTACTATAAAATGTAATTTATACTAAATCCCAAATAAGAAATGGCCGATATGGATCGCAGGGTGGATATCATTTGAATGGCAGGCCGACCCGTTGTACACGTAGGGGTGATAAAAGCGCCTTGACGCTAGACAGGGATCTAAACAAGTTATTACGATGTTTGGTGGCCACCAAATCACGCTCCACGATCCTTCTGCATAATGATTTGTGAACACATATTATTCCCTCCTCTGACAGGGGTGTGTGAAATTGGTCGAGTGTTTCTTGTCTCTTTCTGCTTCTTACAAATACAAATGTCTTCGCTCGACTGGTTAGGTCTATCAAATCGCTATTAGGAGTCCGGAATATGGCCGGTGTTGAGGCGATCTTCGGTCCTCCTCCCGATGGCATCGATTTGAACCAAAACAAGACACCACAAGACAATGCTATTGTGGTCGCCATCTTTGTCCTCACTGTTTTTACGGTAGCACTTCGCTTCTTTACACAAATCAGAGTTCAAAAGACAAGCCTCCAACCCTCGGACTTCCTTATTTTAAGCTCACTTGTTCGTCACTTTGTTTCCCTTATGTGCGACAGATATGGTTAATTCATCATAGTTCCCACTGATTGGGCTCCTCCTTCTTACTATTCTTGGTAGGTCTACGAAGTGAAATTGGATCCTGTGCGACCCTAACCCACTTTTGATGTTTCAGCTGGGAACTATGGACTTGGAAAGCATGTCTGGGTTGGAACCTTGGACGATGTGGTCACAATGAACAAAGTAAGACGATGTTTCTCTCTGATATCTCCTGTTTCTATCTTGAATGATGCTAACTTTATAATTTCGCTAGATCCTATTCGCGTATATCTATGTGTACTTCATTTTGATGGTCCTGATCAAATGCTCGATCCTGATGTTCTATCGGAGGACCCTCTGTATTGGTACAACGGTCTGGGTGTGCTTGGGAATCTGCTTGTCTTGGGCGATCGGATGTGCGATAGCTTTCTCGGTCTCTTGTCTCCCTCCCTCCTACTTCTGGGAGCAGTACCAAGATAGTACAGGTGGGAAGTGCGTGACAAACCTTTACGCGTATTATCTGGGGAATGCAGCGGCGAACGTATTCACGGATATCATGATCCTGTTCGTACCTTTACCAACTATCTGGAGACTTCAAATGCGAACCTCACAAAAGGTATTCGTATCCAGTATTTTCCTGCTGGGTGGTTTGTACGTGAAACCCCTTCCGAACGATCCCGGGCCCTAGATATCATTTCTAACCTTTTTTTTTCTTGAAAAGTGTCTGTGTTGCTAGCATCATGAGGATTTACTACATGAGCTTCCTCAACAGTGACGTCGACGTGAATTGGATAATGAGCGACGTATATGTATGGTCAACCGTTGAGCCTTCGATCGGAATCATCTGTGCTTGCCTTCCCACTTTCAAGCCACTTCTTCGATGGACTTTCAAGGCTCTGCGGCTATCTTTACTCTCAAGTTCATCTAAGTCAGGATACACCCTCAATAGGCTCTCCCGCCCTGATGAAGGGCCCATCAACGATTTTTCTTCGCACCGGTGGACTACGGATGGATATGGCGCGCATAGAAGTGACGATGACGAGACAGGTCCAATAATTACAGCCAATGCGCAGCCTCATTACAGCTCAGAGGGATCTTTTGTTATCAGCGGGTCTGACCCTCTTGCCATCACAGTGGAGCAAGGTATCCATTGGAGTGAAGATCGTCTTGAAATTCCAGAGAATAGTATGAGTCGTGCTAGGTGAAAAATGAGACTAATATTATTTACTGAATATATGCATGACTACTACTAAGTAGTAAAGTGGGTGCACTTAGAAGTTCTGGCCTCACACCTCAGGCTGGTATGTAACCTGTTGCAGATACATGGCCAGTGAGAGGCAAGATAATTTGGTTCGGGACCAAATGTGATATAGATTGAAAAATAAGTAAAGAGAAAATTGGAAAGATAATAAAAAAGATAAGAGGAGATATAACTGGAAATATAACTGGAAATATAACTGGAAAGATGATGGAAAAGATGATGGAAAAGATGATGGGAAATATGAATATGCACATATACCTTATAGATACTTCACATTACACTAGTAATTTTATCTAAATGTGTAGGAAATAACGGTTATATCTTAAACTTGAAGATATATTTTAAGACAATGGAGGATGAAAGCTTAACCACCTCAGACTGGGCATGGAGATGGCCATACTACAGTACCAGCCCTCCACCTGGGCATCAATGTTCCAAGGTTTTATCATTGCACGTGTGTAGTACATATTATATCCTGGGGGCACATGCCTAAGTAGGCACATATGTAAATGTATAAGTAGAAATTATTGTATTACAGGTGTCGTGTTTATCTGCCGGCCGAAAACAGGCAAAAATGGGGTTTTCCCCGATGACTGACTGCTATGGGCCGCCGTAGGTGCTCGGCAATCAGCATTGCGCTCGGCATCTTGCCGAAAGCTAATCTTCCCATCCTCGCTAACTTGCCGAGTGCGGGGACATGCCGGTCTTCAAAAGAATTTCAAGGATAGGCCACAACTTTCGAGTAGTTGGTAACATTCAGCTTCGGACAAGTTACAGGGCGCAACTTTGAAGTCACACCGGCAGTCGGGCCTCTCTAAGTGTGCACGGAACAGAATAGCCACGTTCCGCAACGGCGTAGAAGCGATTAAGTCCCCGGAGTTTCAACATCCCTGTATACGGATACGTGCAGATGAACCCAATAAAGAATTACGCAGGCAAAGAGAGACGGTATGGCTTTGCATGCCTGGTCTGTCGGCGCCGAAAGATTAGGTGCGACGGCAAGAAACCAAATTGTGAGAATTGTACAAAAGCGAAAGAGACCTGCAACTACAAGGAAAGCCCCAGCTACAATGCACAATTGGTCAGTCAATTACAGAAGTCGAGAAAATGTAACAATGATTTGAAAAGGCGTCTACAAGAGCTAGCCACTCTCGGTCCCAATGATCGCGACCGTCGACTCGCAGAAACAAACCGGGAAATCGATTACTTAGACATGATGGAGCCTTCTCTGGAGGGGATGAATGAAGCGCCAAATCCAAACCTGACACCCGAGTCAGATGTGGTCAATGAAGATCTGTCCTACAATGTGCCAGATAATTTTTCTTTGGACGAGAATGGCACGGTTGGTATTCCATTGATTGATACCCTGTCGGGCTTGGTTATACGTGAGAGATCTGATCTGACACTTGAAATTCCAGTATTACGGTGCGACATCCAGATTTTGTCCGCTCCCTGTGAGTGAAAACTACATGAACGAAAGCCATGGGGCCGAGGCGCAGAATTTGGAGGCTAGCGAGGCATACCATCGTAAATGGTTGGCTTCGAATACGAAACTTCATGAGTCCCTCGAGAATCTAGCTTTCAAGAACATTCACCAATACACCGATATCGATCCAGATGTGTGTGCGATTCTCTTGCATATCTATTGGACCTGGCAAGGCCCTTTGCATAATTGTGTCTATCGTCGATGTGAGCTCTTCGAAAGGCAGTGTAGAGAACGATGAGTTGCTAACGAACCCAAAGGCTTCTTTCGCGACCTGGCATTGGGCGGGCCATACTTCTCTCCATTCCTACTGAATGTTATGTTCGCACACGCATGTCGTCATACAAAAGACGATGACACTAGGTTTTCTCAGTTGAACAAAGGCGATTATTTCCTTCAGAAAGCGAGACAGCTTCTTATGGAAGAGCTTGCACGAGATACGCCTAGGATTTGCACCATCCAAGGTCTTTTGATTCTTGGGGGCAGGCAATGCGCCGTTGGCAAAAGTAGTGAGGGGTGGCTCTACACCGGAATGGTTCGTTGAAGTCTCATATATCTGGAAGAAACTAACTCAATGGATTAGGCAATTCGGATGATGACTGACCTTGGTCTCCATCTTTACCGTGGAAATCTCGACAAGCTTCACGGCATGGAGCCTGACGACCTTGAGGTTCGGAAGCGTCTCTATCTCTCAGCATTCATCTGGGATAAGTAAGTCCAGTTCATGCTAGTATATTGAGAAGTCTTTACTAAGCCCGGTCTTCGTTTCCGAAGATCAATTAGTCTGTGTCTGGGCCGTGCCCCGTGCTTAACGGAGCTATCCTACCCCCCTGATAAATTGTGTACGCAACGATCATCGCCCATTTCATTTTCCAAAATCTAACCAACCATTGGCAGTTGATACATCTGACAATGAATTAAATTGGACGCCATTTTATTTAAAAGAAGCAGACGGATCCTATCCTCTTGCCAAATCCCACAATACATCAACATTCATTCATTTTTGTAAATTAGCAAAGGTTTGTTTCTGTGCATGGTGTCAAACTCGCATTCTAATTTCTATCATAGATTATTAACAAGCTCTATCAAACGGTGTACGGGAAAAGCTTTCAGAATCTCAAGCTGCAAAGCATACTTGACCTTGAGATGGAGCTTCACTCATTCTACCGGAATTTGCCAGATGTGCTACGAATAGAGCTAACTGCTTTCGACTCATTTTGCCCACCACCACATATTTTCTGTCTCAAGTATGTTGCGCTTTATTTGTGGCCCCATACTTCCAACTTTCCAATCCTTTTATTGACAGCCACAGTATTCTTTATCATACTATGCTCATCCTGGTCTTCCGCCCTTTTCTCAGCTTGTCAATACACTCTAAGGTGCAAGGCAATGCATTGACAGTTCGAGCACAGCAAGTATGTACTGAAGAGGCGACCAAAGTGAATGGATTCTTTCACCTTTATGAGCGGGCCTTCAACTTCCAAAACCAGACCTATCTTGTCTCCTACTGTGTTTACACTGCCGCAACGATCGACATCCAACAGATTCGACATAAAGATCATACCATCGCGACTTCCGCAGCAAAGCGGCTTTCAACAACTCTTAAAATGCTTGAATCCGAAGCCCAGCAAACTCCTGGTATTAAGAGAAGCATTGATATTATCAAGTCCCACCTCGATCAGTGGCCCGAGGTCGCCGCCCGTCAAAAGGCGATGATCTCCTCTCTCGGCCAGCCCTCTCGTATTTCGGATCAGCTCTTGACCTCCCATCGCAACTCGTCAGCCTCGAGTCAATTACCTAATATCCTAAATGCGCCTGTAAACTATAGGGGCGACAAATCCACAACAGGAGCAAAACGTTTGGCGGAAGACCCGGCGGCGATGGGAGCAACTGATCTTTCGGGGCTCGACCAGCCTCCACGATACCAGGAGGCTGAAGATGATATTGGTAGTTTAATAACTGGAGCGATGGATCTGAATACTTCTTGCGGAGACTGGGCATCTTTCAATCCCAGCGGCGGGTTCGTCCCGGAGTATCATGATGAAGGCTGGGCGCTTTTTGATCCAGGGGTATCCTATTTCAATACAGATTAATAGATACTCGGAAAATTTATTATGTACAACACCACCCGGGTACGAACATTGAAGCATAATAAAATACAACACAATTATGGGAGACAGAATGGTAGCTGCATCTGTTTAGTAGGTGAAATATGATGAAAGCGTATAGTAAAAATCTTCAATAATATTCTTTGATCGATTGAAGTGTAGGTACACCGTATTCTACGCGATATCTTAGCCCCATTGGTTCCCACTAGTGGTGACAGGGATCAAATTCTTTTTCGGAAAGATGCCGTCGAGCTTCTGAGGCTGTCGGAAAGATGCCGACCCCTCTAACTCTAAGCTAATGCGGTTCCCCACGGTTTCCCCACGGGGCAAGCACTGGCAAAGGGTGGGGCTGACCACACTTCTCACTGGCCACGAGGAGAACACATATAATAGGAGGCTATTAGGCTTTATCTCTCCATGATGCCCCCGATATTTCCCCTCCTCATCAACTAGTCTCCTTCGCGCATTTTATGATGGCTGTTACTATGGACAATGATGAATTCAAGGCGGATGTAATCGCCCTCGAGGATATCAAAGCAAGTGTTGATATTGATAATGAGAAGGGAAACCCAGAACCAAATTACACTCCAGAGGAGCTCAAGAATGTTCTTCGAAAACTGGATTGGCACCTCATGCCACTTTGCTTTTTGATGTACACGTTTTCCGTCCTAGATGTAAGTTTTGTCTCACCACCTACGACATCAATGATCTTTGATGCAAAGAAAGAACAGAGCACTGACTTCTTGTGATTATAGCGATCAAACTTAGGCAACGCCAAGCTAGTTGGCATGGAAGATGACATCGATCTTTCCGGCAATCGCTACGAGTGGTTGGGTAATATCTTCTATATTGCCTACATCATCTTTCAATTCAACACACTCGGGTGGAAAATATTCAAGCCGCATAAATGGGTGACATTTGTGGTCTGTTACTGGGGTCTGGCTAGTACGCTTCAGGCGACAGCTTATAATTGGCAAGGTCTCATGGCCTGCCGATTTTTTCTTGGCTGGGCCGAGACTATGTTCGGTCCCGGTATCCCTCTCTATTTTTCTTTTTTTTTACCCTCGGGAACGGATCGGCAAGCGATTCGGTATTTTCCTCGCTGGATCTGCACTGGCCAATGCCTATGGAGGCGTTTTGGCTTTTGGTCTTGGACATGTTCATTCTAAGATTTCGAACTGGCGTTTCTTGTTCATTATCGAGGGTGTCCCAACGGTACTACTGGCTCTCCTTGCTTGGTTCTATTTGCCTGATTCGCCCTCGACTGCTCGTTTCCTAAATGCTCGTGAGCGGGAGGTTGCGCAAGCTTTTGCGAATAGTCAACCTGGAGACTACAAGCACGAAGGCCTCCAGCTCAGCCAGCTAGGTGATGCATTCAAAGACTATAGAAGTATGTTGCCTTCGCTCTTTACTTTTCTTTTCTGTTTTCATATTTCCTGAAGGAATTTTGAGGCTAACCAGGTTCTTTCAATAGACTACATATTTGCGCTCATGAATTTCTGCAACAACGTCAGCTTTGCATCTCTCCCTCTTTTCCTCCCAACGATCGTTTCTGAGATGGGAAGCTTCACTGAAGTTCAATCCAACGGCATCACCGCTCCACCATACGTGCTATGTTTTATTCTCATCATCGTTGTCTCTCTAGTCTCGGACAAACTTCGTGTTCGTGGCCCCTTCTGTGCCATCTTCTCACTCCTCTCCGCCGTGGGATTTATCCTCCTTGGCACGACCGAGACTGTTGGTCCTCGTTATCTCGGATGCTTCCTGGCAGTCTTGATATTTGTCACTACCTCCATCGTGCTAGTCTGGAACTCAAACACAAACTCGACGGGATCTAGCAAAGCTGGTGGTTTGTGGATCATGATGACAGTTGGACAGTGCGGTCCTCTTTTGGGGACGAATATGTTTCCATCCTCGGAAGGCCCTTACTATCGTCGTGGATCATGGGTGTGCTGCTCTTTTGCTCTTTTGTCTGCTGTAGCAGCTGCGACTCTAAGTCTGCTACTTTGGCGCGAGAACAAACGCCGCGATCGTATCTACGGTCCTGTCCGCGAGGGTCAGCACGTTGATATGTCTTCTTCTGAGAGCCGGGAGGCTGGCTTGAGATACATCATCTAGCACCATAGTTATATTCATATGTTTACATACTAGGAGTCATTCAGGTCCAAAGGCTTTAATTTTTGTCCTGGGTTTAAGAAGGCACTTTTTATGTATTTACATCAGACTAAATACAACATTTGAATCAACTTATATTGTCTAATACGCACAGAATGAATTGAAATAAAGATGCTCTATAAGATCTAAAATATAGCTGTAGCATTTGCTGGACTAGCCACTCCTCCAGGCACATTCAGCGGCTGGCTCGTCAGCATGAAAGTCCATCGACCAAGGGCCTGGCATGTACGGCTCAGCTCTTCCAAGTCCCAACATTCCCCGATCGGCATTCCCCATCCACTCAAGAAAACCTACTCAGGTTAGTCTCATACACACTGCAAAAATCTTTTTCAGTTGAAAACTTGCCTCGTGCATGCTAACACCCCATGTTTTGGGTGAAGGCCAAGCCTCATAAGCCACAGTATCACTGGCGACAGCGGCAAAGCCCTGTTCCCAGTGCCAACGAATGCTTTCCTCGGTCGCTTCAACTCCACAGGAGGCTCGGTCATCCCGTCCGCCTAGATTCTCTTTTTCTCCTTCGGATAGTTGGTGGTATGCGGCTGTCCACCCCGTTCGAATAAGCAGAACATCTCCTTGGTTGAAAGTGATACCTTGCTCTGTTGCAATATTCTCAAGATGAGAAAGTGGAATGGCTTGGTTGGTAAAAGGGCTGGTTTGCAGGCCTTCGCGCTGGGCATATGAATACCAATCTAGAAGAACGCCGCGTGATACTATGGGTTTTGTAGCAAGGTCTGCAGAAATTGTATCAGTAAGTATTGGTGGTATAATTCTCAATGTGGACTGACTTTGTATTCCAATTTTCGTATTTGCATCAGGACCGGAAATATCGTCTTGGGTAACTCCGTTATAAAAGATTTTGGAATCCGAATAAGGAAAATGGCGCAGTCCATCCCAGTGGCTGGAGCTTTGGGTATTGAAGTCAATCTTTTGAAATGAAATTAGAATCTAGATGATATAAATTGATGGATGCGTTCAAATTGACACACCTCATCGTCGTTCGCGTGGCCCTTCGCGATTATTGTATGGGAACATTTCTTCCTTCGAGGGTTCATTGGCTTCAGAGGAACATCTATTGGTAGGCTTGCATAAATGAGTATATAAAGCCAACAGAGATTAAATAAGATAGTTCAAAGTCCTCCACTCACTTTAAACTAACCACTTTTCCATCCAAAACCTCCATACCAGCGGCACGAACCACATCTTCCGATAAAAGATTCAGTGTCCCACGCTCGTCGTGGGCGCCCCACAGACCCCATGCAGAGCCTTTTGGATGATGAGGCTGCAATGGCAATTCATGAAACTGAGGCCGGGTGCTGATAGACGATCCTGAGGTTGAGAGAGGCGACGAGGAAAGATTTGTTAATGACAACTCTGTAACCGAATAATGAGGCGCCCCGGGAGTGAATTCAAAATATTCGCTCGTTTTTAGATGAGGTTGATCGTAATCCATTTTGAGGCTCCTTTTTTCATGAACTCCAGGGGATTTTCCTCTCCGGTTGACAACACTCGTAGATGTGCAACAGAATGGGGAGAATGGAGTCTCTGGAGCATGCGGGTCGCAGGTAGACTCAGGTATATATGGTACGTAATACAGGCCAGTAACAGATCGATATCCGACGACCATATTCACTGTAATTCAATTCAAAAGTAGGAGACTGTGGAGCTAAGTCCAGCCTGGCTATCTCGGCATTGATCCCAGGCCTTCTCGGCATCATGCCGAATGTACCCCGCGTGACGGTTGAGGAGTTCAATCTGCCAGTACGGGAGGATATGACGCATATGGGAATTTACCCCATCGAAAAAATTCATGATTCGCTAAATAAATTATTTATAGGCCATAGCTCCCATTAGTGGTGGCTTTCATGATTATTGAATGCGACCGAAACATTCATTCCATGTTCACAATGACAGAATTTAACATCCTCACGCCCAATGCCATGCTTGGCTATGGCTATCGCTTGGACCATTTTTGGTACGGTATCAAGAAATTCAAGCCAAAGGCCATTATTGTAGATAGTGGCTCGACAGATGGTGGACCGTACAAGCTTGGTCTTAATAAGATGACTTGTGGGCGCGACTCTTATATCAGGGATTTAACACCGATACTGGAAGCTTGTTTTCATCATGGTATCAAGGTATTGATAGGCTCTGTTGGTGGGGACGGCAGTGACAAGCATGTTCAAGAGATGTTGGAAATTGTACAAGAGATATCCAAAAATACTGGTTTCTCCTTCAAAATTGCTACTATCTCCGCCGGTATCGATCGAAATCTGGTGAAGCGCCGTATCGAAACAAAGAGAGTTGGTCCTTGTGGGCCAGTTAAGGATTTGACCGTCGGAGATGTTGATCGGGCAATTGACATTGTTGCTCAAATGGGAGCAGAACCGTAAGTACATTCGGATGACCGACATTCCTGTCCCGTGCTAATAGTGAGAATAGATACCTTCAGGCTCTATCATCTAACCCGGATATTATTCTGGGTGGTCGCTCATATGACCCTGCTCCATTCGCAGCTTTCTCGATGCATCATGGCTGCGAGCCAGGTGTTGCATGGCACATGGGAAAGATCATGGAATGTGGCGGTATCTGCGCTGTTCCTAAGGGCCGGTCCATGATCGCAACCATGCGAACCAATTCATTCGACCTCACTCCACTTTCTCCACGAGAGCGCTGCACTCCTCTATCTGTTGCCGCCCATACTCTATACGAAAAGACCCGACCGGATAAGCTCCCAGGACCCGGTGGCGTACTCGAGCTAGATGGAGCTACCTACGAGCAACTAACTGAAAAGACTGTCCGCGTTACTGGTGCCAGATTTGTGCCCACGCCAGTCTATCAAGTAAAGCTTGAAGGTGTTGAAAAGCTCGGCTACCGAACCATCTTCATTGGTGGTATTCGTGATCCAATCTTAATCGGCCAAATCGACGAGTTTCTCTCCGACGTTCGCGCATACACACAGAATCTTTTCCCCGAGCTAGATCAGTCACCTCAGTGTCAACTGATATTCCATTTCTACGGTCGTAATGGAACCATGGGGCCTTTGGAGCCGTCACCCACTGCATCGCATGAATTGGGTATTATGGGTGAGGTCGTTGCCCCGACTCAGGATCTCTCTTACACCATTGCCAACAATTGCAGAGCATCTATCTTACACATGCCATATAAGAACCAAGTCGCCACTACCGGCAACTTTGCCTCACCACTTTCACCGCATGAGATTCCGGCTGGACCAGTTTTTCGATTCAATCTTTATCATTTGATGGACTTGGAATACAGCGAGAATATCGAACTTTTTCCAATCTCAAACGTGGTTATCGAAAATGACGCCCAAAACCTACCCGTTCCCGGAATCACCGAGGAGCAATTAGTACAACTGGAATCAGAAAACTTGGAGCCTTTGTCATTCAAGTCTTTTCCCTCGGAAGAATGCACCATGCTTGAGATTGCCAAGATCATTCGCTCTAAGAACTCGGGTCCTTTCGAGTTGACCCTTGATATCATGTTCGACACTAAAGAGGCCTACGAACGAGTAAAAAATACGAATGTTCTTACAAATGAGCGTATGATGGAACTTTACCATCTCAAATCAGATGATATTATCACAAACATGTTTTTTGAGCCAGCTTTGGCGTGGAAGTGTACCTTGAAGCGCCCTTGGGAGCAGGGCACAGTGGGCGAGAGGGATACATTAGGGACGCAGCAACACGCACCACTCCTCTATATCAAGGTCTCGGCGGCGAACTGAAGAATCTACCCATACATATCCGAGTCAATGGTATGGTTTTAAGTGCTTTGGCTCAAATTTATAAATTCAAGTACATATACAATTGTGTAATTGACAAAGTGAGACATAAATAACTGTCAGTGTCAAATTCATTGGCTGCATCATGAAAAAGTGAATGTACATGCAACATTGCTGTGAAAATCAACTTAGCTCCCATCCAGGGATCCAAATATACAATCTATCATTGTCCGGCCCTTCTATATAGACCAAACACAAATACAAAACGACAGCTAATCAGCCTAATGCCAGCTCAGGCAGGCCAGGATAGCGACGCAATTCAAGCATTCTCAAGTCTAGCTGAGAAAAGGTGTTTAGATGTACTCCCAAGCGAGGCTGTTGGAGCTGACGTTAAGGCCAGTAGCCAAAGCGTCGAAGCCGAGGCAGTCGTCGACCTTTCCAGTGGGGACGGTGGCGTTCTGCAGAGCAGCGTACACCTGCCAAGTGGGGGCAGCGGAATTAGCAGCACGGCGGGCAGCAGAGTTACCGGTAGGCTGAGGAGCACGGGGAACAGGGCAAGCCATGAATCCGGATGCGCCCTCGCCGTTGTAGGTCCAGGATCCCAGGGAGTTTTGGGAGTTACCGGGGGTGTAGACGAAGGGGCCGGAAGAAGAGCCGGCGGGCTCGTAGCCGGAGTGGGGGGTGGTGAAGCTCAGAGCACCGGAGCGGTCAACGTAGATGGCCTGGCCACCGGGGACGACGACATCCTGTTGAAACTGTTAGTTTGGAATTGAAGTGGGGTATCTTTGTGGGATTTCGAAGCTTACCAGAGCGCTTTGGCCATAGATGATGGTGTCGTTGGTGCGGCCGGCACAGCCAGGGACGACCTCGCTGGGGCAGTAGGTCTGGCTCTTTCCACCGAGGAAGAAGTGGGAGCCGGAGGCAGTCAGTGGGAGGAAGTGGATGGGGGAACCAGAGCGGGCAGCAATGACGCCGAAAGCACCGTTGGCATCCTTGCTCTTGGTGGAACCAACGCGCGAGCCGGGAAGGGCAGCAACGAGGGGAACGAGAGATAGAAGTGCGGAAATCTTCATTTTGAAAGAATGTTTTGTATAGCGAATGTAATTGGAGAGAATAAAAAAAAAAGTGATAATGTTAGGGGGTGCAATTCACGAAGGAATTGAGCTTCTCTTATATGGTCCCCCGTGGGACGCGCGATATCACTGCACTGCTGGTAAAGATTTGCCCACATGCCGTTCAGGGTCTCTTGATCGGCACTGTGCCTGGTTGACTGCGACGCTCGCATCGAATCTCAAAGACGGAGAAACAAATTATATCATAATTGTCAACTTAAAGCTTAGCGCACGGTATGCTGGAGCTCATATCAAGCCAATGACATACAAATCCCCACCACATGTGCCCTGGATGGGAATAGCGTCGAGTTAATCGCACCGCAAGCCAATTGCGACTGTTTGATCTTTGCTGTATTCAGCAAGCTGGCTCAGGAACCAGAACAGCCTATTGGCTGGATTTCGCCCTGAAACATTCTGCAGAGAGTCTCCACTATGCACTGGGAGTGATCGACAGCCACGACCAAGGTTCAAAGTTGAGTTTGACCAGGATTGGACTGCGATAACACCTCGTTTTCATGCAATCGAGTCCGAATTCCAGGTTAATCAGTTGATTAAAATCTTAATCTCACCGAAATATCGCGGACAGAATCTCAGATCTGCATTTTTTGTATTAATTCCTTTTCGATCGTATCGATTGAAAGAATAACTTAGCGAAGACCCTGACAGGTGGGTCGTTTCAGAGAAATCAAGGTCCGAGTTTGCAGGAGTAGGGATCGACAGGTCTTTCCTGGACCCCGGCGGGGGCCACCGCCGCAAGAAAGGAGACCAAAAAAAGAAAAGAAGAAAAACTGGTCTAAGAGTTCTATCTTGTGCAGGATTGTGGCTCAAAGGAACTATTCATGGAAAGCTAGTGGTCAACTAGGCTTCGAAGTATCCACAATGTCTCGGGGTAGACGGTTTTTACACTACATCCGGGTGACGCCGACCGATATGTAGTACTAGACTGCCGCACGCCTACAATCCCGTGGCTGCAATTTGATCACAAATCGAGACTTGCTGTGTGATTATTACGGCATGGTCTAGAGCGTAATGCATATATCCCGTCCATATTCGCGTGGAGACAATCAATCAAAATCAATATGTATGTGACGAAAAAACGGGGCGATCATCATCATCAGCCTTCGCTTGTGGACCTACAGTAGAAGAAGTCAATGCCTCTCTGCACCGCCACATATTCGCCCCAGTGGAGCTTTAAAGACACTGCGGAGCCGTAGGCAACGAAGAATCGAGGCGTAGTCAAAAATATGAACAGCAATGATTGGGTTGGATTTTAGAAGGGATTAATACTGTAAGCTAAGAAAATATCCATGATCTAGATTTTTTGTCCGAAGAAATAACATCTCTACTTGTCAGGGAAGGGTGGAAAACAAATGAATTAGAAAGAAAGACCGAAAAATCATCCATATCACAAATCATCCATCTAGCCGTTAGATGTCATCGGGAATGGCAAAATTCATCACAGAGATCGAAGAAAGTCTTCAATGCCGATTCTCGGGACCTTGATTAGTATTAGGGAAGTATAAAATGTGCCAATCGGAATAAGACTTGAGTTGGATAAATTGGGAACATCGATATTAATGTCGTTACTTGTGCCGGGGTCAGGAAAGAAAATGCCGCCCCCATATGTGCAATGCTGAGATAAATCATATGTTATAGCGATTTGTAAAATGATATTATCTGGGAGCTAAGTTGGATATACCCTTGTGATAGGAATCTGTATTATTACAGATAATGTATTAAAGGAAACCACTCGCTCAGCTAGTATTAGTAAGGATCTCTAAGTAATACCCATTCAATGCTTCCTGTAGGTGTGTTCAATTATTCAAAACTACATAGTAATTTCATATGGGAACTAAAAATAATACAATAGGGACCCATAAACCCATCTATACAGTACCCACACAATAAAAGGGGAAGGAAGCTTCTACAGTATGAATCCCTAATATTCAGCCATCAACGGCAGATCCCGTGAACTTCTCCCAGCCCAAATACGGAACGAATTTTCCGTGGGAAGAATCCAGTTCTGAGCTCGGACACTCCAATAACTCAAATCTTTCCGGCTCAAAGCCATAGTAACAACTTTTGTTTCTCCCGGCTCCAACGACACCTTTTCAAAGTTTCGGAGAACCCGTACAGGAAAGTCGATGGACTCGGATGTCCGACCCATCAATCCCGAACGTTCAGATACGTCATCGGGAAAAGAGACGTAGATTTGTACGACTTCTTTGCCTGCTCTGGAGCCGGTGTTTTTGAGTTCTACCGAGAGCTGGAGCATCGGTTCGTAGAGGAAGGGGTTTCCACCTGGCCCGCCGCCGGCAGCGGATGGGCGCTGCTTTTTGTTGTATCCTTTCGGATAGGGGTAGGATCCAGGCTTGATTCCATCTCTGGAACTGAGGTAGGGGTAAATGTATTTACCGAGGGCTTTGAATTCTGGAGGGAAGAGTGCTGATGTAGGACTTTCGGGTGTATCGTCATATGTTGGAGGGTCGATCTGGTTCTTCGGTCGGTTTGCGGGAAGTCGTGACTTTTCTTGTAACGGCTCGAGGTTAATTGATACGTACTCGAAGGTTGTATAGGAAAGTCCGAAGCCGAATTCAAAGTGTGGGGTGACGTTGTATTTGTCAAAGTAGCGGTAGTCGACGTAAAGGCCTTGGTTGAGGTTTACTTGCGGGACGGGGTCATCGGACTTGTACAGGATTTGGGCACCCGGTCCGTAGTCTTCCAGCGAGCGTCCGATCGTGTATGGCAGTCGCCCACTAGCGTCAACATCACCGAAGAGCACATCGACCAAAGCATTTCCGCTTTCTTCGCCTGGAAGGTTGGCGTACAGAACTGCATGCACGCCAGGTAAGTCAATCCAGGGATCGAGAATCACTGGACCAATCGAGTGTACTATTACGACAGTTTTGCCGTGGCCACCACCGCAATGTTGAGCAACTCCTTCAATCAGACTGGAGCCATTGCGTTGCAGGAAAAGGTCATTACGATCACCATCGATGCCGTCTTTCTTAATGAAGCCTTCACCACCGTCGGCGTTGGCAAAAACAAGGCAGAGGTCCTGTTCAACCAAATCCTGGACTGCCACATTATTATTCAGAAATCCCTTCACTTCGGCATTTTCCGATGGCCAAGCAGATTGAAGTGCTTCCCACGGGTTGACAAGGTATGGAAATTCCACGGCCCCACTACCCCAGCCTGAAGCCAAGGTACCTTGATTGCAGCCGCGATCGGCACAGGCGTTGGGCCCTTGACCAGGACCAGCATCCTCACCATATACACCAACGCGGTACTTCCCATCGGAGCCTGAGACGGCACGCAAAAGTGGAAGTGTGTTTTCGACATTTTTCAGTAAAACAGTTCCCTCGGCTGCCACCCTCTGAGCCACATTACCATGAGACTGAGGCCCTTTGCCTTGAGCATTGACGTAGTGGTTGACAACCTCATTGGTATGGTCATCTGGGCTACCAGGATGAAGACTGCCATTCCTATCATGTGTCCAGGACGAGAAATTAGGTCCAATCTTGCCATCTGGTAGTGTTTCTGTCCACAAATCCTGACGGAAGTGATAATATGCAGCAACGATACGCGAAACCATATCATTCAATCGATCCATAGGAACCGATGTATTTAATGCCGCCCGGGTCAGATGAGGTCCCCAGAGTGCATCTCCGTCTGTCCAACGCAAGCCATCTCCAGGCATGCTCATGTCAAGACCACTCAGAGCACTCTGTACGCCTGATCGTTGAGCAAGCCAATCTGATTGCACAAATCCTTGGAAACCCAATTCATCTTTCAAAATACCATTGAGCAGTTTCGAGTTTTCACAAGCATGGCTATTATTAACCATTTGATACGAGCACATCACACTCGCCACATCCGCTCGAACACTTTCGGCAAACGGCCAAACGAAGACCTCATGCAATGCACGATCATCAATATTAGAAGAGAGTGCCGTTGGAATTCCCCATTCGAAGGGCTGACGGAAATGCTCCTGCTCGTTGAGAACGAAATGTTTAGCTGTCGCCATAACACCGTTACGCTGGATTCCCTGAATAGTCTCAGCTGCAGCTACGGCCTGTAGAACGGGATCCGATCCAAAAGACTCCCAGTTACGGCCTCCGGCGGGCATCATTCCTAAAGCACCCATCGAAGGTCCAAGAATGACGTTCACGCCCTTAAGTCGAGCTTCACGGCCAAGTGCAAGACCCCGGGCGCGCATAAGTTCACGGTTCCATGTCGCGCCAGTAGTAATACCAGCCGGGAAGGCTGTAATATTATCGGCAAAGCGGAGACCCAGGGGTCCATCCTGTAGACAGAGGGATGGAAAGTTCACGTACGCAGCAGGCCCTGGTTGACAATATTAGCGTACGTAAATCAACCAGTCGAGAGTACATGATTTCATACCGGTATTTCCAACACACAACCCCATCATCCAGCCAGTTCCTGTGGTGACATTCACCTTCTCCACGAGGCTCATCCGCTGGACCAACGCATGCGCCTTTTTATAACTCTCCTCCCACTTCGCGCCCGTGCCACCGAGGGGCGTGGGATACCAGGGGACCGGGGACTAGGGTTATTCAGTCAGCCACACAAATTCCGATATGGACGCGGGATTGAAGCAGGGCTTCAGTCAAAATCATAACAAGGACTCATACAAATTCAGGTAAAGCTTCACCGCTGCCGAGTGAACGTCTCAAACCACTGGCTGCCAACCACATCAACAGTACTCCCACCACAAGCAAGATTACTATCTGCCACCAAGGTCGTTGTCGAACAACAGCGTGGATTCTTGATTTGAAGTCGGGGCTTTTGTTTTTGTCAGCGTAGGGACGCTTGTCCGTCAGAAAACCATAATCGTCGCTGTCTGCCTCGCTCAAAATATGGGTAGATTCCGCATCTTCGAGATCGAGATTGAATGACTCCGCAAGTAGCCTCCTTTCCTTCTGATCCTGATGCAAAAGTTGCTCGATACGGTCGCCGACAATGTGAGGATCGTCATTGTCCATAGGCAGAGCACTCCCATCACTTGAAGACGGGGTATCTGTTCTTTGAATCCGTCGAGCACCATTGAACTTCAAGCCGTCTTTGGTGCCCATCGGCAAGAGCTTTAGATTGGCGTCATCCTCCGAGAATTCGTCGTCGTCGCTAGGAAGGGGCGTGTCCGTGTCATCGTGTCGTGGTTTAGGGTGGGTTTTGTGGTGTAAAGGTTCGGTTTCTTCGTGTGATCTTATCGGAGAAAGGTCATCGTCGCTGTGGTCCTCCAGTGACTCGTATTTTGTTCGAGCCATATTTCAGGGTCCGATCCGGGGGTGTGTGGGGTGCTAGCTATCGAGCTGGAATCTTGGCGGGTGGAGACAGGAATCACTCAGTGTCGATGTGCAGGACGCATGTTGTGGAGGAAGAACATTCAATCTCTGTTCAATTCCTGGATTAAACAAATTGTGTGGTTGACTTAATTGATTGCAGTGACGAAAGCTTGAGAGACGATCACAATGAAAGGTCACCTGACTCCGCGAGCGGAATCAACACGTCAAATTACGTGCGCGACTCGAGTTTGGAGCGTGATCTATACTAGCGCTCTGCTATGTTATGATCTTTTAGAAGTAACATGTTTGCCACAATTCTGGTGGGATTTTTTACTAGTAAGAGATGAAGATTCATTTAAAAATTACTTCACGGGCATTTATGCTAAACAGCCATCTTACTACATATTTTCTACTTCTATGGGCCTTCCGGACCCCGGGGCTCACTTGTTACAATTATGAGAAATCTTTACCAGGGTAGAAGAATAGATTTATCAGGAAACGATATATGAATTGCCAAAGTGTACGGCTATGAAATCCAAAACTAACTTTTGTTCAATGACATCCAGTAGGAAAACCAGTGTCCAAACCAAAAATGCATATCTACCGAATTGAAATCAAAAAAGAAACGCCGAGCGCCGTCTATTTAGAATCCCATGCCAATCCAGAAACGATGATACCCCTTAAGAGGCACGCATGCAAGGGAAATACAAAACATGAAACATGAAAAATAGCCCATTACACATCACGGTTTACCAGGTCAATAGGCCAGGCACATAATTATGCTTCGTCATCAGTGTCCACGGGCTTGGGAGTACCCTTGGGGGAGTTGAGCCACTCGATGTGACGAAGACGACGACGGGCCTCACGGTCCTTCTGCTGAGCGCGGGTCATCTTCTTCTTCTTCTTGGCACGGAACTTAAGATCACCTCCGTCCTCTGCGTCAGTGTTGACAGCTGAGGGGGCAGCGCTAGTGTTGGTGGAAGCGCCGGCAGGGGTTCCGGGGATAGAGGGAGAGTTGTTGGCGCTGTCCTCGAAGCGGTCGAGACTGATAGCGGTGTTGGTGCGGCTAACAATGCGACCATCGGCAATGTGCAGCTGCTCGGGGCAGAGAGCACCGACGAACTCTTCGTTGTGAGAAATCATAACGACACCACCCTTGAAGTCACGGATAGCAACGGCCAGACCACCAAGGGAGTCACGGTCCAAGAAGTTAGTAGGCTCGTCAAGAACCAGCAAGTGGGGGTTGTTCCACATGGCACCAGCCAGGACAACCTTGACCTTCTGACCACCGGAAAGACCGGAAATCTCGTTGTGGTTGGCGATTTCAGGGTCAAGACCAATATCCTCAAAGTGCTTGGTGATGATCTTAGGGTCAAGAACACGGAAACCAAGACCTTCACGCGAGGCCTCGTGGTCGTCGAATTCCTGAACCATCTTGAAGAAACCAAGCTCGATCATGGTCTCACGGGAGATCATAACATTGTTCTTGGGGAGCAGACCGACCCATTTCCTACATAAGAATTAGCAATGAAAAATGTAATACGATCTGAACCCTGTAGACTTACACTTCGTACTGGAAGGTCTTCTTCCACTTTTGACGACCGATAATGGCCTCGACACGGCGAGCTCCACGGCCGTCACCCAGGTCAATGGGCTTCTCCAATTGAGCCTTGTCCTCATCGGTCAAGATACGGGTCTGCTTAAGGAAAACCTCGCGATCGTCACCGTTGGCGTAACGCCACATCAGGTACTGAACGGGGGTCTTCTCAAGATGCATCTCAACGTGCTCAAGAGCATGCTGCTTGATGTATCCCATACGCAGGTTGGGGTGCTTCTCAACCTTACCGGATGAGGGGATTGTCTCACCGGTGAGAAGCTTAATGAAAGTCGACTTTCCAGCACCGTTTCCACCGATGATGGCAACACGGGAGGAAAGAGACAGAGAAAGGGAAGCCTCGTGGAGGGAAGGCTTGGGAGCACCAGGATATTGGTAAGAACAATTGCTCAGTCGCATGATAGAACGGGTGGCAGACTTGATGCCAGACAGGATACCGGGAGGAGGGAACTTGAACTGCACAGTGGAGGCGGACAGTGTGTAGTAGCTCTTGCCTTCAGGCTTGACCTTAACGAAGTCCGCAAGGTTTCCCTTGTAGCAGACAAGCTTCTTGCCCTCGTAGTGGTAGATATCGGTACAGACCTCATCAAGGAAGCCGGAGTCGTGAGAAACGATCAAGCTAGTGATTTGGGTGTGCTTCTTCAGGTACTCTTGCAACCATTTAACGTTGGCAACGTCCAAGTGATTAGTAGGTTCGTCAAGAAGCAGGACATCGGCCTTCTGGAGCATAGCACGAGCAAGAGCCAACTTCATCTTCCAACCACCTGACAAGGAACCAACAGGCTGGGATTGACGACCTTCGGGTCCATCAGTGAAGCCGAACTCCAAGAGAACGCTGCTGATATGCTCATGTCCTTCAGCAGCAATCTTGGGATCCTTAGCAACATACTCATAAATGCTGAGCTCAGCATCCTCGCCCTGATTGTGCTCCACAAAGCAAGTGCGGACCTCATCCTGGGGTGGGAATCCTTCCAGCTTGTCATTGGCGATACTGCGCATCAGGGTGGACTTTCCAGCACCGTTGCGACCACACAGACCGTAACGGTGACCCTTCAGAAGTCGCAGGTTGGTGTGAGAGAGCAGAAGCATACCACCGTAGGCGAGCGAGAAATCGGCGTTGACAATTTCAACCTCGTTGGGGTCCTCGGGAATGGGCTTTCCGAACTTGCGCTCATCGTCCTCAACGTAATGAGCTTGCACAGCGGAGGCAATGGCCTCAGCCTTCTCATCGGCCAGGAGACCACGCAGGTAAGGGGTAATGGAGGCAGGAATGCGGTCATGCATACGGACATTAACATCTTCGCGGACCAGTCCAGCAATGAACATGGTGGCCAGGGTGTGGAAAGCGCTGTCACCATATCCAGTCAGACCGCCGTTCTCCTGGATCTTGGGGTTGAGAATGGCCAAAACATCCTCTGGGGTGATCTTTGTGATAGAACCAGAAGCGACGTTGTTGTCGCTCATGGCTGTTTCCATGACATCGAGAGCTCTGGTAGCCAACTCACGGACCTCAGGCAGAGAGGCACGGTCCTTGACACCCTTGACACCAGGCTGGAGCTTGGGAAGGAAAGTACGGGCTTCGGCAGGATCGTGAACCAGCTTGGTAAGATTCTCTACGACGACGACGGTTTGGCGAAGAGTTTCTTGGGGAGTTGTGGGGGTGTTGAGAGATCGCTCCAGCAAAGGAGTCAACAGCGCTAGCACGGGGGAAGTGACAATAGCGACGAAAGTAGTCTGGGACAAGGCGTGAATGGCCTTCTGGAGAGTTTGAGCGGAAGGCTGCTCCATGGTCTTCATGAGGAGAGGAATACGGGGAGCAACATCATCGTTGGAGAGCAAAGTGATGAGAGCAGTCATGGTCTTGGTAGCCTGCTTGCCGACTTCGGCCTTCAGGTCGTGCATACCAGACTCGACGACGGGGATCAACTCCTTAAGGGTTTTTCCCATGGACTCGCGAAGAAGATCCTTCTCGCGCTCCTCTTCTTTGGTTCCGTTGCCGATCTGGGCGCTGACGGCCATCTTCTCCAGCAGCTTGAAGCCACCAACGAAACCCTGCCATTTTCCGGAGCCAGTGCTGAGGTAAGACTCCAAGGCGGGGATGAGGGCGTTGACCTTAGCCTCGGGGCTCAGACAGCCAAACAGGGCATCCAAGGCATACTGGCCCGCATCGCGGACAACAGTGCCCTTGTCAGCCAGGGAGTCCAAAGCGAGGTTGAGAACACCACCGTTCTGCAGCAGAAAAACGGCCTCACTGAGAGGGAACTCTCGGGGAAAACGCTCGAACAGGGCACCAATGATCAACATGGCACTCTCGCGGCGGGCTCCGTTTTTCTTGTCGGTGGCGGCCTTCTTAACCTCGGCCAAAACATTGTAGTTGAGCAGGCCAGAAACTCCGACACTCTGGAGCAAGAGGTTTGTCAAGGCGTAGGCGCCATCGAGCGACTGCTGGGAGCTGTCGGATGTGAAGATTGTGTTGATGAGAGAGGAAATCTCTTCGGACGTGGGGGCAACGCCAGAGGGGGTTTTTGAGACAACGGTCGGCATGGCGGGCGACTCGACGGTGTGTGGCATGGTATATGGTTCAAAAACTTAGGAGAAAGCTGTGGTGGTATAATACCAGGCTGCGCGCGACAAGTCGGCGGGGTTATTTCTCGAACAAAGGCGCGGGGGGTAAGAAATAATCAAAAAAGCCCTTTCAGTGTCAAAAGGATCGTAAACGACACACGGAAATCGTACCAAGCTCGATCTGGAAATGAAAACTGTACAATGTCCAGACACGGTCGGTCGATGCTCCAATCCACTTGAGCTTCGAAAGCGTGAGGGATGTCAAGAGAATGGAGGGGAGAAGGAGACGAGGCGCATCGGCGGGCAGGCTTATCCACACAATTTTTTTTTGTTTGGGCGCCGATGGTGGGTCTAAGCCAATCACGGGGCTCCCTATTAACATGAGCACAACCTAAGCCTAATTGGGCCATCCTTATCAGTAATTTATGCCTCAGGCATCAATGAAAATTTCAATTAAGGGATGCTTATGTCATGTTCTCGGGGACGAATCAGGAACCACCGATTAGGGATAAGGCACTTCCCGGCAGTCAGGTATCATCGCCAGTTGACTGTCCAGGTAGTCACTGTCTTGCAAATAGGAGAAATGGGTAGTCAGGCTCAACTGATTGAGTGTAAGACAGTGGGTTTCTTATATGATAGATATGCATGTCTCTTGGACTTTCTTGCAGCTTACCTTGCAATAGTATACTATGGACCGCCACTATTCACTACATATACTAGTACCACCCTTTCAATCACAAGATATCTCTGTACTGGGTATAATCTTAATTTCTAGGTATGCCAATAAGTAGTAATAGACATTAGATACTAGACAAATCAGACAAAAAATTGCATTGAGTTCGCATAGAATACAGTCAATAACATTGCAAATAAGTATTCTCAGCAAGAGGTAGCGTTCAAACTATTCCGTCATAGTATAGATCTGCATTGAGATAGAACGGGATTGGCGTCACCGCTCATGTTGGACTTGATGCATGTTCATGCATGTTCTGCTGTGAGCAATGTAACATCACTCAGGTGCAATCTTGCGCTAGGCAGGGGTTAACAACTATTTAGCTGCAATCTGGGCTAATAATAGACCAGAGGACGAAACAAACTTGAATGCAAAAGTACGAGACATACACGAAACCCGTCCTACCCCTCACCTGCTGTATCTGTATTAGTTTTCGACAATTCAGATCCGATAAAGGGAGCTTTTTTCGAAGTTAGTCAAATCCAAAAACAATGAAATATAACGTGGTGGTCTTATTGGTTTCATCCATGAACCGCTAGCTTTTCTAACCTTAATATACTATTAACACCGTGCAAAATAGCACCTCGATCAATTAAATACCAACTGACAGGTTTTGAGAGCCTCTAATGACTAGCCGGGTTACAGCCTACAAGATATCTGTCTAGCCCCTGTCAACTGCTCAGCCTCGACGCGCTAGAAGACGTGTTCGGGCTGTGAAATCACCTAGATCCTCCATCTACTACTGGCTGCCCACACAGATCGTCACGATGAAAAAAAAAAAAATTTGTGAAAAAGGCCCTACGCTCTGTTTCGTTGCTAGACTAGACTCTTCCAAGCCAGGTATCTCGCTGCAGCAGCCTCAGTCCATGCCTAAGGCTGAGTTGCTGCCTGTGGCGATGCCCCCTGGTCGTGGCTTAAAATAGTGGCCATGGTGGAGGGTGGGGAATTTACTATGACGAGGAGCCAAATTGTTGCTCCTTTTTGGACGTTATTGAGTAGCTATTTAATCTAGAAGGGACCATCGATAAATATTGAGTTGTATTAAAAACACGGTTAACTTGAGGCTTGTTCAACTCGAGTTGAAATCACCATCAAAACCTAGGAAGCATCAACAATATCTCTATACACGATTTTGCTCTTTTTTCATTCAATACTATTACTCATTCCCCACAATGTCGCGAACCACCCTTAGACTCGGTGATGTGCTCTGCATTAATATTCCCGAGCATGAACCCATGAGATGCCTTGCAAAAATTTACAGGATCAAGAAGAATGTGGTCTTTGCCGTGAAATGCCAGAACCAAATCGCGCGAAAGAATAGCAGAACAGCTCATAGGATTCTACAACACAAGATGTCTTTCCGAGATGAAGAACACGACGTCATTGAAAAGAGTATTGCGGAACTAGTTGATCTCCTCATACATGGCAACTGGAAACACAATGACAGCCAGACGCAAAAAGAGAACCTACACCAGAAATGGTTGGATTTATGGCACGCTCGGATCCAAAGGCATCGGGAAATGCGGCAGATCGAAGCTAGCATACTGGATCTTGACATAGCAAATCGACCTGAATATGAACCAGAGACGGATGTCTCCAAGATTGAGGATCACATCCATGAAATCACCCACGTCCCCGCAATTATACAATACCCCACTCTACAACTTGAGCCCGGCGAGAAATCCACACACGAGCACAATGAAATTGTGAATACATTCTTCTCTACAAGGGATACCACAGGTACCGACGTCATGGAGCACAAGAAATGCCCGATCAAGAAACTTCGAGTACCATCATTCAGCGATATCACAAGTGATGATGGGCAACTGCCGAGCCAAGTATCACTATCCACGGAAAACCTCGGCCTTGATGTTTCTTTAAGTACAAACCAACAGCATATGATTAATTATATCATAAGCACCATCTGGAGACTCTGTGCCGTATTTCAGCTTCAACATGACACTATCCTTTCTCGAGATGATGCCGGGAATCCTCAGGAGCAATCCATCATTCAATTCAAAATGCTTCTTGGTGCGAGGTTCCCCCTACCGAGATTCCAAGATGTCTCTCACATAATCATACCATTTACTTATGTCTTAAGTCAATTCATGTGCATTTTTCTCGGGCCAAGTTTGAGTTTCACGCTGGTTTTTGTTGCCGCCTTGGGTGGATGGTGCTGGTCGGTGGTGAGGCCGAAGAAGCTGCAGAATATGAAGACCGAATGAATGAATTGATACCCATGTGAATATAAGATATGATTAAATTCTAGTGATGCCTATTATGATACTTGATGGATCCGTTTCCCCTTCTGATCCTTGCGTGGATTGATTGATTGATTGCTTGATTCATGGAACTCGAGGCGGGTAAACGTAGAATCTGCGCTATTTTCTAGGCCTACGGTTTTCAAAAGGAGGACGGCAAACAGCGGCAGAATAAAAAAGAGAGGTTATAATGAACTGCAAGTAGAGACCATTGTCCTTACGGACATTTGTCAAATGAAAATATACAGAGAAGATTATGGCCCCTGCACTAAGGATGACACACTCAATCAAAGAGAAGCTACTCGTTTTTTTCACCAATTATTTGGGGCGACCAGCTGCCCATTTGCCAGAGCAGAACGATCTGCATCTTTGACTACAATCTATGCCAAGCAGCAATCGGCTAAAAAATTGATTCCAAGGTCGGTACTGTCATATGGGGTAGTAAAAAAATAATGTAGATGACCCTTATGATAATGCGAAGGACGAGTTGTGGGTATATAGCCGACTTCAAAGCCCAACAATGATCGGCGGAGGTTAATACATATAACATGGATGACCGAATAAACTCTAATCGTCACTCTTTAGAGCCTTCACAACTTTATGCTGTCCTATATCGTACTCCAATGCGTTCAAATTCAAAACACTACATGGGAGATGTGGTTTAAACTTGCAAAAGGTCTGGTAAAAGTCTGGAGATGGCCACTAATGTCGGGTGTAGAGTCGCAAACAACAACTTGTGGAGTTTAACAACATCAAATGCAAAGCTCTACTACGAAACAGATGTCCGAATATACTAACCCTGAGTAGCAACATCTAGAAAGACTCGGACATGTTCATAAAAATTCACCAAGTGGAACGAGCGCCCGATATACTACCGAATGCCCCGTTTTACCCCAGGCCCAAGAGTGGACTAATTCACCAGTCATAGAATTATCGCAAAGGTTACCTGTTTCGTCAATGAAGAATTACCGAACAAGAAATACGATTGGAAGCATCGATGTGGATCCCTTAGGCGAGAAACTAAGACGGAACTAAGGCGCCGGCTAATACTAGTATTTACTGGGCGTGGCTCAAGATTGAATTTCACGATCGCGGGAACCGAGGCTAAATTTTGCACGATCATGCGAACTACGAAGAACAACACAGCTGTATCACATACTATATGCCCTCACGTTAAGACGATTTTATGAAATATATCAATCACTCACCAAATAGATCAAGCAAACAATTAGTTAATACGTAGGAGTTCAAACCCCTCGGTCTTTACGGAACTGTGGGGACAGAAGACATTCACATGGGATTTACCAGAGGAGATCCACATTTTGCAGATCTCCAGGTCCATCTCGATCTCTTCAATTGGCATGGAAGTTTTGTTGGGGATGCCAAATCCATAAAAGGTTACTTTGGCGTCATGAACCACTTCACATGTGTTCTAAACCCCCGCATTCCATATCCGAACCAGAAGAAATATAAACCACACCCCTAGTAGTTACGAACTTGATGTCCACATAGTCCATACAACGGTTCGAATGAACAAGCTGACCTCACCATGGATACAAAACCACTATCTAAAGATTCTATGAAGTCAACATGGCGTACCGCCGACCGTTCAGAATGGACGCACCACCACTGGGCTCTGGAAATCCTCAACGCCCATCCGCAAGAACTGAACAAGGAAGTCCCAGTACACGCCAAAGATGAAAAAATACCCTACATGCCTCAGTGGTCTCTTCAGCGATGGGTTCTATTCTACTCTGCCGTCCCCCTACTTCTGCATCAGCTCTTTATGACCTATACAGGCCATACATTAGGACCGATCAGCACCTTCAACTTCTATTTCTTCGCATTCAACGCCATAGTCATATACCAAGTCCACGTTCTCCGCCGAATGGGCCACATCTACGGCTTCCTCGATGGCGATAAACATGAACGAGACGGCGTACCTGACGTAGGCGTCGGCAAGGTCGTGCACTCCCTTTACAAAACCACCGGATCTCGACTCGTCCTCGCCGTCTACTTAACCTATAACAGAGACCAGCTACCAAGCCAACTGAACTGGCTCTATCTCCCCCTTGAGATCGGTCTCTATGGTATCGTCCTCGACTTCTGGTTCTACTGGTATCATCGCCTTATGCACGATGTGGGCTTTTTCTGGAAGTTCCACCGCACGCATCACTTGACGAAGCATCCGAATCCCCTCCTTGCCGCCTATGCAGACCACGAGCAAGAGTTCTTCGATATGGTTGGTGTGCCGGTGATGACATATTTCAGTCTCCGATTTATGGGCCTGCCGATGGGATTCTACGAGTGGTGGATTTGCCACCAATATGTGGCTTTTGCTGAGGTCTTCGGACACAGTGGGCTTCGAATGCATTTAACTGTGCCATCCACTCTGAGCTGGTTGTTGAAGATGTTTAACTGTGAAATTGTCATCGAGGATCATGATCTTCACCACCGCAAGGGCTGGAGGAAGAGCCATAACTATGGGAAACAAACACGTCTCTGGGATCAGATCTTCGGTACTACCACTGATCGGATTGAATCTGTGGAGGAAAATGTGGATTATGAGAATGTTGCGATGATGCCTCTATTTTAAGGCTCGATGAAAGCCCATTACTTAAACTTATGAATGGTTATGACTGTCCTTTGTAGTTGTTTCAGTGATAAAAAAATAAACACACTGTTGCTTTATGATACAGATACAGGTAACCGATAATTTGGTAACAGTAGAAGATCGCTTTATAATCCCTATCCTAAGCGCCTCCCCCATAGACAGATGCGTATGATATAATACAAAATAACATGCAAATGGATCATGCGAGTGAAATCCAAATCCAAAAAGAGCCCGCTATGCGTTGGCGTTGCTAGCGCAAGAAAAGCTGTTGCTAGAAGCATCATCATGAATGGCCTTACCAGAAACATACAGGCCAAGACCACACATGCAAGCTCCAATAAGAACAATGCAGACATTGAGGATAGTAAGAGCAATCTTCCTAGGAGAAGAGAACCACTTGCCCTTGTTAATATGCAACCAGTAAACTCCACCAAGTCCGTAACTGAACCAACTAGCGAAAAGCGAGCTGATCAGACTCAGAAGATCACTGAAAACAGGAATGGCATCGGCGATAATCCAAGCGATAATCCAGCATATCAAGCCGATGAGGACCCAGGATCCGTAGGAGGTGAGATCGCGGCGGTGCATACGATCAGTTCCACGGAAAAGACGGACGTAAATGTACTTTAGACCAATGTGACCATTGACAACACCGGCACCCACGATCTGGAACATGTTAGCTATGATGAAAAATTGTGATCCGGATTTTAGGAGTTCACATACTGTAGGAATGGCAATTCCGTAGGCAACCTTCTTGAGCACCGGTCCAGCGGAGCCCAATGCAGGCGAAGTAACCTCTTGGCCAGCATAGTTATAGATAACAACAGCAGCGACAGTGTAGAAGATAATCTCGAATGTCTGCAGCATGTACAGAGCCTTAGGGAAATCGCGGGGCTCTCTCATCTCCGCAAGGAGACCAAAGAAAGCGACGTGGGCGCAGTAAGCAAACACGATATTGGTAACAGCAGTGAAAGCCTTGAAGAGGTTTGTATCCATGGTTGCTGTGATGGGAGCAGTCTTTCCTTGAATACCAACGCCGATCATAGTAATAATGACAGCAGTCAAGATACTGACGAAAGACGCACACGAGATATAGGTCATGTTTTTCATGGTACGGGGCAATGAGCAGACCATACAGATGGCGAAGCCGACAGCAGTGAAAACCATGGTGCAAGTTCCGTGGTCAGTAATGGTGTTCATCATCACACTGAAAGTCAGAATGTGACTGCCCATGATGAAGATGGAGAACAACAGTTGACCAATTCCGAAGACCTCACGGCCAATGGGCCCAAACAGAACATCTCCGGCATCCGCGAGGTTCTGGATGTGAGGGTAGCGTTGATGAAATTGACCAATGACGTATCCGGTATAAGTAGCGAGAAGACCGAGACCAATGATCAGGACCAAGGCCGGTGCCATGCCCAGCTCAGCAAGAGTTGCTGGCAAAGACAGGACACCCAAAGAGACAGATTCAGCAATCATGACTACATCTTGTTAGTATAATCCGATCTCTCTAACATTTCGCTAATTGTCGGAGTTTCGAAAAAACTCACACATTCCGGTTTGCCTATTGAATCGGCGAGAGCGTTAGACAGACATTCTTCATAGGGGTCTGAGCGCATAGCAAAACGAAAACTTACCACCACTCCATAGTCTTGTACTTGACCTCCGCATTGGACTCGTCACCAAAAGCATCGACATATTGAGGCTGGTCATTATCCAATTTCTTCTCATCATACCCCGACTCGGTATCAACCGGGTAGCGCTCTGGAGCAACGCCGTCGAGGGTCATTTTGCCGGTATGATATGTGTCGGTCTACCGGGAAGTCAGGAAGAGAGGCAAAGCAAACAAAACGAGAAAGAAAGAAACCAGAGATTAAACCCCGGGATCAGATCCATATGTATGTGTGCAGAAAAATCATTAGATAACCGTGGGTGGATCGCAACGTCGCATGAGCCAACCGCAAACCCCGCGAGAATTACTTTTTACGGGAATTTATGGGGAAAATTCTGGGGCTAGAAAGTCTGGAAAGATAACCATTATCGCCGCTTATCAGAGGCAAGTTAATTTTCTTTTGCCGATTCTATTATGGATCAAAATTAATTGGAGAGGTTCTTTGTAGTCATGTAAATGTAAGATCGGTGACCGGTCAAGATCTGCATACATTTAAGCGTCTTTCGGTCCACTTCCGCGCGCGGCAAGGGATCAATGTATCCACTTTAATACATTTATGGACCAATAACGGCATCGGGCGGGCTATTTATTATCTAACGAAAATCTCGGGCTTCCTAGAGGCTGGCCGACTGTAGCCGGACTGGTTTAAGTCCCGACCTCAACAAATTTCAATGCCAAGGGATAAAAATGCCGAATCTGCTTGCAAAAGCATCGGGATTCGAATGATATCTATTGAAATAACAATATTCACATGTTATACAGTTGTCTAAAGTAGTGATAATCTGCCGATATTTTCTGACAGCGTTCCGGGAATACCGATGTTAGGATCCTGGCTTACCAACAGAAGTATCATCTGCGGCTTGAGGCGCATCATCGCCACCATGAAGAAGATTTTTTTTTAGTCAAGAGAACCGTTTAAGCTCCCGCCACCTCCTGCCAAGAGATTGCATGACACAAAATTTGCTCTAGCCTCCAATCATTTCTCGGACGCGTGGGGATAAGCAGAGAGAAAATTACATTTGCTGAACCCCGGCCCCTTAAAAACCGATATGCCATGCGAGTCTCCATCCGGAGCCGAGACTACCCCCACACGTCAGTGCAAGGCCCGCACGGGTTTTCTTTGCCGTGATAGATGGCACCGTAGACTTGTGCCGGATATATGGATTATGTTTTGAGTCCTCAATGCATGGCTCCATAACCTTTCTTTGCACTCCGGGGATCTAAAAGGGTAAAGTTAGCCATCCTCACTTGGGAACTCCACATATAAATAAAAAATCCAATCAAAACCACTTGAACAGAATGATTCTCACGTTTCGAAGGATTCTTTGATCGAAATGCTTATGCAGAGCAAACTCAAATCCCCAAATCGGCCCCAACAGACTCCTGAGTATCCTGGAAATAAGCTTCAGCCTTGCATCTCAGCAGCCTTGGAAACGGTCAAGGTTCCTAAAAGACCCGTTTGTATTATCCTTCCAGATGGCGGGGAGGTCAGAAGAATAACTGATATGCGGTCAATAGATATGGTTTTCATTTTGACAAGATTCATATCAAGATGCGATGGGTGTCAAAGTCCCTTGTCACCTAAGATTACCAATAATATTGTCCACGGAAACATCATTCACTCAAATTTTCCCGACATTTGAAACATTTGAATCTCACTACGTAAATAGAATGGCTTAATTCCGAGCCTACAGTTTCTATGACTACACAGGCCCACTCGCCCCGCGGGGAAACCTGGCAATGCGATTACATACAATTAATGACTTCCAAGGTTGGGGTTTAAAAAAGCAAAACCCCACAGGATAGGGCGCGAATAATTGTTTAGGTTTACATGTACTCTATAGGGCGTGCTTATGATGCAATCGGCTGTTGGCAATTGAGGGGGAAGGAACCGATCCGTCGGCGATCTGACAAATCCACCCCAAAAAGATGAAAGCTCCGTAGAAAGTATCGAGGAACTTGATATGATAGTTTCAGTGAGCAAAGGAGGATTCAAAAGTGTCCAGATTGCCTATGCTACCATATCCGCCGCATATCAGCATCTCCAACAATTGCTTTTGAATAATCGTAAACCGTTGAGACATTTTACCTGGAAGTGAAATTGGAAACTCAAACATATAGCGCTAGTGTTGCAAATGAATAATCTAAGGAACATGACTTTTCATCATAACAAGGAAGAACGAAGGAGCCTCTCCATTTCCCGCAGAGAGTCAGGCTTCGAAGTCACGGCAGACATCAAGTATATGATATTACCCAGGACACGGGAGTGAACATTGAACTGGTCACCGCCGACAGCCAACTTCTGTTGCAAGCCCTTGGCAACATTGGAAGTGTATCCTATAATTATCTTAGTAGCTAATTGCGAAAAGTAAAAGTTGTAGAGTAAGTACTTACCACCACCTTGTTCATCACGCAAAGAAATACTCAACACCGTTCCAATAGCGAAGACGCTCTCAACCGAATCGGCAGAGGACAAGTCCTGGAGGAGTCCGTTAGACCAGACACTCCAAACCTCTGGCACAGACTCCTGTGTTGATGAGGACGCAGCTTCTTTCCAATCTGCACGGTATCCATCCCAAGACCCATTCTTGTCTAGCTTGGACATGGTTTTGAGAGAGTCCACTGCAACTGTGCATCCCATAGCATGGGCAGTATAGCTATGTCCATGAAGGAGGGCATCGCTCTTCTCAGGACTGGAGAATGCGTCGAAGATCTCGTTGCTGGCGGCTGTTGTGCAAAGTGGAATAAGACCACCGGTCAGAAGTTTGGCATTCACGCCCACGTCAGGGTGGACGCCGAGGAAAGATGCGGAAGTGGGACGTCCAAGTCGGTACAGGCCGGTGAAAACTTCGTCGAAAATGACAGGTAGACCGGACCATGATGGGGATTCTTTCGCGACTGTGGCGTCGGGAGAGAAGAGCTCTGGGTGTTCGCGGACAACATCTGTGAGGCAGCGTTGGAACAAAGGATCACTTGAAAATCAATTAGCAGGTCTCTCAATGTATAGAGAGAGAATATCACTTACCAGAAGAGCATACCACCCGCACCCAGGATGACAGGTTCCAAAATCAGGGCGCCAAATTTCATTCCATGTGTTTCAACGAGATCCTTAATAGTTCGGTGAATATATGCCTTATAACGATCGCTGGCTTCGGAGCTCAATCGGTTGTTCAGGTCAAAAACCGATCCCAAAGAACTGAACTCCGCATCGGATCCAAGATCTTCTTTTAGTTCCGCTGGAACCTCCACCTTCCACTTGCCGTTGACCATCTTGACGAGAGGGAAATCAAACCAGTGACCCCGACCACGGTACCACTCAACCTTCTTGTTATATGTCGAGGGCTCAGAACAGTCCATCACGCCGATAGTATCACCATGGTAGCTGCCTTTGAGTCCAAGAATATTAATCTTCTCTTGGCTGGCATCCCAGCCGTACCGATCGCACGCAGCTCGGAGGCCCATCTTGATCGCGACCTCCATACCGGTACTTCCATTATCAGTATAGAAGACTTTGCGGAAGCGTGGGTTGTCAAGTGTTTCCAACAAGTCACTGGCAAGGGATAATGCTGGTTCGTGGACTGCACCCGCAAACATGACATGGCCGTACCGACCGGCAGCATAGGCGGCTGAAAGCGAAAGGTCGGGGTTTCCGTGGCCTAGACCCTGAGTCCACCAGGATGCTGAGGCGTCAAATGTTGGACGAAGCTCACTGTCAGTGCTACCAGAGTTGAATGTTTGGAAGTAATCATCGTGTGCCGAATCAATGACAGTGATGTCTTTGGCTTGCATGCCTTGATGTTGAGTGAAGGGATACCAGATCAAGTCTTTCGCTTTTTCGGTCATTTCCTCTAATCTCTCGATTCGTGTTTTGTTCGTGAGTGACATTTCTTCGAGAAGGCGCAATATCTCCGATTCCTGAGAAGCTTGACGATAATAAGTGTACATAGCTTCTTCGTCTCTTTTCTGCGCATCTGCGTCTATTTGCACAGGTCTGCTCGGTGGAGATGGTAAGTGGACCAATGGTATACTCTTCTTACTAAAGAATTGTCCAAGGTAGTCGTGATTCTGATAGTAGTCATCTCGGAATAGTAAAACGGATTGTACATCGTACCCTCGCATAACCAAAGACTCATAAGCTGAGATCGACGAGGAAATACCGCCAAGTCGGGAGTCTGCTACGAGCACAATGGGAAGTCGTAGAGGTCGGTAGAGATCAGCTTGCGAGTTGCCATTGGGGCCGGGAGAATGTACGCCGCCGGCAGTCTCGACCAATGCAAAATCAATGTCCGACCGAGCCCAACCAGACAGTGTTTGGTGAATTGATGCAAGCAGATCATCGTCGCGTGGAATCTGTTAATGTTAGAGATATATTCCAGTAAGCTTCAAGGAAGGACTCACAGTCTTCGATTTGGCCGCGATATGCGGGCTGACAGGCTCATCGAATTGATACAGACACTTGGTCAATGCACCGGCTCCATATCGCTCCAAGTGTCTATCAAGCGCATTAGAATTCAATCGCAGCGCCTCTGCCGTCCAATTTCTAAGCTTACCGATCATCAGCTTCGTCCAATGCCCCCGTTGATACAGGCTTCAAGAAAGCGGCGCGTTGTTTCTGCCTCTGCACCGCATTACATAACACAGTTGAGACGATTGTTTTGCCGACATCAGTATTCGCACCGTAGACCTGATGAGCGCGCAAAGTGCGCCAAAGCCCTGCACCAACCGGAGCCATTGTTGCAGGAGATATGAGTGAATACAATGACCTCGGAAAGTGGTGAAGATGACTCCGCGCTGTTTGCGTTTACCGGGAAGTTTGACGTCAATTGGCGAATCAAGATCCCGTTGTGACTCCACATTTGCCCAGTTTCCCTTTCACCGAGGTTGATTTCTCGGTTGGGTGTTCCCAACGGACGGGAACGGAGTTCTGGATCTACAAAATCAACAAAAACAATGGATGACGAAGGATTGAAATTATTGAATGTTTTTGGGAGATTTCAACCACTGAATCTGCTTGATGTTCCTTGTTTGCCCCGGATTTGCTCAGACTTAAAGTGCGGGATGATCCTCAGCACCCGTTCCTAGCCGACCGTGCGCCAGGAAACTACCTTCGGAGTTAGAGGCTCAAATAGTTAGGCAATCGGGGAAACGCAGCGAGAGTGACTATAATATACTGAGATTCTGGACAATCCTGGTAGAAATTGAATCATTCCTCTGTCCAACTCGAATTCATTTCGCGTCACTCGGAGTCGCAATAGGCGCGAGAGCTGATGCGGTTGAAGACTACTCCGCGCTTGATCTACACACCGTGGGGACCTAACTGTTTCATCTAAAAAGAAAGAAATGAAAGAGAGAAACTTGAACTACACTCTCTGCACGTGCAAACTGAATTCTGAATCAACGTCGTCCCAGGCTGGCAGCTCTTGCCTCGTAGGGCTATAGGATTTACACGACAACTCCAGCGCTTTCAAGCTCATCCGTTTTGTTAATATATGTGGATTATACTATCAGTTCTGTAAAAGGCGAGGTATGTTACAGACGTGCTAATAGGGAACTTCCTATGTTCTAAAAAAGATTATGCTTTATCCTTGTAACAATAATGCAAGAAGTGAGCACTTGTCTCAAATGATTGAAATTTGACTGGATCCAACCCTTGCCAAAATGGGTTACGAAATTAATTTGGCATTTTTTTCTTTTCTACACAGTACTGTATGGAGTACTTCCCACGCACTCTATTTTCTCCATATTACAGAGTCAGACCCTACCAAGATAAGAGGGGCAATATGTGAAAGTAGCTTGTGGACTCGGAGCTGTAAGACCTCGGAGAAAGACAATCAAGAGGGTAAGCTTCTGTACAATATTTACGTCAATTATTCTACGATGTGACTTTAATTGACGAAACTGTTTCTGAAAGGAACATGAACATGAAATTTGAAATGATGATAGCAGAATGTAGATGTCTTCCTCAATAGACAGCCAATATTTCAGGTGAAATGCCTCATTTGATCCTTCCCGCTTCTGGAATCTTGGAGAGGCTTGAGCCGCCAATATGAACCCTTTTCCCCATCGGACTATCACTTCCGGCTCTTTTTGGACCAAATAATAGGGATTATCCGAATTTTCCACGATCTCATACAAAGTGGCACGGTCCTCTGGTGGAGGTGTTCGTCCCATCGGTATAGAAAATACACGTCCAAAAATGGAAAGGCACATATACTTACGAAGATACGTCGAATCACGACAGACCTGAGAGCATGAGCCCCCTTTTACACATTACAGTGTAATCTCAGTACCTAGATCATATTGCTCATGGGCGGCACGGCAAGTGATGAATTAGTTGAGGATTTATTAGCAAATGCGGGACTTTTGGCCCACTACAACCAATCTGATTCCTCGAGGGTCCCCGACACGGCACATTTATGCCAGCCTTACCTAAATAAGCAAGTTCTAACTTTAAGAGGTTGTCAGAGTGTCTCTAAAATCGACCTATTGAAATTTACTCCATGGATTTCGTCTTTAGGGGGCGCTTGAATGCATACTTCCGCTTTTGGATGGGGAAGTTCGCTTTGCAGTCACCGCGATGCCGTGTCCATCTCAAGCAGCTCATTCATACAATGCATGGTGTACAAGTGTTTATTATACAAGAATGTAGCATTCGTCATTTAATGAAGAGGTTCCGGGTCAAAGCCCTGGCATGTCTTGCTCTTTTGTGGGCTGGGGTAAAGGAGATGCATGTGCCTTAAATTGCGATTGGCGCAGTATCTGGCGATAGACGAGAGAACCGAACTTCTCCGTACGGGGCTTTATCGAGATCTTTGTATTCAGAAATAGACTAAGCCCGAGTAAAAGGCCACTCATCCGACAGGTACCGTAAGCTATAGTTCATTGGTTGATCTGGAAGTTTCTTACCGAAGATCTCATCTCGCATCGAACTAAGTGGGGACAGAGATCCATCTAATAACGCCTCTTTCCAGAACGTCGGATAGGAAACCCACAACTTCAGCTCACCACTACATACTACCTCGTTGGTAATCTGGTTCCAGTCGATCTTTTTCTTCATGCAGTTCTAGCGATGGATATAGGTGGGATCTTAATCCCTCGAAAGACCCGGCACCGCCGAAAATCGTTTCCATACCAGCATTATACCTCCACCTTGACCTTATTACGATTCCACAATCACGACCAGCAGATGATCACGTCTGTGGATTGATGGAGCCAAGAGAAAGAATTTGAAATCCCCCATTGCGCTAGGAGAGAGTACCGAGTACAAAAGGGTACACCCCTTCCAGGCACTATGTAGTCCAGAAATATTTTGTTTTTTACTCCAATTTCTCTTCCCAGTATATCAAAATGAAGTTCTCTGCTGTCCTTCCTTTCATCGCTGCCGCTTCGGCCTCTTGCCTTCGTGGCACCTCCCTTATGCCCCGTGCCGCTGATGGCACCGTTGAGGCTAACTCCTTCAACTACACCAACCTCGGTGGCCCTCTGAACTGGTACGGTTTGGACAGCGCCAACAGCGCTTGCTCCACCGGCAAGTTCCAGTCTCCCATCAACATTGAGACTGACGAGATCTCCTACGCTGCCGCCAACTCGGTTCACTTCCACGTCCCCAAGGCCGACAATGCTAAGTTCGAGAACCTTGGCTCCGGCCTCGAGGTTGTTCTGACCAACGGTACTCTGTCTGCCAACGGCACCTCGTACAAGCTTGCTCAGTTCCACTTCCACACTCCTAGCGAGCACCGCATCAACAACGAGTACTACCCCATGGAGGTTCACTTCGTCTTCGAGAACACTGGTATGTCTATCCACATATCTAAACCAAATCAAAAACTAACACTTCTCTAGCTGGTGCCATTGCTGTTGTTGGCTTTGTCTTCGAGCTCTCCCAGTTCGGTTACTCCACTCCTCTCTTCGACTCTGTCTTCGCTCACATCGATGACATTGCCACCCCTGGTACCTACACCAAGACCGACCAGCTGGACTTCTCTGGCCTGACCCAGCACCTGAACTCCCACGGTATCTACCAGTACTCCGGCTCTCTGACCACCCCTCCTTGCTCCGAGAGCGTTGCCTGGTTCCTGAGCACCGAGCCCCTCCCCCTGAACGTCCAGAGCTACAACGCTGTCAAGCACATTCTGAAGTACAACGCTCGTTACACCCAGAACGCCCTTGGCCAGGACAACCTTCTGGAGGTTGCCGCTAAGGAGCTGAACTAAGTTCTCGTTTCTACGAGCTACCATTCTAAAAGTTGATGATTGGAGTTGGCGATTTGGAGATTGTTGCCGTGTTGATAAGAAAGGCTGAAAGCTGTATATACAATAATTCATAATACAAAGAGTGTCAATGTCAATTGATGCTACAAGCAAATTTCCCAATTCGGTTTCCGTAATTTGCGCCTTGTGGATCCGCCTATGTCCAAACCACGGCACATATCTCGCCAATGAGATTCCGTTAGAGCGCTCATACCTCGATATTATGAAGGGACCCCTATTATTTCGGGGCGGATGGTCAATATTTCGTAAAAAAAACGTAAAAAATCCCGAGCGCGTGGTTGATGCCAAGCGCGCCGAAGCTTTAGCCCAGAATTCTTCGCGATTCAAAGTGGAGACTCCACGGACTTGGCCGGAATTATCCCCCTGGATCGAATCCTGCGCACATTCATCGGCCCTTTTGTGCAGTCGTGTGTATTCATGGCATAGAATGGTGACTAGATCTGGGGAAGTCACAAAGTGGAGGTCGATAGGGATTTTAATATGGTCGGGGCATTTTGGTTTGTTTTTTTAAGGTAGAAAAATCCTTATATGTCCACACACCTTATTAATATCATATGCTCGTTTACGAGATTAAAATTGCACGTCTTATAATGGAAATGGATCCCGTTCTTTCCCAGAAGGCAGTGGAGTGTACTCCGAACTCCGTATACCAATACACCTGGCGTTGTGCACGAGCATGTGCATACTCAGGCTCTACATACTGTACATACTGTAAATGTATTGTATGAAGTTTACAGGCGCTTCACCGCCTGCATCTGTGGGGCAGACGCGACGCGGTAAAACCCGCCACCTAGGCAGATTCCAATGTGTGCCTGAGTCTATATAAAGGCTATCTCTGAGGAATCAATAAAGTTAAATAGTATTCAGTCGACTTATATATCATGTTTTGACTTCATCCAGGAACCTCAAGTTGAAGATGCCTGGAAAGACATATATAAAGATACTAAGATAATATTAGACTATAATTGTCTCCAGTGATGCCTGACATTAGAACTGTTCCAATTTTACTCTTGCTATATCCGAGTTAGTACCTCTCACAATATCAAGCCTTATCCCTCGTTAATCTTCTGTCATTCTTGGATCATCGTGTCTCTGTTGGACTCCTCAACTTTGGACGAGATGCGATTTCCATTGAAAATTCGAATATACTCCAGCAGACCAGCCGGAAGAAGACCCTAATATACATCATACACTTTCAAAATTAGTCCACTACGGGCTTATCGACCGAACCGTCAATGCCAAACCGTCCTTTAGGCAGAAGGTTACGTGGGATGGGCTAGTTACCAAGCATGAAACCTCGAGTCCGATGATCGACACAGTGAGAATCCACAGATTGGAGCAAACATTCTGTACAAACCAGCTCCAAATCCGAGACAAAATACGAAATGATGATTCGGAAGAACAAGATCCTGGGTTATATCATACTTGGCCTATCATAGACACTCGCTTCTTACGACACTCCTACCAAGCTGCTCAAGAGACCATAGAGGACCACAACAACTGTGGACTTTTCAGCGACTACATGGAATTTAAGCGACACGCATCTCGATTAGATAGTCTTTTCCCCGAAAGCGGCTCAGAAAAGAATCCAATTCTTCACGAAGCCCGGGATGATCTGCAACTTCTGAGAAAGACTCTATCTAATAGAATAATCCAGATGTCCTCAAGGCCCTCTTTGGAAACCGCTCAAAACCGCACTTCTGTCTTTTCTTCGAGATATTTCCAGCTAAGTGGGAGAAGTCTTCGCGGAAAAGAGGCATTGCAAAACTTAGCAGCATTTAACTCGACCACACGACTCGATTTGAGAGAATATATGCACGATATCTCAGATGTGAGTGACCATGATAGCAGAACAGAAGTCATCAGTAAGTTTGATGAAACACAAGACGACAAATATTCCGATTCCTATATCGAAAGCGAGCGACGCGACTCTACTTTCGTTCTTTCTGAAGCTACTGCGCCAAATATTCAGGTTGAAAATCGTCCCGTTGAACTTCTTCGTCTTCAATTTGCAGATACAATCACCACCGCCTCGCAATATGTCTCTGAAATAGTGTTTTCTGCTGAGGACCACTCGGTTTTAAATACTGGAACATGGTTGGTGTCTGAAATTGACGAAGTACAGACAGTGTACTCAGATGCTTTCACTCTGAGGGGATCTCTGAGGGACGTTTATATTGACGAGCTGGTCCATGAAATAATCAAAGATATTTCGGGTGAACAATTGAGCTCATCATATGCACGCCGTATTGCAGATGCCATGCCCGATTACCTGAAAGCTTTTTCATTGAGACTTGGGTCTGTCAAATCATCGCAGCAAGAACACAGAGACGTTACTGCATCCATTCGAAAGTATAGACAATGAGTTGAAGAAACCAATATTTAGATTGAGCAGTATTTCTGACAAGAGCCCTAAGAGAAATATCCGATGAAATCATGAGCGCGATACTAGATGATTCGCCTCCGCATGCAGCCCCGGATGATGCACCTACATCATGGGAGACGCGGGCAGGCTCCAACATGCCGCTACACGATATCATGGAGCAGTGGTCAAAGTATGAAGTAGAAGAAACTAATGATGACGCATGGGGCCAACCGAATGAGAATTTGGATGAGGGAGATGATGATCCCTCAGATGATGCGGAGAGCTTCAATATGAATCCAATCGAAGAGACTGATACGGATGAAACCCTCAGTACTACGATGCCAGCACTTGTAAAATACCGCGAATTTATTGTTGGAAACCCCGCCTACGACTGGTTTCTTAAGGATATCCATAAGCACTCCCATCTTGTTCCATCAAGTCCAGATATAAGCGCGGAAATTCGAAAAACCATCTTGCAAGCTCTACCTTCACAGACCACCTTCAGCAGGCGGGAGCCCGTCAATTTGTATAAGATGACCTACAGTATGGACTGGGACTTGATCTCGTTTTTGAAGGAACAGGAATACAATGAAGAAAATTACCGGGCGCTTCCGTTGGTTATCACGTTGACAGGTTCTCGGGAAGCAGCCCAGGCGCTTACATGTTCCCAATATCTCCATCAGACATGGCCATCTTCTGCAGGTGAAGTACTCAAGACACTTCAGACAGTCTTGCAAAAGAGCAAAGCTGCAGGTATGTTTTATCATTATCTCTCCCAAAAAGCCAATTGATAAAAGTGAGTTCTGTCTCTTTAGGTGATCTCCCCGACGGCACAAAACTTGCTGCCTGGTTACAGTCGTCTAACACATCAACGGAGCAAAATATTAAGGTTGAGACAATAGGCTCCGCTTATTTAGTCGCTGAGATTGGAGAGCTACTCTCATGGCTGGGATCCGCTCTACGCACTTCGCCACATAAAGATCAAATTGCGTACTGTCGACCTCGAGTTGCCCAATTCCAGACCATTGTTCATAATCATGAAAAGTCAAAACACGAATACGCTGCAGAGATCAGCGCAGGAATCTCTTTCACGATTGAGAAAAAGAGACAGATCTCTAATATTAATAGGGAATGTTGGCATAGTCTCTTCCGAAACAGTATTGTGGTTGAAGGTTATACAATATCCCGACAAACTAAAGATGGTGCTGTCAATAGTCTTGAAATCTCTGTTAGAATAATAGCTTCGCTTGCACAAGCAAAATACTTAAACACTTTCCTGGGAACACCAATCCTCAAAGGCTTCTCTTCTATGCTTGTTCCCACTGGTGTGCACGATGATGCTATTTCTTGGCATTTAGTCCACAATAAAAATGGTGATCAAATATCATACCTTAACAACACTATCACCTCTGCGAAAGGCCTTGTGGGTGGGCGATGATCGCAGACACACCATATTCTTGGCTGGTACTCAGGTGCAAGATACTTGGCTGGTACAATATAATATTCCAGCCAAATAAAACAGGAACTGACAATGTCGTTTCATTCTAGGAACAAAAGACACCAAGTATGATTTAGCGGGATCTCGGCTTCCAAAACCACGCAACAATAGAATATACAGTCAGACTTTTATTACCAGTGGCCAGATAGTTACAGGTTGCTCGCCTTTTCTGGTTGGCTACAAAGACACCCCTTTTCACGTGTCCCGTGCTAGATACATTAGAAAGCTGAAGTGGATTATCCAAAAGTTGGTCGTTCTCTGGGATGAAGAGACAAAGCAAGGGTGGCTGTTGAACGGAGCTAGCGCTCTATCACATCTTATACTTGCTTCCATAGTGCAAGATACCACAGATCCCCTCATCTCGGAGTGTCTTTTTCAATGGGATAAATTAGAAGAAGGCCCTTCTAATAGCGCACACATACCTGGATCCGCTATCGCATTGCTTCTAAACCACAACAACCGGGCCTTAGCAATCTACAACAGCAAAGATAAACATATCAAGTTTGAGAACAGAGCGGAGCATTTCCTCAACATACTTGAGCAAATATTCGATTATAAAGTGTATACTGTAGGGCCAGATGGCGATGGGTACACCTCAAAGTCTATTCCTCGGGCGCATTTCGAAGGTTGGGACTTCCACGACCTTGCCACCGAATCAGATCCACTATACCCCCGGCTAGCGAAGATGGCATCAAAGGGTAAGGCGTGGATCGATTTTACGCGGTCTATTCACGCGATCAATCTTTTGGGCCGTGGATTCGGGGAGATATTAGAACCGTTAAACTCTTCTTGCTCTCACTGGGCCTCCCTTCCCAAGGACCAATATTACCTGGCTGCTGGGATCGCAGATCTACAGAATATTGTTGAGTATACCGGTGATCTGACGGCGAATCCAATTAGGCTCAGTGAAGATCTAGTATGGCACAACCCAGAACACATCTTTGATTTCTGTGGGTGCGTGGATGCGACCGCGAATCACGCGGATGTAGTCCAGGTAATTCTACCAGCGACACTATCAGATGGTGAAGACCAATACAGCAATTCCATCGATCTTTATCATACTGGAGCGGTCGTGTTTGGGTCTTTTTGGGTCTTCCCGGGATTTCCAATGGCGATGGGGTGATTCTGGGGATCCCGAAAGAGACGATATCCAAGCCGATGAGCAAGAGTATCTTTCTTCAACATACGATCTTGGGCCCGACAACAGCAACACAAGTTCAATCGGCTCTAAGAGCGATCTTGCCCGATTATCCAGCATTGAGGCGCCTTCAACAGAAGATACCATTCCCACTTCTTGTGCCGAGGATGAGGGTACACAACCAAAGCCTCTAGCCAGATCATACACTCATTGGAACCTGGCATCACTAAGAGCCGAAGACTACGCTGTTGGTATTGTATGTGCACTTCCATTGGAGCTTTTGGCTGTTCGAGCTTTATTCGACCAAACACACCCGACGATCGAACTGTCAGCCGCACACTCAAATCACTACGCACTTGGTAGCATGGGTCGACACAGGGTTGTCGCTGCGTGTTTACCTGACGGCGAATACGGCACAAACTCTGCCGCAGATGTCGCTTCGAACTTACGAAGAAGCTTCCCTTCTGTAAAGTTCTGTTTACTCGTGGGTATCGGTGGCGGTGTTCCATCACCCACGAACGATATTCGTCTAGGCGACGTGGTGGTGAGCAAGCCAATTGGCATGAATCCCGGGGTAATTCAATACGATATGGGCAAGGCCCTAAGAAGTGGCGTCTTTGAACAAAACGGAGTTCTCTATGCTCCTCCCCACATGATTATGACTGCTTTAAGCAGCTTGAAATCCGACCCACATCTTCCTGAGAATCCGCTACAGGAGTACATCGACGAAATCGCAGCATGGAGGAAAGAGAGCAATGTTCTTTGTTTTGATATGGAGGCAGCTGGCATTATGAACACTCTACCTTGCTTGGTTATCCGAGGGATCTGTGACTATTCGGATAGTCATAAGAATAAGGTGTTTCAGGAGTATGCGGCAGCAACTGCTGCATCTTATGCCAAGCTACTTCTTTCTTATATTAAATATACTAATGAGATGGACGGAATGGCGTCGAGGTCAATTAAAGATGACCAGAGTCTTTTGGGTGCTTTCCGGAGGGCATTGACCTTTCTACCGATGCGTGGAGCTTGATTTTCGCTTCCAAGGTTCACAAGATTACAAAGCGTCCAAGTGTTAATTCGAGCTAAATTCTCCATTGTGCAGATATGAATAAATTTAATGCATATGCTATTTAATCACTTCGCTGACTATCGTATTGACTCAATATTTTTAGCTAGTGGCATATTTGGCAGCCACAATATTAGCCTGCACAGAGTTCTCAACATCATCGGTCGGGTATCCCGACGTCATGACACCCTCGTAGAAAGTTCCCTGGGCACCATTGCTGTTGTCACCACCAATACCCAAAATGATAGCACCCTCCTTAAGCATGGGGTTGTAGCCCGATGGGCGCGCACCGCTATAGTAGGTAGACAGATCGCCTGTGGTAGCATCACCACCACGAATGGCCCATTCATTCGATTCTCCCTTTAGAACGGCGGTAAAGAATCGCGCAGTGATAGAGGGATCACCACTGTTGTATGTAGCACTCTCCCCAGAAAACAATCCGTTCTCCATATCAGCCATGAGCCATGGCCCGCTACCGGCACCGGTACCCCAGCCCTTGTTGTTACCAAAGTAGATAGCCTCCATGTGGCCCGCACCGGTATCGTCGTTGCTAGTCTCGGCATTTCCGTAATCAAAGCAGCATTGGTCGTTGTAGTCTGTTCCATCCACCACGGCATAGAGGCCCTCTGCTGCATCACCAGTAGCTATATTCACGGCATTGTCGTTGCGGTAGCCGTTACCCGGCACGATCTTAACACCGTATGCAGCTTGGCCATTAAGTGTAATTGGGGCCGCAGTGGCATCAGACAGGCTGTCGTAGCCGCCGGATTCGGGACCTTCTGCTGCACCGCCAGGTGGAGCTTGACTGAGGTCATTGCCGTTGCCAGATTGGTCATAGATGATTGTGATGTTGCATGTTGTGCTGGCACAGAAAGTGTCTTGGCTAGCTGCGTCGGCAACACCGCCAGCAGTCAGAGGTGCGATGTCTATAGTTGTGCCGTCAGACGTGCGAGACACTTGGTACAATGAACCATCGAAATCGTCAAACAGGGCACGGGTGGTGCTGTGTGCCGCGACGCAGGGTGTGTCACCGGCAGCGTAAATATCACAAGGTCCAGCAGCCACGAGAGTACCTGTGGCTACGAGTGCGAGAGTGACACGCAGTGGAGTGAAAGACATCGTGACTGTCGAGGATCGCTTTGACGAGGAGCAATGTAATTGAATGCACCTAGGCTCTTCAGTTCGATGATGAGAATAACCAATTTTTAGGGGAACAGAACAGCTTTATATAGTTTTATGCTGCATGGTACCTTGCTTTCGTCGATGTGACCTTCGGAGATCTCCATATAATCTTTCCTTTCTAAGAAGTGTAAGATTCACAGCAGCAGACCCGAAACAAATGTGCAGAATGAAGACATCATCCACTTTGCCCCACAATTCCCACTATTCCTGCTGATGTTTCTCTTCAAATGGCGCATTCCCCACGGGGTTGAGGATATACCCGACGCTCAAAGGGTCGCAATACCATGCAGAATGACCAATAGAGAGAGAACCTATTAGCCGAAAAGTACAGTATCGGTTATTAGCGAGCATGCTCAAAGTTGAGGTTTTGCCAATAGTGGAGCTTTGATATATTAGTATATACGTCATCAGTCAATGTCCTACATTAGCTTAAGTGCACTAAGATTCCAAGGCTCTATAAGGAGCTTTACATTTAGTGCAGGCCCGAGCTACGCCTCCAACGCCTCTAGCGAGAATCCCATGCTTAAATATCGCCCAAGTACGCCCACATATCGATGACCCGCTGTCCCCGGAATCGCTAAGAATTCCACTTTTCCACAAACAACCCTCATGGATCACGCATTGTATGATGTTTTCTTCCAAGAACAAAGCATCTTGTCTGCTGATTCAGTTAATACAGTATTCTAAGCTCTGAATCAAACTGACCATTTAGGTCCATTACTCCGCAGGAATGTTTCCAGCCTTGGTGAAGATTGACCAAAGTGCGGGGAGAGATCGACACGGCTTCCTTGAAAAGCCTCCACCGCCTACCAATAACGCTAAGACATGACCATATAGTTCAATGGAAAAAGCAGGTTCCATCGGAAATAATTTACGCACTAAGGATATGCACCGTGGTGTCTTACATGGTATGGCCGTAGTTTTGCCGACAGATTTCGGTTTTTGCGAGTATAAGCATGACCAAACCCCGCCTCTGCAGCCCAAGTGATCGACAAAGATACTCCCAACCTTGGAAAATCTCCTACGGGGAACGGGAATGACCGCTCACTCTGTGTTAAGCTCGGAGTTTTTCTTTTCGAGATTACGGGATTGATTGATGAATGGATAATTATCTCCTGATCAAATATTCTTGGCTGGTATTGCCAAGAAGAAGGTCGGTCTCGCAGGTTCCAGTTAAAACGATTATAAAAGCATCTATGACTAGAAGTTTTATTGAAATCATACAAAAATCTTGTGCTAGAGCAAATTGATAGCTCTCCTTGACCAACTAGGGGAGCTCCATGGCCATTTACCTATTGTGTTTACATTTCAATCATCCTTGCATCAAGCAACTTGAACGTATCCGGCCACCTGACGATAGCTCCAGCTTCAGATGCTATATTGTTTTTACATTAATCTTCGCAATGTTCAACAGTCTCTTCAAGTTGCCGATGAAAAGTAGAACCAAAAAATCGAGAAAAATACAATGGTGTGTGCTTGAAGACTCGGACTTAGGGATTGACCTCGGGCAGCCGCCATCCAATTGATTTCTGCTCATTTTCAGCGTAAACTTCAGCAGAACGATCGGATTGAATGGTGGAATATACATTTACAAGCTCATTTAAGCCTGATGTAAAGAAAAAAAAATTATCGTATAAGAAAATGAAAAGAAAAGACCAGGTTGGGATGCTAATATGTAGCAATTAATCTAGAATACCTGCCACGAAAGTACCTGGGCAGGCTTTTTGGTCCAGTGGAACTATCCAACACAAGCTACGTGCTGATTCTTATCACAGGTTTAGTAAATTGTGCAAAAATGAATATTTCATGTGGAATATATCCATCACTTTGCCCGGGTGGACGTATCTTAGCGCCAAGAGCTGATGGAAGTAAGCGAGATCACAAGTCAACTTGAAATCTTCATGGCTTCAAATGATAGATAGAGATAGTATAATGACGGCAATCACGGAAATATAGTATAAACTCAAACTTTCTATACGAAGTTACGAAACAACATTCCCGACACGCGAATCTTCATGATGCAAAGACCTCCTGAGGGTCTGACGCGATCTTCGCTTAGATGATCCGAGATAAGCTGCCAAGAACGGTGGGGCTCGACGCCGATCACAGCTGAAAGCTGCTTCATCCCTTGCGACAAATTCTTGCGACCGAGTGCAACGCGACGCGTACAGGAGACCTGCAGCCCACACAATATGACTGGAGCTGGGATTGATGTAAACGAACTTCAATCCAATCCCCGTTACCTTTTACGGCAGCCACGCGCCCTACAATGGTTCGAAAATGGTCGGTTAGTGAAGCGCAATGAGGAGGAGCGACAAGCAGGTACGATTTTTGCATCGGCGCGCATGCGCGAGTCCAAAGCGTGTACTGATGTGTGTATGGATGGATTCTGTAGGGCGGTTCGAACTTTTTCTGGATTTGCTTTATGTTGCGATTCTGTCTAATTTTGCGGATACGCTTGTCGAGGATATCACTGGCGCAAAGCTTGCGAAGTACTTTGTAGGAGCTTTATGAACAAGCCATGAGATTGGGCGTGTAGTTAACTTCTGGTTACTTTTTAGCTGATCCTTGCGCCATCATGGCATGTCTGGAGCGATCTGCGCGAAGTGATGAACTCATTTTATAATGACGACTTGCTCCAACGTGTGCTCATTCTATGGATCATGGCCTTGATGGTTATGTACGGTAACAACGCTCCACTGGTAGATGAAGATATCTCAGCAATGCGCGCTGCTGTGGGATCATACATGGTTGCGCGAGTTTCCTTGGCCGCCGCCCATGTCTTCAACTCTTTCGCCAGTTACCAACACCGACCGCAACAGCGACTATGGGCAGGCTTGTCAATTGTCATCCTCTGCGTGTACATTCCACTTTATTTCGAATCGGTATCTATTCGGGGTAAAATCGCCGCCGCCGCTATCGCTGTCGTCCTCGAAGAGATCAGCTGGATATTCTGCTATTGCCCTCTGGCAAAGAAGATGCTAAACGTCAAGTACTCAACAGCGGTGGATATTCCGCACGAGGTGGACCGATTCGCAGCCTTTTATATTATTGCACTTGGCGAGTTTCTGTATCTCATTGTTGTTGGAAATCATGCGGCTGTTGGATTCAACGAACGTCTTTTGCGTGCTATTTGGACATTGATTATTGCTTTTTGTTTGAATTGGCTATATGTGCACGCTGATGGTTCTATCGACACGGCACATCCTCTTAGACACAACATTTATACGGCATTTGCTTTTGCGCTCGTCCATCTCCCTCTGATTGCTAGTCTGTTGGCCGGTGGTCATGTCGCGGCCGCATCGGTGGAGGAAGAGGACTTCGAGGATGCGCAGCGGTGGCTATTGTGCGGGGGCTTGGGTGTTGGTATGCTCATGCTGTACGCATTTGCGTTACTTCATGGCTCGAAAGATGAACATGGGGCCCTATGTGTTGAAAAGGTATGCTGAAGCTCAGGTCCAGCCTAATCTTTTCAGTCCGCTGATAGATATTCTTATAGCCATACCGTCTGGTAATGCGCCCTGTTACAGGTATCATTATGATTCTTCTCCCCTTGGCCCACCACCTCGATGCTACTGCAATCCTCTCGATTATAATGGCTTTGTTTGTATTTTGTACCATCTGGGAGAGCGTCACATCCCTGAAAGGTGGTGCTCATTTCTGGGAGCCATGGACTGAAACGAATTATCCCGACGGCTGCGAACGCCCTCGTCGGTCATCGAAAAAAGACACCGAGGTGGCCACTCCAAATGCTGAGCTTTAACGATCTATGCTGTATCAAATCAGGGATGTTGATATTTGAACGACCTTTGTTATTATTTCATTTATATCTACTACGTGAGTTTCTGTTTAATACTAATCTGATTGAACATATATCATTTGTCTATGCGCATCTATTTATGAAATATTGTCAAAAGAAAATGATCTAAAATATGCTTTATGATCAATGCACCATGTTCATGTTCATCCTCATATCTCCCTCAAACAATCGATTGCTCAACCTTCAAATCACCCGTCGCTTGAGTCTCCGATCGACTCATAGTAGGATTGCGACTGAAATCTCTCAACCGACGACGTTCACCAACAGGTTGCTCGCCTTTCTTCACCTCCTTGAATGCCTTGCGACGGAAATACACCCTTTTGCACCACTTCCAAGTCTCAATACCAAGGAAAAAGAGAACTGTCTCAACAAAAACAACACCCCATTCCCATGAAATCGAAGAATGTTTGAAAACACTGTGGTTGATAACAGGGATATAGAGAATCGGGAACGCAAGTACAAATCCAGTCATAATACCGTAGAACAGGAATTGGTTGCGCCAGATATCATGCATCCATTGCGTGAAGTAGAGCTTGGACTCAGGCTGCATGCGGAAGAAGCTTCGGCGCAGATCGATCATTTCCCAGGCGAGGAAGAGCGCAAACCAGGTCATGCAGGTAAAAGTTGTTGCGCGGGCACGGAAGACGGTGTCGCAGGTATAAGGCTTGCTTGGGTCATTATACTGCGTGTTGCAGCCTTCTCCGAGGTTACCGTCTCCCCATCGGAACATTACCAGGGCAAAGGCTGAAAGACAAAGTGCTGCCATCCACACGCCATATACCAGAGTGTCTATGATCACCTCCCAAGTGAAGATACCTTGTTTCTATATTCGAAGGTTAGCAGCTATACATGGAGTAATGAGTTTGAAGGTGTCGGGAGATACATACACTTTGTGGTGGCCGATCCATCACATCTGGAGCCGCTCGCTCCATTCCCAGTCCCATATCTGGAAGACCAGAAGTGATCATGATAATCCAGATAATTTCCACGGGGGAAATAGGGAAGACAGATTGGTTCGTCTCATCTTTGAATGCAAGTCCAATAAGCAATGTTAAGGCGAGTGCCACGTTCTCCGCGAGGAGATGAAGGACGAATTTCTGGATATTGTCAAAGATGCGACGTCCCTCCTCAATACCGTTAATAATGGATGCAAAATTATCATCCGTGAGAACAAGCTCAGATGCATCCTTTGCAACATCCGAGCCATTTTGTCCCATGGCAATACCGACATCAGCACGTTTCAGCGAAGGAGAGTCGTTTACTCCATCACCTGTCATGGCAACGTAACGACCACGACGATGCAGCGCCTCGATCATGCGGACCTTGGTGTTTGGTGCGCAGCGAGCAATTACAAGTGGCAGGGTAGGAAGATTGTCAATTTCATCTTCTGAGAGTTTATCGAATTCACCAGCCGTCATGACCATTGCGTCCGCAACATCCTTTGCAATCGTATCCATGTTCGCTGGAATAATTCCAACTTGGGCGGCGATTGCGCGTGCTGTTCCGGGATGATCGCCAGTGACCATGTGGACAGAGATTCCTGCCTTGTAGCATTGGCTGATGGCTCCGGCTGTTTCGGGGCGCGGAGGATCATACAGGCCGATAAGTCCGTAAAAAACAAGGTCCTGTTCAATTTCTTCCCGAGGAGGAACTTCGTCACTCTTCGAAGTTGAGGCAGGGTTATATTCTCGACCGGCCAGGGCAAGAACTCGAAGGCCTTCCTTTGCAAGGGCTTCCATGTTCTCTAGGATTTCATCCCTAATATCGTCATCCAAAGATACTGGAGTTGAACCGGACTTCCATGTGATAGTAGTGCAGGACTCGAGAACTCTCTCGACGGCACCCTTCGTGAAGATCATCTCAGATTCCTCCTTGGCAAATATGACTGACATCTTCTTGACGCTAGAGTCAAAGGGATATTCAGCCTTTTGTCGCCAAATCGGCTTTTCACCCTTAATCCAACGATCGGATCCCCAATCAAAGCGAGACGCAAATACTTGGATGGCAATATCAGTCGGCTCTCCACGGGCTTGCCATTCATCACTAGGTGTCTTGTGGATATGGGCTAGATTAGCCAGCGCCGCGACATCAAGAAATGACTTCAAATGATCATTCCCTTCCAGCAGGTCTGCAGGGCTTTTAGATTGACCTTTATTGAAATCATTTCCCAGTTTCAATGGAGACTCTGGCTCAAGGCCCAGATCACCTTCATAAGGATTAATTGGATCGTTCGATGGCCCAACAGAATACGTTCCGACAGAAGGGATCCAAGCACGCTTAGCGACCATCCGGCCCTGAGTCAAGGTACCAGTTTTATCAGAGCAGATATTAGTTACCGCACCAAGAGCCTCCAAAGAGTCAAGCTTGCGAACGATAACATGTCTCTGTACCATCTGCCTCGTTCCAACAGCCATAGTAATAGTCAAGACAACGACCAAACATGCCGGAATCATAGCCAGTCCAGTTGCAACTGCATAAATAATGACTTCGTTATCACCGCGCCAGTTATTAGCGGCAGCGACCACGATCGCAAAGACGACTGCAATTCCAAATAGAAGCAAAGCTAACTTCGACAGTTTTCTCTGCAGCGGTGTTCCGACATTGATGCCTAAGAACCGACCGATCGCATCTGTGGTAGTCAGGGTCCAGGCTTCGATGTACCAGCGCTTTTTGGTTTCTCCTTCTGGTCCACGCTTAACTGGGCGACGTTTTGAATCTCCTCCGCGCAGGGCTGCGGCAATAGCACCGATTTCTGTCTGCATTCCGGTACTGACTACGACACCTCTGGCACGTCCGCGGGTCACGGTTGAGGAGCTGTATGCGATGTTAAGACGATCTCCGGGCCCAGTGTCAGCGTCGAAAGTGGATTCTGATTCTTTTAGAACCGGCAAGGACTCGCCCGTTAAGAGAGCTTCGTCGGTTTCGAAGTTGAAAGCTTCAACCAGTCTGTGAACGATTAGTATCGACTGCATCTTGGAATTTACTTTAGATTCGGGGTCATCTCACCTTAAATCTGCGGGAACGGTATCGCCGACTTTCAACTCTACCATGTCACCGGGTACAATTTCGTTTGAAGGGACAGTGGCGGTTTTTCCATCGCGGGTCACAACACCAGTGGGAGAGCTCAGGGAACGAAGAGAGTCCATAGTTTTCTCAGCTGCGAAATCCTGATAAACACCAACGAAGACGTTGAGTGCGATCACTGCTGCGATAAATCCACCTTCGATCCACGACTGAATACCAAAACTAACTGCCATGGCGATGATGAGGATCTAAGAATAAGTCAGTACATTGTCATATCTGATGAAAAGATCAGCGAACACAAAGAAACTTACGAGCATCATTGCATTGGCAACTTGTCGAATGATGATTTTTGCAAATGAGACGCCCTCGCCTCCTTCCAGAATATTCTCGCCATATTTATCAATTCTTTGTTTCGCTTCGGTCGCTGTAAGGCCATCGTCTGAGTTTGTTCCTAGCTCGTTGATGACAGCTTCACATGTCAAGTAGTGTGGGGGGTTGGATAGGTAAGGGTGGCTAGGCGCGTCACCCGATACTTGGGTCTTCTCTGAAGACATTGAGCTGGGGATGACCTAGTAGATACTGTTTCTGTATCGAGTTCGGTTGTTGTTGTATGTGTACTTCTATAAGATATGTTCTTTCAAGGTGGTGTCATATAGAAAGTATCCTCCACAGAGTGTGAGTCCATACACTAGTGTAGTAAACCTGGAGAATACAATTCTTTCAATGGAATGAGTATGAATCTAGACTATATTCTTGATTCTTGTAAAGTACACTCAATTACAATTCTTAGATCCTCTCGCTTGAATCCGGGGCAACCCCTCCTTATATAACTCCCCCTCTCGGGATAATGGCAAATTCTCCCCCGAACGTCCAGATCCACAGGCACTCTGCTCCGAATCTCAGATATCGTTCCAGCGTGGAATCTGGGGAACGCCAATATAGCCAACCAATAAGATTCACCAACCAAACTTGACTATATAGCGGACGACCTTGGCGTTCTTTTCGCGGAAAACGCCGAGACCGCAATGACGCACACGACTGGTCTCGGCGCCGGTTCGGTCACAGTTAGCCACCGCGTGGTGATTGGTAGAGCGGAACGCCAAGAGCGGGATTCCGGGCGTCGGTCTAGGCAATGTCTCCGCGCTTGATAGCTCCAACGCCTGGCGGTAATGTGTCATTCTTGGCTCATCTTGGACGCTTCTTGGCGTGCTGCACAATGCGAGGTCTGAGTGCCCACTGCAGAGTTCAAATCTGGTCTCTTTTCCCGCGAGGTTCTGAGATTTTGTTCTAAGTCTCCCCGTTTATACCGGTTGCACGGTGGCAAATTCGATTCAGTGATAATTGTTCCTTTACCGATGCTCCTTTTCGTTAAGAATACTGGATATGTGCTCACTTTAGCGCTACCTTGACTTTTCCGACCGACTGGCATTGTATTGCTCCTGTGAGCAAATCCGGGGCTAGCAGGAAGTTTCTCATTGGATTACTCCTTTCTCCTTCCTGGAGTGTTCTGCTCGTATTGCGACTTCATCTTCCTTGATCCAGGGACCTGGGCACATGCTTCCCCACTATGGTGGAGGAATCTATGCCTCGGGGGGAGATAGTCGGTATCGTTATCGGCGCTGTGGCCCTCTTTTCCTTGATCAGTTTCCTTCCAATGTGAGTATTTTTAGTATGGCCAAGACTTGGCTACATCACACTCATGCACAGAATTACTATGGAAGCTTTCAGAAGTGACTAACCAACCATCTTATCTGCTCAGGGCAATCATGTGGCAACATCGACGACGAGCTGCTTCCAGGCATGCCAGCGAAAGTCTACATCTCACTTCATCTATGGAGCAAGTCTCCGTCGAAAGATGGCTAGAGCAACAGAATGTGCCCGGTGACACTGCTCTTTACTGCCAGGACATGTGGTAGGTGTTTATTATTTACTTTCTACTCCCACCTTCCCGTCTTAACCGTGCCTATGTCTTGGCCCGAGGGGTCGTGATACACTGCGGGGAATGCCCAGGGCTGGGCCATGGATCCTCCTGCCCTATAGGGTCATTTTGAATCACGACTATCTTGGTTCCTCTCTGGGCACTTAACAACTGGACCCTTGCTTACGTCTCCTCCCATATTGTTATCTCTCTTGGCAAACTTGTCCTCGAGCCTTGTCTTGGCCTGACACTGACTCTACTGAATATGTGCTAACATTCTCTCAGTGCAATATGTCTGTCTTCTCTTTCTTCCTCGCCTTATCCATCTTCACCCGAGCCTGCACATCTACCTCACGGCAAACGCAAACATAGTCCCAACAAACCAAAACGAAATATCAAATCTGATTCTCAGCATAACGAGAACTGTATACTTGTTCTCAGTCGATGTCACCACGCCTTCCATCTCACCTGTCTTACATCTTGGGTTGAATACCGACACTACAAATGTCCAATATGTAAAACCTCATATTTCCCAGATGAAATAGCATGAAGGCCTCGTAGACTAGGAATGTCCAAACATATCCCTCATAGCATCTTAATGTTATTTATATTTAAATGATAAACGAAACTTTTCACCTCTCATCATCCTGCGCCTCCTCTCTTTCCACCCACCACCTGGTCCCGCCCGAAGACCCCATTCTTCGGCACCAAAGCCTCCTCAACCTGAACAGAACTTATCTTCCTCTTACAAAACACCGCATCCAAAAGCGGCTTAAAAGTAATAACACACGCACAAACAAGATACGACGCCGGTTCCGCCTGTCCCCAAATCCCATGCGTAGCTCCAATCCACGTAAAATCATTACTTTGATGCACGAAAAAAGATCTAAACCGTACAATAGAGATAATCAATCCACTAGAAGAAGAGCCACATTAGTAGGTTTCCTTCCTCAAAAACTGAACGAATATATCATACAAACCCCCCAACGCAAAAGTAATAGTCAACTGAACCTTCGTCCGCAAACTAGTATGCAACGACCAAATAGCCGGCATAGGCAGAATTAATAACCCCACATCAGAAATAATATTCGGTAGACTTCCCCACGTATAAATAGCGACTGTATCAAGACAATGGCCGCTGATATTTGGGTCCCAGTTCGCGGCAAACGGGCGACACATGACGAACAACATAATTTCACAAACGACTATTTGGATAAGGAGGAGGACTATAAAGATCATCGATATTATTCTGAGGGAACCGGTGGTGAATATTCGTGAGTATAAAAGTAGAATTGATATTTTGGGTAAATTTGCATTTGGAACGTAGAGGAAGGCTTCTGCAGTGCGATATTTGTTTGCTGATATTATGAGGTCTGGATTCGTTTGCTCGAGGTATAGTGTGTGATATCCCATTCCGGAATGTAGTACTGCGCCTTCAGTTTGCAATGAATGTGTTAGTAAATGTAGAGAACTCGAATTGTTTCAAGTGTATGTTGAATGTGATGGATGTGGTTAGTACGTACCGATTATCACAACCCCCCACCCTACTTGCCCGAGTAATGCAAGAAATACCACATAATCATCTAGCCCGTACGATATCTTCCGTTTATATCGTAGAGAAAATCGAATAATCACACATGTAGCTTGAACAGCAAGTAATACCGAAGTAGCAATTAGTAGTTTGTGGCCTGAGTATTCAGCTGAGCTTTTAAGATCCTGATCACCCGGATCATGATCATAATTTTGCGTAGTGGAGTTTTCCAGCATAGTGATAACAGGGCATTCCTTGTGACTAAAAGGTTTTACAAAGTAAAAGGGTGCGATGAGTTTAGATATACTTTAGATTCCAAGGTTTTCAGCTGGGAGGTCGCTCTATGACGTCCGGTCTTTGCGATTGGCGGTTGGTGTTTGGTTCGGGGAGTGAGATGCTGAGTTTAATGAGATCAAATTATGGATTTGAAAGTAATTAGCCGCGTGCTTTGAATAGAAACATCTGGAATGTAGTATTTACCATGGGTCGAATAAGGTGTGTAGCCTTCTCTTGTATCTTGGCGGTTACACGTATTTAGCGGGGGTTGCAGTTTATGAGTACGAGCAGCCAGTTGAACCACGGGCATTCTGTGAATTTAAGGATTTTGTGTGAAATTAAAATAGCCTCCACGTCAACAAGCACAGTATTTGAATATGTAGTTCGTGTATATATACCGAAACCTTCCGGAAGACGGTTTAATTTGGGTTGTCGTGGACTCTACTTCAATGTATTCCAAATCACTTTTTAAAACTCAACAAGGTTCAAAGTTTTTTTGTTTATTTCTATCTCAATATTAATATCAGATAGTATGTAGTACAGATCGGTTACAAAAACAAAAGATCTCGCTTGCATTTCCAAATCCCAATCTCAATCGATCTCAATCTCAGAGCACGTGTGTATCCTCCTGCAACACCCACACTAAGTGCTCCTGGTTATCAATATCATCCAAATCTTTCGCATTAAGAATCTCCTCTTCAACACCCGTAATCTCCTTAATATTCGACTTCCCCGACTGCCAAAAGGTCATCAGGCTATCAATCTGCTCATCCCATTTCTCAATCCGTCCCTTTTTATATCCCCTTATACAAAGATACTCCAACCCCTCAGGTAAACATTCCACCAACTTGAATGTAGCTGGATCTCTTGTCTCATAACTGCCTCCAACTCCTCTAGCAAAATATAACAAGAATCCAACTCCAAGACTAACTCGCTTCAAGGCATGGAAGTCCTTCAAACAACCTGAATTTCCCAAGAAAGACTGGACGAACTGTTCTTGTTGGAGTAGAATTCCGTCGTCCTCTGCGAGGTAGGGATCTAGCACTTCGTCAAATCTTTTATCAGCACGAGCAAAGTCATCATCATAATAATATGATAAGTCATGTATATTTGCCTCAGCGTCGATGTCCAGAACTTCCAAAGTATCTTTATGAGGAGAGATAGCCTTAATGAAGGTTTTGGGATTAAGCGGACAAAAGTGTCCATCTAGTACGTCGCGGCCACCAATAGTGTACTGGAATTCCTTCAAAACCTTGCAAGATTGAATAATATACGCAAGATAAGGCGTGTTAAGCGCACAGTGGTTCAAATAGACTCGACTTATATTCGATGATGTAGGGAGCAGAGTTGCAACATCATTTTCGTCTTCGATAAGGGCGTCAGTGCCTATTGATTCAATGGATGGGAGGTTATCAATGAGCTTTATACAGTCGAAGAACTCGAGACCGACGTAGGATCGATCATCTCCACCCATGATTACTTCGTCGACTATGATGTAGACTTTGCGAAGATTCTGAAGATACGGAACACTGGTCGGGTCTGTGTTCGCTCGACGCAGAATTCTGTCAATAGGGAAGTCGGTGAATGATTCCCGAGGATTCTTCTCGGGTTCATAGTTGAAACTGTCGTATGACTCGAAAGGCTGTGTCATTGTCAACGCCTCCAGATTAGGCGAAACAGAGATAAGCATTGCCGTTAATGCTTGCGTAATGAATGTTCCCATGATTACACTGGGGCTAGAAAAGAAAAGAAATCCAGTAAGCGATGGAATCAAAAGATAAAAAGAGTACGTAGAGTAGATCCTTACTAAATTCTGCTAAGTCTGATACGATTTCCAACATCCCCTAACTCACCATCTCTACCACTGGTATCCTTCTGCATCAGCATATTAATCACAGCGCTTTCTTGAGTGCCACTAAATCCCGCTTTCTGGACCGCGCTCCGAAGAAGATCCATTTCCTCTGCGCTGAGGCTGCGCTGCTCCTTCGCCTCTGTATACGCAGGTACCTGATAGGGTCTCCGGTAACGGTGTTCAATTTTGCGCACGTATTTTCCCAAACTGCGCTGTTTAAGTATCTCCATTAAAAGATTGAATGTCTTCTCAATTCTGGCTTCGTCGATGCAAATCCGGTGAAATCTTTCGCGGTTTTTCATGTCGCAGAGGGAGTGCATTGCGCGAGACGTTTGCGATACGGCGGATAGGGCGCGAATTGAGGAGACATGGAAGATTGTTCGGGCGTATATCTCCAGAGGGAGTGTTCTGAGTGCCATTTTGAATCAATTTGGTCACAAGCGCAGTTTTTTGGAATTTTTGATTTGTTTTTGATTTTTTGGTTTTCCAGCATTTGGGGGTTCAGGGTTCATTTTGAACTGGGAGCTTCGGGCCCCGCTTAGACTAGTTAGTCTGGGCTAGTCTAGGCAGCTAGCCGGCTGCCTGAGACATTGGGAAGGCTTCGTCTTGGCGAATACAAGCGCGAGTTTGTGGCGCGCGCTAGCCATCCCAGTTATGGACTATACACCGTTAGCTGGAAAGGGGGCTCGGAAGGAATATACTATTGCTGCGAGTGAGAAGGGGGGAAAGGCATTAGGACCTTGGAAGCAATTCAGAAGAAAATCACGATCTATTCGAGAATTTTAAAATATAGATAAACAAAGCACATGTTCATAACACATATTTAATCACACCCCGTAATCTAGGCAGAAGCAACCATCTTATCCTTAACATAGAGGTCAACATATTTGTCAACCTCGTAGTTCTCAAGCGCCTGGCGGTCCCAGCCCACCTTGAGCAGCTCATCGATGCGAGACTGGTCAAAGTGCGCCTGGAGGTGACGCTTGTACTTAGCCAGAATCTCGGGCTTGGCCTCCTCGCGACGCAGACGGTGTCCGAGAGGAGCCTCAACGACAACCTCCTCGAGGACGGTGCCGTCGTGCAGGGTAACGGTCAGAGCGTTAGGGATGGTACGCTTGGAGGGGTTGTGGTAGTCCTTGGTGAACTGCTCATCCTCCACACAGCGGATGCGCTTGCGGAGGTCCTCCAGGAGAGGAGAAGTGGCGGCTTCGGAGCCGTCGGCGTAGTCGGTGGCGGTCAGACGGTTGAAGACAAGCATGGTAGCGACCATGTACTGTGAATTGTTAGATAGGGATCAGGTGGATTTTGGAGTGTTGTAGGTTCATACCTGGACGCAGTGGTCGCGGTCGGCGAAGTTGTCCATGGCCTTGAACTGCTTGTCGATGATACGGATACAGGCCTCGTGTGTGCGGTTGGTGATCTCCTTGATGTCCTTGGCACTCTTGCCCATATCGGCGAGCTTCTTGTTGATGGCCTGGGCACACTCAATGGCGGTCTGGGAGTGGAACTCAGCTGTAGATAGTCAGTACAGGATCTTGGATTTTGTGGCCCGTTATATTCGAGAACCTACCTGGGTAGGAAACCTTGAAGAGAACATTCTCCATAACGTAGCTGCCGTAAGGGCGCTGGAACTCGAACTTCTTGCCCTTGAACAAGACATCGTAGAAACCCCAAGTAGGAGCAGAAAGCACAGTGTGCAAACCACCCTCACCCTTCTGCACCTTGAGAACAAGGTTCACGGCACGCTGGCAAGCATCACCGGCAGCCCACGACTTACGCGACATGGTATTAGGAGAGTGACGGTAAGTACGCAGAGACTGGCCATCAACCCAAGCCTGTGTGATAGCATCGGCAGTCTGCTTCTCGGTAAGACCGAGCATCTTCGAGACAACAGCGGTGGTTGCAACCTTAACCAAAACAACGTGGTCAAGGCCAACCTTGTTGTAGGAGTTCTCCAGAGCCAAAACACCCTGGATTTCATGGGCCTTGATCATAGCCTCCAGAACATCGCGGATAGTCAGAATCTTGCCATTGCCCAGATTGCCGCCCGCGCGGTTGGTGCGGGAGATCCAGTCAGCCACAGCCAGAATACCACCCAGGTTATCGGAGGGGTGACCCCATTCAGCAGCGAGCCAGCAGTCATTGTAATCCAACCAACGGATCATAGCACCAATGTTGAAGGCGCCGTTGATGGGGTCCAGCTGGTATGGGGTACCGGGAACACGGCTTCCGTGGGGAACGACCGTCCCTTCTACGGTGGGGCCGAGGAGCTTTGCACACTCTTTGAATTTCAGGGCCTCAAGACCGCAGCCGAGGGTATCGAGGAAAACCAGGCGGGCAGTGTCGAACTAAATATTGGAACCAGAATTAGTCAACTCCCTATTTATTTGGGTATTTCGAGGAGAATGGCAAAAAAATTAAATAAAGAAAGAAAGGAACTTACAGCCAGGTCGGAATCCACCTTGTACTCGTGGATGTACTTGGCCATATCCTGGATCTCAGGATCATAGGCCTTGTCTGCCGGAGCAGCCGGCGCAGCTGATTGACGAGCAGCCATAGTTGAGAATTTAGGAGCAGAAGAAGTAGCGACGCGTGGAAAGGAGGTGATGGGAGAAGGAGAAGCGAAATGAAGTCTGGAGATGGGGATGCGGGCCAAAGTGCGGGGAGACGAGTGGGTCAACCGTCTAATGGCTGGAAGGGACATGATTATCTTGACAGAGAGCAATTGAAGTCAAGAATGCAAGAGGCAAAGTCCAATTGAAGTGGGAGGAGGGGGGATTAAAAAGAAACCCAATTAAACCTAAAGCTAGTTAAGGGGAATGGGGAATGTGGAGAGAAGGTTGGGGCAATAGAAAGGGAAAGGGAAAGGGAAAGGGTGAGTTCAAGCTGACTTCATCCTTGCCGAGGCACCGGTTAGTGTCGGTTAGCACTGAATACATACACACTTACACTACACTTTTAACATACAATTTTCAGCCGGGACTATGATCTAAAATATGGCTTCATGAGTTAAATTGGAATTAAATTCGTGATTTGAGAACTGCATATACTCCGCCATTGAAGTGGTAAACAACGCTCATTCTAACAAGATCAAATGCAACGCCGAAGATCGGATGCAAAACACCGAAGAGATCAAAGCTGCAAGCTTGTCCGGCAACTTGCAGGATGCGAAAATCGGAATGAAGATCAATGGAGCATGATCCAAAAGTAGATCACCTCCAAACTACGCCAGAAGTAGCAAAAACTGTCCATAACGCCAGATCCTGTATTCCTCGGGCCGTGAGCTCGGCCCATCACATGTACCGTTCTTTCTCAACTATGCAAACCATGCAATTACCACAACTAACACAAGTCCCTCATTCTGTCAATTCCTTCTCATCAGTCTCTCTCAATGACCGACACACCTCTCGATAAATAGCCTTCGCAAACCGTGGAGGGACTGCATTCCCGATCTGCAGGCGTCTCCTGCTACCACAAAACTCAAAATTCATCGGAAATGTTTGAATACAAGCTGCTTCCCGAATGGTGAATGAACGCTTGCCGGATGGATGATAATTTCCAGCACCGCCGCTGCAGGTCAGGGTATGCGCTGGGCGGTCGGCGGGGTATTCTTCCCGGTGCGCGTTTCGGCTTCTCTCCAGAAATTTCGCTGGATCATGATCTAGGGCATCATCGGGGATATCATCGATGGCGCCTCCAATCGTTTCAAACGGACGCAGAAGAGATCCTGGGGGGCCGTGTGTTGGCGTGGGTAAAGTGGGAAGCTTCTCGCCTGGTCTATTTCCACAAATGTAATGTTAGCAGTCAAGCTCGGAGTTGATACTGGGAAATGATTGAAGACTTACCCTGCCGCTATAATAATCAATCGCCGTCGCATTTGTGGAACGCCATAGTTCACACAATTCACCACCGCCCAGCGAACAGAATAGCCAATTTCGACAAAGTCCAAGATAATTCTGTGCAGAGTGATCCCGTGGCGTCCCTTCAGTCCGAATGTCTCTTCCATAGTCAAAATTCGAGGACGGACCTTATCAATTAAGTTCCGAGATGTAAATATGCAAGCCGAGTTCATCTCATCTCGCTCTTCGTTATTAACTGTATGAGCCGGTGAGAAAGGCTGACAAGGGGGCGAGGTATGACAAACATCGACTCGAACATCTTCCGGATTATTTGTCATAAAGTGGTTGAACTCGGAATGCTCCGCCAGAGAATTAGGAAAGTTTGCACGGTACGTGGAGATTGCCTGGAAGTCTTTGTCCACAGCCCAAGTCATTTCCAGGCCGGCTAGCTGAGCACCACAGGATGCACCACCAGCACCACAGTATGAATCGCCAAATGTATACTTGCGATTTCGAATGCCATCAAGATCTAGGGGCTCGGGAGCTGGGTTGTCCAAATCGATTGACATGGGGGTAGACTGAGCTGATGACTCCTTCGCCCCGAATGGAATTGTTTGACCATGTCCACGCCAGTCATCTCTCAACTCTTTGCTGGTTCGTGCACGAAAAAATGTGTCTCGTACCTCTTCAAATGTGAGATACTCAATTGCGTACTCTCTGTTGCTTTCTGGGATTCTTTGTTTGCTTCGAGGGTTAATAGGGTTAAGAATAATCCTCCGAGACGAGATGGTGAGCTTCAAACGACACACGAATTCTGCACGATCAGTCCACTGTGGACGGTCGTTTGTAAATCGAACGGGGCGAACCTCCTTTATTTCGTCGATAGAGATGCGGTTCTTCTCACTAGCCATCCATATGAGCTCTCCAAAAACTTTGGGTATGCCGACATGGTCGTCTATCTTCAGTGCTGCTGTCAGATGACGGCCATAGAAAACCTGCGAACCCATTTCTTGCTTAGCTCGCTCGATGTAAAAATAATCCCCATCGTTCAGCTCAACGGATTGACCAGGCATGTAGTGAAGGCTATTCCGATCGACCTCAAGGTCGCTGTCCCCTTCCTGCGAAGTATCAGTCGAAGTCGGGGTAAATCGACTGTGTTCCCCATAAATGTCGCCCGGCTGAGTACTTTCGAAACACTCTGTCAAATCATCCAGTGAGGAGTCGGCCAGTTCATCATCGGATATATCGTTGGTTAAGTCGATTATGTCGAGTTGGGTCTCTTCTGGGATGGGCTCGGTGAGAGATGAGGACATTGACTTTTGTGAATCTCTGAAAGATGAGCATAGCGAGGTTGGCAAATTGATATTCGTTCCCGGCCATGGCAATAGGTTATACGAAGGACCTCTTTCGATGGTGGCCCTGATCTCCATGTCTTCCTCCGTCAAGTCAATTAGTTGCAACTTTGTTACCCAGGATGGTGCTGAACAGGGAAGGCGACGTTTGATCACTTTGGCGACTCCACGACTGTGTAGACCTGCATTGTGTGTAAGAGCTGAAGTGCTTTGAGCCATTTTCATTGAGTTTGAAAAGGTTCAAATAAAATATGAGGAAGAATGGTTTTGGATAAAAGATGAAGAAACAGAAAGTCTTTGGTAGGCAGCATGGAAAAGGTGAGGTTGATGCCGGGGATGAGATGATTCTTTTTGAGAGAGAGAGAGAGAGAGAGAGAGAATCGGAGGAAGAAGATCGGATTATTCCGGCGTGGTGCTGAGATTTGGTGTTGAACTTTGAGATATCTCTGATCAAAGCAATAGACATCCAAAGCAGAAACAAAGGGTATAGCCATGGTCAAGCCATGAGGATCATTCAGGTGGAGTTCCATCTTTCTTCTCTCTTTGTGAAGCTATATTAGGGTTTAAAGACAATAAGAACTATAGATAAACTCTTCTAACAGGTCTTATGATCGGAAATCACAGAATTGTGCATTGTTCAGTTTCATCTTCCATATATCTCCAAGTTGATGTTCCTCCCACTGTATACTCCACTCTTCAACCAATCAAATCCCAGCCGCGGGGCTGCCTAACTTTGGTCGATGACTCAGCAGCTCGGGCCGGCGTCGGCGTGTAATAACGCAGAGAAAAAAAAAAGTGTGGAGACGCTGACCACAATTTTGGCGGGACAAGAACGCTGGAAAGAATTTCTCTTTTCTTTCCCCTCTTGTCTTCGCGTTCCTGGGGGTCCCTGTTGACCATTGTGCCCTATAACCTTCTCAATCTGGTTCTGGTGAGTTATAATCCCAATCACTGCATATATTCATTTACCCCACCACTCTCAATGATGAATTTGGATTTTTTTTATAGATGTTAGACTTCCTAGCTTATGGTTGCGGAGAAACATCCTGAACTGACTTGAGAAAAAAAAATAACCCCGCGATATGCCTCAAAAAGCTTGCATATGAATATTCCTGCTAACCAGTCCCGATCGCATATCAGGAAACCTTACAACCCCAAACGTCATCATGTGTGGAATTATCGGTCTGATCCTGGCAAACCCCTCCGCTGCCGCGGCAGTGGACCTCCACGAGGCCCTGTACCTCCTCCAACGTGAGTCCTACGTGACCCCGGCTGGATTTGAATAAAATTTGGATTTGGATTTGGATAAGGGACAAAGGCTAAAGTCTGTTTCTTCAACATAGACCGTGGACAAGATGCTGCTGGTATCGCTACCTGTGCCCATGGTGGAAGAATCTATCAGCTTAAGGCCAATGGTATGGCCGCTAAGGTCTTCCAGGATGGTGCAAAGGTTGCCAATCTGCCTGGCTCAATGGGTATCGGACACCTGCGGTACCCCACTGCTGGTAGTAGTGCGAATGCCGAGGCGCAGCCTTTCTACGTGAACTCGCCGTATGGTATCTGCTTTGCTCATAATGGAAACTTGATCAATGCTCCTGAGCTTAAGAAGTATCTTGATCTGGAGGCGCACCGTCATATCAACACTGATAGTGACAGTGAGCTGATGCTGAATATCTTCGCTGATGAGCTGAGCGAGACGAAGAAGGCTCGTGTTAACAAGGAAGATCTCTTTGCTTCTTTGAGCCGTATGTATAAGCGCTGTGAAGGTGGTTGGGCCTGTACTGCTTTGCTAGCTGGTAAGTCTTTCTTTCCCTCCTTTCTGATCTACGTCGATGACTCCCTTACTGACGAAATGCCTATTAGGATTCGGTATCCTTGGTTTCCGTGACTCATACGGTATCCGTCCTCTTGTCCTGGGTTCCCGTGCCTCCCTAGATGGCGAAGGCACCGATTATATGATGGCCTCTGAGTCCGTTGCCCTGGACCAGCTTGGTTTCAGCAACCACCGTGACATCCAACCCGGTGAAGCTGTCATCATCCAAAAGGGCGGCGAGCCAGTCTTCTGCCAAGTAGCACCTAAGAAGGACTACGCCCCCGACATCTTCGAGTACGTCTACTTTGCCCGTCCCGACTCCGTCATGGACGGCATCAGCGTATACCGCTCTCGCCAGCGCATGGGTGACCGTCTCGGAGCCCGTATTCTCGACGTCCTGGGTCCCGAAATCGTCAAGGAGATTGACGTTGTTATCCCCATCCCCGAAACATCAACTACCTCCGCTTCACACGTCGCTCAATACCTTAACAAGCCATACTGCCACGGCTTCGTGAAGAACCGCTACGTCTTCCGTACCTTCATCATGCCTGAACAAAAAACTCGTCAGAAGGGTGTTCGCCGCAAGCTCAATGCCATGAAGGCAGAGTTTAAGGACCGAAACGTCCTCCTTGTAGACGATAGTATCGTTCGCGGAACAACAAGTCGCGAGATTGTCAGCATGGCCCGTGAAGCTGGTGCTAAGAAGGTCTACCTGGCCAGTTGTGCTCCTGAGATCACCCACGCTCACATCTACGGTATCGATCTTGCTTCTCCTCAAGAGCTTGTCGCGCATAACCGCGACACAGACAGTATCGCCAAGCACATTGGTGCTGAGAAGGTCGTCTTCCAGACCCTGGATGATCTGAAGGGTGCCTGTGCCGAGGTCGCCATTGAGAATGGCCAGACAGAGCCTACCAACTTCGAGGTTGGTGTGTTCTGCGGTAGCTACGTTACACCCGTCTCACAAGGATACTTCGATCATCTTGAAGAAGTCCGTGGTGAGGGACGTAAGATCAAGGCTCTTGATAAGGCTAAGGAAGCCGTTGCGCATGGCTTTGCCAGTACAACCGACTACCAGATTGCCGCGAAGGGAGTTGCCATGGACACCAATGGCCAGATCATCCCTGCTGATGAAGCTGAGCAACAGAGCAAGGCTAGGTCGGAAGAGCACCCTAAGGTGGATGACCGGATGGATATCAGCATTCACAACATTGCCGACCACCCATGATTGATTACGATATAAACATTTCTTCTTCTTCTTTTCTATACTTTCTTTTTCTTTTCTTTTTTTCTTTTCTAGAGCCACTGGGTTGGATTTGCATGTGGAGTCTTGGGTGTTGAATTTTTATCATTGGGCATACCTTGGACGGGGGTATCAACCCATTTTATGTGACGAGAAAAGTGCTGTGACGCGATGCATGTCTTAGGATCTGGACTATATAGTTGTCGATCTTGTGATGCCAGATAGAGATACCATTTTGAATAAAAACTATACTTCTTACCAATGGAATAGAGTTTCGCAAATTATTATCGCTGTCCCAGACTCCCTGGTATCCCTAGGGGCCTCCAGATGTCAGGACCTAGATATCACAAACCTTGGAACTAAGTTTCAAACCCACTATCTTGAAGATATACTCTTTTTTTTCTTTTGAAACAAGATGACTAGTATATAATAATATATTTATAAAAGATATTTTCCTATTCATATTTACATTAATTATTCAAGTTGTCTTTCTAATTTTCTTTCCAGTTACCTTTCCAATTGTCTTCCCAGTTGTTTTTCCATCTATAAAATCAGAATGGGGGGTTTTTCCTGTGACCGGAATGGTAGCCGCTTGAAATTTCCCAAATCTTCCATTACATACGGTCGGCATATAATCTTTCTTCCTCTGATGCGCTCTACTAACTAGAAACATAGTACGCAGATCACTGACGATCCATTGAGTTCAAATGTAAAAGTACATTTGAAGACTTAATATGTATATACCAGTATATCCAATTAAAGCGCATTCAACATTCCAAAAATCCGGAAACCTTGTCGAAATTTCTGGCGCTCATAGTACTCTCATCAACGTACATCCCACCCCCGCCGTGAGAAGCTCAACCCATCTCATAAACCTTGGAACCTTCATCTCTTCTTTACCATCTACACCACACCGTTCTCAATCTTCCATTTACCATCCCCAGCCTCCGATCCCCATATCGATCTGATCCAGAGAATCTTCTGAAGAAAGTAAGCCATCTGAATCCCTGGCTCCAGACTCCTAGATTTGACGTCATCCCGAGCAGATTCACTTTCAACTCAGAACCTGATATTCCCAGCGTCACCATGGACCACACTGGAGAAGATATCACTCAATCTACAGCAAGGAATGCGCCTGGATCTCCAACAAAGAAAGCCCGAAACTACCATCTAACTCCCGGCATCTCTCCATTCCCCCAGTGGAAGCATCCGACACCCAAGGAGTGTGAAAGTATCAAAAACCTCCTCTCAGGAGTCCATGGTGAAATTTTCGCACCGAAAGTCATCCCCGCACCATCCTTGACAGTCACAGGCTGCGGGGAAGTTCCCTCTGTACTGGATGCACTTATCCGAACTCTTCTCAGCGCAGCAACTACAAGCGGAAACTCTTCCCGCGCCTTCAACGGGCTCGTGCAGCGCTTTGGAATCCTAGAAGAGGGAATTGGAAAAGGAAGCGTAAACTGGGATGCTGTACGGCAGGCATCGCTGAAAGATGTCTTTGAAGCAATCAAGACCGGCGGGTTGGCAAATAATAAGAGCAGAAATCTCAAAGCGATTCTAGACCTTGTTTATGCAGAGAATCAGGAACGTCGCAAGGCTCTTCTTTTCAATCTGCCCACTGCCTCCTCATCAACTGTCTCGGAAATGAGTACTGTCAAGAAAGAAGAAGACAAGGAGTATGAAATTGCTTGTACAGATCAAAACGTCCTTTCATTAAACCATCTCCACCACGCCAGTACGGAAGAGGCCATGGCTGAACTGACCAAGTATCCCGGAATTGGACCTAAGACAGCAGCTTGTGTCATTCTGTTTTGTCTCCAGCGTCCTTGCTTCGCAGTTGACACGCACATTTTCCGTTTATGCAAATGGCTTGGTTGGATTCCACAGAAGACAACAAGCGAGATCATGGCATTTAAACATCTTGAGGTGCGAATCCCCGATGAGCTGAAATACTCGCTACACCAACTATTTATTCGCCATGGAAGAACGTGTCCACGGTGTCGCGCGATAACCGGCGAGACTAGTGCTGGCTGGGAAAAGGGATGTGCAATTGATCATCTTGTTAAGAGAACTGGGAAGCGCAAGGGTGGAAAGGAGAAGGGAACCAAGCAGCCAACTAAGAAGAGGAAGACTCGGCCTCGGTCTACTGTTGTGGCTAAGAAACGGAAGGTTGTTTCTGGGGAGAAGAATGGAGAGGTTAAGATTGATGTTGAAGTCGACACTGAAGTCGATGGTTATTCGGATTTTACTGAACAGTCGGATACGGTTCTTGATGTACTTTCGGACTAAGCTGGAGTTGGATTGAAGTCACGATGACAGAGCTTGCTTTATTTGCATTGATTACAATCTGGAGTTCTAACCTTTTTGACCGGCATGACTGAAACGACACATAGCGTGCTTTATCTGGAAGGAAATCATTCACGTTTTTCATGCTTCGTTTCTTTATCATCCATCCAATACGCGTTATGGCGTTCGGCTAAGCAACTGTCTATACATTGCAAGACCAACATAAGTATTTATCAAATTGATCCAATGCAGTTTTGCTATATGTGTACCTCCCATTCCCACAACGAGAAGCAAAATTCAACCGTGTCTCGTACCGAGTAAACAGTGGAGAGTAAGGCGAAAGTCTAGAAACCAGCATGAGCAGTACGTTGAGTCCAGTTGAATTAGAGTATGCGATGCCTCGATACGAGGAGCTACAAAAGGTTTTTGTGGGGCAATCAGCATCATAAACGGGTCACGCCTGATAGGCAAGCCAGCCAATTCGCGCTGAAAACGGCACGCGTGACGATAGGACTCCGCGAGACAATGGAAAGCAGTGGAGAATTCCGTACACTTTCACGATGAATATCTAATTCATTTCTCTGGGGTGAGTGACGGGATTGCCAATCTAGGAGAACCCATACAGATGGATCCATTACCACGACCACGATCCGAGCGATTAAGGAGGTGGGAGGAACTATTTCAATTGATGGGATCTCGCACATATTTGCGTGACAAATTTTTGAATTTCAATTTCAATTCCATGCCAAAATGTCCGATAAACACTATTTTCCTTCTACAAGTGCCAACTCGTTGGTGCCAAGGGCGTTGAGAGCTCTGGTCTCTGCCAATGATCATTTACGCCTCAACTTTGCTGAAAGGGTAATTGCCAATGCTTATCACGACGATTCAAAGGTCAGCGTTATCAGCGGAGGTGGTTCGGGACATGAACCAGCATGGAGTGGTTATGTTGGTGATGGTCTTTGTTCAGCTGTTGCGTGCGGTGATATCTTTGCCTCACCAAGTGCGAAGCAGATCTTGACCGCTATTCGGATGGCTCCTTCGAAGAAGGGGATCATCCTGCTAATCACAAATTATACTGGTGATCGTCTTCATTTCGGCCTGGCTGCAGAGCGAGCTAAGGCCGAGGGCCTAGTTGAGAACATTGCTATCTTACATGCAACCGACGATGTCTCAATTGGACGAAGCAAGAACAGTCACATGGGCAGACGCGGCCTCCCTGGTCATGTTTTCAGTATGTAATTTTCTCATTCCTAATTCAAGAAGTTTGACTAATTCCCCATAGCAATGAAAATCATCGGCGCAGCAGCCGCGGAAGGATACTCGTTTGATCAGTGTCTTGCGCTTGGACAAGCTGTCAATGGAAACACCGTCACTATTGCTTCGGCACTTGATCATTGTCACGTCCCTGGAAGACAGCAGCAGTCATCAGTCCCCGACAATGTTGTTGTTATCGGCGCTGGTATCCACAATGAACCTGGTCAACTTCACGTTTCGCCAGCACCATCAGTCGAAGAGATAATCGAGAGATGCCTCAAGCTTCTGTGCGATGCATCGGATACTGAGAGATCTTTTGCGAAATTTGGAAAGGGCGATGAGATCGGTCTACTAGTTAACAACTATGGCGGTCTCTCTGTCCTCGAACTAGGTGCTTTAACCGATGAAATCCAAATTCAGCTCGAGTCACAATGGAACATTAAGCCTTGCAGAGCAATCTCCGGTGCCTTCGAAACATCCCTCAATGCCCCTGGTTTCTCAATCTCTCTTTGCAATCTCACTGCTGCAGCTAAGCAGGTCAATGAATCTGTCGCTACACTTATCCGCCAATTCGACAGCACCACCACCGCCGTATCCTGGATCAACACAACACGTCCTTGCACAACCCAAAAGAGAGTCGCATACGGTGATTCCAACATAACAAATGGGGAGACTCTCGCGTCCCCCAAACTTGCATTCGACTGCTCTTTACTTCGAAACGCTCTAGTCGCCGCGTGCGAACGTGTCATCGAAGCAGAGCCAAAGTTGACAGAATGGGATATGGTCATGGGCGACGGAGACTGCGGTGAAGCCGTCAAGAGTCTCGCCGAATCACTCCTTAAAAAAGTCGACGCAGGATGTACATCATCCGGCGATGTGATTGAGACTATTCGCTCTATTCTGCAGGCAGTTGACGACATGGGCGGAACCCTCGGTGCAATTTTCGGTGTTCTCCTATCAGCACTATCCACAGCCCTGAAGAGCAATGTATCAAATGGCAATATCAGCCCTGAATCTCCAGAGTTTTATGCCACTGCCCTCGACTCCGCTGTAACATCTTTGAAATCTCACACCGGTGCGCGTGAAGGTGACAGGACCGTCATGGATGTGTTGATTCCCTTCGCCGATGCGTTTTCAAAAACGCAGAGCTTTTACTCCGCTGTTGAGGTCGCTGGAAAGAAAGCAGAGGCTACCAGATACCTGAAAGCAAAGTTTGGTCGTGCAACATATGTTGGGGAGGACTCGAGTCAGGAACTACCTGACCCGGGTGCTTGGGCCTTTTATGAAATCGTTACGGGCTTGGCGGATGGACTGAAGCTTACTCCTAACTGATTACCTGTCTTGTACATCAATTTGAGATTCAGATCGTGGATCTGAGCAAAGGTTCTTTTGCGAAGTTGGTAGATGAAAAAAAATTACTGGAAGTATAGTTATTTCGTTGCGTATCTCATGTGTCGAGAATGGGGGGCATGATGCTTGAAATTTGGGACCTTGCAACTTATGAATATGAAATGACCATATCAATTTTGAATTATTCTGAAATTCACACCCTTTCTATTAATACTTGTCAGTCTTTGAGGATACAGTGCTGCCAACAACTCTATTCAAGGAAGAGCTATCTGACCTACGTACACTCGGAATGCAAATACAATCTAGTAGAACTACAACGGCCTTCTAAAATCCATCACCAATAATTCAAAACCACTTGGATATTGCTATGCGGTTATAGTGGCCTGTGACTCATAGCTATCATGTGCCAGGATATTTTAGTAAGAAAAAAACACGAAGCCCAGCCATTAGTTTTCCAGAAAGCGAACGATAAAAACTGTCTCAATTTGAATTAAGAAAAATAACTCCAAACTGTATAACTGATCAACAAATAAACTAAATTGATTCAATTGCCACTCTTCCATATAACCGAGTCATCGATCACCCCCCTGGTTTTAGAAGGGCTAACTGGAAGGCGTGACACGCGGTATGACCACATTATCTGCCACCTTGGGATCACATGCTACCGTGCCAGTGGTTGTACTATTAGATCTAGGTCAACCTCTAGTGGAATTGCGAAAATCAGGCCCAGGGAGTCTCACTGGGCTTCTATTTAATCATTAGCCTCAGATTCATGTTTTACGGGTCAATTTATGGCACATCTCGAATCAGGCTATCCTGATCAGTCGATAGATATGTGCCGAGTTTGCCATCCGGGGCATGAGTCCAGTACAGCAAATGCCTCACCCATGCGCCATCTAGTCTGCATTTCGTGAGACTCAGCGAGGTGTCATAGTTTTCTGGCACCACAACGGCTTCGATTATCTGCCACGAAGCAACTAGATTCTTATTAGGGCCCCGGTCCCATATGCTAACTTCTAATTCAACTATTTCTCGAGAAAGGTGATTATTGCCGCTAAGAATGACGGTTTCAGTCCTAATAGAAGGGGGAGCTGGTGATTTGTGAGGCCCCATTATTGTTTTAAAGTCACCCTCATATATTGACATCTTTGAAGCACCGGTGTCGTGAAGGAATTCAAGTTCTTCCCACCAATTGACGCCAGGGATCCGAACTCCAATTTTATACTAAAGGGAATTAAGCTTTTAGCTCTGCCGCCTCTAAACAAGAGCAATAAGTAGTGAGATCGAGAATCAAAGAAACGAAAGAGCAGAAGGAAGAAGAAAGAGGGTACAGTAAAAGAAATGCAAACGAGGATCACTTCTTCAAAACCTACATAAACCATTCCATAGTACATGTTGGCCGTTATTTGAAAAGATGATAGCATTCTCGTCGGTCCTGGGACAGTAGCCTATCTCATATTTGTGGTCAGTTGGTTATATGCTCCTAATTCAGTCTTAAGTCACAAGTACATGCCCCGTCAACCCAAAAGCTTTCATGACCATTGTACTTCTCATAAATTGCTTCAAATTCGTCCCAGTTAAGCGTCTCGGCTCACAAAGTTGCTTTCCTTGAGACCAATAGGTAACCAGCCTCGGGTCCCATCCAAGTTGGCCTTTAGAATACGCATTGATAACAGCTCTGATATTTGGCAATTGTGTCTTTTTTCTATGTCTAGCAGGGCTTACACTATCTAACACCAAAACTTCATCTTTTAGATTCTCAATATCATTTGCAATGCTTTCGAGGTCGTTGAGTCGAACTCTAACGTCTTTTGAAACGTCTGGGTAGCGTTCTTGGAGAGCTCTATTTCAATACCAATTTCATTTTAGCTCTTCCCACCTGCTCAAAGGATATACGGGAGATACATACGTCTCTCTTTCTTTTGCTGTGGTCTATTCTCGAAGCCTCTGCCAAAATACACTGGGGACAATGTTTGCTACAATTCTCTCTTTACATCTAGAATTCTGCCCATCAATGTCACTATACTCGTATCAGTCCTGTCAAATATTAATTAAGAAGTATCATTTACCGAGGATCCAAATCGGGCTCATCAGTAGTCCAGCCTTTGGGTCGTTCGTTGGGGTCTGTCAATGGGGCTGCCTTCTTATTATTCCAACGTGGATTCCTCGATCCTAATTCCCGGGTAAGGGTGAAGTCCCGGTCCACCTGATGTGCCATGCCGAGATCCAGGGAGTCGAGGTTAACGTCCTCACGATCGTATTCATCCCACGCAGCTGGTAGACTTGAGTTGTCATCTGCTCTACTCTTCCCTTTAGAGTCTTGTGATTCTCGCTCTTCATTGGCCACGATTCCATCGTCTGCCGTGAAAAGTACATTCTCTATACTTTCAGTCTTCCTTTCGTTTGAATCAAGGCTTTTTTGGAGAGTATGTTCTTTCGCCTCTAGTGCTCTCCCTTGATCTCTGGCGCGTTGGGCTTCCATTGCTTCCATCCTTGTTTTTTTTTTGCTCTTCCGCGACTTTGGGCGAAGCTTACCTACAGCAAACCCCAATCTTTGCATTGGGGTATTCTTTGATTTTGAACTGTATCCGGAAGACTTTTTATCTAATTGCTTGGCCATCATGCTGGTATAATGTAGCTTACATGTGCTTATTTCAGCCAACACGATGCGCATGGAGCTAACTGCGATAACTCAACCGGGTTTCATACATTTTTCGATACTCCCTTTTCCCCGCGCACATACTATTCACAAATTATCCATACGCCTGCGTCAGTCCGCAAATTGCTACATGTCCCAAAGGTCGCCAGGATATACTCGATCATTGTTCAACTACAAAATCAAAGATATTGGCGTGAGCGAAGTCAAACAAAGCGACGGAAATCAACCTTTCTTTGAAACGCACTGTCAGGATAGGTACCTTCCCGAGACATCATTAACGCTAGAATTTTTCATTCTTGAGAATCTTTGTCGCATGTTTTGTTGCCGACTTTTTCAACAAATTCAAAGGCTATTTTGGGGTTATTTGAGCGCCTTTGCTGAGTGAAGAAAAACATTATCATTGTCAGGAGGGTCCTACATTTGAAGCGTTTGGATGATAGGTTTGTAGCTTCTAATAATAGGTAGAAATGCTTTTCAAACTTTGCATGACTTACTAAAGCTTCGATGCATGGCCAACGTCGTAGGGACATCCGAGGTATACAAAATGCCCTATGTATTCAGACTGGTCTGTGATTGGCGGAAATCTAGCCGCGTAAATAGTGGCTTACTTAATGCCTTGAGGGCAGCCCTGTCCACGTGATATTCCCGATCTACCCCACTCGCGCCTTCCAAAACAGGAAATAGACTTCAATGTCATGATGTCATGATGTCATTGATATTAAGGCACCTGCCAAACAAGCAGAGATGAATTTATATCAACAGGAACAATTAAGGAACCCTCGAGGAATCTTTTATCTGCAATGACCAGGTTCATGCACCATAAACGCCACACATAGGCCACAGCGACCACACAAGGGGCAACAAGGTACCAATAGTTGTCGGGTCGTCTCGAAATCAAGGAAACCAACCTTGCCAGCATCAATATGACGGAATAGGCTTAAATCCAACCGATAACCTGTCACCAACAGCAGATCGTGTCTTAGTTTCCTCCTGATCATCCTTCCTAAATCCTTTCCTTGGTAATTAAAATTGCAGAATAATTTTCTTCCATTCACAATCACCCATCACGATCACAGCTTTAAAAAAAGAAACGCCACAAGCTAAAATAACGACGTCAGCCCTACCTACCTACTTATCATACTTTAACATTCCTCGTATCAAACTTGTGGTTCCAGTGTCTATCATTCTCCTCTTTCAGCCACTCTTACGTATCTCAACGAGGTACTTGTACCAGTTGCATTGAAGACTTGCAGCCTGCTGTCATCGGGACAAACCTGTTGCGTCAGGTACTTTTATCTTTCTCCATTCCTGCAAACATTATAAATAAATATCTTCCGCCTGCCTACCTTCTCTTCATAATGCGTCCCTTTACCGATACATCTATTCACACTACTGCCTCTGGCTCAAAACCTCTTACATCAAAACCAAAACCGAGTTCTCAACCTACGCAAACTCCTTTACCTATCCAGGTTCTACACTGAGTGAAATTTTTCAACATGGGTGCCGTCGTGTCTTGTGTATGTCACCCTTACCTTTTACTTTTCTCATGATCTTTCGAAGCTTCAAGAACTGGGTACTAATATATTCTTTCTTTAGATAACGGGTGTCTTCCGTGCTATCGGCTCCGTCCTCATGGCCATTGTCGGCGGAATCGGTGCCATCCTCCGTGCCATCATTGATGGTGTCGTTGCCGTCTTCGATATTATTGTCGGCTGCTTGACTTGCCAGGGCTGTGGAGGAAGAAGACGTCGGCGCAGAGCTGTCGTATAACGGGGTGATCAAACGAAACGAACACAATTCGACCACCCCGTGACTACGAGTTACGACTTTCTTCTGATGGAAAGAAGTGTTTGGATTCGGCGCTTGTACTTTTTATTTTTCCTTGATTCTTTTCCTTTTCTCATACCCAGGCGTCACGTGGTTATTCTCAATGAATCTTCTTTATGATGAATGAATCAGTATACTCATCTTTATTTGTAACCTTTTGAAAAGACATGTAGTGATATCTAATATCTAGACGATGCAGTATAGGTATAGGTATAATTACTGTATACACGAGAAGAATGTCACTTCGCCAATGAGCGCAGAGATGATGCTCCATGTTCATACACTGCTCCACCATTCAGCTTCATATACTCGCTCACCATCTCATTCACCGCAATATAAGCTTCAACAGCTCCTTCTCCCCATCCCATGGCAAAGTAACCCCCTTGTTCCTCTGATACTCCAAAGCAGCCACAGCAAATGAGTCTGAGATACCGAACGGATCTGGCCCCGTCCCCGGCTCCCGACCATAATAAAGGTGCGAGCACTCAATAATAAGCTTAAGATGATCTGATTTCAACCGCCACGGAGTCCGAATCCGACAATTCGCAGCTCGAAACGACATAGACATCAACCGTTCAAACGCCAAATCTTGCCGAGTGCGAATCAACATGCTCGTTATCTCATCCGAGCGCTCGGCCATATAATCATCTTCATCTAGATAAAAGTCTCCTGACAGAAGATCCAGAAACTCGAACTGAGATTCTGACCACGGCTCTCGAAGAAGTTTATCAGGTATTCGCCCCGGGCAGACGGGGATAGAGCACGGAAACCGAAATAGGTCTTTCTCGAAATATACCTCGTTTTGTTCACGGATCTGCACAGCGCCGAAATGGAACCATATGGCTACCTTGTGATCAGAACTTCGCGAACTTGATCGTGACGGAGGTTGATCTTGATGTTCAGGTTTATCGGAAGTGGAATTTGAACTTGGTTGTTTTTGCGTCTTATCATTTTCATCGTGATTTTCAGGTTTTTGACGTGTAGCTGGAATAACCAGATCTCCTTTTCCTCGACGACCTTTCTCCGCATGATCACAGTATTTGAGCTCTGCGAAATGAGGTTCTAGATTCTCGAGTATTGCCTTGTCTTGGGGAGAGAAAACAAGATCTGCGCATTTCTGCTTTATAGCATGTTCGACATATTCGCGTTGGCATTTTCGCATAAATTCAAGTGTACACCAGCGACATGTTAGGAGTACGGTTTGAAGATGTTGTCGTTGGTCCCAGGTGACATCCCCTATATTAAGTGGTGGGGGTAGAAACTCCGGGGTGAAGAAGCCGTGGCGCGAGCTTTGGTTTAGAGAACTGAATGCTAGGCGAGTGAGCCATGTGTAGAGGAGTGGATTTGAGAGGGCGCCGCTGATGCTGAATGAGGCTCGTGGGAGGTTGATTTCAAGACTGTAGAGGAATATTGTTTGGAGAATCTCTACTGGGAGGGACTCTAGGCGCGAGAGCTGAGGGGGTTTTTTGAGCTGAGCCATTTGTGATGGGCTTGGATGTTCAGGCTCGGATTATGTCTGCGTAGGTAATTGAATGATTTGTTTGTCATGGGTGCACAGCTCTTGAAGCGAATATCATGGAGCTGATATAGATATTGAATGTTTAGATGGATATTTAATAAGGGTGACAGCTTGCGCAATCATCAAAGCTGCCTCGGTTTCTGTTGAACTGTTTTTGGAGCTTGGGCGGGAATAAATATGTTTGAAGGTTTAGAGCCATAGCTGCAGGAGGGGGAGGGGTCAAGTGGGTTGGTTAGCATGTAGATTGACAGGTCTTGGCATCGGGCTGCTATGTTGCAAGTATTCTCCCAAGTGGATGGCTGGGACTTGCAAAGACCTAAGTTGGGGCCAGACGTGATTGCAGGATTCAAAACTGGCCTTGGGCAGGTGAAATACGAGGTTCATGTAAGTCGAGTAATACCCCGGGTTTCTACCTGAGCGGCGTTGACAGACGAGTATCCATAAATATAATGGTGGGGGACTAGAATTTAGAAACGAGAAAACTTCAGGTTGTACAATACTGTGGACTTTGGATTAAAGCACTTAGGTACTATAGGCACGTGGCAGAGAGATTTGTCCTGGTCATGATAGACTAGTGCATAGGAGTGGGCCAGACGATAGGTCATATATCCGTCCGCAACCTGGGAATCCTCTCATGCTTCAAATATCAGCGTGTTTATATATACCCGACCATATATTCTCCAAAAAGAAAAAAAACTTGGGCAAAATTACGACTTTGGAAAGCTCATTCAAATCCTCGTTTCCCCAAGCTACTCAATCCTACGAATGCCCCATGTCTCCATGAAAAGAGTTGAAAACGACAAAAGAAAATGCCTCTGTTCACGAGAACGCAGAAACCATCTGAATTGAACTGTTTCTATACACATCCCAGCCGCCCCATCGCACCATGCCATGGATGGGAATCTAGTCGTACCCGGGCGAAAAGACCATAATGCTTGACACCTAACAAATACATCGTGCAGTGAGATGAAGCGGGGAATAAAAGGTAAATTGGAACTTGAAATCCAACATTTAGACGGCAGACAGATCGCCGAAACGCTCCTACAAAGTGAAAGATTCTTTAGTATTCCCGAGATGCCGCTAAAACGAAATTGAAAGATGCAACATACCTTGTAACCAGGTGGCATCCACTTGCCCTTGGAGACAAGGGAGGCGGTCTTCTCGTCGATCTCGGGCTGGGCGGAGGCAACCTCGTCCTAAACACAGAAAGCAATAAGCATTCATATCCAATAACCACATATATACCATTTTGCAAACGTACGACAGTGAGCTCGTCGAAGGGACGGGCAGTCTCGATGTTCTCCAGGGTCTTCTGGAGGTTGACCAGCTCAGCCTCAACCTTGCCCTTGGTCTGCTCGGCGTTCTGGACGGCCTGGGCCTCGAAAGCGTCAATGGCCTTCAGCTGGCGGGAGATGTCGTAGGAAGCGGGCTTGAAGTTCTTGAAGTGGTTCTCGATCTCGTCAACGATAGCCTGGTTCTTGAGGGTCTTGCGGTAGTGGGCGAAGTCAACGGCCTGGGGCTGCTCGGACAGGATCTGGACCTTGCGGCGGGCGTCATCGTTGCGCTTCTTGAAAGCCTGCAGGGAGGCGGCGGTCTGGCCGCGCAGACCGAGGGAGGAGGAGACCTTGGTCCAGTCGACCTTGAGAGCGGCGCTGCGCTGTTTATTCGGGTAAGGGGGTTAGCGGAGGCTGTTTCCTGGCGACTGGGTGGGGATTGTGCTGCGCTGTACAGCGGAAACTAAGACGTACAGCTGCCATTGTGACGAGAAGGAAGATGGGGTGGTGAGGTGGAGAGAAGAGGGGGGGGAGTTCGATGTGCAGGGAGGTACCGGACAGGCGAGTTTGACTCGGAAAGGTTTGGATATGGAAATCACGTGACCATCCGACATCCGAGCATCGGCCACTCTGCTCTATACATGACACCACTATTAGATCAACATGGGCTATTTATTGAATAGAAAATTGGTAATTACAAGAGAAATCAATCGAGAATTTACAGTGCAGATGTATGAGAAGAAGTTCCTTTTTGAGATTACATTGGATTGGTTCAATTCTTTTTTTCGGGTCGAATTGTATACACTAAGACAAACCAAGACAGATAACCTGTTCGGTCGCAAAACCCAAGCCACTCAAGATAACCGCGACTCATTCACGCAAACAGAAGGTGATCATATGCTGAGAGCCATGATGGAGTTGACAATATCGTTGTCATTCTCCCGCAGAGCCTTGACGGCCTTCTTGCGGGAAACGCTGGCCTGGGCCATAACCAAGTCGATATCCTTAGACTCAAGGCCAGACTCGTCAACGGGCTCACCATCATCCTCCTCGTCCTTGGCCTCGACAGCGGGGGTCTCACCGCTCAGGTCAACACCGTGAGAGTGCTCGTGGTCGTGGTCATGGTCGTGACCGGCGTGCTCACCAGCGGCCTCGGCGGCAGCGAGCTGCTGGGCGGCGGAAGCCTGAGCCTGGGCGTTCAGGTCCTCAATCTTGGCCTCACCGAAGATGCTAAACTTGACGTTAGTGTTGAATTTCTTGCAAACGCATGGTAAAGAAGGGACTGGGCAAACACATACATCCAGGTGTTGGTGTTGGGGGAACGGTAGACATCGGGCTGGTTGACAACGAAGAGGATCTATAGAGATTTTTGATTAGTTTTTTTTCATGAAGCCCCCTGGGAATTTTCTAGCCATTCATCATCGATGCAATAGTCATGGCAAAGCTTTCCCTCCTCATCACAATTTGAAGAATGGCGGGCAGACATACGTTCTTGGGGCGGCGGAGGGTGACACGAGTGATGCCGGGAACGTGCTTCAGGCCGAGCTTAGCGATAGCCTTGCGAGCCTTCTTCTCGTTACGAGAGTGGATGGTGACAGAGGCACCGGCGGGGATGCCGGTGGGCTCAGCTTCAGAGTCGGAGTCGCTGCCAGCGTCGACGTTCTGGGGGACCTCGTCATCGGCAAGCTCTTCAACACGGGGGTCGGCCATTGTGAATATGTGTGTAGGGATCTGTAAAATCGGAATTGAAGAGGTTAGAGATGGTTGAAGAGCTCAATCTGAAGGCGAGAGTGGGCTTGAAGTGGTGGGAAGTGGGAGGGCGGGCGTATAGTGGGAGGAGCCGAGCAAACGCCCCACGAATCGCACAACGGGTCAAAAATGACGATTTTTGGCTGTGGGAATCCGAATAAACGGGTTATTCAGCTGTTTAACGCACCTGGAGTACAGATATGAAGCGGTGGGAGGATAGGGTGGATTTTGATGAGTCGTGAAGTCGAAGAAGCCGTGAGCTGTGCGGCAAGATTGACCGAAAATCGTTAGCGAGGCGGTTGCGCCCACCCCGGACTCCCACACATTGCCCTATACTATATGCGACGCCAGATAGCGCATACTTCCGATCGCAACGAACGTCATTGCCGGCATTAAACACTATATGAATTTCGGTAAGGAGATATAGATTGGTTTTTTTATGTTTATTAGATTTTTTTAATGCATGAATACAACGGGATTTTGTTCTACACGAATTTGCTTTCCTTGATTCTTTTTTCAGCTCAGGAAAGAATCCCGATTCTATAGAAAAAAAAAAGAGCCAGCAGATGGCCTAGAACTCAGAACAATGAGACAAGGGGCCTTGCCGGGATATCAAGGATTTTGAATCATTTTTGCTGTAGATGATTAATGCATACAGCGATTTTGCTGGAAGTTATGCCAGCTATGGAAACCCGTCCCAGGACACCTCCTTCATCCTATGCACCAAACCGTCGTGAAAACATTTATGCCTTGGTGGCAGCCCGGACCTTGGCGTAGGACTTCTGGACCTCGTAGCGGGCCTATTTAAACACAGTTAGTATGTATCGCTTGAGTGGAATTATGCGACCGGGATTGGGTCATGGTTCTTCATAGTCGCATCCCCTGATCCAGTCATGGGTGTAGTGTAAACGTACCTGCTTGCGGAGACGCAGGACCTTGAAGCGCTCGAAGTCGGTCAGGTTCTTCCGTCGCTCAGTACGGTCGGTCTTCTGAGCGAAGTTGGACTTGGCCCACTTGCCATCGATCTCGTTCTTGGCCCAGAGCTTCTTGACGGGGCCGGTACCGGCAGCACGGGGAAGCTGAGGGATGGTGAAGTGGGTGAGAGTGGCGTGAGCGAGGGGAAGGACGTGACGGGGCACGATCTTCTGCTCCTCACCGGAGGGACCGTCAACCAACACCTATAAATCGTACAACTGTCAATAAATTATCCCAAAGAGCGGCTGTTGTTTCTGTCGTCGTCCTCTCCAAGTGTCCTGCTCCTTTGATGGGTCTATCCTTCTCCATGTCTCCTTTTGCCTCCTCCTCTTTCTTGACTCCATAAAAGCAAATTCGCGGACTTCTCGGGGATTTCGAACAACTGGGAAATGCGGATTCTTTTCTTGGATTTCACATACACGGCGGTGGTCGACAATCTCAACGATGGCAGCGAGCTTGCCAGCGAAGGGGCCGGAGCGGATCAGGACGAGGCGGCCAACCTCAACCAGCTTCCACGCAGCGAGCTTGACATCGATATCGGCCATGGCGAAGGCTGTCTGGATGAAACACAAATTCAGCGATTGTCCTCGTTGTTATTTTTATCAAATCGCAATGACACTCACGGTCGACGGGTTTGGATGAGTCGGAGGGTTGTTGTCGAAGAAAGTCGGATTGTCCAAGTTCACTCTGCGAATTTCGGATGTGCCCACACATTTCTCGCTTAGCGGGCCACTCGTGGCTGGCCTAGGGTTGGCTTATGTCAGCGACCCCGGTGATTCGGAAATATAGATAATCCGCCGGGTAGCTTTTCTTCATTTTTTTTGCGCGAAAAGTCTTTGTTGATCCTTAAGTTCTACCTGCATGAGCAAAATGGTGCTTTCAAAGCTTGCAGAACATCAATGATGACTCGCATCGACACTAACCTTGTCCTACTCGTCACAGGACGTACTAATGGTATGTTTTACTCCTCTTTACTGCTGCGCTTTCATGTTCCTCAACCCTCATATGATGCTGTAATTTGCGATTGACCCGATGTCTGTGAGGCTCTCGCCGGAGTTCTCAATACAGCATTGCTGGATGATATTTAATTTCTTACATATTCTGATACCTGGTTTACCAAAAAATATTGTTGCTTTTATCATTGCATTACTGGTGCATCTTTGCTAACTGCTCCAAAGAACTTCTAGCTTTTTGCCATCGATTTCCTCGATTTGCATCTCGATCACCGTTGATCTCCTTTGGGTACGTTCCACTATCTTTTCTTTCTCCTTTGATTTCAATCACTTCCCCTCCCCCGGTTCGATGATTATAAACTTTATCACGCCTAGATAGTAATTGATGCCTCTGGCAATGATATTACCATAACTACCAAGATCTCTGAGAACCATACACAAGCACTGCAAAGTTTTACTTCATGCTTTAGTTGGACCTGCTTCTGACTTTTTATAGGATCTTTTCCAGATAAATCAATCAACATTTGAATCTCAGCTTAGCTCATGCAATATAATTCTATCTTACATTCTCTCATATCAATATCCCTCTTCTACTCGTAATCCTTCTAAAATCCTTGGAATATCATGTAATTGTGAACATGTAGATAATTTTGATTACAATAAGTCGTACTATATCGTGACTATTGAAGGCGGGCCGTGCAGTATAAAACCCAAAAGACGCCAGTATTGCTGATCTGCCTTCCACCTCGAGGTCCTACTTCAAGCCATCCTTCACCTCCGTCCCCATCTATACCCAAAATGCATGCAGTGCCTTCGCGACTTTCATCGTCTCATCATCAAGAGCTGGCATTAGATGCCAGCGCCGAGGGGCCTTCACGGCTGAGAATCCACATGAAGACAAACTGGATGACGTACGAGTAGACGAACAAGAACTGCGTGCGACGGTTGCGCTGGGAACGAGCCACAGTGTACTTAGCACCATTTTGCAGGTTGGTATCAGTCGATTCCGGAAGCAAGACGTATTTCAATGAGCGGAGCTGTTGTGTATAAGATTAGCACTGGTGTTTCTTTAGGCGGATGAGACGACCCAGCTTACCAAGAAGAAAGCATTCGCAGAAAAGGTGTAAATAAAGACAGTCCAGCCGACCCAGCCACCAGTTCCTCGGCCTGGGGTGAGAATCTCCGATGCAACCAAGGTCATAATAATGCCCACGAACTTGTATCCCGAGTACGCCACCAGGTCCAGTAGCTGCGAATCATTGTTGATGGTCAGGATATACATGGCCATTTTCAAGCACAGAATCTCGAAAAGGATGACTGCAATGGCTGTCGTAGTAATTGATCCCAGAAGCTCCGGGTGGAAGTTTCCTCTGAATCCAGCTAGGAGCACCGACAACAGGATATATGTGACCAGCGCCATGACGGGGATGTACATATCGGGCGAGTTGAGGTCATCCCGCGGGGGTAGGAACATAGAGGAGTATTGCTGCTGAACGATCTGCCCATTTGGACCTGCAGTAGCTGGCATGCGAGCCTGCTGGCGGGACCATGGCTTGTGACGCCAGGGAAAGAGGACGAGGGCGATTTTGCTGAGCACGTAGGAGTTGGAAACGTTGAAATAGTGCTTCAGGGCGGGTATGGAGACATAACGATTGAACTGTAGATGATCGTTAAGAGACTTTCATGAATAGCATGTTTGACCTTGAGGTGATTTCTTACGTTCTGTTCCATATATTCCTGACCCGCCATCATCGCAGTCTTACCGACCTGGAATCCCATCTGAGCTGTGGGGTCGTTTATAAACCCACCAAAGCCGGGGGTGCCATAGTTTCCACTTCCACCTTGTGCGGGTGAGGGCTGGTATGGATTGCCACCATACCCGGCATTTGGAGTCTGTTGAGAAGGTGGGGGTGGTGAGCGCATCATTGGGACAGTCGACACATGCTGCGGGACGGGGTGATGAAGAGGCGGCGACTGCGCGGGCGGTGGTGCGAAGGAGCCCCGATACATTATGTTCCTGATGAGACAGGGAGTAGCAGAAAGGAAAGCACCAGATTGTTTGAGGGCCTGGATGCTCTGTGGAAAGGCGGGAGAGTTGGGGGTGGGTGGCAGCGTGTGAGGGTGTTGTGTAAGTAGATGAGAGGTGGAAGTGTTTATACGTGGCTGAAGATCCCGCTGTGTCTCCGAGCTCGACCATCGCTTTTGCCCGAGCCGCCACCACCAACTTCCACTTCGTTTATCCACCTTTTTCCATGCAATATACCCCTATTTCACTTTCAATTTTTACTTCGCATTAATTCTCAAACATGCTTGAAGCTTTTGAGGTTGTTACCACCTCAGGTGTGGTGTTATGGTCCAAGTCCTACGCTCCTGTGGGGTCGCATGTCATTAACAGCCTGATCAACGACGTTTTTATCGAGGAGAAGGTCGTTCCTCAAGGCAACGCTGCGACAGGAGCTTCGCCTATATTCAAGAAAGAGAAATATACCCTCAAATGGAAGCAGGTGAAAGAATTTAACCTGATCTTCGTGGTACGTTCGCCACTCGTCGCATGCCGATCATCTGTTGTCGCAAAACTGATCTTTATTTCTACAGGCTGTCTACCAATCACTACTTCACCTCGGCTGGATTGACAAGCTCCTCGAAAACATCTCTACGATTTTCCTCGACCTATACAAGGACCAGCTCAAGGGCAATCGCACCAGAATCACTACCTACCGATTCGAGCCGTACTTCGAACAGCAAGTGCGGGAGCTCGAGGATAACACCGGTAGTGTCGCTGAGACACACATCACTGAGACGGGAGAGAAGAAGGATCCTCTTGTTTCATCGGACAATGGAGGTCCCCCACCACCACCGGTCCCCGGCCTCATCAAAGGTACGATTGGTCTTTTGGATTGAATTATAGGTTTCGAGAAGCTAACAATCGTTCAGCGCAGCACCAAGCTGCGCTAGCCGGGGCAACCTCTGACGAGGGCACGCCACCGGCAACTCCTGATGCTTCTAGATCTGGTACCCCAGTCGCCGGCCACATCCTCACCGGAAAGGCTGGTCCTGGCGGCCGAGTTTCTCGCCGTGCACGCAAGGCTGCAAATGTGAACCCCAACGCCTCGTCTGGTGACGAGGTTTCTCGCAAGGCCAAACCCACCAAGGGCTCTGCCAAGAAGATGCGTAAGTGGGATGACAACGGATATGCAGACGAAGACGATGGTGAGAATCTGGATTACTCTGCTCCAGCAGGTGATGAGATCGCATCGACTCCCGCTGTGGAGTCTGTTGCCGCCGAAGACTGGGGTCACAAGACTGGCAAGGGTCAATTCGTGCTGAAGGACTTGGGTGACGAAGTCCACAATATCTTGGACAATGCCGATGCCCAGAAGGGCAAGGGTTCCTCCGCGACTTCTGGTTTCATCGGCTCTGGCTTCAATGCAGTCGGTGGCCTCTTCCGCAACATTGTTGGTGGCAAGGTTCTCACAGAATCCGATCTCAAGAACCCACTCAAAGTTATGGAGGACCATCTACTGAAGAAGAACGTTGCTCGTGAAGCAGCCGTGCGTCTATGTGAAGGTGTGGAGCGCGAGTTGGTGGGCAAGAAAACTGCAAACTTCCAAAGTGTCGATGCCGCGTTACGCATTGCCATGGAGGCTTCTCTGCGGAAGATCCTAACACCAACATCTTCCCTCGACCTGCTTCGTGAGATCAATGCTATCACAGCCCCAACCACTAAGGCACAAGCTCCTCGGCCATACGTTATGTCCATTGTTGGTGTCAACGGTGTTGGCAAATCTACCAATCTTAGCAAGATCTGTTTCTTCCTCCTGCAGAACAACTACCGAGTTCTCATTGCTGCCTGTGACACGTTCCGTTCCGGTGCAGTTGAGCAGCTGCGCGTCCACGCCCGTAACCTGAACGAGCTCAGTTCCCGTGAGAGCGTGGGCGAAATCGAGCTCTATGAAAAGGGATACGGCAAAGATGCTGCGAACGTCGCCAAGGATGCCGTCGACTACGCAGCCGCTCACAAGTTTGACGTCGTCTTGATTGACACCGCTGGTCGCCGTCACAATGACCAGCGACTTATGTCTTCTCTGGAGAAATTTGCCAAGTTCGCTAACCCTGACAAGATTTTCATGGTTGGTGAGGCTTTGGTCGGCACCGACAGTGTTATGCAGGCACGTAACTTCAATGCGGCCTTTGGAACTGGTCGGAATTTGGACGGATTCATCATCAGCAAGTGCGATACTGTGGGTGATATGGTTGGTACGCTCGTTAGTATGGTCCATGCTACTGGCATTCCCATTGTTTTCTTGGGTGTGGGACAGCATTACGGCGATCTGCGTGGACTGAGTGTCCCTTGGGCTGTTGATCTGTTGATGAAATAAACGGCAGATCTTGCTCGTGTAAATTCAAATGCATATACTGTAGTTAATCAAATTGTTCTGATTGCTCAATGAAACAACCTCGATACCTATGTTCGCTCTTCATGAGTATTATATCATTCCTATATAACTCGCTTCGGCGCTTGAGCGAGGATTGGCGTCAAGTAAATGTCAACGCGAATGTTGATGACGATCGCTCAATTGCCAAGAAAATAATTTCTTGAGGCAACAAAAAGAAAAGAAAATATGTTGCCCTTCACCTCTGGGTTCGTAAAAAGTAAGCAGAAATAAATCAAAAAGTCAAAAAGAATTGACCGACGCAGGGGTCGAACCTGCAATCTCTTGATTCGTAGTCAAGCGCCTTGCCATTGGGCCAGCCGGCCTTGTTGAAGACAGAACCTAGTATTGGCTACATGGCGCCGTGGTAACTCCAAACTCAAATCAAAAAGATAGAACTCAATTAACCTTTTAAGACTAGCGTATCCTAAAAAAGAAAGGCAAAAAAAAACTCCGGCCAGTGTGAGATCTTGACTCAAAAAGAGAAAAGCAAAAAAGAAACTCTCCCTCGGGGAATCGAACCCCGGTCTCCCGCGCTTGACGGTGTTAATGACAAGCGGAAATCATGACCACTAGACCAAGGAAGATAAGACAGCTGAGTTCCACTCGGCCACTTGGGGTGGTTGATGTTTGCTGAGGCAAAGTTGACATTATGATCGTGCGCTTCGATCCGGTGAAAAATCCAGCCATGCATCACATTCGCGATCTATCTACACGAAATAATGTAACATTATCAACAGGATTACATGTTATTAGACTTTCATTCAGTCCCATTACTAGTTTTTGGCATATATACACCGTCGAAAGGCTGTTCTTTGGCTTTTGCAACAATCTTAATGTTTGATGGGTTTTTTTGAAGAATATTGGCACAATATATTTATTCACCTTGCACGTACACCTAGCTTGAGACACTTCACAAAAATATTTTTCCCAAGTTAGTTCCAAGAAAAAGGCCGGAGAGCATCTCAAGACAGAACAGTGAAGCTCAAAGGCATGATACTTAAATATCTGAGCTAAGTTTCCCAGAATATTGCAGTCGCTGGTACCGTAAGTTGAATGCGCATCCACACGAAGATCCCGGACTGAGCATACATAACATTACAGTCAATGCCCAACTAATCTATCCTGCTTAGTTGGCCTCCAAGATTTAGCCTCCTGCAATTCATCATGATGGTTTTTATCTTCCGGGACAGCACGCTGCTCGATCTCCTTGCTGACATCAGAATCATCATGATGGGCTCCGACAATCCCATCCGTCATGACATCCTCAGGATAGGACTTATCTGAGCCCTCTGCAGCTCCTGCATTATCTGAAACAGCGCTTCTCGGTGTCTCAGACTCGTAGTGGCCTGTAATATCATGTCAACATCGAATAATATCTACCTCGAAAGGAAGCTGGATTCCACTCACCATGGCTGGTATGAAGTCGAGGATCCAAATTGTTTGCTAACTTCGACCCATGAGACCCACCTTGGTCCGCATTATGATCTTTTGCTTCATTTTTGTGGCTGGTGATGGCGCTCTCGGCTTTGTGTAGGATTTGCGACATGATTGATGTCTCAATGAGATATAATATCGTCTTAGCGTGGAAAACCAGTGGAATATAAAGTGAACCTTGAAGTTTCTGTGATTTTGGATGATAACAATAATAAACCTACTTATCACCCCTTGAGCCCAACTATAACAAAGGTATGACATATTCATATAGATGAACAATAAAGTAGTATGACGTAGCCAAAATCCTAAGCGCAACACAACAGTTGGGAATGGACTATACTTCAGTGCATGGGCCGGCGTCATGCCATGGTCATGCGACCGTAGTCTATATAAGAATCAGGACCAGAAACAAACTGTATCTTTCGGGTGTAGAATACCTCTTCTCTGCCTTGGAAGAGGCAATGACATCTCGGGTAGAGTCGCGCCAATCAGAGGAACAGGGATTTTTAATCATCCCTCCCGCGGTCCTCACATTTCTCATGAATTTTTGCATAATATACTTTACGAAAATTGTGATAAGGGAAAAAAAGATCTGAGACTGATGGGGTGCTAGAGAACTTGGACTGGGATCGAGTTGTGGAAATTGATATTCTTATAGTGGAGCCGTTGAGGCGTTCCTGGGTTGATCTTGCAGCATGACATATTGACTAGATTTTTTATGTCGAAAAATCATTACTCTTAATCAATGCACTGGTATGGTATGTGAGCATACATCTAACAAGATAAGTTTAAGACCCAATTGTTCAGTCAAGCGATGATTCACTGAAAATGCCGCAACCTTCGACCCGATTGCGGATTCGTTTGAAACGCAATCCACCTCCACCTACTCAAGTTCGAGTAGAGATAACGCAACCTTTCTAGCAGTTGATCCTAGTATATAACCATCCGACTTCATCTCAAATGTTCTATCCACGACAAACGGTATCATATTTTACATATGGCAAAGTAGAAGCTATATTCAATTTTCAAGCAACCCCGAGAATTCTTCTATAGTGCTAGGCCAGTTAGCGAATCAGCAAAAGGCGAAAATGAACCGCGGAAAATTTGAATAAACAATCTTATTGGTATATCTAAGTTTGTGTATTTCCTGGCCAATTGACTTAGCGTAGTACTGCTGTACTTGCGTCTAGCCTAATATTAGAGATGCACTGTCGAACCTAGTACTGTATATTTCCCGCATATCTAGAGTACGTTATAAGGGAGAGACCCCAGTCCCCCCCACCTGGCCCGATGGCTCGGGCCAGGAGGTGTTCCCTAGGGCACCATAGATCCCCATGCGGCTGTGGTTTTGTCGCCTATGGCACCTGACCTCTAAAACGAGGCTGGAAGAGGGTAAAAATATCAAACTAGACAATATAATAACTACACATATATAATATAGTAGGCCATCTCTTTCGTGCCAAGGTTGGTGGTTTGAGTACGGGTGTCATCAGCCGGAGGGTACGAGGAAGAATGCCGTGGGTATGTGGGCGTGGATACTCAGATGAATGGATCTCTCGGTGCGGTAAAGCTTCCCGGCGATGCTCTATGGGCGCAGGTGTGTCTTAGTTGTGAAGCTGCGACGTGAAATGTCTTCGCAAAACCCCACAATCGGCCGGTTTCCATATGAGCTCGATACATCTCAACGAGAAGGTCCATGCTATAGATGCTTGTACACTGTACACGCCCAGTGATGATCAACCGCGTCCTACATTTATTACATGCATGGACCACCCAGGCAGCTAAGCCGATCATGTGCCTGAGCACTGTATAAGGGTTTGAGTAATTGGTTGCTTGCGTTTGGCCAGACCCCGCTGACTCATCATCTCCAACTGGCCGCTTACATCACTTGTTCCATCCCCAATGCATCTTCCGCCTTCATCACATCCAAAGCTCTCATTCATATCTTCAATCTAGCAGGCAGTTCGTCGGTTACTGCTCTGTGAGATTTGGTAATCTTGTGTTCCGCCATTCCTTGATTCTCGTTCGACGCCCTGCCTCATATACCGGCTTCGATAGCTCCGCGGCTGCAGGCGAACCCTGCACGAACCCGGTTTTGCCGTCACGAACGGGAAACCATCCTTCGATTGCGTGGTTGCACGTCAAAAGTGCCTCCGATCACGGGGCTTATATGATACAGTCTCTCTTAAAATGACGGTATCAGACAGGAGCACCCTGAATCGCCGCTCCTCTACACAACATTACCAAACGTTCGATACCCCGCCGCCGAAGTCGCGTGGTCGGCCTAATTCTGGACGGTCGGAATCGTCTGAGGATGCACCACACGGCAACGGAAGTTATGATGATACCTCTGGTCATGAAAATGTGAAGTCTCCTTTACCCAAGCGGCAAATGGCAGTACTGGCGATGATTGCATTGGCCGAGCAAACAGCCTTAAACTCCATCAGTCCTTATCTCCCAGACATGGCGTCAACCTTCCCGGAAGTGGAGCCTAGCCAGGTTGGCGTTTATGTCGGGACAATCGCGTCCGCATTCGCATTGGCACAATTCGCGACAAATTATTTCTGGGGCTCGTTGTCTGATCGAATTGGCCGAAAGCCGGTGATACTCCTGGGTACTTTCTTGACTGCGTTATGTTTCGTTGCCTTTGGGTTCTGCAGGACTCTCTGGCAAGCGATTGCAGTGCAAGCACTTATGGGTATCGTCAATGGCAACCAGGGTCTGGTTTCTACTTGTCTAGGTGAAATTACCGACCGTAGCAACCAATCGCAGGCTTTTACCTACCTGCCTGTTCTCTATGGAATTGGCGGTATAACAGGACCTCTTCTGGGTGGATTGCTAGTTCTCGAGCAGAACCCATTCACTGGAAAGAAAAACCCTTACCCCTACCTCGCGCCAAACCTGGTCTCTGCCGTTATTCTTATCATTGATTTTGGGTTAACGGCCTACCTGTTGGAGGAGAGTCTAGAAGACGCGGAGGCGCTACCCAAATTTAGTAAAAAGTTCCGCAGCCTTTTTACCTGGCTGTGGCAATTTACTGGTCTCTCACGGCATCCGACTTATGTCCGACTCCCGCAACCCTCTCTGCACCGCAGCTCTACTGAAAATGAAGACCACGACAGTGACCTGGATTCCGCATCAGAAGTGTCGAGCAATATTATTAATCACCCCGAAGAGCTGACTTGGGATGAAATTTTCACTCGTGATACGATCCTGTTGCTTTTGACATATCTAATTTTTGCTCTATGCAACGTGTCATTCAATTCGCTGTTTCCAATCTTTGCACAAGCAAAGCCACCAGCAGGACGAAAGCTCACACCCTCCGAGATCGGTCTTTCACAAGGATTTGCCGGTATTGTGACTATAATCTTTCAGATCGGCATCTTCAATCGTCTTCGCGACAAGATGGGCAACCGCTGGTCGTACCGAGCGGGTCTCTTTGGTTTCGTTATTGCCTTTTTGCTTATGCCATTCATCGGATACAAGAGTAAGCCTGGCACAGGCTTGACTAGACAATCAGCCCTGATGGCCGTGGAGCTATGCTTTGTTCTCCTGATCAAGACCGTCGCATCCGTGGGCGGATTGACTAGTGCCCTATTACTAGTCACAAACTCGGCCCCGAACCATGCTGTCCTCGGTGCTCTCAACGGTCTTGCACAGACTCTCTCTGCCGCTGGTCGTTCTGTGGGTCCTTTCTTATCCGGAGGACTCTTTTCTTTGACATCGAAGATCCAGCCCAAGGGTGAAGCCTTGGCATTTGGTGTTTTTGGAGCTGTCTCTTTTATTGGCTTTATCATGAGCTTTGGCATCCGAGGTCGATCTCTCGAAGCCGAGGGATGGGCAAGTGACAGCGACGACGCAAACTACAAATCTGATGATGAAGAGCAGAATGGCGCTTAGGTTTAACTACGGCCCATGCGAGAATAACGGACACGACCTCACGATTGAATTTGGATTTTATTTTTATTTTTATTTTGAGCCTTGCATTCGATACATATAGTAGTCAATCCTAACTAACCCTGGAAAGGATCGATGAAGCATTATCTCAGCTAAGCGTTTTACAAGGATGCTGGCGTTTCTTTCTTTCTTTCTTTCTTTCTCCTTTTCTTTTCTTTCCTTTCCTTTTTTATACAATTTCCCTTTCCTTGCTGCTATTATTATCATGGTGGTTGAACATTCACCGGGTGGTTGTTTCTTATACAGAATTGTACACTTCAAATGTTGCATGGGCATTTATGTTCCTCGCTGTCTCGATAAGCCTTCGTCATTAAAAGTATGGAGGACTCAATTTCAAACTATATCATACCATCCCGCCTCATGCACCTGTAAAGAAAGAAAAATAATAAAACCTCCATCAATATCATGTAATATCCTCCAATGGAGCACTTTTAAAGCTGCCTTGCGCTGAGCAGTCGTAAGGAAGCTCTATTGATCCAAAATGTTTTTAACCGCTCCACAAATGCCCGTCAAAACCTCCTTCGCTGTCTTAGAAGTAAAGTCCTCTCGTACAACAATTCTCATGACTTCGATATCCTCACCGTCAGGCCCCCATCCGGGAATCGTATAATCTGAACGCAAGTCAGTACAATGTAATCCCACAAAAAAATGGCACCGTCAAACGTATCACATACAGGGAATAGAATATCGCTGCTGATGCATGATATCACTGATATCCGTAAGACAAAACGAAGGATACTCCCGCTTGAAGCCATCAGAAAGTCGAAAGACAACAACCGGAAGTCCTGATATCATCTCCTCCTCGCAAAGAGAGCGACTGCCAACTTGCAGTTTGGATCCAGCCTGCAAACGATGGATATCACTCAAACAACGGAAGTAGCCCGATGACTCGAGCCCTTCACTCACGATGCGTGCATTCTCCAGACAGCTTTGGATTGTCTGTCGATACCCGTTCAGACCCTTCTGAAGAAAGTTGCAGTACTGATACACGATCGGCGTACTGGACATCGAGAAGCTAAGCGAGAAAGCCGTCTGAATGCCTCGCAAATAGCACGACTCGTGGATAAGATCCGGCGGAATAATTGATCTGTCTTGCCAGATAACCCATCCAATTGCCAAGGGACACAAGCCATATTTGTGACCTGAAGCATTGATAGATTTCACCCTTGGAAGACGAAAGTCCCTAATTCAAATAGCATGAGCTGGACAGCTGAGCGAAGGCGAAAAATAGAAGAACACAACGTACCATACAAATTTCTCATTGTTAAGCGTGAATGGCGCGACAAAGCCACCACCAGCAGCATCAACGTGAATAGGAATATCATATCCCGTTTCATGCTGGTAGATATCGAGGATGTTCGAGACTCTTGCGACCGGATCAAAGTGTCCAGAGTACGTACTTCCTAGCGTAAGGAACACGCCAATAGTGTTTTGATCAAGGTATTCCTCGAGTACTTTCGCATCAAGGGTATATTGTTGATCCACCGGGATAACTCTGGCTTCTACGCCGAAGAATTCGGCGAATCTAGTGATGCATACGTGAGAGTTGCTACCCATAACCACGTTCATGGGAGCGCCGGGCCGGGCCGCGTTTTTGAGTTGCCATCTTCGTTTCATTACTAGTCCACCGAGCATGACTGCTTCCGATGATCCTGTAACGCCAGTACCGAAGTAGTTTTCGTCTGATGGGGCATTCCAAAGATGGGCGATAATCGATAAACATCGTTTTTGGAATCTGTGATGGCCAGGCAGTTAGGTATTGAGTTTTGAATAAGGTTTAAAGTTTAAAATATTGGAGACTGAGACATTACCTTGCTATAGATGGATATTCTTCCACACAAGCAGTATTCTTCAAAGCGCTCATTTTAAGGATGTCGCTCTCTGTTTCTTGGAGTTTTGTTGTGGTAAACCTGTGAATGTGAGCTTGTGTTCATGTTTAGGTGCCTGCTATGGTTGGCTGTTTGATGTTTATTTACCTGCCTAGATCTCGGGTTGGAGGGATGTCCAGTTCCATATCTTTGAGTATCATTGCCTCTACTCGTTCGATAGAAACTCCCTGTTGAGGAACTAGTGCCTCTGGAGGCTGATACACCGCATTGTTGACCGTCATGATGGATGAAGAAAATATGGTCTCTCAATTGACCGGGAACTACTCGGCGACAAGACTTCTATAGAAGAGCGCAATATTTGAAGACACAGACGCCACTTGAGCAGCAAGAGACCGAGTTTTTACAGACACAGCTCGTCATTCCTGACCGACCCAGTAGGGGCTAGTGTCACAGCATTTATTTTAGGCATTGAATTGCGACATTTCTGCACGTAAAATGTTTCCAAGCGAGTGAGCATATTCAAACTGCCGGGCGAAGTAGATCTACAACCCCCACAACGCTAATGGCGATCCGTGATCGATCGAACAAGGGGATTTCACCAGATCGGTAGTTTTCATGCAGGAGAATCCAAACTTGGAAGTCTGTACTACCCTCAAAGTGTGCTTGGCAAAATCTAGCATGAACGTGATATGCATAATCTACATTCGGCCTATCCCATGCTATGATTTTCTTGTTTTCCATGCCAATTGATGCAATGCCTACCCAAACGGAATAATATTCTCCACCCCGTAGGAAGATTTATCCCGCATTCATATTAGTACCCACAAAAAGAGATAAAAACACTGTATCTGGCGTTTTCTCATGACGACAAGTGGCGAGCCGATTATGCAATTTTACGTGGATTCTTTCTAGGTTCGAATTCAGCCGGCCCGCTACATGCAGGTTTATGGAAGGCGCCGAGATTTTGAAGTTCTCGGGTCTGAAATATGAGGTAGTGATAGACATCTTTCTGCATATTATGGGTGTACTAAGACTTGGTTTGTGATCATGGGATGATTAGATTTGTATGGAGTATTCAAGCCGACTGCGTTCGGAAGTACCGCCCTTACAGCCCTTCAAGGGGGCGTGACTCGATTCAATAAGCGCTCTTGGCTTCATATGCGCCTGTGATCCAAATTCCAAAAAATCAAATCATGCCACAGAAAAATTTAGTTGTTACCAATTGAGATTTTTGTTGAACATGGCAGATCATTACCTGTTGGCCACTATCAAGGGGATGCGGTAACAGCTTTCAAAACAAGGATAGACCTGGCTATAAAACGACCCATGGCTTAGCGAAGAATAAGGTAAGTTGCTATGTTATCATCGAAGATTTGAAGAAGATTTAAAGCAAAATATTCAACTTGCTGTTTCTTTCAGAAATAAGACAAGGAGAGCACAAAGAAAAAGACTAAATTCAACAAGATGGCAATCACCAAGCTCAACTATGGAATGAGCCATGCCAAACATGGCCATTTCAAAACTGCTTCCAAAAAGTACGAGCTTGGTGGCAGGCCAGCTTATGCAGATTCAGCTGAAGCTACGTTCCTTGTTGCCTGGGCTGTGATTGTACGTGATTACTATGAGCAAGACAATCCTCAGTTCAGTCAGATCAAGCCGAAGCTCAATATTTGCTCTAAACCACCCATGGAAACCGGCCCGGACGACATTCGTTCTCAAGAGTGGATTTTTCAAATCGAGGCTGACTTGACTGGAAAGGATGCCTTGAGTTATGTCTCCCGGAAAATGGAAAGAAAGTACTGTTGCTCTCACTCGGAGATGAGTGGACCAACGGGAGTGTTCATTCGAAACTATTCCAACCCCCGAGAGCAAAGACATTTCAATGAACGATCTCAGGTTCTGAAACAGGTTCAGGTATGACTATATTATTTTCAATGTTGATACATCATCTGATCTAACAATTGACTTTTTATAGTTCGAAATTATTCTTTTGGTTGAAATTTTCCAGGAGAGCACCATTTTCGACATCTATATCAACAGCCAGAAAAGACCCGAATACCAACCCGGCGCCGTACTGGAGAGTTTCTCTAGGGTCTGCCGAGAAATCGCTTTCAAGCCAGAGGCAAAACTCTGCCAGCTCAACACATTGGGTTCCCTCGACTCCAAAAAAGTCTTTCAACTCAACGCGCGAGGAGCAAACAAAATACCCACGACGCCCGAGACCCTCCATTCCCTCATTGGGAAAAACTATGACTCCCGCCCGAATGATATTTCCCTTCTCTCTACTGAAACGCATATGACATACTCTGAACTGGGCGAACAGTCAGCCGCAGTCTCTCAACTGCTCACATTGAAAGGAGTCAAAGCCGGAGATTATGTCGCATTTTGCATGGAAAAAACAATATTCTCGATCGTTGCTGTAGTTGGAATTCTCAGAACGGGCGCCGTATACGTGCCAATGGACGTATTCCACCCCACTGGCCGCATTGCTCAGATTGTGGAGGAAGCCGAAATCCAATATGTGGTGACCGATCAAGTGATGAGACACAAGTTCGATGGTCTTCCCGTGGCATTAATAATGCCAGTTCAATCTGAGCAGAATGAAATCCCTGAAAACTGGGCAGCCGAAACAAACCCTGACCCGTCCAACCCAGTTTACGTTATGTTTACATCCGGTAGCACTGGGTCTCCCAAAGGAGTTATTCATGAACATGCGGCTGTTTCGCAGAGTCTGCTTGACTGTCTCGAAGATCTTAAAATCGATAGCTCCACCAGATTCATGCAAAGTGCCTCACTTGCATTTGATGCGAGCATCATGGAAGTATTCGCTCCACTGGTTGCAGGTGGATGCCTCTGCATGCCTTCCCAAGACGAAAGAAACGGCGATTTGGAATCGGCTATGCAAAAGATGGGAGTGACAGATGCCTGGCTCACACCGGGCTTGACAGCACAGATCAAACCTCAGAGTCTGAGTGACCTTCGAACTTTATCTGTTGGAGGAGAGCCACCATCTGCAGAGACTCTAGCTGTCTGGGCCCCACGCGTCAAATTCAATAATCTCTATGGAGTAACTGAGGCCGGCGTGTGGGACACAGTCAAGGTGGCCATGAAGGCACATGATAATCCAAAGAATATTGGCCGAGGCATAGGTTCTGTTGCGTGCTGGATTGTTGACCCGGAAAACGTCCAAAAACTAAGACCCTTCGGTGCGGAGGGAGAACTTCTTATCCAAAGCCCATATCTTGCCAAAGGCTATCTCAAAGACCCTGAGAAGGAGGCATCCTCTTTCCTTGACAGTTCATCTTTGAATTGGAGACCCATGATCCATGCTAAGAATGGATCTCGTCTTTATCGAACAGGTGACCTGGCAAAATTCAATGAAAATGGTGAGCTCATTTTCCTTGGTCGCCAGACCGGATTTATCAAGATTCGCGGTCTCCGTGTTGATCTGGGCGAAGTCGAAACTGCCATCAACTCGAATATTCAGCAAGGTCGCTCTGCAGTGGTTGTTTTAGATGCCGATCCCAGCAATATTGAGATTGTTGCATTCGTGGAAACAGAATCCCACCCTAGAAATGGTCTGGCAGATGAGATGCATGGACATCTTGTTGAAACTCTCCCTTCGTATATGATTCCCAGCATCTTCATTCCTCTCAAATCACTTCCACTTACAGCTTCAAAGAAGCTGGACAGACAGACTTTGAAAGTACAACTCTCCAAAATGGGGCAGAGAGACCTCCTTTCCTTCCGCAAAGGAGGATTTGAAGACGTCGCATATGAACCAATTCCCGAAACAAGGCCGACTGCACTTGATTTGAGTTTTGTTATATCCGATATGCTCAAGTGCAAAGATGAAGGCTACGCGATGTCTCTCGGTGGTCATAACTTTCCTTTGGACGCCGTGGGTTTGACATCTATCCACTTTGTCTCCTTGTTAAACACCATTCGCAAGAAATATGGAAAGAGTATCAAGATTCAAGATGTGCGCCAGGCTTCAATGAGTGTTTATGACCTTGAAAACCTTGTTATCAACGATCAAAGTCAAGTCCCAGCAAAAACAGACCAGAGAGACCTACTGGCAAATCTCAAGGAATTATTATCAACGATGCCCTTGGTACATGTTCGTGGAAAGACCCTGTTTCTGACTTCAATTACCGGGTTCCTGGGAAGTCAAATACTTCGACAACTTCTTGAGACAAGTGAGGTGGATCACATTATTGCCCTCGTTCGAGGTGAAACCCTAGAAGTTGCCAGAAATAGGGTTCAAGAGCAAGCAGAGATCGGAAAATGGTGGCGTGATGAATTCCACGATCGTATTGAGATTTGGCTCGGCGATCTCAACAAGCCCCAACTTGGCCTGGATAAGTCCAACTGGTCCCGATTATTTGCCGATGGCAAGCAGCGCAAGGTTGATGGGATAATTCACAATGGAGCAAAGGTTAACTGGATGGACAACTACGAGAATCTGGAGAAGACGAACGTCCACAGTACCGCTCATATCCTATCTGGAATGGCTACTATGTCCAATCCATTCCCTTTAGTCTACGTGTCTGGTGGATACATGCCCGCCGAAGAAGAAACACATCAAGAAATTGCCAAGAGTCTCTCTGATGCTTGTGGATATGACCAGACAAAATTCATGTCCGAGCTCCTGATTAACGAATACAACCAGCATTTGGAATTGGCCAACCCGATAGCCCCACGGGCGCGCACTATTATACCCGGTTTCATCGTTGGGACCCAAAAAGAAGGCATCGCCCATACGGAAGATTTCTTGTGGCGCTTTGCATTTAGTATCTCCAGACTGCAAGCTATAAGTAAAGATTTTGGTCATCTTACTGTTGCTGGAGTGGATCAGGTATCCGATCTCGTTTCGAAGATTATCTTGCGACCGAGAGACTACCCTGTCGAGACGATCAGACTTTTCGATGGTGTATCGACACCGACAATGTGCCGGGTATTGGCTGAGAAACTGAATATTAAGATACGACCCATGGAGCATAAAGAATGGATGAAGCTCCTACGCGAGGATGTGGAGGCAGCGGATTTTGATCATCCCTTTGCACCTGTCCTAGCATGGTTTGAAGAAAGCGTCTGGCAGTTCATGGATGGCCAAACCAATACTTGGAAGAACAAGTTCTATAACGAAGAAGATATTCTTAAGTCACTGAAAAGTAGTGTTGGTTATTTGAAGAATTTGGGGTATTTTGTCGATGGTGGGTTAGGCGCTAATGCTGAAAACGCTGCCATTTTCACGCGAACCAAATAATTGCAATTTGTTATTGTGTGGCTGCGACAAAATTTTATTTGTATTTTTCAGGCGCAAGAAAGATCGGAAATTTCTCAATAAATCAAATTGTTTAAATCAACGCTTGCTTCTATCATTCCTTCGTAATATCTATACAGTTGAATTCCTGTCATGCCGCCCGGGCATGATATCAGGGCATGAGGTGACCCTGCCAGTGGGCCAAGATGAATTTCATCTTTACATGGACTTGACTCCAGCCCGTGGAGTCAGGTTAAGCTTAAGTGGAGGCTTCTCCCAGAAGATATAAGACTTTTGCTTATGCCAATTGCAGTTAGGATCGGTCAGCTCCATGTCGAAATTGTAGACAAGCCGAGAGAAAACTAGGCGCATCTCAACGTACGCAAGGCTGAAGAGAGGAATTTAGTGAGAAAGCTTCAGACAATAAGAAGTAGCATTTAATACGTACTTGCGACCGATACAGTTTCTTGGACCAACACTGAAGGGCTGCAATGCATCCTTGTTATCGCTTGCAAAGCGGGGATCATTGAGGTGGCGCTCAGGGATGAAGTCTGTGGCATGCTTGAAGTTATACTCAGAGAGATAGGCAGCGGCTTGATGGACAGAGACAATTGTCTTTATTAAATATTAGTACGTTCTCGAATCAAGTGAAGCAAAAGAGTGGTTTGACTTACGTTTGGTGGAACCCAGTTACCAGCAATCATGTCACCTTGATCGCCAACAAGGCGAGGTAGGCTACCGGGGACAGGAGGATAGATTCGCAAAGTCTCAGTTAGGATAGCACCGAGGTACTCCAGCTTGCTGACACGATCAATGGTGATTTCATCCTCTGAGTTGAAAGCGCCTCGAATCTCATCTCTGAGTCTGGCCCAGATGCTTGGGTTCATTAACGTAAAGTATGTTGCCCCCGAGAGAAGGGTGGCAGTTGTTTCCGACCCAGCAACAATCATAGTGTTACCAGTTGAGTAGAGCTCCGAAAGGCTGAACGCCCTGCTTGTATCTTTATGCTTGAGGATATCGGCAAAGAAATCGGGACGATCGTTAGACTTCTCTAGTCTGGCATCAACCCTCTGACGAGTCCATCTCATATGATTCATTTTAGCTTCAATCAGCCTTTTCGGAGTGACATGTCGCAGGAGATGGTTGATGCCAGGAATACGCTTGATGACAGCCATATAGGCACCCGACTTCAAGTTATCGAAGATCACGCTAACCCATGGATGATACTTGCCGTTCTCAAGGCATCCAAAGGGTTCACCGAATGTCATGTCTCCGATCAAATCAAAAGTGGTAAAGTTATACCAGGAAACAATATCAACAGGACTGTCACAGCGTTCATACAAACGTCGCATCAGAAGGTCACTATATTTCTTCATAATAGGCTCTTGAGAGTGCAAAGATTTATCGGAGAAGGCGTGCGACAGCGCGCGACGTTGACGGGCGTGATCGGCATCGTTAGATGTAATGATACTGGGACACCCATCGAGGGGAGGTGCATAAAATCGAGCGTCCTTTTGTTTTTGCTGGTGACCTTGTCGGAAACCGTAGATTGACTTCCAGGCTTCGGCATCGATGAACTGGAGTTCTCCTGGGCCGACTCGAACTACAGGACCGTATTGATCATGAAGCTCCTTTGCACTTGCAATAGCGCGACCGGTGATAAATGTGTATAAGTAAGACGAGCGACTTGCTGCCATGTGCTTTGGGCCGGGGAACTTCGAGAGAGGATGGAAGTAGACATTGCGGATCCAGTCAGAGATGTAATACAGTGGAACCTAGAACACAAGATAAAAGTTAGTCTGGGTGTCTTGTGTACGTGGATTTATAAAGATAGGACAAATCCGCTAACCACTATGAAAATAAGCACTAATATAGTGACACCTAAGCGAAATGGCGGATTGGGAGCACTTTTGTGAATGTCAGCGATAACTGACATGGTGCCGGTTTTGATAGAGAAAAAATGATTTAAAAGAGGAATTCAAATTCTATAGTGCACATTGGGGCCTCCAGGGCTGTTTACAAGATTCAAAACAGCGATCATCTTGGATACTTATATATGAATTGGAATATTCGAGTATTGATGTGCAGATATGACATGGCTAGCAATCTTTCAGTGTTTCCATAAATTCCACAAAATACGTCATAAGATATTGAAGGAATCAGCATTCTCCACACCCTCATGCAGGACATACGTACGTATCGAAAGAGGAATGATAGTGACAGTGACAGATTTGAAGGATCACAACGGCGACATTATCTGCAGAGAGAGACAGGGGTCTACAGAATGGGGCGACCGGGTCGGGTGTCGTATTTATGAAAATTCAAAACTCCAAGTAAAGATCGACCTTGAGTGACCAATATGTAATATATTGCGAGGGGCGATTGGCCCACCTAATGCTACCCCAAAAGCTTGAGTATAGACAAGCAATAAGGGAACAGACAGTGGAGATTGATTTTAATAGCAAAGGCGGCAAATTTGTATCATAAGTGGCCCCTCATATGCATGATGAGCTGGCCTCGTCTTGGTGTCATTGGACCCCGAGCTGTCGACTGCAATCCTTAGGTCCGATACATTATCACTTTGACCCCGAGTGTCGATTTGGCCCCCCGGCCCGACGACGATCTTAACCCCCGGTTTTTCTATTTTCGAAGTCCGCTCCGCGGGCACCCTGGACCCTCCGACGTCGCCCCTGATATAATTTGTTCTCGTTTCGATTACTGTACTGGCCGCCAGGCGACCCAGCTCTGACAAACGAGAAGACGCGTACTCTTTTAGTAGTCGATTTCTACATATATGCCCGGAGTTATTTGATGTCCGTCCATTTGTGTTCGGGCTGCTCATAGGTGTTGATCTGCGTCGAAGGATCAAAAGTATTGCCTCCTACAACAATATTGATGATGCTAAAAAATATGTTGCATCATTCATGTTTCGAGACTGATATCTTCTCCATTGTGATTCTTGAAACCCTATAGCATCGGTGGACTAGTCGCTTAAAAAAGAAATTCGTATTCTGTGAATTGGTTCATCACTCGCGAAACCTGCCCTATTTTCTTGATCGCGCCAAGTGAACGGTTTGAACGTGAAGCAAATGGGGAAATGACCTACAATATAGGTGGGGAAAACGCTTACTTTTGCTGACCACGTCGATCTGGTTGATAACGGGGAACTCGTGCTTGTTTTGCGCCGAGGCTGCGACCATACAGTGTGAAGAAAGGTCTTCATAGCAACTTTTGAACATGTTGAAGTGGCGGGTGGCGTGCAGATCATCAAGTGACAATACCTGTATAGCGTGAACTTGAAGCTCGTGTGCTCTAGGCCCGGAGCCTCTCTTTGGATTGTACGCCCAAGATATCATTACTATTCATGAATATATTCGACTAATCCAAGTCCGAACCAGGGCCAATTGATTGATTGCCGAGGTTTCGAAGACCTGAATTGATTATATGCCAGCTTCTTCAGTTAATGATTGGTATATATCTCGTATATCTCCAGGGCTTTCATACATCAGACTTCATGTAAGACCTCGGGATCTGCACTCTTTCCTAATCGGGCAACGCTTGAGTGTATCATTACGGTATCTTACAGCTACACTTTGGATTGAATACCGCCTCCCCAAATGTGGGCTAGTGGCACCCGTCCGGAGTTATACGATCCAATAACCAGCCAGTCTGATAAGATGATCGTCAGTCTTGGGAGGCTGTGCATTTTGTCTGACATCTCACTACCGCATTTAGTTCTACTCATAGGAAACTCTTGGTACAGAGCCGCCTACAGGGTCATATTGCTGCCAAGATAGTCCATGGCATCGCCAAGGTGATATTACCCGGAGGGCCCTGAAAGTGGGCCGGGGCAACCAAATGATTGCCCCTTGGCAAGTGCTGGCTGTTTGCTTGATATTTGCCTCGTCTTTGTGCATATCCTACCGCACGCAGCTACTAGGCCACCCATCGTCCTTCCCCTCTCCGGCTAGCCTAGCTGAATAAGAAAGAAAGAGCCTAACCTCATTGGTCCAAGTTATGATAAAATCCACGAATCCTTTGTGGAAGGTCCTCTATGATGCATTTTCAGTATCCAGCTTACGCACGGCAGGCCTATTCAAGACTTGAGCAGATTGATATTGCCGATGAATAGGATAACCGATGAAAAGAATGGCAATATACGGATTTTTATGACGTTTGGCATACTGACACAAATGCTGTATGAACCTGCAAATACTGGGGACCCCAGAGCGTAGGGATTGGCTCTCTGAAAACGCCCCAACCAAGGTAGTTGTAACTACTTTTAGATAATGATATCATCATACTTTCATTGTAACTATCGTTGGGCTCATTTACTAATTTTGATTTAGAAAGCCTATGTCAGGGTACATACCAGAGACTATCCGACAGGCACGGGCGGCCTGAATATACGCGCCGCTCTCTACGGTACCATTATCAGCAGGCCTACCTTTCGCTTTCCCTTCGAATGGCTTACTGTTATCTGCAAGTAAGAGCCTATTCTCAGCATAATCGATGGAGCACATGGAATTGGAATGATCCCTCTGGACATGGAGCAGCTTCAGCCCGATTTCTTCATGACAAACTGCAACAAGTAAGTTTTCCTCCTCGGCTTATGAAGGTTTCCCATCTTTGACACTCCATTAGATGGCTCTACGCTCCAAGGTCCTGTTCTATGATGTACTGCCCCAAGCATAACCAGCCTTACATCCGCACAATTTTGCTTACTTCCTAGGGCTTTCTCCCATCGACGCCTTTACTGCTCGTCCAAGCCCCTATTCCCAGAACACCCTGTTCGAAGAATTATTTTTGTTAAGTGTAAGAACAAGTAATGATTTACAGATAAGTTGCCTTCCTACCACATTGAAATTCTGCCGAGAAGTCTGCGGTGGCAAAGAGGCTGTTATGACCTATTCTTGTGAACATGCTAACGAAGCGGAAGGTATGCTTGTAGAGTCTCTTGGCACGGAAGTCCTTCAAGAAAAGAACCCGAAGCTGGGTGAAAAGAGCAATATACGCGACTACTACTGTATAGTCCCTCTTCGTTTGCCCATTGGTTATATAAAAGGGGATAATGTGGCAAATTTGCCTGGTGCATGAGGCACCATATTGGAGAAGGATTGGGGTCGCGTTACAGCGTATATCCATAGACGGTTAATGGGTGATTATAAGACCTTTGTTCCTATCTTTGCGTATGGCGAATAGTTGTAGCTTCATGTTTGTGGCCAGGTGTATTTGGACATGAGAAGAATCATCTATGGATTCTATTGCAAGAAAGGAGAGCTGTACCTTTCCAAATATCTGGGAAAAGGTGCTATCTCAAATATATGGAGGACTCGAGAATATCAGAATTCTAGCTACTATAGTGAAATATAGCAGTAGACATAATTCCAAATCATACATTACACCACAAGAAAATAGTTTATAGGAACATCTACTAACTAGTATGTATTAGTATAACGATTAACAAACACAGGCTATGAGCATTGTACTAGTGGCCAGAAGGATACCTAGCTGCCCCGGCTGTGATCGGCATAGTTATAGCCTAGTCAAGCCTAGCGCCGGCATGGCCTTCCAGCATGCAACACAGTCTACCAATTATGCTCAACTCGCTAGCTCACCATCCAGGCTATCACGTTCGGCCGTATGGTGACTACCCACTGACCACCTTTTTTCGGCTCGCGTTCGCCCACTCGGATTCTCTAAATGCCCAGAATACTAGAAGTGTGATAGCAGGGCTCGTGAGCAAGAAGATTACACCGACATACACCACCGCCCAAGTGAGTTCCAATTCAGTGGCCAGGACTCGTCTGATATCGAGATGGGCAAATGCAATGAACGCAGCGATAGCTAGTTCCAGGAAGATGGTACGGGCATCCTGGACGGAGAATGTGCTGTTTTGACCAGAGCTGAAAAAGGTGATGAGTCGCCATACCAGCGGCTTTTCCAGCACTAACAACCCCCCTAACTGCAGAGTTGAAACGATCGTTATGAACCATTTGAGAGATTTCACGTGTTCATCCTTACGGACCATATCGATAGTTGGCTCAAGACCCACAATAAGTTTCAACAGGTAAGCGGTGATCGGAAGCAAGATGTGTGCAACATCCCATGCCAAGGTCGGGAATGAAGGCGATGTGAATGTAAGCAGCATGGGGACAACGTATGTCATTAGATAAGCGAAAGGAAGCACATTAAGCATTCCTGGGTCGATAATTCTAACGCAAGGATAGTAGAAAGGTCGAGGGCCGGTTGTAAGCGCAAATTGGCAGAAGTAAATTGGCGCAACTGTTTGCCACCCTAGCAAAAGAGAGAGAAGCCCCCAAGGCAGAGCGCTATGGTGATGATGTTAGATCGTTTGACATAGCATGGTAGCCATTTAGCGACTCAATTCAATGTTCTTACCTGCTCAGTGGCTTCAAAACAAAGCCTGGCCGATAAGCCTCAACAGTAATGATACTCATGACTGCCGTAACACTGATATGGAAATATAAGTTCTGAATCTGCGAATATGTTAAGTCTAAGCCCGATGCCATCTGGCTTTTCCTAGCCGCTGACTGTGCCGTCTCAGAACCAGCGAGCCAGTATACAATAAAATATCCTAGCGCGATCGCAGTGAACATTATTTTCCACCGGTCATCGGTCGCCTTGGGTCTTGTCTGAGGCAACAGCCCAGTCTCGTCTCTGGATGGTATCAAGCCCTGGCGAGGGGGGACCGGCAGATTCCTCAGTGTCCACAATGATGCATGGTTTCCGGCTAAAGCATTCCATTTTATTTGGGCTGGCAGTCTGGGTGCTAGTCTCAATTGGATGAACTTCAACGCAGGCTTGGCGAATGAGTCCATCGCATGTGTAACCTGGCCTCCGATGACATGTGCCAAATTCTCGGGACTTCTGGTTTGTTGATAGTCGAGAAACACCGCACGAAGGCGATCCTCATCTGGACTTTCATGGCCCTCTGTTATTGAGGCGAGACCATTCACCAAGTAGGCTGATGAGACGATTGCATCGTTTCCTCCCTGTCCAAACAGTGGCGTGCTCTGGCGAAACCAATCAGTCACAGGATTTATGATTTCAAACTGGCTCGCATTAAATGACTCACTTTATGCCAAGAATCACCGACCAACACCATTCGTTTATAAAAGCAGTTCGGAAGCATACCCTCTTCGATTGGGAGCAGTGTTGAGCATGTTCGATTTTGGTATATCTCCCCAAATGTAAGACCCGGGTATACGATGTCATCTTTGTATGTAGCGACAAGAGCGTCCCTATCCTGTTCAGTGTATCGTGGAATGGCATCACCTTGTGTGACTTCTTGGTTTCGAACAAATAGGCTGAAGTAGAACTTCCTGTCAAGACCACCCACACAGAGATAGCTGCGACCCTCCCGAAAGTTCTTGAAGCCTTGGTCTTGAGGAATGCCTTCGGGTGCTTTACCAATTCCAACCAAGGCTTTATACGTACATTTGAAGCCTGTAATCATTATAAGTACTCCGAGAGCAATATGTAAGTATAAGTAATGACGTACTGTCTTTTGAAAAAGATTCACTGCCAGGGTTATCAATTTCAGCATGACGCTGCATCTCTTGCAGAACTCGACTGTGGATGCCATCTGCGCCAATGACAATGTCCCCATCGAAGATATACCCATTCTCTAGCTCAACAAGGACCCCGGTCGTTGAACTTTCAATCCTTGATACTTTGCAGGAAGTGTGAATCTTTGATTTGCTCTCAAGGTTCTCAAATAAAATCTCGATCACCTGTCGACGATCTAGATTTTCATTTTTGTATCCGAGCCTATTTTCATGTGTGAGCATGCTGAAATAATGTTTTAAATTTGGTGGATTGTTTCTAACTAACAGCTCTTCCATCCAGGTGCCTAATTCAGGCATTTTGCCAATGAGATTTCCAAGCTCGTCGTATGAATCCAAAGCGTTCATAGGCTGGCTCAGCTTTTTGAATGCATCGTAACAGCCCAGCTGATCAAGGATTCGCAATCCATTTGGCAACAAACCAAGACAAGCACCGAGCTCAGGGGCAATATTCTCATGTTTTTCGAGGACAACAAAGTCGATCCCGCTGCGCTCGAACATGTTGGCCAGTGCCAGGCCAGTGACACTGCCTCCCACGATAATCACCTTGAACGGAGCCATGGTACCGTGATAGAGTTGATTGAAAAATTATGAAGAGTGTTGGGATCAGATTGAGCGTTCGACTGTACTCATATTTCAGCGACTCCGCCTGGGATTAGCCGATCCGGGCGATCAATTTGGGGGCCGCTTTGTGTTGTCTCCACCGCGCCCCGCGCCGCACGCCCCACGCCCGATAGATACCCGATGCAGTAGATTTAAGTATACTCGTCAGGATTTCTCTACCTGGGCACCTACTTGCTAATTTAAAGTATAGATTAACACCAGTTTGAATTTCTTAGTGTGTCGCGAGACGATGGATTCAGAAAGCTTGGTAAATTTGATCTACACCCCTATCTTGGGGCCATATGCGTGATTTCGTCTTCGACAAGGGTTCTTTGTCTGTCAAGGCCCACCCGGATAAATCGAAAATCATAAAACCTGATTAAGTGAATAGCTGAATCCTTATGTTCTCAGGTCAGCTGTCCTTTGTATCAATAGTAAAGTCCCTAGGCAGCTAAAGGAAGGAGACGAAATGGAAAGCGATCAATATAGGCGTAGTGATGATGAGGAGGAGAAGGAGTAGTAGTAGAAAGCTAAAGCTACGATATGTGGGATGAACGAGAGGTATGCGGCGCACAAGGCAGGCATGCATAATCAACAGCACATGTGCAGCTTCTAAGTGGGACATCCACACTTGCGAGTTTATAGTAGACATTTGTTCCCTTGCTGTATGAAAGCACCATGAACCCCACTATTTACATTCTCTCAATACTTCAGAAACATTTCATTCAATCAAAAATGTGCAAATTTGCTCATCGCTCTAAAAAACGCATATATGAGCTTCGTTCTGTGATCATCCAGCACAGTTGCTCAAGGCTGATATTCCCCATGATCTTGAATACATTTAAAGTAGACTTGAGCTCTCGAGACATCCAGTACCGGAGTTCAGCCGCCACCAGAGAGTCCATTCCATACGTGTGAAGTGGCTTCTCGATCTCGATATCTTCCTCCGGCATACGTAAAAGCCGGACCAGTTTATCTTCAATGCGGCGGCAACCAGCCTTGCTGCATCCACTTGAGAATAGCCCACGCCAGCGAATGCGGTGGCAAAGTCAAGCTCATCTACAACGTTTTGTGACGAGTTCGTAGCGCATCCAGAGCCGCTCTGCGTTTTGCCTTCGGCAAGCATTGCTAAGTTCCGAAACCGAGTTCTTGCAAACCAGGCTGGGCTTTCATTCCCTTGATAGCGCTGTACTGCCTTGTCTTTGCTCTGAAGTGTCTATCGTGGGATGTCTAGCCGAATAATTACCTGCGCGCGTTGGCTATCTGCAGGCGCCTGTTTGGGAAGAGTGCACATATGGGCTAAAGTCGAAAGGTATTCCCTCTCGCGGATACCTTGGTGACCAATTTTTGCCATATTATCCAAGGTATTACGTTTCTTCGCGACAAATCCAATACCTAGCATCAGGCCCACATCCAAGGATATTGCCGTCTGGCCATTTGCAACTCGGTATTGGGCCAGTGCATCCTGGAAAGTGCAAATACTCGTGTAATTTCATTGACCATGATTTCCAACTGGCCCGCCGACAGAAGACAGCATAATGAAGAAGTGCATGTCCAGTGGCAAGAGGCGTTGCAAGTTCCATGAACCGGCAACTTTGGGCTGAAAGACAGAGTGGAATTCAGCTTCAGACATACTTTCAAAAAGATTATCCTGTGAAATACCATGAGTTTAATGATAAATTTGAAAAGAAAAAAGATAAAGGAGAAGAAGAAAAAAACCTTTCTTGATGAGGGATTATGAGCTCTGTTCTATGAGAAAAAGAAACCGAGACGCGCCTCAGGCAGATTATGTCATGTGGCGGCGGCCGGGTTCACGACACGACCCCGACAACTTCATCACCAACACTTCACGTCGCGATTTTTTTTTTGTCAATGTGGTTTTGGAAATTGAAAATGGACTTCAGGTTTATCACACATTGTTAATGCTTTAAATCGAGTCATGGTGAACGTTGCGGGTAGAAGCAAGGGCTGCTCAACATGCCGCCAACGTAGGCTGAAAGTAAGATACCCAAGGCCCCATTGCTTTGTTCCAGAGCGCTGATTGGGTTTTCTAGTGTGACGAGACTACTCCAGAATGCTCACAATGTGTCAAGAAGGGGTTTCGATGCTCTGGCCCCCGTACGGGAGCTGTTTTCATACACGCTTTACCACACCGACCGTCAGCATTGCGCTCGACAGAAAGCAGACCAAGGGATGCCGCGCGCCGGAGCGCGATTCAGCCTGCTTCTAGAGTTCGCGATGAACATCCTTCACGCCCATCATTACTATCAAACTACCAGCCTAGTCGCGTCGAAATCTTCGACCAACTGTTTGTATCCCACTTCATCGATTCGTTTGCCTTTGTGAAACCGAATCCGGGCAAACAGTCTTCGACCTGGCTCGATGAGTTGGCCGAGCTGATAGTCTCACCCACTCACAATGTGGCGAAGTACTCTATCCGTTCCTCGTCGATGTTCTTTTATGGCTTCATGACTCAAAATGTCGCGATGCAAACAGAAGCTTCCAGATGGTATTTGAAAGCTCTACAGGGCCTCCAAAATCATCTTTTGAAGGAGAAGCCATCATCCTTTAGCGGGGATATGATCTGTGCAGCTGTTATGCTCACCCATTTCGAAAGTCTAGCTGGTACGGCCCCAGGAGCTTGGTTTCAACATGTACGAGGTGCATCGATGATGATCGCGACCGGAGGTCCTGAAAGTTGTCGTCAGGGTTTCTTACATGATGTATTTCGTCATTTAAGACTTCTGACTGTGAGATGACACTGCTTTAAAGGAATATGTCTTCTGCAAGTCTATTTTGCTAATTTCTAAAATTGCAGGCGATTTCAGCCCTCTTTCGAAATGAACAACATCCATTTTCTACAGATGAATGGATGAGTGTTCCCTTTGAATTGCTTCCAAAAGGTCCCTTCGACGAACTTGTGGACATTTTCTTCTCTTTGCTTCCTTGCTTAGCACTTGCAGACGGTGTGACAAACTCCTCGGGTAACGACTTCCACAACTACAAAACCCAGCTAAACAACATGGTATATCGAATGATAACGCGTCTGCATATATGGTGGTCTCAATGTTTTGCTCGAACCGATCTCAGCCAACCAAATCCAGAAGCGAACATTCCCACCAGCAATGAGCCTATTTACTTACCCGATAGTCCACATGACGTCCCACTCTTACCCCATAGGGATATGCCAACCACTGCATTAGCTGCCCTTTTCTATGCAGCAAACGTCATTGTCTATCGACTTTTATTCCTCGTCTCATCGTCCGCCCATCAGTATGAACATCGTATCCAGAAGCACGTTCAGGCAACGCTTTCAACTTTGGAGTTCGTCTCTACAACCCCGAAGCCTGTCTCAGAGCGTGGCTTTATTATGGTGGCTCTTCCACTGCGAATTGTGCAAATTTGGGCTCCATGCGCTGAGGGGGATAATGCCGTTGGAGCTTCATTGGACAGATGGGCACAAGACATGCCGTCTTCTGCCGCTCCAACAGAGTTTTTCGCACATGTTGCTTCTCATATCCACAATAATTACCTCAAATGAGGGTTTTTTGGATACCTTGCCAGTTCACACAAAATGATTCGAGATTCCACTTTCTTATGCGGCACCGGGATAACTATAGTCCTATTGGTTGGCATAATATACGCTAAGCTGCATTAGGCTAGCTTTGCGGACAGGTGGGGAGCCGCTGATGTTATTGGCTGAACGCCTCACGGCCATCCACCCGCTCGAGGTATAGCAGTGCTTGGGTCGCCTCCCCCCAGGCATTTATATTCACCTGGTTCTACCCGCAAGACCAGTTCTATGGAGAAATTTCAACTTGAAACCTAGATATTCATCAGAAATCCTCAAGCGAGCTTGTCACTATGAAGATAGCCATCATCGGTGCCGGCATCTCCGGGTGCGCCATGTACTTAGAACTACAGAAACATCTTGCCAAACCCCATGGATCAGAAAGTCATGAAATCGTGATCTACGAAGCATATAACACTGGAATAAACACAACAGCAGATCAACGCAAAGAGGAGGCCACACATTCATCCACACTCTTGGTCGGAGGCGGCTTGGGAATCGCGGCGAATGGCCTGCGCGTCTTGGAACGATTGGATGATAGCCTTCTCCGGGATGTTGTCCGTGGAGGTTATGCTGTATCATCGTCGCACTTGAAAAGCAAAAATGGTTCGCTGCTCATGACTATGAAGCCTAATAGGCCCACCACCCCTGATTCACCGCCGATGAACATGGTGATGTCGAGCCGGGATGCGTTCTGGAGATGCCTGCGTTCCCGAGTTCCAGATGACCACATCATCAACAAACGGATCGAAAAGATTGTTGCAAAACAGGATGGAAGAAATCAGATCTTCTTTGTCGATGGCAGTTCTCCCGAGGAAGCAGATCTCATAATCGGTGCAGATGGCGTCCGAAGTACTGCGAAACGAGCGATCTTTCCTGACGAAGAGAAAGATCCTTATCCGCCTCATTACGAGTATGTATCTACCCGTTTCCTTACAAGATGCAATGATGGTGAAAGGGTGACACTCTAACGCTGTCAAAGGGGCCTCGTCGGCGTGGGAGGATTTATCCCTGCTTCTGAAGTCAAAGATGTCGTCGAGAAGGGATCTGTGAATTTTATCTTCGGAGGAAATGGTTTCTTCGGATACTTCTTCGCAAACAGCGCCGAAGATGCACCAAACCGCGATTCGCCATATTACGTTTGCGAGCCAGCAGGGTCGCTTGCTTGGTGGTCAACCTATGAAGTCGAAGAATGTCCCGACCATAAGAATATTGATACGGCAGATGTGACAAGGCAGCTGCACAAGAGACACGCAGAGTGGAAGGATCAAGCTATCCAGAAGATCTTGGCTTCTCTCGAAGTCAAAAGCATGTATCCCACCTGGACCAGTCCTCCCATCCCAACCTGGGAACGAGATGGAGTCATTCTAGTAGGCGATGCAGCTCACGCGCTACCTCCAAGTTCGGGACAAGGATCGTCCCAGGCACTTGAAGATGTGGAAGCTTTAGCCCTCATCTTGTCACATCACCTGGAAAAGGAAAATAAATCCGGTGATTCGATCTCGCCAAAAGGTTACAAGAGGGTTTTCAAAGCGGCAGCAGGACAATATCTGGCTATTCGTCAACCACATGTGACTAAGATCTTGGAAGCTGCGCGAGAGAACCAGAATAAGAAGCGGGAGATGGGTGTCTTTCAGGAATACATGATGTACGGTTTCTTGAAAATCATGGGTATGTATTCTGTGTTGACTTGAATGGTTGACTGTGGTGGCTAACTCCTCATAGGGGTTTTCCCAAGCTTGATGGCGAACAAATTACGACTAGTAGTGGACTACAACGTAGCAGATCATGTTGCAGAACTGCTTGCAACATCAGAATGTTGAATTCAATTGTTTAAAAAATAAACTCGGTCAAAGGACTCTTCGAAAAAGCCCTCTCAACATACAAGAGCAGATGAATGCCTCGTTATCATAAGAAAGTGGAAATTTCAAACAAGCACTCACTGTCCAAAAACCCAATCTTCAGTTTCCATGTTTTCTCCTTTCTTGGCAACCAGTTCCTCGTGTATCCTGCGCAAGTTCTCAAGACCATAATCAAGACGGTCCTGAATAATTGCCTCAGCGGACTGCACAGATTGGATAAAGTCGTCGAAGGACTGGATCAATTCTCCTTGATAGGTATTCATATCACGAAGCCTCTCAATTGGCAATGAACCCGATTGCAGCATGTCGTCTGTAATGGAATCATCGAAGACGGTTGGTAGTGGTTTCGAATTCAGAAGCTTATACATCCTGACATAGTCTACCATTCGAATCATCATAGCATCATGTCGAAGGGAAAGGTCCTCGATTAGCTGCAAGGACATCTTCTTTGAGGTGGGACTGTTTATGTTATACTACATGACCCCCGCCTAAAATGCGGGCAGTCCCTTGATCGTATCAATGTCGAAACATCACTATAATTATAGGGAAAAAATCACCCTCATCCAGTCCTGTTGTCATCCGTATGATCGACGGCGAATTTATCACGTTCCGCAGCCTCCACCCAATATGGTAGTCGTACGGACGGCCCCGGTTTTAAGGGGTATCGTCGGTGGAAATCCAGGATAGCACGCGTGGAATTCTTGTAATCCCCGGCTGGATACCATGCGTTATCTTCGACACCAACCCATCTGGCACGGTATTGCAACCCCTTGTTGCGGAAAAGACGAGAGTCAATAATCTCTGCCACCTCCCATTCGGTTCCGCCGTCGACCTCCAAAGGTGGCTGTGGGTCTGGGATCTGGCCGGTTAACGGGGTCGTATGTGAAGCCAATCGGCGCTGCTTTTCTTGTAGCGCTCAGTGACTACCATGGCATCGGATTAAACATCACCACTGTGGATAATATTCTTGCTCAGTCTGCGGATTTCCTCTTTCCGGCGTTCTGTGTCTTTGTTAAGCACGTCTCGCACCCATGTGGAAATAGCCCTTTGACGGATATCTAGACGGATCTGGCGATGAGATTCGAGTTTCTTGATATCTTCCTTCATTTTTGTTCTCCTACATTTTGAAAGAAGAATAAGATGCTCGGCTGATATTAATATGTTTGTCAAAGATGAAGAGCGTTGGTGAAAGTTTGTAAAAGTTTGTGAAAGTTGGCGAAAGTTGGCGAAAGTGGACGAGTAGGTACACTGAGAAGTAAAAGATAAGCTGGGAACAGGGATCTGGTCGAAGAGCATCAGTTACAAGATACTGTGGCTTGGATGTGAATAGAAGAGTGAGAGGAAAGTTGGGAACGGGAGCTTTACAACAGGCTTCTTCCGGAGGTCGAGAAATGCGGGAGTCCGATATCTGAGCCAAGTTGCAAAAGATATGGAGGAAGGAAAATGGAAAATGGATAGAAAAGGTAGATGATACCTCCGAGTTCAAACTGTATGTAGTGAGAGGTAATATAAGATAGATGGAAATAGTATAGAGAAAGAGTACTATAGTAGCATCTATAGCTGTTGGAAGGATAGATGCGTGCGGCGAGCTCACCTGTTCCGTATCATTCAGCGAAAGACAACCTGCAAATAAGTAGTCTTTTTATATAATTTATCTATGATTCGCATTTATTATCTGTTCCAACGCTAATTTAAACTCGGTACGATTGGAATAGCCCGTAGACATGGATGTATCTCTATAGATTGGTCTAACCCCGTGATGGGTTATTTGACAAAACAAGTAGAATACCGGGCACCTATATATATATAGAGAACCATGAATATATTTTGACTTGAATGAATGCTTGTTTTAAGGGGGAGAGCGGTTGTCAGATTCAGTATCGATGGTGGGTGATAAAAGGGGAGGAAGTTGACACAGATGGGGTTTATAGGGGCCCAGGCATGAAATAGGATTGATCTGAATATGGGGTGGCAAATTCACTGACCATATAAGCTGAACAGCAGGGGACAATACGCGTTGCCTCCACATTGATAAATGAATTATTCGAGAGAGAGGCAGTGTTCGACCTCTGCTCTTAGATGTCCATAATATATTTCATTATTATAGGAACAGAAAAGAAGACGAGATATATGGGAAATCTATATTCACGGTATACACAGTATTAATTTTGGATACAATCCTGGGAAGAGAGTAGAGCTGTAGTAGTAAGTTGTTAGGAATGCTTTGTTTGCATCTTGCAACTTGAGGCTTAAATGCTCTTCTATACTTAAATTTATTTCCACAACTATTTCCACGCACCAAATATTACCTGCTGGACCTGGTGCGTGGTATTAACTGTACACTGGAGCATTGCTTCATCTCTCATTGCATCCTTCTTCTTCTTCTTCTTCGTATCTTCACTTCTACTTCTTGCCTTCCCCCAAGATCCCTCCTTCCTGCTATTCTTACGTTCCCAACGCATACTTGATAGATAATAGTCTTATCAACAGTTGCCAGCTTCTGTACTTGTGAGTTGAGACTGAAATTTAGAAAGGCGTTTGCGTTTGCGCTCGCTTGAAGTCTGGTGTTTGTGTCTCTGTCCTAGGAATATTCCTCTCGCCACATATGCGGCTGCCTAACTATTGTCTCCCCCAAGTGGTCTGCAAATTCGTCCTTCCTATTGAGGTCCAACTCCGTGTGTCCGTTTCCAAGTACTCTCTTCACTTCGTGATACCAAAAGGTGAGTCAAACCACAAGGCGACCACCACCCCAACTTCATTCTTTCGATCCCAAGAACCATTAAGCTCACAACAACCAGTCTTGAACACTGTATATCATCGCACTCATCCATCAAAATGGACAACCACCAAGCAACCTGTGACTGCTCCCACTGCATCCCACCCCAAGAACTCCTCCATCACCCCTCCATCGTGGGAAAATGGGAAACAAAAGCAGACCTAGCAGCCCTCCGCCGTGAACAAGAGCTCCGAGCCGTAACCCATCTCAAGGAAATCGTCGACTCCTACAAATCCCCCACCCCACAGATGAGATCAGCATCAATCAACGACGAAACCAAAGAGATAGTCAATGGAATCTTTCAGCGCCGAAAGGAACTTACCAAAGTCTTCAATATCGGTGAAGTGCAACTTATTCTTGCTTTCTGGTGCTACCAAAAGAACCAAAGGTCCGTTCCATCAGTCATGTTGTGTATGTTTCTTCAAGAGGTGATGGAACCTCACGCACCGAAATCCTTCAAGACAGAGAAGGTGCAGAAAGATATCAATGGACGAAAGCGAGCTGCTGGATCAGACGGAAAATCCGCTTTGATGATTAAAAAGAAAACTGTCGATTTACTGTTTAAACATGGTGTTTTTGATATTCTGAATGAATTGTTCCATAAGAACCCGCATGGAGTTTTCCGCTTTGAATACGGATGTGCTACATTCTATCCCAGTGATTCGGAAATTAAGCTCGGGGACAAGCGTTCTTACCATTCAGCTACTGTTGAAGAGTTTAATGATTTAGATGTCGACATCGAGGTCGCTGCCAATATCGGTGCAGTCGATCAGAAATCACTCGCATCAATGTCGAATGCTAGAAGCCGCACACTTCGATCCGTGACTATTTCCGATAGCGATGATGAAGCGATTGGAATGCCCATGTCGATGCCGTCTAGTGTTACACAAATGCAACCTGTTGTTGAACATAATCCTGACGAACCCGCGCTTGAAGAACGAAGGAAAGTGTTGGATAAGCTTTCGAAGGGGATTCCTCTGCACAACTCTCGTCCTTACAATCCTTACAATCCCGGTGGGATGGAAGCGTGTCTGCAGAATCGCGTCAAGCATCTTGAGTCTTCTATGGACCGCTTACAGGTTGACAATCGTGATACGCAAAGCCAGATTAGGGACTTGCAGCACCAGATTGAAGAGTTTCTCTTGTCTGCTCGCTTAGGTCTTCGTCCCAGTGAGGCTTTCGAAGATTAGTGGTTGTCACATGTTTCAAATGGCGGAATGAAATGATTTGTGGGGCTTTTATGGGTTCTGAATCATCTATTGTTATGGGGAGTCGAATCTTGATTGATTATGTGATAGAATTATTTGACTGTAACTAGGAGCTGTGTCTCATCTCCAGTTTAGGAAAGTAAGATTCTTATCAGGCTACTTTCATCTTAAGAGTTGTTTTTAGAGTGAGAATGACGTTGTAAACTCAGTAGATCTTTCGTTTTGGATGCAATTCCACATATCTTATTAATAGGCCTAAGTAGAACGAATATAGTAACAAATCATAAATTCATGAACCGGGAAGGTCTAATCCCACAGCAAAACTAATACCAGGAAAGTCAAAATGATGCCCCATGATCCCGAAAGAACTCGCTCCCCGCGTGTACTAGACTGGGTTCTCCTGCTGCTGTTGTCGTTTCCAGGGAATGTCCTTTCTAAGCAACTCTCGCAACTCTGGCGAGATGATCTTTGGTTTATCTGCGTCCATCATTCTCTGTAAGGCTGAAGAGCCCGCGTTGGCACCCGTGCTGGAGCCCACAGTGGGCTTCTCGGGAGTTTTCCCTTTCCCAGCTGCTTGACCGCTCAGGCCTGATGACCGGCGCTGGGTAGCTGTGGGGGCCGAGGGGAAGTTGTCTTTCTTGTCGATGGCTTGGACGGACCGCTCGAAGCGATGGAATAGCGACTCGGCCCTTGTAAGGATGGGTACAAGGTCCATTGTATTCGAAAGCTCGTTAACTATGTCGTGTCAGTTGTGAAAATTACCAGAATTCCAGGCAAGAAAGCACTTACTGTACTTGAGGACTTCGTCGAAATGCTTCAAATGATCCATGATCACGTCACGATGCTTCTCTAGAATTGCCAATGCAATGAACAAATGGAAGCTGCTAGAGTAATAATCTGTCCAGAGAGTCTCCCACAGACGAAGAACATTGCTCCATTCAAACTCGCGCTTGTACCAGACAAGGAGCATGCGGAAGAAGAAGAAGAAATTTGTGCTATCAGCGGATTGCAAATGCAGATAGAGTTGAGGGTCCATCAGCTGAACGAGATGATCAAGTGCCAGAAGCTGTGAACGCATCCCCGATTGGTCTCGAAGATAGTTTCGTTCCTAGATTGTTATTAGTCTCGGGATTCTCAATTTCGTTTGAGTGGGTATCACCTACCATCCGGTCCATAAAACCCACAAAAGCCCAGAAGGCAACCGCATCATCCTGCATCACTGCGTACAAAGGAGCGAGAAGATCACTCATCCCTTGAACATATCCCAAGTCCGGGTTATATTCATTGTAGGTCAGAAGCATATCCTTCATCTGTTCTAGATGAACATTGGTCCCAGACTCAGCAAAGGGGGAGTCAGGGTCGGGATGGGGAATGTCCTCTCCAGCGAAGAGAGGAATGGTCCGGTCGGTTCGATGCACATCCTTCTCTATGCGATTTCGCTGGTCTTTCCAATTCTCATACTCCTCCTCGGTCGAATTTCCTTCGACCATTCGTTCCCACCAACCTGCTTTTAACCTGATATACTCATCCCGTTTCGAATTCATGATTGCTTGGCGTTCTTCATGACTACTATCCCATGGATAAACTTCTAAAAGATAGAGCCAAGCTTCCTTTCGAGCACCATCATTAGGATCTAGACCACCGTGGAAAATCCGTTCCTTAACTTCGTCGACAGTTAATTGCAGTCTTCCAGATGTAGGGTCAAAGAATCCTTCCCACTCCTCAAGCGTAAGGACCCGCCGCCGCTCTTGCAGGCCCATGTTCCCGGTCTCTAACTCGAGGATTTCGAAGTCACCCACGGAGCTGTTCTCGGATTCGAGTACATCCTGAGCGGTCCAAATGCGCTGATTTCGTTCTTTGTCACTTTGCTCAGCGATGCTCATTGCCCAGCGAGCAAGATATAGCCGGGCGCTATCAAACTCATCTTGTAGGGTTTGGATCTCTGGGTTTCTCATGAGACGTCGGACTTGCGGTGGGATGCGGGGGTTCTCGGCGAGGTCATTCGCTGTTCGCCGTGTGAATGTCGTGATTTTGCTTAGCTGTTCAAGAACCTTCCAACGCGTCTCCTTGATTGTCTTCATTATGGGATCCATACCGGCATCTCGCTGTCCACTAGGGCCGGCAGATGCAGGTTCAGGTTGTGCCTTGGAGGTAATCAATCCATCCACGCCACCCATTCCTTTGCCGAAGGACAGCTGGTCCTCGTCAGACGGATTGATAAGGTATACATTCTTGTCAACGGTTGAGCGCTGAACATCGACATAACTCTTCAACCATCGAAGGACTTCATCCCCGCCCCAAAATAAGTTCCCATCGTTTTCGAATGGATCAAAATTTTCCTTGACCCGTCTCTTCTTCTGTAGTATTGTCGATTCACATTCACTGTCGTGAAAAAAGAGCGCTGGAAAGCTATCTCCGGCGCGAGTATTGATTACAACACTCCCGAACCACCAGCCAAGACTTGGAGGGCGTATCAAAAGCGAGTATATCTCTGAAACGGGCACCGCAAAAGAGTACAATCCAATGGGATCTTTGTGAGTGGTAGTGGTCGGAAGCGACGGGACGAGGTAACTTTGACGGGGAGGGGACGCGTCATCGGAAAGATCAACTTTCACATATGTATCGTAAGCATCGCCTAGCGATGACTCGGGTACCCAGGCTAGCAGGTAGGAGGCTGCGTCATTGGGACGAGAGGGGGAGGGGTTCGAGGCGGGTGAGGGTTTTTGTTGGATGAGGGCGATGAAACCGGGGATATTATCTTTGGAAGTGGGAGTAGGGTGGACATAAACCTGGTGGAAGTTGTCAGTTATGCTATTTGGGGTGTAGCTCAATAGCTGCCTGCGTACCTTGCTCTTGGAATAGAGAAGCTTCACGCCTCGGCCGGACTGGGAATGGGCGATCGTGTTGTAACCACCCTCATCATCGTCACTCATATCATAGAATGATGCCGTAGGCGATGGAGGTGATGGCGGAGGAGTATATTTGACAAGATCCGCCATGGTGTTGTTGGAAATGTGAAGTTGTGAAGGAGATGACAAGCAGACGTAATGATCGGCGATAGACTTATCGATAACGATCCCCCTCTTTCCCTTTATCGCTCTTTGGTCTTTCTTCTGTGCCTTTGCTGTTTTTGCTCTCTAAATTTCACTTCTGCAGATACTCTGGCTTCCTTGAGCTGGAGGTTACTTGAATTTTGTTAGTTCAGCAAGTTCTGCAGATGATGACCATGCGATTTTTTTTCTTGTTTCGCTGTTTCCCTGTTTGATAGCGACTTTGCCACTTTGCGCCTCCAGGCAACAGCATACCCTTTGCAGGATGGGAATAGCTTCAACGACAAACAAAACCTCGACATGCTATACGAATCACTATAAAGAATTCTACACAATGGATCAAGCAAACACCCGAGCTCAGTGTTCAGCTGGTTGATGATCACCTGCATCTACCAGCTGCCTTATCATTGTGGATCACCTGCATGACCGATAACGATAATAACGATAGCGCTGCCAAATACATCATGACCACTGCGACCGATCAAAACAACAAAGTTCAGAGTTCAGTTAGCGGAAATTCATCAGGACATATTTCCAGATCAGTGAATGATGCTGAGATGCCATTCCCTTGCGTGATCGCCATTATCCAGTCTTCCAAGGAAGGCAGTGCCCTCCAGATCATTTAGCCGGAACTTTTGCAGCAACCATAGCCAACACATTCCAACTTTTGACCAATGCCAAAGCGATATTTATCAGTATTTAGAATGTCTACGCAGCAATGCATAATAGAATCGTGTTAATTGCCGGCACGGACACACCAATCAGGGGTGGATCGTGGGGGCTTGACATCAACGTTCTCATCCTGCGGGATTCGATAACTCCTTCAGGAAACGATAAACAGACCTTCCATCTAGACCAGCTAAGGTTCAGCCCACATACAAGGTCACCAATAATGATAGCGCGGAACACACCATGCTCATGACTGCATCGATATTAGAAGATATATAAAGTTGCAGAATCATCACTGCCGCCTTGACGTTGGACAAACTCGTTGATACAGCATCGATTCAAGTTGAAGTCTAGTACTTACTCATTATTGCTATCATCATGTCTGAACTCACACGCACTCTGCCAGCATCTTGGTACTGCAATGAGCCGCTCTATCAAATGGAGCGGCGTGCGGTATTTCTGAAGGTATGTGGTTCTCAAGAGCCTTCAAGTATGGTTTGCTAAACTGTGACCAGTCTTGGTATCTGCTCGGGCCTGTCACAAGATTCCAAAACGTCGGCGAGCATGCAGACTATGAAATTGCTCAACAGCCAATTTATGCTGTTCGTACTGGAGGAGATTCTCTGAATCCAAGCCCAGAACACCTAAAGGTCTTCTGCGCAAAGACGGTATGGCGGAATTATGAACATCATAGTCGGAGAGTAGACTAACAGGCCTTTCTTCACAGGAAAAAGAACTCCGCAGCCATGTCACACCAACAGGCCTTCTATTTTCTTCTATCTCAGATGCTGCGCCTAGCTTTCATGAGTTCTTCCCCGAGCTTGAGCAACTGCTAGGGAAGGTCGATTTCACCAGATTGCCATACCGCCGCAGTATCCGTTACGAAGGCCGGTTCAACTGGAAGACCATGTAAGTAGTGTTCTCAGTCCCTTGATCACAACTATGCGTCTGACTGTATTCTTCAGGGTCGATGGATACCAAGAGTGTCTGCATTGCCAGTACACCCATCCGTCCTTCTCAATCTACTACCCGCCCACTTTCTACGCTGTGCACAACAAGCACAACTTCTCCCAGCACATCGCGGACCCCAAAAAGCCCGACGATGGTCTTTTCCTCTACTTCTTCCCAAATTGCACTCTCAACGTCTATGGTGGTGGGATGTCTTCGTTCCGTGTGTGTCCCACCGCTGACCCGCATGTGACCCGCATGGAATTTGACTACTACCACCTCGAGACAGGGGACAAGTTTGAAGAATACTTCAAATTCGTTCGCCAAGTAGCTATGGAGGATTATGAGCTCTGCGAGAAAGCGCAAGATAACCTAGCTAAGGGTGTTTACCACGAGGGCATCCTGAACCCCACCCAGGAGAACGGTGTTTCTTGTGAGTATTTACGTTCTACCTTGTTCATTTTCGTTGATACTAACCAGATGCAGACTACCAGCAACGTGTCTTCGACATGGTAGTAGAGCAGCATGAGGCCGACCGAAAGGAGCAGAGTGAAAAAGTTGAACTGGACGAGCGAGAGCAAGCAGCACCGTCTGCAGTGGAAACAGCTGCCTAGTTGATTATTCCTTTATCTAGTTATTGAGTTAGGGAAATAGTCTTTGAATCCAAATCTCGTTCATTAAAATATATACAAATTTCCAAGTTATAGCTTTCCCAAATTATAGCTCGAACTAAGATACAAATCAAGAACAAATTAAGAGTCATGTTTGTCACCAGCGAAACCAAACTGCAGCACAAACATTTGAACTGCACCTAAATCAAGACCAGCCATGCCAGCGATAAGCTCAGGAATGTCAAGCCACATCGATGCCCGACCCACAACAAGGAAGCAGTTATCAGTCTCGGCTCTCGCAATGAATCATAATCCGGTCCCTGGAAATTCAAACTCAATCAGGAAGTTTGCCTGCAAGGATGGAGGGGCGCGTGGCTCCGTCAATCGAACTGTATAATGTGGGGGTGGTCGACACTCGGGCCGCTCCAGTCATTATATCAGGACAAGATGCCAGCATGCAGAACAAACAGTTACTCGGATCAATTAGAATCATTTGAATAGCGATCTTAGACACCTTTTATATCCTATCATGAACTTTCTCGACGCTTACCTTCTATCTCCTGGATCTATCCTAGTGGGAGTGGTGACGATTGCGTTTCTAGTGAATGGCGCATGGGGAAAACTGCAGCGACAAAAGACGGAAAAGTTCGCAGTTCCAACTGACAACCATCGAGAAAATGGTGAAATTTCTGTTTCGAAAGAACCTGATGTTCCGAGCGGATGGTGGGATAGCCCCGATGTGTTCGAGTTAGAACGTCGCGCACTCTTCAGTAAAGTAAGCACCGCTTCAAACTTGAAGCATACAAGTATGTCTTGTGATCAGTTCTAACTCGACACAGACATGGATTTACCTTGCAAATAGCACACAGTTCCCCAAACGCGGTGCATATCAGTCCTTTGATCTTGCGGGATATCCCGTCTTTCTGATTCGAGGGAAGGATGATATGATCCGAGCATTCCACAATGTATGTCGGCACCGGGCATATACTATCACCCAGAAAGAAATTGGCGCATCAACTGTGCTTGGGTGTCGGTATCATGGCTGGAGTTACGATACCTATGGAAAATTAGTCAAGGCGCCGAAGTTCGAGGATGTTCCCGGCTTTGTTAAATCTGAGAATAGCCTTTTCGAGATCCATACGCATACCACAGAGCGTGGATGGGTTTTTGTTAATTTGAATGCTGGGGAGCCGGCTGCTTTCAAGGATTATACGAGTGTTGTCTTGGAAGGATTTGCTCGGGGCGCTGGTCTAGGAAGGACTTTCAAGTGGGTGACTGGGCAGACACTGACGGGGACCTTGAATTGGAAATTTGGAAGTACGCATAAATATCTTTGAACAACACGCAAACACCCATCTAACATCATATTCCAGACACCAGCCACTTCACCGATCTTACTGAAAAGCTAGAGAAGCGAATCTCCGAGACTCTGAAACCGTCTTTTGCGACGCAGTTGGTCCGAGCTGTAACCCAAAAGAACAACCAGGCGAAATGCTCAATCTTCCCAACCACATTCATATATTCTTTCGAACAAGCCGATCTATGCGTCACAGTGACATTCCTCCCAAAGTCAGAGAAGACCACACAAATCAGATACGATCTTTTTGATTCCTCCTCGAAAGCCGAAACAGACGAAAATGCTCTTGCGAATTCTGTAGGAGATGTTCTTCAGAACTTTGTCAAGGACTTGGAGATTGATTTTGCATCGGTTGATGGGAGATCCTCTGGAAGTTCCTCCGCTACCTGTAACATTTTGAAAGAGATTCAAGAGCATCAGAAACTTGAAAAGATGAATGGTGGTCAGATTCTTCCCGCTATGCGCCAGCCAAAGGGGAGCTCGCTTTTTCAAAAGGCAGAACAATGTAAGCTTCACCTTGAAATCTTATCTTGTGAGTGTATACTAATTTCATTATAGTGTGTAAAGAGCTTGACTGCTCTGGTCCCGGATCGAACGGAAATGGGTCTGGGGGGTTGGACTGGTAGATTCCGGTCTATAGAGCGCAGTGCTAGATCTCCCTTTTGCATCTTCGGCCTTTCGACATTCAATGATTCCAAAGGTTACTCTTTTGATCTCTTTTTTTGATGATTTGAGAAGTACTATTCTGACCTTGAACAATGTCTATTCTTTTTTTCTACTTGTGGAATGTTGGTCCTATAATTCCGACCCTCTTGTCTTCAGGAGTCTTTTACAGAAGTCGTCGGAATAAATACAAATATTTTGGAGGCTTTCACTCGAGTTCCCGAGGTCGCTCTTTTATATGCACATAACTCGGAGATTGAGAATGATTCCAAATACATCTCTCAATTAGATGCTGAGGAAATTGGTAATATCCTGCTCCAAAAAAGTCTATGGGGCCAGCCTCTTCAGGCTCCATACACTATATGCCAGTCAAGTCATACTACTTCCATCTAAACCTTGGAAAAAGGTATGAACAGGAAAACCCACTGTGCTTTTGACAATCCTTCTTGCAGTATTCAGAACTTTACAGATTCACTACCAGTACCTCTTGGTCGGACCTAAAAAGAATTACGCCGATAACCTTCATGAAAGAACCATGGAAATCGCACATCGGCCCGTGAATATTCGGGGCGCCCCAGGAATGCCCTGACTCGTTCTTACTTCGAGCGATGACAAACAGGCCACTGCACCTAATTGGACTTTGCCCTCAAACCAGGCAGTATTCAATTTTGGCATCCTTTGCATCGTGACGCGCTTGGATCCGCGATTTGGGTTCAAATACGGTGGAGAAAGGGGAAAGCAGATTGGTCTAAGGCTCACCTTTTTCGGTCACACCATTGTGCTTGACCCTATGTTCAATTCTGTGCAGGACCAGAGCATTAATTCGCTACTGAGGAACCTCTGTATAGGCTTGACCATGTTGTACATCTGCGAGCCAATATTTGGCTACCAACGCAGGGAAGCTTGTGGTAGTCGCATTCGTCACGATTGCTGGTGTTTAGAACAGCTTGCCAAGACTCCCATTTTAGGAGTGGCTGTTGGAGTTTATTACCGGACTCGGGAACTGTGAGGTCGATGGCTACTAAACTCCCGGCAGAGAGCAGGTTCTGCTCGAAATGATCTTCACAGCCAGAAGAACGCGTGAAGTAGAATAAGATCCCTGAATTACCGGGGCAAGGTGAAGTGGGTAGCAAAGAGAAACTGGTTATGAAGACACAATGGGTTCTAAGACCGTGCAAGTATCCTCCTAAGGCATGGGTGAAATTTCGAGTCGGTTTCACTAAGAAGGATGGGCATGCGCGTCAGAAATTGAGAGTTCTTCCATGTCACACAATCTTGGCGCAATACCCAACTAGTACTAATTAGCTTTCTCCACTGTCTGTCACTAGCCCTCTTTCTTTGTGTTTTTCTTTAGTTCTTGAAGTAGAGGAGGCACCGAATTACCGTGTGTATGGCATTTTCGTGTGCGGTATTTTAGGCGATCTCCTATGCGTGTCGTTTGAATTACACTATCCATTCTTCGACGATGGGTATACTTCGGCTTAATGCACCTTATTGCTGAACTCTAACTTGATGGACGCCCAGATGTAGCTTAATGATCCCTGTATGACTGTATCGTACCTTCTTGTAACGACAAATTGGTTCTCGTTTCAGGGTAGTAGTGTGGGAAGACCCTCGTCTCCAGGGCTATATTCCTGATAACCTTGGAAGTGGAGTTGGTTACTCTATTAAGTATATTCTTAGTCGTGTTTAAGACCTTTAGTAGATTGATTGTAGTTTCGCCTTGCGACAATTGATAAATTTCCATTGCTTGACAGATGAAAATTGCGATTAATTAAGGGTATTATGTACTTCATATATCTCTCATCCAAACACAACCTGAAGAATAGTATTAGGTTGTTTGGGATCCTGGGTGAACTTTTCCAATCTAAATCGCGGATCAGCCTCAGCAAGAATACCCCGCCACTGCGCAATAGTACGCTCATGAGAACCAAAATAAACAAGCATAGTAACATCCATAGACCTATTTCCAATTAGCAAAAAAAATCCAATAAACCAAAGCATGATTGAGACCAACCGTGTCTTCCTCTCCTCAAAGGGAGGAACAGTAAGCGGCTCATGCAAAGCAAAATCATCGATAATAAGTCTCGTCTTCGGTCGCAAAACAGGAAGATGGTGTCTTAAAATTTGAACACACTGGGAATCCGGCCAATTGTGGAAGATATTTCGGAAATAGTATGTGTCGCCCACGATAGTCTGCGGGGTAAAGAAATCGTGCGTTTGCCACATTACCCGGCGCTCGTCTCCTTTGGATGCGGATCCTTTTGCCGAGTATGACTGTGCTTGTGCGTGGGGAGCGGCATCTTGTACTAAGAAGTGGAGGTGTGGGAGGCGTTCGGCGAGACCGATACTTATTGTGCCGTTGCCGCCTCCTACATCAACAAATAGAGATCCGGGATCTAGTGATGATAGCTCTGAGTTATCGAGGATGAAATCAAAGTCAATTCGAGCGGCCATTGCGCTCATGGCGAGGTTCCAGCGCTTTTCACGGGCCGGATGGTGTGTTTGAAGTTCATCATATAGACCTAGATCTGTATTATTTGCAAGAGAGAAACCCTGATTGAGTCAGTATTGATGACGTGATAATAAGGAAGAGGAAGAACAAGAACATACTGATTGGTTTGAGGATTGTGATTCTCCATATTTGACCAGCGCATCAACCGCCTTTGCTGATGCTGGGAATCGCTCCTCGGCGATAATGCCCGAGAATGCCCGGATTCTGTCGTCCTCGCGCAATAACCTAGTAGCCGCAGTATGCGCCACGAAGCCAGCCCTTGGTTCCGCAAAAACATGCCTGGTCATAACAAGTCGGAGCACTCGCTTCAAATCGATTACATTAAGTCCGCATCGTGAAGAAAGTTCCTCGAATGTGATTATCTCGTCGGGAGAGAAACACTGCGCAATGCGATATCGATGAATCACTTGCATGCAAAATGTGTCATTTGCCTGTAATATTTTATATTAGCAAACAAACAAGGCACAAACGCCGAAAATTGGATTCTCACATTAAGGTCTTCTAGAATTCCGACCGGCCCCAGGGCAAGGTCGAGTAATGTTCTTGCGGAACTAATGAGAGCGGAGCGTGCATCTTGGATCTCGCTAGGACTTGTTGGTGGAATAATGGTTTTGTTCGGCGCTGTATCAGCGGAGAAGGTAGGGATAGGATGTGAGGTTGCGGCGAAGAAGTTGTTCAAAGTTAAGACGTTTTCTCTAATATTGTTGGCCAAGACGAGCATTGGCTCCAGTTCTAATTCCCCGGGAATATAAGGCATATCGGCGACAGGGTTGAAGTGGATCCCAAGTTGCCTTAGTGTGGTAAGTAACAAAGCAAACAATGGCATTGTGCGATGGAGATATAATCCCTGTCTTATAAATGATGAATTACGCATAAGTTGTGGATCTTACCACGGAGAAAGCCTCCAGGCTGACTTTTGATTAGCATAGCATCTGAGCTGACCCCGCCACCCAACGCACAAATCAACAGACTAATGCGCAATCCCTGATGTCAATATGCAGGTGGGGTCGGGTATTTGGACCCAAGTTAAAGAACTTTGGAATGCTACGTGGGGGCCGAAGTTGATACACTATTAGTATTTAATCTAAAGTTCTGCTGTAATTGACGCCACAGGATTACGTTGGGCATTCCAATATGATAAGCGACTCGGCCGGATTCTGTTATGATACGGTATTTATTGTGCAATATTCATGGTGGAGCACTTGAGTTCGCTATGAAGGGGTTTGTGGAAGAGCAGGATTAGCCGAGGCTAAGAGAACCACCCACAGTAAAGAATGCTCCCCAGCTCATTGGACACCTCTTTTGAGAAGCCGGAGATTTAAATTGTGGATTTTAACAAACCACCTATATTAATTGGGAAGGTCGTTAGATTGTCTTCAAGGCCAAGAGATTGGTGGCGTTGGACTTACCAGCAATTTTCAGATACATCCACGGTCGGATCGGCGAATTCAATATCATATTCTAATAGCAACGAAGGCACAAGCTGGGCGCTTTATTAGTAAAAAGGACTGGCTCATAACTTGAATTTCACTTGTTTACCTTTGATATCTCCAGCAAACTTAGACCTAGTAAAGCGTAAGCTAAAAGGGACGAAAAAGCGGCATTCTGTTTAGACAGTAAAGGGATGACTTACTCTTGCCAATACATGTCCTTGATCCAGCACCAAATGCAAAAAAGAACCGCTCTGTACAGCTACTCAGCTCCTGTTAACAACAAGAGTTACTCAGGGAGGGTCTTACTCTTTTGGCTGACGTTATCATCGAGCCATCGATCTGGACGAAAAACATCGGCATCATCCCCAAAGATATCCTTGTTTCTGTGAATAGCCCATGGATTGGTTCCAGCAATAGTCTATTTACCAGGTTCAAGTTAGTATATTTCCTATATGTCAAAAGACTGAATCATTGGATAAGCTCACCCCTCCAGGGATTCGTTTCCCATTTACAACAAGGCCTTCGGGGGGTACAACCCGGGGCATAGACATCCCGACAGCCGGATGGCAGCGTAACCCCTCTTGAATACAAGCCTGCAAGTAATGCATGTTTTGAGCCACTTTATATGGAACATTGGTGCGACTGATCCGGCCAGCATCCGCTTCAGCGTCGATTTCTTCTAGCAGCTTTTGCTTATACTCCGGGTGCTTGCAGAGATAATACAGAATAGCGCTGATGGAGATAGCAGTCGTATCACTTCCTGCAAAGATGTTGCTAGCCGCCATAGACATGACGGCTGTATTGTCAAATTTCTCCGGGTGCTTGCGGTGGACATCCATGAACTTGTCTAGCATATCCGGGTGGGTACTTTGCACTGAGCTTCGCTGGCTCACTTCTTTTGCAGCTATTTCGCGCAACAGGCCATGACGGTTTGTGACTTTGAGATGGTTTCCGATCCATGGTGAGAGCCAATCATGAATCCAGTAGAGCCAGGGTACTTGTCCTACCCATGAGGCTGATCCAAGAGCCCCTTCAATCTGGGCAAATGTTCCCTTGTCGCTAGCCTCTTCGATGAAACCGAATCGTTTGGAAAAGGTAACTTCACCAATTACATCTGGAGACCTGGTTAGATTCAAAATCAAAAAAAAAAAGAAAATCCAAAATAGAAGCAATGTACTCACCAAAGGCAAATAATTGAGCCCAGTAGCCCATATCAATATGTTTCGTCTCCATTTGTGACAGGCGCGAAATAAAGACTTCCAGGACGGTATCCAGATATGGCTCAAAGTCTGAAAGTCCACTCTGCGAATAAATAGAATTGACAAACCTACGGTTAGAACTATGGACGTGTGGATTCCTCTCTGCAAAGAGATCGAACTTGCGTCGACCTTGCCACACACTATACCAGTCGCTCTTCCTGAAGGAAGACCCAGCGCCTATCCATATGTCAATTTTAATCATTCGAATATTAGTTATAAAAGTAAATGACAAACCGTATATAACCTGGATTGCATCTGGATCCGTGATGCTGACTTCAAAAGGGCCTGTACGGACTACACCCCCGTATTTTTCGTGCAGCTGTATCATTTCCCGGTGCATGTCACCTTTGAATGAGTGGTAGATCATCCATACAGGCGACCAACGAGCCCAAAATGGCCCAGGGACCGAAGCAAGCGGGTCCCATAACGGTAGGGTGAGCAAGATCACAGCGACGGTAACAAGTCCAACGATTACAACATCGGAGAACGTGACGCTCTCAAGTCGCGGGAGAGCCCCTTGTAAAGACGACTGAAGCGACATGGTTGAAGCCACAGTAACACATACGTAGCTGGGGTAAATTCAAATTAGAGAAGAAAGCCATCTACTTGCAGCGGGGAAGATTAGTCATTAGTAAAACAATCAATTCTATGGAGTTGGAGGGAAGGAACCTAGCTGAGCGGGCCTTGCAAGTACAGGGATCATGAGTGGGGGCCACAACGTCCTGTAACCTCCGCATCTCCCGCATCTCCGCACCTCGGTAGCTCCACTCCACTGCTGGTCGTTGTGGAATCGCACACCTTTACGCATTTCTCTCTTTCTCGCCCTTTCTCCCCTGGACGACCTGTCAAGATGGCATCCACCAAATTGAAAGTGATAGAGCACTCCATTCCCTGTCAGTCTATTAGGGAATATCATCGTGCAGGGAAACGGGACAGCCCCTCATTGCAGCTGGCTATCAAGCAATACATTCCTCTGAACAATACCACTCCCGGCCCCGACGATGTGACGATTATTGCTGGACATGCGAATGGAATCCCTAAAGTATGTCTTCCTCGAAACTTTGCCATTAAATCTAGGCACTAAGCCTGGACCGACCATAGGAATGTTACGAGCCTATCTGGGAGGAGCTCCTTTCCTCAACAAGCGTGAAGATCAAAGCAATTTGGATCGCAGACTCTTCTAATCAAGGCGCCAGCGGTGTAATGAATGAAAATGAGCTTGGTGATGATCGTGAGTGAACAAATTCTTCAGGAGAATCCGTAATGCTAACCGCTACCTCCAGCAAACTGGTTCGACCACTCGCGGGATCTCTTATACATGGTGAATCATTTCCGAGATCAGATTCAGGCCCCGATCATGGGAATCGCACATAGCTTCGGTTGCTCCCAATTGTATGTACCTCTACAACTTCTTCAACTGTTCATTACTAACCATATAATTCATCAGCGTTCACCTCTCAATAATGCACCCTCGCCTGTTTCAATCGCTCGTTTTCATCGACCCGATGATTCAAAACGAAAGCCCCAGTAAAATAGGTGGCCCAAGTCCAGCACTCTGGACAAGTCGCCGCCCAGACTTTTGGCCCTCAGCACAAGATGCAGAAAAGCACATTCGAGGAAATGGGTTCTGGCGAAAATGGGATCCAAAATGCGTGGATCAATATATTCGCTTTGGACTTCGACCTGCTCCGACCGCTCTTTATCCCAATTCTGATTCCGGGGCTGTCACACTGACCACGACAAAGGCGCAAGAAGCCTGGTCGTATCTCCGTTTGAACGCGACACCTCAAGATGAAAAAGGCGAATTCAGCAAGGAATCTTTCCTCAATCCGGATCTCGCGAAGGTTCCGAGGGAAGGCGATAATAATCATCCGGACTGGGCGCTTGTATGTCCGTGGTGCTGCATCGCTTTCGAGTATCTGCTTTACGTCCGCCCTCCGGTCTTGTATATCTTTGGAGAGAGGAGTCACATCAATCCACCCGAGCGGAGAGCGGACAAGCTAGAGCGGACCGGCAAGGGGCTCGGAGGGAGTGGTGGCGTTCCAGCTGGTCGTGTGAGATCGGAAATTCTCTCAAAGGGCTCACATATGGCACCACTCGAGAAAGTTCATGATACGGCACAGCTCCTATCGGGTTGGTTGGAATCACAAATCAAGGCTTACCGAGCAGAGAAAGACTTCTGGAATCATCACGAGAGTGGAAAGTCTGAACAAAACGGAGTGGCTTTATCTAAACAGTGGATGAAGTATGTACAACAGCCTGTTGAAACCAAGCGGGCCATCAAATCAAATCTATAAGACCTAGTAATAGAACTAGCATAGCCAACATTACCAAATAAAACTATCGCTCAAAGAAGACCTATCAATTAGAAGCCACCAGGGCCCATTTGTATATTTAGACTCATTTCCCACTTGAACAAATCAGATTATCTCCACAGCCAGTCTCCACAACCAGTCTCCTCAAACATGATTGACAGTAAATGTCGACGTAACTTGAATTTGTGATGCCCTCGTTTCGTCAGGATCATGATCCTCACTCAGCCTCGAAAAGCCCCCAGCGCGAGCATCGCTATATCTTCCAGACTTATGATCTCGACGCCCACCCCCAATAGTATGTAGTGCGAGCGGACCACTATCGCTATGAGATCCATTCGTCCCCTTCGTCGACCTCCGTAAACTGCTAACATAAGGCGCGATGAATTTGTTCCAAGCTCGTTGGAAGAGCGGACCAAATGAAGGCATACACGCAGCAATAAAGTAGATCCCCGGCTCGATATCTGTCCACTTAAGTAATTGGACAGATGTCCAAGTATTATCCTCGAATGCGTTGCGGTTGTAGAAGTTTGAGAAGCGAAGACAAGATGTGATGATTCCACTATGAGAATAATTAGTCCTGAGTATACTATGGAAGCGCGATAATTCAAATGTGCACTTACGCTCCACCAGTTGCGAAAATACAAGCTAGTCCAATCTTCTGTCGTTGAGAAAGATGTAGTTGGAAGATCATGGGGAGTGGTAGAACCAGCATAATGGCGTCGGTGACAATATTCGGGAACGACATCCAGTCGTAAAAAACAGTCACGTCTATACATTTTCCCTTTGTGCCGGGTATGCTTTGATTCCACTGATAACTAACAGGCGTACAAGCAAAGGTGGCAGTAAGTCCGATAGCGAGGAAAGTCGCGACTGTGATAGCCATTAAAGTGTATGTGATCGCCCGCTCATAAGTCGACTTGAAGAAGCGAAGATAGAACCCCATAATTGCCATCTTGGGAAGAGCTACTGCAAGCGCCCAAATCCAAACACACGCATAGATACCTTTCCCCCAGGCGATTAATTTATCTGGGCTGTGTGCTTCGACTGCGACAAGATGTTGCCCCACGCCCGCGAGAGGGATAAGAACTGAATGACCTTGTTAATACCACATGTCTCAACTTACATCTGCCATGTTCGCAGATAGAAGCATGGAATAAAAAGGACATACTTAAGCCTTCTATGCATAGTATAATATTCACTGCCAGTGCAGGCCAGATAAACCAGTCATCCAGACCTATCGGCACATCTTGTCTGCGCTTCGCATACCATCGAATTGTCGCAAATGCTATCTCCAAAACCATAAATACCACCGCTGTAGCGATAAGCTCATCACCACAATATTCATCCAAATATCCTGGTGAATAATCCTTCGAGTCTGAAGACATGGCAGCGATCAAGACTCGAAATTAGGAACGGGTAACCTGGACAGAGATCAGGGCAACCATCGTAAATTCCCTCCTTGTGGGTTATGGGCGACTATGACGAAACCAAGAAGATGGATCTCCCAACAGGACTGAAGATCTCCAGCCCCCACGCTTAAACTTGAACTACTAAACATGGGCGGGAACATGTACCTTTCGTACTCCGTACAGAATACGTTAAGTTTCTTCAAGACTAGGTGAGCCTAATAGGCTAAGTAGTACTCTATGGAGGTAATAACAATACCTGATACCTGATAATACATCCGAGAGAGTCTCGGGGAGGGGGAACAATAAGATCACGTCAGACTTTACGACTACTGAAATGGGGAAATGAACATTCCGGCCATCTCAGCCACTCAGACCACCTTTTCTCACGACTCACATGCAGTGTGATGCAATGTCATCTAGTCGTGCATGAAAACCATGCACCTAGGAGTCATATTCGAATGATTGAGGTACAATTTGCGGGCCGCACCGTTTGTATGGTAACTTACACATGGGGCCAAAATGTATTTCTCGGTATAGAGGCTCCACTTTCCGTCCTGGTTGCTTACAAGGTTCATGGGCGCAGAAGGATGAATAAGAAGATGACCGGAGGAAGAAGAAGAAGAAGAGGAAGAGGAAGAAGAGTGAATGGCATTGTTGATATAAATGCACAGACATTGAATCCCTGGATCGTCATGAAGATCATACATGATCAACAATCCGTGCTCTTGACGATTCGTCACGGCTGAACTTCAAGTACAAATGGCCCCCATTACTTGAACTTAATGTATCTAACCTACTAGTCCAAGTTTAGTGTTACATTCTGTGTTGGGTTTCCCTTGGCAATAAGTGGTCATCATGCCCCTGTTGGTCTATTAACTTTGTAGCCCCTGTAGGAGTAGTACTATATTAGGAAGTACCCGTGGACGCGTGGACAGTCATGGATGGAGTCATGGGGGCCCCGGGGCCATGCATTAGCCTGAAGATTATGAGACCCTGCACAATGCTCAGGTAATTTATACCTATAGAAATATAAGCATCTATAGAAATATAAGCAATTTCGCACACTTTAAGCGAATAATTTATTTGAATCCTTTTAGGTACTCCATCCGTAATATCTGAACTTAGCTTTGAACTTGATTGTTTGGGGCTACACCTTAATTCCTTCCTCTCCCCCAAAATTTTCACCAAAATGGATCGCTCGGGCCATACACTCATTCCTCCACATACAATAGTATCTAATATATCCGGCGATACACTGGATGGTGAGCTCACTGATCCCAACTCGGAGCCCCTTTCAGAGAGGAAGAAAGAAAGCACCGACGACCTAAGCCAAGTGAGTGGAGAAGAACGGACCATCCCGAAGCCTCCATCTCCACCAGAAAAGCCCGATGGCGGTTTTCTCGCTTGGCTACAGGTCGCAGGAAGTTGGTGTTTAATGTTCAACTGCTGGTAAGTGCGACTTACACAACAAGAGCCCTTCCAAAAGGCATACATATGCCATGGCAGCGAAATATCTAAATATATCATTTCAGGGGTATCGTCAACTCATATGGCGTTTTCCAAACATACTACGAAAACGAGGCACTACCAACCCGTTCATCATCCGACATCGCCTGGATAGGCTCACTACAAGCATTCCTACTACTTTTCATCGGAGCCATTACTGGACCGCTCTACGACTATGGATATTTTCGACATTTGTTAGGAGCTGGAACGTTCCTGACGGTCTTTGGTATGATGATGGTTAGTATATGCAGTGAGTTCTGGCATTTTGTCCTAGCTCAGGGAATCGTTGTGGGACTCGGTGCGGGATGTCTATTTATACCCAGCGTTGCTGTTCTACCGTTATATTTCAGATCACATCTGGCATTTAGTATCGGTGTTGCGGGGAGTGGGAGTGGTGTTGGTGAGTTCCAAGAGCCCCGAGGCCAGGGTGGCCCAAAGTCCAACTTAAACTTGAAGTCTTGCGGGATTTCAAGAAGCTGACAACTATATTACTATAGGAGGAATTATATATTCGATTGCGTTTCAACAACTTCAAAGATCTATCGGATTTGGTTGGGCTACGCGTATCATGGGATTCATTAGTCTGGCTACACTTGTCTTCCCGTTTTTGGTGATGAGAGTTCCATCTGCAGTGCCTGGGCAACCTAGGAAAGTGAGGAAGCTTTTCGACTCGTCGACATTGAAAGAACTTCCGTTTGTTCTGTTCTTGATTTGGGGATTCTTTGGTTTTGCGGGTGTTTATATGCCGCTTTACTATGTTGGATCTTACGCTATTGAGAAAGATGTTATGTCTTCGACATTAGCATCTTATCTTATACCTATCCTTAACGCTGGATCGGTGATTGGACGCATTGTTCCAAATGTGAGTGATTTATCTTTCCTCCGACATCCATTGACTATATCTTCTTTTGTCACTCCAATCGTCTTTCTTCTCATCCAATCCAAGCATATCACGTCAATTGACAGCTAATCGAATCGGATCAAATAGTACGCAGCGGACAAAACCGGCCCAGTAAACATGTTTATACCAACCTGCTTCGGTTTAGCCGTATTATCCTTCGCGTGGATCGGCATCAGTAACACACCGGGTTTAATAGTCTTCGTGGTTCTATACGGAATCTTCATCGGGACATACATGACATTACCGTTCAGCGCTGTCGTCAAACTAAGTCCTCACCTGGGTGTAACGGGGGTCCGAATGGGTATGCTCTGCGTCATTTGCAGCTTCGGTGTTCTTGTCGGTACTCCCGTTGGCGGTGCTATACTGCGTCATGGCGACTGGATTGGACTCCAGTGCTTTGGGGGAGCAATGCTTATGGTTGCGACTATCTTTATCTTTGCAACTCGGGTTGCTAAAGTTGGCATTGATCCTTCGAAGATATTATAGGTGTCTACCTGGGCACTTCATTATGTTTAGTATATACAAGCTACGCATTCTAGACTAGTCTTTCATCTGCGTAGCTGTAAGCTGAATTTCCGATATGTGAATGAAGAAAAGAGAGATGTAGAATTATAGGCTCAATGCTATTAACGATATGTATGGAGAGCCTGAAGGGTATCGACAATGAATAACAGGGATGGTATCTGTACAAAATAATAAGAATAGCAAGAAGGCAAAGCCAAGTAATATCAAAAATAGATATTGACCAATTTCGCAAATTCGCCGCGCTGATGCAAATGATGTAAAGCAATTCCAGGGGTAATAACAATGTAGATAGAATGGGGAAATTTCCACGGTAAATCCAGTCAAGAAGTATCAATAATCTGTTCCTGAGGTTTACCTGTGGTTTCCCAGTCCTCTCAGGGAAACACGTCTGCTAGAGCCAGCGGCTCTTATGTCATTCACGCTTCGTACTTTAGGTATTGAGCGGCCCGTGGTATCCTCCTCTGGGAGACGAGGAGATCCAACATCGTTATTTTTGGGAGAGGTACTCAATCCCAATGGAGGGGGATTGAAAGAAGTAGATCGACGTGTTTTCTGGAGAACGTTCTCGACCCACGCCTCGCCCTCGGGACTCATAGAGATCTGACGTGAGCGAGGCTTGGGGCCAGCGAGACCAAGCGGGGCTGAGTTCTCATGAGTTGACGCATGAGTAGTTGGTGGAGAGAGGATATCTCCGCCGAAGGAGTAGCTTGAGGAGAAGGAAAGGCGACGCTGACCAGGCAGTCCTGCAGATGGAGGAGAGGTAAAGAAGCTTAGGTTACCGGCTGTTACTGATCGGGGAGGCACTGCTTCGGAGGCAGTGGAGTCCCGACGTGTTTTTCGGACGGTGAGAGATGAGGGAGGGCGGACACTGAGGACTGAAGAGGGTCGAGAGGGAGTGGCACGACCAGAAGCGATGTATGATGCGGAGGGGGGAAGAAGACTGCCGGGTGAATGGCCGGAGGGAGAGCGAGATGCCACACCTTGCACCTCGACACGGGGGGTTTCTGAGACTTTGCGCCGTCCATGATGGATCACGTATTCGCGGAGGTACTCTCCGAGGTCAGCCCAGCCACCACCAACTCGAACCATGACGCGCTGGCCGTCTTCTCCGACGGTACGCACGAACAACTTGGTAGGTGCAGTTGAGCCGCCATGATGCAGATGGTAAAGCTTGACATAGCTATCCTCTGTTTTATGGGCATGCGATACCCGTCTTCGAGCAGCAGGCATGAGAGTTAGAGAGGGAGCGGGAGTCATGCTTCTTGATGGTGGGCCGTTGGGTGATTCGGAAAGACACCGTTCTCGCATTTTCCGATCTAAAGATGATGAGGATGACGATGTATCTGCCTCATTGTTGGGATCAACGAGGTGGATTCTGCCGGGAAGAGTGCTGAGAATGGAATTGATCTTCTCATCGAGATGGTCTCTTGGCTTCCTGAAGTGTTTGTTCGGCGAAGATGAACCAGAGCCATTATCCATGTATTCCGATGCATCTTCCTCGACATACGCGAGCTCCTGCCTCCTGAGTCCGAGACCTTCCAAGCTTGGGTGGGCTGTCAAGCGGTGGCGAAGGCGCATAGACTTGGGTTGATCTTGATGTTGTATGGCTCGTCGCGCAGTATTTCCACCAAAGGCGGGCAAAGTCTTGGATGGAGGGTTTGAAACGGGTTCGTTCTTCTTTGGGTCAGATGGTGGTTGTCCGTGGGCGAGGGCAGGCCGACGCTTGGGAATACGAAGGGCTTGAGTGGTTGGGGTAGAAGAGATGTCCGGGTTCTTGGCACGAGCTGTGTGGTTCATGGATTTGTACTGTTCAGGAATCTCGGGGACCGGCGGGGACGTCAAGTCCAAGTCTAGCTTTTCGTTGATGAACCGCTGTAGAGGCAGGCTTACTGAACGGGCTTCCTGGAACTCAGTTGAGCGAGTGACGCGCTTTGAATTCTCGAATCGTCGAAGTCGGTCCTCGCGCAGCATATAACCGCCACGTGAAACGGGCTTTTGGTAATCTGGACGCTGAGATATCATTTGATCTCCGTTCGAGGAACTAGCATGCGGCTCGGGTACTCCTGGACTGGAGGTATTAGAGTCATCTGACACGAAAGAACCCACGGATCCTGAAGATTGACGACGAGCCCGAGGCGCAGGTGCGCTCTTGTCGAAGCTCAAATTGCCCGAGCGAACTTTAGATAGCTTGATAGGGCTCTGCAAGGGCTTCTTCTTGGCCATATTCTGTTTCGCTGGCACGTATTCATTGCTCGATTGTGATTGTAATACAGCTTTTGTTTGTTGAGGCTCGGCGGCGGGTGGCTTTGGCCTTTCAGCTCTGCTAGAGGGAGTTCTGGCTGAAGCGTCGCTGATATGATTATCCAGGTCCGGTGTTTCAGGGGGTTGGCTCATCAAGGTTGGAGTTTTCAGGGGCGTGCTTTCTCGGGGCTCATGAGCAGAATGCAGCGGCTGCTGCGTCAATGACAATTGTTCAGGCTCAGCGATTGACTGATCGATACTTGGTATTGTTGTTGCGTCGTGGGTGATTTTCTTAGACTCAGATTTCACCTCACTCGCAAAGCTACTTGCAGTCTGTACTTTGTCGTGCACTGGCGCAGCGACTGCAACGACAACTTCGGGTTCGTTATTCCGCTCGGGCCTTGGAGATAGAGGTTTCTCTATAAATGGATCATCATCGATATGCTCAGCCAAAGCTGCCGGCTTCGCGCCTGGGGATTCCCGAACAGAAGATGATCGTTGAGGTAAAAGGCCATAAGGGGGAATATTCTCTTTATTTTCAACGTCGGGAGTCATTGGCAATGGAATTCTTGAAGGTGACTGCACGCCCGGCGATTGAGCGTGGAGGTCTCGAGGGAATTCATCTTGTGTCGGAGTTTGAATATCTTCAGCAACAATGATATTTGATTCGCTTTCAGGATCGTGCTTGGGCTCCTCAATGACAGTATGTTCCGGCTCGATAGGGTTGTAAGAAGTATCAGGATCGGAAACTTGTGAAAGAGAGTCGCTGTCTGTAAAGATTGTAGAATCATGAGAATCGGGCTGCTCCAGAGGTGCACTGTCCGTCAGAACTTCAAGTTGAGAATTGGACCTTGACTCCTCTTCGATGGGTTCAATTTGAGCAACTGGCAGAATTGGTTCAGGTGCAGCTGGCTTGGTGTCTATTTCGACTTCACGCTCCTCTGTAGCAGGAGCTTGAGCCTCGGGTTGAGATTCTTGGATTGGCTCGGCTTTCTGAGCCTGGCTCTTTGTATGAAGCCACTCAGTGTGTAGCTTGTATCTCTCTGCCTCAACCACCCATGCGGCAAAATCTGCTTCAATCGTCTCCAAATCATCAATCCATTGTTCAGGCAACGAATCCTGGCGACCTTCCAATGCATCAAGAGTTCGATCCATTCTTCTCCCCGCATCAATGACTTTCCCTTCAATTTTGACGTGTTCATCGCGTAGGAAAGAGCTGGATAGACGAGCATCAAGGTTTTCGGAGGTATTCGATGATTGTAAAGCGCGGTTTGAAGCATCGAGAATAGACCGTGTTGTTTGCAACTCTTTCAATAGACCGGGGACCTGGCGGAGGACAAAGAGGCGAACGTCCCAGGTATTTAATAGATGTGATAACCGGGATAGACATGGTAAGGCGCGGAGGATGGTAGCTGTCACGATAGCTGTGAAATCGCTGAGTTGGACATAGCTGAGGGGAGGGGGCACGGACACTGTGCTCGTGGAGGAGGAAGGGCGAGACCGTGATGGAATGTGAGCATTAAGAACGTGTTCCTTCAATTCCTCTACATCTAGGCCATCTATCCCATCGCGTATTTCTTCGATTCTTTTTTCATATTCCTCCACCACTTGTGCGGGCAAGCTGCCATAAAATTCGACGGAATTGCTGGGGGCCGATAAAGAGTTCGATTCAAAGGAACCATCGCGCTTAGAAGAGTTGGCTGGTGGGGAAAATCCCTTTCCTGCTTGTGCATCGGTATTATTATACCATTTCCACGACCGTACCTCCTTTAGCCACAGATCCAGATTCCGTGCTGCTATGGCTGCCCGGATACCCAAAGCGCGTTCAGCGGGAGAAACCTGGGAAATACTCTTGGAGAGGACATCGTGTGAAAAGGATCCGTTCGATGGGACGGTGCCGGTGGAGGTGAGGGCTGCTAGCGTTGATTCGGGAGATAAATTGCTCAGGAGAGGATCGACTTCGGGGTATAAAGATCCACGGGGTCGTTCTGGTCGTTCTGGAGAGGCGGAGCGAGAGTTGTCTCGGGAGTGAATGGGGGAGAGGCGAATAGAAGGACGAAGAGGGCTGGGTCGTCGACTAGCTGCCATTCCGAATGATAGGCTGACCAGCCCCGTTGAGTTCACAGGGAGTGGGCAAGACGAGGAGTTTCAACCAGATCGGGATGGCATAGGAATGAAGGATATTGAAAAGGAATAGCGGGTGGACGAAGAGAGAAATGTCGAGCCCGCATGCTGAGACGCGTTCCAATGAGGGGTGGGCTTTTTCTTCTCTTCTTTCTCTTCCTTGTTCCAGCTCAGACCAATTTCTCTAACAGGCGAGACCTGCAGGACGCGCGAGACGCGGAGGTTGGCGGTAAGCAAGAACAGATATAAGGAGATCCGGATCAGGTCAATAACGCCGGTCTGATATTTAATGAGGGGAACAAAGAGAATATAAACCAAAGAACAAGCACAGGAGAGAAAGAAGAAAAATTGGAGAAAAAAGAAAAAAAAGTAAACAGCGAAATAATTATGATCGGAGTTCGAGTGGAGGTGGAGCCAAAAGGGGGCACGATGTGGACCGATGATCCGCGTTGCTCATCGTTGGTTCGTGAATTCCCGTTTGTTGGATTCAATTGGATCAATTCCCGGGCCTGTCAGCGTGTTAGTTGGCCCGGCTATTGTTCTAGTTCTTCCGGCTGCACGGTCGATTTTATTTATAGTCTTTTTCAGCCTGGGCGCTTGGAGCTTTTTATGCAGCAGACTGATCGCTGTTTAATATATGGAGCCTCTTCCACGTACAAGGTGACGTGGGCCATCTTTACCAATTATTCTTTATAGATATTCAATAGATACATGATGGTCCACGCTCTCAACCTTTAACCTTACATGGACAGATCATTCTTCATTCCTCATTCTCTAGTTCTCACGATGTCATGATTTGGGATCCTTGCCTGCAGATGTGATACGTAGAGACTGGTTGCTTGGTTGTAGTCGTTGCCTCGGCATCCGGGAATAAATACATGCAAATTATTGAAGCTAAATCCTATAGCGTCGCCACATTGATTAAATGTGATATGATCTGAAATTCAAATATTAACCTATAACCCAGATATCCAGTGTTTAAACGTTGAGCTTCTAACAATTTTGGTACTAGTACTACCAAGTATAGCACCTTGCATATCCTCCGTCAGTAGAACATAGATATTGATATTGATATTAAATACTGTAGAAATCGACAACTTGAAACTGCAATAATTAACTAAAATTATCAATTCATTATTGTTCTACTGGAGCTTAGTATGATATCAGCTGAGAAGTCCAAAAACAACAAGGCTTGGCTCGAACCAAGGCATAACACCATACCAAGTCTGATGTAGAAGAACTTGAGACAAGTTGAATAGATTCCAGTCCAAATACCCTATAGCAATCTAATTAAGCAATGGAATAACAGAAGCAATCCACATCCCCCCATTATCAAAAGAGCAAAGCTTCCCAGAACCAGTCCGCCAAACACCAATTCCCCCAAATCGACCATCAATCGCATGATAACACCCAACAATATGAGTAGGCTGCACACCTTGTTCCTCCCCAACGAACAGATCAAATATCGGCTGTTCAATTCTACTTTGTATAATAGACTGCGACTGGATCGGCAGTTCAGGATCTAAGAGAGATCTCAGCGTAGACATCCACTCCTCCGGTGTCAAATCATCTCCAAAGATAATACCCTCCGTTTGACCCAATCGAATGGGCTTAATGATATATTTATCTTTGATGAAATTTGAGTCCTCCGATTGCTTAATCAATCTGTTGATCTCCTTAGATCCCGGGATAAGGGTATATACAATTCCCTCTCGAAGAATATTGGCTTGGCTTGGCGTCAGGACCTCATGTTTGTAAACTAGATCATCGAGCTCTTCACGGATAATTCCCAGCATGCGCTTATCGTGCGCAAAAAATATGCTTCGAAAGTCATTGATAGAGCGCAGGGCGATGTGTTGGAGCATTGGGATTGGGATACTGCTGATTTCCTTCTGGTTTAGGTGGATAAATATGTGGTGGATTTGCTCGAAGCCTTCGTCTTCTTGGCAGACACTGGTTCCACCTTGTGTTTTGCGACAAAGTAGGTCGTATCCCGTTTTGGAGTTTGGGTTCGGACGTAGTTTCAGGTCTGAGGGGCTGATTGCTCGAGGCGTGATGCCGGTTTGCTCGGCCATGAGAGGTGGCAAAAGGTTCAGCGTGAAAGTGTCCTCACTGGCTTTGAGTATGTGGACTGGCTTTCTAGTGTCGAAGAGCTTGAACAGAGAATCTTGGATCTATGCAGCTGTTAGAAAACCCATCTGTTGATTTCTATCTTCGTTAAGGGGGTAGACTGTACATTTTCCGGATTCGCAGCGGGAGTAAGCCCCCTTTCCTGGGCACCAAGGTCTATAAGAGCCTGGTGGCCATACATACTATGCAGAAGCATATTAAAGGCGAATCGCGCGTTTATCTCACAAATTCGCGCTTGAGTCTTCTCGTGCCCAGTCTCATCCTCTACCCGATCCAAGAGGAAATCCGGCCTCCAAACGCCTTTGTGGGATAAAAAGGGTGGCATCTCCCCTTTCTCTGTTTTAGCTTGAATCCACTATAAGATCAGTTAGATCTGGTGGTATTAAAAAAGAAAAAGCAAACGGCCAATGGATTGACTCACTTGAAGTACCTCCACCTCCTGGGGTTCCAGTGGCATTCGCGATGGTAGATCAGCTTCCTTGTCCGTCCACCACCTATCCACTATATTCGTGATAGCGACATCTAGAGCTTCATGCAGTTGACGAAGTTCTTGAAGGGTATTGGCGGCTAGGTTCAAGGGATGGGGACTGAAAGGGTGACACGTTGCTAGAGAGCGCTCAGCACCCCGAGATAAATCTCCCAGCCGCGATTGATACAATTCATACGCTTGAACTCGTGTAGCTTGATTCGTTTGGCTAATAGGAATAGCACTTCCCGAAGACTCTGGTGGCTTGCTATCCAGCAGGGACACTTGTGTGAACTGTTTAACGGCCATTTTCATTCAATGTTTTGTGTTGTGACCATTGACCAATTGTTGGGCTGGCAGACAATTGTATACTAGTATGACAATTTAAATAAGGCAACCAAATATACTTTCGATCAACGGGTCTAAAAGGAAATTCGTCATAGGGCGAATCTGGGTTTTTCGTGCTCCAATAGATATGCTAGATTCAGCCTTCGATCCTTCGTGCGTACAGCCGCATATGCTATGCATGAGTAATACCAAGGCTGATCGATTTTTGTTCCAAGTGCTGGATATCCCGTTCCCATTATCTAATGAGATCATGCATCCTGGTTCCAGAGAAAGGATTTGAAACACACTTAAAGTTCAGGCCCTTAGATCACCAGTCAAGGTCGTAGAGACCCCGAGCAATGGACATGATTAGAAAATCCGCCAGAAAGAGAAAAGGATCGGAAAGACTATGAGAATGATGCTATGGCTGCGAAATACTTGAAAATAAATGAATTGATTCATTGTATTAGTAAAATGGTATGTTTTTGCTTCTCAAAAATACGGTGTGTTTCACGCGGGACCTGTATGCAGCTGCCCCTCGATCTGGTATATCCACCGACATCTGAGCTATCACATCCATATCTGCCTTTGAGTGAATGAAGGATCCACATGGGCCATGGAGTATAGATCTATGTTGTCATTGTGCTTAAACGGGAGCCAACTAATCGGCTCAAGGCTTTGGTTGAAACTGATTCTTCAATTTTTATACTTACACCGTACAATGGGATACTTGGCATTCGTCATGACGTAGGCGTGAATGATACTGAGCATCAATTATAATGTGCAATCCACACGAGGATATCAGAAATAATTGTAATTGGCCTCCAAGATTTTATCTATGCAAGACTGTGACATAGCCCACTGCAAATTCCCTGTTTCTTTGTTCATTTATATATTTTAAGCCTTGGGACGCTCTGGGAGATCCTGCTCCTCCTTCTTAGCACCAGGGTGGCCGGTACCCTTATTCTTGACCTTCTTCTCCTTCTTAGGCGGAGGAGGGTAAGCCTTAAGGGTGATTTCCTGCCATTCAGCCGAATCTGTGTAGGCTTTGTGGATAGGAGCCATAAGACGGGTCAAAGCGTCTGCTGCGGCAGGCTTGAGAAGTTGGGGAGTCAACTAGATATTTGTTAGTGAACTTGTTTCTGAGATCAGAATAGAGTGGGTTAAAGTAGTAACATACGACGTCATTTGTGTAATCGTCCTTGAGTTGTTGAATGTCAGTGTAGACAAGAGGTTCGTCATCCCGGCGTTCCACGCGGAACTCCTTCTTGCCAGCAAGGGCGGCTGCAGGGAGTAAGACAAACTCCACAATGGCAATTATACCGTTGTTCTCGGCGACTTTAGGGACGGCCTCTGCCTTGCGGATCTTCTTGGAGACCGCCTCGGGTGGGTCGAGAAGGTCAATCTTGCTGTCTAGTTGGGTTTAGTCAAGGTATTTTTTTTTGGAGAAGCGATGTATTCAAATACCTTCGATACTAGAGCTCATTTTGCCTCCGCTGAGACCTGCAATCATTGGGGTGATAAGGTGGGCACGCTAAAAGTTGGAACTTATTAGTAAGGTCCAATTAGCCTTGAATAGAAATATCCTTTACCTTTCGGTATCCAAGCTTAGGAAGCCATTCTGTAGCGGCAGTAAACAATTTGCGTTGATCCAGACCTATGCTGTTTATTAGAAAATAGATAGACGGTTGAGGTATATTAGTAGAACATACCGCCTAATTCGGCATCAACCTTGAGGTACTCCTCGTCGAGGACCTGAAGGATAGGGTAGAGAAGACCACTCATTGGCGCATTGGCAGATTGCTTAACAATCTCCGCACCAGCCTTCCTACAGTCATGCTCGGAAGTCAAAGCGGCGAGCCTGTAGACATCCATACAGTAGTCCGAGCTGCGTTGGTAGGAACTTCCGAGCACAAACTCGAGCTTCTCAGTCGAGACGCCCACAGCCTCTAGGACTGCCCTGATAACCTTCTCGTAGTATTTGACACGGTTCTCAACCAGCTCGAGAGGGGCTTTCATTGAATCCAGGAAAGCATGCACATCAGCAAGGAGAATTACCACCTCACATCCTGCCGCGAGCAACTGGGCGATCTTGAGCGCGGCGACGAAGTAACCAGAGTGAGGTCTTCCGGTTGTAGCGGTTCCTAATATAATAATATATCCATGTTAGCCTGCCATATAAATACCGAAATTCTCGAAATAGGATATTCATTACCCCAATACACGCGGGGATTGCGCCCCTCGGCAAGGACCTCCTCGATGATCTCTGGGTTGAGGATCTCGCCCAGATTGTCGCGAATGAGATCGAATCTCGACTGCGCCTCTACAGATAAAGCCATTGTGAAATAGATTGGAGAATGGGCTTTCGAATGTAAGTGGAAAAGATCACCAAGAAAAAGTTGTCCTACTTCAAAATTCACCCCGCAATAAACTTTGCAGAATATATAAGGCGGTGAAAAAAAAAAAGGTGAGTCAGACTCCGAGTCAGTCAGCGCCGCGTGACTTCTAATACCCGTTCCTGACCCAATCATTGAACCTTGGAAGATTTTAACCTTAAATTGCCACTAGATCCTCATGGCCCTCAGAATTGGATATCCTATCTAATACCATAGTGTATATCAGTGGACCATTGGCTTCGAATTATAAGATCGATATCAATTATCATTCGAACATTGAAATGACGTGAATTTTGGATAATACCCAGTCAATCTACTCGTGTACTTAATCTGCATGCATTGCTCAGCCTTCGTGCCGGTCTGTGTAACTTGTAGATCTGATACTATAGCGGTGTGTTGATCAACCCACCCGGGCTTGCGTTATGATCCAAAACTGCAACCAAGAAATAGAAACCACCTACTCAGTCCAGTGTCTTTTAGGCGCACCTTGGTGACAGCCTGCATCGATGTCATTGTGCATCAAAATATGTAGAGTGACGTGGAAAGAATTGTATAATGTCTCATGATGTAAATAGGACTGTAAAGTACACCGCCATTAATAAGGGATCAGATTCATGAGGATGTTAAATGTAGGAAAACTGATGCGAGATCGCATGGCAATTGCGACATTCTACTATAATCCAACTACACCTTGACGACGATAGTATGGGCTCCATCAGCGGACCACCGGACGTGATCCAGCGTATTACCCAACAAATTGGGAATACCCCCATGATTGACCTTAGTCCTTTCACAAAAAGACTGGGGGTTCAAGCAACTGTGTACGCCAAGCTTGAGTATTTCAATGCTGGCGGTAGTATCAAAGACCGAGTTGCTCTGCGTATGGTAGAGCAGGCAGAGAAACAAGGCGATATTCATCCAGGGGATACTCTTATTGTGCCGACAAGTGGTAACACGTAAGTGAATTCCCGTGTCACTTGTTGCAAGTACTAAAGATTTATAGAGGCATTAGCATTGCTTTAATAGCTGCTGTGAAGGGTCAGCAATTCTTTCAAAATGCAAAACCATTCAATACTGACATGTCCAAGGTTATGAAACGATAATCACATTATCGGAGGGGATGTCCATGGAAAAGGAGGTGGTACTTCGATCCCTAGGCGCGACTGTCATTCGAACTGCATCTGGAGTTCCATATGACTCCCCGAAATCTCATCTCGGCGTTGCCAAACGGCTTGCGAAAGAGTTGCCGAATGCACACATGCTAGATCAGTTTGGAAATGAGGAGAATCCAACTGTTCATGAGTTGGGAACTGCAGAAGAGATCTGGTCGCAGACCCGTGGACGAGCCAACGTTGTCATTGCGGGTACTGGGACTGGTGGGACCGCGACAGGTATTTCGCGGGGATTGCGGAAATACAACCCATCATTTAGAATGATCTGCGTTGAACCTGTTGGCTCGAAGATGTCTGAATCTCATCACTCGGTTGACAAGAAGGTGAGTAGCCAGCCTTTCCTTATGGAAGGTATTGGTGGGGACTTTACGCCAGAGGTTTTGGACCAAAGCGCGATAGATCAATGGTGCAGCGCCGAAGACAAAGAGTCATTCTATTATGCTCGAAAACTTATCCGGGAAGAAGGTCTTCTTGTTGGAGGTAGTAGTGGGAGCACCGTTGAAGCTTTGGTGCAAGCATCCCGGAAAGGTCTCATCAACAGCGACGATGTGGTGGTACTCATTTTTCCTGACAGTATTCGGAACTATTTGAGCAAGGTATAAAATCCTCCACTATGGCCATGGGATTGGTCTTTTGAGATAATCTTGCTAATTGAATCTTGATAGTTTGTGGACGACAAATGGCTTGAAGCGAATAATCTTTGCCGTGATTCAACCCAGCCGTGTCAAAGTCTAGATGAACACATGTCAACCCTCAGAATTTGAAACATGTAGAAGTGAAGTAGCCAATTCTTTCGTCTCTTCCAAATCAAGCAAATAGACCACATTCAGGAGAGTTCGGGACCGTCGCATTGTAGCCCGTTTATCGATGTCCGTTGTTTTCAGTATTTTCGCTCAACAAGGGCACAATGGCAAGGGATATATCAATAAAGCGATACGAAGATACCAGGAGACAATATGTAGACTCACTCAACATCCGTATCAGGAGTCTAAATCAAATTTCTCTTCACACTTGTTCTTTGCGAAGTCGCGTGTTGACTGCCTGTGCGGGACCATAGTGGCCAGAGGCAAAAAGCCCCATTCGGCCTCTTTTAGACAGGCAGAAAACCGCAATACCTGTAATACAGTAACACCTCTATGTATATGCCCTCTAGAGCTGGAAGTCACAAGCTAAGTTTCAGACTCACTGTCTTGAGATATCTATAAGATATATAGTCTTTTTTCTCTTTTGTAACGAACTTAGAAGTACAATATGAGATATTTATATAACGCATTCTCTAATTTATTGTTGTATAGGTCTTTATATCCGTCTTTCTAATTGCCTTTCTCCTTGTCTTTCTATGCATGTAGAGCTTACAGTACAGATAGCGGTATACGAGGCGGTAAAAGTTAATATACAGCTGGCAGCTTGGTCCCTCGTACGCGCGTGGAAGCGATATAGATAAGAGATAACGATAAGCAAAGATCTCCGCAATTCAACGCCCAAGATTCCTCCACCATCACATCACAAGAGTCAGAATGCGGTTCCGGACCCAATTGAAGGACGTTAAAACCTTCTCAAGTAAAAAACCCCAACAACAGACAAAATACGAAAGCTAACCACTCCAGAATTAACCGCATCCCTATCATCACTGGGTAAAGTATGTTGGATGCGCGTGGAGAAGGAAGCAGTGCGCTTCACCATCATACCAGATCAAGGCACCCAAGTATGGGCCCAGATCCCAGTTGTGAGTCGTCAGAAACCAACACAGATCCCAAAATCAACCACCTAACCTCAGAAAGGACACTATATTCGACGAAGACTCATATAACCTCGAATCCAACTCCGACGCCATCAACATCGAAATCAACATCAGCGTCTTAAACCGTGCACTACGATCTGCCGTCGGCGCATCATACGCTGCCCTCCGCCTCACGAAAAAGGGCAAATTACCCCTCCTCGCATTAACAATCCTTTCAACCGAATGGACGGATGGCAATATGGCTCTCGCTACAGACCAGGCACAACAACAGCAACAACCGCCTGACCCTACGACCGCAAGCGAAGTAGTTGGGAACAGACGCGCACGCGAACGTGAAACATGGGTTACGCAGGAGATCCCAATCAAGATCCTACACGAGGAGACGGTAGAGGCTCTGCATGAGCCGCATTGTCCGGATCCAGATGTGCATATAATTCTGCCCAGCCTTTTGCAGTTGAAGAGTATATCGGACCGGTTTACGAAGCTTGCTTCTACGGATAAAAATCAACAGTCTGGGCTGGTAGCTGGGGATGCGACTGGAGCTGGATCTGGACCTGGGTCTGGGCCTGGAGGCTCAGGTGCTGCTGCGCTTGGGTCTAGCAGTGCGCCGAAATTAGAGCTTAGTGCTAATATGCATGGGAAGTTGAAACTGGCTATTGCGACGGATGAGTTGAAAATTGCGAGTGTCTGGTCTGGACTTGTTAATCCGCCTTTGGACCCGGCTCATATTACCCAGGAACAGTATTCGCAGTTGCCTAGTGAGCGGATGCGAGGTGTGGGTGATGATGATGAGTCTGGGTGGGCTAAGGTGCGGATTGATGGGAAGGATTGGAGTCGGGTGTTGAGTGTTGGGAGGTTGAGTCCTAGAGTTGTGGCTTGTGAGTATTCTCCCCTCTTTCCTTATTGGGAGTGACTTTGCTGATAGGGAGCATGTAGGCTTCATTAATGAGACGGCTCTCGTTCTTTATGTCTACCTTCCCGGGAGCTGGAATGGTCAAGAGTCCTGCTTGACTGTGAGTGTATCCAGAGCTATCATTTCGTCCTATCTTGTTACATTCTGGAATCACTAATCCTTTGTAGTATTATATCAATTCATTTACGACATGAGTAGCTACGTATGAGGGTGTGAAAGATTATACCAAGGGTTGATCGAGGATCGAGATCGACATTATCAGGAACCATTATTAAAACAAGCACATGGTTTTAACAGTCATGCGAGAGAAGGAGCCTTCCAATTGAAGGCAAAAATAATAACAGGAATCATCCACAATATATCGGAGTATACCTGAAGGGGCAAGTGATGTACTATACATGATGCAAGGAGAATCGTCTCCCTCGCTTTGATGGGCGAAGAAATGCGCAGCAAACAAGGGCAAAAAGCAAGCTATGTGCGGGGATTTGCGGGAATCGGTGTGCAAAAACGCCAGAAAATGTATAGCCTGAACTGAATCTTCTGACAGACCAAGATGAGACATGCAAAATGCTGGAGTGGTGAATGAGTCTCAACCATGGGGAATCTATTATAGAGGGGGCAGTATGAGGGGGTGGGGGTACAAGAATAAAAGACATAATAGGCATAATAAAACAAAGGAAAAGAACAAAATAAAAATATCCACAACCGGGTTCATCTAGGTGGGGCATAATCATGGTTTAATGATAATTTAGGATCATTTCGCCATGACATCAACGTAGCGGCCCTTCTTCTTACCGCGCACGGCTCCGCCCTTTCGGGCGGTAGGCGCACCCAAAAGATCATCAATCGATTGGGCATGACTCAGAGAGGAAGCAGGTCGAGGTGGGGCTAGGCCGCTCGATGAACCAGGCAGAGACGAGGATAATGCTGCGTTCGAAGAAACAGAACGAGGCATGGGCGGAGGAACACTCAGCCCTGCGAAGGCGGGGCTTGAGGACAGAGGCGCGGCATCACTGGATGACGAGGGTGGACGGCTACCTGAAGCGGCAGACATAGGAGCAGGGGGAGGCGGCATGCTACCGGAGCTGGCTCGACTGGGAGGAGCAGAACCGCGAGGAGGTGGTGGCGTAGCACGAGCAGCGGTACCTGAGCCGGGGTCTTTCTTGTTGACCCATTTCTTGAGGTCGTTATCGTAGTAGAACGAGTTTTCCTCGCCAAGCTTGGCCTTGATAGGACCACCACCGACATTGTCGGGTTCCTTCTTGGGAGCACCTCCGAACCAACCGCCGAACCAACCCTTCTTTTGCCCTTGCTGGGCAGCACCACGTTTTTCTACGTATCAAGTTAGTTAAAACAATAAAGATGAGTGCTGGGTGTAGTCAAAACTTACCATCTTCTTCAGCTGCCTTTCGGAATGCCTCATCTGCCTTGCGGTCATTTTCTTGCTTCTGAGATATTTTCAGAGCTGAAGCCCGAGCAGCGAGATCTTCATCATCGTCATCGTCCATGAATGCCTTCTTTTTATGGTTGAGCTCCTCTTCATCCTGTGATTCGGAGTGCTCCAGAGAAATATTGACATCTGGAGCGTAAGATGGAGGCGCATAGGAGTTGGCAACTGCTGGAGGCATGTAGCCAGAGTTTTCCGCCTGCGGCATACCAGGTGGACCTTGGTAGAAAGGCGACTGGTTAACAGAGCCGTCATTTGACCCTGGAGGCTGGTAGAATAGCCCATTGACCGCAGGCTGGGAGGCATCAGCTGGAGATTGAGTCGCATCCTCTCTGACGGGCGCTAGAGGTACGTATGATGACTGAGGCGGCGTGGGCTGGTACCCAACAGAGCCTGGTGATCCATACATCAAAGCGTTTGAGAACATAGAATCCACTGGGGTTTCAGGTTCCTGTGACAGACGTCGTTGACCAAAAGCGAGACCACCAGAAGCAGACCGTTGAGAATCCATTGAAGACCGACCACGAAATTGTTGATCTGGGGACGCGGTCGGTGCATACTGGCTCGATGGAAGATACTTGGAAGACCCGCCAGCAGGAATTGGCTGTGCCCCGGCTCCAGGATAAGACCCATACATATCAGACATAGACGGGGACCGGCTCACGGTGGGGGTTCCAGCTACATTCGCAAAGGGACCAAATTCGGGAGCGTCAGGCGCTTTACCGGAAACATTCGATGCAGCATCACTCTCATCGCCTGCGACAAAACTATTAAATCGAGCCCACATAGAGCCAGACACCCTCTCCATGCTAGGTTTTGAAATCCAAGACGAATTACCATCGCTAGCGGTTTGTCGAAGGCGAGCTGATAGTTCATCAATCTCAGCAAACAGGTACTGGTGGTGATAGGGTGACGGTCGAGTAGTCGACTTAAGCGATGTAGCCAATGAATCGCAGTAATTCTGTGCCTCTGTTTTGCGACCGCGATCAGCGAGGTACTTGGCATGAAGAAGTTTGAAGGCCAAAAGATGTGATAAATTGGCGGTTGGAGAGTTCGCTAAGACAGAAGTAGCGAATTCGTAGATCTCAGTCAGGAGAATAGCATCTTCGTCAAGTAAGGTGCAAGGTAGACGCTGGTGATCAGCTCCAAGAAGCACAATATTGGCCTGAGGATCATCGGCTCCGCCGAAGACAACACTTCGAGAGAAAATGAAACAGATGTGAGCGGCCTCAATACGGCCGTACGAAGCTAATAGATGACCAAGTGCTAGTAGCGCCTGATGATCGTCAGAGCTGCGGTTGCTTAGCACCAACCCGAGGGTATCTCTCCAGCTTTCAAGGCCAGCGAGGGCATTCTTGGATGTGCCCTGCCCGTCTGCTTTGCTTATTAGATGATGGCCAGCTCGCGCAGATGGGGGCACCAGTTCATCAATACTCTCCTCAACGTTTCCAGCAAAGATTTCGTAGAGAGCTGCAAGCGATTCAGTGCCACCACTCGGAGATCGAACCTCACGCCGAACATATTCTTGCACAACTTGCTTCCAAATAGATTTCTCCATCGTAGAGGCGATAATCATTGCGTGACCCCAAAGTCGCCGATCGACTGCACCCCAGACTGCCTTCTCACGCTCACCGAGGAGAAGATTAGTACGAAGTTCCTGGCTCCATTGAGCATCAGCAGAATCTGCTTGAGATGGCAGACCAAAGGGTTGGGCAGCACCAGGGGCGGCGAATGAGTTGCCATAAGATCCATCAGGCTGAGACTCTTGAAGACTCGGGAAAATGACCTGGCGTAGTGACTTCTGAATTTCGGGCGACCCTTCAAGGGTGCCATCGTTCTCAACGAGGATTTTAGTCATCTTCCATAGCAGAATCTTCTCTTCATGACGCGCTCGCGCATCAGGTTGCGAATTATTGAAGCTTGGCGTTTCCTCGTTCTCAAAGGCTGCAATCTTGCTCGAAAGCCAGGCCAGCACATCCTTCTTTTTGGACTTGGCCTTCAGGGGTCCGGGATGAGGTACTATAGTGTCACCAGATGGTAGCCAAGAATCAAGCTGTGAGTATCTAGGGTCACCAAGAGTAGGCTTGATCATTGGTGACGGAATGCCGGCCGAGTAACGAGGAATGTGTTTAGGGAAACAAGAAATCACCGAGCCTCCAAATCCAAACTTGAAGATAGGAGCACCTTTCCAACGGCCAAGGGGATCCTGCTCCTGTCCATCTGTAGGTACGATGAACTCCAGTTGTTGGGAAGCCTTTGAAGCAGCCCGTGCGCGGTTTGCAGCTTGCTGAGGAGCATACGGGTTGACAGTCTTTGTTGGGGAGCTGGAACCATGGACCGAAGCAGGACGTGGCATAGTCTCAATTGAAGGAACGAAAGCTCGAGGACTTGTCAATTGTTGTTGTCCTGGAGACTGCGTTTGCGATCTGCGAGGAGAGACAACCCCCGAATCAAGTGGTTGGGAAGGCTGGATATCGGGTACCATAGGGGGGGCAGGAGCAGGAGCATAGTTGTTATTTGGTGTCATGCGCTTTGTAAACTCGTCGAGATATTCCTGAGGCGCATATGGGAGCTTTGGCGGTGTTTGCTGAGGAATTTGTGGAACGCCAGGAGCGTAAAGAGACCCATTAGAAGTCTGTGGGGCATATGGTGATCCTTGGTCCACACTCGGGCGCTGTCGAGGGGGGGAAAGATCCACAGAGGGCTGAAGAGAAGGTGGCGGCATCTGCTGGGCCTCGTTGGGTTGATATGAAACCTTTTCGTGATATGCGAGGGGACTCGAAGTACGAGGTTGGAATGGCATATTGGAACCTTGTCCAGGGACACTTAATGGTTGCGAGGCATAGCGACCCCGACCACCAGCAGGCACAGGCGGCGGCGCAGGCGAGTATCTAGGAGAGGAAGCTGGCTTCCCTGAAGGTTGTAATCCAGGAGGCTTCGGAGAATATCTGGACGTGGCGATTGGGCCAGACGGCGCACTGGAAGCCAAAAGTCCTGTAGAACCGTATGGGTCTAACCGCTCGGGTGGTTCAAGCGAAGAATGCGCGGGAAAATGTGCAGTGGGAGGAGCAGCGGGAGGTCCAACAGGAGGCTGTGAGGCGAGAGTAGGAGCTGGTATAGTCGCATACGGATTTTGGGGTGGCGGACCTACAGACGGCCCTGTTGCCGTGACCGTAGGGTTAGGGGTATAGCGACCAGAACTGGCCGGGCGAGACCGCGGAGCAGGCATTGGAAGCTCCTCAAAAAAGTTCTTTGGGGTAGGCAGCGGGGCGACAGGCGCTGCTGTTGGTGCTGGTGCCGAAGGAGCCGTGGCAGTGAATGGGGGAGCTGCAGCCGAGCCAATATAATGCCCTGGGCCACTTCCTGGGGGTGGCGGTGGGGGCATGCTGTTGTCTACCTTTGGGGTAGGCTTGTGGGTGAGAATAGGGCGTCGAGGTCTCGACAGGTCATCAGGAAGATCGTAAGGGGATTTGTAACCTTCTTTCGATCGTTCAGCAAAGCTTTCTCCTCTGGAATTCACTGGGTTGGGTGGCTGTTGTGCATAGTACGGAGGTACACTGGAGTTTTGAGGTGGAGCACCAGGGAAACCAACTCCGCCTACCAAATCTGCGGTGGAAGGCTGATGAGGGACATATACACCCGGAATAGGTCTCGGAGGGGTCTGTTGTTGTTGTTGAGGTGTCTCAAATGGGCTATTCAGAGCCGCCGGGCCAGCATGTAACGGACTTTGCGGAACATACTGCGTGGCTTGCGCTGCATCCTCATCATCATCTATGTCATCCAAGTCCAATGCAGCCTCCCAACGAGCTGCGAGGTCTTCTTCCTCTGCATCACTCAACTCTGCTTCCCAACGGGCAGCCAAATCATCCTCTGCGGGCGCGGCCGCGGGCACAGGTGCGCTTGACTGTGCTTGGTCCTCCTGAGGATCCGATGTCGCAGCCTTGATAACATCATCAAACTGAGCAGCCGCCGAGATATCGCTAGCTGGAGAGGCAATATCAAAACCAACCGATTCCATCACCTGGCTAGTACTCTTACGTGTAATGTGCATAGTTGGTTGATCAGTGGCGTCTGGACGTTTGGAGGAACTGAAGAAGCCCTCGGGATCGTCCCCATGGTCATTACCAAAAGGATTGTTGCTGGCATCATCATCAAACATAGCACGGTCAGGGGACTCAGGGCCATCTTCCTCTAGAAGCGGAACTCCTTCTTCAAATCTGGACTCTGCTTCCGGCGGTGCGAAAATTGGCTTGGTTTGTGTTTTGAGTTGGTTGAAAAAGTCATCACCATCTGAATCCATTTCCCCATCCCCTTGGTTCATCCATTCGCTAGCGTTGTTTGCCGTTGTAGAGGATAGGGGCGCCTCGGAATTTTGTTGCCTCTGATCGATAGACTTGAGTGACTCCTCGCCCGTCGGCTCGTTTGCAAATCCATTCTCCGTATTGATCTGTGATACTTGTGGTACCGGGGCCTCATCAACAGGCAATTGAGATTGCGGGGTCGTGGATAAATCTTCATTTGATTGTGTTTGTTCTTCATCGGAGGGGACTCGATATTCGACTGGCTCAGCTGCTTGTGGAACAGACGCAGGCTCGGTATTGGCCGACAACAAAGCCGAAAAGTCATCAGTCTCTTCGCTGGATGCAAATACCGCGTCGATCGAGGATGATTCAGCTTGCGCAGTTTCAGCTGGCTGCGGTTGCACTTGGGAAGCTTCTTGTGCAGGAGCATCTGGTATGGTATCAAAGACGGTTTCTTCTTCAACGGGTTCTGACAGCTGGTTGGCCGGTTGCTCAGCATCCGTGCCTTTCGCTAATAGCTCTGAGAAATCGACCGAATCATCAGTTGACGTAAAGATAGCAGCAGGCTCAGAGGAGTTGGTATGCTGGGGCTCAACAGTAACGACAGATTCGGGATTTGTGGGCGCGGCATCAAGGGGAAGACCATGCGACGGAGTTGTTGTTGTAGAATCCGCACTTCTGAGGTCTGTTGCGATTTCGTCTTGAACATTATCTCCGTTCGGACTGTTCTCCTGCGCTACACCCGCCATAACAGAGTTAAGGGATGTAGGCTGCAGTTCGGGATTTAGCTTGTCTTCCGGCATATCCCACGCTGAAAAGTCGTCATCACTCAAGGGTGACTTGACGTCGGGTTTGGAAGCTTCGGGCGCGCTTTCATTGACCAAGGTGTCCGATGGGCCATCTTCGGCCATGGTCGCCGGTATTTGGGGCGTGATATGTTCCGGTCGAAATGCTGGATTCCAAGAACCGATATCTTCGGCGAAAGAGATCGTTTGGGTCATGGTGAATGTGTCAGGCCGTCGAGCATCGACTCGATTCGGGGGGTTCGGAGGCAACCTGACACGTCTCTCCAATGACGTCCAGGGTCAACAATCTCAAGAACGAAGCAAAAACGGTGTCAAACTCAAATCTCCATGAGCCGGCGACGTATCAGGCGTATAGAAAGGGACAAGAAATTAGATTAAAATGACATAAAGTATTAATGCAAGAGTCGCCGGACAGCGCAAAAATGAACAAGGTTGAGTATGCCGAAGTCGCGACGCCCCCAGATTGCATTGTTTGCTGTTATTGGTCCCGACTTGGAATCTTAGTCATCCATCCTGTGGATGTGCACGGATCTACATTGTTCCGAATTGAACACCGTTGCAATGCATTGTAAGGATGACTAATTACGCATGATGATAACTTATATTCATGCTGCACAACTCACTAGCTAGTTATTGAACTTATCTATGGCGGCAGATAGCGATCTCCAGGAGAAAACCCCATGGCCATAGATAAACTTTACCGCCTATTACACCGCTACCTATAACTTACTGTAAGCTCTACATCGATAGAAAACCAAGTTGAAAGACACATAAAAAGTTAAATGAAAAGACTACTAAAAGGACAATCGGAAAGATGACTAGAAAGACGATTAGCAAGACAGGTAGAAAGATAGTTGAAAGGATATATGGAAACGTACATCGAGAAACATTTTCTCCCTGAATCTTTTAGATTATACTGGGAAGCTTATTCAAAAAGAAAGAAATATTACATGTCGTCGAGATATCTCAAGATACCCCTTGAAGCTTTACTTAGCGATATCCGACACGCCTAAATAGAACTTGAAGTTATTGTATGGTAGGCCTTGTAATTTTCTGCCGGGCAAAAACAGGCGGATTTTTTGCTGGTGGTCGCTATGGGCCCCTGTACTCGTCTTGTGTAGTCAGGTGATGCTCAGCGTCACGGGTGCCAGGCAGTCGCGGTGCTTAAATTATTTCCCATACCGCATGAGCAGTGGAAACCGAGAATTGGGAACCTCGATTGAACAACTTTCGCTGCTGTCACTTGTCTCCGTATCTTGGGTGCCTAACCCAACACGTCAAACTATCACTTCTGTCTCCACTATGCTGCCGCGTCACCTTGATGTTTGAGTCGCAGATCTCAAATCCTTTATTTGATTGCCGATTAGTCGTGTACTACTACCCAACTCATGTGCTCCTGATTTAGAGCCTCTCATAGGCATCGGATCAATTATGCCTTCCTCCTCCGATTATTTACACCCCCTACGTTCAGACGACGGGGACGAGTTCTCCGCGTCGGATGACGACTTAGACCTCGAGGAGCTGGACCCCAGTGCAGCGCCACCCCAAACGGCTCGCATCTCTCGAGATTATACGAACAATTCGCGAAACTATGGACCCGGTATTGCTTTGAGAAACCTACGGGTAGGGGTGGGAAGTCGCTGGCGACGAAGTCCATCCGGCCACGGGGAACCGGAAGACGACACTACTGGACTGTTGGAAGAACGAGATGAGGATGGAGTTCGCCAATCACATGGGAGTTCCCGACGAATGACGGATGACGATGCACCATTACTCGACCCGAGAGGTTCAACGCGCATGTTCAACAACGATGAGCCTTCAAAAAAGAGCCGCTTCCGCCTCCCCAGCATAAGGGGCCCAAAATTCCTGCAAAGTGTCTCGAATCGACTACGGGGCGACAATAACAATGTCGCCAATGTACCACCGAGAGAAATTTTGGTTGGACAGCATCAGTCTGCCAAATACCCTCCCAATGTCGTCTCCAACGCCAAGTACACACCATGGAGCTTTCTCCCACGTACCTTGTATAACGAATTTTCCTTTTTCTTCAACATATACTTCCTTCTCGTTGCATTATCGCAAGTTATACCCATTCTGCGCATCGGATACATGTCTTCATACATTGCGCCTTTGGCCTTTGTGGTTTCTATTTCATTAGGGAAGGAGGCCTTGGATGACATTGGACGACGTCGCCGGGACGCCGAAGCAAATGCGGAAGAGTTCACGATTGTCTCTTTGGACAGGAATGCATTGGAAATGACAAAGAAATCGCGCGATTTGAAAGTTGGGGACGTTCTCAAAGTCCGCAAAAATCAGCGTCTGCCTGCCGATGTCGTGATCCTCAAAAGCATCTCAAACGATTCGGGCTCATCTCGCAAGAATTCGGTGGATGAAGAACCTGTGCCCGGCACATCTACCAATCTACTTGATCCGGAGCAGGAGACTTTTGAAGCTTCTGCTGATGTCCCGCCTAATCCAACCGAAACTTCATCTGCTGGCGACACATTTATTCGAACAGATCAGTTGGATGGTGAAACAGACTGGAAACTGCGCATTCCCTCTGCGTTATCCCAACCTTTATCATTCAGTGACTTCAATAGGCTCAAGATCACTGCAAGCCCACCAGATCAGAGAGTCAACGAGTTTGTAGGCACAATTGAATTAGGTGCTCCCACAGGCTTTTATGATGCTCATGTGGATAAATCATCACAACCCCAACAGAATGGCCTGCCGCCAAACGATGAGAGCCGGGGCTTGAACTCAGCGCCGTTAACAATCGATAACACTGCCTGGGCTAACACGGTTCTCGCATCTAACACCATCACCTACGCCGCTATCATTTACACTGGCTCTCAAACACGCGCTGCCCTTTCAACTTCGCCTTCGCGTTCTAAGGTGGGCCTGCTTGAATATGAGATTAATAACCTCACCAAAATCTTGTGTGTCTTGACTCTCACTCTATCCATCGTTCTGGTAGCATTGGAAGGGTTCGAGCCGACAAACGACAAGGTGTGGTATGTTGCGATCATGATCTATCTGATTCTCTTCTCAACCATTATTCCCATGAGTCTTCGAGTCAACCTGGATATGGCAAAATCAGTATACGGAAGATTCATCGAACGCGACAAGGATATTCCAGACACTGTCGTTCGCACCAGTACTATCCCAGAGGACCTCGGGAGAATTGAGTACTTGCTCTCCGATAAGACCGGGACTTTGACCCAGAACGGTAAGCATTGCGTATATTTCCAATGACCGCTCCTCTCCGTCCTCATGCTATATAATTACTAACACATTGTCTAGAAATGGAATTAAAAAAGATACATGTTGGTACTGTCTCTTACGCAAGTGAAGCAATGGATGAAGTCGGATCTTTCATTCGCCAAGCGTTTGCTGGAAGTGCCTTGACAACACCATCGACCGCCTTTGGACCCCAGTCTGGCCAAGGAGTGGCGCCTCGTACAAGACGAGAAATTGGTTCTCGAGTTCGAGATCTTGTCTTGGGTCTTGCTCTCTGTCACAACGTCACCCCAACAACCGAAGAAGAGGACGGTCAAAAGTTCACATCATATCAAGCCTCTTCGCCGGATGAGATCGCCATTGTTCGGTACACCGAAGAAGTCGGTTTGAAGCTGTCTTACCGCGACCGACAAACCGTGGTTTTGGAATCTACGGACTCTAAGCAAGTTGTCGTCAGAGTTCGTATCCTAGACATATTTCCTTTCACGTCCGATAGCAAACGCATGGGTATTATTGTTCAGTTCGAGCAGGATGAGCATGGCCTTGATACTGAAACCAAATCAGAACCCGAAATTTGGTTTTATCAGAAGGGTGCAGATACTGTTATGTCCTCCATTGTCGCGGCTAACGACTGGCTTGATGAGGAGACGGCAAATATGGCACGAGAGGGTTTACGTACCCTTGTCATTGGACGCAAGAGGCTTTCTCTTCAGCAATACCAGGAGTTTTCTGCGAAGTTTAGACAGGCATCTTTGTCCCTCCAAGGGCGCGATGTTGGCATGACTAAGGTCGTGGGTGAATATCTTGAACGCGACCTCGAACTCCTCGGTGTCACTGGTGTTGAAGATCGTTTACAACGCGATGTCAAATCTTCCTTGGAATTGATGCGTAACGCTGGCATAAAAATTTGGATGTTGACCGGCGATAAGGTGGAAACTGCACGATGTGTTGCTATTTCTGCCAAGTTGGTGTCTCGAGGTCAATATATCCACACTCTCTCCAAAGTGACCGAGAAATCCGCGGCCCAAGAAGCGCTAGATTTCCTCCGCAATAAAACTGACTGTTGTCTGTTGATTGATGGTGAATCGCTGACCTTGATGCTCGATCACTTCCGTACGGATTTCATTTCAGTCGCAGTCCTCTTACCTGCTGTCATTGCTTGCCGATGTTCCCCAACGCAAAAAGCCGAAGTCGCCAACTTGATCCGTCACCACACTAAGAAACGCGTTTGCTGTATTGGTGATGGTGGAAATGATGTGTCCATGATTCAGGCTGCCGACGTCGGAATTGGTATTGTGGGTAAAGAGGGTCGCCAGGCCTCTCTGGCAGCTGATTTCAGTATCACCCAATTCCATCATCTCACCAAGTTGCTCGTCTGGCATGGTCGCAATTCTTACAAACGGTCAGCCAAATTAGCACAGTTCATCATGCATCGCGGTCTGATTATCAGTGTGTGTCAAACCATGTATAGTATCGCTGGTCATTTCGATCCAAAGGGTCTCTTCATCAATTGGTTGATGATTGGGTACGCCACTGTTTATACCAATGCACCGGTCTTCTCTCTCGTCTTCGATCGTGACGTTGATGAGCGACTCGCCAATCTCTACCCAGAGCTTTACAAAGAGCTGAAAACCGGCAAAAGTCTGAGCTACCGATCTTTCTTCACCTGGGTCCTTATCTCCGTCTATCAGGGAGCAGTCATTCAGGGCTTGTCTCAGATCTTGTTAGACACCGTCACCGGCCAACGTCTCATCAGTGTTTCTTTTACAGCCCTAGTGCTCAACGAGCTAGGGATGGTCGCTATCTCCATCACCACTTGGCACCCAATCATGATTATATGTCTGCTCGGCACACTAGTCCTGTATGCTGGCAGTGTCCCATTCTTGGGTGACTACTTCAATCTCAGTTACGTTATCACCCTTGACTGGCTTTGGCGTGTCGCTGCTGTACTTGCAGTCTCATTATTACCGGTCTGGGCTGGAAAACTGATCAGACAATCAGTGAAACCACCTAGCTACCGCAAAGTACGTGGCTGAGGTTTCCTTTAGTATTCTTCTCAGATGTCTTCACATCATTTCATCTGTCACCATTCATGAGCTTGGTATTGAAATACCTTGCCGTCTTGTATATCCACCCTAAGCATGTTGTTTTTCTAGAGCGCATCAGGTGTTAGCCATTTGATTTTCTCCCAACTACCGAAATATATTCCGATTCTTGAGCCCAAGACTCGATCTCGTGACAAGGTTACCATCGTTTTTAGTCTCATTTTCTTAGACACGAACGTTCGTCGAGGTGTGAACCTCCAGGGCCCGCCTACTAGTACACCGCTATCTATACGTAAGCTCTACATAGATAAAAAGACAATTGGAAAGACGATGGAAAAGATGAGTAGAGAAGTGTATCTTATATATACCTAACATTATACAAGTACGTTCATTAAAAAAGAAACAAAAGTTATATCTAATTGCAGGATTGAAGCTTAACCCCCTAGCCTGGGCATAGAGGAAATGGCTTACATTTAAGGTAGTATCAAAAATGCTACTTTACTCCCCGCTTGTGAAGCCGCACAGAAATTGGATCGCAATATTCCATATAACCGAAAATGATCTCGACAATAATATTGGTAGGGTACTTGTAGTAGCACCGGCCCCCACATCGATCCCATCCAGCCAGCCGTTCCTACCATATCAGAACTCCAACTTCTCAACTAGAAGCTATAGACATTTTTAATCATGGCTAGAACAGCCCAAAATTGTCCTCCCAATCCAAGACCTTACCAATGGCGCCAGCGAGAGTACTTGGATCATCAAGGCAACCCTGTCATTATCGGCAAAGTGTCAAGAGGCCAGGAGTTTGATGCGCCAGCAGGTCCTGCAAAATTATTATTAAAAGAATATATTGCACCAACACAAGCTAATATAGAGAAACATACAGTTCAGATCTACAGCAAAGCTCCCATCCAGCCTGCGGCCTTTAAAAATCTCCATGAAATACCTCTCCCATGAATTAGACCACTGCATCTTCATAGAGATCTACGCGTCTACTCAAAATGATGCCTTCGCCTGCGTTGAGCACCAACGCCACGAGGTCGCTCATCGCAAGCGTCTGTATGCGGATTCTGAGCAGCCACCAAACTTTGTGCCTTAGTTGATTCCAAACTTAAGCCCTACAGATCGCCTATTTTTCGTATGAACGATCCCGAGCCCAAATATGACACGGGTGCTTGTCTTCTCTTGACCTCGGACAGCTACCGTGCTTGCGGGGATCTGGAGAAAAGAGACCAACTGGGAACAGGTCCACTATTCATCAATTTCACTCGTAAACTTCCCAGCCAAGTACGAGAGGTTGATTTGGCTGATCGCGTTGACTTTGACTAACTGACTGACCTGCCGTCTATTGCTGAATGGGGGACTGGAGTACGTCCCGAGGATACTGAGATTGATGTGCAATTCCATAAAGATCAACACAACATGCATAAATATGTACAATCAATGCTTGGCCGTTTGCAGATACGGATAACGGGGGATGGTGAAGTGGAAGTAGACTATGGACTCAACAACCCGGTTTCTGTGCAAACTATCTGGGAATCTCAACAAGCCAGGAGAATTTTGAACGAGCAACGTTCCGAAGCCCTTGGATCCATGAGTCTCGGCACTTTCTCCGCGACAGAAGGTCCCCAAGATATAGGAATAACGGTCAAAAACCACTCCTGCGAAGAAAGCGATCTCCAATATGTGATCTTGGTTCAATTCCTGGCGGACATTCCAGACCCAGATCTGTTGAAAATCACAGCCCGCCTCTTCACGGCATATCTCCTTTCCATGCTTGACTCGAAGAAGACCGTGCGGTTTGACTTCAGAATTTCTGGTGCAAGCCTATCCTCTATACTACCATTCCCTAACAATATCACTGTGGGTGCCTTGTATAGCTTGGAAGACGGATCAAAGCGTCGAGTCCAACCCTTGCAGCCGCGTGACATTGGAAAGCTTCCCTACGGCACATGCGAGGAATTCGCTGTAATCCTTGACAAACCGGCATTTATCACAGAGCCAGGCGCCCTTTTCCTCATGAAAAATATCAGGCTAGATTACGTGAGCGATCGTACAATGCAGATCGCTGAGGTTCGACGTAGTGCTGGGATGTCGGAAGTGACAAGAAGGCTTACTATGCTTGCATTAGAGGAGAAGCGTGGGTGAAAACCTGAGAGAGAGGTCACAAAAGAAGAATGTATGTTTCTTCTAGGTCTTTCTCTCGAGCAGTACCAGTCTGAGTTGTTTGGACCATCACAAGAGACCTGGTGAAGGTAAGCGCAATTTCGCGCCCGAGACAGGCGTGCGGCCCATAGCCTAAGTGAATGTAGACGCTCTCTGGCCGGTCAAGCTTGAACTGATGCAGCTCAGGGATGGCATCAGGGTCCCTGCACGCAGTGCCCTACTCAGAGTATAATAGTCAGCATTTGTTTCAATTATCCATTCACTGGACTTGATATCCCTACAAATAGAGCAATAACTACATCGCCAGGTTGGTACGATCTCGTTTCCCAGCCACCCCTGCAAAGGCATTTATTTTTCGAGCCTGACTGGGAGCGAAAAGAGCAGTCCACGAGCGAGCTTCTCGTGGAAAATTTCCCATTATGGTTCCCATGCCATCATGATCAGCCCGATCGATCAACAGACACAACAAAAGTCAACACTTTCGTCCTTGTGCTTGGGGAAAACCTTCTCCTTATGAAATTCTACCTCTTGCATCACCCCTTAGGAATGAATCTTTCATGTATAAAGATGCTAGCTGGCGGCGTATGCTGGTCCGGCAATCACCTATTCCTGACCTTGTTCACTTCACGGCATGCAACTCGTTCAGGGGTACAGTTTTTGAAGTGCATATTGCGGTTGAAGCACCTTTGAACGACAGCGCATCAGCCGATGATATAGATTCAAAGCCGGCTATCACATCCACTACGCCACTTAGAGTGGGTTTATTTTATGATAGGCTTACATATGGCACTTCCTCAACCGGCATGGGAACGGTCATGGTAATGTGGGATAAAGGGGAATTTAGTATTCCGCCAGGCATAGATAGTTTTACTTTTCAAAAAGACGATAAAAAGGCTATCAAACGAGTCTTGGAGGTCTACGGGATGATTATAGTTTCCGCTGAATACTCTTTGGCCTGTACGGATACTGATGGGTGGGTGGTGGAAAGAAAGTTTGTTTTCAACAAGCTGTGGGCGGAGCACATCCACGGACTAGAGGAAGAAAGGGAGCGACGAACTGCAAAATATCAAGAGCAGATAGAGATACGGAGGATACCAAGGATATCAAATAGACCACTCCGACGCGCAGTGGGATTTCTTTTACGTCCCGTCGTTGGCATTCTCCCTGGAAGATTTAGACTCGGACTCAAAAGGAAGTTAAAGCTGTGGAACCTTGGCTAGTGATATTATACATAGCCGGGACATCAAAAGACATTGTTAGGTATTCAGGTTCTTAATGAGGGAGAAACTTGAAGACAAAAGCCACCGAGAATCGACCAAGAACGGTGACCCTACCTTTCAATTACATATACCACGCGGCAAGACTTGGAATAGTATTAATGATGGTTCTCTACTATGAGGGAAGCTCTTTCTGTAAGACACTGTAGACTTCAATGATTCTCTAAGGCCTCGTTTACTCGTCTTTCCAGTCCTGCTTAATAAGGTCCGCTGCTCTTTCCGCAAATGCATACACAGTCGCTTGCAGATTGGCCGTGCTTATAAGCGGCATAGCACTCGCGTCGACAACCCTCAGGTTTTTGATACCATAAACCTTCAAATTGGAATCCACTACTCCGTCTCTCTCGCGAGGCAGCATGGAACAGGTCCCCGCGAAATGCCACATAGAGATCAAATTGTCCCGAGCGTACTTCTTTGCGGCTTCTAAGTTTCCCTGGAAGTCTGCAGCTGGATCGCGGAACTTGAGTGGCTGTTCGAGCAGCTTTCCAAGCTGAGGTGACTGTGCTAAGTTTTTGACACCGAGCAGGTGCCGCGCTATAACTTCAAGATCGAGAGGATTGGACATATAACTAGGATCAATGATAGGAGGAGTTTCAGGATTGATGGAAGCGCTTGAATTCCCTGTGTCAGCTTTGACAAATGTAGAGTGTTTGGGAAATAGGACGTGAAGAATGAAGAAAAATGTCTACTAGTAGCAGGGAAGAAGGAAACAAAAAGTCACTTACATATTAACGCTTCCGCGGGAGAGCGGCTGAGAGAGCATTACTCCAAGCGTGACGAATTTTCCAAGCGAAGCAGTTGGAATACTCCCATTATTGAGGTCTTTGGCATAATTTGCCTGCCCCATAGCGGACAAATACGCAGCTGATGGTTGCTCGGGATCAAGAACGGTAGTTTTCGCGATGTCATAGTATTCTCGTGTTGCCCTGTGCTCTTGTGGGTCTTTGGGGGCATGGTCAGTAAATAATTCCAGTAGAGCAATTCTGTCCGGTGAAGGAAGGGGCAAATAAGCGTAGGTGTGAACTCCGAGTGAAGCTAGGGGCCCAGACTGCGTGGCTGTGTATTCTTGCATTGCCTGGCCGATGGCTTCAGGCTCCTGCCTGACCAGAGAGTCCTTAGTCTCAAGTTCATTCTTTGCCTGAAATGAGGTGTACGATATCATATGATCTATAAGTATTAGATGTTAGTTTGTGCCATCCAAAGGCGGGTATCCGTCGAAAGAGCATATAGTTTCACGTTATTTGAGAGTCGAATCATGATCAACACCCCAAAGGTATTAGATGTGCTAGATAGGAAGCTGCTCACATACCCTGAAGATTATGCCCAACTCCAGGAAGTTCCATGACTATATCAATCCCATGCTTCTCGAGAAGCTCCGCTCCACCAACTCCAGAAATCTGAAGGATTTTGGGAGATTGAAAAGCGCCTGCTGCAAGGATTACCTCGTTTGTTGCCTGGGCAGTCTTTGAGGTACCATCGAGGCTGTATTGGACTCCAATGGCTTTGGGAGCCTTGCTTTCGTCAAACAGGATTCTCTCGACGAATGAGTTCGTAAGAACGTGAAGATTTTGTCGAATTTCAATAGGCTTATAGTAGGCCGAGGCAGAGTTGCTTCTCTTGCCCTCCGAGTCGATGCTAGCAAGGCAACTGAAGGATCCCACAGAGCTATGGATGAACGGATCCCCGGCGTTGTACTGCCCATTGCTGCGGAACAATTCAGCCCACGCCTTGCGAATGGGGTGCGTGCCGTTGCCAAAAGATGTTTGGATCGGACCTTTCGCTTCATTTAATCCAGGCCAGTCCTCAATTGCCAGGTCTTCTTTGACATCCTGTGCTACAGCCGGACTGCTGTAGGCTTTGGATAAATAGTCCTTTAATACATTCCAGTTCCATCCGGGGTTACCGAGCGCCTCCCACGAATCAATAGCTCCCTTGAAAGGAGGGACAAAGACGTGTGCATTGATAGAACTGGATCCTCCGAGTGCTTTTCCCTGGTTGAGACCAAGCACTCTGCCATTGAGCCCCGACTGTCAAAAAAAGCGTAAGTCCATACCTTTTATCAAGAAATAGACGCTCCTTACCTGAGGGGAAGATTGAAATTTCCAATCAGCTTCGGATTCAAGTAGTGCGGCATAAAATATGGGAATGTTCACGCGGGGGTCTGCTGTCAAGTCGGCACCTGCTTCGAGAACCAAGACGGAGGTGCTGGGGTCCTCGCTGAGCCGAGAAGCAACCACCAAGCCAGCCGTGCCGCCGCCAATGATGACGAAGTCATATACAGCAGCCATTCTGTACCGTATACAGGCTTGGTTCAAGATTGGACGAGAGTGTGAGGAAGAAATCGAGCTGCGAGGGTAGCAAGTGGCTCTGGAAAAGAAGAGAAAGACCCGTGGACGGGAAATTTGTATAGATACTAATAGAATTCAACTTACCAAGGTCAGCAACATTGATCAAACAAACGGACTTGGATACTCTTATTAGTTACGACTCGACAATTGCCAGTTGTGCCGCCCAAAAGTACTGGATCCACCCCCATGCAGTTCAACGTACGAACCTGTTTTAATCCTTGAATTATTAGGTTCAGCCCCCACTCCAATTGTTAACCGCTAGTCAACATGAAGCCGAGGACCCAGATCAAAGAGACCTAATTATTACGGGCTTTACCTCCAAAATATTATCGTATGAATACTAGAAGAGAGCCATGGAATTCTAGAAACAGATGTACTGAAGTATAGATAGAATTAAACTTACAGTGCTTACGGCTTAAGGGAAAGGGGGTTTAGCTTACATACAGTAATCAGTGGCAGATCTCTAAAGTGCTTACGGTAGAACTTATATCAGCCTTGATATCGTAGGGCTTTCAACAAGAATATGCAGGTTGACAAGGCTGATGATTAGACTTGTGCTGAGAAGAGAATAAGTTATTAGTGCAAAAGTGGCCTGAAATATCGACGGTGGGGTCTCGGGGCTGATTGGGCGTGTTATAATGTCTCAATTTCCAGTATATTAGCCTTGAGAGTAAACTTGAGGAGCTTTACCTAGCGATTGGGATTCCTGAACGTTTGTTCATATGTGTGGTGATTGCATGCTAACATGCATGGGAGATGCCGGTCGATTTGGCGCTTTTAAGTGGTACAGCCAACAATCTTTCTCAGTTCACAAGACATCTAAACCCATTCAATGACAGTACGGCAGACTATCTTTCGGGTTGATTATTCTCCGTCTCCTGTTTTCGCAGTCGCATGCATTCCAAGAAACCCAGCCTCAACCAGATACCTACTTTGTGGCCCCCACATTCTGGCGTTACTCGGCCTCACACATTTTGGCCCCATATAACCAACCGTCCAATAACACTGAATAGTGGCGCGCTGCATGGCACGAAGCACAAAGCGGAGGTAATCATATTACCGCGTCATCGATTCGATCTCTAAAGCTCAACGGAAAAGTAAAGGCAATATTACTCGTGATTTGGAACGGTTTGATTCAATTTCCGCTTCATCAAGTCCACAGCGACAGGCATTCTGATGTCCGCTGCCAGCGATGAACACAAGTTGTCAATTTGGATATACTTTGAACTATAGAATCATAGCATTTCTCCTAAATTTGACTCTGTCTGACGAGACGTTTGACTGGAGACATGTAGAGGTGGGGCTAGCTGCGTAAGGCATATAATCTCTCTCTCCGTAGCCTAGCTTCATCATCATCAACGACCAAATTCAAAATGCCGCGAATCATGGACAAATGTAAGCTTAAATCTCCTCTCAGCATCAGTCGCCGAAGCTAATACAAGAGGGCTGGCAGCATGAATCCTAGCGCTTGAATCATTGTCGACGAAGTCTGTTGTGATTTGGTGGAAGTGTCGCGTGAAACGAGAGCTTAAGAAGCAAAGGAATCGCGGGGAGGTCCAACGAAACATTATGCGTCGAACTTTCTGGACTTAAGTCATTAGTTGGACAGCTATTGCGTTCGCGATTGAGGCGTACAAAGGGCTGATGATTTGCCATCAGTCATTGGCGGTTGCAGCATACACATGGCGAAAAGACTTGACAGATTCACCTGACCCGACGGCTTTGATACCGACCCCTTCCGGTACGGAATATCATCTCTGCAGATTAGTGATTATCAACCTTGTTAACCCATGGCAGAAGAGCCCCTTCAAAGAATTGACGCGGACTTCAGTGTTATTAACATGGGTTCTGCTCTGTACCACTTAACTACTGGTAAATTTATCTCAATCAGATCAACCAATCCTGTACTATTACCAAAGAATAAGGCCAACCATATCCCCCACTTTAATCCCCACAAGTGGACTAATACGACCCTGCGAAGCCACATATGTGTTGGGGCCTCCCAAAAAGCCTATTTGGAAACTATGCAAGGCCCTACAGAGTCCCTAATTGGAGCGTTTAGAGATGTGGCTCAAAGATGTGGATATCGAATTCTATTCCCGTCTCTTGTTTGTGGAGGTTGAAAAACATGGCATTGTGGATTGCCCCTTAGACCACGCGAAAATCTCCTTGGCATCTGGGGTCTGATACACGTCAAGACGTTTATTATGATGAAGATGATCACCCTCACAGTCTGACTTTTACTTATCCAACATCTTCTCCGCACCGAGTCCCTTGCCAGATACTATGCACGCTCGTTCTCAACAATGACCACCACTTCTCCCAACTTCGGTCCATTAACCACAACCTTTACACCTCCATCAGACTGTTTCACCGAGCAATGGCTTCAGCATAATGTTAATTCAACTCTTCTAGCATGGGGTCCAACATGTAATGCCGGAAAGATCGCATTCGCATCTTCCTGCTATCCCAGCGGTTGGCAACGCGCAAAGGACAACGATTCAAATCTCAACTACAAAGCCTTTTCACCAGGTCTCGTCTGTCCGTCCGGATTCACACCTACCTTCTCGGCTAGTCATATCAAAGAGACAAAATCCTTCCTTCTATCGGCATACGTGACCAGTCTCGGAACAAACGATGTTGCTACTGTCTGCTGTCCATCGTGAGTACTGTATAGCACTTCTCCGCTCAGCACCCTTACAACTCCTCCAGTATAATACAATGTATACTAATTAATCAGCGGCTATGACTTTGGCGGTGACCTCTGCAGAAGCAATGCGCTCGTCCTCTCGGCCCGCCCAATCATAACAGTATCAGACAGCAAATGCGCAACTAAAACAGCACCAGACTATAACGGCGTGATCGGTGCACACGGCAAAACAGGCGCAGCAGCCCTGGAAGCAGCACCTGTTATTCTAATTCGAAACACGATATCCGATCCACTGCCTTTCTCAACAAGTTCAAGTACACCTGGTAGCGGCAGCGCGGGATTATCGACAGGGGCGAAAATCGCCATCGGCGTTTGTATTCCCGTTGCTGTTCTCATTGCTGCCGCGGTGGTGTTCATTATCTGGCATAGACGACGGAGACAACGGGTTAGGAATAGTGGACCGGATATCCCATTGCAGAACACGTCTTCGCCGTCTGTGGACCCCTTTCTTGGAAAGCCCGAGTTGGATGGGAGTGCTGTTGGGGGGACTGTGGAGAAGCATGAGCACGAACAGGAACAGGAACTTGATGCGGGGTATGTGGGGTGGAAGTCTGTGCCGGCTGAGTTGCCTGCTGAGATGAGTCCGACGAAGACGCAGGCGGAATTGGATGGTGGGCATGAGTTTGGGAAGCCTGATGGGTTGAAGGAGGGAGATGACCTAAGGGAATAAGAAATTGAGGATAGAGAATGGTTGGTGTTATTAGCTTGTATTTATACCCCTTTAGAAAACTTTACGTTGCATGGATTGAGGTCAAAAAGGAACAGGGGATTTTAAAATCGAATTTCATTGTTATACATTGATAGGGGTATATTGCAGTGCATCGTAGCCATGGCATGGCTACATTGGTATGCTCATATCGAGTCATGAGTCACATAACTAATAGGCAAGACGTAAGAAGAAAGAAAAAGAGAAAGAACTATATTTCGGTCCACAAATCCAGAGTCAGAGCTTATTTGTAAGGCTCAGGAGAGAAAACCTTGCGGAAGCGAAGACGCGACAGATCATGAATGACCTGGGAGGTCTGCTTCAGGTTCTGCTTCACAATGACAGAGGTAGGCTTGGAGAAGAGATCATCGATCTCCTCAAGTGTGAGGTTCTTGGTCTCAGGCATGAAAATGATCTGGTAGAACCATCCAATAACAGCAATACCGCCGTAGAAGCCAAGGGTCAGACCGATACGAGTCATGGAGTCCATCATCTTAGTGAAGTTGTAGGTGACGATGAAAGAGCACAGGAAGAGGTTGGCGTCGGCAGTGGTCATACCGTAGTGACGCAGATAGGTTGGGAAAACCTCAGAGGGAACAACCCAGGTCAGACAGGCGTAGGAACCGAAGAAGCCCATGTACAGGATGATACCCGTCAGGTAGACACCTTCGGCGGCGGCGGGGTGCTTGTTGTAATCAATAGTGTATCCAACGCCGACAAGAACCAGCCCAATGAAGAAACCGGGCAGCATGGCATTGGCCCAGTAGCGACGACCAAAGCGCTCCATGTACAGTACAGCAGGGATAGTACCGATGAGCAGTGAACCACCGCCGACGAGGGACATGAACACGGAGGTCTTCTCATCGAAACCAATGGCCTCCATCAGAGTAGACATGTAGTACATGATAGCGTTGACACCGGTGAATTGACCTAGGAAGATCATGATGTTGGCGTAGACAATAGCACGGCGGGCACGAGGGTCAGTGAAGAAGTCCATCCAGGGGTACTGCTTGGTCTGTGCCTGCTCTTCACACTCTTGCTGGACAGCCTGGCGCATACCAAGGAACTCATCCTTGGCTGCGTAGTCGCCAAAACCACGAATACGCTTCCATACACCATATGCCTCCACTTCATGTCCCTTGTGCATCAAGTAACGAGGGCTCTCAGGAAGGAAGAACATTCCGACGAGAAGGATGGTTGAGAACACCAGAGAGGAGCCCAGAATATAACGCCAGTTGCCCTCGACACCAATGAAGATAGCGGCAACAGCGTAACCGAGCACTTCACCCAGAGCAATGTTGAGTTGATACAACGAGACGAGGTTACCACGAATCTTGCTAGGAACTGTAAAGACATGTACAGTTAGTACATGGGGCATCATCAATCAGGAAGGGGTATAGTATCAGAGAACTTACCAGACTCAGCAACATAGACGGGGACAGTACCACCTTCCAAACCGACACCAGCACCCAGGATCATACGACCAGCGAACATCATACCAAAGTTGACGGCACCAGCCTCCAGGGCGGCACCAATGGTGTACAGAACACAGGAAATAATAATAGACATGCGGCGACCAAGGTACTCGTTGGAAGGAGAAAGGATAAGGGCACCAGCAACAGCACCAAGGGGCATACCACCATTGACCAGACTGGCTTGACCAGAAGACAGATGCAGATCACCAGGGAGGAACAGGTTGGCGCCGCTAATGAGCGATTGATCCAGACCGGAGAGCAGACCTCCCATAGAGGCAAACGCTACCAGCATGTAGGTATAGATAGCTGGGTTAGAGAATGTCACCTCAAACTTGGGCTTTGGCAAAGCCTGCAGCTTCTCTTCGAGTTGTGCAATTTCTGCATCCATTGCTGCCTCCCTCACTTCGTCGTCGACCTTTTGGTCTACGTGGTCCATTTCAAAGGCAATAGGAGCCTCCTTGTGGTCGGCGGGCATCTCGATATCCTTAATGACCGACATTGTGACACAAAATCCGCTGAAGTGGGTACAATCAACAGATGAAGTAACCGAAGGAAAATATAGTATATACTAATATAAACCGGACTGTCTCAGCCGGATCCCACGCGGTGGGTAGTATGTAAATAGAGAAGAGAAGAGAAAGGGCAGCTTGAGAGGAAAATTCAGAACGCGAAGAGAGGGGAAAGGAGGGGAAAAGGAAGTATTTGAAGTCGATCTCAAACACACCACCAAACCCCAAAAATGTCCGGAAATACACTTTGGCGACAGCTTTGACGTACGAGAGAAAAAAGGGCAAAAGAAAATTAATAGTGGGGAAACCCAGTCTACGGAGAAATCAAAACTCTAACGCCTCGGCTGGGGAACCGCGTAGTTATTTGTCTCATATCATTTTCGTCTGGAGTACTCCGTACTCCGTAGTCTGTATCTACTCCAACTTTTTCCAATGTGGAGATACGGGGAATACCAACCACGAGACCAGTAGGACGAAGGAATCCGGGCTGCACGACTCACCGGATCCCAAACCTGGTTAAGACTGCCCGAGCCAGTATCCATTTTTACGTGCTGGACAGGGATAGCAGAATGTGGAGAGGGGAAGACAAGCCGGGGAATCGGAGGAGTTTGATCGGCCGTCTGGACGAATCGCAGCGCCGAAAAGCTTAACTAGTTCACATTCCAAGGTTGCAGTCAAAACCATCACGCCCAGGTTTATTTCCTGCTGTCATAGCGCATCCACAACCGTAGATTCTATCTTTCTGGAAAGTTCCCGGCAAGCCGTAAATCAGTGTGCAGAAAATCGGCCAGGGAAGTGGAGTCTATTCACGGCTTACCCGTATAGACTAAGGAGGGAGAAAATGAAAGGCCGACACGTATGCCCGAGGACACGACTTTGCCGAAGGAACAGAGAAAGAGATATCGCCTGACGTCTAGTTTCGGACAGTCTCCGTCTCCAGGTTCTCCATTTTACGTGTTCTCGGCGAATTATAGAATGGCTTGGGGTCCCCATGGAGAATCCAGTGCTGTCGGAGACACTTCGGCGAAATCCATCCTCCATTCAACGCTTTGGTCTTTGCCGGCCCGGGAGACAAATCTCGGGGTGAAGTGGGGAACGGGAACCTGATCCCGACTTAATCCCGGGCTGTTTTCTTAAGTAGACGGGATGGGCCCACGGGATCTCGAGATTTTTACGAAGAATTGTCTTCTGGCCCCCGATATTACGGGTTGACACTCTGCGATTCGCGGCATTTTTCCCGACGTCGAGCCGAGGGCGTCATTCGCTCGCTGGTGAGTCTAGATGAGTGGAGTGGTGGGTTGGCCAAGCAGTTTTTCTATGGATTTAGCCTATACAGGGTAAAAATCTGCGGGGTCGTGGCCCATGAGGTCGGGAGCCATTCCGTCATGTATACACTGTTGGCCCATAAATGTAGGAAATGTTGGAAGGTAAAGAATATAGATCGGGTAGAATCAGTGAGGTCACTTCTATGAATCCTTCCAGAAGGCTAGAGCCTGAGCCTCCAAGGGCTTGCATGACTCCGATACTTCCATGTGTTTATCCAAATGTTTACAGACTTTGCTCCTAATTTACTCTTGGAAGTGGGTCAAATTCACTTCTGGTCAGTCAGCTAGGCAGTTCATGTATAATGCATGTCCCGAACAGTGCACCCATCTATACTCTTAATTATGTTTCAGATCTCGTAGAGCCTAGAAACCATAATCTTGGTATTCCCGCATCATTTTCAATGTAGTGATCTACTCTACCCAAGCACAAGGGCTACTTCATGCATCTCGTATTCTATTAGAAATCAATATGCACTTCAACTTCTATACTGAAGCTGACCGGAAATAAACTAACCATACGACCCAGAGAGAGCCCTCCAAACTATCTGACTACTGACATGACTATATGATCTCTCTTATCGTTATTCTTAAAACAAATTGAAAACCTGCCAGAATTCAGCTAACGTGAAGCTTTCCAGCAGGCGCTTGATACTATGTACTTCCACGTGCGCGGAGTTACACTTTTCCGGCACTCCATACATCACCCCGCTTTCATGTCCCAGGTTCATGCTTACATGTATGTATCCATGATACTTGGCCACCACCAAATACCCAGCTATCACGCAGTTGTTTCAAAGGATGGCAGGGCGTCGCGACTCCGGGCGCTATGGTGTCAAACCAGTCGCAATTTCATTTCGCGTCGGGTTCGCTGATGATCCTCCTTTCACAGAGCAAGAAATACGAGAAATCGAGGACGATAAACGACTGCAAGAAAGATACAATGACTTCTGCCACCGCCTAATCGACATGTTTGATGATAAGATATTTCTAGCGGACAGTTTTGGATTCGTCGCCTCGTTGATAGCCGGTGGGCCATTACAGAGCCCTTGTCCTAGATTCAGATATAAGTACGAGTCTGAGTTGAATAAAAATCTCTCACTTCCGGAAAGAATAAAGAGGATAAACGTCAGACTACACGATGCGAGCTTAACCTTTCGAGCTGATATAACAGCACTCCACACTCTTAGCGGACTTCTTCTAAGCCGGGGCCCGGACAATTTAATCCCACCAGAGCTAGACACCCCAGAAGTCCTTTATCGAGCCTTTCGAAAGAGCAGTCATGGTCGATATGATAAAGAACTTGGTTTCCGGTCTTCACGGCAGCCTTTCACAACACCTTCTAATTACGACGGTCCTCTACGCGAAAGCCCACTAGTGACTTATGATATCTTGAAGAATCACTGTGAGGGTAGCAAACCATCAGACCTTATTGCCATGTCCGATAGCCCTGCCAGAATCTTAAGTTTCATCAAAGACTGGGATTTCAAAGACATGGAAGGGGACATCATAGCCGTAATAAATGTCTCGAAGCTCCTCACCATGAGAGTCTTGTTCAATCGTACAACTACATTATGTGATAAATTGGGTATAAAGGCTTGGTCTCCCGTCAGACAAAACGGCCTTAGTTGGGTGAATCGAAGCTATTGGGTGGCTTATCGATGGGTGCCAGCTGAGTGTATTGAGTTCTACATCTCAATCGCTGCTCTAAAAAAGGCTTGCAATCAGCAGGTTATTGGTACGTGATTCGGTTCCTAGATGTGGCAAATGCTCATGTCCTATACAATAGGTGAAATTGATAACGATATAAAACTTTCACTCGATGATTTTGTCAATGCGAAATTAGGACAGCTCAATATTTGACGCGACTCATTTCAAGGGGATACTCCAATGTCATGAAAATAATTATGTGCAAACCATCATGTACTCTCCTGCTGTGTAACAGGAGGGTATTAACGACTTGCTGCTCCCAGGGGGGCCATTATTCTTTAGGGTTTTATATTGTTTCCGGGGAAATTTAGACTTAGGGAATGAAATGCAGTAAAGCAAACAATCTTGCACTGACCAAGTATATACTAGTGATAGACTAGCCTTCAAGTTCAATTCAATTCAATTCCGTTCAATAAGATAATATGTACTCAAAACAGCAAACGAACGAAGGCAAAAAGAAAACTCCTGACGCCATGCTCATAACGATGCAATACCCCAATACTCAGTCTACCCCTCAACAATCACCACCTTCGCTCACCAATCGGCTTTCGAACACTAGGATCAAGAGTCGCAGGACTAGGCGATCGACCCCCCTGCAATCTCGCCCTCAATCGATCCTGCGCAGAACCACCTGATCCGGAATTCGTCCGTGACTGACTAGACTGCGATGATCCAGTCCGCTGACTAGGCAAAGGTCTCGCACCAGCTGGGTGCAGCGAACCCGAGCTAGGATTCGAATGAACCTGTCCCAGAGGCATACCAGAACCAGGCACAGGGCCAGCAGGCGAACTAACACTAGACTTAAGCGGAGGAGCAACATTCGGAGTACCCCTTCCTCGCCTCAGACTAGTAGTTTGTGAAGCCGGTGGCTGGGGAGAACCAGAGTCGCCCCATAGATCCCCTAGCCCGCCACCTCGGCCGTAGTTGATTGCTGGAGCCTGGCCGGAAGGTTGGCTTGTGGCTACGACGCGGGAGTTCGGAGCGGGAGCCTTCGGGTCTGGAGGGAGCCAGGGCGGGAAAGGACGGCCTTTTTCATTGTAGTATGCGCGGAGGGCGTTGGAGATATGTGAGCAGTCCTCGTTGTCTGGGTCGTCTGCTTCGTCGCCTAGTGTTATGGCGCGGCGGAGACTGTTTAGTCGGGAGCCGATGACGTTTGATATGGAGGAGGAGGCTGTTAGATTTGAGAAATACGAGCTCATTGTGAATGATTCGTGGTTGTTGGCGTTGTGATCAGACAATGGCGCTAGACGGACTCGGGGTGAACAGCTTGAATGTGGGGTGGGGGTATGATGCGGGAGCTGCTTCCTGCAGAATTGTAGTGCGATAGACGTGGATGAACTGAGCGTTATGGAGTCAGGACAGGATCATTCAGAACTTGAAGATCCCCGAGTTATGTGCGCTAGAAGAACTCAAGTCAAAGAGGTAATTAGGTGTACAAAAGATCCGGCTTCTGTAACATTAAAGTGGCGGCGACAGTCGAAACTCAAAGTGAAACGGAGATGCGGATCCGGGGTCACATGATTTCGATCTATATAGCCTGCCGCCAACTGGACTGACTTCGAGGATTCACATTAAACTAGAAAATTTAAAGTTTTTACTTAGGAAGAGTAAACAGTAACTTAAATCAGATGTAAAACCTCGGTTTCTTCTAATATTTGTTTTATAAATAATATAACCTTAGTAATCTGTTCTGGTTGCCATCTGAACATCGAAATGTATAGGTAGTATATCTGAGACGTTCACTCAAATACTATACAACTTCCAAAAGTTGCCCTCGAAATATGTTTCAAATTAACCTGGAATTAATGAAGCGGCTATACTCAATACATAGTAATCAGCTTCATATATATAGAGGAACTTAAATGGTTTTTAATATATGCAAATGTTTTTCTCGAACTTGAACTTTGATATCAACTTCAAATGTTGTTTATCCCGCATGTTCTTGAATCCACCGCAGCTGTACTTCCTTCGCATCCGGTACATGCAACGTCGATCATTCCTAATAACATGCCCCCTGAGGTCATTTACCAGTAGTTCATACAAGCCAGCAATCCGAATAGGCTCACATCGTGAATTCCGAAAAAAGCGTCGCTATAGTACCCAGAAACTTGCCCTGCGACATTTAAACCGGACAACTTGAAATCCGGGGTAGTGGTGTGCGTGTCCCGTTGACATGATTGAGAATGTTAGAAGGACAGACCGACTACGAGGACTTTGGATTTCATGATAGTTCACGGGTGCTTTATGAAAAGTGTTTAAGGCAAGTTGTAATTTAAGGAGGTTGTAAGTCGTACAAAGATCTTCCAAATTATTCTTGCTACCATGTGGCCGAGTCGATGATATGGATAAATTAGGACATGATCAATCGTTAGGCTTCGGAGTTTATAACACTTCTAAGGTTGATTATGGCAGACAAATTGGATTCCCATGAAGAGCGGAACTTTTGAACAAGAATTTAATATATAAGACTAAAGGAATAGCTGAACCCGTATTGACAGAATTCATCGAGCAGTAGATGCAAGGAATGGGTATGATGCCCGATCATAGCGCAACACAGAAGATAGCAGTAGCAGCAGCACAAATAGGAAATAAATATGACCGACAACGCCATGCACCATCAAATATAAACTTTTCCCAGGCCCCTTAGGAAATAAATGACAACGAAACAGGCCTAAGCCATAACAGTGTCGCGATCAGCACCCTCAGTCTCGTACTCAATCTCAATACGAGGGCCCTTCTTCCTAGGCTTCTGTGTAGGAGCAACAGCCTTCCGCTTAGCACCAGGCGTAGACTTCTTCTTCTCATCCTCACTAGGAGGCTCATCATCGCTCTCCTCCTCACTCTCATCACTCTCCTCATCATAATCACTCGAATCAGCAGCCGAGTCATTACCCAACCAATCCTCAATATCCTCAAGATCCTCCTCCTCATCCAAATCAGAAACATACTCCACCTCACCAACACCCTCTTCCTCTTCATCCTCAAGCTCCCCATCATCAAGATCTTCATCACGCTCACCCTCACCCGCACGCTCCAGTCCCCGAAGAACCTTCTTCCAGATCCCCTCCTCAACATTCAACGGCCGATCACCATAAGCTCCAGATCGCAATCTGTCAATAAGCTCCCGCTCAATAGCCCTCTCAACCTTAGCAGCGGACAGAGCCTTCCGCTCACGCGTGTCCTCTCGTCTCCGCACCTTAGGTGCAAGCTTCGGCACAACCTTTTCGCCAAGACGTTCTTCTTCCTTCGCAATATTCTTCATGCGAATATTCACCTGCGTCAGCCTGGTTAGGCGCTGCTTGCACTTGTGAATCAGGAACTTGGGCCAGTAGATCATGCGCTCGTCTAGCTGTTCAAGGGCCTTGGCGTAGTTTGATGAAAGACGAATACGCTCCCACCATTTGCTTGGCATATGGGCACGCTCGATGGTCTTCATGTACAGATACATTGCGCCAGTCTCGGGGTCGGCGCGGACAGTTGCGTACCGCGAGTTGGCGAGTGGGCAGGATTGCCGGTTGCATAAACCGGAGACGTTGTATTCATTGCGGCAGAAGTTTTGGCCTTTTGTTGTTCTATAGAGTGGAAGATTTTGTTAGTTGGGTTCTCTTTTTATGTTTCGTTGAAAATTTGAGTTTGATTGGTAGAGTTTGCGGTGTTGGGATTCGATTGATGCTGGAGGTTTTGGATTTGGGTAAATTTCAAAAAGGGTACTTACTTAAGCTTGTAAGAGCAGAATTGCTGGTTAATAACCTGCCAGACAATTTCGTCGGACATGATGGGCTGGTGAGGTGAAAGGTAACCTGGACAGCCGTTGCTTTGGTGTTGATCGAGAAGAAAAAAAAAGTTGACGGTCACGTGAAATGCTTATCGATAGGAGTGTCCTGAGTGGTGATTTCCAGGCTGACATAATCATGAATCTGGGCGCAGCCGCCCCTGGTTGGTTTAGTTTTACATTTGGCATGTCTACCAAATGGAAAGCAATACCAGTGTCTCACTGTTTGAGGATCCTCGTCCAGCCATGTATATCTTGAATATTCTGACTTTGGGTATTTTAGGGATGGGCGCGATATCGCTATATCGTATCGTAGGGCTTTTGGCTAGCGATGTCGTTTACTGTTATCGTTACCTATATTAAACGATACGATAACGATATCGTTTATCGTGCGTTTTTGGTTGTGATTGAAATAGAACGTTATGCAAGTGCTGTGCTGTAATTATATATATCTGTAGTATATATATATACTGTTAAGGTGGTGTATATATATTTAGAGACCTTTAGATCTCAGAACTATCTACTCCTAAGTATTAATTATAGTAAAGTCTAGGCTATTCCTCTTTCTTCTCCTCCTCCTCTTCCCCCTTCTTCTTATCCCCAGCCTTATTACTCCCAACCTGAAGATTATAATCCTTTATTAACAATTTTATATTCAGAAAGGCACCTGAGCACCTTCCTAGTCTTCACATCGCCCCGAATCAAAGAAAGACGGGCTCTATGATCTTCAGATTCTACAGACAGCCTTACACTACTTTCAAGCTTAAGATGATCCAAAAGGATGGGTACATGACGCGCCAAACTCCCCACTTTGTCCACAGTAAATATTCAGCCTGAGGCCCACAATACAGCTAGAACCTGTGGACGGTCTACCTCCAGGGCTGGGCATTTGAACAGTCGATAGGTTCTTTACATGTGATTGTCTCGGCTGCCCATAGTACTAGGCGGAAGCCCCTTGTATAGTTTACTAGCCGACCTTGGAAGGCATCTAGACCCGAGCCCTGGAGGTGTACTTGATACCTTGAAACCGTGGCGGAAACTGGAGCCCACGGAAAAGAAAGTACACATACTTCGAGTCCGAGTCCGTACCGTGACTCCACAAACTATATACAGTACACATGCAGTACATATTAAATGTATGATGAACACTGAAGTCAATTATAGCACAGCACTACAGTACACTTTAAGGGGCCGCCCCATAACCAGAACCTTAGATGTACTCAACCTTGGAAGCTTTGATGGATCAAAGTTTTCCTCAGGAGAAAAGAAACAAGAAAAGAACTTGAAAAGCACAATTGCCAAATTGAGGCGGCCCCAGTGCGCAACATGCGCAATGTTATACTGTAATTATCCATGGGCGGGATTAGGCAACAAGAATGTCCATATTACCGCACTCAGTATTCCGTACATAATGTAAAAAACAGCTGAAAGTAAGCGCAGCCAGTGCCCACTTGGCAAAGGCTATACTAACTGAATGGAGATTAGCGGGATAAGAAATTCACTATACGAGGTCTGGGCAGCTGGGCGAAAACCCTGAATGCTAATGCGACGGCTCAATCACGTCTTTAGGGCGGGGTTGAGTGGCAGTGCGAGGACTCGACGTAAGTTTCAGGTTGACTTGGGGCAAACGGACGGGGTAGATAGCCGATGGGATGAGGCTAGGGGATCATGATGGCCCGGGATGGATTTGAATATCCACTGGCTTGTGTGTGATTTTTCCAGTCTAATACAAGTCTTGTGTTAATAAGCAGGAAAGATGTTCCGTTGTTACTGTTTTCAGTGGTAATACCGTTTCGAGACTTAGCTAAATGGCGTTAGGAGGAGCGAGAGTCAAATAAGGGTCCTGATCCTTCCAGGTTAGCGCAGACTTGGCATTTGCTTGTCTTCCAAACACCGAAGAAACACAGTATTAGCGCAGCGTCTTACATTTTTACCGACTCGGAGGCCTTATTCCCTGTAGAATAGGGGGAATAAGCCGGACGTAGAAGCGGAAACAAAATACATGTTCCATTCCATTCCGAGGTCCATCTTTGACTGCTGCCTGAAAAGAAACAAACTATTATGGGTCTAAGCTAGCCCTATGCATTAATTAGATGGGGTACAGATCAAACTAGGTAGATTCAGCGGAGACCAGTTAGGAATGCAAGTCGGTACGGTCAGTACCGTCAATACAGAGCACATTACACACCAACTCCGTGCCACACAGCGCTAACAGTGGAGGCTTGTTACTAGTATTTCCGGAGTTTTTATCCATAGCATGAGACGTTAATAGGGCGTAATTAGCAGAAGGTAATCTATGATTGGTCGCGGATCTGGACAAGCTACATGAGTAGCGTGATTAAGAAAAAGGGTCCAGCGGCTTAACTGGATAACTGGAGCCACATATCAAGGTTCTGCCAATTAGAATTATAGGGACCCTGTTCTGTACCCTCAGCCACCCGGCCAGATTATCTGGATGAGCAAATCTGACATGGATACGAGAGTCAACAGAGCCCCTAATTTTATTCTGGCCGCCTGGGGCACCGGGGCGTTTTTGTGTTTGTGTGACTTTTTATTTTATTTTCTCGATTCCTGTTCCTGTTTGTTTCATCTTCGTCTTTTTCGTCCAGCTCCATCAATCAACCCTGACCCTCAAGTATCTTTCAGTCCAAGAGAAGAAGATACTCACATCAATCACCTACTAATAATCCGTACATAGGACTGGTGTACGGATGTTCCGCTTATACCTCCATTATGAAGCTCAACGCTCGTGTGAGCTGTCTACGCTTGCTTTACCTCCTTTTATCCCCCAGTCAGTGGTTTGATGTCTACTGGCCCGCCTCTCGGAAGGCATGTTTCGCTTTACTGTTTATCGGCGTTCTTAGCGCAAAACTTCTTCGCATCTATTCCCACCTCACTTCTCTTAGCGTTGACCGTTTTCTTCTTTGGGGCCCGACATTCCTCTTACAAGATCTCATTTGCATTCTCTTAGCCCATGCTTTCTGTCGGAATTATCAGCGTAGATGGCTTCGGGTGATTTCTATCCTGGTGATGATTCCAGCTAGGTATGCCATGCCATCCAGGTCCACCCCATGTGCTGTGATGACACAATATATGATCCAAGTGCTTGATGTAAGGAGTACGCTGACACCATTACTTTTCATTAGTCTGATTATCTCCGGTCTCTCCGCTGCAAATATCTCATTCTATGTACAGACCGGTGCCGAAATTCACTGGCGACAAGCGCATTGGTTCCATCGGGACGCGGCCTCTATCAAAACACTATTGACGGGATTGACTGGGCTTGTTATCGGAGAAATAATTTTCACCATCGCGGCCTACGTATTGACACCCTACATCTACAACTTCGTTCACGCCGGAGTATCGGTATTCCAATATCTTTTTGCTCCGCTTTTCAGCAAATATTGGAAATGGAAAGGGTCGAAGTCCGACAACAATCCCTACGAGCAGGTGGCAATAAAAGACTGGGATGAGGAGAGCAATGTCCCCGAGACAGAAAGCATGTTAGGGCTTCAAAGTCCCGGCCCGGCACCCGGCCAACCCACCAAAACAGGCACTACGAAAAAAGTGATTAGCATCTTTGTAGCCTCGGCTGCTACATACGTCCTTACTTTGTGCGTTATTCGCCCTTATGACGCCGCTTACGACTTCCTTTCTCAAACTGTCGTTATTACACCATTTGTGAAACCTCCAACTCGCACCTTAACCTCTTCTTTCTACCTTCCTGATCTACCTGGGGACTACAGCTGGCTGTACAACCATACCGCGATTGGACCAACCTCCAAATACGACTGGATGCCAGTTGAAAAGACACCTGGTTTCAGAGATTGGTATGAAGGTTTCAACGGCAGCGTACCACAACATTATGATCCCAATCTAGATCCCATTCATCTCTCAAACCTGGACGCGGATATCATCGAGCCTCTGCGCGAGACACTGAAAGATGGCAAGATCAAGATAAAGCACGTCTTCTTGTTCAAGCTGGAAAGTACCCGTTCCGATGTCTTCCCAGTCAAGAAAGACGGCCATATCGCCGACATAATCAGGAAGTCCTATTCCGGTGAAATTCCCGACGAAGTCGAAGACAGACTCGCCAACTTAACTCGAAACGCAGAAATACTCACCGGTGTTCCATCTGGATTTGATCAACACGATTTCAATCCCCGCGGTGGACTCTACGCATCAGACGCATACACAGGAGGTACTTTCACACTGAAAAGTATCGTCGCTAGTGTCTGTGGTGCGAACCCTCTAGTCGTGGACTTCAACCGCGAATTCTTCCATCACATCTACCAACCATGCATGCCTCATATCTTCAATACACTCAACAAGCTCTCGCCCGCTCTACCGAAGAACTCGACAAAGTCAACGGATTCTAAAGACTTCAAGTCTTGGCCCTGGCGCTCGACAATGATGCAAAGTATCACAGATGACTACGATAATCAAGACCGACTCACGCCAGCCATGGGATTCGATGATAAAGTCACCGATAAGACGATAACAAAGGACTTTAAAAAGAAGCCGGGTCCTAATCCTGAGAAGTACAATTTCTGGGGCTACGAAGAACACAAGCTCCGCGAGTATTTCCTTGATGCGCTCATTCAAGCCGAGAAGAAGCATGAGCGCGTTTTCTTAACCCATTTGACGGGACAAACGCATCATCCTTGGAAAATGCCTATAGGCGAGGAATACGAGGCACTCATTGCCTCGGGCCTCTGGAACAAGAATGATAAAGTCAATCGGTACCTCAACACAATTGGGGTCAACGATAAATGGCTCGGAGAAGTAATGGATCTTCTCAATGAAGCTGGGGTTGCGGATGAGACTCTCGTCGTCATGGTCGGCGATCAGTAAGTACCCATCAAAACTCCAACATCACATCCACAAAATGAACAAAACAAAAACTTACATCCTTGTTTCTAGCGGCATCTCCCTCCTCGAAGACGGCGGCGTAACACCAAACGACAACCCCCACGTCAAAAACTTCCACGTCCCCCTAGTCTTCTCCCATCCCTCCCTCCCCCCAATAACCCTGAACAACCGAATCTCATCCCTCCAAATTCTCCCTACAATCCTCGACCTCCTAGTACAATCATCATCTCTAGACGCTCCCTCCGCAAAGGCAATCCAAGACCTCCTGCCCCTCTACGAAGGACAATCCATGATCCGAGAACCCGTCCCCGAAGCTGAAGGAAAACAAGACTGGCAATTCACCGTCATGAACACGGGCGGAACATGGCTTGCGCTTCGCTCAGCTGCGAAGCCATATAGACTTGTTGTGCCTCTTGTTCCGGATGTGGAGTGGAGGTTTTCAGACGTTAGTAGTGATCCTATTGAGGAGAGGACGCTGCAGTCATTTAATCTTAAGCCGCTTTTGAAAGATGTGGGGAATGTTCATGGAGAAGCGGCTGCAGAGTGGGTTGGTGAGGCGGCGCATGTTGCGCAGTGGTGGGTTGCTGAGAATTGGAGGAGGTGGGAGTATTTACCTGAGAATTAATGTTGGATTGGGTGGGTTCATATAGAGGCGTTTGGGTTGGCTTGGGTTTGAAAACATGATATGATTGTTCAAGTTTATGTTTGGGGGTGTGTATATTGATTGATATGCATACTGCACATATTTGCGTCTATTTTATTCGATATTATATCGACAGCTGAAACATAAAGATACGTTATTACGCTACATATGATAATTACTAGAACTTGCCATTGATTTGTAGAGGTAGTTGCTGTCTGTACGAGTATTGTGTTTTATTGTATGCTGACACTAATCTTGGAAGTCATAGTTGAGGCTCAAACACAGGGAGAAATCGTGCAGCTAGTTGAAGATTTGTGGGTATTACGGACTCGGAGTGGCTACTATATAACCTTGGAAATCGAGAAACAGTTTCAGATCTTCGAATTTAAAGCCCCCGTCTTTCGAGTTTGCCCTATTCAAGTTGCGGAGCGGCTGCGGCATCCATAATAAAAGAATGTTTCCTATTACTAGTAGCACGCCGTATAACATTGGGAAAGTCTTATACAACTCTTCAAAATTATCTACAAACTCTGTCCGATCTCCTGTAAGGGCAAGCCTTGTCTAGCCGTTTATACTAACGACTGTATTTTCGAGAAGTAAATTGATTGAGTAGATGGTATTATCTACATTTCCCGCACCCATGTAGATACAAATCTCACTGCCAGCACTTCCAGAGCTAACAACCATGCCGTGTAGATTCTTTGATCTCAGATAGCACTCCCATGAAATCCACGAAAGACGAACCTCCGCTTAAGAGTGAGGAAGATGATTTAAATTAATCGGAGAAGAATAAAGTGTATCTACCCGGATTGGAAAGGACGCGTGATTATTTCGTAGGAAGCTTTGGAAAGTCCGAAATATAAGATAGCGAGTTTCTGAGGAAAAGCTTTCTAGGTTCATCATCTTTGGGTCTTTCTGCGTCGTGTCCCGAAGTCAACTACTCGTAGTTTCCCGGGGCACTTATTGATTTTGTCGCTTATAAATGAAGCAAAGATTCAAATAGTGTGTTATCTTCATTGAGCTATGTCTTTTCTGTGGTCATAGTGGTGGCCCTGTCCAAGTCAGTTCTGCTCTTGTGAGAATGAAGAATAGTTACACTTGCTGTATATTAGACCATTCTGAGAAACCCGAGGTTGGTCAAGGAAGCGTCACGGTGGTTTCCTTGGCGGTGTGTAGACGAGACGTCTATAATTGATCAGTATTTATTTTTACCCGTATCGCCAAGTCAAAATGAACTTGAGTCTTCTTGCAGCTGTCTTTGGTAGATCGTCTCATTCTCTGGTGCCTGAAAATAGTTTCAGGTAACCCAGCATCTTCTCTTTTCTTTTCGGAACAACGTCTCATTTTTCATGGCCTGCGAGGTTGTCGAGGTCATATACCAATTACATGATCCACAACCGTCCGTTCTATCTGTACGATAACGCGTGAGAGCTTCCCTCTCTTCTTTTCTTTATCCTCATCTTTGATAGTTTTTCCAATACTACATGAAAGTTATCTCGCTCCTTGTTCTTGCATTGTATCAAAGCTTCTCCTTACGGGATAGGATATCGGCGATAGTGTTGGTGTTCCCAGGTCGATATCGAATAAGGAAGTAGAATCAGGACTCAGGAGAGGAATTCATTCCAGCGGGCTTGTCGGGGGCTCAGGGTCTTCTTTGTCATAAAGCACTGCAGCACGTAATGATCGGTGTAGATACTGAAGCGGCCATCTCGCTGCAAACCTTCCAGTTGGGGGCACCATCCCGTTAACGCGCGTATAATCGCGAGCAATTCCTGATCAGGGTACCAGAGTTCCGTTCTGATGAATCCATCGACTTTGAGAAGAAGACAATGGGCCGCTAGAAAAAAGGCTGTCTTAATCATTTTTGACATAATTGACGGAGAGGGTTCATTATATTATTAAGTAACTGATTAGTATAAGATGGATGAAATATATTTTATGGAAGGACCTTTGGAATTGATTCTGTTACGGAGAAACAAGAAATGTGGGGAAGTCTCTTGATATTCTGACTAGGCTATCTAGCGAGGAATAATGAAATGGTGGCTTCTTGATCACCACCAGCACTTTGTGTCTGGGCAAATTACCGTCCCGCTACCGGTAATATATGTAGCTTTTTAGGGATTAAAAAATATAACCGCGAGGCTCCGAAAAAAAAAACTTTGCTATATTATAAATGTGCCAGTGCTTAATGTATTCACTACCTAGTCTTAGTTTCCTCATTACAATGTTCAATAGGACTTTATATACTTCTAAGTTTGTTACTTATATACATTGCTTTACCTCTCTCTTGTTTATTTTTGAGTAAAGAGCTATATAGGAATTCAAAATAGTAGTGCCATTAGTAACACTAGGGATTTCGTATTGATTTCATAGGGAATTGCAGTACCATAGACTAATTGAAACGAACAATATAAAAACCACAATTCACCGCGGAGCCAGCAGATGTCTATGTATTCCCCACAAACTCCTTTCAAGGGCGACTTTCATCGGCTTGAGACGTCAGGCATCGGAACATCATCTCCCGACAAGGTGGTGATGTGTCGGCTGGGGTTTCGAGAAGAGCCAGGCGACTGAATGGCTGCACCATAGAAAAGAGGAAACGGGGATCATATGACGCACGGCTTCCACAAAACAAAGGATTTGAATGGGGTGTATTCATTAAACCAACGCTCGTCGGTCGCGATACTGTTTATATTAGTTGTGAGTCCTGGTTAATCGATAGAGAGCTCGCACTTACTGCACGTCGGACGAGTCCGAGAAGACCAAACTGGACGATGGATCTAAGGACGAGGCTTTGACGGTTGAAAAGGTGTTGACGAAAGGTGTTGAAGAAGAAAGAAGAGAAACCCTTACGCGCCCGTTATAAATAGGTGAGAGGAGGAGGGAGCCTATGGCGATGAGTGAATATAGGTGACTCGACGTCACGGTGATGAGTGAATCAACTCACCAGGTTGATTTAAATTGTAGCCTTAGGGCCCTATAGGGCTATATACAACAACAATAACAGAGCGGTGCAGCCTTGGAGAGATACAAAGGCCATGGCAGGCCTAGAGAAAAAATCTCGCTCAAAGATGTAATCGAGAGGCATACTGCAGTAGATATACTATCCAAAGAAATACTAGTCATACTAGATTAAGTACTAAGAGAAGAGAGGGGCTGAAGTAAGATATGTGGCATCATGCCTCTAGACTTGTTTGTGGTGCTCAAGTCATGCATCTTGTCCCTTGCACTGATAGTAGAGATCATCAGCAGAGCAGTTCAAGGCTTGAGCTCTCGATGATACTAGATTTTGATTTAATACTGTGTAGTTCTTGTTAGGAACCAAAGTCTTGCTATATAAAGCGTGATCAAATACCAGATCGAAGATCTGGTGTTTTAAGTCTTTTGCCCTAGTCGCAGAGGCTGCTACTTGGAATGATCCCCATTTAGCACGTCCTTGAGAGTTCTATGAATTAAGAGCTCCAAAGAAGGCTTTCTTATTGAACTTGTGAAATAAGAAAATGTATAAGGCCCGTGGGCACTAGCGAAGTCCATGGGAGTCCTTAGAAAACAGGAATATATGAGTTGTTAGAGAGGGCGATTCACGCCAAAAGAAAGAAACCCTTGAGCGAAGTTGTCTCATTTGGATCGTCTAAGCTGACTTCGGATATACCCTGCTTTACTCAAGCATACCTCCAGTACAAATAGATACTGGAAGGTTAAAAGAAACATTGGAAGGACGTTAGTGATTCGTCATAACGGGTATATGCAATTGGTATTGTCTATCTCGGCATCAAATAACAGGGACTACCATGATTGCTCAATCTGCAAACCGCCATCCCACTCCGTCCCATTCATCATCTGATTACCCAGATCCGACTCCTCAAGCATACTATCATCCGTAAATCCCCACCCCATAGACTCAAGCTCTCTCACAAAGAAATCTCTCTCCTCCTCCATCATAGAAGTACCCTCTGAACCCCCCATAACATCCTTATACTGTCTAAGATGCCACCAATGCGTCAGCCCCCTCAACGCCTGTTCAAGCGGCAAAGCCTCTTCAACATCGGCATCAACATCCGAACCAGAAAGCCAATCATCTCTCAGCTCAGGCTTGCAGTACAGATAAATAGCAGTGATAACGCGCATATTGCTCTGCCGCCACTTTCTTCCACAATATGGAACTTGAGATTTGAAGAGCTTGAGTGTGTAGAAGCGGAGATGGGGGTCTGGGATCTTGAGACCCTTGCGTAGGATTGTGGAGGATTTGTACTGGACTAGAAGGAGGCAGCGGTGGCCTTTGTCGCGGGTGATCTTCTGCATTATGTGGAGGTAGTTGATTGCGGAGAAGAAGTTGCGGAATGAGAAGACTGTTATTGGTTCCTTGGGGAGGGGGGCGGTGGGGTAGCCTAGTTCGTCGACTTCGGGGCGGGTGTGCCCTTCCATGAGATCGTTCATGGATTCTTCGGGCGATATGTTGCGCATGGAGGTGTTGTTGCGAGTGAAGTTTGGACGGTGGCGGGCGATTGGTGGTGGTGCTGCTTCGTCTTCGCTTTCGGTGTCTCCGCCATCTTCTTCGAGCTCAGAGGGGTTGTCATTGTGCTCACGACAGAAATGGAAGAAACTAGGTTGGTTTCATTAGTAACTGGTAGATGGGGCGGATATTGAAATACTCACGAAAGGTCTTCACGGTCGTTTTTCTGTGCTGCCGCTTGGTCCACATCTTGATGAGCAAACATCTTCAGGATCAAAGGTAGATAGTTGGAATCAAGCAGGAGCTGTGTCATGTATTCAAACTTCAAGATATCTGCTGTGAGTTAGAAATGTGCATAAAGAACGCCATTGTGGGGGAAGGAAACTCACGAGATCGCTTAAACCATTTAACAAGGAGTAGCAGAGTTCCAGAAACAGCCTTTGAAGTTATCTCCCGAAGGCGAATATTATCAAGCTCATCAACAGAGGTTTCATGGAAGAATTCCCCTGAAGATCCGTTCATACCATTACTAAAGAAAATCAGAATCGTAATTGGAAATCATCTGGGCGGGATGCCCCGAATATAGAATAAATACCTCATGCTCTGCGCGGCCTGTGAATTGGCCTGATTGACTACAGCACTGACATTCGTCAGGATTATTTTCAAGAAGACAATTGTAATTGACTGGAGATGGGCCAGTGTATGTGCCTGCACATAATTTATCAGCATATGAGTCTTGTTTGCGGGGAGAAGATGATACTAACGTAGAAATTTTCGACTGCGTCCAGACGCCGTTGGATATCAGGATCATCTGTTTCCTTTGGAACTTTCTTAGGGGACTCGCTCTCCTCGGAGCTGGATAGATTTAAATCTTCAATTTGATCACTCAAATCATCCGACACGAAGGGATCGAACTCGAACTGCTGCTGTGCCTTGGCAAGATTCCATCCACGATCATACTTCATGAAGTTCTCTCGCTCTTCCCACAATTGACCCATAGCTCGAGTCATTTTAACGTGGGTAGAGAAAAGTCGACCAGCTTCAATGATTGAAGCCGGGACATCGCTACCTTCCCAGCGTTTTCCAACTAGGACATCCTGTCGGTTAGTTGTGCCTTTGCCACCGATTTTGTTGCTGCTATCGTCCAGAGGAGGATACATCAGAGGAAAATTCTGGTTTGTCTGGTAGTTTTGTTTCTTTCCGGCTTTGCCACCAGGACCAATTGGTGATGGGGGTGGAGATGGTGCTGGAGTTGCAATATGAACAGCTTGCTGGATAATGGACCCATTTCCACCGGCGATTGATGGTCCAACCCCAGAGAATATACCACTGGAAGCGTTCACTCTGGCTGGGTGTTGGGGAAGAGGAGGGAGAATGGAGTTGTTTTCAAGTTCTAAGGGGACGATGGGAGGGGGAGGGTTGTAAGCGGGGTATTTTGAGGTGATTTCCTGTCGAAACAGGTGATAGTCCAAAGGGGAGGCGTGTAGGAATGGACCTCTGCGATTAACAGAATCGTCTTCATAAGACACTGATGGCTCCAGTAGTTCCTTAGCTTTCTTCAACTGGTCACTTCCACCGAAGACAAATAGTAAGGATTTCCAGAGAAGAAGGATAATTCGCGTAAGGGGAATATTTGCCGTTTCATCCCACCGAAGCCGAGCAATAATTTCAACAATTGTTACCAACAAGCAGGGGTCAGACGCTGTCAGTGCATCCCGAATTGGTGTACACTTAGGATCACGGGACTCTTGTCGACGGCCGACTTCAATCGCGAAATAAAGCAATGTCAAAACTAGATTGGCTTCACGTTCTGGCGCAGGTATATCGCCTGGATGGAGCCTTTCGAATTCCAACCCATCCTGGTCGGTACAAAATGATGAACGACGGCGATCAAATAGCTGCGATAATCTTTTGACCAATGTCGGGATTCCTCCGCAGTGCAGGACGAGTGATACGTTCAATTCAATCCACTCGATCTGTAGCGATTTTGATCGCGGTGTCTCCGCAGCAGATTTCGTATCCAGGTTTGATGGATAATCCGGGGTCGAATGCCCAGCAGTAAGGCCCCACACACCAGTGACGGTGTAGGTAATATTCTCTAGGGCCTCCAGCCGTACCGATATCTCGGGATATTGGAGCCTATCGAGGGACTGGGTCATGAATAATTGTCTCAGATCATCAGATGCATCTATCCAGGACAGGCCTATTGTCCCTGGGTTCTGTTGGCGGCAGAATGTAGCCCATTGACGATCGAAGGTTCCCTTCATGCCCGCCAGCATCACACGATCAAAGTCATTGTATTGAAACCACTCATCCAGCTCCTCCGGGAAAGCCTGAGAGTCGGCGTATTCAAATGCGTATGCCGGCTGTTCAATTTTGGGCATCTCCTGTACAAGCCTCTGTAGCTGTGCCAAACTCAAGGAATCGGGGGCTCGGTCCGCATTTTGCTGTACCGGGGCTGGAGGAGGAGGTTGACGGGGTGGTGGAGGAGCAACTGGGGCGTCTCGACGTAGTTCGGGCCGTTTAGCATTCTTCTCTGGTTGAGAATTGCCGGACTCGGTCGCGGGTATAGCTTCAGATGTCTGTTCCTGTTCCTGTTCCTGATTCTGTTCTTGTTCTTGGGCCTGCTCTTGCCGCAATTCCTCCGCCACTTCTTTCATCAGTTGATCGTCGGAGATGGTCGAGATATCGGTGCCGGTTTGATCGACTTCGTCGGCCTTTACAATATGATGCTCCTCCTCCATTGTTGTATCGGTTGGAACTGGTGGGATCTCCATCTTGTCCTGATTAGCCCCTCACGCGGAGCGGTGTCCTCATAAACACTGGTGGATTGCCAGTAGCGAGAGATTATTTGGTCGTCGAAAAGAAGGACATCAGGAAGAAGCTGAATGTAGGTAAGAAATTTCTGTTAATCAAAAACAGCCACGAGGGGCTCAATCATCGTGCTTCCATTTAGGACTGCTGGACTTATTTCACTAATTGAGCGGTGATACGGAATGGATTGATAGGAGTGCACGTGATGTACGCGTTGCGCGATCGGCAGGGAGAGAACGAACCCTCTTCCAATCAACATGAAGGTTTTCTCCAGATTACTTCAATATTTATTCGGTCTATAGAGAAGTCGTTTTCGAGCTACTTATCCCAATTGCTAAGTTCATCCGATCATAAAGTATTACCTGCCACATTTTCTTTTATAAATGGCCGGTATCCACCCAAACTACCAAACAGATGCATTCACTCAAGAATAGGCCTTCAATGCCAGAATCAGGTACATACAAAGAGAATCGAGGTTTCAAAAGCTTAATGGGGGTCATTTCTTTGATATTCGCTTCAGCTTTGTCCCATTACGTTTTTTCTTACCTTGTATTTCCCCTTCATGAGATATCTTCCTCTCTGTTAAGGAACAGTGTCGCGTGTACCAGATACTGGCAGGCTCCACGGATGACTGTGCCTGATCATGTTGTTTAATACATGTATATTAAGTATATTTACTCCTTTTGGATCTATATAGAGTACACCTAGAAGGATAACCATGTTATCACGTGATGTATACCTCCAGAGTTATAGTTTGCTGTATACATCCGAGACTAGATGCTAGTATAGAGGTTGTACCATCTATATATAGTTATTATAATTGGTATAGTCTTTAACACTTCGTAATACATGTATAATGATTTGAGTTTCTTTGTGAATTCTGTCCATAAATCATCATACTAAATACTGTCATAATAGTTCTTAGAAGCAGAAACCCGTTAAACTTCATTGTCAGAACTTGGAAAGCGACCCCATTTCACTGGATCAGGCACCAACTGGGCGCAATTGTGTGTTTCTTCTTTTTCGTTTCTTCTTCTTCTGCCTAGAATTTCTCTTATTCTCTCTGTTCGTCTCATCCTATATCTGTCATCGATCCGATCATTCTGTTGCCTTCATTTGCATTTCAAACCATGACGCATTACCTGTCTCTCTACACTCCCGCTTTCAAGTTCTTGTTACATCATTTGATAGACCCCTCCTCCGTCTCCGAGACCCGCGATAACCATCCACGAATACTCTGCATCAGAGTGCCCTGATCGGTAAGTTTCTTTATTTTCTCTCGTTGGTTTTTCTTTCTTTTTACATCTCCATTCTCAGTTCCGGCTCAATATGTGCCGGTCACTTCCTTCCATTTTTGCTGATTGGAGCATCCTGCAGGTGGTTCCCATTTCTGCCCGATTCCGAGGGTCGCCACTTTTTTTTTTTTTTGTGGTGAAAACCAACCCGCTCTATACCATATATAACCCACGTTCACAAAAATCACGAGACACACGAGAAAATAAAATTACTATATCCCCCCCTCTTTGGATGAGGACGGTTCAGGCAAAGTCGCAAGGTATGACCATTCAAGACTAGTCTTCCTGGTCAAGGGTCGTTCTTATCGACATTGCGACCGCGACTCAACTACTTTCAGATCTCTCTCCACCCGGTTGAAACCCTCGAAATTCCGAACGGCATTCTTCAAATATGGCCGAAGCCGAAGACCCCGCCGAGGACGACCGATCTATTGAGTTATCTTCCATCGTCGCAATCTTCCCGGAGACTTCGATTGACCCCGCCGACCACTTCAAGGCCGTGCTCGACTTGCCCGTCGCATTGCCGTCGCCCACCCGCGTCTGTTTCCAGCAACCTCCGGATAACGGTCTCCCCACGGTCTTGACACCACCCACCTCGGTCGATGTTCCCAAGGCCGATTTGGATCAGATACCCGCTAGGGATACACATATATTGTCCCATCTCCCACCCCTCAGCCTGGAGATCGAGTTGCCAGATGGATACCCCTCCGAAAAGCCCCCACTTGTGAAGCTCACCACCCATCCCCCGTGGTTATCGCCCGCAACTTTGGATAGACTGGCCAATGATTGCCAACGATTATGGATAGAGTGCGGCCAGGACATGGTTGTGTACAGTTACATTGATCATCTTCATCAGCTTGCCGAAACGGCTTTTGGGATTCAAGATGCCACAGACGGCGAACTGACTCTGTCGCGCGACTTGAAGGTGGCTCTATTGGATTTTAATAGTAAGGCGGAACGGGAGAAGTTTCAACAAGAGACATTTGAATGTGGCGTTTGTTTGGAACCGAAGAAAGGCGCCAACTGTCATCGGCTCCTACGCTGTTCACATGTCTTCTGTATCTCCTGTCTACAGGATTTCTACAATGCGTGTATATTGGAAGGTGATGTTGACAATGTCAAGTGCATGGCACCGGATTGCGATAAAAATAAGAACCCAAGTCCTGCCCCAGGCAGTGAGACTCAAACCCCGCGACGCAAGAAAAATGACCGCACGCTTGGACCCAACGAGCTCCTTCAGATTCCCATTGCAGCAGAGACTGTGCAGCGATATGTTTTACTGAAACGCAAGAAGAAGATCGAAGCAGATAAGACGACAGTTTATTGTCCACGGCAATGGTGCCAAGGCGCAGCACGCTCAAAGCGGCACCCCAAACCGACTGATCCAATGTCAGACGATATTGAATCATCCGACGACGAGGATCAATTTTCATTTGATCCATTGGGTGAAGAGTCTCAACTACCCCCTGTGGCGGAGCGTGTTGCCATATGTGAAGACTGCAATTATGCATTCTGCTCTGTATGCAAAAAGGGCTGGCACGGCGAACTAGTCCGGTGCTTCCCTCGACGTCAAGCTGAGCAGACCGAGGAAGAAAAGGCAACGGAGGAATACTTAAAGTTGTATACTTCTCCATGCCCGACTTGCAATGTTCCTTGTCAAAAGCTTATGGGCTGCAACCATATGCGCTGCCGCCAATGCGATACCCACTTCTGCTATCTTTGCTCTAGTTGGCTCTCAGCTGATAATCCCTATCAGCATTTCAATAATGACAGCAGCCGTTGCTACAATCGTCTCTGGGATCTTGAGGGAGGTGATGGCCTCAACCCGGTGGGTGCCGAGGCCTTGCACCGCATCCCGGAAGCCTTACTTGTCTTCGATGACGATGATCAAAACGATGATAACAACAGCGTGAATGATGGTGATGAGGATGATTTAGATGACGACGATGATATTCCCGCCTGGGAATTTGATTTCAGTGATGACGAGGAGGAAATCCGGCATCACCCTCCGCCCCCAGCACCGGTTCCACCACGTGCCGGTGCGCGAGGCGCCGGCGCTAATGATCAGGGACGGGCAGCTCGGGCCGCAGCTCTCGAGCGACAAGCTCAAGCCCGTGCTATGGCTGAAGTTCGTAACCGTCAAGCTGCTGAACGACCCCAAGTACGTGCCCGCCATCTGCCTGATCCTGAACCACCCGCGGAGTGGCGAGCTGGACTTCAGCGTTTCCTCGCCCTTGTACAAAATGATCGCGAAGACGAGTGGGACAGCGATGAACTAGATGATGACGATTTTTGATTCGAATCGGGACTTCTTGCTTTCTTCTTCATTTGATACCCAGTCAGCATCTTATTGCCTTTTTCTTTTTTTGCTCTTCATTTTCGGCTGAGCCTTTATGTTTGCATGAGACATGAACTTCAATGACACCACGAATGCTTGTTTTGATGCATTTTGCCTCTTTCATTTGTTTACTTTCTTATATTTTTATTTCTGTTCTCTTCTCATTGCTTTCACTTTCTATTCCATCTTGCTACTTTCATGCATCAATTGAGCGATTGGTTTTTTAACTTTGGTCTTTTCAAATCTCAAACTTCATGTCTAATATTGGATCTTTCTTCTTTGCATCTGCATATGCGATTATCGACGAATATTTTGGTATGTAGATTATACTATGCTTTCACCAACTATGGTTCTCTAAGAGCCCCCTCCCCCCGGCAATGTAGTTACAAGTGCCTCAACGGCGCCAAGCCTGATAATGGCTGATACGCGATGCTCTCAAAGCCGAAGGCGGTCAACAAGTGGATTTCATCATTGAAGCGCTCCACACCACTTCATTCCCCGCTATCACCGATATGAATCTCCGTTACTTGGTTTGACTATGTGTACTTCTGCGCCTTATCCCTCTCCTCTGAACTTGGCCCAGAGCTCCCCGGCAATGACAAATTTAATCTCAGCCCACTCCCCCCTTTCTTCTTTCTCCGACTTCTGCCCCTCTCACCCAAGGAAGTACTTTTGTCTTCCGTCCCCCATTCCTGACCCCCTCCCCTAGTTTGATGAAATGGCGCTCTCAAGCGACGGGGAGTCGAATGAGGAGCTCACCTTTCAGGAGCTTCGGCCTCAGATTCGCATACTGAATGTGGAGAAACAGCAAGACAGGGTAGGTCTTCTTTAAACTGCTCACGTGGGTCTCATATACTGACTGCAATAGTTCCCCGTGTATGTTTTTGATGCTCAGCGCGTTCGAATGGATAAATACTGATAACTTGAAGAAAGGATGACTTGCTTGCTCCCAAGGTTGCTACATGGAGGTCGAATCTGGTAAGAATCGAAGGAGAACTGTGGAGCTTATTTGAAAGAAACTGACGGCGAGGAAATGGACAGGCAGCTTCTTCTCAGCGTCAGAACCTCCTCTTCGTGGCACAGGGACAAGATATATATGTTTGGATACCGACTGGACCATTCCAACTGCTAGGACATCAGCCCGAGATGATCATCCACCCTGTAATGCAGAACCCACGTGCCGCCGGATATATCGATCGAAACGAGCCCCACACTATCAATAACATACTGGTTGATGACCTTGGTCGTGACGAGGTGCTCTTGCTCGCGACAGACTCCGGCAACATATGTGCCTACCACGTTGAGAGTATCTATGCAGCAATCAACCAATGCGCAACCCGAGGATATAAGCGGCCTTTCGCTGGCTCGGAAGTGAACCCATTCTTCGTGGAAAGTGTAGGAATGAGCGCTTGGGGACTTGCGATGCATAAATTTTCTCGTCTAATTGCTGTCAGCGCCAACACTGGGCACATAACGGTATTTGCATTTGCGCTTGTTGATTCTGCCTCGGTCGACGATGATGAGAAATCACAATATCCTATGGAACAAGGACCTGAACGAATAGATCAGACCTGGGTGCATATCGATAGCAAGAAGCAGCTTCGAGAACTCCAGAAAATGAAGGTGGGGAATTACAGACAGCAGAACTTGCGTCTTACGTATAGAGGCCACTTTGATAATATTCCATGTGTGTCATTTGCGAACTTCGATCTGGATGCAAATGCCGCGTGGATGGTCAGTACGGATATCACCAATCGAGTCATCGTATGGCGCATTTGGGAAGATCTGTATCCACACAGAGTTTATAACCCGGGTCATCCTCAAAACAATCCGCCTCAAAGAGGTTGGAGTGTGATACCGCTGGATCCGCGCACATTCCGACGTTATCAATCAAGTGAAGATGCTTGCGGCTGTGAGGTAGGATCCCAGCTCATTGATGGGAGGACTATTCTGGACGTGTCCAGGGCAATCGAGGACATCAGCGATGCATCCCAAATTTTTGATTGTGGTTCTCCGCGCATAGTACCGGATGAAGAGGATGAGTACTTCCTTCCTGATGGCCACTTTGCTTCGATTGCGCCTATAGATGGACAAGCGAACCGTTCTGGACAGAAGGAACTTGGCATTCTTCCTGAAAAGTATGAAAGTGATTCAGCAAGTGACTCTCAATCCGAAGACGAGCCTGAACCACGTCGAGGAATTCTGGAAAAGAACTCTCTGGCCAGTTTATTCGAAGAAGATAATAAACATCACCGAGTACAGCCAGCCCTGTGGTATGGATATGGCTTTGAAGAACACTCCGATCTCGAATTTCTAAAAAGACAATCTGTGCATCGTAAGTAACCTATTCAAACTTTGATTTCTGCGACAAACCCCGACTAACTTAACCATCTAAAGCACAATCGCCTTCACTGTTTCCTATCATGCATTTTTCCGAGCATCATATCAGCTTGGCTCCATATCCTCTGGATTCTGAATACCACCTGCTATGCAAACATCCTCTCTTCCAACGAGTCTACTCTACCGTGGAGATCAGTCCTCACTGTGACCGATTTAATATGGTGAAGTACATCCCCGAACTTGGAATCGTGGTTGCAGCCTCTCAAAAAGGCCGCATTGCTATAATTTCCCTAACATGGCAAGAAGAAGTTGGCTTTGCCTTCCGACTCGACTGGATCGTACCATTTAGCTCTCAAGAATGCGATAATGGCCGTCCCATAATACCTCTCATGGGTCTCGCTGTCAGCCCCATGCCAGGTTTCGAGAACCCACCAGATGTCCCCGTCATTCCGAGAGGATTCGACCCCAATGATGGACTCACCTTCAACTACCGTGCCTTGGATCCCGATGAATCTGATGAGGACCCAATACAATCATCATCTACCAAACCCCGCCATCAAAATTCTAATTCACAATCTGCAACCATTGCAAAGCAATCAGATCAACCTCTCCGCAACACACGATCTAATCCCGACCTGGAAGAAGAATCCGAATCCGAGTCTGATGACACCTCCACCAACCAATCAGAAGATGGAATGTCAAACTCTGAACCCCTCACCCACACCCAGAGTCACACCGTGGCAGAGCTTCATGCCAAAGCATCACTCGCCTACCGTCCCCATGAAAGTTGGCACGGCTGGCATCCTTCCCGGCATTACCGTCTTTTGCTTCTATTCTGCGATCATAATGTTATGAGCTACGAGTTTTGGCATGATTGGAATCATTGAATATGATAAGATAGATACGAGATTGATATTAGGATCAGGATCAGCGAGATACGATCGTCGTGATCAACGCAAAACAAGCAGAATAGGATGATAGAAAGCTTAGCATTCATTCTGCATCTGGCATGTACGAATATTATATCATCAATAGACAGGTGTATACACCCAAATGAAATCAAAAGTAGAATTCAGAATTCGCCATACCAGCTACCAACTGCCAGCTTAAGTGAAAAAAGTACTAACTTGGCACCATATGCGTTAACGAATACATCCGTCCCTTCCTTAGAGACCTCCCCCCTTTCACACAGGCACCATTCATACATGCACTCACCCCCACTCGGGGAGGAGTCCACGATTGAATTTGAATCCTTCAGCCAGCCAGCCTTGCCAAGCGTTGCATCAAACTCTTGGAACTCCTCATCAACCACCTTCGTTGCAACACTCTTACTTTTATGCAGTTTCTCGGGAATAATTTTCAAACACAGTTAGTCTTTCCAAGATATTTCCCCACTTTCGGATCTTTTCCCGTGACAAGCATAAGATTGCGCCATGATTCGAATTTCGGATTTTAGGCACAAATATGCATATGATTACGCCTTGACCTTGTCAAGACCCTACATGCAACATCCCAAGCCATTTGTCGCAATCCATCTGGTCTATACATGTAGCACGCTACATTATTCGCTGTCGTCCATCTTAATCAAGACCCTGCATGTAACACTATAATTAAGTCGTCGATCTTCTGGAACATACAACATCCCAAGCCATTTATCGCGATCAATGGCGTCTTCCCCCTACTACATAGAACGCCACAAATCGCGATCATTCCAGAACCAGCAAATCCCTTCTACAATCTCACGTCTCGCAGTTCGTAGCTTGAATGAAGCGAATAAACTATACGGAGTTTGTGTCTTAATTTCAATTTCTGACTTGCAAAACTGCCAAGCCGTCAGGAAGAGGGGCAGACTGCCGATCTTTACGGAGCACTGGGTATACGGAGGAGAGGTATTCATTATCACTTGATATCAATTAATTAGACTTCGTATATCCGTACGGAGTATCCGACATAGACTCAGAATTAAAGACATGGCCAGAACGGATCAACAGGTGCACACTGTCGATCGCGACTATCATTGACTATCATGGCTTGATTAGTATAATATCACGAGATACGAACATTGATAGGATTCATACTACAATTTTATATTCAGGAGCGGCTCTTGTTTCATTCCATAGTAGTTAGAACTATATCTGAGATCCCCCATCTACATACTATGTGAATCATACTACTCTTCCGAAATGAATCCATCGTAAACTAGTATCACACTAAAACGGGGGCGTTGGACCCCTGAAACGCCCCGGGGCCACATCGGACCATTCCCGCTATGTTCCGTACGCCACCACCAGGGGAAATCCATATACATGTACCTGGTAACTGATAGGGTTAGTATGGTATCGCGCAATCTCATCAGATGCCTCAATCTAGCAATATTCATGACACGAGAAATCAGTCATCTCCCGCATCTATATCAGGCATCTTATTTAAAATCATGACTCGCGCAATTCACAAGAAGAAACTCTCATCGGTCTCCGACGGCCTTGAATATTGGTCTTTCTAGCGTCTGGTTTGGCCATGAAGAACCTATTGCATTGCCCCGTTCATGGCCGAGGTTACATCGATCCTTAGCGTCTGGAATTGCGACTGATAAAGAAATAATGGGCAATGCTTACACCTCCTTCACGGCTATTTCTAAGAAACTAGTTACTGAAGAATAGATTATCTATAAATCTACCTTGATCTTCGTTCTTGTTGGATTATTCTGAAGATCTTCAGGAACTTAAGGAGATTCACTTTCCCTCGTCTCGCTTTGCTTCTATACACTTGAATCATACCATCCAAATTTCTACTCTGTCTTCAAAGTACCATACTACACAACTTTCAATATGAAGTTCTCCACTGCACTCCTCAGCACCGTCTTGCTCACTGGCACCACCCTCGCCGCCCCTCTAACAGCAGAGCGAGCAGCTCGCCACGAAGCCCGCCGTCAAGCCCGCGCAACTAAAGTCCGTCACGGAAACCCACCCTTCCTCCCAGACACCCAAAGCATAATCAACCTAAGCGACAATGAAACAGTTCACGAGCAATACAGCCAAAACTGGGCCGGAGCCGTCCTAATCGGCACAGGTTACACAGCCGTAACAGGTCAATTCACCGTTCCAACACCTAAAGCCCCCTCCGGCTCCAGCAGCGGCGACTACGCCGCCTCAGCCTGGGTCGGAATTGACGGCGACACATGGAGCAAGGCAATCCTCCAAACAGGCGTAGACTTCACCGTTACAAACGGCGAAGCAAGCTTCAGCGCCTGGTACGAGTGGTATCCAGACTATGCGTATGATTTCACTGGAATTGATATTGCGGCCGGTGACGAGATCAAGGTTACCGTTGAGGCTACTTCTACTTCTGCTGGAACGGCAACTGTTGAGAATGTTTCTAGTGGGCAGAAGGTTTCGCATAGCTTTTCGGGGGAGACGTCGGGTGAGCTTGGGGAGTTGAATGCGGAGTGGATTGTTGAGGATTTCCAGGAGGGAAGCTCGTTGGTTGATCTTGCGAACTTTGGCACTGTTACTTTTACTGGGGCGCAGGCTACTTCTGGTGGATCTAGTGTGGGACCTTCTGGGGCTACTATTATAGATATTAAGCAGAGTGGAACTGTTTATACTTCTTCTTCTGTTACTGATGACTCTGTTGTTGTTGCTTACCAGGGTTGAGATTGAGGGGAGACTTGGAAGGGAGAATGATATATGAGGAAATGAGATTATAGTTATTTTTATCTTATGCTTTAAATTATGATATAGTTGTGAATTTGATGAGGTGGCGTCTTGCAGTTTTCATAAGTTTACGAAGTTACTAGGTATACATCAATTTCCGATGAGATTGATATCTTCGTTTGCACCACATATCACACACACTCTTTCCCTCGTTCTCTTCCTTTCTTCCTTTCTAGCTTCACCTCCACTTTTCAAGTTCCACCATATATATTGACGCATAAATTTCGAGAAAGATTCGACTTGCAAGAGGCTAGACATCTCCGGTAGAACAGACATTTTTCGTGCATATTATCCCGGGACCGGTCCTACTCAAAATGCGACGCGAAGAACATTTGAACGCAAATATAATCGTAGACGGTCTTAGTTCATGTGGTGAGCATAGTGTCAAGGCTGACGCTGTCCAGACTCTTAAGATCAACTTGATCATGATGCCTGCAACGAACTCATTATTATTACTCCACCTTCAATCTGTCAACCTTCACTCACTGGGTGCCTTCTACGCCAGAGACATATTCCAGAGGCAGCTTCAGCCTGTCTGGCCATGTGGACACGGAGCCTAACGCCCCTCTTGACTCGTGTGGTCTTGGCCCTCTTGATTCCAGTGTGCCTCGCCGCGAATCTAACCCCGTCCATCCATCTTACTACACTGCCAATCACTCGCAATACTACTTGGGTTCTCTCCGACAAAGAACTTTCTTCAACACCCCGACATCGCAGGAGTCTTTGATTCGGCCTTTCATTTCACCCGTTCCTATACTTCATCGATATCCGAACCTAACATGAACCTTCACATGTATTATTCGAAGTCATATCCGTTCATTGTGAGTACCCTTAGAGAGGTTGACGCAATAATGTATTATTATTCAACGAGAGACACATTCAGCGTATAACCGGAGGATCTTTAGGATGTGATCGGCGAATGGAACCTTGGAACAAGTTGACCGACAGCGAGTGCACTACCAAGCCTGTTCTGGAGCCCCAAACTCTTGATCTTACATCTATGATGCGGAAGTCAGTGAACAGAAAGAAGTACCCACAAGCGATCCGAGTCAAACACAAAAAAGGGAATTTGCAAGGATGTAAGAGGCCCATTTGATAACACACGGCGCATCTATTAACACATTGAAATAGGTTCCCGATGTGCTGGTCCCTTTGGCGGAAGGGATTGTGTATGGGGGCGGGTCTGATGCACAGAATCGCATATCTTAGCTTCGAGGGCTTTTCCGTTGATTAGCAACAATACTCGCGCTGTCACTCTTGCTCGTGCTGTTGAGCGACCTCGCACTCTTGCTCAGGACTATATAAGTGAGTTGGCATCGGAGTCGTACATTCCGTTTGAGGATAACACCCATGATTCCTCAGTGCCTGCCGAACAGGTGTCTCCTCTTCGTAGGTTGTTGTTGGCTATGAATGCAAGATTCGATATACAAAACCCTTATTCAACGGCTCTGAGTGCGGCGCAAAAAAATAGTAGTGATGCATAAATCCCTAATTTCAACTAATATAGCCTTTCTGGTCACGTCTTTTCATCCCCATCATCATTTCTATATTGTTACTAGGTTAGCTTCTGGCCGCAGTCTGTCATGACAATTAACTATTTTTTTGTTGCCTCTGTTCTCCGAATCGTCAAGGGGCTTTTTCTCTTTCCCCATGTACTCTACAACTCCTTGCCGACTACTCTGCTGGCACCCGATACAGTACAACCAACCTTTCCATCCCCGGTACTGCCCAGGCGGCGCTTGGGAGATACAACAACATCTTCGTGGTAAGACTTACTGAAGCAGTAAAGACTTTTGAGAAGCAGCCGATCATATTGAATTTCATGAAAGTTAAAAGCTTAAATCCTTCTTATGGAGACTCGCTACAAAGCTTTTCAAGTTGAAGAAGCTTTTGGATAGGATAATTTACTTCATCATAAAAAAGAACGTCAGAGTGCCCGAATTTGAAATGTCAGCCCTGTGGATTAATATTATGGTATTCCTGGCGGTACCCAGCTTTAGAGGCACTAGCTTCAACTTGGAAAGCTGAGGTATGGCAGCTGTCGAAGAAAAAAGTTTAAATACTTTTATTTTGTCACCTGAACAGACAAATTTATCTGCAGATGTGAGCGGTTCCTTGTTTCCATCCAGTATGCAGGTAGTCCAATAGGTATTTCAAGCCTTGATTCAATTTTGGAGTTCTGCACACCAGGACGTGTAGATCATAAATGCATGGATAGTGGCTGTTTAGATCAGCACTGGGTTCGTCCCGCTTTATGCGTTCAAGTGGATACTCTAGTACATATGCCGACATCATTGCGAGGGTCAAAGTACCCATGTAGCTTTCGGTATCTTGCGATAATCTCTACTGGCTCTATCGAGAATAAGCACTCTGCTTGTGTAGGCCAAGTCCTTGTTTGAGTATTACATAGTCTACGAGTACTATACGGATACTTACCCTACCATAGAGCCCTAAATTTTTCGGTTATGAACAAGCGGGACTTTCTACCTACCCAATGGTGCACCTGCATAAGCAGAATATGCAGGCAGCTGAAAGCGGGGAATTAGCCAATCTGACTTGAATAATGTCATTGTACATACATGCATTACTACATGTATGTTGTTCGTGTAAACGTCATCTGCCCAAACTTTGTTTCTCGTCAAGCCGAACGCTACACTCGCCAAGACTGCACGATGCACAAACAAAAATGATCTATCCAAACTCTCTCGCGAGAAAAATTCCATCAACCATTCGCGCAGTGGGTCTCACACCCGTGGCTGGTGGATCCGCCGACACCGCTAGACCCCCCTCCCTCGTACTTTGGATGTTTTGTTTTTCCTTTTGAGTAACTTGTCTAGACCCGACGCGGCGGTTTAGTTCTTGATACGCTAAAAAAAACGGTTCGTGCAGGATCACGGCAAAGTACTCCGCTTTCTCTCTGACACCCCCTGTCTTTCTTCTCCCCGCAACTCCCCTGTCATTTTCCAAAATTGCTGGTTTCTTAATTCTCCGAGTTTCTTCGGACAGCTTGAACCAGGGTTTCTGAATTGACCGCAATCATGGCTGGCAGGTTAGAGGATATCGCGGTCGTAAGTGGATCCTTTTTTGTGCTTTTTTATGATCTCATGGGCTTATTCTAACACCTGCATAGGACCCCGATCTATACTCTATGGCCACAGGGTATAATGGGGAGCCACAAGATTTTCAGTCGTGAGTATCGCTCCAACACCATATGAAGAGAATTGGCATTTTGCTTACTATGATACTATTATCTGATTAGGGAAACTACCTCTCTCGCATCCACTATTGCAAGAGGACGATTAGAAAATGGCCGAAGGTTAGTTTCGTTTGTCTCTGTTATGACGGTTCTCATCGTGAAATCGTTTCTTGTTTTCTTGATCCTAACTATCTTCACAGATACCAGGCTATTAAAGATGATGATTACTGGTTAGTCTTGACATGGCAGCTTTGCTGTACGCAAAATAACGTGAGATACGCCTAGGGGACCGTCTGATGAGCAACAATTCGAAGCGTTTGAGATCGGGTGAGTCTTCCACATCTACATGATCTTTCTTACAATCTTGCAGGACAAGAAGTTCATAACATTGACGAATTTAGTCACCTGGTTTTCCTTGTGATTGATCATCTTCAGCCGAACCCACTCTTCCACGCTCCTATTGGGGAATCACCAAAGGTGAGTCCAATGAAGTCGACATACTCCCTACTAGAAACTTCGCTAAACTTACAACACAGAACATTCTAGACATTGGAACTGGCAAAGGCAGCTGGGCAATGTAAGTGATCTGTAACACAATTGTATACAAGCCTGTCTTCTAACCATCTGTTAGTGATGTCGCCGATCTCTACCCAACAGGTACTATTTGTCTTGAACATTGAACTCGATCTCCTTTTTTTGATAAACTAACCTCGAATAGCTACCGTCCGAGGTGTGGATGTCTTCCCTCCACCCGTAACATGGATGCCTCCAAACTGCGTCTTCGAAGTAGACGACGTACTCCGTGAATGGACATGGAAGGAACCATTTGACTTTATCCACATGCGTTTAATGTACGGTGCATTCGCCCCAGAAGGATGGAAAAAAGTCTACCAACAATGCTACGAGTAAGCCGATCGACTTCCGACCATAGTTTCTTCATTCTTTGAGGCCCTAATCCCACAATTACCACAGTGCCCTCGAGCCCGGCGGCTGGATCGAGCAAATGGAACTAGACGTACGGGTCTACAGCGACGATGGAAGTTTACAAAAGCACCATGAGCTATATAGATGGGGCGACATGTTCATCAACTGCTCCGAGAAAGCCGGTTCCTCTCTCCGAACACATGAAACAATGCGCAAGGCAATCGAAGAGGCAGGTTTCGTCGACGTGCACGAGAAGAAATACAAGATTCCTCTTGGTCCGTGGGCAAAGGATACGATCTACAAAGAGGCTGGTCACCTTCAATATGCGCATTGGAATGCCGCTCTGGAAGGCTGGGCAATGTGGCTTCTTACTCACCATGGAGAGCCGAAGCCATGGACAAAGGAAGAGGTGCAGGTGTTTTTGGCTAAGGTTCGCAAGGAGCTGAAGACACCTGCTATTCATGCTTATGAGCCTGCGTATGTCTTTTCTTCCCTTCCTCTCTATTCCTACAACCTTTTCCCCCACTTCTCAATCAGTTCCGCTCATTCATGCTAATATGGTGCAGGAATCGTGTTTGGGCGAGAAAGCCTACACTGGCAGAGATGAAGGCGAGAGAAGAGACCCGGATCAAAATTGAGCCCTCGCCGTAGTCTCATTTGGAATTCTTCGGTTTAGTGGAGGTGGTGTGGTTGGCGTTTATGCATTTCCGAAGCCAGCTTCTATATTTAACAACCTCTTTCAACCCTTATATACTCTATCATGCAATTAGGGAATTGTCTATACGAACACGGTGTACTCTCATTGTTTCCAAAAGCATGGATTTGTAAAGTGGTGCATAGTGGTAGTCGATAATAAGGATATTTTATTGGAGTACACCTACAAAATTACTGTCTGCCGTAAAAGCACATTGCGATCGTCAATATCTCATCACGATAGTCACACTGCAGTCCCATAATCATGACATAGTTATCCACTTCTTTATCAATGGTACATCTCCATCCGTTATACTCAAGAGCCCCATTCAAGCAATCCTCACCGCCCTGACACGCCCCACCCGTCCGCGTACGGACAAAGCTCAAGCTCTCACTCAATCTCCCAAGTACATCATCTCATCTCATCAAACCCACAAAATGGATCTAGTAGCAGGTGTCCGCAAAGAGGGCAGCCGGTAAGCCCAGACCCTTCTTCATTTATATTCATATTCATATTCATATCCGAACTAACCAAACCCAGCGGCGGCCGCACGGAATTCAAATGGTCCGACGTTCAAAGCTCAACACACCGCGAGAACTACCTGGGTCACTCAGTGATGGCCCCGGTAGGACGATGGCAACAAGGCCGCGATCTATCGTGGTACGCAAAAGGCGACGTAAACGATGAAGAAGAACGAGTTCGCCAAGAGCAAGCGGAACGCCAACGAGTCAAAGATGCGGAGGAGGAAGCTATGGCGCTTGCGCTGGGTTTGCCTGTGCCGGATAAGGCAAATGCGAATATGGTGCCGTTAGGACTGAGGGGTGATAAGGAGGAAGGAGAAGAAAAAGAGAAGCCGAGAGAAGAGTCAGGACGTCATGGACGTGAACGCGAGCGTGAGCGTGAGCGTGACCGTAGTCGGAGCCCGAGGCGGCGACACCATGGACGCGATGATCGGGGAAGAGATCGGGAGCGGAGACATCGCAGACATTATGAGCGTGAGGACCGGGATCGAGACCGTCGTGTTCCTCGACGGAGGTCTAGGTCTAGATCTAGAGATCATCGGGGGAAGAGAAGAACTGCGTCTCGGTCGAGGAGTCGTCATGGTCGTCGGGAACGGGCTGAACGAAGCTATTCTCCTGCTGAACGGAGACGGGATACTGAGAGACGGAGGGATCGAGATCATGGTGATCGTGATCGGAGAAGTTGAATTACGAATACGTATTAATGCTGTTTCGATACCAACACGAACATTTTTCTTTGGAAATGAGTATACATGAACACTAACATGAACATGAACATGACACGCTGAGGTCTAACTCATCTATGCGTCCTAATTTACATGCAATCATCTCGTCCACTACAGTTCATCGTGGGCGGTCTCTGCACGGTCAGGCAGATCTGGCATGGACATAATGCTCACCACCAAACTGGTCCAGCCGGTAAAGTGCTGGTTGCGTTGCCCAACACCTGTCTCTGGGTTATATTGTTCCCAGGCAAAACCAGTTTTCTTCCACTCGCGGAAAACAATCTCTACCAAGTTCTTTCGCAGCTTGGAGTACATCTCACGCGCTTGTTCCTGGTGTGGGCCGTCTGCGATGGCAGTGTCCTAGAAAGATGAGAATTAGAAAAAAAAATAAAAACTTCCTGGAGATTTGTGAAACTTACGTATAGATTTCTCAACACCAAGTAGTTGATTGGCATCCAAACCGGACCGCGCCAGTAGTTCTCGTCTGTGCCATAGAATTTGTCCCTCTTGCTCAGACTGCGAATACCGTAGTCACTCCATAATTCCTCGGGATCAGCGATCAAATCCAGAATTGCCTTCAAGCGGGGGCTATCAGGACCAATCATGCCTGTCAAGAATGGGAAGATAGAGATGTATCCCTTGTGGCAGACATGCACGCTCTCTTCGAACTCATCGATGGTAGCATCACAGAAAGTCTGTGCCTTCTCATCCCAATGAAGGTCGTCAATGTTACGCGAGATGGCATTCTCGTAGTATGCAAACTCCTCGGCATCATCCTGCTCGCCCAATGTCTCTGCAATGCGGCGCAGAGTGCGAGTCATCATGCCCATCCAACTGATCAGATCCACGTGCAGCTCACCAGGGTGCGGGGGTTGAGGACGGGGGTAGTCATCAATACCGGAGGTCAGGATGTGCTGAACGGAACGTCCACGCCAGCGGTAACCTTCCTTGGTTGAGAAAGCCTCGCGGTCGTAGGACTTGATGTCACCGCGCTGAGTGCTGCGATACCACTTGTAATGTCTCTTCATGAGGGGGTAGAATGAGCGAAGGTAAGCATCTGCCAGCTCTGGGCTGCGCAGGGTAGCAGTACGAAGGCTCTCAGCAACATCCTCGGGGTCAAGGTTCTCAGTCTGAGTGCTCTTGTTGGTTTGGGCCTTGGCCTTATCCATGAATGCTTCCAGGGCCATGAAAAGAGTAGGTGGGTTGGCGTAATGTGGGTATTGCACTGTGAACTCATGGGGAACCTTGCTGCGAGCCTCCGCGCCGAGGATTTGTTCACGAGCAATCCATCCATCCTCGTCCATGAGGTGGAACCAGCTCTTGATAATTTCGAGTCTGGGAATGTCAGTATATCGGTTATGGAAATATGTGTTCAGACTGGGAGAATTGGTAAAACTTACGCAACGTCGGAGTCATATTCCATCACAGGCAGCAAATGGAAACCTTCATCCCAAAGGAAACCTCGGGGGAAGAAGGGCCGAGAAGGAACACAAGTAAAGAGATCCTTAGAGCCTTCAAGAACAGGCTTGACTGCAGCTCGAGCCTCAGCAGTCTCCTCCCAGAAGCCCTCGTTCTCCTCCTCATAGGCAGGATCGTTGGACCGGTCGACAATATCGTCGCCATGGAAGAAACCGATGCCACCTACCAGGTTGGAAAGCATAGCCTTGGAGAATTCGATGTACTTGGAGGATGCAAAGGGCACCTGAGGGGCCAACACTTGTTTGAAACGCTCAGAGAACGAAAGTGAAGCCTCCTTGAGTTCCTTAGTGATCGTCTCCGCTATTCGCGATTAGAAAAATGCCGTTTAGTTTTTAATTTACTTGTGGATGACTTACAGGTAACAGGCTCACGAGCAGATCCAGAGGAGAACAGAACATCAAACTATAATCATTAGCCAGCGTCCTTTCACAAGACATCGTAGATGTATTCACCTCAAAAGGACCCGTAAAGACTTTCTGGACAAGATGAGCATTGCCATCACCAGGTTGGTGCTTAATAGTAAACAGCTGAGCTGGGGGAGGAGCGTTTTCGGCTCCATACGCCTCAACGGTAGGCTCAACTTCACCCTTCATTTGCATGAACATGATGCCTAGTTTCAAGTCAGAATAATACATTCTAAGGGGCTTGCTCCAACGTACCCTTAGCCTGCCAAAGCTGGGACTGCGGCATAGTCATACTAGACACAAGACCCTTTCCAAGTGGCTTCTCCTCTTGACTTGGGTGGTCATGCTCAAAGTACTCGTTGCTTTCTGGACCTTCAGTGACATCAATCGTGAAGTCTCCAAGCTCAGAAGAGTAACCCTTGAACTTGACGTCGCCCTCAAGTGCAGGTGCACCACCCACGCTATCAGAATCAACGCCTAATTGACCCAATCCTTCAAGAGTAGTATAAAAGACCATCGAGATAGGCTGATCGGGTGCTCCATCATCACGGGGAGTACCCTTCACACGGAATCCCCAGCTACCACCGTTCTGTCCACCGGGTACCTTGACGAAATCAATTGTAAGGTCCAGGGAGTTCCCAGCATCATGAATTGTCTGGCGTCCTCCCTTTCGAATATCGTACTCGTCCCATCCGTATCCGGCCATTCCCTCATTCTGCTCGCAGGTGTGTCGGAAGTCTAGAAGATTGAATCCCTTGTTAACACTGTCTGATATGCTCCAACACAGACTGGGAATCACAGATGCAAAACATACTGGCTTGTGCGGAGGCATAGTCATCTACCTTCGCCCACATGAGCCCTGCAGCGAGGCTGTTTGCAATTCGAGGGCGAACCCCGAAATACAGGTTTGGTTTGTAGGGACCCCATAGTAGCGATTCGTTGTTGGCGCGCGCGGCCTCTTTGATCAGGATGGATACATCGTTGGGGTCTTGGCTTGCGAAGACGCTTGTCGCGGAGAGAAGCGACGTTAGGAAAATTGGGATCCGGAGATGCATTCTTTTCAGTTGCATCGGCCCAATTGAGAGGACATTGAGAAATTGTGGCTAATTCTAAATCGTAAGCTGGACGGGTTAACTGTTCTCTCCGCAATTACGTGGCCCGAGCTTCCTCCGTACTTGGTGGTTTGTGATTCGGTCATTGCCAAGTGTGTGGATCGGCGCGAATTTGAGATTTGATGGATTACAACTTGAGAAGGAATCTGTAGATTTAAATTTGTAGAAATATATGCTTTGTTTCTTTACATTGATATATAGGTATATGCATAGTATACATATGTTCAAAGCTGGTCGCGAGGATCAAGAGAAGCAACCTTTGCGCTCTTGGCTTGACCATCAAATACGAACTCGCTCATGAGTTTTCCTGTACCAGGACCATTCTGGATACCCCAGCAGGTATGGCCAGCAGCGAGATAAAGTCCTTTGGTTTGTGTCAGACCAACTAAAGGTCCGCCTCCACCACCAACAGTGTTAGGCAAGTAGCAGGCCTGGCGTAAGCTCACCTCGCCATCTCGTAGCTCATCTGAAATACTGCCAACCTGATCAATGATTTCCTGGCAGCGTTCAGGGTCAACTTCAACTTCAGCTGATGTTGGGGGTAATGGCACAACTCTGTCTCCATCACCACAGCAATACACGGTATCATCTGGGCGCGTATATATCTCTGGCGCACCGACAGTCGGTCGCGATTTCTTTGCAGGGTTGAAGTTGGCAGGAATCTCGATGTTGGTGAATAGCGCATATGCACTGACAGGTCTCGTTGGTTTGATAACAACACTGTGTGCACGCATTGCCGCAATCGGGGCTTCGGGTAGTACAGTTTGAGTCCATGGACCGGCCGAAACAATCACATCTGTAGCGGAGATTGTGTGCGATTCACCAGACGCTTTGTCGGTATAGGAGACAGACTCAACAGTATCTTTAGAACGCGCGATGTTTGTAACTTGCCCAAGGATGACGTTCACGCCTTTTTCTTGGGCTAGCTTCGCCATCGATGTGGTGAAAAGATATGGGTGAACCTGGGCAGTCTCGCCTGGGCCACTCATACTCTCATAGGCTCTCAGGAGACCGGGTTCAATCCAGTCCAAGTCCTCGGGGATTCTGGCTGCTTTCAACTTGGATACAGCGGCTGCACTGCGCTTCTGTAGGGATTCGTGGTTTCCATCGTCAGATGCCTTCTCTTTTTTATCCGATAGGGTGCGGCCTTTGACGACTATTTGACCACAATTGGTTTCTCGGTATCCCCATCTGCTTTTACCGTCATGCTCCTTGGCAAGTTGTTGGTGAAGGGAAAAGCTAAGGTCCACTAGGTTACTCGGGTAGGCCCATTGTGCTAATAGTCCCCCCGCTTTACCCGAAGCTCCCCCTGCGATATCTGAAGCTTCAAGGAGTGTGATTTTGTGTTTGGCGGCATCGTATGAAGGGTGTCTTGTGAGGAAATAAGCAGAGCAGCATCCAATGATGCCACCGCCTAGATTGAGGGGTAACTGATCAGTATGGATTCCTTTTATCTTTATTGGGTGCGGGGCGCTAGAGTGGGCGCAAGTCATGTCTTCGTACCAATGATAACGATTTCGCGACGATCTTTAGAGGCCGCCATCTTTGAAAAGGGGGCGAGTTTGCGCACTAATGGACGGACTGAAGCCACAATGAGGTATGTTGGGAAGTGGAAGGAAGAAAGTAGCAGCACCGGTTTGCGCGGTTGAGGGCGGCTACGTCACCCCGTCTAAAGACATTCCAGTCATGTGCAAGCTATTTAATCCATAACGAAAAGTACTACATATCGATTGAAAATCCCATTAGGTGGATCAAGTGCAATGGTTAAATTACTTGAAATTTGAATAAATATATGGTAATCAAGTCTCAAAATTCTTTGAATGAATTTAAGAAACAACCCGAGGGTCCGATGCTCCACGAATGCAATATTGCTGTAAATAATAGAAACACATCGGAGAAAAGAAAGCATCCGTAGACGATGGTACACAAGGTATAGCTTGGGAAATCATGAATGAAGAAGAAAGTCAAAGAAAAAGAAGAAGAGAGAACCGACTAGCCAGGACTGAGCGGACGATTGAAACCACCGGAACGGTTCATGTACTGGCGGTACTCTATTTGCTTCTCTTTGCGCACGCCGTAGATATCGTTTCCAGGAACTTTGGTGTTTTTGGTGGTCCGGAATCGAGTGAATCCCATTGCCTTTCGCATCATTGTTTCCATCTCGTCCTCATCCGCGTCCTCTTTGAAGTCGATATCCATTTCGTCTTTCGTATGGGAGCCATTGGCTTGTCGTCCATCATCGCGATCCCGCGGGTCTCGCCGGCCAGGTCGACGGTCATCTTTATAGCCTCGGGGAGGTGATCGGCTCCCAGGTCGGGCGTTGGCACCATTTCGAGCTGGTGATCGCGAACGAGAACGGTCTCGGTTAGCTTTATATCCTAACATCGTAGTGTCAATTGGAATTTCGACAATATGTTTTCTTTCCCGTGTTCTGCACTCACCTCGTCGTTCAAAGCCGCGGTCCCGGCTGGTACTCCTTTTACGGCCCTGGGGCGGTCGTACATCCCGGTCTCTGTCCCTTCGATCCCGGTCGCGGCGATCTCGAGACCAGCTCCTTTCTCGCCTTGTGTTCTTGCGGTCTCGCGAACGCGATCTGTATCGTCGGTCCTCACGTGGACCATCGCGTCGGTCATCTTTGGGCGCAGGTGACCGTCTATGGTCAACTTCTGAGCCTGGTTCACCTTGGCGAGAGTAAGAGTCGTTTTTCTCCCACATTGCACTGCTGTCGACTCGTCGAGCTCGCTTCGCTGGAGGCTCTGCCATGTTGGTTGCCCGACACAAAGACGTTTGTCTCGCGCGGGTGGGCGTATGGTATGGTCCGATGAGGATTCAGAGACGGGGTGTCGTTAATCCCGAGTGATTTTATTCAAAGCCGATTAGAACAGAAAAAGCTGCATCTTTGGTGGTTTTCAAGGGTGGGGTATCAAGTGGCCGCCATGGAGAAGCTGCCAACGAGCGTGAAGGTTGAAAGTTTATTCCGGCCGGCGCGACATACCAACTGCGCAGCTGCCCCATATGAGCCCAGAGATCCACATTAACACACACATCTATCTACCTTCTTGCTGCCGAGATCATTTCTAACGTCCTTCGTCTACGATTTTATGCTGCATCATACTCTGTTATCAATGATGGAGATTAATCTGAGCTAAGGAAGAGCCACCACGATTACCAAAATTCAGATCAATTGCACCGTCATCAATATATTGTTATTTAGACGCATCTTGCAGCTCCAGCACGTTGCTCAGTGACAAATGAAAGTCCCACCATTTTAGTTTCAAGTTCTTCTTTGCTAAATGCGATCTTCTTTTCTTCGGTTCCTATGTAACTTGGATAAAAATTCGGCTATATCGCGTCAATGGGAAGTCTCCATCGTCAGTACCTTGCAGAATGAGTGAGATATTTTGACCTTGCTTGGCATCCTTTGGAACTGATACATTCACCTTCCTCTTACCGACCTCAGTCATATGAACACTCCCTGGATACGTGCCCTCTTCAAAGAACTGCCACCATGATGTGGTGACTTTGTCTGAAGAATCTGGGTCACTGACTGCAGCAACCAGCAGCACAGTCGATCCAGGGCCAGCTTTTACGGTCGTGTCATTGAGTATCTGAACCGAAGGTGGATGATTGGCACGCCGAAAGTCCGGTGTCATTGTCCACTGCATTCGAGCTGCGAAATCATTTTGCACAGCTGCGCTCCATCGGTCTGTCGTATAATCCGCGACATCAATACCACTGGCGTTCTTTTCATTGCCATCGTCGACAGAAACCCACAAATTCGGTGAAGTGCTGTTCTGCTTGGCCCGACCTCCCCAGCCACCGAGGCGTGGACTTTCCGGGTTCTGAAGGCCTGTTGACAACAAGTTGTTGAAGCATATATTGTCCCCCTCGCTCAAAAAGTCATATGCGCTTAACGGTTGACAAAAGCTAGATGTGTTTGCCGTTGCAGGATCCCCAAAAATGTCTTGCCTGTCACCTGGCATAGCTTGCCCGTCAAGCCAGGAACGATACATTCCTCCATATGGCCCTGTCTGGACGTTTCGCTTGATCCAATCGCCAGAGAAGTATTTTCGACTGCCTGTGGATAGCCCGCGAGTGTTTCCTTGGCCCTTGTTGCAGTTATACCCCCAGGTTGCTCCTCCGGCATCCAGAGACTCAACACGGACATCTGGCCAGCTTGGTGCAATATATTTTGCGTATGTATCATCCTGGAAACCGCTTGCCATGATCACAGCTTTACGGGAGACCTCTTGCTTTACTTTCGTCCACTGTCCCGACTTCGAGTACTTCTCCTCAATCGACTTCAAAGCACGAGCAATAGTGTTGGTACCACCCCATGCCTGCAAGTAGATCTTTCGCGGGTCCTGATCTAATATAAGAGATCTAATAAGATCTGAACCTTCGGTGTCATGGCTCATTTCTCCCTCAAAATCTATGTTGCCGATCTTGATCTTCGACAACAGCTCGTCTGGCGTGGGGTAGTGCGGATCATGGTTGTTAAGGTTCGGCCAAACCTCTGCCCATGCCTTGAGAACTTTGTCTTGGATTGTTCGCGTGCCTGTCCAGCGCCATTGCCACTGTGGGGTGGTATATTCGCGACCAGGCAGATAGAACATGGTGCCATTGCCGTCACCGGACCAATGGTAGCGACTTGCGCTATAGATGATACCTTGAGTGTCGAGCTCATTCGAATACAGTAAAAATCGAATAAGAGAAGTCAGATCATCCTGTTCCATATCGGTCGTGACGACTGTGCGCAGCATTGCCGACCTGTCGGCAGCACAGGTGACAGTGGCCAGGATGCCCAATGTGATGATGTAGCGGATAATAACATGCATCTTGGTGTCTCTGGATAACTGTATGATGTGGAAAATGCACGATGGCTGGTCTTTATATTCTATACTCGGGCGCATCATGATATATGGGGTATGGGGTAGGTATGGCGTACATGAGCGCCGATCCGGGGTTAAAGTTACCAGTTTGAGCCTTGGGTGCCTGACGCAATGACAGTATCCGATAACTGCAATAGCAAACGCCCAGTGGACCGTCTTACTGAGGTCAGCGGGTCATGGATCTTCAAGAATCTGCCGGTCTACATTTACCCGACCCTCACCCGAGCCTGGGCGATGAGAACGCAATAGCATCTAAATTGCCCCTTTCAGCCCATGTTCGGCGAATTATTTCAATCACGTATGCAGGGCTCTTTCTCTACAACCGCTTGCCAAACTGCCGTTCTCCATGCCGGGGTTAAACACACCAAAGTGAGCGATGCCATCCATGTACCCCGCAATCAAGAACAGGATGTATTGATGCCGATCCACAAATACCCCAGTTTATCCACACTCTAGGTCTCGAAAGCAATATCACTTTCGGTAAATAAGGCGCTGGTCACCCATGGAAACTATTCATACGGGAAACCCGGTCTTCTTAGTCTCTGTGGACTTTTACTTGTCCTCGGACAATCATTACGGAGGCTCTACAACTAGTGGTTAGCAGCTAGCCACAAAGCTAAGTCATCCAGCATACAAAAACCTCTAGATTTGGAGCGGTTGCGCTGTATTCAGGTTTGATCAAGTGTTAGACGCTTTAAGGGTAAGAATGGCCTATTCAGTCACGCCTTCTCTATCAATAGTTGAGCATTAATGCTGTGAGGAAAATCAGAATATAGCAACCCCAGTTAACTACTATAGGTTACACAGACGATTATATATCTAGCTAGTCTTGAAAGAAGATATCACAGCTACATGGGTAGGCGCAGGAGTAAACGAAGGAGAAGGAGAAGGAGAAGGATTTATAGCTATACTTACAGCGATATCATAACAATACAGTTAAATCGTTATGATGTCGTTTATTATACATTCTTGACTATATAGACCAGAAATCGTGATGTGGTGGTATACAGCAATCTGAGTGTATTACTAACTTGAAGTATACTAGTACTACCTAGCGGCTATCAGTGTATTACCGGTATCTCAGTTTTCTACCGGTCAAAAAACGATTTTTCCCGCTGGGCGCTGTCGTCGCCCGTAGACCAGCCGGTATTTTCGTTCGTCGCTGGTCCGATTTTTGGGGAATGGATCAAGAATCGAAGAAGCTCAACCTCCTTCCTGGCAGCGAGACCGCTGAAATCTCGAAAGCAGTCCACCACAACCACCACAACCACCACCACCACCGCCCAACGCCTCAGGTTGTATAAAAAAGTACAATCAATCGAGGGAAATCTTGAACCCGGGCATTTCAATTCTTCTGCAAGATATTGAGAACAAGAATGCCGAAATTCGAGATCTAAAGCAACAGATCTCTGACCTGACCCGTAAGTATCTATCCAAACAATGAAGGGCTTGAATGCTCTCCTCTTTGATACTAATATATAGCCCTTTCAGAGAGAATGAATTCTCGGCAGGCAAATTTTACGGCTGCGCTCAATCAATTGAGGCGTAATTTGGATGCCACCGCTCGAATCAATTCTAATCGGTGAGAAAGACCATGGAAAGTGAAGGTGAACTGGATTGAAAAAAAGGACGCCAGCTACCATCTTGGACACGACGTTGTTCGCATTGTTGTCCATACTAACATTGAGTCGCGTTATGTAGCCCCCGGGGGCGGGCCGAAAAACAGCTCATATTAGGGATCGTCGTCCCTGGCGATCTTGGCAGATCTCACAACCGTCATCAGTTTTCATCCATACCTTCAATGTTATTACCCTCAAGTTATTATCAACAAGACTTGAAAAGCTTTCATATAGCCCAACACAAGCATGGTCTCGCGTGCTCATCGACCATGGCATATTCGTCTACTCAGTGCAACCATCAGCGGGATCGTGTGGCCATTTGAGCTTGTCTACCACATTTTCCAATATTGGCGAGAACGCCGACCTGTTCACCCACTATCGCGCTCTCGAAAACGTGCTCTGACCCTACCTTTACCTGAAACATCATACCGTGGTTGGAGGCCAAAAAAGACACATAACCAAGCACAGTCGCTCTTTTTACAAAAGTTGCCGTACGATATCCGACGACAGATATACGAATACGTGTTAGCTCCACCGGAAGTTCTACATGTTCTGGCTACCCGCTCCAGCCGCCTCGCTAGTGTGAGGTGTTTTTCCTTGTATCCAGAGAAATCACCAATGCATCACCAATGCACTTACAAGCACCGTGATCACGATGAAGGCAATTTTCGACAACCAATAGATCTTAGTCTTCTATACTTGTGTCGTCAAATGTCGGTGAGAGTCTTCAGGAAATAACCGTATTCATTACTAATAAAGTTATTATGATATAGATACTCAGAGTCGGTACATGTGTTTTATACAGAAAACACTCTGGCTATCCGGGATGATGTTCTTCGAAAACTTCCAGGCGCAATGTTACCTCATCGCCTAGCATCTATCCGTAAAATGAATATTGAAACCGCTATAATAAGTAAGAGTGATCGTAGGTCCGATATCTCACACGCGGTGTGGAAAGACTCGTATCGTTTTTGGACGGATGCATGTCGAGTTCTTGGTGAAATGGGTACCTCAGGCTGTGATCTTAAAAGACTTGAGATCAGATTGAACTATTTTCATGCAGCAATGCAAGATGGAGATCCGCGAGATGGAAATCTTGGTCCTAATGATGACTTACTTCTTGAGATGTTAACTCCTCTCTTGGATCTGAAGATCCCGGAATTCCGCGTCATCCTTCATAATTGGCCCCAGCAAAGAGAAGACGTGTCGCGTATTCTTGAAATGGATCCTCCGTTTTCTATTGAGGGAGACCTTTGACCAAGATAGAGGCTCCGAGTCGATCGATGCTCGGTTGAAAATTATTGGTTGGCAAGGGTTGGCGGACTAAAGGCATTTACTAGTATATAGTATAACGCCCTCCGCGATTTATTAATAGAGTCAAGAAGTCAATGAATAATAGCAGTGATCACTACGAGCCTGCAAGTGGCGTTTGAATCGTGATGGGTATTATCAAACTTTATCATGGCATAGGTGATGTCCTTACAAAAATGTATAGGATTGAGAACACGGTACTAACGATGAGGCTCAAATGCATCCATCCTATACCCCTCACCGCTCCCTCGCAACCATAAAGGCTGTTCATCAACAGCCATTCTACCCATTTCAACACTGATCAATCTCTTCATGTACCCTTTTTATCAAAAGTCCACAATGCCGATGATAACCTCCGACAAAGACCTTGCCAAATTACTCAATACACCCACAAAGCAAGTAAATGGGTAAAAAAGCTGATCCTCCAGCACCTGGGCAGTCCTGTTAAGCTCGTCGATAGACCCCAAATGCAAGGAATGTTCAGCAGACCCTTGTTGTTAACACTGGCTGATGGCCGCGAGGTGGTACAACAATTTCGAACCGAACCACTCGAACTAGACGCTTTCAAGATTGCAAAGAACGCCTTGGGCTCTGTCGTTCCTGATGCTATGGCCTTGGAAAACGAAGAGCTTTTCAAAGAGGGTGTTTGGGCTTACTCTTTTAATCGTATCCACGGTAATCTCTGGGTTCGAGGTATTGCTGGTAAGGGTACGAACGGCCGAATTGCCATTAACAAATCTCTTGGTCGCACTATGTCTAAAGGCTACATCGCCGATACTAGCGACGAGGCTGTGGATGGCCGTGTACGATCGCATCTTGAGGCACTTGTGGTATCACCACTAGAGGACATCAACCCATATAGAGGACAGCTGCAAGGTTTTCTTGACAACCTGGATCAGTTGAAAAACCTGGTATGAATCCTTAAGCCTATCATAAAAGGAGGAATGGCCAGGCAGAATATGGTAGGCAGAGGAGCAAGGAGAGAACAAGATATAATAGGTATCGGTAGGGGACCTCGCCTTTTTGTGGGTGGTAAATGAGTGCCCTCCGATGTACGTTTTGTTACAGTTCCTTGTACTTGTATGGCTTCCTTCTTTCCCGACTTGTATAAAAAACGTAGGATAATATTCGTGGAAGGGTGGACGTGCACGCGGGCAGGTATCTGCGGGACATGTGGCAGACAAGGATCAAGGGACAAAATGATGGAATAAAACTACAGGAGGACTAGGATACAGCGACAAGGAGAAAAAGCAAAACATTGAATGAAGCAATGAGGAACGGAGAAAAGCACAATATTGACGCGAAAAGGAAGCGGAAGTACCACAGAAAAGGCCAAAGCAGCGCAGATGCAAGAAACCACATGTGAGGGAACTGGGGTAGTAGCTAACGAAAGGCGAAAGGAATGAGAAGCAGTAGCAAATAAGAGCAAAACTTGGCAAGAGAATAGGCGAATCAGCGCGAAGATCAGCGAAGAGGTTGGCAGTGGAAAGGGCAGCAGAGGGTTGCGGGCAGGTTGTGCAGGGTAGTAATACCCTTTACTCTGTTCCTTTGTTTCAGGGCACTGGCTGTACTAGCGAATTTGATAAATTACAGTGGATATTTATAGTATAGCAGGTAATACCAATACGCTGTTTATTGCCACCTCTGAGCAAGACCTCAAATCCCCTGGGTCCCTTTTTTCCAGATTATACATTTTTTGAAGATGTTGTTTCTCTGCTTTCTTTATCTTGTTTTTTCCTGTGGGGGCTGAGGGCCCTCAAGTAAAACTCCGGTATACGCTGGGTAGAACGCCCTTGTTCCACATACTATGTGCCCCCACCTTATTCCGTGGATCGCGTAACTCGTCCCATTCGCGTGAGAGTGCAAACAGAACATATAGGGTACTCCAGGTTAGTCCAATGCTTCGGACCCACTCCCGCCGGGGATAAGAAGTATATTAGGAGCTAGGTAACCAGGTTCTTCGCATCTCTCTCGGGCTTTTCTTCTCCAAGGCCTCCTAAATAGGGTGGTTCATATTCGGGCCTAGCGCCCCAAACAATGCGTGCTCCTGCTCCATTGCATCTACGCCTGCCGAAGAGAAATCTGTCGTTCGCTCGCCCTTCCTTGCGATTGTCGTCGGCATTTCAACAAAGGAGGACATTTTGTGTCTCCGAAAGGCTGGATGTCAAGATGAACCAATTTTCCACGCCGACTCAACCGCCAGCAAACTTCCCAACATTCACCCCAGACCAGCTGTCCACGAAACGGGAATACTTTCCTTTCATTGCGAGCACTATCAGAAGTAGACCTTTCTGCGGGCTACCCGTTTTTCGTCTAAGTTATGGGGATGATGGACTTTGGGATTCATACATGAAAACTCTTTACGAGGAAACGCATACATCTTCGCTCCGGGCTGACCAAGAATACCTGTTTCCCTACTTCTTTTGCCCTATCTTTTCAGATTCTCCTCTGCAAGACGCCTCTCATGACACGATCCGTGCAAAGTTCACTAACTGGGCGTTAGATACCCGCGATCCTACAGTTAAAACACTATTATCGGAGGACGGCTTTGACGATTGTAAGTTTATATCGAAGTCTCTCGGACTATGGGAATTACTGTGAAGTATGGTACTAAGCCTATGCCTGTCCGCCTAGAGTATAACCTTACCGACAAGATGGGTATTGGAAATTGTGAACTCGACTGCAACTTACTTAGCTACTCTCACAGGGAGTGCCTCTGTATCAAGTGCCAGCTTAACGACGATATCTTCTTCTATATGTGCTTCTATGTATATAGTGTAGACAAATGATATGTGTAACTCTATTGCTATTGCTTAGAATGTGTTAGTATATAACTTTATTGTGGCTAATAGTCTTAATATCCTTTGTGGTAATCTTCCAGCCGTTGGTGATGATGTGTGTATCCCAGAAGTCTGCAATTCGACCACTCTTCTTACTAAGGATACTTGTTTGTAAATGGAATCCAATTGGAATGCTAGCCTCGCTTAGGTTTTAGCTTAGAACCCTATGTTTGACTCTTCCTGTGATAACCTCTATCTCTTCTTGGGTTGGCAGATTTTCTCTGGGTATTTCTCTACTTTTATTTTCTGTCTTCTTCTGTTTAATTATATAATAACCAATTAAGTTGAATAGGCCACCAGGTGGATGGACAATAACCTCCGAGGGCGTTGCGGTAACTACTACTGTTACTACTGTTCCTACCAACGCTGTGACAACTTCGAATCAAGATTATAGCAAATGGTATACAGTAAGTGCACTTTCTAGACTTATCTTAATAGATTACTGCTAACAATTGAATAAAGGTTTTAAACGGAGATAATTGCGCTACTATTACTGACAATACAGGAATTTCCCTTGTGGATTTCTACTTCTTGAATTGTATAACTTAACGGTACTTATATTGACCTTTAGCTTGGGAATATATACTATATTGAAGCGGTTGGAAATATTGTTACTTATTCTAGCTACTCGGCCACAAAAACGTAAGTAACCACGACCTATATTCGACTAGTAACTACTACGATAATATAGTCTGTTGGTCCTACTTATACTCTATCCTCTGTCCTAGGAACTAAAAACGATTGTATTATCTACTAAGATTATTATACTAATAACTCAAATAGTATTACTAACTAGGAATTAAGAACCGATATCCTCGAGTCTGTAAATTTGGACTTAAATAATTGTTTTTATTATACTACTCTTTACGGGATTGTGGTCTCTAATATTGTTAAATAGAATCCTAGTCTAAGTAAAGATAATCATGAATTTTAGTCTGGATATAACTACTATATTCTTAAATTATGGAATGGTACGACGGCTATCTTACTCTATTAATAAGTTTAATAGTATAGCTAACCCAGAAACAGATACTAAATTATTATCTAATGATATGTCAACTAAATGTTAGACGGTTGACTTATTATAGATTATAAACAGAACTGCATTGTAATATAACTACTATGTAGCTATCTATCGCTATGACAATATAAGTAAGTAAAATATTTCAGCAAAGTAAATACAAAATCCTACCTTTTATCAAGCTCTTACCTATAAACTTTTTGAATACAGCAGCTATAGTATCTCAGAGTTAATCTTAAAGGGTTTGAACCCTTAGATCGGAACAGGCAATTATACAACTGGGCTCTTTGCTGGCCTGGCCAGCAATTTAGCCCATGCCGTTTGCGTTGGAACTAATACTACTGAGTCGGCAACGTCTACGTAGCTGTATGGGTCAACTCCTGTATAGAATACTGCAACTGCTACCAAAGCTATCAAGAGTACTCCCATTTCTGCAGCCGCCTCAGCTTCTATTACTATGGAACCGGGCTACATATCGACTTGTGACAAGTACTACAAGGTCGTCAGCGGGGAATCGTGCTACAGTATTGCCCAAACGTATCGAATCACTCTTGATGAGTTCTATACCTGGAATCCGGATATAGGTGATGATTGTTCTGGTCTTTGGTTAGGTTATGGAGTGTGTGTGGGTATTTCTTCGACTACAAGCAGTATTACTGCAAGTGCAACAAGCTCGTAGAAGAAGTATTGCTTGATTTCCTTTGCAAAATCACACACAAAGATACCTATGTCTTGCGATGCGATGTGTTTTGACCTCTACCTTGATTGATGCTTCAGAATGACAGAGGGTATATTGAATAGATATAAGTGATATGTTATATATAAGCAACCTAGTAGCACATCAATTCAAATTTGATGATATGAGAATATAGAGTCAGCTTTAATGATGAGCCACAGATATACAGGCAACGTCGCTCTACTTAATCAACACCGTATTCTAAGTTATTTCTGACTACCCAACTTTCTGTCCCTTTACGCCCATCAGCCCGGCTAGCCTAGGTATTAAACAACCAGTAGCCAAAATATATCTACATATACACAGGATTTGTTCTGGTATCCTCCTTATCTGGGATAGTTCTTAGTAGCCCTATCCTAAGAGGGTCGGTGTAGTGAAGTTTATTATACTTTACCCTAACCTTTTTTACTAACAAAAAAAAGTAGGGATAGAGTTCACTATACTTTGTTTTTGTAAATTGACTATATTTAAAAATAATTATATAAAGAAGCTAAAACTTTAGAAGTTCTAAGTTAACTAACTAGCCAAAACCATGGTGGATGTAGCATTGCCCCTTGAAAGCCCAGTAGCTTAGTAACATAAGCCTAAGATCTTGTGATGAGGTGCCTACGATCTACCAGAATGGAGAAGGTGCGAAGAATAACGAATAACAACGTTGAGGAAAAGGAAAGAAGAGAGAGAGCTATGCTACATACACGTAGGCGGATGCCACTCTTCAGACCAATCAGATGATTGGACTGCATCCGAGAGTGGGTCAAACCGCAAAAGCGTGCAAACAGTGCAAACATACCCGTCCCGAGTCTTCCTCCATGTAGTTATACTATGTACAGATCTACGATCGCTGTGTAGCTGGTTTTTATATACGTTTGCCCCCTCCTCTCTCCCTCCTCTCACAATATCCTTACATCTCAATAATGGGTGAGAATTCCATAGCAAGGTTGGTCTGCTTAATTCGTGTCTAGCTTTTATGTACTACTACAGCTTAATTGACATATATTCAGTCCAGTGTCTCTACTACCCAGCGACTGCTGGCTCAAAATTCTGAGCTATCTCTCCGTGGAAGATCATCGGTCGCTTCTCTTTGTCTCTAAAAGCAGTAATTGCTTTTCTGAGCCATTTTTAATGAAAGCTATTGCCTGGGAGTGGAAACCAATCCCGCTTAGAAGAGTTCTTCTATTATTTCGCGCTGTACTACGGAAGCCAGAGCGGGCATGTAATATTCGACATTTCAGTCTTCTGTCACAGAAAAGTTTCGATTCGGCGGTTGAGTCATGGCATCCCCCAAGCTGTGAAGCGGACTTTAAAGAAGAGATCACACATTTTCAGGATGTTCTTGAGCATGCCCAACACATTGTGAAGAAAACTGCTTTCCCAGATTCTAATACCTGGACCCAAGCTCTTGATAGTGGAAACCCCTATGCTTTTGTGTCAATCCTTCTCTCGCAGCTTCACAAGCTCCAATCACTGTCGCTTGATTATACTTTTGTATGGCAATCTGGGTTCCCTGGACTAATGCTACGCCATGCACTCTCATCGAAGCAATTATCACAGTTCAATTTTCTTACACATGTGGATTACGGGGCCAATGTCCGCCGTGACGAAATGAGCTTTGGCGAGGCGTTAATCCACGAAGAGCCTGGATACCCTGAGTGCAATCCTAAACAATTTCCTGCTTGGTTCTACTTGCCAGCTCTCCGGTCGCTTAAAATATGGCTTCGCACCAAGAAGGGCATAGAGCTGCCTTCGCCTTATGGGCGGCCAGATCTTTCTCGGCTTGAAAGGCTTATCCTCACACGAGCGACTATTGAAGAAAATCAGGCCCCTAGCATTCTTTCTCTTGCTCCCTCTTTAAAAACTCTGCATCTGGGAATGGCATACAGATGGGGCAAGGAGGTAGCTTTGAAAGATGGTCCAGCAATCATTGAAGGCCTGAAATATTCCCAGGAATCACTCACGAATCTGTCTTTTGGCATTGAATATTATCCACCAGGGAAAAGTGATCTTCATCTTCAACGAGGGGAGTATGACCTCAGTGCTCCATTCTATGGTCTACTGAAGCAATTCCCAAAGCTTCGCTCTGTTGAAGTTCCTGTAAACCTACTTGCAGGATGGACAATGGAGGCCTCAAGTGATCTGGTCTCAGGTTTACCCGAAGGGGTCGAACAATTATGTCTCAGGTCGGATTATGCTCCAGTTGAATACGATTCCTGGCACGCGGAGGAAATGACAGAGTTAGTCACATATAACGCATCAAAGCTAAAGGCGCATTTGCCTCACCTTAAGCGCGTCTGGATCCGGAGATGGGAATACTTTGCCCAGGATGGCGAAACAGTACCGCTCGCGAAAGCTGCTCGGGCTGCCTGTGCCCAGGAGGGTATTCATTTCCAGGTTGTTTCTGACGAGCTTTCCAATGGAATTTGGACTGAAAATCGCTTAGCCCCTGACAGGAAGGTCCTCTGAAAAGCTTGCAATGCTAGACTTGAGATCTCTGATTTAGCTGATATGAAAACAACTCTTTTATAGCATGTGTCTTGGCATGCATTTGGCCGCTTTCAACAACCCTCGCTCAAGAGAATCGGCCATCAAGTCTTGCGCAGTAGAGCATTGGATTCATGGGTTGATTCATCAAGACAATGACGAACGTGCCTAAGGGCGGCAATCTTGTCTTAGAATCGTTGGATAACCTGCGCTGCATTTTTTAACGTTGAGATATTTACTGCGTATTTTGATGATGCTTCCGACTATCTGGAGGACTGCAATACCACTTGCTGCATCAGGTAGGCCACCCATGATTCAATTCTACCGCATAGAAGATTGAAAAAGTCGGAACAAGTCGTCGCTAGGAATTATAGATTAAACGGGGCCCCTGCCTCTCAGAGAGGGGGTAAGCATCAAAGGGAAGGGAGGCTCAGAGCAAAACTAGAACCTGATTAGCCTCTATCTGGACCTTGATCCCGAACATGATGTTGTCGGCTTTAATATCTAGTATGAAAAAGGATGAGTAAGTCATAGTCCAGCCTAGGCGATATAAGAGTCTACGAACCAGTGTGTGCAATATGGCAATCTGTATGAAGATAATCTAATGCTAGAAATAGACGGTGAGGGACCATTGCGATGACTGGTGATCTTAGTCTCTCTATTGATTGCGGCGTAAGAAAGCTAGAACAATCTCCCATAGTGGGGGATGCACAAGACATCGATGCTTATCCTAAGGTCCGTCGATAAAGAACGCATCAAGTAACGTCCTTATCACGTCGCGACCAGGATGTGTGGAACAGCCTGACGACTGCTCCATGCATTTATACATATTCAACTCGTTATCCACTAGTTGGCCCTTAGACGAAGCCCGAATAAAGATCTTAACCATACATAATTCCGATCACTATAAAATGATATATAAGTATCTCTGATTAGCCAATTTGAAAGACAGCGAATCTTACTCCATATCCCGTGCAAGCCACACCGTTGACGTGGTCCCAAATCCTAATTTACTGATCACTTGATAACGCTGTTTTAATAATTTCCTTACTCTTAGATAAGGCTTCAAGTTGTTCACTCATGAAATAGTGGCGAATATGTTCGGCTGGCCATTGATGGATGCAGGAGCTTCTGGCCCAAAGCAATATTTCCGAAGTCATTGCCCTCTTCAAACATGACTGGATAATTGCGGCTTCCAGCTCGATTGCTGAGAGCTGAGATAAAGATTTATAAAACTACTACTTTAGTGTCTGGAAACAAAGCACGCATCGCTGGGTAGCGACAAGCCGTCCCAATAAAATATACACTGATCACATATAATCAGCCAAAGGCTACATATCTGATATTGGATGTATATATTTAAAACACCCATCAAATCCCAACCCAAACGCCAAATAACACCAGCGAGATCGACGAAAGAGTGTAAGGCACACACTGCAGCCCATACAAGAGTGGACAAATGTCGCGGTCATCGTCATCGATCTCATAATTTTAGACATAGCATCAATTAAAGGAAGGGGTATGGTAGTCATAAACAAAGACGCACGCAAATGCAGTACAAATATCAAATAACAAGCAAAATCTTCCCTCAATCTACACGAAGCTTCCAAAGACCGCTGCCAATACTATCGGGACAACAGTAAGTAGCGTGTTGGGTTGGAGGAAGCCTGACGCGGCGTTGACGCCACCTGTTGTGTATACGTAGTCGAACTTGAGATCGGTGGAGTTAAAGCAATTATCGCGAGTGACTTCGACGACGTCTTCGGGTTCAGCGAAGGTTACGTCCACACACTGGGGCTGTTAGTTTTGAATTTTGATATTGGGAATGAAAGGAAAATCGGGTTGTGATGAGGTGGATGGGATGGGATGGACATACGTTATACAATGCTGCGCCGTGCTTTGCTGCGAGAACCACTTGAATGGTTGCGTTTTGACCAACTTCGACGCTGACGTTTGCAGGTAGAGGAACTTGAGGAAGACAGAAGGTTCCAGGGTAGGGATTGTTGGTTGGGCCTTCGATGGAGAATACAGGAACGACGGGGTGGCTCATGTTCTCGGGGGTTGTGCCGAGACCAATGTTGATATAGATCAGGCCTGATGAGTGGCCTGGGAACCACCCGGGTTGGACTGCGACTGCACCTCCCTTAACGGGCCACTTGGTACGGTTGGTTGATGTGGGCATGCCGCCGCCTGAAAAGATGGTTAGTCTTTATTTATTCGTTCATGCTGGGGCTGAGTTGAGAAGTGGGAGAATCTTACAAGGGTAGATCCATTGCATGCCGTAGGGGTACATGAGAGATTCGCTCGACTTGTTCCAGGCGGCACCTAGGCCGTCGGCGGCTGCAATTGTACCGTTGGTGTGGAGGTTGTTTCCTCTGTAGCCGGGGTAGGAGATGATTGTGTGGGCATTAGCCATGCCTAGGCATAGGAGGAGAAGAAGGGTAGCCCATCTTGGTAGGGATAGTTGTGAGGCCATGATGATTGGGTGTGAGAACGAGAATGTAAGATGAGAAGAGAGAATAAAAAGCAAAAGTCTAAAGCGAAATCAATGGATCCAGTCCAGATGTCGCTGATGCTGATACAGACACTTACAGCTCAAACTCTGATGCGATGGCAAAGAGAGCGAGAGCGTAGCTTGATCAAAAAAAGATGAACATCAATTCAACGGAAGAAGAAGAAGCTCACAAGCCAAGGAAGATTTTCGAGGGCTGATCAGGCTCTTTTTGAGGGGTACTGCTGTTCCAGCAGCCATGGCTGCTGCCGCGGACGAGTGAGGATGCAGGATCCCAGTGTGACTGCCACTGCAGCTTGAGCAACTAGCTCGTGGCTCTAACTGGCTGAGTGGAGCAGGGATACTGGGGATCATCACGGCCCTGCTGCAAGTGCCATCACCTCAGGGCCAATGGGGCGATTTGATTGGTGGAGGGGCCACCACTGGAAGCGCCGAGGAGGCACGCTAACGGACGTTCTGAGGGGTTGGTGGTTATGGGTTGCTGGTGCTCGGCGCTTACAGGGCACAAATGTGATGGACTTGCTGTAGGATTATCACAGTGAATCAAGCACTTCTTTTTTTTGTGTCTCGTTCTTGAGATGCAGCTCGGGTTGGGTTGAGGGATCCGCAATTCATAGCGTTGACCAACCCCGATCTTTAGAGTGGGTTTTGTTGGTAGGAAGCGGAAAAGAACTAAATGCGATGGATGCGTATTTCTCTTTTCGAGTTCCAAGTCTTGTTCCTGGCACTTGCATGAAACTTACAGGGGCAAAAATCTCAGTCACAATCACAAGGTCGCAGATCCGGTGGGTGGGGAGGAGTGGGGAGCTTCAACCCCAGTCAAAACACCCAGAACTGCATCTTCCCAGATATTTGAGAACCACACTAAACTAGGGGGGTTGTTAGTGCTTTATACAGCGCTAACATTTTGGCCAACATGAAATGATTTCGGAATGTGTCTTGTTTCTTATCACACCATAATACTGCACTAGACTCCGTACTCGTACAAACTCCGTAGCCGCCAAGCTTTACCATCCCAGTGCGATCCACATGAACCACCTTATTCAAGATCCGGTTCACATCTAATTCGTACTATGTACAGAGTACTATACTTGTCTCTATAAAGTCCTCTCCATCGGATACAACGGATAATATGATATCCGCCAAGCGGGGATCAACTTGAGCCATGACTCTAGTTGTCCTACTGGAAAACATCGCAGAAATCAGGAAATTTTCTACTTTGCTTGAAGAAAAAGATATCTCTCCAGATTGTAGATGCCAGACAAGCATTCCCTTGACGAGATCCAGAAAAATTTCCCTCTCTTCTCCATTTCCTCAAGAAAAGAAATCGCGTCTTCCAATGTTCGATCAGGAATCGGATTTTCGTAGAGACAGCGACCTAAAGTTTTTCAAGATAAAAAATGCAATCATGCCATTATTATCAAAGAATGGTCCACAGAATTACTCCTCTGTAGTTTCATACTCTGCCATCTTCTCGTTCAACGGGTTCTGGCGACGATTACTTGAGAAAGGATGGGAAACTGTTCCTTGTGAAGCAATGTCGAGGAGCGAGGAGTGCTTGATCTTATAGTATTCATTCAAGTTTTTCATTATAGACTTCTTCTTTGTGAGTTGTAATTCGAAGAAAAGAAAAGCGTGTGTTCAAGTTATTAATTGTGGGAAAAGTTCTATATCCATTTGATTCATTGATGCATATGAACTGGGCGTGATTACGTGACTATTCCTGATTCATCTATTTCTATATGGCCTGGTGGGAAGTAGATTTTCCAGAATTAACAAAGAGATTTTGATTGAATTGAATTGCTTTGCTCAACTTACTAGTTAACCACGTAGTTAAAGGTTTGAGAGTTGTACTATGTGTGATTGAATCGCTGTCGCCGTGCTGACAATTCAGCTTTGGGTTATGACTGTCGACTATCAAAGCACAAAATTAGAGCAAATCCTACATAGAAAAATACATTCCTTGAACTGCATAATCTTGACATTGAAATTAAATTATTGATAATTGCATTCATCAATCATAGGGATATCATCCATGGTGTTACAACCTTGAGAACAAACGTCTACGCTAACCCCTTCGTCAAGTCAATGACAGTCTGCACGACCTCATCTGGAGCCTCCTGGGGAATCCAGTGTCCAACACCATCAAGAACCTTGAGGGTCCGGAAATCAGAGCAAACAGCACCACTAGTCATCTTCTCCAAAGCACCGGGTTCCTGATACGTCCCCCAATCTTTACCCCCCGAGATAAACGAACAAGGCGTTTCAATCTTCTTCCCAGCAAAAAGATCATAATCCTTAGTGTAAATCCCACCCGCAGCCGTGCGAACACGATACCAATTCAAACCACCTTGGAAGCCCGTCCGAGCATACTCAGCCACATAAACAGCCAGTTCATCCTCCGGCAGCCATGAATATGAAGACTTTCCTTGGGATGGATCACCGACCATATGCTTCTCTACAGCCTGCGGCATAGTATCATCAAGCGGCATAATGTAATAATAAGGCATCTGCATGACTTCCTCTGCTGTCCAACCCTTCAGTGGCCGTGGTTGATTTCCAGGCCACGACGCACTCTTCAGATGGAAATATCCACGCATGAATCGGTGCAGATCTTCCAATGCAAGCGATGACATATCCGAATTAGCTTCTTCAGTTGAATAATACCATTTGTAATGTTTGCGACCACTTTGAGCCAGTGCTTCATGGATGCCCGACGCAGCTGCAGAACCCTCGGCACCACCGCCCCCTCCCTGTTCAGCGAGCGTCGCTTGTTTTTCCAAGCTCCCAGTACCAGTACCATTACCTTCATTAGCAGTGTCAAAGGGAAGCGTCGGACTCCCATTAAAGGGGTGACTCATTAAAACGACACTACGAAAGAAATCCGGTCGCATCAAGGCAGCCATTGAGGCTGTTATCGCGCCACAATCATGACCCACTACACATTGAACTGATCGATATCCTAGTGCGTGGACTAGTATGATGATGTCACGGACGAGATTGGTTAATGAGAAGCTATGCAGTTCGACTTCTTGGAAAGGTCGAGTGTCCCAGCCCGTTGTGCGGCCGAAGCCGCGCTGATCTGGGGCAACGGCATGATAGCCTGCATCAGCTAGTTTTGGGAGGATGCGTCGCCAGGAGTATGCAATTTCAGGAAATCCATGCAGGAGGATAACTAAGGGGCGATCTTTGGCGGGAGTGGCGCCCGATTCGAGAATGTGGAAAGTCAGATCGGGAGTTGAGATGAGGCGACTGGAGACATTCTGAGGGAGGAAATTCTGAGGGAGGGGGAAACCAGGCAGGGCAGGAGTAGAAGTAGAAGAAGGGGAAGGCGCGATGGTCATGGTGGAAGATGATCGTCGATCTTGTAGATGGTAAGTTGGTAACCTTGTTGTATTGTTGTATTGTTTCTTTTACATATCAAGGAAGAGACACTCTTAAATACTTTCTTACTTTCTGATTCGGGGGAAATATCAGCCTATTTCATAAGGTTAGTGCCTGGACCCGTTCGTCTTGTTTCCTTGGAAGTCATGACGCAAGTTCCTTCTCTCTCTCTCTGCTTACTCTGCAATATTGATGATCCTCGAAACTCTCTTCTCTCTCTCTCTACTCCTACTCTTGCTCTCCCTGCAGCTCCCCGTCATTATTGAATTCTTCCCCTTATTGGTTCATTCTTTGGCCCCAATTCCCTTCTTTTTTTTTTCCCGCATCACTCCGTTAATCGTTACCTCAAAGTCACGTTCTCTAATTCCTTCATATTCGGGACTTCCAAGCTTTTTTTCCTCTTTCTATCTGATTTTCGAATTGTCGCGACGAGCATCCCACTACCGAGTCTTCCGCCTTCAATTTTTCGGATCAACCCCGGCGCTGCTCTACGCAGTGTCCGGCTGGCTATCCGCTTGCTTTCAAATTGAGCTCTTAGAGGAGTTCTTGAGCAACCATGTTCGGTCGCCGCAAGAGAAGCGTTTCCCAACATCGTCACGTACAGGTATGCTCCCTTCTATGAATTCTACCGATACATGGAGAATTCTGTCGCCTCGGTGGATAACCGAATGCTAATATGTTATCTTTGTTGTTGTAGCCACTCTCTACGCCTGCGTCCCAATCAGCGCAATCCGCCGCCAGTCATGCCTTTCTAAGATCTCAACCCTCCACGACCAGCCTGTCGTCCGCGGCAGCTGCTACCGCTCTGCGAAATCGCACGCCGACCCCAACAAACGTCGAAAATGTCCAGACCAAGCGCATGGTCCAACGAGCGGCCTCGAGCCATTCGCCGACGAACCCGCTGCCGACTCGTCGATCAGCAAGTGTCAGTGGACCACTGCGCCGAACGAATAGCTCGAGCTCGATGACCGCAAGGACCTTCAGAGAGCCTTCCCCCCATCGTCCCTCCACCAGCTCCGGCCCCGTGAATGTACATCAGCAGCAGCCTGTTTCTGTGCCCCCGTTACCGAGCTTCCCCGCGCAATATGCCGGGCGACAAGAACCTACTCGTCGAGCGACAAGTCTCCAGCCAACTGTCCGATCACCTCCGGCGTCCCCACGTTCCGCACGAGGGAGCGATCGTGGAGGATCCACCTCACCGCTACATAATCGGATCAGTAGCTTGACCACTGTACCAGAATTTGATCGACCGTCAAGTCGAGGATCGGTCAATTTTTCGTATCCAAGGGGCTTACGGCCGAACTCGCCCCCTTCGCCTGCAATTCTCGAGGATCAGCCTATCACCCTAGGGGCTGTTACAGAACAACCCGGCCCCCAGCAAACCATATCAGAGAAACCGATCATTACAAGACCGACGATACAAACTGCGGGGATTACAGATGGGAGTCACGCAACCAAGCCTGCAGCGTCTGTCACTGGTACTGCGGCCACTGCAGCTCAAGCAGTAATCGGTGCACCAAAAAAAAACGCTCGGGCAGATCCTCATGCAAGGGTTGAGCGGATCGAACACGAACCTACCTCTGCCCCGCAGGATAATGAACCTCCTGCTACGCACCCTTCTTCGCGAACCGCCCCTGAACACTGGCCCGCTACGACTACCGAAAAGAGCAAACCCCGGGATCCAACGCATGTCGACACATCTCTAGCGCAACGATCGGACACCCGACAAACGGCTGGATCCCCAACCCCCGACGTCATCGATACAGTGGTGACCCCTCAACCGTCCCCTTCCGCTTCTACGAGAGAATCTAAACAGCAACACGAAATCAATGTCAATCAATCAAGCAGCCCTGGTCGGTCGGCACGATTCTCCAAGTGGCTTTCTGTCAGCAGCCCTGGGAGTCAAGTTCATCAACCCCCTGCCAGATCAGTCTCCCCTGTTAAATCAGCTTTGAAGAATTCTCCCCGCGGAAGCTCTCTATCTCCCGACAGGAAAGTCTCCGTTAGTGGTATAGTTTTTCAACCACCCAGCGAGATCTCGGATGGCACATCAGTCGCCTCGGACGAAGGATCTCGACTCAATGTCAAGAAACGAGCGCCGAAAGTCAGTTTCGACGACGAGGCTGAAATTGTGGGTGTTGCTGCGAGCCCTCCTACATCGCCTGAAGACTATACACCGGGCTCTCCTCCGCCTAAAGTCAAGTCTCGTATGAGCTGGCTCGGCGTCGGGAAGAAGAAGCAACCCACATCGGACCTTGGCGCTGGAGACGATGGCTTTGATGAGGTGTTGAAACCACGAGCGGCGCTTCCTTCTTTTGGTAGCGTACGAGGCACCCGTGATGGCGGCCCTCAAGAGCCTGTTATCCCTGAGTACAGCGATAACGAATCTAGTGACTCATCTGATGATGAGGTGGCGACTACAAAACCTTCTTTTTCCAATGACCACGCCATTGGAGGTATACTTCACAAGGTGCCGGAAGTTGAGCAAACACACAATGTCAAAGCTGTCGAGCAATCATCAGTCACCGGGCAGTCTTCTCCAGCCCAGCAACAGGCTGCGCCCAGGCCGAAAATCGATGGTGTGGCCCTTGGCGGCATCACTGAGCAAACCCCGTTTACCAATGCGGATTCACATATAGCCCCGCCTTCTATCGCGGTGGAACCAGCTACACCTCCTATTGATAGTGACCGACCTAGTCGTGAGCTGCAACGAATGAGTCGATCAAGCCTTGAGCAATACCAGATTCCGGGTGGGTTCCCACCGTCAGCGTCAGACCGTAGTCTGAAGTCCGCCGCAGATTCCACACAATCCCAGCCCCAGCCCATGGCTAGTGCCATTCCAAGTCACGTCGATGATGTCGATACTGAAGGAGAATCCGGCGACAGCGTCTACAGTGACGCGGCAGAAGATTTCGATGGGGACGGCTTTGGGTCGATCAATGCTATTGTCGATAGCAGGTCAATTCCCAGGTCTTCAGCACCCTTGGATACAGTCGATGAAAGCCGTGATACAACCCCAAGACCGGTCCGTCGATCTCCAACATTTGAAGATGAACCCGATTATGCCACGATGCAGGCTACAGATAAAGCCCGTGCAGCGACACCCACTCAAGATTATGTCATTCGTCAACAAGAAGATATTGCAGTCGCAGTGCCTGTACAGCCCGAAGTTGTTACTTCGTCTCCGCCCCTACCTGCCAAGTCCAAGGCTCGGACTCTATCAAACGACAGCGCTCAAATAGATTCGAGTGAACAGCGTAGACCAGTATCAATGTCTTTCCAGGGTACCTCCAGCTCCCAGCAAGGGCCTCGGAAATTCAATACGGTCAGCTCTCCTGGGAAAGATAAACCACGACCAAAATCACTGGGCCCTGCTTTCCAGGGTACTAGAGGTGCAGGAACTGCCGGGTTCCCTAACTCTCTGCGCCGGACCACGTCAAACGGTAGCGACTCTTCTAGCAGTTTCAAACGTGCTAGTTCTTCGGTTCGGGGTGATGGCCACATTATGCGTCGAACAATGAGAGCTGGTGGGGGAAACTTTCAGGGACCTCCATCGGACCGAACAGACTCTCCCACTGACCGACGACCTATGTCATCAGGCTCTGGACAAGGGACAGGGACCTTGCGTAAAACACTTCGCGGTCTACCAGGAGGCGCTGGTGGTGGTGGTGGTGGTGGTGGTGGTGGCAACGAACGCTACTCCTTCTTCTCAACGAACAAGCGCGCTGCGCCCTCTCCACGGGGACGATCTGCGAGACAACCTTCAAGATCTACTCAAGGGACTCCGTTTAGAGACTCAGATGAAGAAAGGGAGGATGACCAACCTCAAGCCTTCCGCAGTCGTTTCATAGACTCTAGCGATGAAGAAGAACAGGGCAGTACCTCCATGCGACCCGTTCGTGGTATTCCACGCCGTAAAGGTGCCCATGACGGAGATTCCACCGATCTAGATGACAGCTCTGAAGAGGAGCGTCGACAGCAGTCTCGATATGTACCTGCTGTTGCTGTTGCTCCTCGGGTTGATCCCACACCTCCTGCTTCTCGCGATCAAAATGCTCCTCCCAACATGTCCGGTATGGCAGCCGTAGCTCGCCAACGTGGGATGTCGCAGAGAGAGCTTGAAGAATTCATCATGCAACCACCCAAAGGCCGTAAATCAGGACTATTCTCTCGTCTTGGTCTTACAAAGTCCAAAACTGTCGACAATCGCATTCGCAAGGCCGATGTTGAGAGTCCTTCTCGCAGAGACACACCTTTGGAACGATCCCGTCTGGAGCGTGAGCAACTGCGCGTTGAACATCATCCCTATGGTACCCCGCCTCCGGCCCCCGGGATTGTAACAACAGTGACTGCTACTCAACCTGAACAACCTGCATCACCACAGAAGCTTCTGAAAAAGAACTCCAAGCGTTATACAACTGGTGGAACCCCCTGGCCTCTCCGCCCAACTGCTGCTAGAATCAATTCAGCCGAGCCGCCACTGCGACAACTCTCTACTTCTATACCAGAGCAAAGTGCCAGTGTGCCAAATTCCCCATTACGAAGTCGAATGCCACCGCTCGAGTCCACCGGACGCAACGGGAGTGTGACAATCAATGGAGGTGGGGGACCAGAGACATCTGCTATCAAAGCGCCTGAGTCACCTCAAATCCCTCGTGCTGGTCCAGATTTGAACGACGATGCTGCCTCGGACATCACCAGGAGCACCGAGGACAATGGACCCGTGGCTCGAGATGTGGTGATTGCTGGATCTGGACGAAAGAAACGATTTCCCATGCTTCGCAAGGCATTTGGTCTACGAGCTTAATTGTGCCTGTGTTTTATTATGTGGATGAGCTATCTTTTTCATTTTCTTTTTCTTTTCACTGTCACTTTTCACATTTACCCACGATGCACAAAGATGATCTCTTTCTGCTTTACACACGTTTAATGCCTTATTTATATCCTTTTCTTATTTTTTCTTTTCGATTCTCTGTGATCTTTTTTCTCTGCTTTGACACGGACCGGACTAAGGCTAGACAGCCAATGTTGTCTACTGTCTGCTCTTTACTGGTCTGTGACCTATGGGTTACTGTCTTGATAAGCGGCTTTGACATTTTCCGCTTGGATCTAATCTTTAATGCGTGATATGTTTTCGACCTTGATCTCTTCCCACCACCAATTATGTTTCATTATGCACTCTTTTTCCGTCTTTCAGCCTTTCAATAGGCGTTTCTCGGCCTTGACTTTCTTTATTTTATTTTATTCCCGTGGTATGGGTTTGTCATACTATATACACTTGATACCCTCGTTTCTGTATAGGACTGTCCCCTTCGTTGGCGAAGATTTGGATCTGGATTTATTTATGGAATCGGGCCTATGATGCATGGATATGCATAGAAGCCGCGTCGCCCTTTCCCCCTCAATAGACGTTGTTTTTACTTTTTCGATAGAACGTGTACCTGTACTTGATCTGATTTGGTACTAAGTATGGGATACGTGGTGGAATTAATTCATTCGATGTATGAGTGGGGTGCAGCATCATCAATTGCGTATGTGAATCTATACGTAGTACCCTTCTCCGTAGAATCGCATTGAATTGTATGAGTGGAGAGAAGGACAAAAGTACTCTGTACGGATACCATAATCAGGCATCCATATCGCATCAATCAGCACAGCTCACAAGTGGATAGATAAGTGGATCTAAACAACTAGTGTCCCAGCCACTTCATTCAGCTGGCCTGTGTGACTGCCACGATCCAGCCTCGGTCTCGGTAATACAGTCTCTTACCGCTGACCATACAGGGGGCTATGAGACAGATCCTCCTCCACTGGGCAGGGAGGAACAGCTGTACAAACGGAACACAGTTACGCGCCCGAGGGTCTAGGTCTAGATCTTGGCTCTATGGAGGATGCTGGAGCACAACCCAGCCTCTTGTATTATTGGGCTCGGGCTGCGGTTTGGTTGGGCGACTGAGCTGTATCAGTGGGGAGTTACTGATGTATCACTTTTTTGTAAATTTATTATTGGGTGCAGATGCATTTGTTGCGTTGTGTATGCACATGATTATGGATGTGATCCACAGGGGCTAATAGTTAACAGCTCACAGGTCAGTAACAGGTTTCAGGTTTCAGGGTATAATTGTACCTGGGAAGAAACGGGAACTTGGAAGTCACATTGAATATGAGGGCGATTGAATCCTTGGACGCAGTTAACTTTCAGATAAGAAGAGTAATTGATCTCCTAGTTCACCTGAGGAACCGAGTGAGATCATGATGTGATCCGATCGCGTCCCGCTTTCTGAGCTGAAATGGTTGCTATGGAGACGGTGAACCGGGGGGCTGGCGGAAAGGTGGAGGGTGGAGGTTGGCCAGCCTTTCTCCATGTGATGGATGATGCGGTGTGGTACTGTACGGTGGTGGTATTGCGGTGTGTTGATCTATACATTAATACGGAGAGAGTACGGAGTACAGTGGACTGTATAGAAGAAGTAGAGAGATCGAGCAGATCAATTCTGCACATTCCACTTTTTACAGCCGTGAATAATGATAGAAGTAACTACCACAAAGAATCAATTGAACAATTCTGCACCATGATAATAACCTTGGAACTTCCTGTAGGTCTCATTTGAACCTCGGGAGCTCCTGGAGCCGATCACCACCGATTGGGCCAAGCGCCGTAAACAAACAAAAGCAGATACGCGCATCATAAATAAACCGCATCGCAGACCATCCAGAGCTTCCCCTTCCTCTTCTCTTTCCATTCCTTCTACTCATCCCACACATTCCAACCCCAATCTACCCTTTTTACATTCCTCATCTAATCTCATCCCCACGAGATTATTACATTCCTGAAATCGAATCTGATCACCAGTCAGATCCATTTCAATTCCAACCTCCCGAGAAAGACTTCTCCCTTCAAGTCTTTTCTTGTCTAGTCTTTCGAGTTGTTTTTAACAGTTCGAAAGGCATTCGAGAAGAGACGCCGTCAAGTCAGTCAATCTGGACTTTGACGCCCGCGTCCCCATCCCCTTCAGTGTCTTCCCGTCGTCGTACCGGAGTGACGCTGTCTCTGAAACTACTCAGACGAGAGTAGAGGGAGAAGTTCAACTCGATCGCACTTCGCACGTCGAACGGGAAGATACTCGGGTTCCTACCTCTCTCCCTGAACCTCGTGTTTACGGAAAGGAAGAATTCGACATCCGTGTCCAGGACGATCGTGCTCAACCGCGTCGATACGACTCTCGCAATTACGCTGCTGAGGTTGACTTGACTCGTGAAAGGTACATTATCATCATTTTCTGTTTTGTTTGTTTATTTGCTTTTGAGGGCTGGGGAACTGAGGGGGTCCAACTCAATGGGTCTCAATCGAGATTTGGGCGCCAATCCAAACCCACTTTGACCAGAAAGTGGAGTGTAAACAACTTTTTGTTGTCGCATCTCCTATCCCGGTCTAGAGAGATTACAGATTTAGCCCCGGACTAAATTACGTGTCACGAAAAATACATCTCCACTTTCCAACTTGGACCCAATTGTCCTAAGTGGGGATCCGCTCCAATGAGCGGTGACCGCCGCTCGTGTTATTTGTTTATATGTTTACGCTTTTTTATTACTCGTGGAGAACCCCCAGGCTAATTTCCTCTTTTTTTTTTTCTTTCCTTTTAGTTACCCCAACTACAACCAGCAATCTTCTACTCGCTTTGAGGAACGTCCCCAGATCTACGATCAGCCCGTTGTCGAGACCCAACTCGACATCACTGAGAGAGACTACCGTCGCCGTACCTCTCCCACCTACGACGTCAACGCCTCTTCACAGAGCCGTTACCCCGTAGAACCCTTCCAGTACCAGCAGTCCGGTAACACTACCGACTACTCGTACGACCGCGCCTACCAGGGTCAGCCTGCCGGTGTTTACCAAGGAGAAGACTATACTCGTCGTGAGATTGAGGTTGAGAGACCCGCTCGCTACAACAGCGCTCCTGTCGACGTCAAGTACTCCGAGACTACCGTCCGTGACGTACCTGCCCAAGCTCCTCTAGCTTCTGCTCCCTATTCCCAAGCTCCCCAAGCTCCCAAGTCCACTCGCAAGATGGGTTACTACGACGACGAGGGTCAGTACCACTCCTTCCGCCGCGGCGTGGAGCGTGCTGCCGACCGTATCCTCCACCCCTTCCACGACCGTGACGATGTTGTCCAGTCCGGTGCCTCTTACGAGGGTGCTCCCCGTGAGACTGTTCGTGTCATTGAGCCCCGTAACCGCGGCACTCCCGGCGAGACTGTCTCCATTCCCTGCCACTTCGTCCGCATCGGCGACATCCTGATCCTCCAGGGCCGCCCTTGCCAGGTCATCCGTATCTCGGTCTCTTCCCAGACCGGCCAGCACCGTTACCTCGGTGTCGACCTGTTCACCCGCCAACTGCAGGAGGAGTCCAGCTTCGTCTCCAACCCCTCTCCTTCCGTCGTTGTCCAGACCATGCTGGGTCCCGTCTTCAAGACCTACCGCATCCTCGACGTCAACGGTGACTCTTCCCTCACCGCTATGACTGAGTCTGGCGACATCAAGCAGGCTCTCCCCGTCATTACACAGGGTGGTCTGTTCAAGCGCATCAGCGATGCCTTCGCCAACGGCCGTGGTTCTGTCCGTGCCCTCGTCATCAACGACGGTGGCCGTGAGCTCGTCGTCGACTACAAGGTTATCCACGGCTCCCGTCTGTAAATTTATTCCCTTTAGATATTGATTTGATTCGATTACATTTAATCTTGTCCTTGTCTGATGTGGAGTTCAATTGATTGATTGGGCTATTTATGGTGTCTGTGATGAAACTTTTCTATTTGTGACTTTATTTTTTTCCTATTATTATTATGTACTCTCCTTTGTCTGATGATCTATTTCCATGACGCCCGGGTGAAAATGTGATGATTCATCAGAATCCTTGTATCTAGCGATCATAATACAAATGAATCAGGGCTCTTATGAATACTTTATTACTACTACTGTAAACCCTTCTATCTGGAGATTTCAAAGTCGATAAATTTTTCCTCTCAAATCCTGGCAGTGGCGAATTGAATGTTTATTTGTTTACATGCTGTGCTTGTTTAGTCTAATGGCGTTCACGTTATCTCTGCTGGTTGGTCAGGAAACCCAAACCCAAACCTTGGCGGCTGGGCTTGTCCGAGGTCGAGTACGGCTATCTCCGCTCCCCTAGTATCTTCCTGGGCACACATGCATAGACGGTAAACTAACTTAATCAATTCATCTCAATTACCTACCTAGCGTAATTATTGTTCTTGCCTTTGAAATATATTGTCTAATATTAGTTCAATAGAATATAATGAAGCTCAGGCTATAAATCATCCATGGATGAAATTTCCCAAAATCAGAGGTCTGCAGTACGGGGATCTGTATATGTATATATATACGTTAACACATGAACACAACTTCCGCGTTTCAAGTGTTGAATTCAGGACCCAACCCCCCCCCGGGGCCGTCAAGATAACATTGAACTGTGAGTTGAATAAAAATTTATATTCCAAGTTAATTCAATTCACTTTTGATTTTAATTATGAAGTTTATGAAGAGATATTCGAAGATTTCTATCCTAGTAGCTTGTCGGTGACAGTGGATCAGGTCGGAAGTCCGGGTACATGTATACTAGTACAGTGCAATATAAGTGCCAGTGATCATGCAATTAGTCTTAAACTGTGAACTGCCAGTGTGAATTCGAGTTTTAGGATATCTATGATAACTTCCAAGTTGAAAGGAACCAATATACGGTGCTTATTCTCATGAAGATCTAACTATAAAGGTCACTGTATGCATTGAAGGACCTATATTTAGCTTGTACTTGTAGATGGAATGGAATTCTTAAGTGTATAGTATAAGATAACAGTATAACTATGAGTTAAAACTTAGCTGAGAACAGGTTATGTAGGTAAAGGACCAGAATTTGAACTTGAAAGAAGAGATTGTGAATCAATTGATGAAGTCATGGAACTGATTGAACCCATGCAGAAGCAGAAGCAGAAACAGATATGATAAGGTGAACATAAACATAAAAAAGAACCAGAGGGAGTGAAACCCATATAGATCGGTATTTTCCAGAACACCAGCCCACCAAAAGCAAAGCAAAGTAAAATATAAGAACATCCAAGTCTGTAGATTCATAAACTAACCATGAAAATGAATGGCAAGTCAGACAGTCACAAGTGATAATAAACAATCCAGTCGAGTCAAGTCGAGTCAACAAAAGCGAGTAGCATAATTAGGTAGTCATTGCTCCCAATTGCGAGGTGAAGGTGAAATCATGACGCCGGTCCGTATGAGTGGAAAGAGGTAGTAAACAAGCAGAAAGAAAGAAGGAAAGCAAAATGAATAAAGAAAATGAAAACAAACACATAACGCCAGTAGACGTTCTACTTTACAACCGCCGACAGGAACAGCTGAAACAGGGGTATCGTATGAGAAGCACAGCACCAACAAGACAACCTTGGCGAGATCAGATCGAATCAGATCGGATCAGATCAAATTAGGATACACGACATGCGCAGGTGACACGGGTAGGGCTACCGCTCGCCGAACTTGCCATATTCCTGCTGCCATTTGAGCAGGTGGCGGGTGAGAACATCCATCATTTCTAGACTACTTAGGTTCTTGAAATCTTTTTCATTGTCACCGGCATCTGTGGGCGCGGATTCGCCGGCGTCACTGATAGTTGAAGGCATGGCGCTGTCGATTTGATCAACCATGCTTTTTAAGAGGAGACCTTGGGCTCGATCGCTATCACCATTTCCAGTTGGAGTGCTGGAGTTTTCACTGGCGACGGCCATTTCAACTTGCATGCGTGAGATGAATTCAAGGATGGCAGCCACGCGCCTTTTCATTTCATTCATGGTGGTACGTTGTGGGTGCATGTGCCGTGGTTTGCTTGGTCGTCCAGTGTCGCCGCCGTTTATTTGGGTGCCGTTTGCGCTGTATCCGACTCGTGGTGAGTCTGCGCCGATATCGTGTGAATAGCCACGGCGGGGTGATTCGGTTCCAGTGCCGGTGCCGTTAACATCGCGATCCTTGGTATATTGGTTACGGCCCACGCGACCTCGACGAGCTGGTGGACGTCCCGACTTTCGTGTTGATGGCCGGGCGGGGGTCGGCTCTTGGGGAGTAGGTGTATTAGGGCTTGGTTGAGCCGGCTGCTGTTCAGGTTCGGGGACTGGAGGGGCAGCAGGCTTGGTAGGGGATGCGGGTTCTTGTTCGGATTCTGTACAGTTCAACTATCAGCAAACTATCTCGAGAATTAATTTCGTCTAGAGTGTTTTATACCTTCACCTTTACGGCGATTGTTCCTTTCTTTTCGACGAATTCCATTCTCGGCAGTTTCCGTCTCAATAGGAGCTTCATCGGCCTTGGGAAGTTCTTTGTCACGCTGGCCTCGGGAGGTAGCTCTCTGTCTTCGGGTGCCGTTGCCGTTGCCATTGGTGCCGTTGCCATTGGTGCCGTTGCCATTGGTGCCGTTGCCGTTTGTACTCTTGGCCTTGGTGGATTCATCTTCGGAGGGAGGTTGGGATACTGTGTTACTGTGTTTTGAAACGGCGGCGGGGGAGGGGGAGGTAGTTCGTTGACGTTTGACGCCTTGTCTGTTGCTAGAGACACCGTATCAGTTGCATGCTCGAGCCATGGGATACACAACCGAGAAACCAAGGGAACACGTACGCTTCGCTTGCACTTCGACTCCGTTTGCCTCGTCGAGTGGTAGACGTGTCATCGGGGAGACTTTTCGTATCTTCTTTGCTTTCTTCAATGGCTCGTCGGATCAGTTCCTCCTCATCGTAAGCCGCATCACGGCTGTTCATGGTGGACCGACGTTTAGTATTTGCAGCATCTTCACTTTTACGCGATTTAGGGTCCCTGGAACGCCGAGACGTATCTTGAGACGATGCTCGAGAGGAGGGCGCAGGCGACGAAGCTGCCGCCGGTGGGGGAGCCGGCGCTGGCGACGGCAGCGGTGCGATAGGTAAATAGGTAGAGGAGCGGGAACTGGTGAGATTGTCAGTATGATGAATCCCAATAGAAATAGCAGCATGGTTGTTCGAAGCTTCCGAGCAGGGAAGTATTAGGGGATCCTATGGGCAGGAGCGCTTGCGCAATTGTGGGCAATGACAAGGCCCGCCTCCAGCCGCCAGACTTGGGATGAGTTTTTTTGAGGCCAAAACTGCATTCAAAACTCAACTACCCAGCGCCAGAAGAAATGGAATCCCATAAAAATCCTCGCTGAAAGCTTCACTTCTTAACTTACCCATTGGCTTCACCTCGGATTCTGTGCAGGTCTTTCCGGCACTCCTCGCAGAAATATTCGTCGGGACTCGTCTCTTCGTCCATAATTCCCACACAGCCACCATGTTGCCATACTTTGCAAAGATCGCACTGGATGAACATACTACCGATGTCATCAGACATCAAGTCGGATGAATCAGTGGGGGGATGAGCTGGCTCAGCCTTGACGATGCTGCGACCGAGAGCTTCGCGACGAGAGAGAGGAAGACCTGGATAATCTTGCTGTCCACAAAGACACCGAGTGACTTCCTCTTCTTCATCATCATCCATATCATCTTCATCCTCCTCGCGGGGAGGCTCATCGTCGTCGTCACGGGCGCGCTGGCGCTGGCGCGTTTGTGGGAGGTCCGTCCTCGAGCCATTTTCGCCATTTTCGCCATCATCGATGGATTGAGATCGATGAGTCGATGAGCCTTGAGGAGAAGGGTTTTTATGGTTTGATCGGGTGCTCCTCTCACGGTTGAGGGAGACTGAGGAGCCGGAGGAGTTGGTGTGTTGGAGGAGGGCTGGGGAGGGCTGTGTGGTGCGAGCTCGAGAAGAGCGACGAGGACTCATGGTGGCGAGAGGATTTTCGGAATAAATAAATAAATGCAAATATAGTAGATTTGAAAAGAATTCAAAGGATTAAACAAGATCTCGCAAGGGTGGTAAGCGGTGTTGAGGTTTGCTTTCGAGCAGCACCGATTTGCGAGGGAGCTCTTGCGCGCGAATTGCGAGCTCCTTCGAGGGAGAAGGAGAGGAATACAATTGTGAATTGTATTTGGATTTGAAAGCACAGCGTCACAAGGCTCATAGAAGAGCCCGATGACTACATAGTCTGAGTGTGGACGAGCAGGATTGGCGGGGGTTGCAGAGGGAGAAAGAAAGAGAAGGAGGAAAAGCGCCGGAACGGGACTCCAAATGCACTTCTCGCCCGCCCGTCCTTCCCCGCTCTCGACGCCTCTTCGACGCGCGAGTTACCGCCTTTTTGCCTCATTCCATAGATCGAGGCTGATTCTTATTGAATTATCTGGAAGTAGGTATACATGCTATTCAGGGTTTCTGAACTTTATTCTTGTTCTATGTTGGGTGTGTGTGTGCTAGTGCTTGGCTGCTCTAAAAAAACTTAACCATGACGCGCTCGGCAGAAATCCGTCCTTCCCCCTCCCACTCAGATCCAGTTTGCAAAAAACCCTTTCCTTCGCACCCCTTCCAGTTCTCAGCAAGGCAATTGCCTACGGGCAGATCAAATTGAATAATTGGTCTCGAATATGAACCATTGTTGTGATTTCTGGCTGTTTAGGCACGAGATGACTTGGTCGCGGGACTTCGAAGGATGCTCGATTCACGAATAGGGAACTCAAGAGGCGCAGGCGCTATTCCTGCGAAAATTGGAGATAAAATCATGGAGACAATATGGCGCATTTGAGGGACTTGGTCATTTATCGCAACTTCGCAACTACGCCAGGGCATTCTCAACTCTTCAGGCCCTTGGCTTCGAGCCCGAGTGTACGCTGGACTCGAGTACTGAGACAATTGACAGCAACCTAAAACCTCGAGCTTGTCAATGGCAGATATACATTGGATGATGGGAATATTTGGTCAGTAATACGGCGTAGGAGTTCCATTTGGCCCTTGTGTCAAGCTTCTGGTGGGGTGTCCGAGTTGCACGCAAGGCACTCGAGGGGTAATCTTTTCGCGCTGCGGGTTATGCAGGTACAATGAACTCATTCCACTCCCAGCTGTGATGTTGGTCGAGTTTGATTTCTTTTTGAGAGTGAGCATCACATTATGAGCCCTTATAAATAGGGAAGTACTGTGTTAGTCTTCTGCCGATTCTGTTGCGGAGACGGCCCTCGAGAGACTGAAGAACTTAGATTCGCTCGGACCTAGAACATGAGGTGGAGGAAGGAGGGTTCAAAAGTCGAGGAGCACGGAAACAAAGTTATGTAAAATTGTATTTTCCCAGCTTTGAAAGCTACCAGATGATCCTGGTTAGCCGAGTACACGAGGTGCATGAGGTACATAGAGGGATGTGTAATGTCGTCTACCCCAGACGACCCGGTTGGGTGCCAGGGTTACCATATCCGGTTAGCGCCGCAGCGTTCCGAATTCCCGTGACTCGCTGTTCTTTCGCTTCACATCTCTAACCCCTCCGCAGTCTTATTCTACGGATCTTGTTTGTGGCTCGAAAACCGGCATTTCCGCTGTGTCTGAGAGCCCACAGGTCTGCCTCTTTTTTTATATTTGCTTGCTCAATTACTGAAATACCTCTCCGTGTTGGGAGATTAAGGATTTCTAGCACTCGTTGTGGGTATGTTCATGATATTCCAATTTCCGTGGTTGTGGAACACCCGAGGACCCCGGAGATGCCCAAGACAAATGCTGTTGATATCCATGGTGTCCCTGAAGTCTTATTATCACTTCTGGGCTTGCTTGTTTTTACCCAGAACAAAACTGACTGATGCGGGTCAATAGTGTTTCCCCCCGAAACCAGTCATTTTCCCCGAAATACAACGATATCGAACTTGTGGTATTACTGGCTTGTCTACGACAATCTCGGAGGAGGGGGAAATTCAAAAGGAACAGCCGAAGCGGGCTGGCAGACCTCATTCCACTCGTATGAACGATTGTGGATGAGGTTTAGTGTTGAGACACTTGCATAATGACTGCTACTATGAGTATGTCTTGCTCGCAAAGGGACACCCCAGTCTAGCCCACCTTTCAAGGTGGACTGATGAGAGACCCCAACCCTCACGAGTCAAATATCTGCCGGTTACCCAGTTACTGACGTGGTGTTGCACTCGTGTAGACGGGACGTTCAACTCGGCCCCTGACACACCTTCCCCCGTCTATCCCGATCGTCTGATTCGTCCTCTTCCCACACGAACCTTGCGCTCCCGCTTGTCCACCGACGCCGCCGACACTATTCATTACCCACCAACCCCTCCCGCCTCTCAGATCTTTTATGGGGTTTCGGGAGATTCAGAAGAGGCGGCCAATGACTCAAAAGTTTATGTGCAGCAGACCATCGAATCCGATAGACAAGAGCTAACACCCGACGCGGATTCCCACCATGGGTTTGAAACAACAGTTGAGTTTGAAAGCGGGGATGAGGATGGTCCTGTGGTAGTGCAGCGTAGTGCTGGGTTTCGGAGTTCTTTATCCCCCACTTCTAGCATTCATCCACAAATGACAGCGGGTAAAGACGGGACTTTGAAATCCTCGGCTGGACCGGACGGTTATGACGCATTTGAAAACACCAATAACAAAAAGAAACGAAAAATACCAACCCCTGGAAATATGGCGGGTCATCATTCGGCTTTGTCGCCGGAGTTTGCCAATATGGCGCTAGCTAACTTGAACACAACACCAACGGCGACTGGCGATGAGACTGGTACGGGGACTTATTATGGAAGTGGGAACCCAGCATCTCCATTAGGAAGTGGGATATCAGGCTCAGGTAGAGGCCGTCTTGGGCGGAGTTCCACTCGCAGTAGTAGTGGTCGTAATCCTTTGTCTGCGAATGCCCAGAATGCCTGGATGACGACTCGGACGCCAAGTCGGCGGGACGGATTGATGTCGTCCCCTGGCCCATCTGGTATGTGATTTGATCCAATCATAAGTTGTTTGATAAAGTGAACAGAGATTCTGACTTGGCTTCAGGTGAATCTTCTGACGGAATCATTTCGACAGCCATCGCGAACGCCGCTACCCTATCTTCGCCCACTAGAGGTCCGAGCAATGTGAGCTTGCTTGACCAAGAAAGTACCACACCGACAAAAACACAATTCACTTTCACATGCGAGTCCGACTCGTCTAAAGGCATGGCGATGCAACGGGACTCATTCTCGGCTTCTCGTCGCTCGCCCACTTCCCCGCTCGCGGCTACTAGCAAAAACCCCCGCGGTTTCTCCACACAAGGCACACAGACGAGCCCAAGTATGAACCATAACATACCACCTGGAGCCCTACAGCCTGTATCACATCATTCCCCCGTGGGCCGCAAAAAGAAGCGATCCCCAGGAAGCGTATATGCACTGGCCGCCCGCCAGCGCAAGATTCAGCAGCAATATACCAACATTCATCACCCACCAAGATTGGAAGACATTTGGATTTGTGAATTTTGTGAATACGAAAGTATATTTGGCCGTCCGCCGGAGGCTTTGATTCGGCAGTATGAGATCAAGGACCGAAAGGAACGTAAACGACTCGCTGAAAAGAAGCGGCTTCTGGAGAAGGCGAAGATGAAAGGTCGCAAGACAAAGAAGGGATCGAAGAATGGACCAAAGAATGGCTCGGCACCTCACGGTGGTTATCAGCAGGGCTATGATCGTGCATCAGTTGATCACTCGTCTGCAGCTGGGTCGGCGCCTCATGATGACGAGTACCTAGGCCCCGAGTACGATGATGAGTCGGAATCAATACCTGCTCCTAATCCCGACTCGCCCAGCGACTTGAAACCTCCTTTGCCGCCTACTGGTAATCATCCGAAGTCAACGACAACATTGGAGAGCGCCAAGGGTCCTGCAGACGCTGGAGCTAGTCGACCGGGCTGACGATCTTCCTTAGTGGAGTACCCTGTCAGAACGGATGAAGTGTGAGACATGCTCAGATACTTGGTCCGTAACCTGTTGACGATAGTTACCCTGTCTTGGAAGTCTTGGAAATGAGTCTGTTACGAGTTTTGCATCACTGGAATTCCCCCCTCAAGCATTTAGGATGGCGAGCATTGGGATCGCGCAGGTTTTTTGTTCTTCTTCTCATTCCAATCCTTTTTTATTATTATCATTTGATGGAGTTTCTGTAATTGTAATGAGAGCCACGTAAGGCAATGTGCATAGCCATCTTTCTTATTGAGATTTGGTCTTTGATGGGTTTTGGGAGTTTTCTTTGTAGTCCATAGTCCATGATGCCGAATGTAGGGCAGGTTCTTTGTTCGGTTCCCAGGCTATTATTAGACACCAATCCGGATCTACAGAAGACGGAACATGGAGCCTGACAGCAAAAAGCTTCAGATCCGATATTCTTAGATATTTTCTCGTTCTCATATTGATTGGCTCTCAGGTGAAGTTTGTTATAAGGCTGAAACGAAGATCCTCTGCAGTTAGCGCTTCAGTTCGCGCGCGCCAACCCCATCTTGTCTTCACCAGCGCCTATACTCACTACCGACGGTAACTCCATGCATACTATTTTCGTTTTTAGTCTGCCAAGCTCATCATTTCGTTTCATAATTCTTCCCCGTAGCTGATTCAATGGTGCAGAATGCAGAACAGCCCTGTGGACAGGTGGGGTAATTCTAGTTGCAGCCGCTGGACCTTGATCCTGAAGCTAGGATACAGTTTCACATTAGCCTGGGCTAAAAATGACTACAGGGGAAACTCAATAGCTTTATGCCTCCTTTCAGCTTTGTTATTGGTAGGCAGTTGTCATGATGCTTGACTCAGAGTGTCACATCTGGATGTCTATAAAACATTTAGGTAGCCCCGGCGACATTCACTCAATCAATCAGCCAGCAACTTTCAACTTCGACTTTCTTTTGTTCTCTTTCTTTCTTTGATTTCTTCTTCCAATTTTAATTTGGATCTGCTATTGTGGCCCACTTGAAACAATTGGGCCCTTGTCTTTCTTTGTTCCCACTGTCGCCTCATCCTGGTTGATGACCCGACTCCTTTAGGGTCTTACTATATCAGACAGCCTAGACGGCTATTCAAACCCTCGACATTCACGATATCTCTCTCTTACATACGATATCACATAAGATCTTGAAGATATCCTACGCTGCGCGTATTTATCATTCTCGAACATAGAATCGACTCAGCAATTTTTCTGAATACATCACAACCACTACTACATCCAACAACTCTAATATTCCACAAGAAAATCCACCATCATGTTCGTCGCCGCAAAGCTCCTCAAGACAGGCTACAAAGAAGCCAAAAAGCACAAGGCCAAGAAGCAGGCCCAAGCCCAGTCTCAATACCCAAACCCCAACAATGGCCCTTACCCAGAACCCTACCAAATGTCCGGATACCCTCAAGGCGTCGCGCCAGGCGTAGACGTACGCTACCAACCCGACACCCCACCACCAAGCAAACGCACCCGAGTGGTCTCAATGCTCACATCGGCTGTACGATTCCTCCAATTCGTCTTCGGTCTCGCAGTGATCGGTCTTTACGGCCAAGACGTCCACCACGACCATGAAGATGGCATATCCTACAACGCGAAATGGATATACGCAGTCATCGTCGGAATCCTCGCAACCTCTACCTCTGGAATCCACATGGTTCTCCCATTCATTATTAAGGGCGTGAACAACTCTACAAATCCCAAGTTGCAGCTTCCTCAGTTCGTGTGGGAGTTCGTCCTTTGCATCCTCTGGTTAACGCTCTTCGGTGTCTTCGGCAAGATGTATATCGGTGTTCATGCTGATGATTCGAATAAGTCGCTTGGTGATGCGGCGAAGATTAATCGTATGAGACATGCTGCGTGGGTTGATCTTGTTAATCTGCTTATGTGGGTGTTTACTGCTTCGTGGGCGCTTATGAGGTGGCTTAAGAATCGGAGGGCGGCTACTGAGTCGGACTCGGAGATGGGATATGATGTTGAGAAAGAGAATCAGATTTGATTTGATTACGCAGCTTAGCTTAGCTGAGATGAGCTTTGCTTTCATTTGTCTGATAGATGTGTGCATTTTATCGATGTGGGAATGCATGAATGAAGGAACCAAGCACTGGTTGCATAGTTGGTCTCCTGAGATGAATATGAAGATAATGGCGTTTTCGGTTCGGTGTTTCTACTGATATCGGGTGGGAGTTTGTATTTGCTTTATATCTGGCATTAGTCAATCATAAAATTACCCAAATCTTTTCTTCGTTTCAAGATTAATTCCCATGGGTAGATTTGTTAGAATGATACTACTTACTAGTACCATTCCAAGTTGGGAGAACCCAGTAGAACTGTAAGAACCCACTAATACTGCAATCTGGCCTACCAGGTGGCTGCATTACTAAACCGCTTGTGGCCCAGGGTGCGTCTCAAAGGATTCCCCTGGTTCCAAGATGAGTCTCGAATTTCCGGGTCTATTAGTATCCCCCGCTTCGCTCAGTTGGATCTACTCTCCAGCCTAAGATGTCCCATACCAGCCTGGCACTTGATGAAGCCTCAAACCTAGGGAGCAAAAGGCCGACATCAGCTTTGTGTACGATATTCACGGCTAAGATAGATCATTTACAAGAATCCCTTGCGAAACAGCAGTCTAGTTTGTCACTAATAAAAGACATCCTACAACGTGCTTTATATCTCTTTATTTCTGGAAAGCTAGGGCACTACGATTAAACGCATCCGCCATCCCGTCATACAGGTTCTGCACAGCCACCAAGTCCGTGTCCGTACCCGTAAAGATCTGCCCACCGCGCACAGGGGAAATAAGTGCATGTAGTTCTTTAGCCAGACCACGAAGAGGCGCAAATTCAGAAGAAAACTCGTTCAGAATCTCTTCGAAGCCCTCCGGACTCATGTCTAAAGACTTATCCCGTCCGACCGCACCGAAGTCCATGGTGCACCACTTTGGGAGTCGGGATGTTTCTGGTAGGCCTTGCATAAAGTCAGTTACCTCGTTATGGATGTGGTCGTTGGCAATAGCGATCCAGAGAAAAACATAGAACAGGGACTCTAGGTCATGGCGATACGTATGCCGCTGTCCGGTGAGAATGCCAATCGCCATGAACCCATCTGATCCAACCATGGGCTCAATCGGACGAACGTGGTCAAGATCAAGCACGAAGTTGAAATCGAGCAAGACACCCTTGGGGCTATTGGTGCTATCCTGCGTGGTAATGATCAGATTCTTGATAGCGACGTTGCGAATGGAGGATCTTCGCGTTTACGTAGAGAGATTGAAGGGCCCTGACTAGGTCACGCAAGACTTCTAATAACTCCGAAATCAAGTTGTATTGTCGAATGGGACGGCCTAGAGGGGCATTTGCGACGCACGAGAAAGTCCGTTTGACGAAGGGTTGAGGGAATTCTAGCCCCTGCCGAAGCTCAGCGATGCTCACCAGGTCCTGGTATCCTTGGAACTGGATGACTCCCCAAGCGTTGCGCTCCTGTGCTCGCTGTAAGAGGCGAAGCTCAATGGGCTCTTCATCATATCGCCAGGAAAATTTGACGACCGTATCTGGTTATCCAGTGAGCGATGTCGAGGCCCCGTAGCAGGCTGTTCCAGTGCCAACGATGTAGTCCGCTGTGGCAATCAACTCTGGTCAAAAGTGAAACTTATCCCCCGAGTCGAATGTGACACTATCTGTAATATGCGAATAAATAATCTGCTTTTACACTTCGAGCTTATAGGAATAGGCTTGGTCATGCCTTCTAGTTTTTACGCCTCATCTACCGGTCCCTCCATAATTAGCTCAAAATTACTCCTTTGATTTGAAATGCTGTTTTATAAAATGAACAAGTAGATTCCAACGCCGGCGAATCGCTCAGTTCGTCACATTCTAAAACAATGTCGACCCATTAGAGCAGAGGCTAGCTCCCTTTACAGTGGTTGCAACCGAAAAGAATGGGCCACTTCTAAGCTAATCATTTACCGCTGGGCCATGTAATCGCGAACCTAGATCTGCGCCTATTTGCTCACCCAATAAATTTATTGGCCAACATGCTAGGCAAGTGGGCCCAAGCTATACAACTCAGCGTACCAGCCAAGGGAAATTATAGTGTCGTTTTAATTGCCAGCCTTTGTCTCTCTAGCGCTGTCCTTTGAATCGTTGATCAATATTGAAAATTCATTTAAGGCAAGCGATCTTTGATTTGGCTACGTCTTTCATTATTTTAATGTCCGTGAGTTAGGGAACTAACTTATTGAGTACCTTCAAGCCATTCCGTAACATCCTTCGAGTCCCTTTTCACCCAACGACTCTTGGTTCGGATCTCATCCAAAGCCCGCTGTACAGACTTCTCAAGCCCTTGTATCTGACTATTTTGAAAAAACATCCTAACTTCTTGCCATCGTTCTTCAGTAGTGAACCCCTTCGTACAGAGCTGTATAACTCTGCCAAGCATAACCAGGCCCGTCACTAGTCGCTCTTTAATGACGGGCCAATTACTCGTAAACCAGTCCCAGATCGCTGAGATTCCAATTAAATGCGTTGACAGTGTGGTCAGCGGTATGATAATCTCGTGCAGACGCACTTCATTTAAAAGCATTGTGGTTGTACGGCGGATCATTTCCGGGTTGCGCGCATGACCTAGGGCTGCGAGGGTATAGGCGCGTTCATTGCTTGTTCGGGCCGTATAATACAAGTCTAAAATAGCATCGTATTCATCTTCCCCGCCTGTACTTATCATAGAGGCGAAGACTGCTTCACGCAAGTCGGGGTGGATAGCGGATTGGTCGCCAGCACGATATTGCCGGAACATATCTTCTGCAGATTTCTTTACCTTCTCATCTCCCGCGAGAGCAGCTTTATAAAACAGCAGTGTTTTGAATCGGCGGGTTATATCGCTGTCATTGTCGCTAATGGCCCATCCCAAATGGTGAGCTTTGGTACCGATTAATTGGCATTCCAGAGAATTTAAAGCATTCTCTATTTGTGGAACTTGGATCCAAGCTGCGTGAATAGCAGCTATGCTCGCTAGCATCTGGCTCCAGACAATATATTCGGTGTCTTGGTTAATGCTGTCGAGGAGCCCAAGCACACTAGATGTCTTTTGATAGCCTGCTGCTGCTAGAGCAGCTGCGTCTGCTATGAGACCCACGTGGTCCTCAGCAGTAAACAAGGGGGAATTTGTGACTTGACCAAGCTTCTTCAGTCGCTCGGGCGAGTAAGCCGTGCGGTAGAATCCGGAATGGTTTGCGTTCAGCTTGAAGAAATCCAGAGTCGTAACATTGAATGTTGCCTCACGGGTCCTGAGTTTGATATCCATATCAATATCATTATTAGTAGTATGGAAGGCTAGAGGAACAGGGTAGATAGTTTCATCTTCATCAGGTTCAAGATCTCCACTTGATAAGAACCGACTCTGTCGAATATGAATTGTTTTTGACTCTTCATCCTCTGTGACGGTCAGGACAGGGAATCCCACCTTGCGCGTCCAGATTTCCATGATGTTTACCGCATCTTGACTACTTGTCTCAGATAGCGCGATCCACAGATCTTCGGTCCTGGCATTACTGTACGCATGTCTTCTGAGATATGCTCTTACTCCCCGTAGAAATGAGTCTTCACCAAGAGCCCGAGCAATCATGATTAAGATGCAAGACCCTTTTGTATACGAGATATCGTCAAAAATCTGACCTATATCGCTATCCCCATGTATACGTGTTTGGACAGGATGGGAGCTGCGCAATGCATCCAGAGCTAGTCCCCGCTGAAGGTCTCCCGCAACGAACATCTTCCAAACGTCCCATTCAGGATGGAAAACATTGCAAGCATAACAAGACATCCATTCCGCGAATCCTTCGTTGAGCCAAAGACCTAGGTAAGAGCATTAGCCGATATACCGCCTAGAGTTTCCTAGATGAACAAACCATCCCAATACTCCATGGTTACTAGGTTTCCAAACCATTGGTGCGCCAGCTCGTGTAAAACAAGCATGGTCACCTGTTGTTTATATGACACTGGAGAAGATATAGGGTCAAATAACAGTCGAGCGTCGTTGTAGAGGACTAGACCCCAGTTCTCCATTGCACCCGTAAAGTCCGGAACCGCCACCATATCTAGTTTTGGTAGCGGATATGGACTGTCGAATTCACTGTCATAGAAATCCAGCGTTCTCACCGAGAGATCAAGTCCAAATGCCCCAAGGCGATCGAGTTCAGTACCAGCCACAGCAAACAGACGGACGGGCACGCGGTAGCTATCAGTCTCCAGTACCACAAGATCACCAACAACAACCGTAACGAGATACGTCGACATAGGAGGAGTCTCACTAAAAACCACTTGTTTTTTGCCGTTGCCTAGCGATCGTGATGATTTGATGTCCATGTTACTAAGGCAAGTAAACTTCTCAGCTGCCCTCACAGTCACCGCAAAAGTCGCCTTGAGTGCTGGGTCATCAAAGCATGGAAATACTCGGCGGGCATAGGTCGGTTCCATATGTGTGACGGCGATGAATTGCTTGTGACCATTATCATCTGTATAGCTGGAGCGGAAAAAGCCCGCAAGTTTATCTTCAAGTATTCCCTTGAATTTCAGTGAAATGGTTGCTGTCTGGCCGCAGACTAGAGGCTCATCTAGGTAAACACTCAAAATATGTTTCTCTTCATCTCTCCGCACCTTCGATGACGGAATCTCAGTATCGGAAACCCAGACATCATGGATTGCCAAGTCTACTACATGGAGAGTGATGGAGTTTGTACCTCTCAGCACATCGATCCTGAATATGTTAGATCATGGAAGATTTTTTTTTCTGCTTAATAGGACCGTACTTGATTTTCACACAGCCATGGAACACGAAGTTTTCTAGGTCTGGCTCTAGCGTGAGGTCGTAGTGGATAGGGCGTACAGTCGTAGGAAGACGGCCAGAATCTAAGTCAGACATGATAGATAGATAAATAGTATAACCTATACACGGTTAAAAAGGGACATAAGTCTTAAATGATGTAACGAACTGATGTTGAGTCGATTGAGCGAGCGAGGTTGGGGTTATGTGAAAGGGTCACATGATTCTCAACAATACACTAAGTTCAACGGTATTGGGGATAGGCCCCCATCGTTGCGTAATATTTCGAAGAATCAGACCTTTCACTCTGTTTTTAAATATGATTTGGTTAATACCTTGATCGTATCAATGTTGGTTTGTTAATTGCTAAAGTTGGTTGACCAGAGTAGTCTTGGAACTAGACCTGTGCAGACCGATGGGCATACCCATTAGCAAACCTGTCTATTTATGGGCATGCCTATACCGCTAATAACATACCCATAAGTGGGATAAATAGTAAGATTATATAATTCGTATAAAATATAAAGATATAGGCTTTGGTTGGCTATATAGCTGCTGTATTCAATTGTATATATTATAGAGATTTGGAATGATAAGGCTTTTAATATTTCATTATCTTGATTTATTCTAACTCAATATTTCAGCGGTCTCCTACAGAAGATGAGGACAGCAGAAATGAACCCTAGAGCGTGACAGAATCATGTAGATAGTCTTCAAATGTTGTGGGTCTAAGGCAGAGCAGTTGGGTCTTTCTATTGGTTCATTCTTTCTCCTTACTACATGTAGGAATGGGGTCGATGCACATATTGATGTACACATTGTTGCAATTAGTCTGACATCAAGCACCAATCAGCGTCTATGAACTCAACACCTGAGCCCGGTGCGGTGAGTAAGTCAACGATGGCCCAATGAGCAGTCACTTACCTTGATCAGGTCGGCTCAGGAATAACAGGGCATGATATGTAGAAACTACTCAGCGGGCCTGGCCCTGAGTAGTTCCTAAAAGCGGCAATCATCCAAAAAGGAAATTCCGGCAAGGGTACATTTTCACGTGTAGATAGGCATATTTGCATTCAGAACCCAAGGTGAATATAGAACAGCCTAAGTTGAGCATCACTCCAATCCCATCTTTAAAAACAAGAAACTCGCGGGATCAATGCGAAAACCCTCAAGAAATATAGCTAGTATCAACCCAATCCTCATAATCACTCCCAAGAATACTCTCAATACTAACAGCAGCACTCAGCGTCTCCGCAAAAGAAGCCCTCGTCCCCTCAGCCCCATCACCAGAATTATCATACTCCCCAAAAAGCACATCCTCAGTATTGGGCTCACTACTGCTCCACTCAACCCACCCCGCGGAATTAATAACATCACTCAGCACTGTATTCTGAAAAACAACCCTCGCATACTCACTCCATGGCCGTCCAAGATAATAAGTCCCCTCACTGACATCCTCACCCGACACAGCCTCAACAGTACTCTCATTAATAACAAAGTACCCCTCATCTGAAGAAGAAGGTCTCCCCTGCGCAGTAATAGTACCGTAGCTATACTTCTCAAGACCAATGACACACTTATCAAACCATGCGTTTCCTGTCTGGCCGAAGATGAAATCGATAGCGCCGGAGATGTAGCAGGAGCCGTAGACTTGGTAGCCTGTTTCGGCGAGGACGGTGTCTTGGAAGCCTGTGAAGGAACAGGCGTAGTATCCCTGTTCGGTGTTGTAGGCGCTTAGGGCTAGTGCTTGGGAGCCCTCGCCGTAGGTGTTTGCCACGTTGATGTTGTAGATGCTTGATTTTGCGGCGTAGTTGCGGAGGGTGCCGGATTCGTCGTCGTTGCCTGCTTCTGTTGCGCTTACACCGGCTGTTATGGTTACGGTATTGGAGGAGTAGGTGGTGTCACTGAAGATTGTTAGTTGTGGCCTTTGGCCTTTCTTTCGATTAGATGGATTAATGAGATTCCTACTCCTCTGTTTGGCCGTAGATAATCAACTCTCCGGATAGTTCGGGGATATACACTTGTTCCTCGTAAGTACCCTCTTCAATGAAGATGGTCTGCGTATCTGTGGTGGAGGTATCAAGCGCTGAGATAGCATCACTAATGGTACTATAGTCGCCGCCAGACTTTGCGACAACAATTGAGCCACTAGGAGCGCTGGTGCGACTGGCTGCTAGCACGGATGCTGCGAAGGAGAAAAGTGCAAAAGCCTTCATCATAATGTTGGCAATATGAAGAAGAAGATGGGGATTATGAGTGTGAAGACAACTTGAATTATTTCTCGCAGAGACATGACCTTTATACATGCATCTTCCCTTAGTCTAGCCCCACAATATTGTCGTGACGTCCCATCTTTTCCTCCTTCATACCGGAGGAAAGGACCAGAAAGCTAGAATAGAATAGATTATCGCTGTCACACACTCAAAGGTCCACGCGGCACAAGTGCCAATATAGCAGTTCATCCGCACCGAATCCACCATTCAGCTACCAGAGAAACCACTAGTTATCCTGAAACACTCACAAAAAACATTTAAGCTTTCTGCAGCTTCAATTTTATTCACTTTATTCCACGAAGGCTTAGCCGGTGTCCGGCACTGAGTGGAATTTCATCTAATCGGAAACAATTGCGAAGAGAAAATGTTGACGGGTTAACTTCGGTGGAAAAACAAAATAAGCCCTACGGGGCGTAATCGTCCGGGGTGTGCTGCTCTTTCTGTGTCTGCGGATACGATCTTCCACCAGTGAGGTTCGAAATGGGTGGGGACTGAAGGGTGTCCTGTTATCTCGGAGAGTAGCCGGGTATGGTAGTGGGTCCGCGCGCTATGGTGAGTTAGGGGGTTTGGGTTTCTCATATACCAAACAGATTAATTTATTGGTGTTACATGATGAATTTGATCTTATTCGGGGTTATTTATGGTGGAGTGATGCTATGTTGGTACGTATGCGCTAAGCTCAAATGTGGTATCCTTCTTCACCGATATTTTTGAACCTCCGTAACAGGAACTTCTGGAAGTCAACTGCGGAATAAATAGAGAATTGAGATCATTCTGGACCCGGTAGTAGTCAGGTTTTGCGGCTCGAATGGAACACTAGGCAATCCATAAGCTTCTTATTCGTCACGTACATCGACCTGTTTCCGAAGTCGACAGCCCTAGTTTCACCTTGACAAGTTCGCTTGTGGTAAATTATATATTGATTGTATGTAAGATTGGACTGGACTTTGATCGATCAAGACATCGAGTGAAACCGACGAGCCTGCGTATATCTGTATCAACTTGAAGAAATCTCACCAGGCATTGTATTGTGAGAGGCGATATCTGCAATACATATCATGCATGCATTGAAAGAACTGAAATGCAGTCTTGGAAATCATCGAAAAATCATCGTACACTGAAGCAAGGCACCGAAGCAATGAGAGAGAAAATAAAGCAATCGCTGTATGTTGAGTGAATCCGAAACCAAACTCCAGTCCGGTCCGTTTAATGCCAAACCAACTTAACCACCTAGTCACTTCCATCAAACACCGCACTTTGGCATCTAGAGCTTGAACTTCCGTCCGTTCCTATTCCCCTTATCCTTATTCCCACAATCTGGTCTTCATCGAATTGAGGCGGATCAGAAAATTGTTCCGGAAAACTATATCCCTCTCCTCCCTCCGAGTGAATATCGTATCTCTTACCAGCTGCTTCAAGCATCCCCGCCTCTTCTAGAACCTTTAACCACTGTGCCCGAAAATCCTTGCTTACAAGCGGTTCATTCAATGGTTGTGGATTTGGACGCTTATTTAGCATCATCTGGTTGATTAGAAAGTTCTCGCGTGGGGGCGGGTGCCACGTATGATCAGATGTGCGTGGCCGAACATGCGCGTAGGAGGGATGTTTCTCGGAGACTTTAGCAGGGATAGTTTTGGAACGTGGTCGTCTCCGTTCCTCTGGGTTAGGAATGCGGCGTGCGCCTGGAAGGTCTCCGGTATCGACATTCAAATTTACTACTGTCTCATATGAACTGTGGTCCTGGGTTTCAGCATTTGGGTTGCGGATTTCCTGCATGTTAAGGTCGAGACTAACCGTTTCTATTCCTTGGGGCAGGATGGGGTCTTGTTTATCTGGAATATCGATATCGAGCAACGTAGGTGCTAACTGGGGAGGAGTCTTCGAGGAAAGTTTCTTGCTGAGCATTATAGGTGTTGTGGATGTGATAGTGAGATCGGACCAGCTCGTGGCGGCACTAGCCTGATGGCTTTTGCTTTCGGCTACTGTCTGGGGATCAAGTGGGGCGGATAGATCATCGTCTTCGTCTACGTCGAACATGGGCTCGGGTGAGTCTCTTGGTGGGGTTTCGATGGGTCGGTCTCGTGGTGAGACTGCAGATGCAGGTTTGGAGATTGAAGACTGTGAGGACTTGCGACGATTGAAGACTGGACGACGTTTGCCTCCACGGGTGGCGCGGCCTGTTGTGAAATGAGTTGCTTTCTTTGCTGGCTGGCGAGTCGTGGAGAAGTCGTCCTTTGGCGCAATCTCTATCACGCTCGGAGTTGGTGGGTTAGAAGGGCTAGTTGTGATGTTTTCACCGCTGGGATGCTCGAGGAGCAGGCGGGTGGTTTTTTGCGGAGTTGGGGCTGTGTTAGGCTTTTTTAGGATCGGATGGAGACCACCTGAGCCCGGGGTGCAATTTGGAGGGACTGATTTGGATTCCATGTATTTCTGGGAGTCGGAGGTGGGCACTGCCCGGGGAGAGGTAGCCTTTGAGGATGGGGATCCAAGCTGTGGGAATAGTTTCAGAGATGAGTATGTCCTTGAAGCAGAAGATTAAGCAGAACATAGACCGTGTGCAAAGAGATACTCACCGTATCGGGTTTGTTTGGCGGTGATAAAGGAAGGGGCTCTGATGCCATAATGCGCGAGACTAGACCGTCCAGATACTTGATATTGGTGCGCTCCAGCAGATCATCGCTACTCCAAATTCGCCAAAAGAGATATTCCAGTCTGCGATCCATCTCCTTATTGCTAGCTTGTCTGGATATGAAAAATGCTGTTTGCGCGAAATGGTCAGCCTGTTGATCACGACAAAAGCTCATCATGGTTCTTGTTCTGAGTACCTTGCCAGAAGCCTTTGATCATCGTCCTATCAACCCTCTGTTCTCCCATTATTTCGCTGGGACTGGGTACCTGAGTGATAGTCACCAGACTTTCTGATATCTTTTGCGCCATGTTGATGAGATATAGAGGACGACACTCTTGAAGCTGAGTCTAAAAATCCGGGGTATGGTATACGTTCTTTAGACCAAAGCACCACAAGTTCAGGTGCAGAAGAGACAAAGAAATCGCATAATCGGAGGATTCTCAGCGAAAGATCAAATCAACTGATGACTCAAGAAAGATGACGGAGATCGAAAACGCGAATAAGCTGTGAAATAGACAGTGAAATATCGAGTGCCGTAACTCGTGTTCGTCGCAATCAAATAAGCAAGCACAAGGTCGAATGTCGGCGGTCAAAGCTGCACCGTACTAATTAACCACTGACCGTGTAATTCACTTATGCAAAGAGGTACACGGTAAAAAAGCCCCGCGTACCAGGCAAGATGAACTGGGAAGAAAGTGAGACTCAGAAGGCAAAAATAAAAATTCCCTCTTTCCTTGACAGCAGCCTGAGGCAGATAGCGCGATAGTGCGATAGCGGGGGAATTCCGACCACAAGAAACATGGATGGGCCTGGCCCTCTTTTACCCTTTTGCCTCTCAGATACCAGGGATTAACAGGGTGAGAGTTTGGACCTTCAAGTGCTGGAAGAAAAGAAAACTTGCAGGAGGGAGCTCCCTTCCCTCCAGAACATTCACGGAGATCTTCTCCGGATAATCAACGTGTCTCCAGCATACAACCACTGTTCAAAGCCAGGATCGCCGTGTGGAGCACAACCCAACTGGACACCAATAATGTACTGTACCCCCCCCACTATTTGATCCACGAGGTGGTGGCGGAGTTCGTTTTTCTTTCTCTTTCTCTTTCTCTTCTCCGTCGAACACGGTGTTTGACACGATTTAACACGATCGCAGTATGAAGGTTTCAATTGGTGACTGTTCGGAGTGTCGGAACGGCCCGGGATTGGCCGCTATATAAGACCAGAAGAGAACAGAACAGAAGAAGCCTGAGCTAACTTGGACTGGAATTGCTTAGGAGTATTCTAGCTTTGTTTGACTCTCTACTGTACAGGCTACGTGACAAATAACCCCACTGAACCGACAAGATCTCCATATCATCACATTCCAATCAGTCTATTCCGGACTCCGTTATCCCTTTGCCACTCTGGAGGTATGGGGTAACCCAGATTTCGGGGAAGATCTTAAAGCACTAGTGGAAGTGGGAGAAAAGGATCGTCCTCTCTCCTATCATAAAACGGGCCTAAATTACTACTCTTGAATATGAACTTGGTCCTTCTGGTTCTCCTGGTTCTCCCCGACACCCCACAATTCACCACTGGTACACCGTCTACTAGTATGAACAAACAAATGTATCTTCTCGATAATTCAATGTAAAACGGTCCTGCTCCGTACATATCTCCAGAAAGGAGGCACATTAGTGGATCCTTGTCGTTGGAATGCTTGACTCTCCACGTCAGCTCGTTTGCTCAGCTGCATTCATTTCATCTCCGAAAATTCCCCCTTGATCCCCCCGCATAGACCTCCACACCGACCCACAACTTTGGTCCTCAATGCGGAGACAGCGGGAGGCTGAACCAGGGTTCATGGGCCTCATGATCTGGGTGAGTTTGAATTTTGTAATTGATGTCGCAGAGATGTTCAGAATGACTCCATGACTTTGAGAAATCAGAGTTTTACTGTCAATTCAAGTGCTTTATTGTATGTACAGCACTGTGGATTGATTGGGTGGAATCTTTACCCCTGTCTAAGAACCCCTTTCTACTTAATTGAGCTTCGGTTTACACTAGCGCTCTAAATACATGTAAATCCCTGGTCAAGGTAATCCTGGCATATTTGCTGGAATACCTTGATGGAATACTGGATGCGACCTGAAGTTCATTCATAGTTTAGTAATATTCTAGATGCCCCATCAAGTCACAGTATAACCCCCATCCACCCGAAGTTCAGCACCAGTAACATACTTCGACGCATCACTAAGTAAAAAGGTCACAGCTCCCATCAAATCCTCCGGCACCCCCATCTTCCCAACAGGAATCAACGAAATCCACTTCTCCTTAAGTTGGGGATTCTCATCAAGAATCTTCCGAGTCCTAAACCAAATATAGTAAGAATTAGCACTCATTCAGCTTTAAAAACTTCAAGTTCAGAACAACATCCAAGGTTAAAGTAGGTGAACATACAAAGCCGTCAACATGTACCCCGGACTAATACAATTAACCCGTATCCCATACCCAGCCCACTCAACAGCCAAAGAAGCAGCCAAATGCCTCACAGCAGCCTTCGAAGCATTATACGGCGCCTGAGGCTGCGGCACATTAACAATAGCACCGGACATAGAGCCAATCATCACAATACTCCCTGGTGCCTTCCGCTCCATGAGATGCTTAGCAACACCGGTAGCGAAAAGGTATGTGCCGTCTACATTGACGCCCCAGAGTTTCTTCATGCGATCGAATGGGTAACTTATTGCGTCGAAGTTCTCGGTGAATCCGGCTGATGTGACGAGGTTGTCGATTCGGGTGTGTTTTGTGAGGATTTCGGAGAGAGCGGTGTTTACCGAGGAGGGGTCTGAGACGTCGGCGTAGTGGGCTGTTATGTTTGGCATTCTAATTTGTTAGTCTATCGTACTAAGAGGAATTAAAATCGAGAAAGTATAAAGGAAAGGAGTGAAATACTGTTCAATCCCCGGATTCTCTTTGCAAAACTGCTCAATTAACTTCTCTGCTTGTTCCTTCGCTTCGGTCCCTGTATCAGTATAGTGTCAGCATTGGTATATATCCACATCCACATGTGCATGTCCACACTGAGATAAAACATACTATTCAAATCAACAATGGCCAAATCAGACCCCGACGCAACAAGTCCCTGCGCCATAACAAGGCCTAACCCCCTCGCCCCACCAGTAACAAGACTAACTTTATTCTCGAGCGAAAACGAAGCCAGTGTGCGCTTGAAATGCATTCCTCCGCGTCCCTGTACGACTGGCTGTGCGGGCATTTCGCTATCGCTTGGATATGAAATTTGGACATTTTCATCTGTGCGTGCGAAGCGGCCTTCGTTGGCTGAGGCTGAGGCGTCCTTGGGTGCCCTTGTGGTTGCTGCTAGGTGGGGATCATCATAGTTATCGTTGTTGTTGTTTTCGCGGCTGGTGAGGATTGAAGTGGAGGATAGGTTTCGTGAAAGATGTGTGGATTGGAGGGGAGTTCTGAGATATTGTGATTGTAGGCGGGCGAGGGCCCTCAATGAAGAAAGAGGGACCGTGATGTTCATTGTGGATTTGATGTGTAGAGCTTGGTGAGAGTGATACTTTGAGGTGTGAGGTGTGAGGTGTGAGATGCGGGGTTGCGGGGAATAGATGTATAAGCATATAAGCATCTGGATATCGACCCTTCAGAGGTAATTGAGTTCAGGTGATCTACCTAAAAGCTTCCGATAGCTTATAATCCCTGCAAACCTCAAAGGCTCTTGTGGGATTGCATGTCGACATGCAACAAATACGATATCGAGTATCAATAAATTGCTATTTTGGTTTCTATACTTAAGACTATATTAAAATCAGCCTCATTTCCCCAAATAGTGTATTTAAATCCGAAGATAAGCAAGAAGTTTTGAAGCTGTGAAGGGACATGGCTTTTTTCCTCCTTTCTCTTTTTCTCTTTTTACACCTACTAAGCATCCATGCATGTGGAGAGTCGGTTGAAAGCAGAGATCTTGATTTTCTGAATGATTGCAGCAAGCTCAGTATTGGATCTCTCTTTGAAAATCTTCCTTCAAGTCCAGATGAACTACTTTGTCCCCATCCATTTCATATTCAACCCCGAGCATAACGTTGAGAATGATAACTTGTACCCGATCCCTGCCGGGCGAAGCCAAATCCATCCAGGCCAGTTCTTAGCTTGCAGGACCACAAAAGATCTTGTTCCTCGTCAGTTAGCGCATCAAATTTGGCGAAACACTCTCGTCGCAATGAGATACTTTGGCATTGGAGGTCAAGAATCTTCTCTTCGATCTCGCGTCAAAGGCAGGCTGGCACAATGGGTATATTGGGTAAATTGCTCAATCTTTCCCCCTCGGCGCGTAGTTCGGTATGGACGGGTAAAGTCGCGTGTAGTGACCAGATGTGTCAAAAAGAATATTCAGCTCCTCGTGAACGAGAGGTGACGACCAGCGCTCCTAGCCAATAAGGCACTGAGATACCTTAGAACGTACGCTAAAGCGTAGATTTGCAAGGAAATGTACATTTATACAGCCGTGAACAGCACTGCTATGGCCTGAGGGAGTGCGGGGATAGCTACTATATCGCGGTGAGCTGCCGAGATCTCCTCCCACGAACCTGACTCTGGGGTATCCAGAGTAGTGCCATCGGCCTTGACGGCTACAAACCAGGGAAGGATTGCCTGGCGGATAGCTGTGGCTGGGCCAATCGAGCCATGTGGGATCATAGGTAGTGACAGACGTAAGTCGCCTGCAGCACAGACTTCCTTCTCCCAGTCAGTATTATACTTGCGTACGTAGTCCGCAGCCCACATCCATGGCTGAATCCCCTGGACAAACCCATCAGTATGGTTGCGATTGTCGGTATTAGTTGCATCCTGGGCAAGGTCCTCCCACCATGATCTTAGCTTGCTCAGATCATGCATACCTGGCAAGATTTCAGTACAATACTCTAGGTTGTCATCCTTAAAGGATACAGAGCCTTGAAGAATGTTTGCACCACGACCAGTTTGCAGCAGATCCCAAATTTTGACATCAATATGTCGAAAAAATGTCTTCTCATCAGGCATAGTCTGTTTTGTATAGTATGGAAACGACCGTGGAGGTGATGCGGTGGCGAGGGAGGGAGAGAAAGGAACTTGAAAGGATACGGCAAACAACATATAAATAGTAGTAGTAGGTCCATGGGTGCCTACAGATTTGAAAGGGTCAAGTGCGCCATACCCTATGTTTTCCAGCGACAGGTTACGGGCTTTGTGGTTGGTGTTGCTGCCAAAATATTTTGAAAAATAAAATTAAGTATCAATACAGTGAATCTTTTGATACTACGAGCAAAAGAACTCGAATCTGATAGTTCAAACGTTAGCGTTTCACGTTCATCAACCTCGGAATAATCTTGGAAATATACTACCTAACTTGAAGTGGAAAAGTTTCTGACGCAAGCTGCAATCGAACCTTAGTATTACTACTACTAGGTATGATGTTATGACGGGGTAATCCGGCCGGCCACTCTGGTAAAAACGCTTGGTGCCTTCAAATGCTCCATGGCTATTTTCAATGTAGAAGGCGGCAGAAGTGTATCCTGGACCCCTTACCAATATATAGTATGCATGTGTAGTATATATAATAAAATCATGATATAGTCAATCAGAAACAGAGGGAAACTAAATACTATAGTTGAACACTATTAGAAACTTGAAACTTAGAAAGCAGCCAATCAATCAATGTAAGCAACTAAATTGTATCAAGTAGAAATGTAGATTCTAAACCACAAAATGACAAACAAGTAGAAAGATGATTAGAAAGACGATTGGAAAGATAAGTAGAGAAATAGATAATTCACATTATACTAGTAATTTCATATAAAAATAAAGAACGGTCATGATTTAAAGATGATATATCTCAAGATAGTAGGATTAAAGCTTACCCACCTGGGCATGGAGCTTGGCGGTACCACAGGACCAGCCATGAGACCTGGAGCCTTCCGACGTTTGAATGTTGTAGAAATTGATAGCATTTAAGTAGACCGCGGGGGCAAAGGCCTAACCTTGAGCATTGAAGTATGTAGAAGTTATTGCATCACAGATATCATGATTTTCTGCCTGCCGAAAACAGGCAAAATGGGGGTTTTCCCGATGACTGCTATTGGCCGCCATAGCTGGCCAGATTACCCCGTCGTAGATGTCCTGATTTCAATAAGACGACAAAGAATTGAAACTAGCAATTTGCAGATATGGTATTTCAAATATTTCCCTCCTTATTCACTACCTACTCTTCGGCAAATTCGACTAGAGGAGTCCCGCTCTTGCATTGATCCTAAAGGAGAACATTGTTAGCAAAAAAATCGCCCCGAGGACTGTGAAGAGTCTATTCCTAGACTTAGCCAAAAAGTAAAGAATCTGGTGACTTACTCCTTCTTTATGAACTATGCGAGCAATCTTTCCTTGTTGTGGACTACGAATAACCGTTTCCATCTTCATACTTTCAATAACAACCAAAGGCTGGTCCTTCTCAACCAAATCACCAGCCTGAACATCTACCCGCAGGATCTTGCAGGGCATCGGCGCAAGCACACTGTTGGCCACATCTTTCATTCCTAGGGCCTTTTCCATCCATTTGGCCCGAGGCACGGCTAGGCGGTATTGCACACCGCGCTGGAATGCAATGACGGTGTCCTCGTCTTGAACAACGGTTGTGTCTAGTCGGGTGTGTGGGAAGAAAGATGTCACGATATGCGAAACGGGGTCCATCCGGCTCTCCACTTGCTCGAAGACTCTTTCTCCTATTTCAACATTGAAGGTCTGATCTGCTATTTGTTGAACACGGACATGTAGAGTTTGGCCATCGCCGTTAGGTCCCGTCGATTCAATAAATGATAGTTGTCGCTGCATGTAACTTGAAGCGAATCCAATTGCGGACCCGGAAACCCCGCTAGATGGACGAGCAGCCGAGTGTGAGTCACGGTGTAGACAGGCAAGAGCAACCTGGGCCAGAACTTCGTCTTCGATAGGCTTTGGCGCAAATAACTCTTCGCGGTGCTTTTCAATATAACCTGTCTCGACTTCACCATCAATAAAGTCAGGACTGCGGCAGAGAGCCTTTAGGAACTCAATATTTGTCACGGGGCCAGCGACTTCGTACTGTTCCAGCGCCGCGCCGAGTTTGCGAATAGCTTCCTCGCGAGTTTTTCCGCGAACAATCAGCTTTGAAATCATTGGGTCGTAATGCGCGGAAACTTCGTCGCCTTCGACAAACCCAGCATCAATACGAACATCCTCCGTTGTAGCGGGTGTTCGCACATGAATCAAGCGTCCGGAATCGGGAATAAATCCCTGATTCGGGTTCTCGGCATAGATACGCGCCTCAATTCCATGTCCACTGCGAGCGATATTTTCCTCCACTTGCTCCTGTGTCAGCGGGAGAGGAGATCCCTCTGCAACCAAAATCTGCCAGTGAACCAAATCCTGACCTGTAACCATCTCAGTCACAGGATGCTCAACCTGCAGCCGAGTGTTCATCTCCATAAAGTAGAATTCGCCACTATCATTGTCAAAAATGAACTCCACAGTTCCCGCACCTTCATATCCGACGGCTAGAGCAGCGGATCTGGCTTTCGCCCAGAGGTCTTTCCGCGTGGTATCTGGTAGATGCGGTGCCGGTGACTCCTCAAGGATCTTCTGGTGTCTTCGCTGAATACTGCAATCTCGTTCTCCTAGTGCCACACAGTTTCCGTATTTATCTGCGAATACCTGGACTTCGATATGGCGGGGCGTTGTGATGTATTTCTCGATTAAGACATTATCGTCGCCGAACGAGTTCATTGCTTCTGATTTGGCTGACTCTAGTTGAGCCTGGAATTCCGCCTTTGAGCTGGCAATGCGCATTCCCTTGCCGCCACCTCCTTTGATGGCTTTGATTAGGACGGGGTATTTGATCTTATCGGCTTCGGTTTCGAGGAATTGAGGATCTTGATTATGTCCGTGGTAGCCGGGAACGCAGGGGACACCTGCTGCAAGCATGATTTCTTTGGAGCGACTAAATGAAATGGGTTAGCTAGCGCGCTAATTAAATGCAAAGTCGTGAGTGCGATCTACCTCTTGTCACCCATATCCTCGATTGCCTTCCATGGCGGACCAATAAACACAATTCCAGCTTCCGTGCATTTTCGGGCGAAGGCGGAATTCTCACTCAACTGAGACAAGGTTAGTTTTCGTGATACATGAATATGAAATGATCACAAAGCAGCTCTCTTGAGCTGAAATCAACTTACAAAGCCATATCCAGGATGTATCCCTCGGCAACCCTCTTTCTTCGCAATCTCAATAATCCGATCTCCATCCAAATAGGCCGACACAGAGCCGAGATTAAACGCAAAAGGCGAACTTAGCGCATGTTGCGACCGACTATCCGGATCCGTGTAAAGAGTTGTAACGCGAATTCCATGTTCCGCAGCAGTCTGTCCAACACGCCTGGCATAGAATTAGCTTTGGAACCAACGTGTAACTTGTCGGAGGAAATACGAAAGATCAAATAAGACTCACAATGCAATTTCTCCTCGATTCGCAATCAAAATTGAATCTAATGTCTTTTGTTTTGTGCTATTTGTGCCTGATACCGAGGACACTGTTCTGACCGTCCTGTGGGCCGCGGTCGGGGCTAGGCGGGGTGTGATGCGGAGAAGGGATGAAATGGTCATGTTTGGTGGTTTGTGCAGCGGATGAGATCGCTGCTAGACAGTGTTGCCCTAAATTATTGAATCTCAGTGCATAGTCGTGATTGAATCTGGAGGGAAAATGTTGAATGAATTAAAGGAAGGCGGACTTGTGCTTCTGTGATGCTCCGTCTGAGCTCCTGGTTGAGCCGACGCAAAGCGAGATTGCGGGGAAAGCCGAGGCTTATGTAAGGCATATTCAGGCCTAGTGGCTTATACCCAGGCAGAAAATAGGCATCAATGATACCGAATGCAGATAGATGAGAATGGTCGCTATATTCGATTGTGTAAGAGGTGCTGACAAGACCCCTAAGTCAATATCGGTATTGGTATCGGCCAACTGTGTGCAGAATTCTGAATCTGCGAATATCCATCTCACATAGGTGGAGTTTCGGGAATGGGATCGACAAACGGCATCAATTTAAAGTGATGCGCGCGCCATCCATCTTACTGACGTGTAAATCTTATCTCCGCTAAATAAAAAAAGATAATGCATTGCATAATTCAAGTTGCAGCATAAAAATTTAACAGATTAAGCATTTGACTCGGATATATGAAGCATGAATTCCACCAAACTCCACTTGAAAGGGATCCGAGTCCCTGAAGAAGAATCCGCTTTATTCTCAAACGGGCTCCCGTTACGCTGAGCAGTTCACGGAGATAGGATCTCTTCACCGGAGCTTCCGGGCATTCCGAATTTGTTTTCTATAAATGACGGAAAATATCACGACAATGAAGTGAATATCATAAACACGTTTGGATAGACTTGCCGAACGAACAAAACCTAGCCGCACCTACATCTACCATGGAAAAGATCGACACGCACTGCCATATTGTCCCGGAGGGTGGAGAAAATGGTGTGAGCAATTAGGAATATACTGATCCATATTTGTAGGCTTAGTCACCGGAAAGTCATATCGAGCTCATAGACAAGCTAGGGGTTAAACGATCCATTCTCAGCATCACTTCCCCAGGCACACATCTGAAGATCAACGATTTCGAGTTGACAAGGCAAGTTACACGCGAGACCAATGCCGAGATTGCTGAAATATGCAGCAGGTTTCCAGACCGGTTTGGTTGGTTTGCTTCGCTTCCATTGCCAGACGTGGAGGGCTCCCTGGAAGAAATTGATGCTGCTTTAAAACTTGGGGCTTCTGGGTTCGCTGTCATGACCAATGCCCAGGGTAACTATGGGAGATTCGAAATTTGATCCTGTGTTTCAAAAGCTCAACGATCACAATGCACTTGTCTTCATGCATCCGACTCAATGCTGTTCTTTGGATAACCCCGACGCAGACAAACCGTTGGCACAATTTCCAACGCCAATGATGGAACACTTTTTGGTTCAACTCGGGCTGTGCTGAATCTGCTAATTTCTGGTACTGCCACTAAATTTGAGAACCTTACCTTCATTGTATCTCACTGTGGTGTGACCCTGCCACCGCTCGTGGAACGGTTTGCCCGTTTCTCGACCATGTTGCTCCGATCTGGCGAGGGGCTCACCAGCGAGGGTATTAAAGAGTCTTTCGAACTCGCTTTTATTTTGATCTTGCGGGCATGCCATTTCCAGATCTGATTCATGGTTACCTGAGAATTGGTGATCCAGAAAGGTTGCTTTATGGCAGTGATTAGCCTTATACCCCTGGGTCAGTGGTGGAAAGTCTGGAAGTTCATTTGAAGGAAATTTGTGATGAGGCTCAAATCAAACGGATATTTTCCGAAAATGCAGTGGAATTAAAGCTACAAAGTCGCGATGTCGGAACAAATCTTACATATACAAGTATGAAGATGATCTGGCGTACTTGTCCGTCAATGCTGTTTATTCACAGGTTCTGAATCCACTAGTTATGAGGAGTAAGGCTTAGCATAGGAAGTGGCTCAAGTGGCGCTTTCTACCATCATTATTAAATACAGATTTGGGTCGTAGGATAATGGTCACCTAGAATGTCATGCATGTGAAGATACTCACATCGAATTTCTCGGACTTCCTTTCCTGCAAAAGGATTTTGTGGGGGCAGGCTAGCGGAATGCAACGATTAGTATACCACTTATGACCCAAAAGACCACGACACGGAATTTTGGCTTACTAGTAAGTAACGATGAAGCTTTCTACTGCAAGAGGAGGCCATGAAGCATGCAATTTCCAGAAACACTAAGATCGAAAGCCATGAAGACACGAGGTCAAAGCTATCCAAACTAATGTCAGGTGTTCTCAAATTGGGTGATATCCCTAAAGGTAGGGTAGCTTCAAATCAATCTCCCCTCTTTCCTACCCTCCTTCTGCTTCCTCCTTGAGGGGTTCCCAAATCACACGGGTGGGTCAACAGACACTAAGCAGATTATGCAGAAAGGGCGTCAAGCCCACAAAGGACATTGGATCATAGGAAGTGGCCGACTAGCATCTATTGAATGTCACTGTACGCACTATGAATTATGCGGAAATGAAACGAAGGAACCGAAAAGACAGAAGATCATCTCCCTCAAATGGGCTTATCTCCTGGCACAGTTCCTCCAGTTTACCACCATAATGTGCCATTCGCATGGACTTCCGCGGTACAGTATCATCCCATTAATTCCGGTTGGCTCAAGTACTACCCTCCCCTGGCATCGTTCACGCTCCTGATACAATTCAAACTCCTAGCGCATGCTACCTCGAGCGGAGATCTAGATGTTCAGGACAATGCTCAAGCCTTCCAATGCTTCAAACTATTGTCCGAGTTGGAGCATAAATAGAGCTCAATTCCTCATGTAAAACTTCTTTTTTGTTCATCGACATCGCCAACCGACGACAACACTCCTTCGACAACCTTCCCTTCTGTTCTTGACGAACAATACATTCCTTATTCAATTTAAAGATCTGTGATCTTTCAATCCTATCCTTACTATTCTATCTTCGGAAAAACTCGCTGTTTCTACAACATGCATTTCACTGCTCTTTTGACTTGTGTGGGTCTGCTTTCCACCGTTGTGTCTGCAGTTCCCCATAGACTCCGCAGACGTGCCACCACTGGCCAGAATGTTGTCTACTGGGGTCAGAATGGCGGCGGCACCATTGAGAACAATGATCTGTCCACCTATTGTAGCTCAACTGCTGGTATTGATATAGTTGTTCTTTCCTTCCTTTACGAGTATGGCAACGGAAACGAAATTGCATCCGGCATCATTGGCCAGTCTTGCAGTATCTCGACTAGCGGCGAGGGTTCGCAATGTGACGATCTTGCTGCTGCCATCACAACTTGCCAGAACAATGGTGTCAAGGTTATTCTTTCCCTTGGTGGGGCCGTTGGCGCATACTCCCTGTCCTCGCAGGAAGAGGCTGAAACGATCGGCCAAAACCTGTGGGATGCATATGGAAATGTCGGCAGTGGCACTGTTCCTCGACCCTTCGGTACCTCTTTCGTCAACGGCTGGGACTTCGATATTGAGGCGTCAAGTGGAAACCAGTACTACCAATACATGATCAGCACGCTCCGATCAAACTTTGCTTCTGACAGCGCCAACACCTATTACATTACAGGTGCTCCACAGTGCCCCATCCCGGAGCCTAATATGCAGCAGATCATCACCACTTCTCAATTTGATTATCTCTGGGTCCAGTTCTACAATAACCCTGGATGCTCTACCAACGGTGCTATCAACTACGATGACTGGGTCTCAAATGTCGCCGGAACCCCATCTGCTGATGCTAAGATCTTTATTGGTGTGCCTGCTGCCCCTGACGGCGCCACCGGCACAGCTAGCGGCGCGCAATACTACCTGGAGCCAACTGCACTTGCTACTTTGGTCGGAAAATACAGCTCGAACCCCGCCTTTGGTGGTATCATGATGTGGTCCGCCGGTTTCTCCGATTCGAACGTTAATAACGGATGCACTTATGCCCAGGAGGCTAAGAGCATTCTTACCACTGGCTCCGCCTGCTAATTTCCACAACCTGGAAACCATGGAATCAGTCTTTTCAACACTCTTTTATCTCGACCCCTGGTCTAGGGTCGCATTTTGGGATAGTTCTTTGGGGTTCTTCGCCCCACTCCATTCACTAGTTTCGTCACATTGTTGGTTGTTCAAGATTAGGGACGCTCGTTTTAGTCTCATGCATGAACTTTGATTGGCTCGTTTAAGTATATACGAGAACGATATTAACGTGAAATTTGCAATTCTATGCTTTTGACATATCTATTCTTCTCCACTATAAGTAAGAAATAAAGTGTTTCTCAAGTAATCTGCGTCGAGCAATAATATTTCCCCCGCTGTGTTAGCTCCGCGTGGTTCGAGAATACCGAAGGCCCCACATAGGTGATGCAAATCGTAGAATAATATCCCTTGGCATAACCCATTCATTGATCTTCAACAGAATGATTAGATGGAACGGGCTGAATGCAAAGATTTACAGGGCGAGGGCACCGGATCTTGATTGCTAAAGACACGGACCAATAGAGCCTGCCCAGGAGATATGCAAGTCACTGCCAGTATACAACGTAGCGCTCCTTCAGGAATGAATTTGGTTATGGATAGAATACCCGACTTTTACGACATGACGCGGGAGTGAATCCTACTGGAGGATCCGGGGCTAGGCGATTCAAACAAGATACGATCTAAGTCTTTATGCTCCGTGATTCGTTGGCCCTAGTCAGCCCAGGTAATCACCTGTGACCAGATTATATGGTCCTTCACAGTCTAGATCATGCTTTTCACTTGGTACCTGGCCTAGCGTATAGATGTCATTAATTGAGTAGCGAGTTCGGTCCTCCAGTTCGTAGATGGGTTAATATCAAGCCAAGTAGCGACTTGGCAAACCCCTGCCTCGTCACGAGTAGCTGTTGGTACATACAGCTTTACAAACATATTATCTTTTTCTATAATACCCATTCACGTTTCCAAAAACATGTCGCAGCTCACCGTAAGTCTGGACTCCAAATTAAACTTTATCACAAGGAAGAGATTAGAGGGTCAAAGTGCTACCTGGACATACTTCTTTTAGATAATGGTCAAAATGTCACGCTTCAGATTGAATAAGAGTTCCTTTACATGCTCGGAGCATGTCAGGGGCAGATAATGTGTATCATGTTGATTGCGGTTTGTAGGGTTGCAGTTGCCTCGAGAGTGCGGGGTCCTCTATCACCAGTCGGGACTAGCTGGGGTCGGTGCTTCGGCACTAATTCTCCTAAGGTGCGCCCCTGCATGCACCATCGCCTACAGGATTGGGCACAGCGGGACCAATAGGGCCAGCGATCCCTCTTTTAATTAAATTCTCAGCCGTCATTATTCAGGTTTCTGATTTCCCGAGACATTTGAATCTTGGTACATCATTAAACTTAAGGTTAGAACAATATATCGACGACCATTCTTCTGGAAGTCTCAGATCATCTAAATTAAAAGGTAATTTGAAGTTTACACCCGGGTGATGTATATCTTCTTGGACTTGCTTATTTTTGTCTAGGTTGAGGCGATAGTATTACTTTTGAGGATTGAAAACTGGGGCCGAAGAAGGAATCCCATGGTTCCATTATTTTTAATATACAAGATAAAGAAAGTGTGCTTACTGTACGTTTTATGGTCTCGCGTGACCTAAGCCTCGTCCCAACATTGATTTACTTGATTGCTACCTACTGATATTTCGTTCGAAACAACGTCTTCATTGTATTCAAACATGTAAGATTCTCACATCTTACCCTGTTGGACCCTTGAGGTCGCGAAGGATTTCAACACCCGCGCCTGATTGAGCCCTGCGTGAATTCTCTAACTAAAATCTACTAAAATGTGTAAACATATACTAGTACCTTCAAGTTCGCCCGAAACACCCAGAACTGGAATACCGGATTGGCAGTGCTAATGGATAGTCACGACTCACATCGAAGACCAACCTATGTGAATCAAGTTTTATTTGACAACTTGTCGTTTATAGAGGCCAGCTTAACAGTTCCTGCTGAGAGTCGTGGACATTGCAAAAAAACAAAAAATTGAGCCGGAATTCTATCTTCAAAAACGACAAAGAAGCTGTAAGGAGGCTTGTGTGAATCGCTTCCACGCTCAATGCATGGGTTATGATCAGTACGGCCAGACACATGTCAATTCTCCGGGTCTTTATTGTAATCATCCAGTCCCGATCCTATTCAAGTTGATTCCTGGAATTAAGTTGCTTGAACTCATGATATTCCATATAAACTTGGTCCGGATTCCTCGAGCTCTCTTATTTATCTTGAAACATAAACGCGAGTTCTTCCGTCATTTGGCTCCCCCAGTCAAATCTAGCCCTTTCATTCTATCGCAAAGTACGGGCTCTACTACGTCTTTCGATCGGGGCATCCATATATCGCGTCGTCTCATTGAATTGGGTAAGATGAGCATGCAGGCTACTGTGAAATTAGCAATGGAGCCCAACCCATGGGTGGCATGTCGCCAACGCGTCTTCCAATTTCTGTGCACTCTATTACTCGCAATTGATACTCGGGATTCTTTATCCCATGTCGGTTCTATTATTCGATCAATGGAAAATTGCCCAAATTTTCGAAACTATTACTATGCAAAAAATCGTTAAGTCTGTCGATAATCTGGCCAGTTTCTCCGAAAACAAGAAAGCCAGAGGGCCGGATACTTTCAAAAGGGGATTACAGAACTCCGGCTGCATTGACTCCGAGCCTAATACTTTATCTCCTGTGGAGATCAGCCCGGATTTTGACTTCGGTTGGGACTAGGGTACACATGGCATCTGAGCGATGATTTTCTACTACGGCTTAATTTCTAAGCGTGCGACAATCCATTAAGCATATTATGATACAGTCAGTCTTCCATACAAATGACGCGCTACTTCATTCAAAAATTGAAAATTCATCAGAGAATTGATGTTCGAAGAACAGAAAACATTTATTACCGGGTAGTAGCAACTTCTCTGGGTCCTCGAGGGAAGATGAGCAAGACTGCTCCCCTCAGAATTTAGGTCCCTCATTAAGTATTCCCACACGTCTAATCCTGAAACAAATCGGAGACTTTCTCAACCACCTGCCGAACTGCACACCGGCGCCGATACCGCGGCGAAAATCAAGCTTCGGAACTTGTTTTAGCGTTCAAGCCTTTACGACGGCACAAGATCCCGCTGATCGGCATATTTCTTGCCCTGGCGGATTTCATCGCAGATCCTTCGCCATTTATGCCCGTTGATTGCGCAGACAAGTGATCAAAAGCCGAAATAGTGGATCCCATAATTTCCCGTCGGCTAGTCATAGAGGAGCATTCGATCAGATAATCGAATGCAAGACAAGAGTTCAATCGCACCACGCCACTTTGTGGAGCTGCTTCACGATGGATTCAAGAAGATCAACAGAAAAAGAAGAGTAAAAAATGGCCCGCCGCCCGGCCGATGCAAGGGAGTTTTGTTTTGTTTCCTTTTCACCTTTCTCTTGCTGTGTTTGTTTATTGATCACTCATGGCTTCCACCATGAGGTTGCTGGTTGGCATTGCTGCTGCGTTTTTCTTTCAACTCTGCCAGGCTAAGATCGTCACGTATGATTTTAACTTAACCTGGGTTACTGCCAATCCCGACGGCCTTCATGAGCGCAAAGTCCTTGGTATCAATGGCCAATGGCCATTGCCCGTGATTGAAGTTGAGAAGGGTGACCAGCTGGTGGTCAATATGCATAATGGTCTTGAGGACAAAAAGTCCTCGATCCATTTCCACGGCATGTACCAGAATGGAACAAACAATATGGACGGACCTTCTATGGTTACTCAGTGTCCTGTTATGCCCGGATCTTCATACACGTACAACTTCACTGTAAACCAGGTCGGCACGTACTGGTATCACTGCCACACTGACTGGTGCTATCCTGATGGACAGCGCCAGGCACTTATTGTGCGGGACAAGGATGCTTATTTCGCCGATGAGATTGATGGGGACATCACACTGACTATGAGTGATTGGTATCATAATATGACCGAGAATCTTTCTCACTCCTTCCTTTCGCCTTCAAACCCCGATGGTGATGAGCCTGTGCCTAATGCATTCCTATTCAACGACACTCTGAGCACAAGCATCCCCGTTGAAACCAGCAAGACTTATATGCTACGTTTAGTCAATATCGGTACCTTTGTGAGCCAATATTTCTATATTGAGGGCCATACCTTCCGTATTGTGGAAATCGACGGTGTCTATACTGAGCCGACTGAGGCAGATATCCTGTACATTGCTGTTGCCCAGAGATATTCTATTCTGGTAACTACCAAGAGTACCGCGGACAAGAATTTCCCTATTGTCACTGTGGCTGATGCACAACTTCTCGACTCAATTCCGGACACATTGAGGTTGAATCAGACGAACTGGCTGGAATATGACGCGGATGCTGGTCACCCGCAAGCCGATCTCAAAATCACATCTTCGACCCAGCTCGATCCCTTCGATGATACCAAGCTCTACGCATATGATAAGATGGAGTTACTGCCAGAGCCCGACATTACCATTACCGTCAACGTAGCCATGCAAGAAGCGAGCAACGGGGAAGGCTACGCCTATTTCAACAACATCTCCTACGTCAAGCCAAAGGTGCCAACTCTATACTCAGTTCTCTCATCAGGAGATCTTGCAACGAACCCCGAGGTATACGGAACGGATACCCATCCCTACGTCCTAGGCCATAACGAAGTTGTCGAAATTATACTCAACAACAACGACACCGGCGCGCACCCCTTCCATCTACACGGCCATAACTTCCAGTTAGTCGACCGTTTCCCAGCTTACGGCAAACATTTCTTCGACTACGCCGACACTGACTACCGAGTCACCTACGACCCGTCAAACCACACGGCTTTCCCCAAGGTTCCTGCACGCAGAGACACGTTCATTGTGCCCCCACAAGGCTACTTTGTTATTCGCTTTGTGGCGGATAACCCAGGTGTGTGGTTCTTCCACTGCCATATTGACTGGCATTTGATGCAGGGGCTGGCTATGACCATGATTGAAGCACCTGAACAGATTCAGGAGAAGATTTCCATTCCGCAAGAACAATATGACGTGTGCGAAGCTGCTGGTATTGCTACCGAGGGCAATGCTGCTGGGAACACCAAGAATTATCTTGATCTAAGTGGGCAGAACGCGATGGTTCCTATTTAGTTGCCTATCTGGATATCCTTTTGGGGAAGTACAACTTCTACTGTGTAAATAAACCTATTCGATTTCTTTCTTATCCGTTTAGATCATAGAAGTGTCTCAATATTAAAACGAAGTACGATATAATTTGTCTCCTTGCGTAAAGATTTTCTGTTATTCATTCAATGCTTGTTCGAATGGAGAATGGGAACGTCAAACCACAGTCCTTATTTGAATAATATTGCAAGAAACCGATCAAATAGATCTCCTTATGTAAAAGCCCAGGAGCTTAGAGTTTGATTCGCCTGTATGACTCCCAATATTATCATTCGAACTATAGTTAGCGCTGACACTTTGCCAATAGCCACGAGTGGGGCTGAATAACCTAGTTCAATGTTCTATAATCCGTATTCTAACCCCGAACCTGGCATACTGCAAGGTTTCGTCTACTGCCTCTTCCTAAGGTCTAGAATCCCCTGAATACCAAAAATAGACCGATGCATGTCTATTTTCAGCAACGACATCTCCCAAATAAAGAAATGGCCACCCGATCTTCGTGTCCGGGCCGTTTCAAGGATCATTATAATTGTGGAGCGACATGCATAACCCCCACAGAGGAAGTACTGCACAACTTAGTGCCCAAAACAAAGCGTAGCTTCAGCAGGTCAAGAATAAGCGGCGCAATCTCTTCATCAGTGCTCTATAATGGTATTGTAATACTATACCATATGTCCCAGTCATATCAATACAAAGACAAATGTTTGCGATGTCACCAACTAACAGGTCTATAATCATACTGCATTGTTGACAGTAGTACAAGGCCCCAGATCCATTACGAGTACTTCCTCAACTCCGAGAACGAGACCATACTGATCATCAATCATTCCCAACACATATCAGATTCATGCAAGCTAGACATAATCATGCGCAGAACTGAACCAGCTGAAACACGGAGTATGTAATAACTTCAGGGCCAAGATGATGGGGTCCAGACGAAAAAATAAAATGTGGAGCCCTTCATGCGCAGAAAAAATGCCAAGGCTTATGTTAGCCAGGCACCAAGGCTGCTATTGTTAAAAGATCAGCCCCGATCTTCGTCACAGTCACATTCTCAGCTCCCCTTCGTGTCAACTGCATTAGTGTATATTGTATATTGCTTATAATTCCTTCGCTCCTTGGATTATTCTGAAGCCATTGCGACTCTTTCCGCATCTCTGTTCTCCTGTTATCCTATCCGTCCTATCCCTTCCAGTCACCATGTCCGACGACGACGAGTACTACGAGTGGGAAGATGAATATCTCTTCGAGGACCCTGTGCCGGATCTTGTTGTGAGTTGGAAATCCGATTTATTTACCCTTACAACTACTGTGACTACCAGGTTAGGAACTGGAAAGCAAAGCAGAAGAAGACGAGAAAAGAAAAGAAAAGAAAAGAAAAGCAAGAAATAGTCCGCTAAACATTTCTCCGACAGGATGAACTCGCCCAAACATCATATTACGAAGCCGCCCTTTTTGACGACCCGAACATTTACACAGAGGACTACTTCAGTGACTGGGAATACTACACGGATGATTACTATGACGACGACCCGACCGTGAAAGAAAGCAGCCTCCGCGCGAAAACAGAGCCAAGCCCACGCAAGAACAGAAACAAGACCAAAGTCCGACGTACCCTCCCACCGCAGCATCCGCCCCTACATCTGGACCTCGGCTCCTTCCAGGGCGTCGTCTGGAAAGCCTCTCTGGAAGACGATCCCACTGTTGCAGGAGCGGTACAGATCTACGAACCCGGCCAGTCGGATAAAGTCGCGCTGCTAGAAGACTGGAGGGAGATTTTCAAGTCCGCGCAGCCTGCGCTGGATAAGTCGCGTCTACGGAAGAGACATGCGCCTGTCTCCTTGTCGGGATCTGTATCGGGAATATCAGGCGTCCAGGATGGGGATGGGGATGAGGAGCTAGGTGATGATGAGGGGGAAGAAGAAGGATATGAAGAAGGAGAAGGGGATAGCTCAGATGCAATGTCTGATGTTTTGTCTTTGGATCAGACGAATGGAAGTGTTGACGCGGGGGATGTATCGAATACGACGCCGGAGTTGGGACAGTCGCCGAAGGACCCTGGGTTTGCGGTTGAGATACCTGTGAAACGGGGGAGAAAGCGCAAGGCTGAGACGCCTGTGAAGAAGAATACGAAGGCGAAGGCGAGTAAGCCCAGTGTTGAGGAGATGAGGAGTCACTCGAAACGGGTTGCGCGGAACATTAGTAAGAGTGATGATGGGGGTTCGACTGGTCCTGTGCGTCGATCTGCTAGACAGAAGAAGTAGGGTTGATGCGGTGAATGTTCAGTTTTGATTTGCTTTGTCTTTTTCTATATCTTTACCTTCCATATCGATTGAAAGTGGCACATCCTCATGATATGTAATGAAACGGTACGAATGAAGGAGCCTCCGAACTCTTTGGACCATTTGAATGCATCTTATCATCATCTTTACTCAGCATAATTTAGTATTTCCTATCTGATCATGTACTGTTTGTTACTTTGCACCGAAGTCTCTAAGCATACTCCTTATTGAACGCACGACCAATAACCATCCGTCTAATCTCGCTCGTCCCAGCTCCAATCTCATACAGCTTGGCATCTCGAAGTAATCGCCCGGCAGAGATCTCATTAATGTATCCATTCCCACCCATCAACTGGATAGCATCCAAGGTGCACTCCGTCGCGCGCTCAGCAGCATAAAGAATAGCACCAGCACAGTCCTGTGTCTTGATAACTAGTTGACCAGGCGCAGCAGCACCATTATCTACCTCCCGTGCCGTGGCATATGTGTATGCCCTTGAAGCAGCAAGTTTGGTGTGCATATCCGCAAGCTTACCCTGGATCAGTTGGTTGTGAGCAATGGGAATGCCGAATTGCTTCCGGGTATGTGTGTAAGGCAGGACAAGATCAAGAGCAGCTTGCATGATTCTAGATAAAGTTAGCATCCATCTGTATTTGTATCATTATCAACGATTATACTCGAGAATAGACACTTACCCAAGTGGTCCAGCACTCAGCACAAGTCTTTCCAAATCAAGACCTTCCATCAACACCTTGACGCCGCGGTTTATCTCCCCTAACAAATTCTCGCGGGGAACAAAGACATCCTCAAATACCAATTCACCGGTATTAGATCCACGCATTCCAAGCTTATCCAGCTTCTGAGCACAAGAAAAGCCCTTAAATGTGTTCTCAACTACAAAGGCCGAGATACCCTTAGATCCCTTCTCAGGCTCAGTCTTAGCATAAACGACGATGAAGTCCGCATCCGGACCCTAAAACATCATATAAGTCACAGTGCTCCTTTATAGTAAAAATGAGAGTAGAATGATGAAAACTCACATTTGTAATCCACATCTTTGTCCCATTCAACACCCACCCCCCATCTACCTCTTTAGCGGTGGTTTTCATACTCACAACATCAGAACCAGCAGAGTGCTCCGACATAGCGAGGGCACCGATCTTATCTCCGGATAATAAGCCAGGTAGGTACTTCTCTTTCTGCTGTTCATTGCCATTCAGAGAAAGTTGGTTCACACAGAGTTGGGAATGCGCGGCGTATGAGAGACCGATGCTTCCTAAAAGAAACGATGGTTAGTTTATGGATTCTAATCCGATCAAGACCAATAAAGTATCGGTGCAGATGGATATACCAGATGCGCGACTCAGCTCTTCCATCACGACACAATGTGCCTGGTACCCCATTCCCAATCCACCATATGCCTCGTCCGCGGTAATACCCAGCAAACTAAACAACAGATTAGCATATCCCTCATTCTAGCTGCCAAAAAGTACTAACCCCGCATCACCAAGTTTCTTCCACATCTCCTCCGGAAAATGATTCACTTTATCCGTTTTCTCCGCAACCTCGGCTGTAATCTCTCGCCCTAAAAGAGAATTAGTTAGCCACAACCCCTTCAAATATATTGAGTGAGTGAGTAAGGTAGATCCTACTTGTAAAATCCTGAACGCGCTCTCGTAGCTCAATAAGGTCATCGTCGGTGGGAGGCGTAAAGCCTGCTGGATGCTTTGTCGATATGCTGCGCGCGAAACCTGGGGAGAGTGCGGGGATGACATTGACATTGACGTTCCGCCTTAGGGAACGGGTTGATGTGCGAAGGAGGGCCGGGAGAATTATGGACGCCATTGTGAGGATTTTTGGAGGATACAATGGGTGATGTATATGTCTGGTTTTTGGAAGTGCATTGCCAGAGCAGATTATTTAAGATCCTGGTATTCAGGTTGTAGGTAGGGACGGCAGGCCTCGGCGCGGAGAGACCGCCTTGTGACGGTTAACTTGTGTCTATGCTTTCACCTCTTATATCTTGAATTTGGGTTTTATTTTTGACCTTATTTTATTTGAATGCTTAAGACAATGAACGTTTAAATACATTAATTTCTAATTGGTCTTTTGAACCTACTATTCTCTTTTTCATTTTATGTCGCCAGCGTCATTGTTGATGTATGTCGGGGCGGTGATGGTGACCTCGGGTAGAAGCGGCAAACGTCGCACCTCCGCACGATCTGGGGAACCTGGAGCTCCGCCTTCATTGTCTTCTTAACACCAAGGACATCTCGTCGCGATAAAAACTTCTATCCCCAATTTGACATGGGACTTGAACAATATCCATAAATAATACATACCGCCCATACCCATTACTGGTTACTGTCATCTGTAACCCAAACTCATCCCCGCAATGCGTGCCCCCTCCCCGCTCGTCCTGCGGAGTCTAGGCTCAAGGGCAGCTTCACGAGCCTGTCGCCCTGCACAGATCACCTTCTCCCAAAACCAAAACCAGATTACCAGGGTATCATCACGATATATTGCAAGCTACACACACCCTCATCATGCCTCGGCGCTTTCCGTCCTCCCAACAGCAGTCGATACATCATCACCTGAATACCGAGAAAACAGCCAACAGATGCAAGAAATCCTCGACAAGATGAACGAGCTACATGCAAACATCTCTAAAGGTGGTCCGCAAAAGTCACGTGATAAGCATATCGCACGAGGCAAAATGCTCCCTAGAGATCGTGTCTCTGCTCTTATTGATCCCGGTACCTCGTTTCTGGAACTCTCCCCTCTAGCCGGCCACGCCGTCTACGAAGGCGAAGATGTTCCAGCCGGTGGAATCATTACCGGAATCGGAACAGTCGAAGGTGTCCAGTGCATGATTGTTGCAAACGACAGCACAGTAAAGGGCGGCACATATTATCCCATCACCGTTAAAAAGCATCTACGCGCACAAGCCATCGCTCAAGAAAACAGACTACCATGCATTTACCTTGTTGATTCTGGCGGCGCAAATCTACCCCATCAAGCAGATGTATTTCCGGACCGTGATCATTTCGGTCGTATCTTCTTTAACCAGGCTCGGATGAGTTCCCTTGGAATTCCTCAGCTGTCCGTCGTTATGGGTCCCTGCACAGCGGGCGGTGCTTATGTTCCCGCCATGAGTGATGAGACGATCATTGTTGAGAATCAAGGAACTATTTTCCTCGCTGGACCACCTCTCGTTAAAGCTGCCACTGGCGAAATTGTCTCGGCAGAAGATTTAGGTGGTGGACAGCTTCACTCGAGTATTTCTGGCGTAACGGATTATTTAGCTGTTGATGATGCACATGCTCTTATCCTTGCGAGGAGATCGGTTGCTAATCTCAATTATCCTACAACTGAGAGTTCGCTGAAACTCGAGGGTGTGGTTAAAGAGCCACTTTATGATCCGGCAGAATTGAATGGTATTGTGGGGACTAATCTTCGACGACAGATTCCTGCCCATGAAGTCATTGCAAGAATTGTTGATGGGAGTGAGTTTGCTGAGTTTAAGAGGGATTATGGAGCTACGCTTGTTACGGGCTTTGCGCGTATACATGGTCATCGGGTTGGTATTGTTGCGAATAATGGAATTCTGTTTTCGGAGTCTTCGCTTAAGGGGGCTCATTTTATTGAGTTGTGTGCGCAACGGAAGATTCCGCTTGTTTTCTTGCAGAATATTTCTGGTTTCATGGTTGGTGCGGATGCTGAAAAGGGTGGTATTGCGAAGAATGGAGCGAAGCTTGTAACTGCGGTTGCTTGCGCTGATGTTCCTAAGTTTACTGTTGTGTTTGGATCCAGTGCCGGTGCTGGCAATTATGGCATGTGGTAAGTTCCCCCTTTCCCGGATTTGATATCACTGAAGTTCCTCGTCTTACAAATTTTCTGCTTAGTGGTCGCGCCTATTCCCTCGTCTGATGTTCATGTGGCCTAATTCGAAGATCGGTGTAATGGGATCCGAGCAACTCTCCTCCGTCATGGAAGCCGTCGGAAAGACAGCTGATCCAGCCTTAAAGGCTCGCATTGACCACGAGTCTGAAGCTATCTTTTCATCTGCTCGCTTATGGGATGACGGCGTGATCCCCCCAGCACAAACACGGAATATGTTGGGTCTGGGATTGGCAGCTGCATTGGGTGGAAAGGCCGAGCCAGACATACAAACCAGGTTTGGAGTGTTCCGAATGTAAGCCAAGATCAGGAGAAAGGAAATTATAGAAATGAAGATAAGACAATCAATCAATCAAGCAAATTACCCCTGTCATATTGAAGATTATGGAAGAAGTAAATTCAAATCATAAAAGTAGGTAGTAGAATGAGAAAGAAAAAAGCGAAACTGAACCAGTATTTTCACAATATCACAGCCTTTTTCCTCGCCAAATTTGACTTTTGAACAATCCAACCGTAATCCAAACCCTTGTTGTGTAAAGCGTGGAAAATAATAGAAAATCAAGCATATAAAATGCACCACATCAGAATTGAAGAACAGATGGTATAATATATGGGGAAAGTGCGGTGACGCGTCGTTCTATGAAGAGGCGCAGATGCGTAGGAGCGTTTAAAACATCATGTGGCACGTCAAAAAAAAAAGGGAAAGAGAAAAAAAGAAAAGAGCAAACGTGAGAGAAACAGAGACAGGAATCATTCGAAAAAGTAAGTGTAGAATGGGGGTTTATCCATCCACATTTAAAGGATGACACATGGGGATCGGCGACGTTGTGTTCTATTATCCTTCTTGCGATCGTTACGGCCTGAGCCTTCGCGCTTGCGCGAGTCGGAGCTTGAACCTGATCCCTGCAGGTCCTTGCGAATGATTTGACGACAAAGATCAATGAAGACTTCGTTAACGTTTGCGCGGCGGCGAGCGGAGGTTTCGTAATATGGCGCGTTGCCCCAATTTTGTGATAGACCGAATGCGCGGGCTCGGGGCACGGCGCGGTCGTCTTCGAGATCCGATTTGTTGCCGACGATCACGAGAGGTACTTTTTCGTCGTCTTTGATTCGTATGATTTGTTCGCGGAGTTCGGATAGCTCGTTCAATGATGACATGCTAGTAATGGAGAAGACGAGTAAAAATCCTTGGCCTTGTTTCATATAAAGTTCTCTGTAAGTGATGTGTTAGCTTGGATTGACGAGGGGGTGATGATGATCGAGGCGCATTTTACCTCATGGCAGCTGGGGGATGGTTAGCAATTGGATTAAATAGAATAGTAATTGGTGATATTGGATGCACTCACTGAATTGTTCTGTCCCCGCGGTGTCTAGACTGTACATTGAGTAGCCTGTCAGTTCTCATCACGATATCCAGAGTAAACTGTACCCGTATCCGCGTCGCAGCACCTACATTTCCAAAATGCATTGTCGTCCCTAGAAAATTATGTTCGTCAACAATGAACTGTATCCAGATTGGCATTGTAGACACTTACATCCACCTCTATTTGTTTGCGGTATGAATCCTCGATGGTAGGATCGTAGCTTTCAATCCATACGTTTTGGACAAATTGAGCTGTTAATCGATCAGCCATTGTTGCCTCGGTGCTTCCACACGCCGTGGTATAGCAGATAAATGTTTTGTATCAGGGTGATATGTACCAGTCAAACAACTCTTCCCAACACCTCCAGCGCCCAAAACAACAATGTGGTATTCGCGTCTATTCGTCCAGCATCACAATTAGAGATCGACATCGACAGACAAAGGCGCAACGCAGAACCAACAAAGCAACAAAAACTTACTGGGGCCGCATTGTGACCAAAAACCAAAAAGTAACCAAGATAAACCAGTTCTTTGTTGAGGCAAGGGGAGATCTGGGTCGAGGCCAATGGCAAGAAGCCTAGATCGTAACAGCAGTTTTAATACTGGTCTCGTGCCGCGTTGTTGGTGCCACGCCAGGAATGACTTGTGGATCCGATTCGTCTCGTTGAGATATGAAGCCAAGTGTTTGTGTTTGTATCTGCCCTGCTTAACCGTATGCGGCCGGCGTGGTACCCCTCAATGGTAGGACGGATCGTGTCTAGTTCTCTTGGGGGCGGATGGTATGAGCGAGGAGAGAGGCGGTTACATCGACGGTCCGATATATGCAATGGGGTCGTTTGGACGCACGGACCGATCGATTCGATTCGACGTGGTTTCCACCCCGAAACAGGACAATGTGGTTTGGGTGGAGGGTTGGGTTGAGGCTGAGTGGTTCAAAAAATGGGGGGGATTGAAGTTGCTAGGGAAAGTGGGTGCATGTGTTGTGTGCGGGCCAGAACACGGAGTTTAGGGGCGGACGATTATCTACATGTACCTGGGTCTTGACACGGAAAGGAGAATAAAAATAAAAAATATGGGTCAATTGGCAAGCTAGATGGATGTGGAAATAGAATGTACCGAGTAAATGGGAATTGGGCAGAGAAAAGTAAAATAAAATACAAAAAAAAAAAAACCATCAATTTGACAGGACAGTTCTTGAGTCCATTCCCCTCTCTGTGTCTCTGTAGTGCTGTTCCCCTTGATCACATCATCCTTTTCTTTGCCTGGCGGTGAATCGAAGACACTCCACGTAATGCTTACCCCGTGAAGTAATTGCGTTTCCTCATGGTTGAACATGAAAGAGCTTAAGTTGAAGCTAATGCAGAATGCAATCATTTGAAATTTCTTCCATGAATTGCCTGATTTGGGCTCTTACTGTAAGATCTATAATTATGAAACCTGGATCTCACGCCCCACTATCATCATTCTGTAGATCGACACTCCAGTCACGCAGTCAATCGAACACCTCTTTAATGATATTTCAAAGTATTGTCATAGCAGAATAATAATGTTCTTTGTAACTTCTGAATCTGTAGACACGCATAGTTTAATATGGTATCACGTGATACTCTGAGGTCCATCTCCGCGGGTGTCAACATGTCAATTCTAGGCCTTCAATACAATCTATTCCGTCCAATCAATTCCATGGCTAGTGTACGATATGAACTTTGAAAGTTTGTAGATAACACATTTACCACGCGATATCACTCTACCAATCCTCTTGTAGATTAGGTACCATGTGTTGTGCCAGAAGCTTCAACCTCTGCTTAATAATTTATTATAAGTGGATGAGTAATGTAATGAATAGAATAGGTGCAGATGCAGCAAGTGCAGCTGCGCATGTAAAGTACCGAGTCTGCCAGTACTAGATGTCCAGGGTTGACGGAGCTGGGTTGTCCGGAGCTTGTTTCACATTTGTACGGAACGTTTAATCTTCGTCGCATACTTGATTAGGAAACGCAAAATAAAATTCTCAAATTAAACTAGCAGGGATTCCAAGAAGTTCTGTGGGCTTGAAATAAACCACTTGCAATACCCACAAATAGCCCCCCATTGTGCGGAATCCTTCTCCTCTGTAACATCCAACTCTGGTCGATTACCTGGTTCGCCCCAAATATCGCGTGAGATAACTCTATACGTCATATGAAGTATCCAAGAATATGAACATTGGTCGTTCTATACAGGAAAGAAGCCTATAGACACTTGGAAGTGTAATAAAATATAATTTCAAATATTCTAATCAATTCATACTAGCGCTGTCTCGTACTAAGGTCTGCATTGTGTGTTTTGGCGAAATACCTTAGTAACGGATAAATACATTGTATGCTGAAGCCCTGAGGCCTGAGGCCTGAGCCTTCCAGGTCACTATCCGGAGATTTGCCCATGTCTACTGTATCTCATGCATAACAATTTTATTATTATATGCGAGCCACTTTCCACTGCATACATAATGTACACCCTCGATCCCTCCACTTGATTCCATCATTCACATGGTTTCCCATCTGATGGCTGGCCGAATACGTCATGTCATCACGTGACTCGCACGGGCACCGCAGCTGGAAGCGCCAGCTTGACCCAGATGCATTCTCACTCATCCCTCGCTCCCATTGCTATCTTACCTTTTTTCAGAACCGAATTTCTGATTTTTAAAGCCCATCCGATAAAATGGCTTCTATCCAAGACCGTGCTCAGCACTTTGTTGCCCAGCTCGACAAGGAGGTGCGTTTCTACCCCATTGTGTGTTTCGTTGGTGCCTCGCCAGCTCTAGCCCTCGGCCCCATTTTTGGTTACGGTTACGGCATTTCTGTGCCCTCGCCATAGTGCGGCGAGCCGGATGTCAACAGGCCATCCATCTTATCCTTGATTGATCTCTATTATGCATCTGTTTCTTGTTTATAGCTGGATTCTCTATTCTTGTCGCTAACTTGTCGCCGATAGCTTACCAAGTACCCTGTCCTGAACAACCTTGAGCGTCAGACCTCTGTCCCCAAGGTTTACGTTATCCTGGGTCTTGTCGGCGTCTACTTCTTCCTTGTCTTCTTCAACATCGCTGGCGAGTTCCTTGTCAACCTTGCCGGTTTCGTCCTCCCCGGTTACTACTCCCTTCAGGCTCTGTTCACCTCGAGCACTAAGGATGACACCCAGGTAAGATTAACCCCTCCTTTCTCGTCCGTACTTTCCATGACTATATCGCTAACATGTAACTTCTAGTGGTTGACTGTACGTTTCCCCCATGACCATAACCCTTCACCTACACCTACTTCCGTCTGGTGCCCTGGGCACGAGACATCATAATGTCTTGTGCTTATCAGTGCCACGTGATACCCCATTGACCTGCGCAAGACCAATAATGTTAACCTGAAATCGATAGTACTGGGTCGTTTTCGCTTTCCTGACCACCATTGAGAGCGCCATCAGCGCCGCTTACTGGTTCCGTACGTACAAACCTACCTCATAACCACTTCGCTCTACTAATATGCGACCAGCCTTCTACTACATCTTCAAGTTCGTCCTTGTCCTCTGGATGGCTCTGCCCCAGACCAAGTAAGTTGCCAAACAAACCCACACATACTTAACCTACCGAGCACATCTAACCAATCCCAGCGGCGCTCAAATTGTTTTCAACTCCTTCCTCCAGCCCCTGGTTGGCCGTTTCTTCTCCAGCTCCGGCACCTCCGCCAACCTCCGTGCTCAGGCCGAGGCTGCTGCCAAGTCCCAGTAAATGTAATGTCTGCCCGTTGGATTCTATGAATCCTTTCAGGATACTGTGCCGTGCACCCAGGCTACGAGTTAATATGAGCCGTGCGTTGATGTTTATCGATTCAGCCCAATTCATTGGCTGCCTGGTGACGTGAAAAACACTGCAGGGGTTGAGCTTCTCGGTGCGAAATGAAATGCAATTGGAACTGAATATGACAAATAAAGTGAAGATGATGATTGATTGGCTAGAGAAGAGAAGAGAAGAGAAGAGAAGAGAAGCTTGGAGCGGACGGGTCTGGGGATGTAGTAGCTCGTGTTGAGAGGTTGTTGCATGATGGAGGTGGCTTTTGATGTTGATTGAATTACATATATCGAATGGTAGAGATGTTTGTAGTATTTGGCCTTTCGGTCCGTTCTTTTCCAAGTTCAGATGATGCTCCTACGTATTTCTGCATATGCATGCATAATGGTAGTTGCACAAGTACTGGTAGTGAGATGTAGTGCGATGTGTTTGGTTTGTAGGACAATGCCTCTGTCTATTTTGATTTTGTAATTCTGGTGGGCTCCGAATATCACAGCGACAAGTAGTCTATCATGATGTATTCAAGTTCTGTTTGTCGCATGCTCGTACAAAAAGTAACCCCCCAACTTGAAAAGACAATGAATTTCCAACGCCAACCCATGACTCCAATCCAAATAGAAACCGCATCGCAAAAGAACCTCTAAACTCCACATCATGATCTCTCATGTGCTAGTCATCATGTAAACATAGTCATGAATATACCAATATTCAACCTCAAGCCTATCCCTCTGGCCCAGGCTCAATAAAGCCCAATCCGATTTCCCCACCCATCAGTCCTCGGATTAACAACAATTCGATACGGGAACGGATTCGAATCACTAGTCGTAATAGGCGGAATATGATCCTTGTCCTTATTAACAACAGAAAGAATCTTAAGCGCAGCCTTCTGAAGCATATTCCCCATTGCTTTCCGAACCTTTGCTCGCTCTAGATCAACCAAGTCAGCTTCACTCCCAATACTCCACTCCTCGCATAATAAAAGATATAACATATCAATGTATCAAAGCAACTCACCTGATTCCGTCCTCGGCGTAGCAATAGTAACATCCAAAGTCCAAATCTCCCAACATACCTCCTCCTCCGCCTTCCCTGCTAACCCACCGAACCAAAGACCCGAACGCCTCCTCTTCTTCTCATAGAACTCTACCGCGATTCGGCCCCGAACACCTCCTCCGCCGGTACTCTTCCCGTCCGGTGTCCCTGCCGCAGAAGAGAGATGCTGTCGCACGAGAGCACTAACGCGCGCCTCGATTAATGTCTCCAGATCTGCGTCGTTGATTGCCGGCAATGTGAAGTCTAGGACATCGAATGTGGTCGGTCGAGTGGAGGGGAAGTATCGGTGGAAGAAGATGAGATTCAGGACGCCTGTGGGGTGAGTGGGTTGTTAGTCATTTGCATTCATTAAGGGATGAATGGGCCAGCAAAGACCAGATCAGAGCAGAGGCATTGATCTGAATAAGTCATGTTATCAAAAAGATGAGAGTAAATATACTAAAACTCACCTTTTAATACATCGCGCACTGTTGTTGTGTCGGCGAAGATCTCCAGAAAGTACTCCGGAGGGGTTTTGCGGGGCTCCATCCCCGCGCGGGTAGGTCGTCCAGCTGTTCTGATCTGTTGCGGGTTGGGTTGGGTATAAAGGAATAAATCCTCGTAGAGGCGACGGAAGGTCGGGTCAGATCAGGTTAGGAGTAGGTTTATGTCGTTGTTGTCGTTCTTGTCATGGGGAACTTGAGGTGTATGCGATGGCGTGAGTGATGATGCTGGTATGTAGGATCGGGGCGGTTGCCATCGGGGCTGGGCTAATGACGCTTATCGAGCTTATCATTGGTTCTGGTGGCGCTTTGATGTGGGTTGCGTAATGGGAACTATGGGTCGGATGGAGAAGGCGATCTATACTACATATATGGATATTAGATTGTTGGATCTTGATTTTATTGAGACTGAGACCTTTGTTTTGTGTGTTTTGGCTTTTGACACTGGAACTGGAACTGGAATGCTTTGTGCGTCATTTGTTTCGGGAGGCTGCTTATGTATGATGGGGATTAGTATGACTACATTTTATGCTTTTGAGTATGAGATGAAACGATGTCGCTTTTAGATAGTCTTTGGCTGGTTATATGTAAAGTTTTAGACTGTGTATTAGTTCTTTGAAGGTAAAAATTGTATCATATTACTTGGAAGGGGTGAATATCTGGCTAGATTAAAGTCTTGAGACTACAGCACTCATTCATATCCTGCCACTATCCATGATATCTTAGCTAAGCCAATTTTAGTCTTTACTATTGGCAGATATATTTTTTAGTCGAAACACAAGGTATATTCTCACGATACAAATAAGCGATCTCGGGGGAGCTATCCCGGAGCGCTGCCGATATGCGGCTCGGGTGAGTCAGTAGCTGGTAATAATCTAGTGCTTATGTATCATTGAAAGTGCGAGAAGAGAACATAGTTAATGCAGGTCTATAATTAGTCTAGGTGGATAGTAAAGCTCTACAAAACTAAAACCAAGAAATTTGGTATCTCGCACTTACAGATTGTGGGGGTTCGAGCTCAGGGCACGAGTATACCTATTTCCAAGGTTACTACAATATGCATCCGAGTCCATTATAAAATGGCCAACCCAGTGTACCCTAGTAGCTCCAACCTATTGCTCAACTTATCTTACCAATACTCAAACTTGAAAGTCCAAATAGAACTTCCAAGGTTGTATCCACCTCTATCAAAATGCCCATCCGAGCCGTCGGCTTCGTTACGGTTTAGGCTCTAGTTTGTCGCGGCACCTGGTCTGGTCAACATGGTTGAATGTCACATGATGAACAGGCAGGGCATAATTCAGAGATATTTAGAGTTCATTATACGAGTATACATAAACCTTGTTCTTGAACTTGATTTCAATGTTGAAATTAGAGATTATGCGGCGATTCGATCGCCTTAGTCATCATCTTATGCACATGCTGGACGCTGAATGGAGAGTCATATAGATACGAAATACGAGTAGAAGGGCCAAAATGGCATCATTTCATCATTGAAGAGTTACTTTTAATTATAAGGAACATTCCAGTTGTAATTGCTTTAATCTGGCAGGAAAGTGGTAGATGTATTGACATGAGGAACAGGAACAGCCTGGGTCTGCCGAATCCGGGGAAGCAACAGGAACATGAGGGATTATGTAGAGTGGTGGCTTGAGTGATTAAACAGGAAGAAGAAAATCCGGGGTCAAAAAAGCGTGAAACTAGATAAATAATGAAAATGAAGATAAAAAGGATGGAAAACCGTTTCATCATGATGACTTGATGTCCCTGTTTGCTAGTTCGATCTCTCCACAGTAGGAGCTCGCTCTAGCCGAGGCCGGGGATGGTTACTGCGATCAGCGCCCGAGGCCAGTCTCCCGCCTTCATCTGCCCGACCTCTCCAAGCCCACGCGAGAGAGTCATGATTATAACAACCTGATCCATCGACACAAATCCGAACCGAGAGATTTCCCCCGATTATTTACAATATGATCGGTGCCACAAGGCGCTGGTTCAAGCGCAATCGCAAAGGTCTTGCGATCGGAGCTGGCGTGCTGGGCGCTGGCTACCTGGCCGGTCAATATGTGCTATCTAAGATCTCTGAAGCGCGAGAGCGCATGAGCAGTGATAGAATTGCTCGAGAGAAGTGAGTATCTGCCTGTGTTGCCATGTAGAGGCGTCCTCGCATCCTCTGTCTTCACGGGCACACGAGCTTGTGACAGCCTCCATCCCGCCCGCTCCTTAATTGTTCGATCGCTAATGTTTTGCTATGTAGTCTCCGACGACGCTTCGAACAGAATCAAACCGATTGCACATTTACTGTCATTGCACTTTTACCGACCGCTACGGAGAACCTTGTTGAGGCGTTGCCGGTCGAGGAACTGACCAAGGAGCTTCAGAAGAAGCGGGCGGAGAGGCTGGCGCGACTCAATGCGGGGGAAACAACGGGGTCGGATATGAGCTCTGTCGCGCCAAGTTTGCCAGAGGATGATCGAAAGAGTCTTTCCAGCTTTCAGAGTGAGGGATATGTGCATACGAGTCAGCTGGGAGAACCTGTGGATTCCGATGGACAACCTCGTGTTAAGCGGAACAAGACACAGCTATGGAATGAAGTTAAGATCACCTGTATGTCACCAATACTGACAAGTACGAAACATGAATCAGACTAATTAAGCTTTATTGCAGCTATTACTCGCTCCTTCACGATGGTGTACGTCCTCTCCCTCTTGACCATCTTTACCCGTATTCAACTCAACCTCCTCGGTCGCCGCAATTACCTCTCAAGCGTCATTTCTCTTGCTACTCCTGCCGATAACTCGATTATCAGTCTCGAAGATCACGATGATGATCTCACACAAACTCTTGGCGATGATATATCTACGAACCGCCGCTATCTTGCTTTCAGCTGGTGGCTGCTTCACCGCGGATGGAAGACTCTGATGGAGCGAGTCCAACCAGCCGTAGAGGAGGCATTTGGTCCCCTCAACCCACGTGAAGATATCAGTCTGTCTAAGCTATCTGAATTGACTCTCCAAATCCGAAAGACGATCGAAGGAAACACAGAGGAAGAGCGACGGTAAGAGCCTCTACCAATTCCCGGATACAATTTTACTGATAGTCCGATATAGATCCAAGAAATGGCTGTCTGCCCTACTGCCACCTACAGAAGAGGAGGACTATGTACTTCGCGAGTCTGGTGTCGAGGGTGTAGCCGACCCCTCATCTTCGGAGACTGCATCCAAGTTGCGCCATCTTCTAGACGAGACTTCCGATCTCATCGATTCCCCATCATTCTCATTCGTCCTCACCCTTCTTCTCAACGAGGGGTTCTCCACTCTGATCGATACCAAATGTGCCAACGAGGCCTTCAAAGCTTCCGCCCCAGCTCCCGAGACAGCACCCCAGTCATTCGACTCTATGGCCACAGTTGTTCCACCTCCTGTCCTTGAGCGAAAGACGAAGCTCGCTAACCTCTTGGCTGTGATGGCTCGCCAGGTCCATGTGATTGGTCATGGACCTATGGGTCCCAACGAGTATCTCGAGGTAATGGACAAGAATGTGCGCGAGCTGGAGGCCTTTTCCGCCGTGATCTACAGCTCAAACTTTGACCTTGAGTTACTTGGTGCCACTCGCCAGAATGCAGGCCCTGGTGCAGATTCAATGGATCCTAATTCTTCGGCTGCTTTCTCTGCTGTGTTGGTGGATAGCGAACCTGAGAGCCCGCCTGCTCGGGATCTAGCTGAGAGTACCCCTGTTCTGATTGATTTTGAGTCTCGAGTCACGGAAATCACCGATATTACAGAGGATATAGAGGCCGCGGAGGCCACGGAAGTTACTGAGCCTACCGAAGAGGTCGAAGTTTCCACTCCCGCTCCCGCAGAGACGGCTGAAATTTTATCAAAAGAGCTTACACCTGAAGAATCTTCAGCTGAAGAACCGGCAGCTGAAGCTGAATCTGCTTTTGAGGCAGCCTGGGGCAAAGCTGTGGATGATGGAAGTGTCACGTCAGAGAAGGAGGTTTAAGAAATCCTTAAAAATTCCTAGAGGCATATACGAGGTTCTCACGACACTTTTCATATATTTCCTGTCAATACCCTTCTTGTCCATTTATCATGCTTTACAATCATCTCTGTTGTCTTTAGACTTGTTTGTATCAATGAATATACCATTGTACAGATTATTCAAGGTCGGTCCTTCCAGTTATTCTTGCCTGTAGGAAATAAAAAAGTAAATGAATTCAGTGAGATCTGATAGCAGGTTATATACTAGCCGTGCCTTACCCTACGGTCTGGACACCAAACACGACTAGCCGCATTTGGTGTCCCGCAGCGCAATGTAATTCTCACCGGAATGTAATTTTTCTTTTTACACATCTTTATTACTACAAGGTACCACCTTAAATATGGCCGATTCTATTGAAACTGAGGTATCTCGTGTAAATGAGGCCGTGGAACACGCTCGAAGCCAAAAAAAGCCAAATTTACGTGAGGTCGCGCGGCAATTTGGCGTTAATTATAGATTGTTATGGCGACGCGTTAATTGCAATATGAAGCCTAAAACAGAGGTTAAACCATCGAATTACACCTTAAATGTCTATTAGGAGAAGGCTTTAGGCTATTGGATAAAGACTTTGGATGCTTTCTTCCTCCCTCCGACGCCTACTATTATAGAGCATTGGGCCAATGCTACACTTGCGTGGTCAAAGATACCCGATCGGACGGTCGGAAAAGATTGGGTATATCGCTATATTCGTTGTTTCCTAGACACTGAGATGAAGCTTAGAAGGCAGAAAATTATTGATTCTAAACGTCTAGGAATTACAGATGTTACAGAGCTTTATTATTGGTATGATTTGTTAGCTAAGGCTCTCGAGGGTATGAATCCATGCAATATTTACAACTTTGATGAAACTGGCTTTCAAATTGGACAAGGACGGACCCGATGTGTGTTTTCTAGCCAATCTAGCAAAGCTTTAGACCTCCCGGGTATAGAACATGGTGAAAGGGTAACAGTCGCAGAATGTATTGCTGCTGATGGTTGGCGAATGCAGCCCTTGGTCATCTTCAAAGGATAGTATTATATGGAGTCGTGGTATAACCATCTAATACCTGATGAATGGATAACTGCGACTGCAGAAAAAGGCTATATTATTGATAAGCTTACTGTGCGTTGGATAGAAGAATTTGACCGTGAAATATGTACTCGTCTTAAAAATGGAGAGCAGCGTATTCTCTTGGTCGACGGTTGTGGCTTACATCTAACATTTGAATTTCTTGATACTACAACCAAAGCAGGTATTAAGATATTTGGATTTCCGCCGAATCGAACAAATTATCTTCAACTTTTGGATGGTAAGCCTTTCTAAGCTTATAAGGCTTATTTTAAGACACAAAATAATCTTATTTCTTAATAGGGTGGAGGTCTTCTCGCATCAAAATTATCTTTCCTAAACGACCTTTACTAATTCCGAGATAAAGCCCTTACACCCCGAATGTGTCGAAATGCCTTTTCAGAGTGAGGAATTTATCCAGTTGACGCAAAAAAAGTTTGTGAGAGCCTCGAAAATGCTCTTCTTCCTATCCTAGATATTGAAATTGATCTATCGGGAGAGAAAACACCCTCTCCGGAACCAGATCTTTTGTCGTCAAGTCTTGAAAACACATCTTCAAAAACCTTTAAAGATGTGGAAGAAAGGCAAAAACATCTCTTTCCTCTTCTCTGCCGGCCTGATTTAACGCCCAAAGAAAAAAAAACACTCGCACAGGTCTTAGATGAGCAAGAGTTCTATTTTAACGCCTTAGCCAATACTACAGCTACTATACGGGAAATGGCCGCCATCCGAGCCCCGCGGGAGAAAAAAACTACTAGACGGCGTGTTATGGGCCTTAGTGATGATAGTGTTATACGTGTTAAAGATGCTAAACGTAGTATAGCTGAGAGGAAGGCAAAGGAAGACAAAAAAGATGAGAGACGGGCGGTAAAAGAATTGGAGAAAAAGTACGGTGTTCCTACCACACCACGTATTACGGAGGCTCAAAGAGAGGCAGAGGCAGAACCGTTATACAGCGAGTCGGGAGAGGTTATTGGTTTTTATGATAAATTCTAAATTGCTAAAAAAAATTGTATATAAAGGCGAAAAAATTACATTCCGGTGAGAATTACATTGCGCTGCGGGACACCAAATGCGGCTAGTCGTGTTTGGTGTCCAGACCGTAGGGTAAGGCACGGCTAGTAGACTGTAACGAGTATTATTCTAAATAACCTCTAGGAGAGGGGGGGGGGTAACGATCACACGGAGAAATATGGATATGGATGAAGCTAGGCTACGGAGAGAGAGATGTAGAGAGTGGGGGCTAACATCTTCTCAGACAGTCAAACTCAGGAGACCCTCTAATTCCAGGACTCTTTCTCTTCTCCACTCAAGCTTCCCAGTGCGTGATTTTAAGAGCCGTGAACTTTCATAATGCTTTATGAACTCTCTTATTTTGCTGACCACGCACCACCCGATCCTAAAGCAGTGGATAGATCCAACAGCTCGTCATAAGCGGGATAAGTAGACTTGTCATCCACAATGTTGACCACCTTGCTCTCGTCCACATAGTTCTCCACCCAGGAGAGAGAGACAACTGTATGTACTCGGTTGACGAACGGCTCTTCGGAGACCTGAAAGGCCTGGAACTCTGGGTCGCTGTTGACTTTGTTGAGCTCGGCAAAGCTGCGGAAGTAGAACTCAATCCTCACAACATGATCCTATACCAGAAAGTTAGATGATAAATTTCTCTCTTCAAGATTAAAATCAAAATCAAAATCTGAGCAAGGGCCGTGAGAATTGTACCTCAATCACCCAGCCGCGCTTGTTGCGGCGGTTCATGTCGTCCATAAAGGTGCGATACGCTCTGGGGGAGTAGCACTGTCGTCGTGTCAGGATAGCCAAACCACGAAAAAGAAAAGATGAAGGGTTTAATATTTACCTGCTGGTACTTGTAGATTCCTTGCTTTGCGTGCAGCTTTGCTGCCTTCATAATAAAGTCTCGAGCGAAGTCATGGCCCTCACCACCCTGTCGGGCTTCGCCCTTGTAGAACTTGATAGTCAAACGAATAAGGCGAGGGGTTTGGTTTGGGGTTGCCATTTTGATTGTATGAGAAGTAATCAATACCTAGTAGAGGAACTTGAAAGAGGGTTATTTGATGATTGGAACTTGAACCTTCAAATGTTTGAACCAAGGTTGGAAGTAGTACATCTAGAAAGAAAGCATGTGTGAATAAACATTCGTACAAATTAGTCAAGGCATTTGTAGCTATTCTTGCTCGTAAGAAATTATAGTGAATTTATCCAAGGAGCTCTAGCCAGAAATCCCGCGCTGACTGGGTCTATACCTCTGAGTCTCAGTGTCCACCACTCCCAAGGGTGCTCTCAAAAGCGCTTTCCAGAACCCTTAGCCCACGAAGGAGTTCTTCTTCAGTAATAGTAATCGGTGGCGCAATCCGGAAAACACCGCCAAAGCTCGAATGACTACTCAAATTAGCCCAAAGCCCCAACTCATACGCCCGATCAGCAATCTTCTTCGCAAGATTCAAATCAGAAACCTTTGTCTCACGGCAGCCCACAATCTCAACACCAGCCATAAGTCCCCGTCCCCTCACATCCCCAATACAAGCAAACTTCTCCTTCAACTTCCCCAATCCCGCATGCAGTAAATTCCCCATGGCCCGAGAATTCCCCACCAATCCATCCCTCTCCACAATCTCAAGAACCTTATCCCCAACAGCAGCAGGGAGCGGATCATTAACATGCGTCGTGTAGAAACAATAATCTCTCTCCACACAAACCTTCTCGATCCCAGCACTAGTAACAACAGCACTTAACGGTAGACCATTCCCAAGCGTTTTACTCAAAGTGAGAATATCAGGAGTCACCCTCTCATGAGCAATAGCCATTATATCTCCACATCGTCCCACTCCAGTCTGTGCCTCATCAACAATAAGAAGCATCCCCCTCTTCTCACATTGCTTCTTAAGTGCGCTCAGGTATCCCGATGGAAGAACATGCATCCCAGCCGAAGACTGTATACACTCAACTATACAAGCAGCCAACGATCCACAAGATTGCATATCGATCATAGACCAACCATACTCCATCTCACCCTCCCAATCATACGATCCGTCCTTCTTCCGAAAGATAGATCGATACCCATTTGGAGCAGGAAGCATAAGAGAGCCCGGCATAAGTGGACCTTGTCCCTTTCTCCCAAAATGATACTGTGCACCTAGTGCTTGGCCCGTAACACCATGCCAGCTAGCGCCTAATCCCACAATTTCGAACTTTCCAGTGTAAACCTTTGCCATTTTGATAGCTGCCTCGTTGCTTTCGCCACCTGTTGATAGGAAGAAGGCCTTATCTAGACCAGGCGGGAGGAGGTTGCAAAGTCGTTCTGCTAGTCTGATGACTGGGGGTGATATCATGCCTGAGAAGAGGTGGTCGAGGTGTTCTGCGTGTGTGGAGATCACTTTTACGATTTCGGGATGACCATGTCCTAGCAGGCAGGACATTTGGCCTGATGTCCAGTCGAGGATTTTGTGGCCTGTTGCGGTGTAGACGTAGAGGCCTTTGCTTCCGCAGATGACATCTTTATTGAATTTTGTGCCGTAGTTTAGAAGGTATTTTTCGCTTTTCTTTTGAAGCCCTTCGTTGTTTTGATCTTTGTATATAGTTGGGGGATCATCTGTTCTTTTTGAATTGGTGATCTGGGATTCGGTTTCGATGGTTGATGGTGCCATTGTTTGATTGCTTGTTTTCGGTGATATTTACGATTAAACGAAAAGGATGTTGTTTGGGAATGCAAGAAATAGATGCAAGATCAGGATCTCTTATGAAATTATTAAAGATTGGACCCCCCCTCTTTTTCTAGGAGTTTTGTTCGTCCTTATCTAATTCCAGAACGCTGTGTACTTTGCCGCGGGCCACGGAGGGAAGTATCCGCGGCGTGATACATGCCGATCGATGTGACATACTTTCATCTAGCCAGGCCCAATCGATATTTAGAGATAAATGTTTCAAGCACAACTATTTCGGTGTATTACCTGTGGATGTTATCAGAATAATATAGCACAAGAATGATAGCACTAAGGCAATGTCATTTAGTAGTCGACGCTACATTTCTAGCGAGAGCTCAGATAAATTTAGTTGTCATTACTTACGATCAGGGTAGTATGTAAATGCAGTGCAAAGATTCTGAATTGAGCAAATATTTTAGAGAAGAAACTGGAAAAAAAAAAGAAATTTGAGTTCAAAATTGAATTGAACTGAATTGTCATAACATCTACGGCCGGAGGGATTGTAAATTGAGCACATGCAGGTGATCAATTCATCCTTAGATCACCAATTGCCCCCACCGCAGCTCTATCCTGAGCAATTGAAACCTAGTATACCCGAACTTTGAAGGACATCCCAGTTCAAAGAAACTCACATACTACTCTGCAGAGTATCCCAAATGCTAGGAAATATATCATCCATAAAAGCCATATCAGTCATAAGAAATTGCCGAGACTCAAGACCAGGGCCTATCAAAGGGATGTCGGAAGGTAATACCGTTAAAAGCTTTTCAACAATCTCAGAGTGCTGTGCCAGACATATATCGGCCAAATCCCAGCCGTACTTCTCCTGGTGAGATTTGAGTGATGATAGGAAGTCATTTGCCATTTGTAAAGATGGGCTCTGAGCAAAGCCGCCGGGATTCTGCTCTGTTTCTAAAGCGCAGCGAATGAGGAAGGTAACCGTTGATGAGAATGTAAATGCTACTTCTGGGAGCCAGAAGTCTCCGAGTTGCGACTCCTCAAGTTCTTGTACGAATGTCACAATCTCTTCCGCACTCCGGCGTGCCTCAATGAGACTGTTTGATAACATTTCATTATCCGCATTCGTTTCTTGTCTTGCGCGGTCAAGCTCAATTCGTCGCAAGAGAAGTCTCACAGACAGAAATGAGAGTCGGAGGTTTGAGGCTCCGGGGATATGAAGGTTTATGCCCCGAGTTAAGATTTTTCGAACTTCTATTGGAACATTCTCAACCCACCTGTTGAGTTCATAGTCAAGGTTTCTTGTGGGACATTGGGTATTTATGCAATAAACGTATTCTAGACAGTAGCCTAGTACCTCGGTCAGACCTGCAAGTGATATGAATGTCGCATTTTCGTTCTCATCTTTCCCTGGTGCACAAATCCTATCTCTTGCAGGGAGAGGCACATCATATTGTGATCTTCGTATATGCGGAGGTGTTCCATAAGCAAGGCCCGACCTTCGGCATACCCATGTTAGTTCCAGTGATTTGTGTCTTTGAACATATAACTTACCAGCGATCATGAATCAATACCGACCACCAAACATTAATTCTCAAGCTCTTCTCTCCTTCGGGGATATCCCACGGAAGTGGATTGCGATTGAGTCCCATAGAGTGACAGAGGCTAACAGCCGAGCCCAGTTGAACACCATTACCAACCATCGATGTAGTAGGACGGCCACCGATGTTCAGAAGTATCGCAGTAATTGTTGGTATTCCAGGCGACAAGTGCAGCTCCGAGTATACTGTATCTGAGGCGAGATTCCAGATAAATCGGCTATCAGGACATCGTGTTTGCGATAATTTGGAATCGTATCTCCACAAAGAAAGCATGTGTGCATATAAGCAAGCTAGCAATGCGGGGGATATGCGATCTTTGGAATTGAGGTATTGTTTTCGGAATGCCGTTTCATCTAATAAAGGAAAACATGGGTGGACCTTCCTGAAATATCTGTGGACATCTCCAATTAGTAAATATACAGAAATGGGAGCTAATACAGACGAGAACTGACAGGTCAACCAATTGTTGTGCCCATGGCTCAATGAGCTTTTCGATAATTTCCAACTTTTGTGAACTTGGGCTGGTATTAGGAGCTATACCCAACGGCCGTTTCTGGACTTTGGTGAAGACGATAGGCGGCATTGAACCTCCCGCTCGAACTGACTGCACCGAGCGTATTCCTCGATTACCTGGAAAGCTTAAGAGATAGTCCGCCAAAACATGGGTATCATCCACTGCTGTCGGGCCCACAATGTGTGGGTTATCATTTTCAGCTTCTAGTGACAGCGGTGCGTCCAAAGAACTTTGAATTTCTGGCCACGTAGGACCTGGTGTAGTAATTGGTGTCCCATCTTCATTCAGGCAACCGTGTAGGGCGTCTATGGTCATAGATCGCTCTGAAATTGAATTTGGCAATCCATAAGGTGATGCCAAATTTGTATTTGCCGACAAGCTCGGAGAGTCTGATGGGCTATTGTGCTGTTCAGTTCTTCGAGATTTCCTCGGTGCAGTTTTGCGCGGCTTTTCGGGTGGGAATGAGCAGTCGGTACCGTGGATTCGACATTGTAAGCACGATGTGGATTGATTTTCTACCTTACAGCGTGATTTTCGTCGTCTGCAATGTGTACAAGCAGGTTTCATGTGGGACCTGTAAGGACGGTCTCCTCTGTTTGGCCTTTGGGTTTGGCCGTTCATGTTGAAAGGTGATGGAAGTTGCTGTTGATATTGCCCGCGGGGAACTTTTGAGCATAGTGGCCGCGGTCGATGATCTCCCCCGCATGATGGGCAGCATCCACCACTTTTGCTGACCTGTGCCTTATTGCCTGAATAGCGCCTTATCTGGGTTGATTTAGCCAATGGTATTGCATCTAATAAAGGGAATAATAACTAATTCTATTCGTTTCGAAACATCAAGAGAGTCTTTTTAAAGTCTCTTGACCGTTATCATCCAAACTCGGGTACTGTCTCAAACTGCATAGATCCCTCCAGAACTGCCTCGCTTCCTCATATGCCTCATCAATTTGACCTAGGCGCTGTCGAAGCAAAGCTTTCCATTCAACATCCATCACTGTAAATCCAAAGGAGGCTGAAACATACTCATACCAAATGGGGAAAATCGCAGCGTATTCCCGGTCAAGTATGCCAACCACCTTTCCGTCTTTGACCATTATAATTCCCAGATTGAGATCGCAATGGGTAAGCACATATGGCACACGTGTTGGAAAGCTCTTCCTCAACTTCTCTAAAACCCGCTCTGGAAGAATATGAAGATTAAGCGCCAGTGTATTCCAAAGTTCTTGGTCGAGGTGGAATGGTTCGCGTGGTTCGAGATCGAAAAATAGCAGTCCTGGATAACATGGACTGTGATCGATGCACTGTATAGAGCTTGACGCAACAGAACGAAGATGCTTTCGTACTTGACAACATGGCCGGCGATATTCAATTTTTCTTCTTTGGGTAAAGAAGGCGATGATTCTTCAAGTGTCTGTCCGTCTATAAGTTCACTCATAACAAAGTATCTGCCGCTGCGATCAACCCAATCTCGTAATACCTTCGGGACAGGGATGTCGGTATGAGCCGCCAGATACCGCAATATCTTGAGTTCGACTGTTGCTTTTGGGCCCTCATCTGGGCGATCTTTCAAGATCACATCCGGCCCGATGGACCGCCCCCCCCCCCCCCCCTCGACGCCCCGTAGAAGAGTTTGAGGTGGATTGTGTAGTCACACCTTGTCTTTTGGTCAAGTGTCCACCCGCATGCGTCACAACCTTTTTCGAGTGGTTCATCCATTGTGGGCAGCTTCTAGAAGGACGCGAAGTGAGCAACATATGAGCTTTGATTTGAGTAAAGTAGGAGGAGAAAGGAAGAGAGAATGGAAGCCTCAGGCTGTTCAAGCGGAGGTCCTTGCTCAGTCACGATCTTGCATACGGATTATGATTAGACTAACCGCCATTCACTGGTCATTGGTAGTTTACAGATATTTCGAAATCACCAATTTTCTGTACTTATACACAACTCCTCTGCCTATTTTCCATCAGGATAACACAAAGAAAAACCACTTACTTCGCGCCATAGTAAGTAGTATCTCTTAGTATCTCTCAGAAATTACATTGCTTGGAACAAATTAAAGATTTATATTTCTAAGGTATCTTAGCAGTGGCTGATTTATATTTCCACGAGAAATCTCAGGCGAGGGAATTTTCTGGATGATATTGCGTGATTTTACTTGAATTCTAGGATTGTCGTTGCCATTTAAGCAGCAGCCTTGTCGTTGACCTTCAGAAGCTCGACCTCGCTATGAAAGGTTAGTTAGTCAAGAATCAATATCATCTGTGAATCGTAATTCTTACAAGATCAAAGTTGAGCCGGCGGGAATTTTGCCCATTGCCCTATGCGGAAGAATTGTTAGACATGTTGATCAATAGATCAACGGGTATCCCCGAGATATCTATCTGATCATTTCAGACATCCTTGATTTGACTTACTTGTCTCCGTATGCGTAGTCGCTGAAAATTGTCAGTAATGGCTCAGTGTCTTGTGGTTCGACTGGTTTCACTCACGGGGTAATAGTCAAGGTAGCCTTCTCACCCAGAGACATCTCCATGACACCTTCATCCCAGCCTAATTGATTGGCATTAGCAAAGAGATACGAATTGGAACGCAGGAGTTCATCCGATCATCAAACATGGACCGTTTTCGAGATGATTAGACGCTCGAGGGAAGAGAGCTTTACCCTTGATGACTTGTCCAGTACCAATCAGAACTTCCAGAGGGCCACGGCCAGGGGTTCTGGAGCTGTCGAACCTAGTCCCATTGGTTAGTATCATTCGACCCATATAAGAGGTGGGTTGGCCAATGTAAAATAGCATACTGTTTGCCCTGGAAGCCCTTGCTCGCCTTCTTGGCATCGTAGAGCCAGCCGGTGTAGTGGATCGAGACCTTGTCGCCTTCGACAGGTGCGACGCCCTTACCGCGGGTAATGATCTTTCGTTGGACCCCCATATTGAATCTTGTTGTTGGTGTGATTTGAAATAAGGATTGAGATATCAAAGACAAGACAAGATGGATTGAAGAACAAGAAGCAAGCATCCATGCGTATTTTTTTCTGGAAGGTGGGGTAACCGGGTGGGCGGTTCTGTAATCGCGGGATTAATTACCAGTTCAGATGTATTCAAATTTCATCACCAAAATTACATCTCACTTCAGCCTCAACAGCTTCAACTTCGAGAATCTTGGAAACTGCTCATCGGCCCGCCCCTTATTCATGTGGACTGACCCAAACTCCGGAAACCTCCATCCATGTGTACGGTATACAGCGCAAAGCGGGCGGGCCCTCAGGTGGTGATGGAGATTTTTATAGGACGCCGACGCGCCCGAGCTAGCAGATGTGCATAAAAATACAACAACCCCTGCTAAGCGCTACTAGTAACAGACGATGGCGCGTGTTGCCTTATCATATGCATATCCCATTGATTCCGCATATATCCTATCATTTACCGGGGAAGATTATAGAAAATAGGCACAAATGTTGAAATAGCTAAATAAGAAGTTTCATTCGTCCTCCACTACCCCTTCAGTCTTCTTGATAATTAAGATCTAGTATGTATACGTATGCGATTCCATTAATCCAAGCTCTTGTTGGCTTGCAATTCATAACATTGGAGATTTCACTCCTTATTCACCTCAGCTCCAGAGACAACAGCCTCTTTCGCGTTCGAATTCGTTGAACCCGTCTCTTCATCACTGCGTTGGTTATACGTTTCGTCGTTTTTGCTGTTTTCAAGTGGCACATGGCTGTTAATGACCAGCCAAGTAGGAAATACAGCAAGTCCTGTCAAATCAAATTAGCATTTGATTTTTCCAAGATTCAAATCATGGAATTAATTGGCGAAAGAACGCGACGCCTAATGATATCGGTTTTACTTACCCAAAAGAATGGTGTTGACTGCAAGAGGAACTCTTCCTCCGTACCAATCACGGGTATTGATTCCATATGAAACTGCCTGAGCAAAGCTCTCCTGGCCACGGAGAATTCCGGACAAACGAGCTAATGCCCATTAGTAAAAGTTTTCACGCGGAAGAAAATATGGTAAAACTCACATAATTCCGAAATGTTATCTGTCATGGTTGAAAGAAGATAGTACAGCCAGTTTTGCAACGCTTGTTGAGAGAATTCTGCGATATCATTAGAACACTTCGACGTGAATCGCTGGATTTTGGATTGAGTGACTCACGCCAGAGGAGAATTACAAACATGCCCTTCACGAAGCCCTTGTCAGACCAGTCAAGTGAGGGTGGGTTAGAGGTGTATTGCTCTTGAATAACCCATCCGTAAACCCATGCAATAATGTGGAGCAAAATGACATAGTAGAAACTATACAGGTCATTAGAGTCAATTTGGTAACTGATATGGAAAATCCTTTTACCTGTAGGTGATTCGACTCCTGACTGCCAGTTTCTGGTAGTCCAAGAAGCGGCTGATAATCCATGATGAAACAAGGGCGGCAAGGTAGCCTAGACCGGAAATGTTAGCTCAAGCTTGCCTTTGGAAGTGGTGAAGTAAGTTCAAACATACTGACTAGCCCAATAAGAGCTCGGGCTCGCACTCCGAAATAGTATGTCTCAAAGTCTGCATAATAATGTTAGCTCGATTCACAAAAAAGGGGTTGATGCGTCCATACTTCCGGTGTACTGATTGAAATAGGCCGCCCAGAAGACAGGCAAAAGGAGGAGAATCTAGGTGAAGTCAGGTGGCTATTCAAAATGTGGAAGAAGGTTGAAGATTGAAAACTTACATCCTTTCGGCGAGTTACTTTCCACAATTCAACCATTTCGGCCTTCCATGAGTCCTGTCGGACAACTCGAACGGAACTTCCGTCGCTACGTTGCACATTTTCAGGCCGAGTGAGAAAGATAGCAAGCGGTACGGCTAAACACTGCAGGGCGACAAAGATAAGGTAGGTTTCTATATTGAACCATTCTTGGTGAGTTGACCATCGCAAATTGTCACATGCCAGATGGTATCGTCTGTGAATGACCTACCTGATCCAACCTTTCCTTTGCTCTCTGAAACTGAAGAGCTGGGTAAGTGTCAGCAAGTCATAATCCCAACATCTTGGATGATGATTTTCACATACTGGTTAAGCCCCAGGACGATAGCGCTTCCCAAGAGAGGTCCGCCGGTACGGAACCAAAGCCAGATACTAGATATTGTCAGGACACAACCCAATGACCCATATTGAGACCTAAACCTACTTCATATACTGTCCTCTTTTAGATGGCTCGGGATATCCGAGCGCCACGGCACCTTCAGATGCCCAGAAAAGACCCGCCCTGCAATAGTCAATATTTCCATCTTCAAGATTCAGCTGTCTTTTGAAACTTACGACAAGCCACAGGCGACTGCACCAACGAGGACAAACCACACATTTCCCTGTTATCTACCTGTCAGTTTTTGCATGCTTCATTTCAAATGTTCAGTGAGTATTCACATAGCGATTATTTGTGTATAGCGCAGCTCTGCAAAGAAATTAGCTTGCTATACCAAACAAGGGGGATTCTAGGGGGTCGCACGAGTAAACGGGATATCCAACGGCACCAAGGACTAAGGTCCAGTTCATACCGATGCGATTCGCAATCGGACCTCCAAAAACACAGAGAAATCCCACTAAAGGTCGCAAGTCAGCATCATGTTTGGGGGACGCGTATAATGGGTCTTAGCGCATACTCAGACCAAAAACCAAAGCATTTGCAGCATTGATTAAAAACGGTGATTCAGCGCCACCGGCACCGAGCGAGTTCATCGCATTCCACAATCCTGGCGCGAGAAATCCAACGCCACCGATAATAAAGGCGTTGAACAAGGTTGTTCGATACCAAACGCGCTTGGTGTTCTGGATCGGCTCATTTTCGGAGGATGCCGAAGCCGAGATCGGTTCAGCCATGGCTTAAGTAGTAAGAACTCAAAAAGCCTAAATAATCCCAGACGTTCACCAAAGAACGAGGTTTTTGAAGAGTTATGCTAAGGGTAAAATCTCAGACTACGTCGGAGGTTTTAAACTTTTTTCTTCTTCTTCCAAATCTTCCGCTCGTAGCTTTTCATCCACATGAAAAATGGCGTGCTCATTGACATGAAGAGATAATGGCGCTAATGAAGCAGGGTAACGCAAAGTGCCAGAACAATGGGATCCACATATCCCGCTAAGCAAGGGGGTCCACCAATTATGTTCTCTTTACTTGCATGGCCCCCCCACGTTATTCCTCTTTCGCTGTCAATTATCTGGCTCTCCGTATACTCAGCGCGGCCTAGATCCGACGCTAAAGTGTCCGGGGTCATGGACCCGAGATGGCGAGCCATAGCCAAGACTTTAGTTGATTAACCGATTTTTCCAAGCAAATTTTTGACACTTTCGCCCTGCATTTGTCTCCACGGTTCACGAATAATGTTATAAAGCTACTTAATAGACAGTGCAACTGTCTGAATATGAGTGAAGATTTGGGGGTTTCGGAGTCTCTAGTGCATGTCATACTAATTAGGAGGGAAATATACGTCGCATTCAAGTTCTTCCTTCAGAAAGGTTCGTTTATAATATGAGCTATATCAATAGATATAAATTTAATGCCACTGGTGGACTTCCACCAAGCAAAAGACAGGAAGCCTCGGTCAAGTCCCATGTCCCAAAGCTCCCCTCCGATAAGAGTATTCTTTGTGTTGCGGGCAGCGCAGTAGTGTTCTAGAGTATTCACTCTAATAATGAGGACTTCCGTAAATGAGTCGTATCAGCAGTGAAAACCGAGGGCGGGGTTTTGCCACAGACCAATTTCGTGTTTGAAAGAGCAGGGATCAATGAGAGAGATGAAGAGATTTAAATTATCGCCAGATGGCGATTAAAGTTTGACGGAATCAAGATTGTCATCGACTGCAGATTACAGGCCGGAGGCATGATCACGATGTAGATCAATATGAATTTGAACACCAGCCTCAGCACGACTCGAATGATACAGATAAGATCCCAACCTGAGCTGTGATTCAAGTTCCGAAAACGCGTGGTGTAATGTTCTATAAGGATTTGAAACTGTTAGTGATCTTAATATTACTAGATATACTATTTAATAGGAATAGGTAGAGATGATATACTGTCCGCTACTAATCAAAATTCAAGGGTTACAGGTCTTCATCGCTATAACACCGCTAAAATTCGACCGGCCCAAAACTAGAAAGGATTGGAAGCTGCATACTTTCAATGGCTTAATATTAAGATGTTATTATATTTCAAATATCAGGAGCATTATCATAGGATCTCTCCTGATGGGTGAAGTTTGCGCGCGGGTTCTATAAAAGAACCACATCTCTGGTACTATAGAGCTTCTGCCTCTTCATGCTCTCCGACTCGGAGTCGATGCACTGGCAGATAGTATTAGCATCAATGTTTCTCTTACGGCCCTCGAAATAGGAGTCTTGTTTTCCGCTCGTGTGTTTCGCGGCCGGGAACGTGAATATTTTAGGTATTGGATATTTATCTTTGAACCTGTTCGATTGCACCTGGGCAGTCCCAAAAGTTCTAAATTTGACATGAGGGTCCACCGTCCACGCGCCTAGCCTTACATGTTGATTATTTATGAAAGGTATATTTGTTCCAGATTTCGGGCGGTATATCTCTAAGACTTACTCTTCATATCGGCTGCCATGTAATTGCAGTCGCACGCATATTCTGCATCGGATGGTCTTTTCGGGGAAAATATCATCCAGTATGTCCAATCAAGATATAGGCCGTCAGTTATGCATATTTGGTGTTTCCCAGTGAGTGGGAAACAACAGTGTTTCTTTCAATCACGTGTTTTCGTCTAAAAATTCGAATCCTCAGAGGCTCCTGGAGATGTTCGACGGCAAAAACTTCATCAGACGCGTCTGGTCGTCAATAGACCCACAAGGCCCGCCACGTGCAAAATGCCCCTAAAACACCCGATCCCCGATCCCTACTTTCATCTACAATAAGATTTTAACCTCTAGTACAAATAAAACTTAGTTTTCACCTTCTTGAGTCTTGACCATAATTCTTGAATCATCTACTCGACGGGGATGGTCGCCTCCTTTCTTCGCCGAGTCATCCCCGCGCGAGTCGCAAACAACGGCTCCCAACAGCGCGACCATCACGCCAACGAGCGCACATTTCTGTCATGGACACGCGCAGGCCTCGGATTCGCGGCCATGGCTCTCGCCCTGGACCGTCTCGAAGCAATTGATCGAGTTTTGTGTTCAAAATTCGGATTAGGGCCCATTGATCCCGCCCATGCGCAGCAAAACCAACCACAAGTCCCTGCGGGAATCAGTCAGGGTAATCGTGCTGATGACTCTAGCGGCATAGCTGCTCTAAATCTGGCTCCAGCCCTAGCTCCATCGACACAGGCGTCATCTGGCTCTTTGGTGCCTGGAATCCCTGCTTCAAGACTTTGTCAGATTCTTGGGGTTTGGTGTTTGGGATATGGTTTTTTTCGATACTGGTCTATGAGACGATACCTGCTTGTGGGAAAATTTGTTCCTGCATTTTGGGGGCCAGTATTCATGACATGTGGTAGTTTTGGAGCGTTCGTGGCCTTGGGACTGCAAGTTGACCGAAGGGCATTTTTGGTGAATATTTGAATGACTTGAGTTATTCTTCTTGCGGTTTCTTTGCTTTTTGCCCTCCTGGGTACTATGTACGATTAATGTGGTTGAGAAAGAGCTGCAATCACTTGGCAGATAAAGATTCGGTATAGATATAGACTTTCATAAACCAATAGACTATTTGAACAGACATATGAATACACGGTGTATAGCACTGGATAATACCAGGACTAGGCTTCGTACAATATTCCCCTGAATTGAAATGAATTTGCTCAACATTGCAACTGATTGGAAACAATTAGAGTCTTCGTGGAACTCGGCAAGATTAAGATGCGGATAGTAATTCGGTGAGGGCCTCGTGTGGCGGATGGGCTACTGGCGGGATATGGCTAAAAATAACCATCAACAAGGAAATGGACCATAGGGGCATTGGAATTGAATTTGAAGAAAGAGGCGCATAGACTGCATTATTATATATATTAAATAATTGTCATCAGCAGCCGGCAGGAAATATCCGGAATCGGCGTGCAAATCAAGACCCGATGGCCCACTAACCGCCTGGGTTGAGACGCTTGGTCGGCAAGCATAGCATCATTTTTCCAAGGTCGCAAATGTTCAGTGTGCAAGCTACGTCATAAAGAAGGTCCCCGGCCACAAAGTATCAAGCAGAGTATTCTCATGTCGGCAAGACAGGCAAATACTGGATCGAAGGTGAAAGGAGCCGAAGGAAGATTGTCTAAAAAGCATTCTGGACGAGATGGAAATCAAGAACTTGAAACCAAGGGTGAAATCATAGGCACCTGAACAATATAATTAAAATGACCTAGAATCTGGGGTTGATATATTCGGATGGATCGGCACTAAGAAGCGATTGAATGTTGGAAGAAATGGCACTGGACTGGACAGGTGGAGTAGCGAGCTCGCCTAAGTGTCGGGAACCCCTGGACAACTTTCGATCTGTGGAGCTGTGGGGGTCAGGGATATAAGAACGGAATTCCTCGCATGTTCAATTTAAAAGACACGGGGTACAATAAGATCAAAAAAATAAAACTTTATTCCCTGCTAATAGGTCTTTTACCAGCCGTGGCACATGTGGATGCTCGCGTCTCCCCGGAAAATGATTCGCCTCTTTTTAGCATCTTTATCAATAACACGCTAGTATGTGCTGAAATCTCTAATTACATTGAGAAGATAACTAAATTATCGACATTAACCTCAATCAGGGTGGATCTGTGGAGAGTACGCCGTCATATCTACTACTCTTAAAACAGCAAACATAAAAGGAGGCTCTGAATGGTTGCTCCTTCCTTGAGGAACATTTCGTACAGCAAGATGAGACTAAAGCTCTCGGGGCTCTCCTCTCCCACACTGAGATAATCGATGCATATACCTCGAGCTTCTGGCTTCCTGGCTCAAATGGAACCTGCTACGCCTTCAATCAAATGAATGCGTCAATTGTCTCTGTCCCCAGCGAGAAACGGTTTCAAGGAATCTGCACGAATTCAGCCTCATTTCAGAAAGTGCAGTATCATCAATTTCAAAATATAAATTAGTCACTACCAACACAGACCAGGGGCGTATTCGAGGATTTAGAGATCTTCTAGCATCGAGATCTCAAGGCATCCCGTACGCGCAACCTCCTGTGGGAAGTCGTCGACTGCAAAACCATGAAAATTTGAGAAGTTTTCAGACAAATGACAAAAGCGAGGTTTATTCTGCTGTTGACTTTAAGCCGATATGGCCTGTGCGTTTTTACTAATCTATCATAAACCCTCCGAGGCTATCCTTACTGCCGAAATAGCAAGACTTGAGCAATAATTCAGGTGTTTAATTAAACTGGACTACCTCCGAAGATTGTCTTTATTTTAATGTTTAGACTCCTATGATTCCGAACAGCAAAACTGGGTCTCTTCCGGTTTTGGTCTGGATCCATGGTCGTTCGTATTACTATGGCGGTTCCTCCTTCCCATATTACTACGGAATGAATATAGCCAGTCGGCAGTCGATGGTCGTGGTCTCCATTAGTTACCATCTGGGTGCTTTGGGATGGCTCACAAATCCATCGAGAGAGAACTCTACGGGGACGAATCAAGCCATGAGGGATCAAATTATGGCTTTGCAGTGGGTACAAGATCATATTTCTGCTTATGGAGGTGATCCCAACCAAGTTACCATTCTTGGTCACCCTGCTGATGGAAGCTCTGCAATGTCGCATATTCAGAGCCCTGCACCAAAGGGTCTGTTTAAACACGTTTGGGTTGAATCAGGCAACACACTTTCCGGATGGCAAACACCATCTATGATGAAAACCCTTTCAGAAATACTTTTGGACATTTCCGGGTGTCTTGGCTATGGCTGCGTAAAGCACAATCTCACATCGGCGCAGATGATAAAATATCAAGATCGACTTTCCATGCGCGCTTAAAACATCTTCCCATGGGGATTAGTGGCGCGGATCGAGCCCTTCCGAGCTTTTATTGATGGTGATATTCTCAAGGAGGATTGGAACACGGCACTGAGCTCTGGTCGCTTCAACCAGGTCCCGACTGTTGTATCTTTTAATCACGACGATTATGGCCTCTTCCTTTAAAGAAAACAGTACTTTCGAGTATACGCCTGCAAATTTCTGAAATTCGGATGCCTACCTCGGCACCTTTCTTCTCGGCTAGAAGAGAAAGAAAGAGGTCCTTGAAACACCAGTCTTGGGTTTCAACGCTACATTGAAGAATTTGACTGGCATTAATGACCAGTTCATTGGATTTACTACGAACTACTGGTACCGATGTAATAGCGAAATATACGCTGCAAGAATCCACAGCTATAATAAAAATAATTTTTTATGTTTAATCTTTTTTTATCAATGATACATGGGAGCTTACTTGGGAAATAAATGTTCCCGATTTTATTCTCGGTCGCATTTGTGGACCAGGAATGAATCATGTCTGCCATGGGTCTGAGATTCCCTTAATTTTCGGCTCTGTATTATATGACAACTTGACTGCCCCAGCTTTGAATCAGTAAGGATGTTAGAAAAAGGTACGCGACACTATTGACTTGTATACCTAGTTGCTAAGTAGGGGAAGCTGCTGGATAAAAATGGCGTCATTTATCCCTGACGTGGTGACAATGCCACCTATAATGTTGTCCATTGGAACAATACGGCTACTGCTAGATCTGGCGGAGTAAATTGGTATGCCTGTGTGAAGATGGAAGAGATGAGGCTATATGACCGACTTTATCACCTATATCTGGGCTGAAGAAATTATTTATCATATTAAATTAGTTACGCCAGCTCCCTGCAATGTCCACATTGTTTGACTTGGCGTCCATCATGCTCATTTTGACGTACTTGCATATCCCTCGACCACCTAGTGGGTACAAACATGAGAAATCGGCCATTAAGGTTAGATAGTATGGAAACATGGGCACAGTGTCAGTTTTTCTAATGAATTCCGACAATTGTTTTAGGTAAAGTTGCAAAAACCATGATTTCATGGTGTCCTTACGGTTTCCCGAAATATTGTTCTGCTGACTAATATAATAAATGTTTAATCAGATTGTGGATAGTTTATCTGATTGATTAGATTTTTTTCTTCTTTTTTGCAAAGCTCAACGTCAGCAATCTGATAGCTTGAGCACGTAATATAATCATTTTAGATCTAAAGCCCCATCCCAGTTTATGACATGCAAGGTTTATTTGAACTTCATTTTGGCAAGATACTGGTTGTACGTTTGCTCAGCCACCAACGTCTTCTTCCACTTTGAGCCTATCAATGCGGAAAGATAGCGATCATCGAACTGCCAAGATGATAACCGTTGAAATTTCCGATTCTGAGCTAAAAATGGATCTTTTCTCAGTACGAGGGACCCTCCTTCACGACAAGAATGGCAATACGCCCCGATTTTGCCTGTGGGGAATGTCTCGCGCAAGTTTCTGTCGATTTTCTGTCACGAAATTCATCGACGGGGACTGATTCAAACGTTCGAAAATAGTGAATGATATACTTTCTTCCATCATTTCTAGTCCTCTCCCGAAAAAAACTGAAACAGATCAGGACTTCTGCGTCGGTCTCTGTCTTCTAATTCTTTTTCTCATACCTCAACACATTCAAACCTTGAAAGTTGACACGAACCTGGCGATGAGTGACTCCAAGGCGGGTAAGGCTACCGCCAAAGTGCTAAGACAGTCCAATAACGAGTGGAGCGTTGAATATCTTGCAATTGCTATGGGTGTGATAATGCTCCTTTTTGCAGTACACCATTGGTTAAATGTGATTCATTTCCGATATGGGCCAAAAGCCCGCCCTGAATTAATTCGGACTTACAGGTACATACTATAGCGATTAATTCACAATGTGGGAGCATGGTTGCTGATCTTCCAAAAATGTACAGAAAGGTCCGACAATTGCTATTCAGATCAAAGTGTGGCATAAGAACAGACCGGTCACTTCTGTATATCACGTATTGGACTATCAATTTAGCTCTCGCCGTTACCAATGTTGATCTGAATGAAGTGTCATATGTGAGATCCAATATCGTTGACCTCGGTTTGCGCTCTAACTAATTGAATTCTAGGTTGCGAAACGATTTGGCTGGTTCGTGTTCCTTTTCACATAATTAGCATGTCCGGTTTCAAAAAGAATTCTCGAAAGCTAAAAGAAATATCATGCATAATAGGATTTCGGTTGGGAACTTGGTGCTACTGGTGTTTTTGGCATTGAAAAACACTCCTCTTGCACCCTTGACAGGCAACTCTTACGAAAAACTGCGCCCATTGCATAAGGTTGCCGGTTATACCTGCATTTTCACAAGCATCTTGCATGCTATAGTCTACTTATCTGCCTGGGCAGAGACTGGAAAACTGGCCAAAATGAGGATCAGAAAGAATTATGCTGGTGTAATTGCAGGCACGGCGATGGTTATCATTGGTCTTTCTACTATCACCTACTTTACACGGAGATACTATGAACGTGAGTCAGAGGTTTATGAAATATTCATCTAAATATCTTACTATACTAATTACCAGTAGTCTTCTACATGCTGCACATTCTTATGTTCAGCTTGATCATGATCGCTGTCGGAATGCATCGACCAGAATTCTCAAGTTCAACTGTTATTATTGTAATTTTCACTGCATCTCTTTGGGTCACGGATCGTCTCATCCGCGGTGCAAAGATGGTCTGGAATTTTGTGGGAAATTCTGCCACCGTCTCGGCTTTGCCAAATGAGGCCCTTCGGATAAGACTGAACCGCCACCTGCGCTCCAGTCCGGGATCTCATGCATTCCTATGGGTCCCTGCCGTCCGCTGGGTTGAGAGCCACCCTTTCACTCTGTTGTCCTCGAAGCCAACTGAATTTGTAATCCGTGTGTATGACGGCTTTACCCGAGATTTGTACAAAGCTGCGCAACGGGCACCGGGAAGGTCCCTACGGTGTTCTGTAGACGGTCCGTATGGACAAGTTCCTAATTTTGAGGTCTATGAAAAAGTTGTGCTAGTGGCCGGCGGCAGTGGTGCGAGTTTTACATTTGCCATTGCGCTGACTCTGATTGAGGCGGCTACTAAAATTGCCAAGTCAATTGATTTTATATGGGTGGTGCGGCATTATGGTAAGTTAAATCCACATGAAGGTTTACTATATTCTCAAATACTGATGTGTCACATAGAGAGCCTCGAATGGTTTGCTGAAGAGCTTAAACATCTTCACACTAGCCCGGATGTTAATTTGATCATCCACGTCACCAGTCCATCGTCGCCTCTGAACACAGGCTCTTCAGCCGAGAAAGAGATAACTCCAATACAGCCTTCTCTGTCCGTTAGAACTAATGACCCGGAGAAGACCCACTTTAACGAGTCTATAGTCAAGTTTCATTTCTTGGCAGACTGTGTACGCTCTGGGCGTCCGGATATTGAAAGTCTCATCAGAACTGCCAGCAATTTGCGAGATAATGCAGATGACCGCATTATTGTCGGTGCGTGTGGCCCCAAAGAGCTTATTAGTATAACACGACAGGCCGTGAAGAATGACATGCGCGGTGAGCGGTTGTCAGTGACACTTTACACCGAGGTATGCATGTACTGATGTCTGGGACAAGTGGTATTTGAAACTAACCTAGACCCTCACGTAGGAATTTGAGTGGTGATATTCACCTCTCATTGAAAACGATATCAGGCTTCTCCCGATTGTCTACTTCGAAGTGCGGGTTGACAGAAACCATGGGAGTATTAGAAAAGTTCTCGGGGTACGATAAAACACAGTCGACGACCAATCTGGCCTAAGTGACTGAAAGAAAGGGTCAGCCACAGACAAGAGAAATTTGATTTTGTGACCGAAGAAGAAGCTTGAAGTGTAGGCTGCAACATTTCATTCAGGTGCCACTTAAAGTTGCTTCATGGCCAATGTGGTATCGATGGAACAACAAGGTCTTTAAATTCCACCTTCGAAGTTATGAATATTATAATTTAATGACTATCTCTCAGTATTATTGGAGGTTGCAATCAGCTTTCAGACCAGATGCTAGTCATCCGAAGCCTTCACCAATGTTATAAAGAGTTTCCAAAATGTAGTAATTATTAAACAGCAGTTGACTCAGCCGTAGTTTGGCTGCTCCATAATTCGACGGTGATCCTATACAGCAGATAACAAGAAGTGCTTATTCACGGTGTGATCAAGGTTTGACTTCATCAAAGTTGTTCACTATAGCATCGGCTTCGATCAGACTCCAAATGTCATCAACCCCCTTCGCCACTTCTGGCTTCAGTGGGCCCTTCTTCAATCCATCGACGGTAGGCGCAATGTGTCCAAGCCGACTAGCCCCCAGAATGAGGTGATCGCCCAGCTCCGGATTTATGTGAGAATGGTAGTACACCCATCGGTATGCCAACTCAGCGTTGGTAACGCCCTGAGTTTGAGCCAGGTTACCCCATCTGTCGAGAGCCTCTAGCATCGTTGGTTTGAAGTACATATTTCGATACATTGTCCCCAGAGAAGTTTCTTTCTCTGGGTCGACTGTGAAGCGTCCTCCCTCCGTGCCTTCTCTCAAGGCCTTTGCTGACTTAGTCAAAAACCCACCGGCCACTGGAGAGTAGGCGTAGAATGCTATGCCTAGCTCACGAAGAGTCGGAAATAGCGTGGCTTCGATGTGGCGGCTCACGGCATTATAGTTGCCCTGGTATACTGTGGGCAAAACATAATCTTTCGCCTTGGAGTACTCCCAAAGATCCCGTACTTCCCGTGCCGAGAAATTGCTCACTCCGAATCGACGGAACTTGCCCTGTTCATAGATTTTCTGTACAGTCGGAACCCATTCTTTGAACTCCATAGTTCTGTCTGGTCCGTGGATGTAGAAGATATCCATCTGATTCACGCCTAATTTTTGGAGACTTTCTTCAGTAGTCCTAAGTAAGGCGTCTGGCTGAAGCGCTTCTCCCTTTTTCCAGCCACCGTAATTTTTTGTTGATATCATAAATCCCATAGATGCCGCATTGCTGGCACCGAGATCCGCTTCATTGGTTCCATACATCTGGGCCGTGTCGATTTCAGTGATGCAGGCGGATTTGATCGCTTCCAGAGCTGGGATCAATTCGTCCTTTCCAGAAAAGCACATTGTGCCGATGGAAATATTAAGGTCTGCCATTTGATTAGAGTTGAAAGTTGAGCGCTGCAGAATACGTCGACATTTTACAGTGCACGATGAGCTTATGGAGGGGGTCGGTTTTTTATTTCAAAGACGATGTAACGGGAAAATCTCCAGTTGAGCTGGGGCATCGTGGCTGAAGATTACCCCTCCTTTTTTATTAATATTACCCCTTCGTTTAAGTTTGTGGCATTCCGGTGGATTTATAATCAAGGGATACGAGGAAATGAGGCTTTCAAAGCTTACGGTTTTCACCGCGAACTCCGGAGATGCATCCATATACTGACTGAGCCGAAGCACGTTAATAAAAAGAGATGTCATCCTCATAGCCATGAATTTAGATAGCATGTAATTTCAAAATGAAAATAAATTGAATAGTACGAATGTTTATACATATATCACCAAATTCAAGTACATTAAACTATTCCGCTATCACGAACTACCTCTTTTGTCCGTTGAATACTGGAACGCCCAGATATTTCGCGCAAGCATTTCCATCTCTGGCTCTGTCAGTCGAAAATCGCTCTCTTCGTCTGCCTTATCTCTTCTGAATACCTCTGAGAATTGTATCTCTAGCTGACCCTTGACTTGAGGGCAGCCAGGACGGGGATCACGAAGAATCTGAATCATTTGAGCGGGGGATGCAGAGTTATCACTTCTTTCCCAACTTTCCACCATTATCTTGTCGCATAGTACACTGATTTATATAGCTACCTTTACATAGCTATCTGGATCGTTCAACCAGAACTTGATGTCTTCTTTGAGCTTGGTACGATGTACGGACCATGCAAAATCCCCAATAAATGTCGGCCATTTTTCAGATCGGCCCTCCGGTATCCCTTTAGGGTCCAGGAGATATCGGCCTTCTTGCTTCGGGTCTGGCTGCGGAAAGTAGTCTTACCAGTGAGGCTGAAAAGAGGATCATGAATCTTTCTAGCCCACGCAGAGAAGAAGGTGTCGAACGTTCTGGCCGCAACAGCGTGGGCTGCTGTTTCCATTTTGAACAAAGCTGACTGGGCGACATGATCGCAAATTTCCCAAGATAGCGCCAGCAGTTTGTCTTTTGAATTGACAAAGCATTCTTGGAAGGGTCCTTCGTCGATATCCATTATGAATTATGGATTGTATGCGCATCCGAGTGGGCATTCTTCACGTTTCAATCTGTCGCTCTGTTGATCCAAAATTCAAAGACATTGATCATAACCATCGTATTTGTATCTCGGTGTATCCAAAGGCAGTATATCGTGGAAAGACATTATCTTCGCAGCCTGAAGTGCGGAAAGTTGGTACCTGAAGTTATCCCTATATATTGGCTCTATTATTAATTATGACTAGTCCTAATACTACTAGTATGAGAAGTGGAGAACGCACGACAACATAAGCCTTTTTTTCATTTACGGCTTACAGTTGAACCTGGATATGAAATCTTTAGTGCTACGAAAAAATGATTTGGGACTGAGTGATGTTTTCTTTCTGGGATATTGTCGCTGGAAATTAATTCCAGGCTGAGTTTGCATTAACAAGCATTATATAAGGGGTAATATTGTATCAGACACAATTTGTCAGTCGGTTACATCGTGAAACAGAGAACTGGCAGATATATCACAAATGATTCATCTACTTTACAGAGCGAGAGCGACACCGAGGATACCAGCAGCACCGGCAAGGCTCATAGCGATACCGCCAGTGGCAGCGGGAGCTCCAGCAGAGGAAGTGCTAGACGCTGCAGCAGCGGAAGAGGAAGCCGCAGCATCGGAAGAAGCGGCGCCGGAGGAAGAGTCGGAGGAAGATCCAGTAGAGCTGGAGCCTGATGAGGAGTTGGTGCCAGTGGCAGTGGTCTTGCCGGAGGAGCCCGAGGATGAGCCCGAGCTGGAGGCTGCGGAGGAGCCTGATGAAGTTGGGGCGGAGGTGACGACGGCGATAGTGCTACCAGATTCAGAGGCAATGACAGCGGCCTCGGAGGTAGCCCAGGCAATCACAGCGGAGGGGAGAGAGCTAGCCCAGTCGGGGAGTTGACCCTGCTCAAGAGCAGCAATCTCGGAGGAGTAGAATGCGGGATCCTCGATGATGCTCTCCAACCAGGTGGTGGGGGCGGCAGTTTCGATGATGGCCTCGATGGACGCTGGAATCACCAAGGTGGGAGTGGTGTCGGCATCGGAGTCGGCGGGCTTGGGAGCAGCAACAACGGCGGTCGCGAAGAGGAGGGTGGAGAGAGTCTTGTACTGCATTTTGGATGATGGATGGAAGAATGGGATCCTTGATGTTGTAGAAGAGTTTGGGAGGTTAAAGGGTCTGATGGGGAAGAAACAAAAGTCGGGGTAATGGGGAATAGCTTTGGCTTTATATGCACCTTCCCCTGCCAGCAGAGCGGGCTCAAATATTCGCAGCTACGAAATAGTTAAACTGGCTCGGAACCCAGGATCTGGTTAGGCTCGGGTCGATTGCGGCATGGTCTCGCCATTCTACAAGCCAAGAAGAACTCGGTGTGGAGCAAGTAGATTGAGCTGGAGGGAGAGTGATCCACTTTGGTATTCTTCCTCCAATAAACTCTCACTGGCCCCCAAATTTCATCAACTCAAGATGGTTAGAGCCGCAAATAGTTGACTGTTTGGTGCTTTAATCCCGGCTATGTAATTATGGGCGAATCCTGGCCGAATCCTAGCCAAATCCTGCTTTCTCAACTAATAATAATGAGGCCATATTCTCCAAAAAGAGATGTTCATGTACACATCACCTAAAAATAATTTTTTACCCCTTTCTGCGCCCCAACTTCCTCAGCCTTGTCATCTTTTTTTTTAGAGGTGGGCGCGGTTTTGGCTTCTTCCACTGACCAGGCGACAACGCGGCAGTGTCGGCTTTGCCCGACCCAGAGTTTGTTTGCCTTTCTTGCTCCATCTTGCTTTGAGGGTCGTTACTCCGCATTGGCATCGAACCCTGGATTACGTATTCTTCTTGGGACCCGCACGTTATTGGGCCTCGAAGTCCCTCGGCAAACGTGAATGACCTCATTTCCTGGGGAATATGCGTAGAATTTATGTCTGCCTGGCTTCATCCATGCTGCTGTGAAATTCATTCGCTGGTTGACGTGCGCGGGCGAAAATTCCCGCCCGTGACTACGGTCGCTTTTCGTTGCTAAATCTTCGTTATTGTGGATCGAATGTCGCAATCGCACCCAGTTTTACACAAAAAATGGTTTCCTGTTGGGCGTCTACAGTATTTCATTAGTCAACAATCCCTGTAAAGTTTGGGGTTTGGCTTTCTTTTCACCACATGGCTGCGGGGACGCGTAGACAGCTTGGAGGCGATCCAATCGACAATAAAGAAATCTTAGAAGTACAAAATTTCTTAATTGCATATCTATCTTCAACATCTACGCTCTATGTTTGGACACATACATCGCGTAAGCCTAGAGAAAATATCTTGATAATGAATGGCTATTGAGAAAATAGGCAACCGGCTACATGAGTAAGATATGCATGAGATATGTAGTGAGACTGCAGCATCATGGATGCTGAGTGCCTCGCCGAGACCCCGGACCCTTAGACCCTGCACATGTAAATAGAGCAACGGTTTCGAGTTCAAGGGTAATTTTCTATTACTCCATGTGCTCCACTTCTTCTTTTTCCATGTTCATGCCACTGGCTGCGGCACTCTTTTGTACTTCGGCTTGCTCGTGCATGATATACTTCCTGGGTCTTTGGACTGAGATTGCGTCACGGACTCTGATTACAATTAAGCCAGGATCCGATCGGAAATACGTGTCGACGTCTTCTAGCGAGCGGTTTGCTATTTTATATTAACGGGATTGAACCTTCAACTTATAAATACTAGTAGTCCAAAAAAGATTAAACAAGTTCAAGTTGCCAAGAGCACTCACCAGTCTCCGGGTAAAAGAAATACTAGTAAATCACAAGTAAAAAGCAGGCGTTGAAGAATGTCCAGACAATCCAAAATTTCCACCAACTATTCTGAATTGCAATATGTGTGATCTCAAAAATCATAAAATTGCATATCCTGTATAAACTTTTAGTTTCTCGCTTGGTGTCGGGTTTTTGGTATATTGCTCACCAGTTTGTAGCTGCAGCGACGGCCGCGCTTTTGGTTCGCATAGGAAGCGAGCTGATCTCCGTCGGGTATAACCAAGGAACACCAAGCATTCCCATACCGAACGAAATGTAGAGGAAGAAGAAAAATGTTATAGATGCCGACGCAACATTTGGGCCTGTCAGCTGGCTTGACGCGAATCGAAGTAAGATGGTAATGATTAGGAAGGAAAGAAATTGTCCGAATGTGGACATCAGCAGTAGACCTCGACGACCACATTTCTCCACAAGAGGAACTGATAGACAGTTAAAGCAGATAATGACACGGAATTACAGGCTATGAGTAGCCTTGCTAATGAGTCACTCAGTCCGACAGAATTCATGAGTACCGTGGGTAGATAATAAGAAATGATGATGATGCCTTGAAATTGCTGCATGAATTCAAGTTGAGTACCCGCGGCCAATAGTAGCCGACGTTTGGTCTTGGTCGAATGTTTGTTGCTCCATCGGAGAAGCTCCAGCCATCCGACGGTGAATAGAACTATGATGAATATACAAGTAGTGGTTGATGAGATTCAAGTTGCCCACCTGGACTCCCATGACCCTCACTGGCAGGCTTCAGTTGATCAATGAATTGATATTATTATTCAATGCCTACACAGTGTTTGATTGCGTCTAAGAGCTGTAAAAGTGTGATGGGAAGAGTTGAATAATATATTTCATAAATCTGTATGGTGATATGTCTACATTCTTGTATTTACTTCATAATTATCAAAGCCTCGAGGCTAGTATGTTTAAGGAAGAGTGTAGCCACCATCAATAACTATGTTGGCGCCAGTCATGTAGCAACAGGCGTCACTGGCGAGGAATACGTAAGCCTGTTGAGGAATTAATATGATTCCAGAGAATAAGTTCGACATGCAACATTGGGGAACTTACACTCTTGAGCTCAGCAGGATCACAGATACGACCTCCGGGAATCATGGACATCCACTTCTCGAACAGCTCAGGGGGTTGTTGAGTGAGCACTGGAATACGTTAGTATACTTCAATGAACTACTCAATACAAGCATCATGCTCACTCTTGGTCATGATAAAACCAGGCGAGATGCAGTTAACGCGGGCGAAGTCAGCCCACTCGACGGCCAGACCTTTAGCCAAGTGAACAGCCGCAGCCTTGGAGGCATTGTATGCCACCTGTGTCTGGGGGATGTTGATGAGGATAGCGCTAACAGAGGCAGTGATAATGAAGTTACCCTTGCCCTGGCGCTTGAAGATCTTTCCTGCGGCCTGCGCAGTCCACATAACACCGTCATAGTTGACGCGGTTGTCACGCGCCCAGCTATCCTCATCATACCCCAGGCTAGGTCGGTTGGTGCATGTACCAGCGTTAGCAATAACGATGTCCAGACGACCGTTACCGAACCCCTCGGCGATCTGGTTGATTGTTAGAGCGATCTCACTTCGAGAAGTGACGTCGGACTTGTAAGCCGCGACGCGCACCCCAGTCTCTGCAGCAATCTTCGCAGCAGTCTCGACGCAGTCGGAGCTGGTGCTGTAGATGACGGCCACATCAGCACCAGCTTCGGCCAGACCACGGACCACTTCGAGACCAATGCCTCGGGCACCACCGGTCACCGCGGCGATCTTTCCCTTCAGAGAGAACTGGGAAAGTACTGGGGTATTGACATCTGTAGGCTGGTAGAGAGGCATTTTGTAGTTGTTTTTGGGTATTGTTGGATGTTGAAAGAAAGTACAAATGCTATGAAACAAGGGATGATAATTTGGGGAAGAACTAGGTCAATTGGATTGAGGGGAACGCCAAAATTGCCCGATGTGGTAAATTTGCCTGTGTCTTCGCAAGAATAACTTGTTTCCCTTTCCCCACACTTCTAACTCGCAACGTCTTCTCGATCGGGATAATTTGTCTTCTTGCAATCCCTCTTGCATGGCCGTGCTCCTAACCCGTCAATCACCATGTCTTCTCCGGGTGTGAGTGAGCCGATTGTCCCCGTAACAAGGCACAGTCGTCGGAAGAAGGCTAGTCGGGAATCTCATCGCTCACGGAAGGGCTGGTAAGTCCTACAGAGAAAGTGGGGGAATTTGCCCTAAATAAGAAAAAAAGCAATCTAATTGCTCCTCCGCAGTCCCGAATGTCGCAAACGCAAGATCAAATGTGACGAGAAACAGCCGGAGTGTACCCAATGCGTGAAAGCGCGTCGGTCCTGTCGCATAGTTGATGGGTTGTTTCGGCATTCCTCCTTATCCTTCCCGGCTGTATCATCCTCTCGGGCCGATCAAGGCACGGAGACGAAGCACTCGCTGGCCGACCCCTCCACCACCGAATGTGACTCCGCCAGAACTTTGGGCCCAAGGGTTCTTACCGAGCGCTTCGCCACTAAACGAACAATCCAATCCAGGTGTTACGGAAACCGGGGACACGTCAAGTAGAATCCGACCCAATGTACAATGCACGTCATCGCCATCGTCGGTATCCCGGCCCACCCTCATGACTGGAGAGCTCCATAATGATATACCCCACACATAACTGCACAGGCTGCAAACCTGGCGCAAATTGCCTCCCATAGTCCGGACGGCAACCTTACGGCCGTGAGCGTGAATTCTAGCCACATGGCCACTTTCTCGAGGAGCCAGACCGGAGAAAGTCGCCAAGACCAGTATGGGATTGCGTTCTTCTTACGCCGATTCGCGCAGGGTGCTGGACAGTGGATGGATGTTTTCACAAACCAACCTTCCTACCTCACTAGACATGTATTGTCTCTGGCAAACCGCAGTCCGTTGATCCGTTACTCGGCATGTGCCATTGCCACAAAGCAGTTGGGCCAAATGAAAGATCCTGCCAGCAGGACTAGAAAGTCGCGGGGTATGAGTCGGGTGGCAAAAAATCTGGCATCCGGCGATTTGGACTTACTCTGGTATGGAGGAAAATATTATGAGAAGGCCATTTTACTCCTAGCTCGACAGATCTCCCATGAAGACTGTTCAGCCTGTGGTCTCTCCCCTTGTGCGATATATCAGACTGGTAGCCATTCCAGTGGAGGCCACGATCATACCGATGAAGAGCCCGATAGCCACTTGCCCCTTTTTCAAGTCATTGCAGCATGTCTTCTTTGTCAATATGAAGACCTCAGTGCCACGATGCGTGCGTGGAGTGGCCATCTCGACGGGATTCTGAAGTTAATTCGCCCTTGCCTTGATATACCGATTCCATCCGACGCCTCATTTCACATACCTCAGCCTGCTAAGGCCCTAGAGGCTTCTTTTTGGTTCTTCGCTACGACTGACATGTTGAATAGCTGTAAGCGCACCAGATTCGAAACACCGGCCAAAAATAAACTGACCGCTGGTTTTATCCAGTGACCCTCCGTCAACCAACGCGAATAGATTCACAGTATCTTCCACTCCGGCGAGCGATGGGTGTCCCTCTAGACGAGGCAGGCGATTTGGTCACGGACCACATTCCCGACGCCTGCCAAGAAGAAGTCTTTTCTAAAGCTCTTCTTCGAATTCTAGGATCTTTAGTAAGTCATGACATTTCCAACAGTCATGAATGGGCAAATGTCGACGCCCAATTCACTTCTTGGTACAAAGCCCTTCCACCTCAGTTCTTAGCTAGTATCTCTTAGCCTTCTTCCCCATCATCACAGACCCAAAACTCTCCTGATTTAACCGAATCTGATATCTGGTTTGAAAATGATATATGTGCTATATCCATGGCATTTTACCATATGGCCCGGATTCTATTACTTGTGCAGCAACCACGGGATACCCTTAATCATGCTTCAACTCAAACATCTCCTTTGGATCTCCTGAGCACATATAACGCACTCCAGCGTGATTTACATTATCATGCTAAGAAGACCGTGCGAATCTCAAGTGGCTGGACGGAGAGTAATTTCCACAAATACATGATCCAGCCATTGTAAATTGCTGGGCGCTGTCTGATGACTAAAAATGAGAGACGACACGTTCATGACCTCCTGAGGCAGATTGAAGATGAACTTGGCCTGTTCACAGAATAAAGGCGGCATGATTTATCAAATGAGTGGAATGTTCCTTTTGAACACTTTGGCGAGCAATGATTAGAATGATCATATGTATTTGTATGTCTTATGGCGGGCTGCATTCATGTTGCCAAATCGCTTGCCAATGAATGGAGGGACTTTACGCGTGTGAACTCTGTCTCTCATGGATATATTTACACTGGTTTATCAGATTATATTCCAAAGGAGACGAAGGATCTATGGAGATCATTGATTCTTATGGGTCGAAGTGGAGTATCGAAGGAGATCAAGAGACTCTACGTTTATCTTCTCAGTGATGCCAGTACACATATTACCGGAGCTGATATCTTGGTGGACGGTGGTCACCTCGTACGGTGAAAAAAAAACTATTCACTATCCATATGTTACAATATTTTCAAGTGTATTACGAACAAGATCTAAATATCAAATTGGCCTCAAGTGGCTAACGTCCTCCAGGTCCGAGTGTAAAATCAAGACCACATAGCATTGCATTTCACTTTGTTATGGTTGGTGATCATAGGCAAATCTCAATTACTCGTAGAGGTACTGTCGAAAGACGTATACCTTGATTGCGACGTGGTTAATCCCTAGGTACCAACTGTTGTGCACTAAACCGACGATACCTTCCAGCGACCATAGCGCGAAACTTTTTGCCGAAGTAGATGAAGATGACATTTCCAAGCAGGGTCACGAGTGAGATCAGGCCAAAGGTAACGTAAAACCAAGTTAGTCCGACACGGTCACACCATGGCTGCAACGCGAAAACAAAAACGGTAGAGATGAGGTTTCGAATAAATGTCACTCCGACGACAGAGTCCGCGATGATCTTATAATTTTGTTATTAGCTGTTCAAAAAGAGAAAGGGAAAATGGCATACGTCTGTATATGCGTCCGTGAGGTATGTCAAAGCAGCACTGCATGGTGGGACAACACCAAATCCACTGACTCCAAGCCCAAAGGCCGGTAAAAGCCAATGCGAACCATTGTTCAATCCGATTCCAAACATGAAAAGTCCCGCCGGGACAAGAGGGGCAAAGATCAAAGAGAGCCAGAGGCGCATCTCTGGTTCAAATATTCCTCCATTTCGCTTCGCAAGATACATTGCTATGTAATCGCTCAATGGGCCACAGACGAGAGTTGCCAAACTTGTGCCAATGAAAGGCGGAATTCCCATCAAACCAATTTGAGCAGGACCAAAGTTGTAAGGCGGGAGTGTCATGACAGAAGAGAGAGTTGTAACTGGGACCGTTGTGCAAGCAGTCATAATTCCATATTGAAGGGCCATGAAGAATACCGCCGGGATACTAGACATCACTAGGAAGGGTTGGTAGGTGTGCTTCATCAGCTGCCCAACTGATAATGTCGAATTGGACCAAAGAGCGAGCGTTTCGCGGTATGATTTCAGTGGAATATCGCGATCAACCTCGGTGATTTGGGTCTGTTCTTGTACAACTTGGACTTCTCTGGCTACCTCCGGGTCGATGTCCTCTTTATCCACGATCTTCCCCGGCTTCAATTGCTCGGCAATTGGGACTCCATCAATAGGCTCACAAAACATCGTCTCTTCATAAAGGAAGACAAAAGCAAGTAACCCAGCCCCAAAAAGAATGGCCATCCACCACCAGACCCATCTCCAGCCTTGTGAAAGAGTGATAAATCCACCAGCGAGCGGTGCTAGAGTGACTCCGACCGTCATGAACCAATAGTATATGGTGTTCATGAGTCCTCTTTCATGTACAAAGAATACATCTGCGATGGTCATCTGTACGAGTACCTCTGCCAATGAGCCGACGATACAGCTCAGAACATTAACCAGCATTAAATCTGCGACCGTCTCCATTTTTGCGGACCATACACTGATTCCACATTGAACTGCGGTGCTGAGAACGTAGATGGGTCGGCGGCCAAATTTCAATGCAAATGGAATCAGGAAAACGCCCCCGATACATAACGCACCGCATCCTGCAGCATAACTGTCATTTAGCAATGCAAAGCTGAAACCGAGGTCTGCGTTGACCGAGCCCCATGTTACTGTAGCGACATCTATTCTGAAAAGATATGTCAGTTTCTCTTCAAGTTTATCCCAATGGCCTGAGTACTCACAGTGCGAGGACCATCATGACATAGTAAGACACAAGAGCAAAGTTCAAATTCTTCCTCCATCGCGGCCAATTCTTGCAAATAGATGTCAGCCTTCGAGTTCATCTGCCCCTTTGAAGGGCTCATTAAAGTGTTGCTCACAAGAGGGTCATTAGGATCTCGACTGGGCTTGGGCTCTAATATGACATCGGATGTTCCGTTTGACTGCGAATAATCTGTTGCGAAGTTCTCTCTGTTAGGAGTAGGTCTAGTTGAGGGATTGTAGCGGGTATCTATCAACCTTCGATTCTGACTGTTCCTGGTGGCCATTCAGGGTCCGTTAATTGATTATGTGAAGACATTTTGGTGTCTTGGAGTATGTTGGCGTTGTGTGGGGATCAAGGGGAGAAATTTGGACAACCGCACCAGGAGTGGCGACAGGACTATTTTATGTTATTTCTCCCAGTCCATCTTCATATACAGTATTTAAGGCGTCGTGTCATATGCGTATGACTATAGTTACTATCTCAAGATACGGGTATATTCTTGACCATTCAGGGTCAGCGAGGAAATCAAGGGCGCAATGAAGCTTTCCTCGAAGGGGAAGGTTGAGGCAACAGCCAATGAACTGAAAACCAATCTCAGGTTTATCATCATTCTCCGTCGATCCAATATGCGGGGAATTAGACTCTTGATAAGCGAGAGGCTGGGGTAGATGCCTTCACCTGACCTATTAAGCCAAAGGTTCCAAAGATGTAGTTCCGGTATTCGGCAATCTGTACATATCGCGTCCCGAAATTTTCTATAGTAAGTCGAAAAAGAAAACTCCATTGATCTCAGTCTTTGGTTGATCACTGTGACAGTTGCATTGATGAGCGAATCAGAACGTGACCAATAGTTTTTTGACTTCCTCATGGATCATCCAAACATTACTTGAGCATAGGTCGGCTGGGCATCTTTGATAGACCCGTAAATCAGCGTAAGTATTCAAAACAACTAGAATACGTCTTTTCTCGCCGCTTCTACTATTGAACTATCCATTACGGAGTAACATACTGTAACAGATTGTCGACAAAGCTAGATAACGGTTCTGGGGATTGTAAACTCGGCTATCTGTGCGCAACATGACTCCACTATCACCCACCTAAACTGGCCAATGGTGTCAAATTGCGCCGCCAAGAGATTGCAGCCTCCCGGCCAATATTCATTACAAACAATTATTGCAAGGGTGAATGTCGAGATAGCATCTCTAACACTGACTCAATAGCGATAGAGTCCCGGACTCAAATGCCGGGCACTTTGAAGGTTTCACCATGCCCGTTTCCCCCAAAAATGTCCTGGTGTGAAGGGGTTCTTCGCCATCCGCTCCGTGCATCCACAAAGAGTAGGTCCTACCGAATCGGAGCTTCCACGCCTCCCGATGCTACCCCACGTATTTCATTAAATAGCATCTCCAGCTCCAAATTTGTACTCAACCCAATGTCCAGTTCATTAAATCCGCTAAGTTATTGACATGACATCCGTCTTCCAGAATGGACGCGTTTTTGTGCCCTCGGCCAACAACCCCAATGAATTTGCCGAATCGATGATTGTCGAGAACGGCCAGATAACGTATATCGGCTCTCTTGATAACGCCAAAGTCCCCGCAGATGCAAAAATTGTCGATTTGAAGGACCGCGTCGTGGTTCCTGGCTTCATCGATAGTCACGTACACATCTTGCATTATGGACACTCACTACGCAAAGTCGATCTTATCGCGTGCAAATCTCTAGAGCAGATTCGCGAAGCTATTAAGGCTTACGCGACTGCCAATCCGTCCGTTCCTCAAATCCTGTGCCGTGGATGGATCCAGTCTGTCACAAATGGAGTCGCTTTGGCCAGTACGCTGGATGATCTCGATTCCAGACCCATCTATATCGATGCTTTTGACCTCCACTCCATGTGGTGCAACTCTGCTGCATTGGATGAGATGAAGGCGCACACTGCTCCGGATCTTCCCGGGGGTAAAATCTACCGCGATGAGAGTGGAAAAGCTACCGGTTTACTGGATGAGTCTGCTCTGATGAATCTGGCCTGGCCTCATGTGGAAAGTCTCTACTCGAAAGAAGATAAAATGACTGCTCTGGATACTGCTATTTCTGCATACACCGCGGCAGGATATACAGGAATTGTCGATATGGCTATGGATGAGGGAACGTGGGATATTCTCAATGAATATCGTCGCGATAAGACCATTCCGTTCCACATCGGAGCACATTGGCTTGTTCCATACACCGATGATCAAAAGGCTAATTTCAGCTACGTTGATCGAGCCATTGAACTACGCAAAAAGTTCCCCGACCCCCATTTCACCGTTCTGGGAGTAAAAATTATTAGTGATGGTGTGGTGGATGGATGTACAGCCGCACTTCTTCAACCATACACTGGAAAGTCGGACCCAGTGGAGCCAATCTGGCCCGCGGATAAGCTGCAAGAAATCATTCAGCGCGCTGATTCGGCAGGTCTTCAATGTGCTATTCATGCAATTGGAGACAGAGCAATCAACCAAGCAATCAATATTTTATCAAATGTCGGCACACCTGGTCGCCGACACCGGATCGAACATTTAGAAATGACTACGTCCGAGGATGCAAAGAGACTAGGGCAATTGGGCATCACAGCATCAATCCAACCCGTGCACTCGGATCCAGCTCTATTCAAAGCATGGCCCAGCCTTGTCGGCTCTCATCGATGCAAGCGAGCCTTTGCGTATAAAGAATTTCTGGACGGTGGTGCCCCGATTGCTATCGGAACAGATGCACCCACTGCCGCGCATTTCCCGTTCCCAAATCTTTATAATGCCACAACACGTCGTTCCGCGCTTGAGCCAGAGTCCACCGAGACTGTCAACGCACACTTCGGTATTACATTGGCGCAGGCGGCGGCTGCTGCTACTACCGGCGCAGCCTATTCTCGATTTGCCGACTCTTGGACTGGGAGCCTGAAGGAGGGACTCACTGCCGATTTCCTTGTTGTCGATATGCAGTGGAATCCAGAGACACTACTCGAGGCTAAGGTATGCCAGACATGGTATAAGGGTGAGAAGGTCTATGATTCCAATGTAATTGTAAAGCAATAGAGAGAGAGCAATAGAGAGAGAAATGAAAAATGGTTTTCCCCTGTATCTCCCGTGCTTCGGAATTTCCCCTCTATTAATAATGATCTTCTCCCGTCAGTAAATACCGCGTAAGGTGTAACGATCACCCAACTGTATCCATCCTTTGGCGACCTTGATGATTACCAAACATGATTATGCATGATTCATAATCAAAAAAGGAAAAAAGACGTCAGCTTGACTATGCTCATCTATTAGTCTGACATATATAACTTGAGCCAGAGTCTCTTTATTTTTCACCTCAATGTTGAGAATCCAAGTTTACTAAGGTGCACAATTTGAGTTTCAAGTTGATTTATAACCGAATTCCGTCTATTTACAGTTCAAACTAACTTCGAGTTGGCACATAGCTCTGATGTCTGCCGATACTATACCTATAACGACAAAGCACTGGAGCTTCGCTGGCCAAAGCGGAGTTGACTCTTTGATTTACATAGAGGCACCAGTACCTGTTCTTCGAGACAATGAGGTCTTAGTTCAATGTTCGTCGCATTTCATTCTACCTATTCATGCATATTTCACCCAAATTCAAAACTAAACTATGTCATTTTAGTACGGGGTGCGTCTCTTAACGTAGGCATGAAATCCACACCCATCGACAGTACTTACTAACCTGTGAAGTTTCGTGATATATTAATTCCGCAAGGCAAATACCCCTGGACTGTCAAACCCGACGTTGTCCTGGGGTCCGACGGTGCTGGTTTTGTATTAGCGATCGGCAAAAGCGTGACACGATTCAAGCCTGGTGATAAAGTCATCACTATGCTCAATCAGCAACATGTATCAGGCCCTGCGAATGAAAGTATTCTTGAATTTGGTACAGGGGCTTCGATCGATGGAACTTTTCGTTCTGTAGGGGCTTTCGATGAACAAGGTCTTGTAGCGATGCCCCATACCTTGAACTTTATTGAGGCTGCCACACTCACATGCGCTGGTATCACTGCTTGGAATGCGCTCTTTGGGCTAACGGGAAACCGGCTCATGCCAGGACAATGGGTCCTCACCCAAGGGACAGGTAAGCTTCGCTAAAAAAACGTTCTGGAAGCACATATTCTTACTGAATTTCAGGTGGGGTTAGTATCTTTGCCCTTCAATTTGCCAAAGCCACTGGTGCTAGGGTGATTGCGACTACTAGTTCACCTGACAAGGTTGAGCTGCTCAAAGGCCTTGGGGCCGACTATGTCATCAACTATCGCCAGACCCCTAATTGGGGCTCTGTAGCAAAAGGGCTCACTGGAGGCTCCGGTATTGATATTGTTGTTGATGTAGCTGGTGCTACAACGCTCAAACAGAGCGCAGATAGTGTCAAAGTCGAGGGTCTTATCTGTGTGGTCGGCATCGTGGGTGGTGATGGTGAAGCTGGTGAGATCCCCACATTGCTGGACGCGTGGAAAAGTAGCTATACAGTGAGGGGTATCTTGGTCGGTAGTAGAATGCAGATGGAAGAGATGTGTAGAGCTATTGATGGAAACCCGACCCTCCGTCCTTTTGTTGATCCCCACACCTTCAAGCTCGACCAGCTCAAGGAGGCCTATGAGTATTTATCTTCCGGAAATAATCAAGGAAAGGTTGGAATTGACATACTGTAACTGTGGCTTTGCAATTTAGCTATACCTTTATGGCTGCAAACTAAACCTTGATTGAGTTGCCCGAGGTATTTGTGAATTGTGTGTTTTGGCCTTTTGGAGAAGGTACGCCTACCACATGAGGCTGAATGCATCAACTCTTACTTTGAAAAATACATGGAGACTCCTTTACGACTCCGCACACCACTCTTCCAAGTTCGTGCGGGGAAAACAATACATCTGTTAGTTGACCCGCACCTATAATAAGCTATCATCATGACATCACCACGACTCGGAGGCGCCACCAAATTTCGGTATTAAAATTTTATAACATTGATTTAGTGGGAGAAATGATATTTTACAGTAGTTTCTTAAGTACAAATAATTCCCATGATACATTCAATGAAAAACATTCCCTAGGTCGATCCATATGGCGGGTTTCTTGATGGAAGCCTTACTCTTCGGGCTTCCGAGGCTCTTCATGTTTGGCATACTGGTCAGACGATCGTCGAGAGGAGCTCGCGTCTTTATGTCAATTAGATCACAGTCCATTCAAAAAAAACTAAGAATATCACAACAGAGGCTCCACGTACCTTGAGCTGAGTTGTTCTGATTCGAGTTATGCTCTGTCATATTCTGAAGATCTTCCATCGCGTGCTGATGGGCTAGCTCGGAGCACATTGCTTTGGGAGACCTGTAGAGGTATGTTAACAAATTATCATGACTTAAGATGCATATTTTTTTCTTACGGTGCAACATTGCGATCGATAATCGTATCCAAGTCATTCAACTTGTGAGTCTTCGTAGTAGTTTGGCCATACTGGTACATCGTGTTTGGATCAAGGGGGTTGGCGTCAATAGCAGACGTGACCATTTTGAAAGTTCGAGAAGCTTTGCGACTGAAAGTTTTACTTTGGAATGATAAAATAAGTAGAATATTTCACTGGGGTTATGTGAAAGTTCTTGGAATGACGAGGCAGTGTGGCCTTAATATAAGGGTTAGGTGCGGGGGGAGCTCTGTGGAACATTCGGCAATTGAGTGGCGACCTATGATATAAAGACTATGTACGATAACGCATTAGGCGGAATCTCAACATTCAAAGAAATCCGAATTCCTGTGGCTGACTTTCGGTCTTTGTAAGGTAAGGTACGGGTGTTCTGGTACGGATAAAAAATCCATCATTAGCTTGTATTCCTCAGTTGAGTTTTGTTTGTCTTCATTTGTTTTAAACACAACATCTGACAATTTGCCATCGATGGCGTGGGCATAATCACTGTTTGAGTAAATACTGGTAGACGCCCATACCAGCCAAGTCACTTGCAGCAAAAGACGTTGGCTAGCTATTTGATAATTGCAATTATGCCCTGCAAAATCCTAAAAAGGGGTTAATAAATAAAATAATCCAAAATATGATCATGATTTTGCAAACAGAAATGGCTTGATTTAATTTTCTCGCAGTTTCTACTACCTACCAGAATAACCTCCAAATTCGAAAGATTTGAACGATCATAATACTATATATCGATCACAGTATGTACTAGCAGCTTAAACTTCAAGAAGTTGGACACTTTCAAAAAAGCCCCACTGACAGAGCAACTTGAACCAATCATCTTGACGTTATCAGGCATAGGTAAAAACAAAACCCCGATGTATTATTCAAGGACTTTGATCTTCCATATGATGTCCAAATTCCTAGTTTATATCTTGAGCTTACTTATAGATTAAGCTTCCACCTATAAGCGTGGAGGTGGTATACTAGTACTAGTAGTAGAGGTGGTCCCAGTGCAGTATCATAACTTCATAAGCCACCTGGGCAGAGAGTCAGCTTTAGTGTATTATACTATATAGCGCATCGACCCTCTATCAGTTGAAATAGATAAGTATGTTACTGGATCGAATGTGTAGCGCGATGCTCGGATAATCCTTTGGCGGCCTCGAAATCGTTAAAGAACTACATGGAGTTTCCTAGTGCCTCTTTTTGAAGAATGGGTCCTTTTATCTCATCTCTGTACATCTCTAGTTATGAATATTTGATTTTTACCTTTCTATGCGGTTCCTGCTGTTTATAATTGCTATTGTGTGCGGAATGGATAAACAGAGGGAATGAACACTTTGTTCGCATTCTCCGGATTCAAGGGCACGTCCCAACCGCAAAAGACTGGCCGCAGGGCCACATTCCTCAACCTTTTGAAAGAGGAAAACAAATAACAACCAAAAAAAATTAAAGTATGATGAGAATGAATATAAATATTACTTCGCAATACCTAGCTCCGAAAATACTATCTCGCCCAGGCTGACCTTTTCTTTTCGTTTTACATCGCCTGTCGGGACACTTTTTCCTATTAATCAATATGCGGGCTCTTTCTTTACTTTCTATTGTTTCGCTGGCCAGCGCTTCTTATCCAGCCCCAGGTCCCTGCTCAGGAGACTGTTGGACTCATGATCCATCCATGATCCAGCGCGCCTCGGACGGTGCATACTTTCGTTTCTCGACAGGCTCGGGTGTCAACACGATGACCTCGCCCTCAATCGAGGGACCGTGGCAAGATGTGGGCGCAGCACTGCCGGATGGCTCCATAATCAAGCTTAATGATGTCGATAGCATGAATATTTGGGTAAGTGACGAAATATTCAGATAAAAAGAAAAGAATGCACAAAATTGACGTATACAAATCTTGAAGGCTCCAGATCTACATTATGCAGATGGCACATACTACATGTATTACGTGCTATCGAAGCTCGGCACGCAGAACTCGCAAGTTGGTGTGGCAACATCCAAAACGTTAGAGCCGGGCTCGTGGACCGACCACGGCGCAATTGGCCTGCCTGCCAACAATGCCTATAACCGCATTGACCCTAACTGGATCGCTATTGATGGGAAGGAGTACTTGCAATTCGGGTCCTACTGGAAGGACCTCTTTCAGGTTGAACTAGATAGCCCGTTGAAGGTCGGCTCCGTGCCTTCACATCAGTTGACTTACAATGCTAGCCTAAATCATCGCGAGGAGGCCGCTTTCATGTTCCAGCATGGCAGTTACTACTACCTCCTCTATAGCGGCGGACTAGCTGGCTCCTACACAGCGACTAGCCCGCCTCAAGGCGAGGAATATCGCATCCACGTGTGTCGTTCAACCACCGGACTTGGAGGCTTTGTAAGTATTCACCGAAACTTTCCAGGTGAACGCCACTGACCTTTTACGTTTAGGTCGATAAGTCTGGTACTTCTTGTTTAGAATCGGGCGGCTCTATCCTACTTCAGAGCCATGACCAGATATATGCACCTGGTGGACAGTACGTATCGGATAGGGGTTCTTTTCTTGTAATTTGACTGTTTGAAAATATATCATGTGACTAACAAGATTTTTCAGGGGTTTCCTCAATGATCGAGAATTCGGTCCCGTCTTGTATTATCAATACTATCCGCTCGCTTTGAAAGAAGCAGGTGGCAATGGCGACGCCGGATACCTTTATGGTTGGAATCAGCTCGGCTGGGAGGATGACTGGCCGTACGTGAAGGAGACTGCCGCAAACTTCAACACCGCATACGTGTATGATGGGGATGAAGACGGCCCAGAGGAAACTGGCTCAGAGCAAGTCGCCTCGCTGGAAGCCGAGTCACCATATGGGGCAGTGGAAAACGACGCGAATGTGAAAATCACATAAGAGGCAGCAATATGAGCAACAGAATGGCAAAGGGATTTCTGAGCTCCGGCGACCTGCCTTTAATACTAAATGTACCTAGCTAAACTTAGGGGACTAGAAAATTAAACTTAATACTGTTTAAGCCACTGATTAGCTATTGACGGAATGGGGTCTTGCAAAGCGATTTCATGGGCTCATCCCAATGTATATCATATATGCATTTCTAGGACATCAGGATAATTCTCTAAGCAAATCACCTTGGTTGAGTCACGGTTCAGTCAGGACACTAGACGCTCGAGGCCAGTGTGTTCATGATTGTCAAGGGAAAGATGACGGCTTCCAACACCCGCCGTGCGGAGTTTGAAAAGGAGCTGGCTGATGCCAAATGTGCATTGGAAGTTGCACGTGTCCAGGTGATGAATGTTTTGGCTGAGCGTGATGCGCAGGTTGTCAGAGCTCAGGCCGCGGAGAACCTTGTTGAGGGGCAAAAGGTAACCATCGAACACTTCAAGAACGATGTAGATCGCTTCGAAAGACTGGTGAAGTCGTTGGTTCTCCAGCGAGCTGCTGCCGTGGAAGCAGCCAGAAAGGCTCTCGCGGAGGAGGCCAAGGCCAGAAACCAGGCCGCAGTGGCTCGAGCTCACGAGAAAGCTATCAGAGAGGACTTCGAATCACTGGTTGTGAGATTTGAGATTCTGGAAAAACAATACGTGCTCTCTCAAGACGGGAACAAAGACCTCAAAATCAAATTTCATGAGTCTTTAGATAAGCTCAAATTGCTTACTGAGCAATTAGATCACCTGAAGATTGAGTTGGAAAAAAAGATCGAAGCCAACGAAGTTTTTCAAGCAGAAAACGCTGTATTCGAGATCGGAATCCAGGAAGTCCAGGCTGCCGCGGATCGGGCGAGAGACCGTGCGACGAAGGCGGAGGAAGATCGCGACGAAGCAGAAAAGGCTTACCATGATTCCCATCGCAAGGAAAAAGAGTTGCACAGACGACATGTCAGGGTAAAGATAGAATGGGAAAATTCCCAATATGAGTTGAAGGAGGGGCAGATGAGGAAAAAGAGCCTCCGGATTGAGCGTGAGCATGTCATAAAGGTGGCCCATTACAATAGCCACTGGACGAAGGAAACCGTTGAGTGGGGCCAAGCCTTGAACTTCATGAATCACCGACTTCTTGGAGAATGGAGATCCATGCAAGACGAGAAGGAGAAGGCTTTGGAGAAGCTCCTCGATACAGAGAGAAAAGGTCTTATCTTTGTTGGTGATTCAACTGAGGCCCGCGAAAGAATCATCGCCCTAGATGCCCAATTGGGCATGCTCATTGAATCCAGGAGAGCCTCTGAAATTGACCAAGATACTTTGGAGAGGCAGTGGGAGGAGATGAAGAAAAAACTGAAAGATGAGGTTGAGTTGAAAAAGAAAGAGCTTAATGATACCCACGTCATCTGTATGGGACTGCAGGAGCAGCTTACCGCTGAAAAGGCCCACAACCACGATACCACCGAAAAGCTAGACGCTGCAAATGCGCAGATCAATGGCACCAAGGAGGACTGCAAGAACACTGTTGCCGCAAAGGAGAAGGAACATGTCGACAAGCTGAAGGATGTGGAGGAGAAGGTCCAGCAACGTATCACCGATCAAGTGAATGCTACCCTTGAACGTACCAGCCACCGCTCATATGTTTACACAAATGTCACTCTGCTGGAGATCTTCTACGGTGGAAAGCGCGTGGACGACGTCGCTATTTACAAGAACATCGGTGAACACTGGGGTTCCTCGGAGCCTTTGGCTCTCAACAAGATCTTCGGTGACAAGGACAAGAAGCAGACTGTGATTATTTATCGCACCAAGTCTAGGGATGAACCTGCAATTCTCATGGCCTCGGCACAGGATAGTGCGCTCAAGCTTCCTCCTCTTAAGGGCCCCAAGCACTAGACGAGCTTTTGGTATCTGCACCCTTATCCGCAGATAATTGTTTTACTCTCCTTTTGTATTGAATACAGTTATTTCTTTGGTTTGATATATAGGATTAATAATATGTAAATTTGAGTCATTATTATTTCTTTGGCCTTTTTCTTTTTGCCTTGCTGTTCTTCTATGTTTTTGTTAAGTTTGAAAACTCACTTTTCCATCGAAAATATAATCTTGAACCTGATTTAAATTCGACTTCTAGTTTTTGTCTATAAAACACATAAGGATTAGTAAAAAGAATTTGAAAGAGGCTTTCTAGATGGGTTACTGATCATAAAGGTAAAGGTTTGAATTTGGTATCAAGTGTTCAAAAGAAACACTGAATAAATAATGCCCCTCTTTACTGAGCGGGGGTCATTGAGTGCGGACCCACTTCTCTTCATTTCTTGAATCATCGGCCTTCGTCATTTAATTTCCACCATCTACTCATAAGTACTCAACATGTCAGACCAAAACAGCACAACACCGAGGGTTTTTATCGCCCGTCACGGTAAGTGAAACATGTATAAATCTAAAGGCGCAAGGGCCAATTCTTCTACCATAGGCGAAACCGAATGGACGATCAACGGGCGATGCACGGGCAAGTCGGACATTCCACTCACGGCTAACGGTGTTGGTCAAGTTCGAGGCACCGGCGAGCTACTTGTGGGACATGGAAAGCTCATTAACCCATCCAAAATCGCCCATGTATTTTGCAGCCCACGTCAACGCGCTCAGAGCACGCTCGATCTGCTTCTTGGCGATGCGCAGAAAAATGAATTTTTGAAGCAGGGGAAAATCACTACCACAGAGGATATCGCTGAATGGGATTACGGTGATTACGAAGGAGTGACGCCGCATGACATACGCGCGCAGAGAAAGGAGAAGGGGTTGGACACCGCCAAGGCCTGGGATATTTGGACAGATGGGTGTGAAGGTGGAGAGTGAGTTTGCTCGCCGTTCTTCTATTTTTCTTATTTTATCTATGAATGATGTCCCTTTTTAACATGATATAGATCCGCGGAGCAAGTTCGTGAGCGTCTAGACCGCCTGATTGAAACGATATACAGTATACAAAAACCCCACATGAATGGTGGAGCTGCTGCGGACATCTTGATAGTATGAGATACACCCCCTTTCTATTGAAGTCGACAATGTTTCATGCTAACACCATACCTATCTAGGTTGCTCATGGTCACATTCTTCGTGCCTTTACAAAGCGCTGGCTGAAATATCCAATGGATTTTCCTTTCACAATGATGATGGAACCAGGCGCTATTGGAATTATGAGTTACGCGCACCACAACATCTCAGAGCCTTCGATATTGATCGGCATGGGATTTCCCCAGAAGGCCTAGATTAGATCCATCCTAAACAAGTATTATATTTACGCCTTGTATAATATTACCTTGTTCTCAACCGTCTTTTCGGAATGCGGAGCCGTTTGCCTCATAGAAGTTGATGTCCGGTAGTCTTTGAACTGCCAGGCCCAGAGATTCGCCTTAAACAATTCATCAACCTCATCTAGGGATCGCCCTTTTAATTCAGGAACAAACAATATGGCGAACAATAATGCCAAACCCGAGTTACCACCAAGAACCCATCCAACTCCAGCCTTCAAATTAGCGCCTGGAGTCCCAAGTAGATAGGGAATGGAGATGGTGATGACAATGGCTGCAATAACATCTACAGCCGTCGCAACCGCAATTGCTATCGAATAGTGAGCTAAATACCAAAAATCCCATACAGAATGAATACCGACTCTTTTTCCGCATCCGCGTACCCCCAATTTCTGCGGCAATCAGATAAGCTAACGTAGAAGCAGAGTATTTAATGCTGGCAGAGAGCAGGATGAGTGCAGCAATGACCATGTTGGTCTCTGGAGTTGATATCTCGGCCTTTGAGCCGAGTCCAGCAATGAGGAAATTGAATAAAGTTGCCAAAAACATGCCACTGATAAGCAGCGGTCGACGGCCAACTCGGTCTGTCACAAGGCAAGAAATCAATGCTCCAACAAAGCCTGCTACTTGAGTAAGTAGAGAATAAGTAAATGATTTATTACCAAGTCCCATATCCTTGAAGAATGTTGGCGCGTATGAGATTACAAATTGACCACCGGTAGTTTGTTGAAACTGCGAAGATTGTCAGTACCATCAGGTTAAGCATATGATTTCAATAGTCCGATAAATCACTTGAGAACATACCCAAAACAGAAGAGACGCTATAATAACACGGCGTCGGTAGTTTCCCCGGAACAATTCAAGCCAAGTTCCATCCGCGCCAGCCAAGTCCGACTCTTGGGTACAGGACATTGCATCCAACTCAGCCTCGGTGGAACGATCTTCGACTTGACCTGAAGGGCGCAGCCGATTCAAGTTTCGCAAAGCTAATTCATTATTTTCTTGCTCCAGCAGCCAACGCGGGGATTCTAGGTAAAAAATTTCTCGGGCAAATTTAAGGAGCATCGTCTGCTTACCAACAGTGAAAGGAAGCCCAATCAGGAGAATCGCGGCTGGAATCAATTGAACGCCGACGGGTATCAGCCATGCAGCATTATTTGTATAGCTGGTCATAGCCCTCCCCATACCAGCACCCCAAATATTTCCCAGAGTCACAATGCACATTAAGGAGCCAGAGAAAGCCCCGCGCAATGACGATGGGGCAATTTCGGCTGAGTAGGAGGGTACAGCATTTTCCACGAGGCCCACTGCAAGATATGCGATGATTCTGCCAACAGAAAATTGAACCCATTCGTGTGCAGTCAATTCAACTAAAAAAGAGTTAGTTAAAACATATCAATTTTCAAGAAAATCGTTTCATACTTATTATACCAACAAACTGAATCATGCATGCAACCAAAATTGACATTTTATACCCGTATCTCTTTGCCAGCGGCTCGAAAGTTACAGTACCCAAAAACTTGCCAGGCCAAACAACTATAGTTGATATCTGCTTTTAGAATATTTTATATCACCAAACAATTTGAAGAAACTCTGAGTGACATACTGCCGTTCATGACTGCCTGTCGCGATGTAGATAACTCGTAGGTACCGTCGACGCTCTGGGTTCCAAATACCTTCAACCAAGGGGGAGAGCCTGTATAGAGCCAAAGGAGCCAGTATCAATACCGAAAAGAATGCCACCCCATGCAAATAAAAGTGCGCAAAAGAGAAGAAATGGAGTTCCATCTTTCCACCTGCCGTTTGTAAACAAGTTGAACCTGAGCATGATCGCTTTATGTCACAGAAAGTACAGTGGTAGAGAAACGGGATCTGAAAAGTTCCCCCTACCTCTCAAGGGATCAACAAGTTTTTATATATATGCGACGGGTTTAAGAGCATATATTCTTATATGGCAAAAATTGCGGGGAAAAGGAGCTTCCATAGGACCAAAGCGCCCAGGGCCGATATATTCGTGGTATTTCGCCGTGGTACCAGTAAATGGCGAAATCCATGCTAGTAATGGCGATCGTAGAATGCAATGTTACTGGCTACTCGATATGCCAAATGTAAGAAGTTTTTTGATGTCCGAACCGAGATGCCGCCGAGATGTTAATTTGCTGGCGAATTCATGGCGAATTCAGGTTGCTCGGCGGCTCGGTCGGCTCGGTCGGCTCAGCACCACTTGGAAGAGAGAGTCCAGCATTATTGCCCTTAACTTGAAAAACTTTACTTCGACACCCTCGAAGTCAATTACATGGAGTTCAATCATTTATCGCAATGGAGTCCATAAACCCGAAGCCCAAGAGAAATGTTCTCTTTCTGGTGGCCGATGACCTCGGCAAGTGCCTGCCATGTTATGGTGCCAAAGGCCTCCAAACGCCCAATATCGATAAACTAGCTGGAAATGGAATCGTCTTCGATGATGCCTTCACAAGCACAGCATCGTGTAGTGCGAGTCGGACCACCATTTATACAGGTCTGCATCCGCATGAGAGTGGTCAGTACGGATTAGCAGGCGGTTCAAATCATTTTCAATGCTTCGACCACGTTCAATCAGGTCCCAGACTCTTCAATGCACTTGGCTACCAAACAGGAATACTGGGAAAGGTACACGTGGGACCAGAAAGTATATTTCCCTGGGAATCAAGAGAAGAGAGCGAGACAAGAAATGTTGCTTGGGTTGCCGACCGTGCAGACGCTTTCTTTCAAAAGGCCAATGCTACGCAACGTCCCTTTTTTCTGACAATCGGCTTCGTGGACCCGCACCGAGATATCAGAACTCGAGGAGGCTTTGGAAATGCAGAAACATGCGATGGCACTTTTGTGGCCCCAGACTACACGACTGATCAAGTTGAAATCCCAAACTGGCTTACAGACGTGGCTGAAACACGCATTGAATATGTGGAATATTACAAAGCAATTTCGCGCGTGGACTATGGTGTTGGCCTAATCCTAGATGCACTCGAAAGGCAGAACCTAGCGGACTCGACTTTAGTTGTCCTCTGCAGTGACAACGGGCCTCCTTTCATCAATTTTAAGACAACGCTATACGAGGCCGGGATTCAATTGCCTTTCATTGTACGAATGCCCGGGTCCTCGTCTCGTGGTATTCGGAATCCGAACATGATATCCTATATTGACATACTTCCTACATTCCTGGACTGGGCTGGCGCTCCAATTGAGTTTTCTACACCCGTCGAGATCTCCAAGGGCCAGGTATTCACCAGAGAAACTCAACCTCCACAGCCCCCAAAGCGTGTTGGGCAATCGTTTCTACCCATTATGGATCGCACAGATATTCTCCCTAAGGAGCAATGGCAGCATCAAGTCTACGGGTCTCATACATTCCACGAGGTTGCCAATTATTGGCCCACTCGTTTCATCCGCAGTAGAAAGTACAAGTACCACCGAAATATCGCGTGGCAACTTGACTTTCCTTTCGCTTCTGATCTCTATGCCAGCTTGAGCTTTGAGGGTATTCGCAGAAATCACCACGGAGGGAAGCAGAGAGATATTATGGTCGGAGGCCGGTCACTCAAGCAATACATCCAACGTCCACCTGAAGAACTCTATGATCTGGAATCAGACTCAAGAGAAGTCCATAATCTCGCGGGTGAAAATGGCTATGATGATATTTTGGCAGGATTCAGAAGAGATATGGAGATTTGGCAGATGCAGACGAAAGACCCGTGGTTCTTAAGAGATGGACAGAGCGTCGTGGCATTACAGAGGTATTCGGATGAAGGTTTGAGAATGCCGAAGTGCTTTGACTTTTTGCTGGACAGTGTGATCTATGATGGTGCGGAGTTGTATAAGGTGGATGATCCTGCGCTCGTGGGTAGTATAGATCCTTCCTTGGGGACGACCGAAAGGCAATAGAGTGGGGATCTTGCATACATTGATACGATTTTGGCATTCTTCTCGTCATGAGTTGTAATTACTTTGGATAATACAAAAATGGAATAAATATTTCTTGAATATAGATGCACGGGGACCGCTCATCCACGCATGCAATCGAAGGCCTGGATCGCGTATGCTGTACGCGTCAGCCCCACTTACCCCGCGTTAGCTCCGCGTTCTAAACAGACGATCCAGGCCAAGACTCGGATGTGCTCATCAAACCGACAGGTTACATTTCGCCCAATTGATCCGAATCTTGGGATCATGTCCCAACCTCCAGGTCCTATCGCCTGCAAGAAAAAGCTAACCTGTGCACAATGTAGAAACAGGAAGGTAAATCATTGCTTTTCGGCATTTTTGACCGTCATAGCCTATTGCCACAATCTGTTCTTACTATCGTTAGGTCCGATGTGATGGGCGCGATAATGGTTGCAAAAACTGTTCAAGGCTGGGCTTTGACTGCTCTCTTTTATCCTTGCAAGCAATTGGCCCACAATCGATACATTACCCGCGTCCTAAAAGGGCCCGGGTATCAAGGGCCTGCGCAGCATGCCATGCAATGAAGTCGCGTTGCAGTGGTAGTTCACCTAGTTGTGAGCGATGCGTGACCAAGGGACTGGTTTGCATATACTCGCGAGGACAGCGCACGGAATTTAAATCGACAGTACCCAGAACTCAACCATCCCGTCCGATAACGCCGCTTAATGAACTTATGGATACAACAAGCCTTGATTATGATCCTGAGTCGAGGTCAGGCTCAGCCTCCGATCACCAGAACAGTTCATTGCTCAATCAATCGTATGCATGTCACCCAAACCCAATTTCGAAGATTTGCGTTCTAACGAACCGATATCTAGACTACTCCACCCTGGGAGAATTAAGCTGGCGATAGAAGTCTTTTTCAAAAGCCTGCATTGCCTTCCAACTCTGGCATTCTTGCATAAAGCATCTCTGATGCGATTCCAATCAGATGGTCAAGCTGACCCGGCTCTTGTCGCAGCCATTATAGCAGTTACCTCTCTTCTCCCAGAAATGCCGGCGACAGAAAAGGAAATTGGTTCGCGATGTGTAGACCTGGCAGAGAGCATGATTATGAGTTCGTCAAAGCGACCGTCTATCTCAAAAACACAAGCATTGATTCTCGTAATTCGGTACAAAGTCTGGACAGGGTCTTACGATGATGCTTTCATGCTCATGGCTCAACTGACTCGATCTGCCTTCGCACTTCGAATTAACCATGAGACAACCAAACCGCCCTATTTCATGCAGGAGTCACGGCGAAGACTCATGTGGGCAATATACATACTAGACTCTATGATCTCCTGTGGCATCCAAGAGTACACGCTCTGTCCTATTGGATCAATTCATATACGACTCCCCTGTCCTGAGGATGATTTTGAGTTAAATAACGAAACTAACGTCGAATACATTCGACCTTACGGAACTTCTTCTGAACGCGTCGGCATTATCGGTCATTATATACGCATAATAAACATTCACGACGAAGTAATACGGTATGTTCCAAAGCTTATTCTTGGCTCAATTTTCCTTGATTCTAACTTCGACTTCAGATACACAAGACGCGCCGCTCTTCCAACGGCTGAATTTAGCGCCCTAGTGTCAGACTCGCATAATCTAGAGCACGAATTAGAAATATTTTCATCGAATTTGCCTGACGGAGAAAGGTATTCTCAGAAGAGTTTGGAGCTGCGATCGTTTTCTCCTCGTCTCCCTCGATTTATAATGACACACGTTTGGTGGCATCAAGCCCATTGTCAACTATTTCGTGGAACACTCTCGACTTCGCACGTGTTCCCGGAATCATATATCAATAAACTGGGCCCTGAAGCCCTTCACGAGAGCCGAAAAAAATGTCTCCACCATGCACATTCAATATGCGCGATATTTGCCTCACTGCTTGCACTTGAGGGCGATACGTGGACTCTCGATTACGAGATGGCTGAATGCGCCTACACGGCAGCAGAAATTTTACTAACATCTGACATTACTCTTCAGAATCAACTTGGATTTACCAGAAACCAAATGACAGAAGGTGCTGCCGTTTGCTTACGATTGATGAAAAATTTACAGCAAATGTACCCATATCTATCTACCATGGTAATTAGGATACATAGAGTCTCTAGGTGGCCATTTACTGACTTTGGTTACAGATTGCTGACATCGAGCAAGGTCTTCTCCGAATACCTGAGATCGTTCCGTTTGGGACTGAGATATCTCAAATGATAGAAATCGCTCCATACCAGCGTGTTCCAAGATATAGCGTTCTTGGCCAGACCTGCTCTATACACGACGGCAATCCCCTTGGAGTATATACGCAGTCTCCTATATCAAGAGCTTCGGATGCAAACTTTTCCCCCTACAGCCAGGACTTGGCTCTCTCATGACCGCCGATGCAAATTATCTTACGGAGAAGACACATTCTCCGAGCTCACCATACTGGGCTATGGTAAATAATCCAACGTTTCCTGATTTAGAGTCTATTTCCAACATTTGGGGGGATATAACATTCTCCGATCCTCATATGTAATATTAGTATCGAAGAATAATATCTTTTTATCGAAGATCAAGTCATATTTTCCACACCCTGTGGTTGTAGTATGTGTTGGGATAGTATGACAACTCAAATGTAGAGCAATATTTCATGGTTGAATACTATGCTGAACAACACGGCGTGTGCAATAAATAAATGAATCCGATACTGGGTGAGAATTAGAATCCGATGTGTGGCGCTCGTGCACTGACCTCTCCAGCTGAGGTCGAGTTTAAATCATTGGCCGATCTGTTTGCAGAGGTCTAGTAGCGTTAGGCAGAAGGGTATAAGCGCTGGTCCCCTTTAGCCAAAAGCCCAAGTAATCTTGGCCTATGTAAGAGCCTCAACAGTCGCATTCCTCGTCCAATAGCTCCTTCTTTGACCGCTGGACATGGAGAGTGATCGAAATAGCAGCACTAAAGAACCATTCCATTCAACGGTGTTCTTTGAACATGGTAGCGTTCTCCAGGAGTCTATATCTTAGCCTGATTTTCCCTGGACTGGAAAATCAACCAGGTCAATTTGTTTTGCTTTTTTCTACACCGTTTTCCATCCTTGGTTTTTCACCGTTTGAACTTGACCTCCTCCGTCTCCACCCTCTACAGTACCTGTGCAGGATACGACAAACTTTCGGGCTCCTGTGCCTACTAGGCTTAGCCAGAAGAACTGCCAGACTTGAATTGCGGAGTCAGTCGATCAGCTTGTGAGAGACGGGATTTTTGCGACTGAGGTTGCTGCGTATCTTCACTCCACTGTCCAATAAGTCGGTATATTTACAAATATTGCACATTACCACTCCTCAACAGATAAAAACTGGTAACGACTGTCAATCTGCGCACATTGTCTGCTACCTACTTTCAATGTTTACATACTAAATGTCAGAGCCCCGGGACTTTATGTTTAACGAAAACAACTTGAATATCACTATTCTATTCTCTCTATAAAGCACCTGGTTCAAACTCCCCTCTATTTATTCAACAGAAACGGGTCGATGATTATTCGAAGAATTAATGTCGAACATGAATTTGTAGAAGGGATTCATGTTTCCCTGAATATGGAGGCATCCGTAGACCCGTCTGCTGCAGCATGTGCGTCGATCTTCTTAAAGTTGTTGAAAGGGCTGAGACAGAAAGCGATTCCTGCCGTGGCGATCGAAAGGGCATAAGTGACCTTGAGACCCGTCATATAAGCAGGGAGAATAGCAGTCATCTGCTCAGTTGTAAAGACGTCTCGCAGCTCGCTCGCACCGGTAGAAATTACCAAGGCTGAGTTGATATTTGGTGCAGTTACGGCAAGCTTGACGATAATTTGGTTTACAAGAGCAGCCTGCGCGGCAGCTACAGAAACGGCACCCCCAACAGTTTGAAAGACTAATGAGTGAAGTATGTTAGCAAGTTGTGTAAGATTAATCCAGATTTATGCAATAATTACTCACAGACGACAATACCTGTCACGGTCGCAATATCACTGGGAGCGACGGCGCCGTGCACCGCATTGATGGGAACCTGGTAAGCCAGTCCCCATCCAACCCCGCCGATGATTTGATATCCAATCCATTTGCCTGTACTTGAACCGATATCCAGCGAGTACAATAGCCCCGAACCGATTGTCGCAAGTACCCCACCAACGACCATAAGAGGAGCAGTATGGCCCGTTTTGGTGATGCTGCCTCCAGAGACAATGATGGCCAACGACATCGAGACAATGAGAGGCAGGTTTCGTACACCAGACATAGTCGGGTTGATGTTTTGAACACTTTGAAAGTAATAAGGAAGGTAATAGATTATAATAAAGTATGAGCCGGCGAAAAAGAACGCGTATAGTGAGTTGACGAGGATGAGACGGTTTGCCATCAAGCGCGGTGGAAAGGCAGCCCGTTCTCCTTGGAACCATTCCCATGCCATGAAAGCAATTGCCATGAGAGGGAATCCCACAAGAAGACCGATCACAGTACTGGATTTCCATGCCATTGTTTGTCCACCAAATTGCAGTGGTAGGATATATGAAGTGATGGTACAGATGAGAAGAATCGTCCCGATGGGATCTATCTGTAGGAGCTTCTCCTTGAATGTGACCTTGGCTGTCGAGGGTCTATCAGGTGCATGGAAGAAGAAAATTATGGAAGTAGCTGCGACAGCTCCAACAGGCAAATTGATATAAAAGCCTGGATAGAAAATCAACAAGTCAGCGAATTCCAGCATCTGGTGGGGAATTTAAAAATAGAAATACGCACACCACCTCCAAGTCACTTTATCTGCGAATGCACCGCCCACAAGAGGGCCAATAACAGACGCTATACCGTACGACATGCCAACAATCCCGGTAAAGAATGGTCGCCTTTTTGGACTCGCGATGAAAGCTATGATAATGAAAGCTCCACTCCCAATGCCAGCTGCACCAATTCCAGCAATTGCCCGGCCGATAATAAGTGCTACGGAATTTGGAGCCACACCACAAACCAAACTTCCCAGCTCAAAAATAAAGACTGCAAGCAGAAACGACAATTTGAGCGGAAAATATGTGTATATCTTTCCCCAGGTTGACTGGAAGCCCCCGGTAGTCATCAAGAAAGCCGACCCATACCAACTAACATCATCGAGGCTGTGAAACTGATCCGTGATTTTGGGAATCGCTGTCGCTACAATCGTCTATTTTTTGAATAGTAAATTAGATGACGACGAAGTTTGAAAGGGAGATTCAAGTCGCCATTGGAGAATTGCGAGACATACCATGTCGAGGGCAACCAAAAAGATGCTCATACCAAGAGCTAAGACAATGATGAATAGCTTGATGCCATGAGGATACTGTGCTTCGTCGTCCGCATCTGGTTCATCAGCATCCACTTTTTCTGGTAGATTAGAAGTCTCTTCAGCATTTGGAGTGTTGTGAATATCGCTTTCCAAATCGACCGAAAGGGAAACTTTCTTAAATGAAGACAGTGTGCTAGAATCTGCGTTTTGACGCTCCTTTTCCACATCGAATGTTGAACTCATTTTCGCGAATAGTAGCCAAATTTTACCGGCCGATGATTTCAGAAAATGATCTCCTCGACACGACGAATATAAGTAAATTAATACATTCGCACATGAACACCCCTTTTAGAATTTACTAAACATTACAAAGGATGTGCATTACAAATGCCTGTCGAATTCAAGCGTTCATCTCCGGACGGAGCAATGAGCAAGGAAACGTTCGCCTATAGTATGCTTCGACCGCCATGAATTGCGGCCTCGGACATATTAGTGGGGCACAGAGCGCATTTCAACCGCCGCGACGTGCATTTCCGGCGGTCGAAAGACATCCGCTGAGTCAGGTGGTCCGCGAATCCCCCGATGGTCTAATCTTGGAATCGTCGCTGTTTACATTCTATCATTTTTACGACCCCTGCAACCAAATTACCTTGACTCATTTGACTGATTGGCCGACTGCCTATATGGATATAGATTTGGGATACGACTCGGTCGCCGAATCGGCGGCTAAGCGTAGGAAGATCCGCAAAGGGACTAAAAGTTGCTGGGAGTGCAAAAAGCGGAAGATGAAATGTGTCTATGCAGTCCTGGGCTCTCCGACTGATGCTAATGTTGAAGCCATATGTGTTGGCTGCCAGCATCGAGGGTCCAAATGTGTGAGTCAGAAGTATGAATTTGTGGATGGGGGAGATAAATCGGGACTTCCCGACCGGAGGGGACGACACCATGCGAGAGGTCAAGATAAAGGCCGTATTACGCGGGTTGAGGCCTTGGTTGAGGAGCTCATCAAGAAGGTGGACCGCCATGGGAGTGTATATGCACCTGCTAATAGCGATATTCCTGCATCTATTCATGGGATCCTTACTCCTGCATCAACAGGCCAAGAATCTTCACATTTATTGTCTTCAAGCAAGCCTTCGAATGTACGTTCATTTTCTTTCCAAGGTGGAATTTCAATTTATTATCCTTGGTTTACTAAAGTTTTCATCAGGATTTCGGCCCGACCACAACTGAGGGAAGACATGAAAACTTATCCCAGAGATTGCACGCCTCCCTACCCTCGCGACAAGTAATCGAGATGATATACAAATCCCGCGGGAGAAAAGCTATACTTTTTAACGAGATCCTAAATACTCCATATGCTGCCCTTATGCAGAACGGCCTCAAGCCAGCAGAAACTTTACTCGAAATACCTAGTCCGAACTCACATCCAGTCCTGATTGCGAGGCATATGCTTTACATTGCTGGTTTCCTACAACATATCAATCCTGACGCTATTAGGACGACAGCCGGCTTGCCGGAATCATTCCTGGCATTGATGAAAAGATTAACAAAAACAGCCATTGATCTGGTTACTACAAATGACGCATTCTTTGGCAGCATCGAAGCACTGGAGTGTGTTATGCTAGAAAGCATGTACCATCATGACGGTGGAAATCTACGACGAAGCTGGATAGCGAACCGAAGGGCTATGGTCATTGCACAAATGATGAACCTTCACCAAAGTGAAAGTCAAGCAAAATTTAAGGTGCTTGACAACAAAACAAAAGCTCACCCGCAGTTCATGTGGTTCCGAATTGTGTCCCTCGACCGTAATTTGTGTCTCATGCTGGGCCTTACTCAAGGCTCCCTCGATCAGAGCATGGCCGCCGGTACAGCATTCAGAGATGATATTCCCATGGGCCGCCTGGAGAGGATGCATTGTACTCTCGCGTCTCGAATATTAGAGCGCAATGAGTCTGACCAGTGTATCAATGATTTCACCCTGACGGAAGAACTTGATTTAGAGCTACAGAAAGCGGGAAGAACTATGCCTAGCAAATGGTGGCTTGTGCCAACACTGGACGGTACAACAGATGACCCACAAGCCCTCTTTTTGGATATGGGGCGCCTTTTCAGCCAATTATATCATTATAACTTGCTCAATCAGCTCCATTTGCCTTATATGCTTCGTTCATCATTTGAGCGAAAGTACGAATATTCAAGGATGACCTGCGTGAATGCCTCTAGGGAGGTTCTCTTGCGATTTATTGCATTTCGTGGTCAAAATAAGACCAATTTTTGCTGTCGAACAGTTGACTTCTTTGCACTTATGGCAGCTATTACTCTGCTGCTGGCGCATCTCGATAGCCACCGATTTTCACAGACGAGCAACCTCTTAGCGCACCAATATCTTAGTGATCGTGCAATGATAGAGCAAGCGCAGGTGAACATGGAAGAGATCAGTCAAATTAATGGCGATGCTTTAAGTGCCCAAAGTGCGAGCTTATTGCATAAGTTGCTAGCCATTGATTCCGAAACAGCAGGTGGCGTCAGTACGGAGAGTGTTAGCGTTCAGACGCCAGGAAATGAAATTTTACAGTCAAGCGAAAACGACAGCAACGTCGTCCGCGTACAAATACCCTACTTCGGTGTCGTCAGAATTGCCCGTCGGGGAGTTGTTTGCAAAGAAACAACACATCTACCAGCTCCGACGACTGGTATCAATAACACTAAAAACTCGGAAGCTGCATTGCGTGATTCCCGCTCTGGTCTCTTGGAGGGAAATACATTCCCTCAATCGATGACTGCAGGGGAATGCAGCTCTTTCGATGGCATTCATTCTCCCCCGGCCCAGTTCACATCGCGATACCAAGATGTGGCTTCTGATACGCTCCCACATAACTATGAGGATCCTTTGCTGACTGCGGGGGTGGACGACTGGGCATTCCAAGGCGTCGATATGGCTTTCTTTGACAACATAATGAGAGGACTCGATAACGAAAATAATTCACAAACGTGGGGTGATAACCCTTACTCTTAATATACGTTATTTTATTTCTGTTCACAGATATATTAAGTTCTAACCAATGAAGTCTTCTTGTTTGAAAAATGTTTAACGATATTTCTGCAAACTCATGCATGCCTAGATTCCTTAATAGTTATCTGAAGATCAAGGTTTGAGGAGAAATCGGTAATAGGGTTTCGTATTGTAAGACCCCAAAGCTCGGTAACTAGATATCACGCCTTTTAAATTCGAAGCTTCGGGGCGATTGTTCATTTACACAAGGTAATGGTCAAGCCATTTAACTGCCTGATCAAAGGCTTGCTCTTTCACGAACCGCCATGACTTGTTGCTTAAGTCGGTACGGACCGCAAACCCATGCGTCACCACCATATAAATTGACATGCCAAGGCCGGCCAGTCTTGATCATGATATCCTCGAATTCATGTCGGAGATCGGTAGTAAATATCTCATCGATTTATGCCAGGATGAAAGAGAAGTGTAAATTGTACTGAAGATCATTTGGCTGTATTAGGTTATTATACAAATAATGAATTGCACCAATGTCGTGTTATTCCTGGCTTTCCATTCTTTCCCCATCGTGAAACTGCCCTGATTTTTCAAAGTTTTTGCGTCTTCTGGTTTTGCTTGAAATATCCATTAAGACTTTTCTCTCCCAGCAATGATTCCTCGTGCATAAAGTCCAGTTATCAAGGTCAGCCCGTACTCACTATCCCTCACAGCTGTTGAGCTGGACCCAAATTCACCAGCGGTCCGATAGACAGTTCTAATCCCTTCGTCCACTCCCCACTCCATAACCCAGCTCGGAACTTTCATGGCATCGCACACGCTTGTATCCACCGGCTGGCCTCTCAAACATTCTCTCCGGCTTTTGACCATCCTTTCCAAGCTCGCGGGGTGAGGATGCCCACTGATCAGCAGTCTTCCTTTCTGATCCGTTGATAAATTGTCCGGCATAAAAGGAACTTTAATTGTCTCCGTCAAGCTCAGTGTTTTGTCCGGGCTGATATTGTAGAGTCTCACATGAGATGAGCTTGTTGCTGCTACCGCAAGTGTTGAATCATTCAAAAGCGTTATACCATTGGGATATGGGATTCTGGAGAGTACTCGGCTAGCAGACAAGTTATTCAAGTCTAGGTAGACGATATTCCCCAAGGGTATAGCAGCATAAGTCTCAATCTTAGCCAAGGCGCGATTCTTTTGTATTTTGAAATAATGGTCGTTGCTGACGAAGAACTCATGAGCACTGATGGCACGGATTGAATTTGGTGTCGTGATCAGTGGATGAATGATTGTTCTCATATGACGTGCCACTGGCGGGTTGGAGATGATATCGAGTGTGAAAACCTCCAGTCGAGGCCCGTCAAAATGATGGTTTGCAACTATTAAGGTCGAACCTGACTCATGATATTCAATTCCAAGTGGGTGAAATTTCAAATTGTCGGCAAAATCCAACAACTCGATCTTGAATATTCCATGCGCGCTGGGATACTTGCGCTCGTTGTAGCGATAAAGATAAAGGGCTCCAGAAGGGACGGAAGACTGGTTGTCGGACACTCCCATGACGGTGTTCCACCGATCGCGGCCTGGGTCACAACTCAAGACTGCGCTACCCTTTCCTTCGATAATGAGAGCATCTTCACAATTCTTAAGCTCATGTTGGTATTTGACTTCGTACTCGGTGAAGTTGTTGAACTCCGTGATAAGAGATGGTTCATTTGCACGAATGACTGAGATAATCCACAGCCGACCTGCTATGTAAGGGTATGCCGCTGCAAGAAGAATTGCGGCCTTGACTCAGAAATTATGTTAGCGATTACTCATTTGAATTGAAGAGGCTGCTTCATTCATGCCCCTTGGGGTCATAGGAAGTTCGTACCAGCAAAGCCTTCGTGAAGAAACGTTCTCCGATCGCGAAAATCGCCATCCCTTTGGCCCAGTCAGAATTTTCTATATCAATTTCAAGGACTGTGTGAAGCTGGATGTGGGAATGTAACTGTAAAGGACATTTGGTGAGGCTGACGCTTACTTTATGAATAAACTTATTTGGACCGGTGGCCTAGGCTTCAATAAGCTCAAGCCATCTGATTTTCCAGCAGACTGGTACGGTTTGAATTTCTGCTGGTTCGTTCATAATCGGGAAATGGTGGATCGACAAGGTTCTCCACATAAAATTACTTTCGGCATGATCTGCCTCCCCCAGCCCCTTCATGCGGAAGCCGACGTTTCGATAATCGCTACTGGATTTACTGGGCCAGAGAAAAGAGATAATTATGGTCGACTTCCTGTCTTATTTTCAGCGAGCTATTCATGGATGGATGGATGGATCGCACCGCTTACTTCCTAACAATTAAGTTTCGCTAATAAGAAATATAGGAATAGTGCTTATGGAAATGTGGAGATCTTAGTTCTATCTGAGAATTGATGTTCGAATTCTTAATCCCGACCGTGGAAATTTGCAAAGGATCGTTTTGCTTGTTACGAATCTGACTATAAACCCCAAAGCCGGGTCGGATTAAGACTATGATTGAGGTACAATTGGCAGTAGAAGCCGTGACCTCGTGTTCCCTCCAATGTAGATCGCTGAGTTTCCGCCAAAGACCTCGACAGGTCTATCTTCGGGGTGGATGTGAAGCCAAGGGGGATCTCCATTCGTAGAAATCAGCCTCCAAAAGATGATCAAGGATGCCTTGAACAATGTCCCGGCGATTTTCCACCAGCTGCTCCCGAGTCAACGCTTCGGAATCCGCAGCAGTAGAGCTAGCGTTAAGCCAGGGATCCATTGGACCATTGGGATTTCCATGTTGCAAAGTCATGATGACGATCAACACGTATAGGCACATAATCTGAGAGTATAGGAACGTCGCGCTCGATTATCATTGAATACATAGTGTAAGGCGCGAGAAATAGAATGATGTTCAGGTATGTCGAATGTTAATAAGCAGAAGCGGCGCAACGGATAATTGAGGAAGTGAGAGATGTGTGGGTTGTATCAAACGACAAGTAAAAATGTTGAGTATACCGACATCCATCTGAGCGCATCGTTAAATCAAAGGAATTCAACATTTCGAGAATCCGAATAGTACTACTCCGCTTTGAGATCATGTTCCGCAATCATTCATTGAGATTCAGTAAAGTACTAATATTTGGGATCACAAAACTGATGCTGTTCCTAGGTGACTTTTAATACTACTATGTATATTTCGCTCCCTGTGGGTTGGGAAATGACCTCGAGTGAACTACACAAACCCCAGAGCAGCTTGAAGTGAAGCTCGGAGCCTGGTCAGAACTGAAATACATGCGAATTTGTACGATGAGAGCAGGTTTAAGCGACGCTCATGGCACATCGACTGTGAACCCTTTCATTATTCCTCAAGTTCGAACGTTATTGCTATCAAGCAAGTATTTTTCAATTAAGCATTCGGGCGAAAGACGACCTTCTCACCAGAGACACCATCCTTGTTCAATTTTAATGCCGCCTCCACAGCCCCGATACCACCATCAATAACTCTCACCCGGTTGGGGACAAACAATCCCTTAGCGATCCATCCATTCTCACCACCAAGAGCCTGAACCATGGGCTCAGCCAAATGTCTCAAAGCGGGAAGACTTCCCAGACCCAGAATCATCTTAACCTCGACCTTGGGTGACTTGGAATCTCCCAAATTCTTCGCATCCTCGTTCGCATTTTGCACCACAATTACCTTCTGAGCGACTTGGCTAGCCTCGGCGATCTCCACTCCGAATTTCTGTGTCTCCGGGCTAGAAATGGCATCGAACACATAGCGCAGTGGCAAATCACCACTTGCAGCCTTGAACTCCTCCGCGGTCGCAGTCTTCCGATCCAGCACAACGTGTGCGCCGAGACCCTTCAAAAACTCATGGTGCGCCGCACTAGCATTGGTGATGATGCGTTCGAATCCTGACAGACGTGCAAGCTGGATAGCGTACTGACCCACGCTGGAGGAACCGCCAATAATTGCGATCGCCTGGCCCTTGCCGGCGGAGCTGCCGTTCGGCGCCCATGGGGGTGTGATGCCATGGCCAGTCTGGTCATAAAATCCGGTGACCACGGCAACGGTTGCGAGACTTATTCCCGCGGCTTGATCATCAGTGACGCTGGAGGGAGTCTGGGAAACTAGCTCCGCGGGCATGGTGCAGTATTGCTGGAAGGTTGAGGCGTCATAGTTGCCGATGATTCCTTGGAAGAAAACACGGTCGCCGACCTGGTGTGTGGTCACGTCGGATCCGACGGCAACAACTTCTCCTGCGGCGTCGGAGCCTAGGACGGCTGGGTATTCCTTGATGAAGACATTGTAGTCACGAATCTTCCAGTCAACTGGGTTTATGGCGGTGGCGGTGATCTTGATCGCCACGTGGGTCGGCTGGAGAGGCTGGAGCGACCGGTCCACGATGTTGTGCTGCGCATGGGGTTCGGGGACCACAGCGGCTTTGAAAGATGCTGGGATGCTCATTTTGGTTTGTGTTGTAGTTTTGGGGGAAGTGTGGAATGAGAGATTTGAAGCAATGAATTTCTGCGCGATGTCAATTATAGTGGGGACAAGCTATGGCGACCCCACAGTTCTGCAGTGGGTTTCAAATTGATTTATAAGCCGATTGTTACTCAATGAGCTCATAGTCTTTCAAGGTCGCGAGGGAGTTGAAAGCCATGATAGATTTTGTATACTTTGAAGGCGCTTGTGTAGCTCACAGGTCTTATCTGATTGGACTTTAATCCTTGGCGTATGTGGGGTCCAAGCTTACATGCAGGGGGCTTTCTGTAGGCGTACAATACGAGGCTCCGGATGCCGGGCCCGGGTCATCCTTCACTTTTGACCGCGAAATAGCAACATGAGTCTTCAATATTAGAATATGGATATTGCAGCGACACTAGGATCAGGATGATCAGGTGAAATGGTCGATATAGCAGCATATTTCCCAATTATTACCTATTATTATATTACCCATTTTCCATCCAAGGTTCCTTTGTAAGCAGTAGCCAAGGCATCCATGGATTCGGTGAGTGGCATGATATACAAATTTCCAGTTCAAACCGCAGTTTCACTAATATACTCTGGAAACTGGATATAAACACATTCAAGTTGTTGCCGCATTTTGTTGTCTCCAAGTTTGCTGTTTGTTGCTTCCTTATACATAGACTAAGCTTAAAGAAATAATCGATTGATATGATCTAACACTTAACCCATTTTAGAGTACTATCTGCCCGTGTTGCCCTGAGAGCGGCTGAATAAGGCGCGAGCCGCCCACGCCCAGACCGTGGGCGCTAGAACCCAACTTTAAATATGAATGTTGTATGCTGCTTTGAATTTTTGGTCTTTCTTGAAAGTTACAAATGTAGGGGAGACATCAGAGTTGACAGCTGGGCTCACAACCGACTTGCTACTTGTATATGGCTGGTCTCTACCAACATTGCCGCTCAACGTCGACTATTTCAAGCTATACACAGACCCAGAAACCATGGGGCTACATTGATATCTTAGTTGATCTTAGTACCGAGATCGACAAGGCCAACACCGTAAGTCGCCTTCTGCTAGACTTGCAGCCTGAAACAGGCGCCAGGAAGCGCAAGGAACTTTGAAGCCACAATATCTGAACATTCGATAAGCAGCAACTAAATTGCTTAGGGGTTTCTGTATCTTCTTACTCTCTTTTGGCTTTGTTTTTCGCAACGATGACGTTTTTTTCTTTGAAACATGTCCTATTGGTCAATTTTCGAAATTAACGCGTCTTGGGATGCGCGTCGGCTACACACCGATTGACAGATTATCCCGCGCCGAAGGCACGACCGAAGCTGTCCTCCTCTCCTCTCCATTTCACGTCCTTTGCCCCTCTGCTAGTTTTTCTGACCAGCCAAATCGATCATGAGTTATATTCATCTGCCTTTGAGTGTTGCAATTTTTCCTAACGGTCACCCCACTGGTTGCACTGAGCTCGTGATCGGCAACGGAAACTTAGCGAGATGGATTGGATTTTGCCGAGATTAAAAGGCTTAGCTCCAATGACCAGCGAATCACCGAATAGAAAGCGGGGCAGCGACCACTACTAAATTCTCCCGTCAAGCTCGATATCCCATCCTGCATGGATCGTTGCCATTCTCATTGGTTCATACCCGTCCTGAAGTGTACACGCATTATGGCGTGCTTTTGAGAGAGGCGAGCCAAAGATCAAGGATGGATTCTGCTGCTGCGTTCGCTTGCTGTCGGTGATAGGCCGGTCGGGATTGTTCATATACAAAAAGGGTTGACTTAAGACCGCCCTGGTTTTTATCAGACTTTTTTTTTCTGTGTCCAGCACGCTGGAAATTGTTGTGAACTCAGCCATGGCGACGACCAAGACCGACGTTGAAACAGCGGGGGGGAACCCTGTCAAGCGAGTTTGGTATCGAACAACCCTTTTCAATGCTTGTGTGATTGGATGCGTCGGCTTTCTTGCCCCTGGACTATGGAATGCCATGAACTCTCTCGGCGCGGGAGGTGAAGAGAAACCGTTTTTGGTCAACGCGGCTAATGCCTTGGTGTTCGGCCTTATGGGCATTTTTTGCCTATTGGGTGCACCAATCGCTAACCGGATCGGTCTAAAATGGGCTCTTATCCTCGGCGCCACTGGATATCCACTGTACTCGGCTGGCTTATATACCAATGATCGCTTCGGGAACGTCTGGTTTGTCTTGGTCGGCTCGGCGGCGTGTGGAATCTCGGCGGGATTGTACTGGGCTACGGAAGGAGCCATCGCTATTGGCTACCCGGAGCCGGCGAAGAGAGCACGGTATATAAACATCTGGGTTCTTTGGTCTACAATGGGCCCGATCGTTGGGAACTCAATCGTACTGGCGCTGAATATCAAGTCCAACGGCTCTGGCAGCGTAGGATATACCACTTATATCGTGTTCATCGTGCTACAATGCCTCGCAGTCCCAGTCGCTCTGCTCCTAACCCCCCGAAAAAGTGCAGCGCGGGGACGGATCTGCCGTGATACTTCGTGTCGAGTCATCTTGGTCTGAAGAGTTCCGGGCCCTATGGCGTTCTTGCAAAAAGCGCAATGTCATTTTGCTGCTCCCTGTATTCTGGGCGATCTACTTCAACGAATACTCCAGCAATTATGAAACCTACTATTTCACCGTTCGTGCTCGTGCTCTCATCGCATTCCTAGTCGATTGGATTGCCGTGTTTGCATCCCAAAGCCTGGCATTGTGGTTGGACTGGAAGAGGTTCGATCGCAAGACCCGGATCAAATATGGATTTTATTATGTTATCGTGGTTCACCTGGCTGCCTGGGTTTATGCATGGATTGTGCAGTCAGAATACACTGCCAATCCGCCATCTCTTGATATTTATACTCCGGGCTTTGTCAAAGGAGCCTTCGCCATGTTTCTGTGGCAATTTGCGCAGCAGACAGGAGAGAATTGGCTGTACTATCTCGTCGGTGAAATGACAGATAACCTTGCTGAACTTACTCGCCTGACCGGCATCCTACGAGGTCAGATGAGCTTTGGCGAGGCTATATCGTACGGCCTAAACACTAGGGACTGGTATGGTGGCCGTGTACCCATGGCAGTTAACACGATTCTTCTCGGTGAGTAGTACCAACAGAATTTTGAAAGCTAAAAACTCCAGAGCTCGACTGATAATTGATTTTGATAGGTCTTTGTGTGATTCCTACTTGGATTGTTGTTCATAATTATGTTCCAGATGATACGACAGACAATGCAGATGTGTCAACGGACTCTGATCTACAGATAGAAACTGAGCTCCAGGTGCACGGAAAGGAGCAATAGTGAATGTGCGATGGTACCCGGAAACAATAGCTTTATCGGTGTTGGTATACTTCCTGAGATCTATCATATAAATAATCGCGACTTAGTCTTCAAGAACTAGCTCTATCTCGTTGGAAGACAGAACAAAAATTTGAGGTCTGCCATTATTCTCATCTGTAAAGTCCGATCTAGAGTGCTCAGGGTGGCGCCAAAGAGCCTCCGTGCGTTTTGTCCGAATCAAGTCGTTAGAATATGTCCACGGGCCACGGAGGCAGGGTGTTGTCCGCCCACCCTGACACCGCTGTAGATTTTCTGGTTCCTGGAGCGTGGTGGTCCATCAAGTAACCGCTGATTGTGGGTGTGCATGTCCCACCTGGCCCGATAAGATCATACCAAGGGCGTTAATTCTTTCTCAACAACCACCCTTAACCACTCGAAACTAGGTACATGCGCAACTCCTCCCATCCGATGAAACCAGCCCATCTGTTTATTCCTGTCTACCGATGCCAGATGAAGATAATGGTTCTTCCTGATTGGTCACATTGACAATCGTGATATGCGGAGATGAAACGCGAAGCACCGTCCGAATTACGTGGCTGTAGTATGGATGGTGAGGAGCGATCAGCAAAAGCGCGACGACGAGAAAGCTTGAGCAGAAAGCCAGAGCTATTAAAGACAGAACAGGATTCCTCCAAAACACAGCCATATCTCTTTCCATTTTGACCTGAGTTGGATAACAGAGTAAGTTGCATTTCTCGTCTCGCAATAGCCTTCTAAATGACTGCTTAGAATCCCGATACAATCAAGCCTCAATAAGCGAGACCAACGTCCCTCACGAATGCAACCGCAGAGCTTGAAGACGGAATGCATCAATAGATATCTGCGTTATCGGAACTTAAGGATATTGAGGAGATAAGCCAACCGGCGTCGAAAATATCCCTATCGCGTTCGATCTCGACGGATCGTGGTTGCGCTCGGACTTGTCCGTTAAAGAACAACGAGAGCAGCTCGACTCAGGACATTAAGTCAGCAGTATACGGAGCTACCAACTACATCACTATTCTTACGACAAAAGGCTGTTTCATGCGACAGTCTCCAGCTGGCCTGATACTTGACGATATTGCGCTTTGTGAGTGTCTTCTCCATCAACCGATTGAAGTCCCCCACGGTATATTGTTTGACGACAAACATATCCAAGTTTCTATAATACATTACAGAGTCGATCCGAAGCGCATCTACTGGTGGACCTTCACACTCTTATCATACCATCTGCTGAGAATAATTTATCCAAGGGAACCAATCTCTAAAGGATATAATTAATAGGTACAATAATTCGTAGCTTAATACTAAGCCGATATATAGCCTGAAACCGCAGTTAGATCACCTGCGAAGTCTGCAGTAATCGACCTTTTCAGAAAGCCAACGGCGTAAATTAGAATAAACCTGGACGAGAAATTATTATATATGGCACGGGAAGATAGTATATACATCCCCTACCTGACCGCAGAAATTTGCCGATCGACAAAATATACACAGTATATACGTTGTAATATGGGCTGTCGTCTCCCTATGCTAAGCTGGCTACACGGAAGAGCTGTATTGAAAAATTCTTCCCTTTTCCATATCACATGAGCTTGAAGACTTTCGCATATTCGCCTACTATCCTGCATTCGAGGATGGTAAAGTGTTATTCTACCGGTGGCCGGTTGTGCAAGCCAAAATTTGGAGTAAAGAGGACCGGTGAATATGTTATCGCTTCGTGTAGAATCTTGACCGCGAATTTATGCCTATCCATATTGACCGGTTGATGCGAATACTTGAAAAAGTTCCGGACATAGACGGAGATTCCTTAAGTGTTGATGTCGATGGGGACGAGTCTCAGCTGTCCATTATCGGATCGCAGGACCGTTCAGAGTATCGCAGAGCTGCATCTTCGCAGAATCTTGGCTTAGAACCGGAACTACTTATGATGGTCCAAGCGTTGCAACAGAAATTGATAGAAGGGAGAGAAAGAGAAGAGAATTGAGAGGCAGAACAGAGAGAGCAAGAGGTAAAACATAATCAAGAGGTAAAACATAATCAACGAGAAGCGGAGCTGAAGCTTTTAGCGGACGAAATAGAACAACAAAAGACAATTTCTCGCTCAATTGGAACAGCAAACCGTACTACAGAAAGACTGATCGCGCTTCTAAAGCAGACCGCCAAGCCGAAATGACACGGCTATATACGTCTCTTGGTAGTATCGCCATTGGCCTGTGTATAAAACTAGTTTACTAGTACCATACGATGACTGTCAATATTCCTAGCAGCACATCACGCTCCATTTAGTATATAACAATGGCTGTACTTCTTCTATAAGATTATGCTCACTTCAATCGAAAGGTTCATGGCCAACTCTCCAGATCCATACCTAGCACTTTCAAGTTGATATGTTTTTATAGACATCAAACATGATACTAAGCTGCTGGGGCTTCACAAGAAATCTGTGTGAAATTTTTCAAGTTTGTGTACTGTACTTGAATATCTTATCATTATGGCCAACTAGCAGTATATAATCGTTGATAGTTGGGCCAAATTTTTGACTTTCAACTTGGAATTCTTTCTGTTCTCTAGTAAGCAGCATGGCATGGTGATTTGGGACATGTTAACTAGGGGTATGATAGGCTCCGTACGGTCAGGGTTTGGAAGTGCTCACGCATGAGGTTTAACAAATCTAGATTCGAGCGAATTATTTGTTTTTATCACCTGAAAGGATGATGAGTCATAGATGCACACTGGAGTATATCCATAAAGTGTGATTGACTTTGGGGTAATCCGATCACCGTGTCTGGGTTCAGGTTTTCACAAATGTATACATAGGAATATATACATCCCGTACCTTTCCAATTTACCTATACTACGCTATAGTAGCTCCTGTTTAAAGCACCTGAATCTCAGGAGCCTGATTTGATTGATCTTTTACATAGATACACTCCACGCCTCCGACTGTTTTTAAAAAAATATTCTTCAGTCTATCGAAGACAAACAGATTCAGATGCAGATAATGGATGAATCCCAGCGCCTCTCAAAGATGATGGCACTGTCTATAGAAAATGGAGTCTTTTGGTTCTGTCTTGCCGCAAGAAAGAGTTGTATGTTTAATAATATCTATTCGACATTTCTTGATCGAAAGTACTTTGGTGATGGATTGCTTAAAGACAGACTGTCTCTTATATCGAAGGAGGAATTTGATAGATTGGAAAGTATTGTGCCACTGAAGATGTGCAAGTTACGGAAAAGGTCTTGGAAGATCACTTGGCGTATGATGAGTTCGTGGGTCTCTAGTAAATGAGAGATGAACGAAGTCCCAGCTTAACAGAAAGTGTCCTTATATTCAGTTCTTGGTCAAATTTGAGGGTAAACAGCGTTTGGTCGAGGTCTCACAGATCTTTACTTAATGAGAAGTGGACTGAGTCTCGACTCTATAAAGACTGACGCTAGTCTGGTAGTCTGCTGTTAGTTTGGTTTTGATCAAATATAAAATCTTGTTAACCCCTCTCAGATCTTGTAGATCTTCGCAAGCAATTCATCTCTGAAAATGAGCCCAGACGGGATTCAGCAAGGACAGTCACCGAAACAATATGATTCTCTAGGATCTACTAAGTGTAAAAACCATTACTCCTGTCGGCACTCTGCTTGTCAGTCCAACCCACCCAAATTTCGACTGGAGTATGAATTGATGTAGGTATTTTTCAATGTCATTTTGTGCCATACTGTTACATAGCAATGTATCAAAGCAACGTGACAAAACAAACAAGCTGAGCAAATACCAAAACCGCGGGTCTGTCCACTGCGGATCCGCGTATTCAGATTAAGTTCATGCATCTGCTGTAGTACGGCATATGATTCTCCTTGTTCGAAAGCAATCCAGCCCAGCTTGGTTGAATATCATTACGTTATATATTTGATCGTGCATACGTATTGAAGAGGGGAAATAGGCCTGTATTGGAATACTAGTCAGAAAACCTACAGCAAAACATCAGTATCTTTCCCTGGCCAATGCGGGAAATCGAGGAAATCAGCATTGCAGAACGCGAGCAAAGGAGTGTAAGAAGTGTGTTGTGTGTATTCAGAACTAATCGTGCGATATATAGCTGGAAGAAATAAAAGGAGATAATTACTCCGCGACGGTAAGGGTCATTCCTAACAGGCCGGGGACTTTCCCCACTACAGTAACTTCTCACTGCCAGGGCTGCTTATGCATGGCAGCGGGGCATTGGAACAATCTCTCTGGCCGCGAACATTGAACTTAGCTTGAAACCGCCAAGTTGGTCGAACATGCAGATAGGGTCCAATTGGTGTACCTATCGGATCTTGGTACCAGAGCGCGCCGGTGCATGTGACAAGTTCGAAGAATGGAGCAAGATCGACTTCGATCGGAGAGAAATCTTGGATACTGGCTCTTCACCCGGAGCGCGGATTCGCCGCCCGTGTCCAATTGGCTGGGCGGGATGCATCGCACATTTAATTGAGTTCTACTTTATTATGCAGGGGCCTACCAATTCGCTATGGTTGGTCATTGCGTCCCGCCAACCCCATCCAATTTTTAGGCACAGGGTTCCAGCCAAGTTGCGCCATTGAACGCATTCTGGTCTCTCAGGTAACTCCGAGCCCCTGAGAGCAGGATATATACTCCGTCCCTGAACTGTGGAAACTATTATTGGCGGAACAGCTGGAAAACGAGTGGGTCGTCTCTGGCAATGATTAGAGCGGCTAACTTCAGTTACGTAGCTTCACAGCCGATCATAACTCCAAGATCCACCGAAAAAACACATCCACAACTGAGCCGTATAATTCTCACGCACACTCGATTCGGAAATGACGATTGATGTGGCTGGTTGTTGCCACCTTCCGGTAATTGTCAAATTGCGCAAAATGTAAGTTAGATGTGCATGCGAGTCTGCGACGTGGACATGCATAGATTTTAGGCTAGCGAAGGGTGTGCTTTTTTTGCCTTCCGCCCCTCCCGAAGCGCGGATGTC